CCAACCCCAACCCCAACCCCAACCCCAACCCCAACCCCAACCCCAACCCCAACCCCAACCCCAACCCCAACCCCAACCCCAACCCCAACCCCAACCCCAACCCCAACCCCAACCCCAACCCCAACCCCAACCCCAACCCCAACCCCAACCCCAACCCCAACCCCAACCCCAACCCCAACCCCAACCCCAACCCCAACCCCAACCCCAACCCCAACCCCAACCCCAACCCCAACCCCAACCCCAACCCCAACCCCAACCCCAACCCCAACCCCAACCCCAACCCCAACCCCAACCCCAACCCCAACCCCAACCCCAACCCCAACCCCAACCCCAACCCCAACCCCAACCCCAACCCCAACCCCAACCCCTCTATTTTTTCTAAAGTTTAAAAAAAAAGATAATAATTTCTAATAATTAAAAATCTATTAAAAATATTAGATTAATGATTCTTATTTAAAATACATTAAATAAATTTAAATTCTTTTTTATTTTTAGATTAAAAAAATTTTTAAAATTGTAACAAAATGATTAAAAAATTAATTTGATTGATAAATCCTTTATTGAACAAAATATTTAAAATTAGCAAACTATTTATTTTATAAAACATTTCTAAATTTAAAAATAAGTTGGAGTAATATGAAGGAAATATATATATATATAAAAGTATAATTTTAATTTACATAATTATTGTTTTTTTTTTAATTAGTGGATATTAACTTTGTTTAAATTTGATACAAATACAAATATAATGTAATTAAAATACCCTTAAAAATTAGATGACGATAATAATACTAATAATAATATTATTAAAGTAATTAGTTTTTTCTATCTATAGTTTAAAATTTATTAAAAGCTTTTTAAATTAAATACAAAATAATCTTTTTTCATATTCTTTTAGAAATCCATACAAATGTTGATGGCATCAACCATGAACCAATAGCATTAATTATCTTAATAAGGAGAAACATTACAATTGTTAAACCTATTGGTATTAAGCAAACTAAAGGTACTATAAAATTAGATAGAAATGTTCTCTTAAATTCATTATCACAATGATCAAAAGAATGTTGAGTGTAAAGAATATATCCTACCCAAACCCATACAAATTTTATAAACGCAAGAGTGAGAACTCCAAATCCTAAAACAGATAGTAGGCCTTTAGTTCTTATCCTAAATTTTTTATTTTTAAACTTTTCATATTTGATTAAAAAAGGAAATATACCAATATTTATAATTTTTTGGATTCGATGCTTTTGGTTTACTAATGTGATCAAATAATTGTCCATGCTTTTTTATAATTTAAAAAAAAATTATTTATTTAGGCTAATTAAAAACTCTTTTCATTTTTTTAATTTTGAAAAATTTTACCTATCTATCAATACCTCTTATCCTAAAAATAAGAAATCCAATCAATATAACAGAAAGAATTTAAAGTGAGAGCTGAACTTCAAGCCAATTTACATATCCAAATTAAGTTAAGCACGATTAGTTTTAAAAAAAAAGAGTATAAACTGTTAAAACACCTAGAGAAAGGTCCACAGCAATTGGTAAAATCCTTTTTTGTGTAATTAGATTATTAGTTATGGCTAATAACAATTTAAAATAGTTACCATATTTTATCAAGAAAAGGCACTTTTAAATCAAAAAACCATCTACGATCATAAGTCCAAAACCATGTAGTTAAATCCATTTTTAATAATAATTATAATAATATCTTAATTTTATATTTTGCTTTTTGCTAAATTCTGTTTTGATTATTTTTTTTAGCTACTTTAATTTACTTTTTGATTAATAATATTTTTGAAAAAAATTATGGTTTTTATACAATCAATCTATTTACTCATATAATAATTAGTAAATTAATAAATTGAGAGAGTGTAAATGCAAATCTGTATATTTGATCGATTAGGTATGTATGTATGTATGTATCAAATCTAAATTTTGTATCAAAAAATTAATAATTATATCAGGTAGCTAATAATATCTCTTTTCTAAATAAAATAAATGTGTTATAAAAAGAAATTTATGAAATTAATAATAAAAAATATTTTAAAATTTTCAATTATTAATAAATTTTTCTAAACATTAAATTTCATATAAAACGTTTACAAAAAAGAAAAAATTCTCAAATAGAATTTTTAATCATTTTAATGCTTATACTTTTGTTCAAGTATTGATTTTTGTTATAAAATACATTATAAATACATAAATAACTTGGTTGTTTGATAAAATTTGTATCAATCATAAAAGAAATATATAAAAGATATTATTTTTGACAGATACCAATTTTTATTTTCAGAATAATAAATAGCAACAAGTTTAAAATAAAAAATAAAAGCAAAAAATAACTAGCAAATAAATAGTAAAGATGAACTAGTAAGAATTAGATGTTGGATTGACTATTACATTTGATAGGGCTAACTCAACTTATAAATAAAATGTAAGCTTCAACAACATCTTTTTATTGCTTTAATTCGTTCTAAAATATCATATCCCATCAAATAAAGAATGAATTCTTAATTTTTATTTAAATTTAAAGGATTGGGTAACAGGTAAAGTTAAATTAGAAGGAGATGTAGAAAATAGTAAATTTGAAATATATGGTTTAAAGATTAAAGCAGAAGGTACTTAAGTCTAAAATTTTAATTGATGTTGTAAATATATATATTATGTATAAAAGGAACTCTTTAGGCTTAAAATAAGGCTAGCAATAGAGATTTAGAAGCTGTTAGTGCACATTTAATACCTTTAAAGCTTTTTACTCATGAGTCAAGCATAGCTGAAATGCAATATGTGTAATAAAATTTATTATTTCAATAAATGCGTTTTTTATTCATTTTATAGATAGCTTAACTAATTCTTTTACTATTAATAGAGATAAAGACAATTGTGAATTTACTTTTAAATTTAAGCTTATGGCAAATGAAGGTGAAAAGTTGATTGAAACATATGTAGGAGTTTATGTCACAGTTGGAGTAAAATTTTTTAAGTAATAAAAATAGGCTGTTAACTTACTTAAATATGTTTATAAAGTATGAAATACAAGCAGAATTAAAACTAGCAAATTATCAAATAGTAAAGGAAACTTAAAACTTTTTTGTCTAAGTCAATGTAAATAATTGAATTATGAATGGAGCATTAAAATATTTAAATAATAAGGGAGCAGGGAGAGATATGTTAAATACAGATAAATATCCTAATCCTTAGAGTATTAGCATTAATCCAGATAAGCTAAAATAAGGTAGTATGGAAAAAATGCCAAGAATAAAAATACAAGGTGTCATTAATTCAGATGTTTGTATGATAAACAATGATTTCACAGGTTAATTTGAGTTAGAAGTAAGCACTTTAAACAAATAAAATTTAATGTTTAGTTTGAATTTTTAAACATTTATATATAAAAGGAATGTGAAGGAAAAATAAGAAGTATAGACCTTTAACTCATCAGAGTTGAACAAGTCAGTAATGCAAAAGGAAAGTTTTAGGAAGCAACTGAAATTTAACTGATTTAAGTTTGTGATGGCAACATTACTAAAGGTATTGAAATTCCACTAACAATGATGTTCCCAAAATATTTCTGTTGTCCTAATTTCTAGTGGAAAGATTTTACTGTGGAATTTGAAGTTAACTTCATAGTTATCCTATATGATGCATTTAAAATTACTCTTAACTATCCTATAAAGTTATTAAGAAATTGAAATATTAACAAAATTAAAAACTGTCATTCTATGTTGATATGTAAAATGAATTAGAGTATCATATTTATATATAATTGTTAAAATAAATGATTAAAATATAAAATAAATTTAAAAATATATATTTTAGTTTTTTTAAATTTTGCATGCTTAAAATAAAAATTTTGATTTAAATTTTTTAATTTTATTTAAATATTAATATTATTAATCATAAATTTAATGACAGACATAAATATTTAATACGAATTAGATTTGAAAAAATAAATAAATTTAGGACAATTTTATTTTTTTATATAAGTTTTTATAGAGTTTTTTTATATGAAGTAATTTTCATATAGCTAGCTGAAATATGTTTTCATAGAATTTTTTTGTAATTTTTTATTAATTTAAACTAAAATATCTTTTAATTCTTTATTTTGTTTGTTAAAATAAATTAATAATTTAATTTGTTTGTTTGTTATTAATATAATTTATTCTTCAAATTTCAAAAATTTATTTCATAAAGTTTATAAATCTTTTACTATAAGTTTCAGGATCTTATGATGATGTATCAAGTCTTGGACTAAAGTGAATAATTCTTTTTGCCCACTTTTCTAATACTTTTTAGATATCATACAACTATAGATAATCTATAATTCCTATGTGATAATAAATTCCACTTTATTCTGTAGATTCAAATTAGTAATAATGAGAAATTTAATCATCAAAATCTTCCTCTTCTTCTAAATAGGCTACTTAGTTTGATTCCTTCCACTCTGTATGCCTCTTTCTATTTATTTTGAAAACAATCAAGCTGTAGTCTATCCAGCCACATGATTTTAAAAATTCTGAATCTCTTTTAAGTTAATTATACACCTAAAATCTATTTTCTAACGAAATGTATATTTTTTTTTCCAAGCTGATAAAATCTAGGTCTTTTAGAATCATTCTATTTAGCGCTCTTGAGAAGGATTCTGATTCTTTTTTAGTCTTAGGTAAAACCTATCTATCGAAAGTTGAGCCTTTTAGATCATATGTCCTTTCAATAAATTATTTTGTACATGCTGCTATATTTTTCATCAATAATAAGTGTATAGGTTTTTCATTTAAACCTTCAAATGAGTATACTCCGAAAATTTTAGCTATTAAACTTCTAGGATTTGCCTTTAAATATCGGAAATATGAAGGTAGCCTTTCAATTAGAATTCTAAGCTCTTATTCTGTGCATGTTTTTAGCAAAAATTTGTTATCATGGGAGAAAAAAAAGAATTATCCACTTTTTCCTCCATCTGATCCACTAGCATTTTTTATTTAAGTCATATTGAGCTAGATATTAAATGAATTTTCTATGTCTATGTTATGTTTTTATTTATATGGATCAGTGTCTTCTTAATTTAAAATCAAATTAATTTCTGATTGTTGCAGACTATGAAAAACTGTAGGTGCATATACTCTCATTCTAACGAGATCAAAAGTATCACTATCTAAAAGTTATGTAGGTGCATGATTCAAGTTTTGTTTGATAGAATCATCAGAAAATTAGAAAATTTTTACCTCATAAAAAATATCATTTTCTTGCTACTTTTAAGATTTTTTTTTGTTATTATTATTTGTTAATGAGAGTGAGACTTGCCTAAGATTAATTTACTAGTTTTAGCTGTAAGATTTTTATCTGCTATTTTTATCAAGTTATATTATATTAGATTTATTGTAAATATTTTCAGATTTCATAAATATATCTTAGTTTTTATTTTCTTCTTCCATTTTCTGAAGATTATTAGAATATATTATTGTATTTTTCTGATTATGACATGAATCATTTAGAGAATGGTTATTTATGTTTAATTTCACTCTTTTCTATTATTTATCATTTTAAAAGTCTTTTATTTGCTCAGTTTCTTATTTATTATCTTCAAGTGTTTTAAATTATTCATAAAAACCAGTTTGAGAATAGCGCACTGATGACTTCTATGATGATAATTAAGATGAATTTTTATTGAGTTTTATAGAGTTGACTTAACATTCAAAAATAGAATTATAATTATCTGTGAATATATCAACTTTAGAACAGTATCTTTTCTTTCTCATAAAGTGAATTTAAATTCCACTAAGAATTCTACAAAGCACACCCATTTTTATATTTTTCTATAAAATTCTTATAAAATGCTCTTTTTCATCCTCAAAAGTTTCTGCTTATAGTTAAGAGTTACCATATCGAACTGAAGAGCCAGAAGATAGCGATTCGTCTCCAAAAACTGCATCTATATCAGTAAATGAGCCACTTTCACTCTAATTTTGAACTTAGTAATAAGGATCATTGAAATAATCCATCATTTAGGCATTTTTTATTATTTATTATAACTTTTATTTTAGTATTGCTTCTTCACCACTTACATTTCTATTCTAATCAGAAGCATCTACAGAATACGATTGGCTACCATTCAATTCACTTGCAATTGAATTATTTTTTAAATACTCAAAAAGCTTATAATTAAATCTTTTTTTATTAACTTCTTAATTCAGAGTCTTTCTAAATTCATTTCTTCTGTTTTGAAACATCTTAGAACTTTATCTAGAGCCATCCAAATAATATAGTATGGAATCTGCTTATTAAAATTTTTGCATAGCACTAGGTTTTCTTGAGTTTATCTTGATGCTTCTGTTTTTAATATTATTTGAAGAATCTATTGATTTAGAATTATTATTTGAATTAATAGGTGAATTCATAGTCATACTTGAATTGACACTTGGCAACTAAATTTAATTTGCACTACTTTCTTATATTTTCAATTAGCTAGTTCTAGATTAATTACTAAATTTGAAAGCTTATAGCTAAGAGATTCTGCTAGCCTTATTTTCTTTATTTGATAAAAAACGTGATCTGTTTGAATCTAAAGAATTATTTTCTTCTTTTATGATAGAATTTCCTTTTTTTTCAAGCCTAGAAAAAATAGTTTTGTTCCTTTATTTTAAATTGATATTTTCTATATCCTCTTTAACTTATTAGCCAGTAGGTATCTTAAAACCAACTTAATCAATACTTTCGCTTTTATTGAAGCTAGACTAGAATCTCGGAAAAGTTTAAGTTTAGTAAGTAGACTAAACTGAAAGCATTTGAGCTGCATTAGATTTTCTTACTTTCTAATTTTCTTCCACTTTTTATTTTTAATTGTCTTAATTCTCATTGTCAAAAATTGACAATCTTTCTTCAATTTCTTATAATGATAGTGATTCATTATTATCATTTTTGTTTTATTCGACTATTATTGTATTACCAGCATTACTTTTCCCATCATCTGTAACATTTTATTTGTTTTTAAAATCTCTGTATTTTTGCTATAAGCTGCTTATTTGTTCTTTTGATACAGAAAAGCTTGAAACAAAAGAATTGTCATCATATGATTAATTTTATGATTTAGGCTTGTTATAATACGCTTAACTATTATCAGTTTGATTATTTTAAGAGCTGGTATTATCATTCATATAACTTTTTTCAGTGTTACTTATATTTTATTATTCTGTTTTTGCATTAGGAACTATTGAAGTTGCTTTTTGTTTTAATATTTTTTTTTATTGCCTGATTATAGACCTTAGGTAAGGATCTTTAATTCTGATCATAGGAAGTAAAATTGAGGAAAGTACTTTTGCTGTATTTCCGATAGTTTAAAAGTAAGTGAGATATTACTAATGGACGTACTAGCAATTAAAAAATAAGGCTGTATTGCTAATAGCAATTACACCCCACATAAATAAGCAGACTGAAAGATATAGCCTTGAAAAGTGGAGAAATTCCTTTCTTTTTTTCTTATAGAAAGAAGTATTTGGTATTTTTTGATTAAAATACGCAAGAATTAGTATCGAAAAAAACAAAAATAGAAGATAAAATATCAATGATAACATCGGAAAGGATTAGTCTGAAACATATGAGCATGTACCATAGAGAGTTTTTCCATTTAAATCTAAAAAGAATATTGTTATTAAAATCAATAAAGCTGTTCCTATTAACAACCCATGAGTTTTTTTCCTTGATATAGACTATATACTTAAACTACTCTTGATAGAAAGACCTATAAAAAGGAAAAAGAAAAAGTTATATAAGCCTTACATAGCACTACCAAATATACTAATAATACTATTAAGCTGACAAAAAGCATCATCTTGGTTTAAAATGTTATTAGGATACAATATAGCTTCAAGACTCATAATAAACCTAGTTATTAAGAAATAAATGTGAATTTTATTTAGTAAAAAGAAAAGTATTTCAAAATGCTTGCAAATTCTAAATTGCTTTAATTTAAAATAAATGGAATTTTTATATTGAAATTAAATCAAAAATTAGTTACCAATGGATTGAAAGAATAAATTCTGCACAAAAGCATCCTAACAAAATATCTCCAGGTTACTGTCTCAAGCGAGGAACTTTAATAGCTAATGCAAAAAAGCTTATTTAAATTATTAAGGCGATAGATGATCCTATAAGTAAAATCCACGAATCTCTTGTTGAAAGCTTAACAACAGGCAAATGATCTGAAAAAGAATGAGTTCTGCAATTTAAAATCGCATCATTTGATGATATTTGATTATCGTTATCTAAAGTTCGACCTTAGTCATTGTGTTGGGATGCATTTACAACATAGCAAAGCTATGAAATAATTATAAATAATATTATTTGTGTATTGGACTTCATTTTGGTAAATCTATGATGATTAAATAAATGCTATTATTCTGATTATTCCTAATTTCTTTAAAGAGCCTTAACTCCAAAGAGGATATGGATTAGATCTAGCTTAATTCCTATTTTTTAAAACTATTTTGCTATGTCGTTTTAAATTGAGTGATAGGTAGACTGCCTTTATGATTTCACTGCTTAAATAGTCTTCCTACTGCTAATTTATATTTTTTTTCTGAAGTGTATTATTATTTTAATTCTCAAAAAATATTAAAATTAATCATCTTCACCAAAAGGTATATATAACATTATTACTTTTTTACAAGCACTTAAGATAATAATTATAGTTTATGATAATTATCTGAAATAAAATAATTAAATTGCAGAAAATATTAGTTTGTTATTTAGATAGTACTAGAAGTATTTTTTATCTTTGTTTTCTCTGACAATCAAAAAGCATCACCATCTAATTGATAAAGTAAACTAGATGCAATTTGTAGTTTTAATAATTTCTTTTACAGTTTACTTAAACTATTACAAATTAAAATATAAAAAGATTGATCAGATTAATCAATATATAAATATTTAGGTATGTATCAAAAAAAAAAAATTTTTTTATTGATCAAAAATTTTATTTTAATTTATTAGAGAGAATAAAATTTAAAATAAAAATTAAATATATTATGTAAATAAAATAGATGTGGATTTAATTAGTTAAAAATATTAAATAATTTTCTTTTTATTTGAAAAAACTTCAGATTTTGTTAAAATAAATATTTATGCACTTGTTCTGTTTGAAGTATTTGCTTACTTATTTAGGATTAAAATATTACAATCCTTAACACAAAACAAACTCTTTAGAATACAAACTTAAAATAAATTTAAAGTTTAATATTTAAATACTAAATTAATTTTCTATCACATTTACTATTATTACTATTAAACTATACCAGTTTTTTTTAATTTGTTCTCTTTCTTTACTTGTTCGAAGTAACCATAAATAATATTAACAGCTAGTAAAATACCAGTACCTTTTATAAAATTAATTAAAATGAAAAATTTATTTAAATCATTAAATATTTTACCTGAACCGATGGCTCCTAAGAAATCAGCAACTATTGTAAGAACACCAACACAAATACCACCTAAGGTAGCTGCAGTGGGAATAATTCTATCTAAAGTTCTGTAAACCGAATCTTGTCTATGACCAGGAATTTCTATTTTTTCTTCCATAAACTTTTTATGGACACTGCTTGTGGATTCATCACTAAATTCAATCCAATATCTAGAAATGACACCACAAAGAGTTAAAATTATCAAGACATAAAAAATGGCATGAATAGGATCACTAATGACTTAATTCAAATCTCTAGGGGCAGTAAGGAAGTAAACAAAACCTAATGTAAAATAAAAAAATTATAATTAATAAATATCCTTATTGCTTAAATTAAATATAATGAATGAATGATAATTATTTTTTAATTTTTCAGCAAAAATATTTTATTAATAAATTATGCTTGTTACCTCCAATAGGGTGATCTTAACCACCTGCAACAGAACCATCCTACCATTAGCCTAAGAGCTTAACAAAGAAGTTGTTCTTAAACTTGGATGATAAGATTCTTGAGAAGAAGAAAATTTAAGAAACAAGGGCAGTTTGTAAGATGATAGGATAATTTGAAGTATAGAAAAGCTTGATAGGATAAGATGATTCAGAGTTTCTTTCTTAACGACGAGCTATTCTTAAATCATACTTAACACCCTAATTTATTTGAAAAAATAAAATATAATTTTATTGAAAAAACTAAAATAAATTTTTTATCTATTAATTAATTAAATTAATTAATTACCTATAAATAGATAACTACCAAGAATACAAGGAGAGTAGAAATTAAATTAACAAGATTTGGAGCACTAGTTCTATAGAATGAATGATACAAAGCATTACTAACTCTATCTTTTGTCAATAATGAATGGAAGAGATTAATAATAGATCCTTCAAATTCAGTTCCTTATTAAGTTGTAATGGTAATAGGTGAAAAAGATCTCCAGACAATATTTTCACAAATATTTGTAGCTATAAAGAGGGAAATACCACTTCCTAAACCGTACCCTTTATTGAGCATGTCATCCAAAAGTAAAACGACGATACCAGAAAAAACGAGTTGAATGAAAATGAGTAAGCAGCTACCAAGACCAATCTTGTTAGGATCACCGTATTAGCCTGACCAGATATAAGCAAAAGCTTCACACATAGACATAATAAGACCGAGTACTAATATTGTAATATAATTATATAATTATTTTAAGTGCATTAAAATTGACTATATAATCTCATCAATGCCATTATATAATTTTAAATGATAATAATACAGTAGAATAGCCTTATATATTAATTAGAAAAAATCCACATTTTCTACTTTTAATAAATTCATTTGAAAAACAATTGAAATTTACATTTTTAAGCACCCTAGATTGCTTATCTGTCATCCTAAACTCTGGCATTAAAATCTAAAATTCTAGTATTTACAAGAAGTTAAACAATCATAGAAGAAGTAACTAGAGGTGAGATACCAAGTTCCATCAAAGTACCTCTATTGGAAGCTAAAATAACTCTCATCCAGTAGAAAGGATCACTACCTTGAGCACGAACAACTCCGTATAAAGGAATTTAACAGCAAACCAAGTAAATAAAAAGAGTAATACCTGTCCATACTATTTTATGATCTTTTGGAATATATTGCTTTTATTAAAATACAAGTTATTTAGATCATTATCTTCTAGCCATATGTAAATTTAGTATTAAAATCAAGATCGATGAAGAATAAAATCTAAATTGGAATTGAAAATTTTTCTTAATATTTTAAGTAGTATATGTAATGAAATTGATCTATTATATTCTCTATGAATTTACTCTTGCAGGTTATACTTCTGGGATGAGAGAAAACGCTGGCTTTAATAGATCTATAAAACCCATTTAAAATACCTATAAATGAAATGCTTATTGCCTTTTATTATTTTATTTTTTTATTCAAATAAAAATTTATTAAAAGCTATCTAGTAAAAACAAAATAGATCTATTAAATAGTAACAATTTTTTTCGTAATTATTAATGAAAGCTTTCTTTAATGAGAAAAAGAAAACACGTATATGAATTAAGAAGGATATGTAATTTTAAAATAATAGATCGTTTGCTTAAAAAAGAAAGATCTTTATCTTTTTGTAATATATTTGAGATTAGATTTTTACTTAATTTAAATAATAATTTAATTTGTATTTTACTGATTTTAATAAATTAGTAAATAAATTGTTTTATTTTTTTTGCATAAATTCTTATTTTATTTTTTTTAAAGATTTTAATTTCTTATTAAATAAATAAATATTTTAATTTGTTAAATATTTTTAAAATTGCATTTAATATTTTTTAATTTTTTACTTTATTTTATTTTTGATAAATAAATGGTTTTGAAATATTTTTAAAACTATTTTTGTATTTTATCTTTACGCTTTTACTTTTTGCTCTAATTACTTCATAAGAATTGATAGTATTTTTAAAATAAATAATCTTTAGCCAATGAATTTACCCTAATTTAGATTTCTGTAAATATATATACTGATTATTTATAAAATAATAATTAAAATGAGCAAATTAAATAACTAAAATTCATTTATTTTAAATAAAAAATTTGTTAAAATATATATGGTAAAATATTATTTACCTTTAATTTAATAAAAGTTTAAAAAAATAAACTCTAATTGTAATTAAAAAAAGGTTTTTGTCATAATAATAAAGTGTAATATTAGAATTATGTGTAAAGTATTTTATGAAAAAAAGTGGATAATATCACAATTTTTAGTGATTTGTAGTAATAATTAGGTTAAATATTAATCAATATTTATTGTTATACCTTTATTATTCGATCAATAAATTACTAATTATTAATTAATTAATTATTTGCACCTTTGATAACATAATTTTTAAATGATGTTAGATCGATCTATTTTAGTTTTTTTATAATATTGATTAAAAGTAGTGTAAAATAATTAGGAATCATTTGATTATACTAATAAAAGAAAAAAATTTATTAACTTTTTCTCTTTTGTGATAATAACTTTTATCTATCATCAAGTAATAAAAACACTCATTCCTTCACTGGAAAACAAGTAATTACAAAAGCTAGCTTGAAGAAAAGGAAATAGAAAGTTTGATTTTAATTTAGAAAAATTTTAGGGGGATTAGCAATACAGAGGTTATTATAGCAATAAATAATCCCAAATGATTATAGAAAATGGTGAATTATCATCACCTTTAATGAATGCGAATGAATAGAAGAATAATCAATAATAGAAGTAAAGAAAAAAAAGTCTTTTTTAGAAGATATTTGGATGCTGTCTTGAGAGAACTTCAAAAAGTAGAATAAATACTGCAGACAACGAATAAAACCAAGAGGATGATGATTCAGAGAAGTACCATGGTTTTAGTCCATCAAACCAAATCACCGGAACTAATTAACAACAAAGTGCGCTAAATTATATACTCTCATTCAATAAAAGTGAGCTAAATTCACTAAAATTTATATTTAAAATTTAATAATAGCAACTCTTATTTTTTTTATTATCAAGATTAAGACTAAAATGAAAACAATCAGTAAGGGAATGTGATTAAAAGCTTAAGCTAGGACAAAAGAGAAAAGTTATTTGGGATAAACCCTAATTAGTCCTACAAAGGAGGGAAAAATCTTTTAGATTAATAAGGAGGAGTTTAGAACTAAGCATATCAGAATCAGTAAAATAGCAAAGCAGGAGATAAAAAAAAAACAAACAAAAAATAAAAAAAAGCAAAGGAGTAAGCTATAAATTATGATTCAAACAGTATATATGATAGCAGTAGTGGATATGATGTATCACAAGCAAGTAATCACACAACTGATTTGAGAAGTAGTAGTTTATCTACAAAAACACATAATTATGATTTTGATGTATCGAATTATGGTACAGGGTAGATATTTTTATTAGGAAAAATTTTATAATTAATGGTACTTGTGAAAGACTAAAAGTATGTAATTGACTATGCTAGTAATAATCTTCCAGATGATTTTAGAAACTATACAAATTCTACTGCTTCAAAAGAATTACATTAAATTAATTCTTTAAGTGGAAACTACCAAAGTATGACTTTTAGAGATAACTCGTCTTATTTCAACATGAAATCCTTGTCTAATTTAAATATTAAAACACTTTCTTAGTATGAGTTTAATCCCGATACAATTAAATATTATAGAAGAAGGCAAGTATACTTTTCTAAATACACATAAGGTATATGTGTAGATGCTAAATGCTGGCCTTTTTTGATTCCTGAGTGTATTGTTTAACACATAGCTCGTAGAGCTTCTTAATCAAATAGAAGAGAATCAATAGTTGATGTTTCATGTGCAGTTGGATAATTCTCAATAGCTTTTTCAAATCAAATAAATTAGGTAATTGCAATAGAAAAAGATCCTATCAGATACTAATTTGCAAGGAATAATGCATCTATATATAATGTATAAAATTGTAAATATGACTAAAATGAAAGAATGTCCTTCAATGAAGGAGTACTTTTTTACTAAGACACATCTTTCTTGGAGGAATAGTTCTAAACAAATGCCAATCTATCAGATATTGTATTTATTGGTATTTAATTCATTAAACTTTTATAAATTATATTATTAATTATATCAACACACATGTTTTTTACTTAAATTATATTGCTTTTACTTTAAATTTAAAGCTCCTCATTTATTATCTGAGAATATCAATAAAATTTAAAATTATGATGATCCATATTTCTAATCTAGCTACTTTTATGATAGTTTGAGACTTTACTTAAAGAAAGCTTTTAAAATTGCGCCATAAGTAATCTTATTCACTCCAAGAAATGTAAAAATAATAGATATTGTTGACTTATTCACAGACGCAATAAAAGAAAATCTTAAGTAAATATCTATATATCTATTAAATTTTTTTTTTTCTTATTAGGTTTCTTATCAGGCAATAATAAAAATAGACAAATTTTTCTTAAAATGCAAACAATTAATTTAAATAAATAATATTAAATGATATTTAAATTTATCAAGTAAGGTAAAAAAATGCAGCATAGAAATAGAAAAACACTTTGTAAATGATCATCTCAAATATATTTGCTTTTATTTTGGAGAATTTGGAAGAGTAATTAATTTTTATTTTAAAAAATATTTTTTTAATGATTTTTTTGTTTATTATGAAATTATTTTAAGGAGGAAATTTCTTCATAGCAGGAATTTAAGTACATAAATTAACAACTTGAAAAGTGTTACACTATTAACAATAATAAATAGAAATATTAAAAATAAACTAGCATTCAAAAAAATAAACCAATTAGAATTCATTAGCAAGTATTTAATGAATTAGGAAAATTTTAACTTTTAAATATAGTATACAAATTTAATTTTAGTTTTAAAATTGAGAATATGAAAATAAGTGAAGATCAAACCCTATTGTCCTTATTCTACGCTTACTTAATTAGCCATAATTTCATGAGCCAAGCAAGAATTTCTTATATGATTTCACGAAAATAATACACCAATTCTAATTTGAGCTCAAATACAAACAATTTTACTATTTCAATTTTGAAAGATGATGAAAATAATTTAAATAAGTAAGGCAAACCTCTAAATGATAGCATTTTAAGGAGAGTATCTTCATTTACAATATAACAAGCCAGTCAAATTAAAAATTCTTCTAATAATATTTTACTGCCTCCTTCTCGTACTGCAACGTAAACTTAATCAAATTAAGAGGAAAATACTTCTTAGTTAGATAATTAGATATCTAAGTAATTCGATTAAATAAATCCTAATACAACATGGGATGAAGAATATAAATAAGAAAGTTAAGGATCGAAGTTTTCTAACTTTGTTGGATCAATCGATAGCTAAAAAGCTAATAATTTGCTTGAATCAAGAAATACTGAAAGGACACTTTCTAGTAATAGTAACTTATTTAGGAGTACTACGAATGATTAAAATAATTATAGAAATACTAGAATTGTTTATCAAAATTAAAAAGAAAATAGAGAAAATAATAAAAAAAAATTTTCAAGAAATGGCCATCGCACATTAACAAATTTGTAAAGAAAAAATAATTTATAAAGTATGGAAAATATTCTAGATGATTTTGATGATAAAGAAGTTATAAATAAACACTATAACTAAACTGAAAGCGATGAAAACATCGGTGATGCAAATAACCAAGAGTAATTTTTTTCAGAAACTGATTCAGAAGAAGATTATGAGTATGAGTATGAAGATGATTCTAGCTTTAACAAAAATTAAATGAATGCTAGTTAAATTACTAATAACCAACTTAGTTTTCTCCATAAGACATAAAGGGTTTATGAGAGCAAGCTAGAAGGTTATAGTGATAGAACAAGAGGACCTAATGATATTAAAAAATCTTAGCTTAGTAATTCTAGTTAATAGACTCAAGATCAAGATCAACTGGTAGTTTTTCACTTCAATTTCTTTGAACAAAATAAAAATGATCTGTCATTTAATATGAATACATCGTTTAATCTCATGAATACTAGCAGGTTGATTGCTTAAGAAATGGGTCAAGATTAAAATCAAAGCTAACTAAAAACTGGAAAAACAAAAGACAGAAGCAATTTTATTTAAAATGAAAACGATGCAGTGTCTTTTGATTCAGATTAAAAATGCGATTAAATTACTTATACTGTACAAAATTGTAATATGTGAACTTGAACAAAATTTTATAACAAATCTTTATAATAATAACAAAAACACTTATCAAAGAGATAATTTAAAAATAAAAATGTAAAAAAATAATACTAAAATTATTAGTTTAACAAATTATAAATTTAATTAAATAAATAAATAAATAAATAAAATATAATAATATTATATATATATTAAATATATTTCTTACTCATATTTTAATAAATAAAAATAAAACAAAAAGAAGTGCATTTTTTCCTTATTTATTTAAAACTATTTTATATTATTCTATTAAAATAACACATTATACCTTCCTTTTATTTAAGGATACCTCTTTTTTTGAAAAAAAAATAGACTCTATTAGAAACAGTAAAAAATCAATATTTTTAGAAATTTAGATTGAATAAAATAAAAAAATATGGTTCATTCAATAATGAATGATAAATTAATATTATAAACATAAACTTTGGATATTGTTTTGAGTAAAAAATCTTTAGTAACTCTTAAAAAATAGAAATATTTAAAAAATTAATTTTTTAACAGAACTTAACAATTTTTTAATTATTTAAAATTTACTGTATGTAAAATTATAAATATCACGTATATTCAAAATATTTTAAGCAAATTCAATAATAATATCTTCTTAAATTTTAAAATTCAATTTTGATTAACCTAATGCACTTCTTTAATAATCTACTTTTCATAAGTATGCAAATAGGAATCTGATTATAGCTGCCTCTTTCTATTAAAGTTAAACTTGTTAAACACTTTGATTAACCCAAATGAAAGCTTAAAATAGACAAACCTTATTCTCCAATAGCTTTAAAGTCAATATTAAGCATCAAAATTTTAAGATTCAAACATTTACTAAGGCCACAGCTTAAGTCAGATATCCCTTCTTTACCAATTTCATTATTATCTAAAAAAAGTTCTAAACTTTTTAAATTAATGCACTTAGTTGCAAATTAAGCTAAATTTAATGCACCTGAATCACTAATATTATTTGACATTAGTTATAAATTTAACTTCTCAAAGTTTGTGCTGTTATTCAAACCAGAGATTATGCTAGAAACTCCTTCATCATCAATTTTATTGCTATTAAGGCTGAATTCCAAAATTTTAAGTTTAGAGCATTTACCAACCATAGATGCTAAAACAGAAACTCCTGAAATTCCAATATTATTATTATTACTTAGATCAATTGATAAAGTGGTTAGATTAAGCATTTTTTGAAATAATGAACCTAACATAGTTACACTTTTATCTCGAATATCTAAGCCTCTAAGCTTAAGAGACAAATCACAAAGTTTATTGCATTTACTCAGACCAGAACATAAACCTGATATACCTTACTCATCAACTTCGTTTTCATCAATATTCAGTTTTAGAATTTTAAGATTAGGGCAGTTAGCTAAACCAGAAGCTAACCCAGATATACCCTCATTTTTAGTATTTGTTTCCTCAATATTTTGAGATCCAAAGCTATAAGGCTAGCACAGTTACCCAAACCATTACCCAAATCCGTTATGCCTTGGCAACCAATCCAACAACTACATATATCAATTGATAAAGTTTTAAGATTTTTACATTTAGCCAAACCATAGCCTAAACCTTTTGCACCTTCAGCTCCAAAACTACCTCCTCTGTTTGGTGAAATTGTTAGAATCAAAGTTGTAAGATTTGGGCATTAACCTAAACCTGAGCCTATTCCAATTACTCCACTGTCATAAATACTAGTATAATGTCCTGCAAGTGTTAATTTCAATAATGCAAGATTATGGCATTCACTCAAACCAGAACATAATCCAGTTGCACCATCATCATCAAATTAACTTAATTCCTCTGAAGATATAAATTCGAAAGTTGTTAAATTAGGGCATTTAGACAAAGCAGAGGCGAAATTATATGCATCTGAGCTAATAATTTCTTCAGAATTCAGAATTTCAACTTATAAAGTTTTTAGCTAGTTGCAATTTCCTACAATAGAGCCTAACTCAGAAAATGTTTCATCATTAAAATTTTCGCATTGAAGATATAAATTAAGAAGATTTGGTTTGTTGGCTAAAGTAGAAATTAATTCAGACAAATGGTTTTCGTTATCATTATCAAGATATATTTTTAATGTGGTATAATTTTAAAATTCTGGTGTTAGAGGATCTTTACACTCATTTGAAGCACTCTCATTTTATGACATTTTTTGTAAAATCCAATTAACTTAAGCTTTTAAATATTTTTGAAATTCTAACAAAAATATGAAAATTTGACAAGTATATAATAATTATAAAAATAATATGTATAAGAAACATTATATCTACTAAGTAAATAAGATTAGATATCTTATAAATTCTTAAATTCAATACTTTATTTCAAAAAATTAATATATGATAAGTATAAACACCAAATAGCCCATTTTTAAAAAATTATTTAATTCATTTGTTTGTTCAGAAAACAAGAATTTTACATATTATTTTTATGACATTTATTAAATATTTAAAGTAATTTCTTTCTAATTTATGGTGAATATTTTTTATGATAATATTATTTCAAAGATATTATAGAAAATTATTGAAAAGTTTATAAAAACGTATTGCTTTTCTCTATATTTTATATATCTATACTTAATTAAATTTAAATATTTAACAATATGGTTTTAAAATATACATATACTTACATTAAGCAAAAAATACCTTTCTAAAAATGATATTGCATCACTATTTTGGAAAGGATTTGATTGAAAAATATTTTTTTGAATTATAAAATTTTTTTATTTAATTTTTTTAATGACTTAAAATTTGTCACATAGCATGCCCTTTCATTACTCCCCCTGCTCAGAGGGTTAAATATTTTTTTTTATTTATTTTATTTTGATATTTAATTAATTTTCTTAAGAAATTTATTTTAAGAAAAATAATTACTGGAGCTATAATTTTAATTTAGCTTGTTCAAGAAAAGGGATGATTTAACAAATAAAATTATAAATTTCTAAATTTGTAGTTTTTTATAGAATATAAGTATTGATATTTTTTGAAATGATTCAGTTCATTTTAGAAATTAAATATCTAAATTGATTTAATTGTACCAATAAATTTCAAACAAAACAAGCAAAATTTTTAATTTATCATATAGAAACAAGAATTAGCAAATTTCTAAATAATTAAAAATGTAATAAGAATTTGGCAAGAAGAAAGTAAGAATTTAATTAGAAAACCAAGTTCATAATTAAATGATACTAGAAGAAGAAGATGTCTTGAATCCGCCATATTAAGCATACTCGAAAATCCCTTAAATTAAGCATTTAAAAGAATTAAATCTATATTAATTTCGCCCTAATGCTGATATAGATGGAGATTATGATGTACCTTAAGATAAAAATATTTAAAATTCAAATAATGTTTATGAGCATTTAGAAAAATGGAAAAAAGATTTAATCCTAAAGACAGCTTAAAATGCAGAAGAATTAAATAGGATGAGAAAAGATCATGAGAATTCTTTAAAATTTGATCAAAAATTCCCTCAAGTTAATATTGAAATAATTGATTCTATAACTAGAGATCCAAATATGAGCTTATAAGAAAATAGTATCAGTTAAACTTGCAAGTCAATGTAAAACTTGTCTCCAAGAGCTAACAATTCCAAGTCTAAAAGTAACAAAAATTTAAGTGTAACAAGCTTTAGCATGAATTAATTGGGCAATAACTTTGAAGGAAATATAAGTTTATAAACAGAAAATAATAAAATATATAATGAAAAGAATAGTTAATCATGTTTCAATGCCTAGGGCAAATCTGTTAAGTTCATTTAAAGTAATGAGAGTATTTAAAGAGAGCTCAATAAGAAATTAGTGAATAACTTAATTTTTAGTAGAGTGTAGCGCACATTAGAAGATAATAAGATTAATACTAAATCAAGCAGAGCTGATAAGAATGAATACTAAACAAACATAAATAGATAAAGAGCAGAAGATATATTTAAAACTGAAATGAGTCATTTTTCTAATTAAACATTAGCAAATTTTAAGAGTTTAATGCAAACATTTAGAAGATCGAATAACTTAATTGAATATGAAGACTTATCAAGACAACTTGCTACATATTTAAACAGACCTCTAGGGATTTTTTAAAATTAAGACTAAAAAAATGAGCTCTTGGTATCCTTTAAAAATGAAAAAGAGCAAAAGTATTAATTTAAATATATGGAGAAAATTTTACTAGATAACTACATGCAATTAAGGTAGGAAATTACAACTAGAGTTAATTAAATTAAAGATATGCGTCAGTACAGTAATTAATTATAAAACTAAGTGACTGATATTAATGAAAAAACTAGACTGTACAGTCTTTAGGTTTAGAAAGATATTGAAAATCAAGAAAAATCTGCTGATCAATCTAAAAAGTAATCTGCAGCTTAAATCACAAAAATGAAAAAATCGATTTAAAAAATTTAGGAAGACTAAGAAGTTGTCCTTGTAAATATTTAAAAAATTGTTATTTAAATTTATCAAATGTTTAAATTAATTTGTTTTTTTTTTATAAATAGCAAGATTACAAACAATAGAAGAATTAGTTACTCAGTTAGCTGAATTAGAATTAACAATAATTGATTATAAATGAAAAAGAAATTAAGACCTATAAAGAAAAAAAAGATATAACTAGAAATATGCTTAAAACTTTGTACTTAGAAACACTTAAAAATGATAAAAGTTTACAAAAGCAAAGCATGGTATGGATTGTTAGGGCTTTGCTAAATATAAATGAAGACGTGTCATCATCCGATATATTTCCATAAATTCTTGATAAATAATCTATTTAATATCTTGTTGAATATGCAGCTCTTGAATCTAACATGGATTAGGTTTTAGCCTAAATAAAGATAAAAAGTGAAGATTAGATTTCATAAATATAAAATGAATAATTTGATCAAGAATATTTGAATACTCAATAGTAATATAGTCTGGCTGATATGAAAGAAAGAGTAAACCTTTAATATTTTTTAATTATATCTCAAATTTTTTTTACATGAAAGGTGCAAAAGATAGCTAGAAAAACAAATCTAAAAATAAGAAAACCTATTTTTACTTCAAGCTGTAAGAATGAGTACGTTCTTGCTTGGGAGAATGCTCAAGATGTGTAAGCTCCTTAAGAAATAGCATTTTCTTTAGCAAAGGTTCCTCCTAGTAAGACAGAATTAGTTAACTAAAATAAAGATGCAAGAGAGTAAATGAAATAGATTAAATTGCAATAAAAAAAAATGAAAGAAGGAGAAGCAAATAGACTTATTGACTAATACCTTCAATATAAAGAAGAGAAAAAGAGAGAAGTAATTAATTAATTAATTTATATTTATTTAAACTTAACGATATATTTTATTAATAATTTAAATATTTTAAATAGGAATTAAAATAAATATTTAATATTTTATTTGGGGAGCTTGAAGGACATGATTACTACAAATTATTTTAAAAGAAGTACATTCATCTTTAATTTTAGATAAAGAATAATAAGACCTTCACTTTCACAAGAACGAATCTGACCCCAAATTATGAAAAGGAAGAGCAGGTTTTGTAGAAAATTACCCCTAGAAAAGGTGCTGTAGGAAGCTAAACAATTTTGTAGTACAGAAAAGGGTAAAACGAAGAAGAAAATGCTTAATTAGATCAGTTTGATTTGGTGAAATAGGTTGGAAAAATAATACCTAAAAATAAATTAAATAACCAAAATATAAAAACAGATAAAATTTAAGTTCCTTAAGAAGTTCTTTAAAAGCATAATTTGTTAAAAAATAAAGTTTTAAATAGTGAATAGACAGATAAAATGTTTTCATCTACTTTTTACTAACTTTCATCCACTCCAAATTTTGACAATATAGAAAAAAGTTAATCTAAGCAAAGTTTCAATAGAAAAAATTAATTATTTGCAAGCCTGAATAATATTCCACCTTCTTTAACAAATTTATCTGTTGACACTCAAATAAATAAAGAAATTAATAGCCAAAGATCCTAAAATAGTAATTTATACTTCTTAACCTAAAAGTAATAAACATAATCAGAATTTGAGAGTCCACTTAAACACTCAAATTAAAATTTTCTAGCTTCTTCAACGACGAAATTAAATTCTCTTAAAAAAAGCTACTTTTGAATATTTATTTATAATAACAAATTAATTAATAAAAACGTCATAAAAATTATCAAAATTTTTTATGTATTACTTAATTTTGTAATCACTGTACTTGTTTAATTAATTGCATTAGAAAAAAACTAATTTTAACTTTTCAAAGAATCGATACATCATTCTTAATAACTAATTAAATTTAATTTTAAATTAATGAATTAACTAAACACAAAATAGTTAATTTGTATAGTGAATAATCTGCAACCACATATTAACTTTAATTCTATATCATAGTTAGCACATAATTATACCGAATGCATTGATGTGTTATAAAATTATTTAAGAAATTTGAAAAAAAATAATTCAATATAACTTTCATACTTATGTAAAACTTTTAATTACATGAAAATTTGATCTTCAATAAATTGTAATTGATTAGAATAACTATTCAAAATTTTTAGAATAAAATTTATAAAAGGAAGGAAAATATATACTTAGGATAATTATATAAATAATTTAAAAATACTTAGTTACTTTGAAAAATTAAGAATAAGATTTATGGATGAGTATGAAATTTGTTTAAAAAATAAAAATAGCATATCAGATGTTTATATGAATATATGCAGTACTCTATATAAGTAAATGAGAAATGAAAAAAAAGATTGAAGTGACGCAAAAAAATTTAAGTGTGTATCAAATTATATAAACAATAATAATGATTTACGCAATTTTTTAGAGAAACAAGAAAGAATTAATTAATACACACATACAATGGTTATATTAATACAAATACTTCTATTAAAATATTGTCATCATATATACAATAATACAAGCTAATATATACATATATTCATTCAAATTGCAATGCACATTTCTGAGTATAATCTTCATCAATTATTGCATACTAATAAAACAAAGATACATTTGAAGAATCCATTGCTAATTAACAAAGATCTTTAAATTCAAAGAAAAGATAAAAAATAAATAAAAAATATTAAATCATAATAAATTAAACAAATATATATCAAATTTACATTTCGAAAGAAAAAAAAAGAAGTAGCACTTAAAATGATTTCTTCAACTAGACTTTTAAAGAGAGCTTCTAACTACTTAAAGCAAGCTGCCCGTTATTCAATGTCCACAGTTTAAAAGGGCAAAAAGACTTCCTTCAAGGCACCTCTCTATCAAATCAATTTCTAATCCTAATCTTTGTCATAGAATATTACCTACAACTTCTCAAGTAATTTCTTAAAAATAATTTGCATTTACTGACTTTTCACATCATCTTATTTACATCTACTTCCAATTCTTAGAAATATAATTAAAATGCTTTTATTTAATATACTAAATAGGTTATCCTAAGCATAGACTTGTCGCGTAAAATGAATCTGCATTTTTTTATTGATTTTTTCTTTTCTTCTACTACATTTCCATACTTATTGATTGCTTCTTTTAAAAACAGTTTACCTGCTCTCTCTCCTACCATGACTGAAGGTAAAATTGCAGCCTGGCACATCAAGGTTGGCTAAAAGATCTAAGAAGGTGATAATATCTTCGATGTCTAAACTGATAAAGACTCTGTACCAAATGTTTGTAAAAATTTTTTATAATTCAAACAGCTTTTAATGCTACCTAATCTCGAATTAAAAATTACGTTTTTCACAAATACAAAGTTTCTAATTTTGATTTTGTTAATATAAATAGACCAAGAAGAAACTGGTTTTGTTGCCAAGATATTGGTCAACGAAGGTGAATTGATTCCTGCTAACACTGTAAGTTTTTTATCATATTTAGATTGAAGTTCCTTAATTTTCAATAATATGCTTTAAATAAATAAATCTTTTAACAATAATATAGCCAGTCGTTGTTGTTTGTAAGTCTGAAGCTGATATTCCTGCCTTTGCTAACTTCACTGTAGGTGGAGCCCAAAAGGCTTAGGAAGCCCCTAAGTAAGAATAGCCCAAGCCTGCTGCCTAGACAGCTGCTAAGCCTGCTCCTGCTGCCTCTTCTGGTGCTTGTAAATATTTTCAAATATCAACTAAAAACTTTAATGTATTAACTATCTTTTAACGAATATAAAATAAATAGCATTCCCTAAGCATAATGTCGTCCTGTAAGCTTCATTAGAATAAAATACAAAAACATAAAAATAAAAACTAATTTACTTATTTTAATATTATTATAAAGTCTTCCCGCCTTATCTCCTACCATGACTGAAGGTAAAATAGCTTCCTTCCATGTAAAAGTTGGAGATAAAGTCACTGAAGGTGACAACATTTTCGATGTTTAAACTGATAAAGACTCAGTCCCAAATATTTGTAAGATAAATTCAATCTAACTCTATCTTAGCAATTAAATTAAAAATAAAATAAATTATAGACTAAGAAGCATCAGGATTTGTTGCTAAAATTTTAGTTAAGGAAGGTGAAACAATCCCTGCCAACCATGTAAAGAACATATTCTTAATAGAAAAAGCAGTTGTTAAAAATAATTTTTTTAAATTTATAAAATAAAGCCTGTTTTAGTTGTTGTCGCCAAAAAAGACGATCTTGCTAAGTTTGAATAATTCACATTAAATGATGCTTTGAAAAAGGGTTCTGCTTCTTCTGCCCCCTAAGAAGCTGCTCAACCTGCTCAAACTTCTTCTGCTTAAACTGCCACATAAACTACCGTTGCTTCTGGATCTTCTGGAAGAGTTGCTGCTAGTCCTTATGCTAAAACTGTTGCTTAAGAAAAGGGAGTTGATCTTTCAACTGTTTAAGGTTCTGGTCCTAATGGCCGTATTATTGCCAAGGACGTATAAAATGCTACAACTAAAGCTGCTCAATAAACTGTTGCTGCTTAATAACCTGCTGCTGAAACCAAATAGGAAGCTCCTAAACCTGCTCCTTAATAACCTAAGGTAGAAGTTGTTGTTTAAGGAGGTGTTGAATATCAAAAGATTCCAATTACTCCTATGAGAAAAACAATTGCTGAACGTTTGGTCTAATCTAAGACAACTGTTCCTCACTTCTATTTAAATATTGATGTTTAAATGGACGAAGTTCTTCATTTACGTAAAACTTTAAATGAACAATCTACTTCTAAGATCTCAGTCAATGACTTAATTGTTAAGGTAAAATAGCTTTTTATGAAAATATAAACTTAGCAATAAAAAACAAGTCTAATAACTATATGCTTAATTTCTAATTAAAAAATATAATAAATAGGCTAGTGCTTTAGCTCTTAGAGATATGCCAGGAGTCAATTCCCAATGGCACGGTGATCACATTCGTCAATTCAAGCATGCTGATGTTGCTGTTGCAGTATCAACTAAGACTGGTTTGATTACTCCTATTGTTTTTAATGCTGAAACTTTGGGACTTTCTTAAATCTCTTCTAAGACTAAAGAGTTAGCTGAAAAGGCTAGAAAGGGAGGACTTCTTCCTACTGAATATTAAGTAATTTAGATAAATAATTTATTTGGTTATGTAATAATTAAAAATTTTTTTTATTAGGGTGGTACTTTCACTATCTCTAACTTGGGTATGTATGGTATTGACCATTTCGCAGCTATTGTTAATCCTCCTCATGGTACTATTTTAGCTGTTGGTGCTACTTCATAAAAGGTTGTCCCTGACAATGATCCTCATGCTAAATATCCTTTCAAGTAAATATTTTTTTGAGTTATCAATATATTTATATACTTAATCAATTATTTAAAACAGGACTATTTAATCAATGACTGTAACTTTAAGTTGCGATCATAGAGTAGTCGATGGTGCTCTTGGTGCCGAATGGTTACAAAAATTCAAAGGTTACCTCGAAAAGCCTTACACTATGCTTCTTTGATCATATTAAAAATTATAGAAATGATTTTAATAAGAAATATAAAATCTGTACTTACAAGAAATCAATTTCAAATATTTTAAAAATTAACAAGATGTTTACTTTCTAATAATTTATGTCTAGTAAATTATTTACTTTTTTAATTCTATCTCACTATAAAGTTTTCATGCTAACGAAATACTAATTTATAGCTTATGATAATTGTAAAACTTAACTCAAGCTTATTTTTTTATAATCACTAAAATTACACTTAAGTTTTTCTATTTCTTTTTTACTGTTTATATTCGTTAGAAGCTAATTAAAAAATGATTATTTATTTTGCATTAATAAACAAAAATAATTTGAATTTCAATAAAAATGGAAATAAATAGTGTTAAAAATAATTTTAAAATGAAATTTAATATTGATATTTTAAATTTTTAATTTTAATTTATGCTAATTTTTAAAATAAATTAAAATCTTTAAAAAATTCAAAAAAATTTGCATAATTTCTAGAAATTCGTATGTAGACATACTACAAGACATTCTGAAAAAGCAAAAATATTTACACTTAAATCTAAAGTAAAATAAAATCAAAGAAATAAGAAGATATTTAAAGACTTAAAAGCATAAATAAATTTTTGTATTTGAAGCATAAGAATATAAATCCTGAAATAAATTAAAATAAAATGTAATCAACTGAAGAATAAAAGAAAACGATTAAGGAAAATTTCCTAAACTTATTGTATAATATTTTTTTTGATTATAATGTCGTTGATATGAGAGATGAAATGAGAAAGATTATGATTAATGAAATATATTAGAGGCCAAACCATGAAAAGAGTTGCTTTTTTCCTAACTACAAAGATTAAAACGAAGCTAAAGAAGATTTTAAGGTATAGGTTGATACTGTAATGAATAAGCTTAAAAATAATTAGTATGATACCAAAGATGATATTTATAAAATGGGTGATGCCATGTATTTTATTCCTTGTAATTTAATTACTAATTAATTTTACTTTATTAAAGAGTTTTTATAATTAAAATAGTGGAAGATATAAAGAAGAATTTACCTCCTTTTTTAAGATGATTATCAATATCAAAAATATTTGCTAATCATTTAATTTCTTTAAATTTGCATTTATATATTTTTGTGTAACAATAATTAATAAAAAATATTTTTTTTTATATCAAAAATAAATAAAAATGTGTTTTATTCTATTAATTTTTTATTGAATCAAATTATTTTAAGATATTAATCATATATTTTTTTATTTTTAGTAATCTTTAAATATGTTAATGAAGGTAAGCAAAAAGTGTTTAATTTTTGTTTATCCTAGTTAAGCTAAGTATTTAAGCTCTAAACGCATTTAATAAAGCACCCCCACGTTTTACTTTTTTCTAACATACTTACTTTTGTAGTTGCAATTATGAATTTGATTAAATGTAATATAAAACCTCTATGTTTGTTTCTATTTTTATGCAAATGTAACAATATAAATAGAATATTCTTCATTTATTATAGATTAAACATATATTTATTCTTTTTGTAAGTTTGCTTGTATTTTATTAAGAAAATGTTTAATCCAATAGAAGATAACAAAATAAATCAAAGCAGATAAGAAGATCAACTATACCTCTAATTTCACCTTTTTTATAAATTATATTTTTGTTGGTAACACTTTATTATCTAAACCTTTTTGTTATCAGTATTTATTTTTACTATTTATAAACTCTTTATAAATAAAAAGAAAAATTCGCATAAAAATTAAGTACTTTCTTTAAACAAAAAAAAGTAATATCTTTTTAATCAAAACTTTATCAATTTATAATTTTAAGAAAAAATGAGTGCTTAAAAAAAATAAAATATCTACGATGGCCCAGAATATGTTTACTATACTTTAGCTGCAAGTACATTAGCAGGAATGACATCAAGGTGCTTTACTCACCCATTAGATACTTTAAAAGCTAAACTTTAAGTAACTTAATAATTTATATAATGAATGTGAGCAATCATAATTATAAATTATAATTATTGAAAATAGGTTGAATCATCTAAATTTTACATCACATCAATAACGAAGCGCAAAATGTTATAGAAAATTAGTATTTATCTATCTTTTAATAAAGCAAAATTGATAAAATTTTCTTTTTTTGATAATGAAAGCTTTTGATACATTTGCAAATGAAGGTATAAGAGGGTTTTTCAAAGGAGTTGGGATATCTGTGGTAATATTTTTTTAAAAACAGCTGCTTAACTAATTGTATTATTAAGTTAGGAACAGGCCCTGCTTTTGCATTATTTATGACCTCATATGAATACAGCAAGAAAAAATTCGAACAATATGATGTAAGTTATAATTTTTAGTGTAAGCTTTTTTTGAGATTGCTTAAAAAATAATTAAAATTATTTAGACATTTAAAAACAATGAATTTTTACTTTACATGAGTGCAGGATTTAGTGCAGAATTAGTAAGCTGTCTTCTATGGCTACCTATTGATGTTATAAAAGAAAGGCTTTAGGTTTAGTCAAATTTAAAGCTTTATGAATATAAAAATTCTATTGATGCCATTAAATAAATATCAAAAGCTGAAGGAATATTAGGTCTTTATAAAGTAAAATAAAATTGAGAAAAAAATAGCTTAAATTAATAAAATATTAATAAAAAAGGGTTATGGTGCAACTTTAGCTTCTTTTGGACCATATTCAGCTCTTTATTTTATGTTTTATGAGAAGTTTAAAAGTAAAAAAGCAAAATATTTTATCAGTTTTTTATAAAATTTATTTTTTTTAAATTCAATAGAAGCAGTTTGTACAGACCCAAAAGCACCATCATTTTTTGAAAGTCTCACATTAGCAGGTCTTGCAGGCTCAATAGCAAGTACATTAACAAATCCATTAGATGTATCAAAAGTTAGAATTTAAGTTTAAAGAGCATAAAAATCCTTCTAAATATCCTCTGGAAACTCATATAGCAATATAAGTAAAGAAGGTTATTTTGGATATAAAAATTTAGTACATGGACTTTATTTACTCTTAAGACATGAAGGAATTGGGTCTATGTTTAAAGGTAAAAATAATAAATAAAAATTTTATTTTAAATCAATTTAATTTTAAAAGGTCTGAGTGCAAGATTATTAATGAATACTCCACAAGCAGCTATTAGTATGAGCTTAACTGAAACTTTTAGAACATATTTAGTATAAATGACTAACAATTTTTAGCATTGAATAATTTTGTTGTAAAATAGCAGGGAATTAAGAAAAAAGCAATAAATTATATAAAATAAAAAAATAATTAACTAAATAATTAACTAAATAATTAAAAAAGAAATTATTATAATAGTATTTTATAATAAATGTGTATATTTTATTAAACCAATATAATAATTGTATACAAAATTAATAATCTATAAAGTATATAATTTCATACTAATTTTATTGAACTAAATATTTTAAAATATGAAGTAATTAATCTATATAAAAGGATTAGTTTTTAATTTATTTAATTAAATTTAACTAAAAAATTAATTTAATTAGAAAAATATTAGCAACTATAAATTTATAATTATTAATTTTATTTAATAAATGTTAAAATAATAATGTATTCTATTTATTTTTGGTTCATGATACTGATATTAATTATACTTTAAATTTTAAGGATATTAAATCTATAAAAAAAGCTAAATTAAATAATTTATAATTTAAATTTATTTCATGATATAAGTAAAATAAATTATTAAAATAAAATAATTATGTATTCAGTTTTGTTTATTTATTTATTAATTTTATTTAACATCGAGAAGATGCTGTTTTAGTTTATTTTTTGGTACATTTTATTAAATCTAAATTAAAAGCTAAATTAATTAATTTATAATTTAAAAAATTTAAATTAATTTCATGATACTAGTAAAATATATTATTAAAATATAAAGTAAAATAAATTCAGCTTTGCTTATTTATTTTATTATATTTTAGCATAGAGAGGATGAAGTGTTTGTTTATTATCTGATAAAATTTATTAAATCTAAATATAAAGCTAAATGAATTAATTTATAATTTATTTAATATAATTTTTTGAATTTGAGGTGTCTTTTTTATTCTAATATAAGAGGTAATATTTCTAAATTGATATAATTAAATCTAACTAAGTATATCACAAAATTTTAGTAAAATTATTATGCGAATACTAATAAAATGAGAAAAATACAATTAATCTTAAATTCACATATATTAATTTTATTTTAAAGTTGATAGGATGAGGTGCTTTATTTATTCATTTTTAGGGGCTTTATGCTCAGATACTATTTCTAAGAGTTGTTGAATATCACCAGAAGTTTAATAATGTTAAGAATATCTTCTAATATCTGGTACCTTTTCTGCAAGTTATTAGAATATGAAAGAAATAAATTCTTAGAAGAGCATTCCGCCATTGTCTAAAGTTGTTACTGAATCATCAGTCTTACTTTGTAGTCTTCTATTCTTAGATTAAAATTCTTAATTATCTACTATAACTTGATATTGATGGGGATAAATAACTAAATTTAACACATTTTGAGTTTCTAATAGGAGATCTTTAAGATTTATAATGCCATTTATATATTCTTGCTTATATTGGTCTTAGTTATTACTTTGCAAAAGGGAAAAAACTTCTTTTATTAACCCAGATTAATACTTGTATTTGAAAATTAAATTTGCTTTTTTTGCAATCTGTTCCAAGTACTTTTCAATCTCTTAGCGCTCATTCTATTCACCAAATAAATATATACGAGGTCCTTCATAGTATGCTAATATTTTATTGCTAATATCTAAATATGTTAAATTGGGATCTCTCATAAAGTGATATAGTGCAGACTAATAAATTTGAGAATTATAATAATACAATCCTAAGGATTGATGGAAATACTAAGTATATATTAAGTATAGCAAACGTTCAACACTGTTGCTATTTTCTGAGTCAATTTGAAAACTTTTGTTGATTTCTAATGAATTATCAGAAGAACTGTCTCTGTTGCTGGATTAAATCAAGAATTTATTATTTAAATTATTTGGCTAGCCTACTTCTGATTTATCTTCTTAACTTATTTAAGGAATACAGTTACGTAAGAATGTATTCTTTATGCTAGAAATAAATTATGGTTTTCTGATAATATCTTTCATTATTATCAAAACTATTAATTCATATTTCCATTTCTTCAAAATTTATAGTTATTAAAGAAAACCTCTCATAAGTCTTGCACGTTTATCTTTCAAAAGAGCTTTATCATTACTAAAATAGACGCTATTCATAAATTCAATAATAAACCAACTTAGACGTTTATCAAGTCTGTTTTAAGAATAACACTATGAATTTATTTAAGCAAATATATTGATATTTACAAGCTATTTACTTACATAATTTTCACCTAACTAATGCTAAGCATAAAGAGACAATAGAAGAATTTCTAATGAGATTATTTATTATCTTGAATCAACATCATATATTTATTTATCTACTTTTTATACAAATTAATCAAAAGTTTCTGCTAAACTCTATCTCTAATTTTTTTAATACCAAATTTCACAAGCAAATTTATTTAAATTTGATATTTCATTTCTCTAGCTTTATTTGTACAATTCTTCTAAATTGCCGCTAACAAAATTAATTATTCTATTAAAGTTTTGGTATTTATCTTGATTAAGCTATTTTATCTAATTTTCAACAGATCCTTATTCAAAAGTTGTTAAAAGATGGCTTATAGTATGTAATTTATAATTATCAGCTAATTAAATAGCATTTTAAATTTAATGATTCTTGAGGCATTAAATTATAGCATCTTCAACTTCTTCTTGAGTTTTCATTTCCTTCATATCTAAGAATGCTCTTTACTCATTAATTTAGACTTTATTTTCAGAATATTTCCACTCAAAGTACTTTTTTAGTTATTTCTTTCTCAAATTTTGTACAACTTTTTCATTTTAATTCATCTTGTTATTTCTTAGACCTTCAAAGAGTACCTTCCATTGATTTTCACTAAATGAATTTTTATTTACCTTTTTTGTGTTTATAAAATGTAAAATTAACAAAAACTTATTTTTAAAAAATTTTTCACAAGAGTATAAAAAAATGAATTAATTAATTAATTACCTTCTTTAAAATCGAGATAACATCTATTTAAGGATTACCAAAAAGTATATTGACCATGATAAGTATACTTAGTTCTTCTTTTAAAGACTGGTATAAATCGTTTTGATTATTTTTTGATGCACTTAAAACTGGTAAAAGATAATTTTTTATATAGATAATTAAAAATAATGTGTATTGGTTATCTGTAGGAATTTTTATTTCAGGAAGAGTGCTCCAAATCTAGGTATCAGACATTCCTTAGTCTTTGGTATATAATTTAGTGATTTGATCTATATTTTCTATTACATTAGTTGCTTAACTATCAATAATACTTTATAAAAATCCGTTAATGACTATGTTGTTATATTTCTCAATTTAATCTCTCTATTTATCTTTAATTTTTATCCTTCCTTTTATTTAAAAAATAAAAAATGAAATTGATATTATTTATTATAAATGTAAAATTTAAAAATAAATGATTTTTTTAATTACCCATATTGTTTGGAAGAATTGTGTGCTTTTTAATTGCTTTAAGCTTAGAAGAATAGCTTGTATAACTATTTTAGTTCCAAGAGGGACAAAAAGAAAAGTCATTGTAAAATTTCTTCCCTTTAAATGTGTACTCCTTTACTGAGTGTTAGTAAAGACATTGGTTTAAAGTCTAAATACCTCTGGCTACAATCTCATGTTTTTTAACACTTTAGTAAAGAACACCACATTTAGGGACTTGCTATTCTTTTTAAAATATTTTATTTTTGCGTTGGTCTACTCTAGTTTTAAAATCTTTAAAATTATTTAAGGGCTTCTACTTGTTTTACAAATTTACAAATTATTCTTCATTATTTTGCTAGCGTAAGAACTACTAATATGAAGTCTTTGGCAACTGATAAACAGGCTCAATTAATTCTTAAGCTTAAGATTTCAAAGTATCAATATCTGCTTAAGTATTATTATATGATCCGTTTTCAACTTCTTCAATTATAATATCATTAGAAGGATCAATATGAGTTCCATAATATTGTTATTGCTATAATTAGCCGCGATTCATATAACTAGGTTAATTTTAATATTAATTATGTTCATTCATTTAGTAGTTGCTGTTTTATTGTTAATGAGAAGTAATTGGATAATCTTGTTGAATAAATGAATTTTCCTAAGACTTGCTAACATTCTATTGCTCTCTCATTTAATTGATATATTTTTATGTTTCAGAAGGCTAATGCTCATTTTAACCATATATTTACTTAAATTAGTTAGAATTTTAAATATGTTATCTCATCGGAAGCTATTAGTAAGAGCTATTTATCTTTTGTTAAAACTAATTTTCAGCCTATAATTATTATTATTGTAATTACTAATTGGCAGTTCTTTACGAGTCTTAATTAAATTATTGTTAACCTTAGATTAATTATTACTACTTAGATGGATTTGATCTAGAATTTGAATTGCTTGATACATTTTATAAATTAGCAGCAGAATCCTGTCCTTCCTTATTTTCTTCATCGTCTTACTCATCAAGATTAAATTAATATCCTGAAAAATGATCAACTAATATTGTCCAAGTTAGATTTTTTTGATCAAATTTAACAAATTAGACATTTTATTCATCACTTTACTTTTTTATGCACTTAATTACAGTTTATAGATTGAGCTCTCCAGATTTAATTTTCCTTTGTATTGAAGATGCATTCTTATATGTGATCATACATTTATTATTTATTCCTTCTCCTACTTTTGGTTTGTATTTTGATGCATATTCAACTTCAGGATAAACTTATATTTGCTAATCTCTAATGTAAATGGTCTAATTTTATTTAAAGTTGATTGATTTACTTAAATTTGATAAATTAAACAAATTTTTATTATTTATAAGAAACAATTAAATTCTGCAAGTATGTATGTATACCTTGTCAATATCTAAGTCTGTTAAGTCAACTGGTTCTTACCACTCTAACTTTCCATAATGACCTTCTACGCTAAAATTATGAACATTTTTCAACTCTTTTAATGAATAAGTCTGAAGCTCTTCCAAAGGTGGGTTGATTATGTAATCAGAAGTATTCATAAAAGGATACCTATCGTACAAGAATATGACTTCACACTATTTATTTTAAGATAATTGATTTGAAAAATTATTTTAAGGGTTTATGCAAATCATCAATAATAAATTTGTATGCTATTTGATGTGAATAGATAGATATTATTTCTTTGTTTTTTATTTATTTTAATAAAATATACTTTTTCATAATCTCTATCTATCTAAGATTTATCTTTAATTTTCAAAAATAAATTAAAAAGATACTTGCTATCTTTATTATTATTAACTATCTCTAGTTAAACTAAAAATAAAGTTTCAGCATCTATCATTATTTTATTTTTTCTTAGTGTTAGTTAGAGTCTACTTTTGTTAAGTAAAATTTAACACCTTCAAAAAAAAAAAATTTAAACTGAATTCTACTTATCAAAGATTTTGAAAATTTTTTTTGATAAATTAGCCAAGATATATTTTTTACCTAATAAGTAGCTTCTAACTTAACAGGAAAGACATCACTTGCTAGTAATTCTTGGTTTCTAATGAGACTTCCATCATAATAAATTTAAAATGAGTAAGGACGAGAGTCTTCTTTCATTTTACCCATTTTTAGTAAATGGTCTTTACAATATAATCCTATTTATTTTATTTTACTTAGTGTATCTATTTAGTTCTCTAAAGTAATTTCCTCTTCTTCTCCTTCCAGAGTGCTACAAAGTACTTCAACTTTAATGCTAACTGGGTTCGTATGGGATAGTTGCTATCTAGCGTACATTTCTCTACCCTTTGTTTCTTAGGCGGGCTTTTTAAATTCAAATATATTTAAATTATTTTAAAAAATAAATTTAAAAATTAAGCTTACCTATTTATAGAAATTAAATTCTTCCATTTATTTCCTTTACTTTATTGCAGATTATGTGAGCTAAAATGAATCATTTTTTCCATTTGAAGTAGTCTCTGAAGAATGGCCTCTTTAAGTTTTTGCTATAGTTTCTTAAAGAGGAAGAAGTGACTTTGCTAACTTTCTTATCCCTTTTTCTTCTTAAACTGTTACATAAAATGGCTTAAATATGGGCTTTTTCCTAAAAGCAGGAGCATATTCTTCAGGACAAAATGATGGCATAAAATACGATTATTTAACTACCTTTTTCTTTATTAAGTAATACATTTATGATTAATTTATAAGTAAAAAAATTTACATCTTCAGCTTCTTATTCTAGCAGATCTAAATATTATTATCTAGTTAAATCACCAGTTTAGATTGTTGGAGCATAATACATACCCGATTAAATAGAATAATATCCGTTAGCAGGTCCAGGAAGGTTTGATTAGTACATTTAAGGATTGTTATAATTTGTAAAAATATTTCCATTGTTAAAATTATTATTGTTGTTATTTTAAAATATATTTCCTCCCTAAACATTAGGCCCAAATATTGAGTTATTGTTATTAAAAATGCTACCTCCGTTATTATTGTTGTTATTAAATATTGAGGAGTTATTTTTTTAGAATATGTTTTAGACTGAGCTATTATTATTATTTGAGAAAATGCTACCTCCATTATTATTGTTATTACTTCTGAAAATATTAACACTATTATTGCTACCACTATTATTAAAGATACTTGAAGTATTGTTCCCACCATTATTATTACCATTGTTAAAAATATTTGTATTGTTGTTATTATTGTTTCTAAATATACTATTATTAATGTTGTTGTTATTATTACTAAAAATATTCAAATTAGTATTATTTGTAGAATTATCATTTCTAAAAATATTATTATTGTTATTATTGTTATTTCCTTAAAATATGCTGTTGTTTCCCATATTTGTATTATTATTTTAGAAAATATTGCTAGTGTTATTAGTGCTGTTCCCATTGTTGAAGATATTAGATTTATTCATATTGTTGTTTTAACTATTGTTAAAGCTAAATATGTTATTTACATTATTATTCTAATTATTATTTCCAGAAAAGATATTTCCTCCATTATTATTCATGTTATTATTATTATTATTAAATATATTGCCATTGTTGTTATTGTTAATGTTGTTGTTAGTGCTAATGTTGTTGTTATTAAAAATGTTCCGATTAACTGAGTTGTTTACATTGTTATTATTTGCAAATATATTGTTATTATTACCGTTATTGTTGTTATTGTTAAAAATATTATTATTATTATTCACATTACCTACATATTAACTTTAAACCATGCGAATGTCTTTATTTAATGCTTAAGTGTTTGGAGGTTAAAAGTTTTAAGGAAGGTTGGTAATAAGATTTTAGTTAAAGGAGTTTATTTATATTGAGCTAGTTATTTTTTATTTTTCAGCATCAGATAATTTGCCTGTTCTTATCAAGTAATAATCTTCGAGCCTTACCAACAAAGGATTCATTTTTTCAAATCCTTTACAGAAAATAATACTTGTATTCATTATTACTCCCGCTTGATTATTTTATTAAGTTTCAGTGTGAGGAGATTTTGTTAATTCATACTTACCTCTTTAAGAACCTATCAAAGCATTAGGGTTATTACTGTTTTAGTACATATTTTAGTTATTGTTGTTAAAAATATTATTATTTTAAGCTCCACCATAATTGTTGTTATTACTTATGTTATTTCCAAAAATATTGTTGTTGTTGCTGCTGCTGGCATTATTCATGTTACTATTTTGCTAAAAGATGTTTTAACTCTAGTTCTAGTATCCTACTTAATTATTATTATTATTGGCGTTAAAGATATTTACTTATCCGTTATTATTCTATGACTGGAATATGTTCTAGCCGCTGCGATTAAAGATATTACTGCTATTATTATTGTTGTTTTAGTTATTATTATTCTGAAATATATTTGGCTAGTTAGTGTTATTATTCGCAAACAGATTGTTTATCATTTACGCTAAATATAATTTTAATAATAATTATGAAATATCAGACGAGATAAAATTAGTTAAACTGTAAAAACTTTATCAAATTGCTAAATTGATTATCAAATAGAGTAACTTTTAAAGATGTTTGTAAGAGACACACTATTATTAAACAGCTATTTATTGTTCCTATCTTTAAAATAAAAAAACACAAATTCTATTAAGTTTTTTACTAAATTATAATCAAATTTAATTTTTTAATTTTCAAAATATTTAATACAAAAAAGGAAGAAATAAATCTTTTGCTAATTAAAATCATTAAATTTTTTATTATGTAAATATAATAAAAAAAAGAACAATACTCAAAAATAATTATTCTAACTAAAAGAAGCAAAGCAAGCTATTTATTTTACAGACAGACAGATTGTAATTATTATTAGAAAATTACCAAACAAACATATATCTTATTAATTTTAAATATGTTTTTTTTATTTTCAATCTAAAAGCTTTGTAGAAATGTTTTCAAGTTAAAAGATGAGTCTTACTGCTTCCTTAAAATTATCAACAACATATTTTGCTGGATTTTCCTTATCGTTTTCTTAATTTCCAACAAAAATACCTGTTCTAACTAGAATACTTGTCCAACCTGCTAGATTAGCACCTTGAATATCTGTATGTGGGTTATCTCCAATCATATAAATATTAGAAATTTCAATTCCATCATGAATAAAATTATTAATTATGTGTTAATATGCATACTCAAATTAATTAAGAGAAGGTTTTCCATATGTAATAATTTTTAAATCATCATTAAAAACTAACTTATATGCAGACTATAAAGAAGATATGAATACTTTGTTGTCTAATCTAGCTAATCTAAAGTGATCTTTATACATTACATCATTCACTGTGCTATAAATAGGAATATGTTTATTAGGCTTTTATTTTGGAAATTCGTGAGCTATTTTTCCATCAGAAGTAGTTAGCAAGTCAATAATTAATTATATAGAGTCTTCCCAGTTATTACTATTTTAGATTATAAAAATTGCATGAACTTGCAAGTAATCTGCATATATTTCATCTGATGTCATATTTAATCTATCCATAACTGCTTTAAGAGATTAATATTTATTACCTCTTTGGGACATAGGTACTAATTCAGGGTATATATTTAAGTACTCATCAGCAGTAATGTATTTACTACCTTCTTCTTTTAATATGTCATCACACCCATTTCCTACTATTAGTACTAATTTATCAGAGTATTCCGTCTTCCATAGCTACTTCACAGCAGAGTGGCATATTAAAGATTATTTTTCTGTAAATTTAAAATGAGAATCCTCTGTGAAGTCAAATATATTATTAAGTTCTTCTGCATTTTCTTTTTCTGTCACTCCTCCTCTATTTGTAAGTAATAAAAATGGAATTTATTAATTATCCTCAATATTAAATTTTATTGGGTCAATTTTTTTAAGTGGCAGTTTCACAACTTCCAAGGTACTTTTTACAAATGGAAGCTATTACTATACTTGCACTAGAACACCATCAATATCAGTAACAATAACTGGTATTTTAATTTTTGAGTCAACCATTTAGATTTTTACTTTAATGATTAATTTATTTATTTATTTAAAAAAATATGCCAAAGATATTTTTAATGATTTATAATATCAGAAAAAAAATTAATTATTGACAGATATTTTAGTTTTTCATCTTTCACAAGTAATTTTTTTTATTATTTATTTTCATTACTTAAATAAATTAATTTTAATTTGTGTAATTAACTTGATAAAAAATTTTAATGTGGTAAGTTTCATCATAGCAATAATAGTGTTATAAAAATTAATAATTAAATTTTTTTTTAATTTTAATTCCATGGCTTTTTTGTTTTTTTACAAACTTAAAATGTAGTTAAAATTTGTTAAAAAACATTTAAGAAGAATAAATAGCTCTAATAGTTAAATGTTTTATTACTAAATTTTATTGAAATATTATGTTTATAAAGAATTATTTAGAGTTTTTTATAGATAATTTATATAGCAATTTTACAATAAAAATATTTTTTCTTTTAAGTAATTTGTATTTTTTTTAATAAATAAATAATCATTTTTATTAAATTTATTTAAATAAATATGATTATGAAGCTAAAATTAACTGATTTTCCATTTATTTATTTTAGTTTTTCACATTAAATACTTTAGTAATTTAGTATAGACTTGATTAGTTAGTGTGTATTGATATTTTATCTTGAGTTTTTTAGACTTATTTCACTCAGGTTTTAATTTTTATTAATTCTAATAAAAAAAATATAAACTGGAATTTGAGTTATAGAATGATTTTTTAATTAATTTTGTAATAAAAAAATCGAAGTTATTTTTAATTTTTTGTTATTTAAATGATAAATATTTATGTTATAGATAAATAAATTTGTTATAAAGCATAGGTGATAGAAAAAATAAAATTGCAATGCCAATTATAATTCCATTGTAATAAATATGCAAATGTTTTATACTTCATATCTGCTTATTAGTAATACAAGTTAGTAAGCTTTTTTACATTTGAATATGATATAGTTTATTCAGATTAAAAATATTAAGGTAAATTGTTTGAATTTCTAAAAATTTATGAAATAATATTTCGCATAAATTTTATTATTTTCAATTTTACTATTGAAAGCAAATTAATTAAATTTTAAGCAAAACAATAATTACTACTTCAACAGTACATATTTTCAAAGTATATATAATGAATTTTAACAAATACCGTAATCAGGCACAGCAAGTAGGGCTAAGTAAGAATGATAATGTAGATATTTAAAAAGAGGACTTAAAAAAGAAATTAGAAATTATGAAGCTCTACACATCAAGAAATAATGACTCAAGGACAATATTAAAAAGCATTGTTGATTTGAAGTAAAAGCAAAATAATGTTTCAACAAAAATACAATCGAATTATATGCAGAGTAGCGTTCATAATAAGTTTCATACCTAATATCAATTTAATGATAAATAGATATCTCAGAATAGCGACATTTTTAGATAAACACAATAATAAACTAGCTTTTAAACTAATAAAAATAATGTAGACTAAAGAAGTTTATCTCCATCTAAAAAAGTAATTACCAGTTATGGAGAAAATTTTAATATTATTACTGACTTTAAAGGTTAATAAAAGTTTCAATTATAATAAAATTAATCTCAAAAATCTCTAAGAGCAATAAAAGCTTAGTAATCAATTCAAAAAATTTAAAATATTGCCTTAGGATCTTATAACTCTACTTCTTCAAAATTAATTTTAGATGATGTGATGTCTCCTAAGTCACTTAAATACTCACCTGGCAGCAATTAAAATATACTTCCTTACTAAAATACTACCTCTTATTTAATAAACTAAAAACATAAGCCTGATTTACTGAAAAATTTCAATTTGACTAATTCTAATTAAATTCCTGCTGTTGTTCAAAGTACTAAAAACTTAAGCAATTAAAATTTTTTTAAGTCTATAAAAAATTTAGATTTATAAGGGTTATAAAATAAAAAACGTGATAAATCAATAGATTTGAGTTCTTCGCACTAGAGTACAGCATACTTAAATTAAATGAGCCCATCTTCCAGGAGTGGATAAATAAAAGAAAATCTAACAACTTAAGAATCTAATCATGGTGATTAATAATCAGATTATATCATATAAAATAATTATGACTCACATGAAAAAAGAAAAAAACCTAAGTTCAATAGTAATGTTAAGTAGTTTTTTGATGATGATGCTAGTACTTATCATTAAAGCTAGAGATTTCATACTGAAGGGAGCGATTAAAATAATTCAAAGAAAAAATTCTATGAAAAAGTAAATAAAATTATATTAAAATAATAGGACAAAAAGAATCCTCAATAAGCAAAATAAATTACTCAAACTGAAATCAATGTATTTAAAATAAGAAATTAAGGTAAATTATTTGAAGAAATGAGTCCTAAAAGCTAAAATAACCTCATTTAAATAGCAAAATACTAATCACAATCACAAAAGCAAAAAACGGATGCATCTCCTTCTTTGAATTCATCAAAATATGAATCTTAAAATGATGAAAATTTAAGTGTTAGCATGGATTCAATTTTAACATAAGAAATGGAAAATATTGAGCTTTATAAATAAAGGCTATCAAACTAAAAACATAAATTTCATAAGATTCACCTAATGAGACTTTCTCTTCCTAAGAGAAGAAGTTTTGAAAATTTGAACACATAAAATGATTTTTTAAGCTTAGTTTTGAATGAAGATTCTCCCACAAAAAAAGCAAACAAAATAAATGCATTTCTTTAAGCTTAAAGGGAAAAACCCGAAGCCTTTAACATATTTGGTTAATATAATGATTTTTCAAGATAGCTGCAGCAGAAATTCAAAGAAACAGTTTATAGATTAGAACCTTCTCGTGATATTGTTAAATATGTTGACCATGAATCAAAAAAGTTTCATCAAAAGATTTCAACTATGTCAGCAGAAAAAAATATTGAAATGTATAAGCAAAGCTACAAAAATTTAGCAGAAACAACAATAAATGCTATATAAAAAATGACACCTTTATTTGAAACAGGATTACAGTGTATAAATGATAGAAATTCGCTTGACTAAATTTTGAATGGAATTATGCAGGAATCACTAAAAACAAAAAACTAGGTTGTTTAAATTTTATGCTCAAAGGCATATGCTAAAATATCTAAATTAAACAAAAACTACACAAGGTCAATAGAATTGTACAAAACATGTAAAAATTGCTCAGAAATACCTAGTCTATTTAATTACAAACTATCATGCTATAAGAATTTAGGTTACTGCTTTTCTAGATTAAAAATGTATGATTTTGCTATGTACTACTTTTGTAAGATGCTCAGGATAGCATGGTATTAAAATGATCAGGATGCTGAATTAAAAGCTTATGATTTGATTGGAATGTAGTATTACTATCAAGGAAAACTAGAAATAGCTTAGTACTACCATAACAAAATGATATAGGGAGATTATGAAAAGCATGATTCAAATCTTAGAAGACTAGGAATTTCTAAAGTAGAAAATAAATTAAGATAAATTGAAGAAGGGGTCACATTTTCTGATTCTATGAATTTTAAATCTAATGGTTTAAAAAAACCAAGAAAATACAAATAACAGAATAATGACCCTGATAATAGCTATGATTTTACTATATCCTCAGAAAGTGAAGAAGATTTTGAGCTACCTATTCCATCAAAATCATACAAAGAACAAACTATCAAAGATAACCAAAAAAAATCTAATACTAATTTAAATTTTAACTTTTAAGATGAAAGTGAAGCATATAATAATTAAGTTGATGATGGTGGAGACATTAATAGTAATAATTAGTCTAATATGCAGTAAAATTAAAGAAAATTTAAGAAAAACTAACCATTGTTTTACCATAAAGATGTACATTAATTACAATAGATTACAGATTAAGCAAATAAAAATATTCATATAGCTGCACTCTAAAATGAAAAAAAAAAGTAAATTATTTCAGTCCATAGTAAAAATATAAATGCTTCATCTTTCAAGTAGATAAAGGGATCTACAAAAATCCCCTACAGAATTAATCATTTAAGTGTAAACAGAGAGCTTGATAATTATTAAAATATTGATGGAAGGATAACAAAATTAAAGTATTTTAACTTTAATGAGTAAATGTATGATTAATATGAAAAACCTACCAAACAAAAGATAAAATAAATATTTGAAAATTTAAGAGACAACCTACTTTTCTCTATGTCAGTACTCGAAATGTAAATATAAAAATTAAAATCTCCTGCCAAGAGGAAAGCAGCATTTATGGTAAATCCACAATATGGACAAGAAAGTAACTACTATTTTTAAAGATAGCAAAAAGACAACTACTACTAATAATGAACCAGCTAAATAGTAAAATAAATATTTGAATAATTAAAAAATTTATTTGAATAAAAAATCATCGTTAATAATCAATTTATTTTTTTTATCCTAGTTTTATATTATAAATATAAAATTAAATGACTAAAATAATTATTTTATTTCATGAAAAATTATTATTTTTTTAAATTTGAAATAAATACAAAGAAAAAATTTATATTAAAACAACTCATAAAATAAATTTATTTAAAATGTGAGAAAGTAATTTATTAATAAATACTATTCTCATAAAATTATTTTATTGATAAAAAGTATTTTTTGCTCGATTTAAAAAATATATTGAATATAATTTAAATTTACTTTTTTATGAAAATTATGAATTTTACAATTTTTCAAACAAAATAAATAAATTATTCATAATAATTAGTTAATTGAAAATTTATTTTTATTTTTTTTAAATTTATTTATTTATTTATTAAAACGATGTGCTAATTCAATCAACAACATCAGTTCATTCCATATTTACATTCCCTTGCAATATGACCAGGACGACTACATTTATAACATAAATCTGATCCTTTATCCCTAAATTGTGATCTTTCTTCTGCAGTTGCATGGTAGTTCTTACTTCTTGAAATTCTAAAAGCACTGAATGCCTATTTTAAATAACAAATAATAAAAAACGTTTTTGAATTTTTTAATTACATTATCAAGAGATTAAGGACCACCTAATCCTAATCCTTAGACTTAAGGACCTGCTACCCTACCATCCGATCTTATTCCCATTTCGCTCATCATATCTCCTTTTTAAACACAATAAAGTTCCTCCACTTCCTTATCTATATTTCTTTTATTAGAAGCCTTCTTTTCTGGATTTCTTAGATGAGATGTATCTAATCCTTATTCTTCCATTTTTTTTAATTCTAACTCTCTAAATTATAAAATATTTATTTATATTTGCATGCTACAAGCTTAATAGCTTAAATTTATTTAATTATTTATTACCTTTCTCTTTCCTTTTTCTTCTTTTCCATATTTTTAATTTCTTAATCTCTTATGTCATCTGCATAATCCAGAAGTTAATTGAGTTTAGACTTTAAACTACTTTAATCTTTGTTTTCTACATAGATATAATCAGGTAGAGATGAAGGGTCTATTGGCTAATATTTTTTAAATCTCCCACTTTCTTCTGTTATTTTTCTATTGTTTTACTTTACTAATTCAACCATAATTGATCCAGAGAGTAATTCTGGATTTTTACTGTTTAAAACAACTCCTAACAATGAAAGAAAAAAGATGTTAAAATATCATAAATTAAAGCATTTTTAAACTCAAAAATATTTACTTCTCTAATTTAAATTTCCTCCTGATTAGGTAGTTCCAGGCATAATAAAATGCTACTAATTCAACTATTTAATTTTAAAAATTAATATTGAGTATTGGAGTACTACTGAAAACATACTTACTTATTAAGGAGTTAAATTATTTATCATTTAAACTTAGTCGCCCCATCTTGATCTCTTTTTGGTAGGTTCCTCTTTTTATAACTTCTGTATATGCATCTCATGCTACTATTAAAGCTACTATTAAGAAGGATTGAATACTAAATTATTTGTGTATGCATTATTCAGCTGTTAAGGGTTTTAGAGTATTTACTACTATTAAGAAAAATCTTAATATTATTATCCATGAATTTACGGTTAAATCTAATTTGGAAACACAGGAATTTGATTTTAGTTATTTGGTGAAGGTTATCTTATGTTATATTATTGGTTCATTTAATTCATATTATTCTACATTTGCGGGGGAATATTAGGGCCTATCTGATGCATATTTTGACCTTATTAGTTATTTAAAGGTTGAAATTAATTCATATATTAAGGATTAAACATAGGAGGTTATTATTGTTGTTGTTATTGTATTATTTGGGGACCAGGTTGCTAATTTTAATTCTATAAAGGTGGCATCATTTACATATTTGGTAAAGATGGAAGCATTTGCTTACCTTAAACATTTAGTTGCTGTTGCTGTTACTAAAATTATCCATTCTATCCCATGAATTGCATATGCTATAAGTGATGAGGTGGAGGAGGCATATGAGGATGACCTTATATCATTCCTTAATGAGGAGGAGGAGGCATTTACATCGGCATAATTCCTGGAGGTGGAGGATGGTGAAGATGATGGGGATGAGGGGGAATCCCAAGTGGTAGTGGTGGATGATTTATTTAGTGTCCCTGAGGAATAGATGAGTTTTAAGGTATATGCAGACCTCCTTATTACATAATTTTTTATTGATTTTAATGCATCAGTTCTTGCAATAGATCTTTCTTCTATTCTTAGAAATACCAAAAGTGTTAAGTAGGATAAAATAAAAATTGATAGATTGGATCATTAGCATGTTCTTATTTTATCTATTCCTCCTTATCAAAACCTTATTCTCTTAATATTTTTAAAGTTTGTTTTATAATTTCTTTGATATTTTCAGGCGGCTCTAATTATTATTAAAATATGAACTGTTCATTCTTCGATATTTGTATTATGGAAGTATAAATTGCAAGTTATTTTATGGTCAAATACCTATTATTTTTGGCTATTAAAATGGCATCTATAATTACTACTACTACTACATTACACTATCACAATCTCAACTTTAAAATAAGTAATCTATATATTCAAATTAATTGTCTTTAAATAAGAAAAAAGTCTTGAAAGCAAATAATAAAATTGAATTTATATGAAATAATAAATTAATTACAGAATGTCTAGAATATTTCCTCAACCAAAAAAAATTTTATTTTTAAATTATTATCTTTGAAAATGATTGACAATAATTAAATTCAGTATAAATAATGTCAGGAGATTAAGTTTTAATAAATATAATCCTCTTTTTTTAGTAGATTAAAATTAATTTAATTTTTAAATAAATTATTTGTTGTATAGTATACCATTAAGTTTTAAATGATATCAGAAGATAATTTTTTAGAACAAAATATTTTTATTTTATTAATTTTTTTTAAATCTAAATATTTTTTTTGGATTGAATATTGATGAATTAAAAATCAATATTATTATTTATAAAACAATTAAATTACTTTTATAATACTTGGTTTAATAGTTTATAACTTATGTTGTTATGAATATATGTTTAATATTTTTTTTATCAAATAGTATAAATACTTTTTTCTTCAATTTTTAATCATTTTTTTGATTTTATTAATCACCTATATCAAGATAATTTGTTTAATATAAAAAGTATTATTTGTGTGAGAATAAAAATGTTATTTTTTTAAGAATATTATAAAAATTTTTATTTAATAAGTTAACAAATATTTATAATATTTCATCCTATTTTATCAAATAAATGGTAATAAATGAATCAAAGCTTAAATACTATGAATAAATGTATTTAAGTATTTTGTTATTTGATACTTTTGATTATTTTCAAATATTTTATATTTTTACTATTTTTGATTAGCTTTATTTAAATATGGTTTGATAACGTTTTGCTATTTTCATTAATTTACTTATAAGGAGGTTTATTATAACTAAATATATCTATCTTTATCACAAATTAAATTATTTTCAGTCCTACAAAAAATGATTGATGTATAAAAAAATTAATTAATAAAAATATATTTTATAAAAAAATACTTGATATTAAAAGGATCAACTCAGATTAGAAAATTTAATTTATTTTATTTTTAATGGTAAATCTATTTAAAGCAAAGAAAATAATTATATTATTTAATATAAGTGTATACAGTATACACGTTAATTAAATTATTAATTTAATTGTACTTAAAAATAAGGAATAAACATATATTTATATATTGTAATAAATGATGATTTATTGTAAGGATACTTTTTCTAAAAATAATTTATTTTAAAATTTTCCTTATTTTTCAATACCTACATTAATTAATATCAATAACTGTATGTAACTATTTTATTATTTGGCACTTTTGATTTTTCTAAATAATTCATATTTCTTTTATATACTATTATTGATTAACTTTATTTAAATAGGGTTTTACAGCTTTTTTGTTATTTTCTATAATTTACTTCTAAGGAGGAATTTTTTTACAAAATGTATCTTTATCATTAATCAAATTATTTTCTGGCCTCTACGACAAAAAATGATTGAGGCAGAAAAAAATTAATTATTAGAGACATACGTTGTAAATTATTTGAATCTTTTAATATCAGCTCAGATTAGAGAGTATAATAAATTTTATTTTTGATGGTGACACTTATTTGATACGAAATATCTTTTGTTATAAAATATCTGATGGTATATCAAAATTTGTAATAATTAAAAAATAGAAGTGAATAAAAAACAATCAAACAATAAATAAATATAAATGTCAATAGATATTCCCAACTTAGAAAGTTTCCTCTTTACTGAATAAAAGGAAGACTACTTAAAGAAATTAGTAGCTGGCACAGATTACTACTACTACTTTACTTTAACCAATGCCCTTAACTAGTTTGGTCTTGATATACCTTAAGAGTACTAAAGTCTTCTTGAACAATACAAATAGTTCAACAATAATTAGAGTAAAAGCATTGAATTGAGATATTTACTCTTAAAGTTAGAATCAGCCAAAACTGAATAAGAAAGAAACACTGTAAGATAAATCATTTTATTTAAATTAAAATATTCTAATTTTTTAAATTGTTTAGATCATGAACGATATCAACAAAAAGTATCTACATTATGATTTTACCCATACACAACCAACTAGAGCTACTGGTGTGAGTCTTATGGGAGGTTAAGAATAAACTATCAGTGATTCGCTTGAAAGAGAATTATTATCCTATAAGACATTGCTTAAAGTTGATAATCTTGAGTACAAGATAAAATCTATTGATGAATATCTGCTTACAGAGCTTGATCTTAGCTAATTAGAACACGCTGCTTTTCATGTTTAAGATAGTTTTTTGAATAAAATTAATAGCTCCATTAGTGTGATGAAAGGCGTTCCATAATTTCTGAAAAGTTATCACAATAAAGTACTATTTTTTTTATCTTAATTTGTTTTATTAAAAAAATATTTTAATATTAGAATAAAAAGATCCCAGAGTAAATTCTACTTAACTTAACTACTCAGTAATTCAATGAAATAGTAGCTTTAATTCCAAATATAGTTCTAGATAACGATTTCTTTTAAGCCTACTTGGTTAAATATTTCAGATTAGATATTAAAATGGCTGAAAAATTTAATGGCTTATTCGCTTTTGAAAAAATCGAAGAAAAGAAGAAAATTCTACTTTAAATTCTAGAATTTTTGAGAAAGTTACAATTTAGGAGACTCAAAATGGAAGATCAAATTTTAAAGGGTCTATTAGTTTTAGGACTTTAAAGCAATGAGTATGACTTTGATTTGTTCATCTAATATGTCAAAGAGCCAAGCTTTAACTACATAAATTTTAATGAAAAGCACATTAGCATTTATAATTAAAGATAATAACAATTAAGAGTGGATTCTGATGGATCTTTTTAAGAAGTGTTAACCTTATTTTTTGGTTTAAAAATTGACATCACAGAAAAATAAATTATTGAGAAGTTTTCAATCAAATACATTTAGCTCAATGAAACATATGACATTTTAATTCCTTATTTCAGTGAAAAATATTTAAAGAAATAACTTTTAAAGATCCAATTATAAAAAGGAAAATCTATTGAGAAAATTACAGAAAACTTTACAACTGAAGAAATTAAAGCCATCACAGATAAAAAATGCATCAAAATATGCAATTACAATAAAGTAAATTTTGTTAGATTTTTTATTTGCTCAAGCTCAAATTAAATTTTGCAAAAAACAATATTTAATCTACAATTTTTTATTTTAATAATTTAATTAATTAAAAGTAACTTTTCAGATCAAACGAAGAAGTTTCTATCGATGTCATTTTGAAGAATATTCCTTAGCTAACTGTTAAGCTATTTGAAATAAATACTGAAAACTACTACAAGAAAAACTTAAAAGACCTTGATAACAATGTCGAACTAGATGGTCTAATAGCTTCAGAAGAAACTTCATTTGAGTTCAAAAATCCTCCTATTCAAAAATTCACTCAAACATTCAAATTTGAAAATATCTCTAAAAAAAGCTAAGGCATTTTTGTTATAGAATTCATAGGAAATGGAGTATCTAGTAGAGCTATAATTAGAAAAGGTTGTTTAGTGTTGAGACAAAAAAAGACTGTAGCTGGCTTAGCTTGTTAAATATTAGATTAAAATCTATAACTATGTGAAGGTCCTAATACTGGAATTTTCTTCTAGAAGAAATATTACCCCTTAAATTCAGATAAAGAAGTGATTATTCCTTTTACTGACTCTCAAATAAATGATAAGGCTATTCTAGTAATTATAATTAAATTATTAAATAATATTATTAATTAACCCTTTTAACTAATTAGATTCATAATGATTTTAGTAGTATTACAGACTTGTAAACTTTGACAGAAGTAATTATATTATCAATATATTTATATAAAATTTAAACTTATTTTAATTTAATGAAAAATATATTTATTAAAAAATTAGGACTATTCATTTTAATGTGCTTACATTTATAACACTTAATCTATGCTTATGTCTAGTAAAGCTAAAATTCTTATTCAACCTCGCTTATACTTCAATAAATAGCCTGCACCTTTAAGTATGCTCAAAGAAAGCAAAATTATTGTAACAACTGTAAATTCTATGGGTATACCTTCATCCACTACTTTCAACAAGATTGAATTTGAAAGTAAAAGTGAAGTAGAGATAGAATTCCCTGTATCTGCAAAAATAGCAAGTATCTCTCTTTAAGTTGAAACTACTCTTAAAACAATGACTAAAGGAAATCAAACTTAGAGCAGTTCTCACATGATTAGCTTCTCAACTCATGAAAGTAAATAGTTAATTTTCATTTAAATTCAAATAAAGAAATCATTTTATTAAAATATATAGATTAGACACATTTTTGCATTTAAAACCTACGATACACAACTAGTGGATATGAAATTTACTTAGTTGGCTAAAATGGTGAACCAAAACCTAATATAAATTTAGATTTATCATTCATATTAAGAGGATATAGCAAATCTATACCTGTTACTCTTAAAACTAATTCAGATGGTTATGTGAAGCTTTTCGAATTAGAAAATGTATTAAAAATTACAAGCAGTGTTAAACAATAAGGCGATATTTTTGCAGAAGATAAAGCATGGTTTATTGAAAACTCTAATTAAATAAACTATTAATAATTAGTAAAAATTACTCCAAATGATTAAATCAAGTTACCCTATCATAAAAATGTGCTTGATTCTAATTTAAATTTTGTAAGCACCCTTTCTTAAATGGAGGACCGTACTTGTATTTTAAATGATGAAATTCATAGAGTTAAGGTTGAAAATTTTACAATTTTGATTGATCCTCTTCCAGTTGGCAACTACAAATTAGTTATTAGAGATATTCCAGAAGCTATATCAATTGAAGTTGTTGAAGGTAAATCTTTTTTCTTACTTAAGATACTCAACTAAAATTCTTTTTTTTAATTATAAATTAGGAAAGTACTGGAATGAAACTCACTGCATACAAACTTAAAAAGGGTTGATAGATTAAAAAAGAAATGCCCATTTCCTTGTGATACAAAATGTTTAAGTTGAAACACCTGATGAAAATTCTACTGGAAATACTTTAAGCATAACGCTATTCACAGATCATAAAGATTTAGTTAGAGCTCATGTTATAGCTTATCACTATCTTCCTTCTGATATAAATTCCAGTGTAGACGATTTAAATAAACTTGTAGAGCTTCCTGAGAGCAATTTTATTAATTTAACAAAATAATTGAAAGCAAATATTTACCAAAGCAATAAATCAATTGGAGATGAAATTAGATATGCTCTTGAAAGAAAAAGACATTAAAGATATATAGGAAATACTCTTGACAAGCCTCATCTTTTGCTTAAAAGAACGTTTGTCCGTGACACAAACTACGAAAATGAATAATTAAATAGGGGAGGCACATATTCACCAAGAGCTTCATCAGCAAATCCTTTTGATTAGTTGACAGAAATGCTGGAAGGAGGATAAAAATACAAATTAGGAAAAAGTCGTAAAGATGGATCAATAGCTTATCATCTCTAAAACTAAGTAGATTGTTACAATAATTACTTATTAAATCCAGCTCTAGTTATCAGTAATTTGAAACCAGATGAAAATGGCATAATCAAAGTCAAAAACTTAAACTTATCAAAATACTCCACATTATAAGTTATTGCAACAGACTTGTATAATAGTAATATTTTATTTTTATTTTTTAAACAAAACTAATAAATTATTTTCCTAAAAAAAGATATTACAAAGGTAGTCCCACTTGATAAAAATGAAATTTAAACAAGAAACTTGTGCTAGAGAGTGAATTAATAAAAGGATAAGTTCTTTACTATTTCCAGAACAAACGAGTATATTTAAAAGGGTTCTGAATTTAAATCTGAAGACTTTACTTCCACTGAACTTTAATTGGTAGATTCTATTCCTAAATTGTTTTCAGCATAAAAGGAATTAAGAAAAATATATGGAACAGATTCAGAATAAACTAATGGCTACGACTTTTGGGAGTTCCTTGTAAAATGGACAACTTTTACTCTAGAAGAAAAGCATAAGAAGTATGACTAATACTCATGCCATGAATTAAATCTTTTCATTTTCTGCAAAGACCCTCCCTTCTTTTAAGACTTTGTTATGCCCTTCATTAAAAATAAAATTGAAAAGACTTTCATAGATTACTTCTTAATCAACGACTCTAAATACCTTCTAAAAAATATATCTGCCAGCTCAATTTCAGATTTGAATGCTTTGGAAACTGTACTTTTGATTTTCTTCCTCAAATAAAATAATATGGTGGAAGAAGCTAAGTCCATTTTTAACTTTTTGGAGAGTTCTAACAAAATTAAGAAGTATGACACTTCGCACTTTAAGAAGCTATTTGACACTGTTTTAAATGCCAAATAAGAAGGATAAACAGAAAATGAAATATAATAGATGTTTATGCCATAAAGTATTTAAGCAAACATCCAATAGTTTACTAATAATTTAAATGTAAATTTATTGTAATAGGCTATGCCTATGAACAATGCTTTTGGTGGTGCTGCTGGTGGTTATTTTGGAGGTATGAATTAAGCATTTCCATAATAAATGTATTAATAATAATAATAACACCTTCCTATGATGTAGTGTGCTGCTCCTGCTCCATAAGCAAGGTTTGCAAGATAAAATTAAGAAATGAGGAGATTACCACAATAAAATAATTTTGGAGCTCAGAATTATTCATATGGTTAATAGGAAGCTTTACATCTACTTGATGATTTTGACGCTGGTTACTAAAATAAGAGAAATGGGTTTATTTAGCAGTATCAAAATTTAGAGACAACTAAAGAATACTGTGAACGTCATTATTATTCACAAAAAGAGCTTTAACCTTAAAAAAATTTAGTACCAATCAACAATTTTTGGATAGATTTAGCAAGACATATAATTACATATGGTTAAGAAAAACCATTCTTGTCTTCTAATTTTATTTATTGTACATCAAATCACACATAAATGATTACTTCTTTAGCCTTTTTGGCACTTCCTTTTGAATCTCAAAGCCATAACTATGAGCCATACGAAGGAAAAGGAATTAAAATAACTATGAATTCTAACTGCATCATTTTTGCTAAGTAAATCAAAGAAGGATAAGCTTAGCTTAGAGAAGACATCTTGATTACTTAAAAGTTCTTTGATCCTAATGATAGATATGTCTTTTCAGATGAAAATCCAGATGATAAATATGAAAAGTAAATAACAGAGTATGTAGTTGATAAGAGATATGGATGTTAAGTAATACTAATAAATTAGATATAGATTTAACTTATTTTTTTATCATTAAATATATTAGGTTATTGTAACAAATTGTTCAGCTGCAAGACATGAGCTTCAGGTCTTTGTAGAAATTCCCTCTGGTTCAATTCCTGTCTTCACTTCTGATTACACTAAAACACACAATATCATTCTTGAGCCATTCTAAACTAAGCCTATTGAATACTTTTTCTATTTCCCTTAGGTAACTTATTTATTTATTAATTATTTATTTATAAAATTATAAAATATTTGCTATTAAAAAAATAGGCTGGCAATCAAGATATTTATCCAGCAAACGTAGCAAAGAGTGGATAAATTGTAGCTTTTGCCAAACCTTGTACTTTTGATGTTAAAGAAAAGAGGACAGTCTCAAATCTGGAAACAATGAATGAAATCCTTTAAAAGGGTTCAAAAGAAGATATTTTGAAGTTTGTTTAAACTAAAAATATACTTAACACTAATATTTTCTAATTTAATGAGATTTACTATCTATTGAAAGACAAGTCTTTCTATCAAAAATTCGTAGAAATATTAAAAAATAGAAAGGTCTTTGATACGATTACTTGGGCTTACTCTATTTATCATGGAGATTATAGCACCTTCTTAGAATTAATTAAGTCTCCTTCTATATCTACCTCATTTGAAAGCTATCTCTATTATTTCAATACAAATTCTTTAACTATTGATAAGAATAGATTCTACGAATATTACCCTTTATCTAACCCTCGTGTCCATATGCTCCACTCTGATAAAGTAATTTTAATTTTTATATTTAAATATTGATTCTTATTTCATCTTAAAAAAATATCTTGTTTAAATTGATTTTCTCTGAATGTATTTTTAATTTTAATTTAATTTATTTTTTAAATAAATAAAAAGTCCAACATTTTGAATAGTCAATTTAAGTAGAGATATAACAGCTTCTTAAATTATTTATCTTAAAAACCGAAATGGGAAGTTTCTGATAAACTAGGTCTTGTTTATTACTTCTTACTTTAAGATAGAATAGAGGAAGCAATTAATGTTTTCAAAAAAATAGACTAAACTTAAGTTGAACAGTCTCCTAATTGTCAACTTTAATACGACTACTTTACAACATATCTTGATTTCTTCATTGGTTTCCCTAACTTTAAGAAAGCTAGAGAGTTATGTGAAAAGTATTTAGATCACCCTGTCTTTTAATGGCGTAATCTTTTCTATGAAGTTGCTAACAAATTAGCAGAGTATGATGGAGAAGAAGAATAAATCTAAGAACCTTAAGTTGATTAATCAGAGGAATAACAAAAGTAATTAAAGATTAAGCAAGCCAATAAGAAAAAAGAAGAGGCGAACGAAACATTAAAAGTTACCTTAGCTTAAACTACATTAGACGTTACTATATAGAATATATCTAAACTTACTGTTACTTACTATTTAATAGATCTTGAAATATTATTCAGTAGAAATCCCTTCCTTTCAAACGAAGCTTCTGACTTTAGCTTTGTTAAGCCTAATCACTCAGAAGTATTTGATTTTGATATATCAAAAGGACTTTAAAAAGTGTAAATTCCAATTCCAGAAAAATATGTAAAGTCTAATGTTTGCATAGAAGTATCTTCCCATAATGTATAAAGTAGTGTGACTTACTTCTCTACTTCTCTATAAGTCTAATTAATAGAAGATATTGGTCAAATTAAGATTCTTGACAAGGAAGAAAAACCACTTTCTAAGGTTTATGTTAAGTGCTTCTCTAAGCAAAAAGATGGAACTGTCTCATTCTTTAAAGATGGTTATACCGATTTAGTAGGACGCTTTGATTATGTTTCTCGTAGCTCTACAAGCATTTCCAATATTCAAAAGTTCTCAATCTTCGTTATGAGTGATGAATTAGGTAAATTTTATTTATAGAAACATCAAACTAATTTATTTTAAAATTATAGGTGCAATAATCAAGGAAGCCAATCCTCCAAGCTAAGTAGGCGAAATTGTGGAATAGGTTAGACTTAAAGGTGCTGCTTGGAATGCTAGAGCAGATAATAAAACTAAGTAATAAATTTAAACTTATGCTACCCATTAATCTGCACAAAAAGCCTGCAAAAATGCATTCTTTTGAAAAATAAACTAATTAACTAATTAAAAAATAAATTTATTATTTTTAGTAATATTTTTATTGTTGTTAAATGGTATGTTATATAATATTTTAAAGATAATTTTTACTCTAATTAAAACATATTAAATTTATTTTTTAATAATTAATACATTTATTTGATTTCTTTTAAAAAATAAATAAAATATAATCTTTTTTTAATTTTATTCACCTCATCATACCTTATCGTGGTTCTTAAATATTGCAAAACATTTAAAATAAATTCCTTAAATTTATTTAGTAGTGGCAGATTAAGAATTTAGGTTAAATATCAAAATATCAAAAATTTTTTTATTCAAAAATTAATACTTATATAAAAATATGATAGCTTGGTAATCTTTTTACATTGTACTTTCATAATATCTTATCCGTAAATAGTAAGGTCTAATTGATATTTTCTTCTGATAGAGAAGGTTCTTTATAACATTTAATATCTTCATATTTTAAAAGCTCTTAAATTTAAGTCATACCTTTACCTTTAGGATTGATATTCTCATGTTAGTAAATCTCTTTTCATGAGCATCAACCTTTTTTTTGATTTTATGTTTTTCCTACTCATTATTTACCTTAACTATAATTTATTATTATGTATTCTTTGATATTTATAATTATGATTTTTAGTAAAATTTTTGTAATGTGAGCAAAACTCAATTGAGAAATATAGAATTGTTTTTGTAATTTTTCATTAAGCATGTATCCATACTTGTTATCCTTGGTTAAGGCGATTTTAAATTTTAGAGGATTATGAATTTATGCTTTTTTTTCTCTTTTATTATGATATTTATTAATTTTAAAAGTAAAACAAATTTTCGAATACTTCAAAGCACAATTATAATTTTTGAATATAAAATATAGAGAAAATAAAAAAGTGCAATTAACAATCAATAATGGTAATAATATGTTTTACAAATATTGAATTTAAACACAATTCAGATCTATAATTTGGAATTTAAATTTCCTCTATTATACTTTTTGTTTTTTGTAAACAAAGCTAAAACCAGATTTTTGTTTTTTTTTATACACAATTAACAAGATTCTTTTTTGGAGTACGTTTAATTTTACATTATTTTTTTATTAAAATACATTGATTTTTTGAGTAAGAAAAAAATTTTTAACCTTAAAATTTAATAATGACTTACAAAAAAACAAAATTAAAACCTCAGTAAATTTAAATTTTTTGAAAAAATATACTAAAAAACTCAAAGAGTATTGAGGATATATCTTTTATCTTATTGGTTAATATATACTTTCTAAAGATTCTTAGATTTCTTATTTAACCACAAAAATAATTTAATTTTTTATTAAAATTCTTATTAATAAATTAAGCAAAATAACGTTAAGTCATATTTGTTTGGTATTTCAAAAATCATTTAAGTGATTTATTTTCAATATTTTATTTTGGTATTGAGTAAAAAATTTATAACTTTAACCTCTATACGAGAAGCTATGTGATATGGTTAATTATAGTTTTTAAAAAAAAAAATTCTTAAAAATTTGAGGTCTAGCACTCTTGTGAAAGTACGTAGAATTTTTATTATAATTTATACAAATAATTTTAAATATCACTAATAAAATTTTACATGAAAATTTATAATATAATAAATTAAATTAAATTAATAAAAACTTGATCAATTGCTTTTAAAAGAAATTTTTTTAAAGAACAGCATATACTAAAATTAAATTAACTATTATGTTTATGTAAAATAATAGAATAAGAATCTTCAAAATTAGTGTTTTTAATTAATTAAAAGTATATCTTTATTTTTTTAAATTGAGAATTAATAAGTCTCTGTAATTCTATTATATTTTATTATTTTATTGTCTAAAATTAAAAGTTTATTTTTATTTTAGCTATTTTTAAATCAAAACTTTTGATTTTCTCTATCTTAATTTTTGGATCAAAAAATAGGTAATAATGAGTAGTGAGTTAACTTGAGGAGTTAAATAGAAATAAATTTAAAAAAGAAAATTAATATAATTGAAATATGTAAAATGCTAACAAAAATAAATAAAATAATTACAATCTGAATAGCTTGCTAGATATTCAATCTAATTAGTTTTAACTAATTAATTTTTATTTTTTACAAATAAATATTATGCTAATTATGATATTGATTAATAATACTATGAGCAAGATTAAACTTGTAACATATTTGCATTTTATTATTTATATATTAAAGTTAATAACAGGGAAATCTAAATTAATAACAATATCTCTTTTAGCAATTGCTTATACTTTAATTGAATAGTTCTCTTCATTAAAATTTTAGATGAGTTGAAATTCTTTAACTTTAATAATTCTTTCTTAATTTGTATTCTCTCTTGATCTTTCAATCATAAAATGGCAATAGATATTTTAAGGTTCTTTAATTAATATGTTTTCATTCATAAAATCATTGTTAATTGTTTTAATTTTCTTTTTTGTTAAACATACTTTGTAAGTTATTATTTTGGGAAATTCTGGAAGAAGCTAACTTGGTATTATCGATTTGAATTAAATATTTATTTTTAAAGGATTTTATGAATATTTATACTTAATCTGATTTAATTAGAAGTTATATTTATCAAAATAAGCTTGAATTTAATGATTGGATTTTATTTAAATAATGTTATGTTTTTCAGTACTGTTAGTATTAAAAATTAGAATTATTGCTTAGTTTTAATTTATTATTCTATTTTATACATCAATTTTAGTATTTACATTATCGTTGCTATAGATAACTATATCTCTTTACTAGAAAATAGTTTTATAACTTTAGTTGGATATTTTGTTAATATGTTTTAATTCATATTTAAGTAATCCTTTATTGCAAATAATTAAAAAAATTTGAAAGATTTATTTTTCTTACATAAACTTTATATTTATTACCTAATTCAAATGAATAACTTTATCTAACTTTAATTTACTTAAATGTATAACACCATAAAATTCAGATTACTTTTATGATTATAATTAGAGTTATCTTTATAATTATACGAACTTGACTCTATGGGGAATTTCTATTTAAGCATACAAACAATTTTATTTGATAATTAAGTTAGCATCTACATCCACGTAGTTTATGAGAATATTTAATTTGTCTTAATTTAGAAATATTATATATAATTAGTATGAATCATTATCTTATTTATATAACGATACAATTTAGTTTGTAATTAATTGAATGAAGTCTATCTATTACTCAAAAATAGGTACGATTTATTATTTTTACTATTATAAATCTAACTTAACATTAACCAGTTATTGCTAATTCTGTAACAAGTTTATTATAACTGCACAATACTTATTTTCTTACTAATAAAAATATTTTTAAAAATTAAAATAAATTAATAAAAAATTTTTACCATTAAATATTCTGAAGAGAAGTCTGAGGACTATGATGGGTGAGCAAGATAAGGAAGAACGCATACATGTTGGTACCAATTATAATATTGCTAAATTATTTATCGAATTTTATCACTATTTATCATATTAACTAAATTTTCTTAGCAACTTGCTTATAAAATTAAAAATTAAGTTTAACTTTCAAAATATAAGCACTTAAACTCTAAAGATTTATCAAATATTAAGAATGTATAATTAAAATAATTAAATTATTGGTTTAAGTTGTTTATAATTTAATATCTGGGTAATAACTTAACTGTTATTTTAAAGCTTTTTGGTAATTCATAAAATTATAATACTAAGTACTCATAGTTTTTTTTCAAATCTTTGACTTAAAATGTTTAAGATTCAATATCAAAAGAATCTTCTGTTGATAAAAATTTATTTGAATCTATATAAAAATTTTAACTAATCAAGCAAGCTGAGTATGTGGCTACTCCTATTTTGTTTGAATTTAACAAAAGGAAATCATCAGAAAGTTAAATTCTATATTCTATACTCTTTTCTAGCTTCAAAGTAAAGAATATATAAATACTTGAAAAAGTTTATTCATTAATAATATTTTCATCAATATTTAAAGGAATTAACTTATAATTCTTTATAGTAAATTTAATCTTAGATACTTAAGTTTACGTTTCAGTTAAATAACGATCGTAAAGATTTTCAAATTTTTGAAAGTATTAGATTGTTATTTAGTTAGACTTGAAGTAAATTGATTTTGTGTCATTAACACTAAAATCATCTTCAAACTATTTTTGGAGTAAATAATAAATATTATAAAAGGTATTTTTACTTTTTTCTTACTCAATATCTAGCTAAAAAATATTTTCTTATTAAAATTAATTTTTCATTTATTTTAGTCCAAAAATATATGTTTTATATTTGTTTTCTATTTCGAAAGTCATGCTATTTTGAATTTCTTCTATTTTTTAAAACAAAAAATTATAAAATTTTAACTAAAATTTATATACCTATAACAATTGTATAGCTCTATGCTGTAAAAAGTAAAGATTACACTTAATTAAAATCTTAGCAGTATATAATTAAATCATTTTTATGCTTTTTTTCATAAAATACATACCCTTTTTGCAACATTACTTATGGTATTTTTGAAGTGGTAGGTGAATAATTAATAAAATTTTGGTAATTATTTAACTCAAAAATTTGTAATTAGTAAAGGAAAGTAAGAAATAACTATTCACTATTTTTCAAGTATAGAAATTTTAAATTAGAAAGGACTAAATCTTCAAAGTATTATTGATTTTACTTCACAATGTTTACTTTTCCTAACTAAAAAGTAGTCACTTCTTAATTACTAATAAAAAACATTTTTTTATTTCTTTAATAACTTTGTAAAAAATTTTCACACACCAGCATTTATTTAGAAAGTATTTGGTTTTTATTAACTTCAATAATTAGTAAATTATTTTCTTATATATAATGGATATCACTGATAAATGTTAACAACAAGTAAAGGGAAGAATATTCTTAAAATTCAAAGTCTAAAACACTGACATACTGTTAAGTCGATTAATTTGATGAAATTTTGAGAATATTATTTTAGCTATTTTTTTGTAATATTTCAGGTTTTAGACATTATTCATAGCAGTATATTTAGTATTTTAAGTGTATTTTTCCATCTTTTTCTAATTTCAATTAGCTTTTTTTAAAATTAAAAGAGGAAGCAAGAGGTAATGATTATTATTCATAATTAAATTCCCCTCCTGTTATTTAAATTATCGGAATAAAGATTTCAGTAAGAACTAATGTAAATTCTGCCTTGAGCTAGTAAGGATCAATAATAATTTCTATATTTTAAGGAATTTCTTCATCTTCTTCTTAAAAAGTAGATAAAAATTTATTTTTTTTCTAACTAAACCAAAAATATATTGCTTTAAAATTATCTAATTAATAAAGCATTTATATTGACAAATAATGGTCTTCTTGAGAATATAAATCATCACCAAAATCAGTAGAAATAACATTTTTATTGATTAGATGCTTTATTTAACTAATAGTTACTATTTATTGTTTTAATTTTTGATAAATGATTGTTTGCTTAGTCGAAGATTAGTCAACTATATTTTACTTATTAATAAAAACACAATTGATTTAAGTTAGAAAACTAAAACTAATAAATTTACCTTGTTTTAAAAATGGATAATTGTAAATATTATCTAGAAGTAATTATCTATTTGATTAATAAATATGAATTTAGTAAGATCTTGCATATAAAAAATCTCTTAATTTCTAAATCTCATAAAATCTAATTCGACGAAATATTTAAGTCTGTTAATCTTAACTACCGTCTTTGAAATACCTTTTACCTATAATTAAGCTATACTTTCTTCATCTATCTATGCTTTTTCACAATATAGCATTTATTTTTCTAAATTTATTTTATTTTCTTAATAATTCGTCTAACTATGCTTAATTGTTGAAACAATAGTTAAAGAAATATCATCAAAAATAGGTTCAATACATATTTGTTGAAATTAAAGTATTCTTTTTTGTTAAAGCGTATCCAAAAGTAAATATTAATCAAAGAAGTAGTATTCATCAATATCAAACCCTGAAGGATTTTCAGTTAATATAACAATATATGCTTCTTAATTGCTATCATTTATTTATAAACGTTCAGTTGTATTTTAAAAACTATTAAATTTAATATATGTTGCTTATTTTAAAAAAATGGTTTTTTCATCAAATTAAACAGTCACATTTCCTAAAATTAAAAAGTAGTTTGCTAGTAAAAATTATTTGTAATTGTAGAATTCAATAAAATCTTTAAGTTTTATAACATTATTTGAATTTACATTTACATAAGTATTTCTTTCTAATTTATTAACGAAAAAGAAATAAATTTACTATTTTAGGGGTTATTTTATTATGATTAGATTTTTCTTAATAAGAATATCTTTAAGGCTAAGTTCATTTTAATTTTAGATTATATCAAAGGCGATTGATTTTTTGCTAAAACTAAGAGAAATAGGATACTCATTTTCACTTGGTTTAATTTAACGTAGACTATATTTAAGAAACATATTACTATTTGGATTACTAAAATCAACAAAAAAAGTAAAGAAGCAGTCTTATATACAGCTAATTTTCACTTTAAATGATGTAAAATTATTTATTTTTGTATATTTCTACCTTTATCGCAGTTAATTGATATCTTCCTTCAGTACTATACAAACCAATAAATCTTAGTAAAAAGCTTAACTACACCTTTAAACAAGTAAGTCATCTTAATAAAACACTTCGTATGATGTAATTGCAGTATTTTTAATATTAATCATTTCAAAAATAACATGATTATCAACCAATTCATCTAAATATTTGTTGTTCAAAATAATAATATATTCTTAAACTTCTCCTCCAAAAATACCTTAGTTCTCTTGCTAAACTTATTATCCAGGCTCAAGGTATAAATATTTCGTTTAACTAACACCTAGGAATTAAAAGAGATAAAAGCTAATAAAGATAAATTAAATCATATTATTTATATTTATTGATGTTATTTTTGATTTAATTATTAATAAGTGTACAAAAAAAGAACAATACAGATTTAGGTTTTACAAATGTGAGGTATATAAACATTTTTAATTAAGTTAATGAAAATGAGAAATTAATTTTATTTTAAATTCAAATATGATTAATTATAAATCTGATTGTTTATTCTTCAAATATTACAAAAATTTATAAGTTTTATATTAATCTCTAAATTTTTTTCTTATTTTTATTTAATTTTGATTTTATATTCTATTCATAAATATATTCAAAATTTTTAAAAAATTATAAATTTTAATTTAATATTTTGTTTAAAATTAATTTTCTATTTTTAATTTTTGCGAAATGAGTGCTACATTTTTAAATGGAATGAAGTATTTCTAAAAACATAGATAATATTTTATATGAGTTTATTAATGATTAATTGTAGCTGATAATTTTTAAGCACTACTTAATTATTAAATTACTTGTATTCATATATTACATTTTCTTAAAATAAAATTATTCATAAAGAAACATAATTATTTATTTGTTTAGATATTTTAAAAGCTCATATTAAAATTTTAATTTAAAATAGGTAAAATTTTTTATTTTATTTGTCTTTTTTACAAAGTTTTTTTAATATTTTTTATTAATTTGTAAGATAACTTTTAAAAAATTTTTAAATATGTTCAAAAAAACATAAAATTTAGAATATAATTTTCATTGCATTTAATACTTTTGAAATTGCTTTAATAATTAATAATTATTTTTGGAATAATAATTTAGTTAATTTTAAATCAACTCATATTATTTTAGATTATAATTCTTAAACTTATTAATTTATAAATGTTTGTATGAAAAAAATTTTAAGATTTTGTTTCTTAATTAAAAAAGTTTTACCATTTATTCTGATTTTATATTTAAAAATTAAAGAAAGAATTAAATTGAATCTTTTTTTCTTTTATAAAATCTATAAAAGATTGAGATAACAAAAAGTTGATAAAAATATAAAATATTCATACATTTAATTTAAGCATATTAAAATACATTTCATAGTTGAAAAATAAAGAAAACAGTATCTATAAAAACTATGCTGAAAGTTTAATGCTGAAAGTTTACTTCTCGTTTTTATTTAACTTTTCTAGTTTAAAATAATTATTAATATGAATTGAAATAATTGTTACTATTAGCTTTTATTGAATTCAATTTATTAAAAATTGGATCTAATGTAATCTTAGAAATAATAACTAAAAATGGGATTTGAAAAATCTAGATAAGAATATAAAATTAAAAATCAAATTAATCGAATCTTTTATTACATCTCATTAAAAAGTTAATAAAATAAAAAATAAAGTTTTATTCTTATTTTAATATCATTTTTTAAATTACCATAATCAATTTTAACTTAAAGCTTCAATAAAAAAATATATATTTTAGAAACTTTAATAAACTATTGAGCAACTTATAAAGAATTAAAAATATTTTTCATTTGTAAAATGAAATGAAAAATATTATCCTGAGCTTACAAATCTTTTATAAACATTTTTTTATTTATAATTTTCTTTTATATTAAGGTTTTCTAATATCGAATAAGATTTCTGCTCAGAGAAAATTTTCTGCAATTTAATAAATAATAAAAGAATTTTTATGTAAAAGAATTAATTTAATCTAGACCTTAGAAAATGAATGAATCAATATATACTTTTAACTCTGTTTTGCATGAGTAAACAAATGAGTTTTTTACATCAAAACAGTTTTTACATTTTGTATGTAATCAAAAAAGCTTTACTTTGACTAAAATATTGAAAGATTTGCTTTAAAGCTAAAATATACATTAAACTATTAAAGATTTTTATTTATAATTCTTTCATAATAAATCATTAACAAATAAACAAACAAACAAAGAAAAAAATTATTTAGTCAAGCTTTAAAAAATTATTAATTGAAATAATATTTGATATAATTAAATTAATCTAAAAAACATAAGATAGAATAAAATAATGAGAACTCAATTGCTTATTGCTGCTGCTTTAGGTTTAACCTTATTAGGTTTAACTTCCTATTTATTCCTCCACAAGTCTACTCAAGTTGGATACACTGATGACTAAATTAACATGTGGAAGGGCTTCAAGAAGACCTACAACAAAAAATTCTCTTCTGAAGATGCTGACTAAGAAGCTTACAGAATGAACGTCTTCTTCGATAACGTTGAATACGCTTCATAAGATTCTACCATGGGTATTACCAAGTTTATGGACCTTACCCCTGTTGAATTTGCCTAACTTTACTTGAATCCCATTGAAAACGTTGAAGGTTCTATTGAAACTTTCTAAGCTATTCAAGCTAATGGAGATATTGTTGTCGATTGGGTTGCTAAGGGTGCTGTCACACCTGTTAAGGATCAAGGTGGTTGTGGTGGTTGTTGGTCTTTCGCTACTACTGGTGGTGTTGAAGGTGCTAACTTTGTCTACAAAAATGTCCTCCCTAACTTATCTGAACAATAATTAATCGACTGTGACACTTAAAACAGTGGTTGCGGTGGTGGTTTAAGAGACGTTGCCTTAAACTACGTTAAGGCAACTGGTTTGGCCACTGAATAAGATTATCCTTATGAAGCTAAGGATGGTAAGTGCAGACTTGAAGGTAAGAGCCACCCTTGGACTGTTTCTGGTTACACTTCTATTAAGTAATGCGCTGACCTCGTTACTGCTATTCAAAAGGCCCCTGTTACCGTTGGTATCGATGCTTCTAACCTCTAATTCTACACTGGTGGTATCTTTTCTAAGTGCGCCACTAACATCAACCACGGTGTTTTACTTGTTGGTTACGACTCTGTTAATCAATCTTGGAAGGTCAAGAACTCCTGGGGTCCTAACTTCGGTGAACACGGTTACTTCTAACTCTCTGCTAAGGTTACTGGTGACCAAATTGCTAACACTTGCGGTATTTGCTCTAGAGCTTATGCTCCTTACATTTGAAAAATCTTTCAAAAATATATAAAATGATTAATATAAAACTTTATATTTTTATAGTAATTAATATTAAAAACTTTTTGTTTAACTATTTATAGGAAATAATATTATTTACTATAAACAAGCCAGACAACTATTCTTTTGTTTTTATTACTTTTTTATACAAAAAACTGATAACAAATCAATTCAAATAAATATTCTATTATCATGAAAGTCTTACATTTTATTTTAACAAAAAATAAAAAGAATCTATTTTTTAATTTTGACTTGAATTACAACTTTTATAACAAATCAAACTTTAACAATTTATAATTAAAAATTTTAATCCACTAATTAATTGACTGAATATCTTACTGACTACATGTAAAATTTAATATTTTAATTTTTATGAATTGATTTATAAAGTTTTGTAATGTTTAATAAATTAAACAATATATTAGTCATATATTCAAGATATAAAATAATCAATCAAAGTAGAGTCTAAGGTGTCTGCAATTTCTAAAAAGATCATTCTCGTTTTAATTATTTCATCTTACTTAAGTCTTTGGATGAATGCTTTTTTTACCTCATAGTTTTGATCAATCTTTTTATTAAAATAATATAAATTATAAGTTTTTTCATTTTTTTTTTAATGGATTAATTTACTTCTAGAATCAAGATTTAACCATATTCCTTCAGACTGACTATACTAAGATCAGATTCTGATGAAATAAATTATACATTTTTATACTTTTTGAATAATTTACACAATACTTAATCTCCATCTGCTATAACTAGAGTCTTTCTCTTCAATAAACTTAAATATTTTAAGAGAGTATTTTTATGTTATTCTTTTAAATTAGTTAGATATTAAAAGTATGTATTAATATCTTCATTAGTATGATAACCAATATTAGCAAATTCTTATATTTCCCATCCATTGAATTGTCTTTAAATTAACTATACCTACTTTTTTTACTTGAGATTTAATTCTATGCTAAATTTTTAAAAAAGAGATTGACTCTCAATTTTATGATTTTCTCTACTTTTGTTTGTTTGAAAAAATTCTGATAAAATATAAGAAAATTCTTAATATGAGACTGAATTTTGATCTAGTATTGCATATCTTTTTTATAATTTGCTGAATCTTTCAAATTTGAAAATTGTTGAATGCAGGATTGCAAGATATAACCAGTAGTCTTCAATAGTATTTAATCTCTCATAATTTTCAATTATAATTACTGATTTTGTATTACTTCTTATTTTACATAAGCTATCATAGTTATTTGTTTTAATCTAATCAACATGAATGTCAAGTATTAGAAATTCAAAATTTATAACACTCAGACATTCATAATTATTCTAAAAGTGCTCGTAGTTAACTATGATAACTAATGGACATGATTAAACAGTATCGTTTTAATTTTAGATTTTTGATATTTTTTAGTTAGGAATCCATTTTTATACTTTTATTTTCCAATTATCTACCTTTATAAAAGCAATAGTAAATTTTTTATTTAAGCTGATTAAAGTTTACTTTATAACTATCAGTTACGATCAAGCAGGGTTTCTCATAATTTAAACAAAGTATTTTAATTAGAAATGATATAGTTTCTACCTTTGGAAATATCTATTTTATAAATATTTTTAAAAATAATAGCTCTTTAAATAGTAAATTTAAATACTTCATCATCTAGGAAAAGAATCTTACCTTGCTTTTCTATGTAATCAATAAAAAACTAAACAAAATACTTAGAAGGTTTAACATCACTTAGTTATTTAATCTTTTATGTTTAATTTATTTCAATTTAATTAATTCATTTTAGTATTTTACTTTTTTTTGAATTTGAGTCTAGTCTACTTAATACTTGGGTAGAGATATAATTTATTTTAAAAACTTTGGGATGTCTTTGATTTTGATCAGCTTTTAAATCTAATTTGATTTAATGAAAAAAATAAAAATAAAAAAATTTTTAATTCAAATACTTCTTCATTTTTCAATATTTTTTTTCTATCTTCATTGCTTAACAGTATTTTTTATGTAAAACTCTCTTCATTTTTTATGTTGATTCCTAAATTTTACTTTATAATTAAAATAATAAATGAAAAATTTTAATTATTATTATCAAGCAAATTGCATATGAGTTTGAGCTAAAGAAATGTTTAAAGTTAATTTCAAGGTAATATTATACCAATAAGCTAACTAGTTTTTATTGTATTATTGGATATTGGCTTTACAACAAAAATTAGTTATTTCCTATTAAATAAAACTTTGCCTTTGGTTGAATTGCCATAAAATAAATTTCCTTTTTAAATTTTTTAAATAAAAGAATTACTAAAATTTAAACTAAGTAAAAGCTTTAAAAATGAAAAATTCTAACTGGAATTAAGTGAATTTTATTAAATTAAATAAAATTGTTATTAATTTAAAAATAATCAATTCTTTTTTTAATTTAAGTTAAAAAATTAAAGATATATCTTTGGTGAGAAATAAAATGTATTAAATTAAAAAATAAAAATTAAAACTTTTTGTTAAAGGTATATTTCTTAAACAATATTTTTGAAATATTTATTAAGTATCTATTGTAAGTAAATAAAAATGGTAGAGTTGGATGGATATACAAAGAAAAATAGCAACAAACAACAATAAATAAAAAAATAATGAAGATAATAAAATAAAAATCAAATATCTATTGATTGATCTCTCATTTGGCTGGTTTGCTAATATAAAAGGAAAAATGTGAAAAAAAAAATATTAGAAGCAAAAGAAAGAAGAAAAAAATCTAAAGCAATCTTGAAAAGAGAAAATATTTATATTAATAATAAAAAGTGAAAATAAATAAGAAGATAAAGTAATAGATCTTAAGATGAAGAAAGGAACAGCCTCAGAAGAAGAATTAAAGAAGTTGTATGATCCTAATACCTTCTACGAGCATGGTGATAACCCTGCTTTCAAGCAATTTATGAATATCGCTGTTGAAAATCTTAGAGAAGGTAAATTGACTGATCACAGAACTTACGTAGTTGATACTTATAAGAAGTAAAGAATAAGCTTATATATATATATCTCCATCTCTTTTCTTTGATTAGTTAAGATGCATTTAAGATCAAATCAAAATATCTTAGCGAAAATGGCATAAATAGTGTCAAAAAAATAAACATGACTGCATCATTAGTTTAATAAACATACAGTTTTGAAATAAGTTTTATTAATACATATTGTATAACTATTATTTAGATGGATGTATGCCAGAAATTGGGATGATTTCTTATAAAGAGATTGCAAGGCTATCACTTTCCCTAGAGCTTTTGCCCTCTGGATTGTTGGTACTCTTGGAATGGCTACTGGTACTTGAGTTATTTAATGCTTAATCAAATATTAAATGATTATTCTTTAAATTTTATAGCTTCAAAATGGTGCAGACAAATCCTTCCTGTTGGAAGCCACGGTATTACAAAGATTTCATAGACCTAATTTTTCCATTAGTAAGCATTCATTCATAATTTGAAGGAATAAAATAAAATTAAGATGCTTGAAATAAAATATGCCCAAAAAAGTTAGCGAAATTAATTGAAGATATTTATCATATTAAAGAAAGGCATATTAGAGCATTTATTCCTTCATATTCATTCCTTATAATTAAATTATATTTATTATAATTAAGATTCGGTCCTCTTGGTACTCTTGGTGCTGTCGGTTTCTATGGTTTAAGTAAGAATTTCAAATTTTTAAAAATAAAAATAAAAAGGATTAGCTATAAAACTTTTATGAGTATTAGATATCAGATATAAAATAATTGAATTAGCGTTTATATAAATATAAAATTTTATGATAGATAAAGTAAAATAGAATTGACTTATAAAAAAGTTTATGTAAGTTTAGCGATACCTAATTAAAAAGCTAAAGATTTTTAAATGCTTTTCAATAAAAAAAAAATAAACGAAATTATTTGATTAGAAAAAAGATACCTAAAATAAATAAATATTGATTGATAAATTGGAATAAAAATAAATTTAAGATTCATAAATTATTTTAGAAAATAATAAATTATAGCTAGTTGATTTATTTATTACTTCATTCATTTGCAAAAAAAAAAAAAGATAAACATTGAAGATATTTAATTTTATTATTTTAAAATTAAGCTGCTTACCTCTACTATAAAACTACTATTTTCACTGTTAAGAAGTTCTATTCTCACTGCATCTTACAAGAAAGAGAATGGATCTTTGAACAAGAAAGACAAAATCCTGGTTACGGTGAATACTTCTTCAAGGATGTTCCCTTGTCTGCTGAAGAACACTTTAATGATTTAGCTAGAGGTGAAATGGCTAAAAAGAAATTCGAAAAGCCTAACCACGAATTCTGAAATGAATTAAAAACTATTGATTTTAAAAAGATATTTGTATGAATAAAATGTATGTAAAAAGTTTCATACTTTTCATCAAATATGTTAATAATCTTTAACTGCTTATTAATTATTTCTATTCTCATTTAACCTAAATATTATTTTTTAATTGCTTTTTGATAGAAATGAACTTAAATATATTGTCAACATTTGGATAGCTATTAAAATAAAATCTAAATACAAATAATTATCAAATAAAATTAAATTTAAGTTATTTTTAATTTAAGTAAAGTATGAAAAAAAACAAAAAAACAAACAGATAAATTTAACCAAGATTTTAAATAAAAGGATTTATTAAAATATTTATTTAATATTAACAAATCAAATTAAACTAACAAAAAATGTATTTAAAAATGATAAATAATTCAATAAAAAAATAGAGAACAAAATAAATAAAAACTAATAAAACAAATATTCATATCTTTTCATATAAATATAATAAAAGCAAAATATCAATATTTATCAAATAAAATTTAATTTAAAGATTTTTAAAAGAAAATAAAATAAAAATATAAATAATATGCAAACAAATAAATAATTTTATCTATTTTAAATAAAATTTTTAAATTAAAAATTTAAGGAATAATAAAAAATTAAACCAACAAAATAGCAATTTTAAATTTTCTACTAAAAGATAAAATTAATAAAAAAATCATTTATTTATCAATATTATACTGAAAATTAATTTTACTAACAAATAATTTAGTTTTATTCTTACTTAGTTGTTTAATTTAATTTAAAGATTTTTAAAAGAAAATAAAATAAAAATATAAATAATATGCAAACAAATAAATAATTTTAACTATTTTAAATAAAATTTTTAAATTAAAAATTTAAGGAATAATAAAAAATTAAACCAACAAAATAGCAATTTTAAATTTTCTACTAAAAGATAAAATTAATAAAAAAATCATTTATTTATCAATATTATACTGAAAATTAATTTTACTAACAAATAATTTAGTTATATTCTTACTTAGTTGTTTAAATTTACGAATGAATAAATAATGGCTCCAAATAAAGAAACAAATAAAATCTATGATTAGTAATATTTGGATTAAATAATTATTAATAATTATTATTATGAATTTATTAATACCATACATTTTTAAGTACTTATTTCTACTTTTTTTTTAAATGATAAGAAGTTAAAAGTTATTTAAATATATTCATTAAATACTAAAGAAAGCATTAAAAATATTAAAATACTTATATTAAATTAAAATTAATTTATAATTTTGATGAATTTCAAACTTAAAAATTGGAAAAATTTTATTTGAAGCAAAGTCAAAAATAATTAATAATGATTTAAAATTGCCAAGTTACTCATTTTGAGATGAAATTTAACTTTTATAGTATACATAGGTTTATTAGTATTTTCTAGATCTATTAATTATTAGTTAATGATGTCATTTACTAGATTTTATACAATTAACTTTCATAGCCAACATTAAAGATTGATTAATAAATCAAAAAATCTTAAACTAAAAATTGTATATCTAAGTTCCATACTAATTTATTTTGACGTAATTTTAAGTTAGATTCTAAAATTAAGGAAATTATAATTTTGAGAATAAAAATAAACAAATTAATTAATTAATTAGTATTTGAATTTATTGTAAAAGTAGAAATACTTTCTTAGAAAACCAATATCACTTAATATTAAATATAAGCACATAGACATGGATTATTTAGATATCCCTTTTAGACACTTAGATCTCGTATCTAACTAGATCGATCAACTCAAATTCCTTGCTTATGGAGTTGTTTTCTGGTTCACTCTCTTTTATATAGTTAACGAAACTGTTAAGTTTAAGAGTTTAGATAAGCGTAAAAGTGACGATACTAAGAATAGAATTATTTCTATTATCCATGGATTAGGATGTTTTATCTACTCATTGAGATGGATATTGAAAGATGATCCTTAATTTGGCACTTTAAATACTAATTACTAGATGGGTACAATTATAGGTTCTTCAGCTTACTTCTTATATGATAGTATAGCTTGTTTCTATTATGGCTTACTTGATTTTGGTTGTTTTGCACATCACACTATGGTCTTGCTTGGATATGGAAGCTGTGTTTTTTAGCATTATGGTGCTACCGAAGCTTTATGTAAGTATTTTTAAATGAATTTGCATATATGAAGAGTTTAAAAATATACAAAGGAGAAATCTCCCAAAATTATGTTAATATTTAAAAGATAATTTATTTATTGATAGGAATATTTAATGATACTCAATTAATTAAATTATCTATTTAGTTAACAATTTCACAATATTAAGGATAGAGATAGATATTATAAATTAAATTTTTATTGTGGAATAGATAATTGTATTATACAATTTTAAGATTAATGATTGATTAATTTTAGTTTAATTTTATATTTTTGATAAATAAATTCGATTTCTGGTATTAAATTTGTCTCTTTAAAATTAGTGGGATTGTTTTTCGCAGAAGTCTCTAATTTCCCTATGCATGCAAGAGTCATATTGAGAAGCTTTAACCTAAGATATACCAAAATATATGAAGTTCTTGAGCTTGTTTACATGGTTTCCTATATTATCGCTCGTTCAATTATGATTCCCTTTGCATTATGGATTCACTGTATATAAGCTGAAAAGTGCCCCTTTATTGTTAAGTTTATATGTACAGGTTTAACTGTTCAATCCTTGTATTACATTAAAGAGTAAATAAATATAATTTTTTTAAATTTATAATTAACCAATTTATTATTTATTTATTAAAAGAATGTATGGAATACTTTTAAGAAAATTCAAGCAACTCAAAGAAAGAAAATAAAAGAAAATCTCTTATTTCTGGTTTTCAGAAAATGCTAAAGTTAAGGATTTATCTTATGCAAATAAAGAAGCAAAGCAAAATATTTTCTGATTATTTAAACAATAATATTTTATCTTTATCAGTATTTGTATATTTGATAATAAGTCTACTTTTAATAAATTTTTTACTCAAATTATATCTAAAATTTGAAAATTTTATACAAACATAAAATTATAAATTAACTAAAAGTTATGAAAGGCATGAAGCAAAAGAAAATTTTATTGTAAAAAATATTTAAAATAGTTTTAATTAAATAATTTTATCAAGTATTTAATTCTATTTTAAATAATTTTTATTTTTTAATAATTAAAAAAAAATTCATAAATGGGTAAAATTTTTATTAATAATTGTTAAAATTATTTTTACTGCTTATAGATGTTGTATTTATTATAAATAAACTGTTTGTTAATTACTTAGTTATATAGTTATATTTATGTCAATTATGCTTGTTTCATAATGAAACTTATTAATATTATTATTGTTATAAATTCTATTATTATATAGGTTGATTAGGATTTTGTTAGCTACAATAGCATAATTAATTTAAATTTTGTTAATTTTCTGAACAATATGTACAAATGATATGTCTTTTGCAATTGTTTACTTTGAATTCTTTAATTTAATTAAGACAAAGCACACATCTGATGCACTTAGAAGTAGTTTAATTTATATACAAATCTTTTTCTTAAATATATGAATTCATTAATAAAATATTTTCATCAATTAAAGTATTCTTTCTTCCTTCATTTTTAGTGCAATTTAATACGTCATTTGAATAATAATTTTGTGGTTTTTATAAGTTGTTGCTATCATTTAAAAAAATAATTTATTGTTACTAAGGTTATTAGTCTGAATTGGTATTATTTTCTGGAAGTTAGCTTAACTATTAATTTTATTCTAAACCATTTGGAGTTTTAGTATGATTTATGAATTCATATGATAATAACAAATTACTTGTAAAATTGTTTTTATTTTATATATTCTGATTACTTTAAAGTGTTGTAGTATCTTCAGTTAGAGATTAAAATTGTTCTTCCTCCAAAGAATTTGATAACTATATTATTTTTGAAGAATTTTATTTATTTTATTCTTATATATTTAAATTAGAATTTTCAGGTGTTGTTTAATTACAACTAGCTATTATAAAATTTATAGTCTTATTTGAAAAATCTAAATATTCTTCTTCACATTACTCACAAAGGCAATAGGGTCGAGTAGTTTCTTCTTGGTTAGATTTTTAGCATATTTTACATGAATTATTTAATTCACCTTGGCCTATTTTTTGATTATAGCATTATTAGCATATTCTCATTTCATTAATTAGCATAAAAATATTTTATTTACAAAAGAAGCAATTATCTTTTAATGTATAATCAAAACTAAAATTTTTTCCTGTCTTAGGAGTTTAACTCTCAAGCTTTTACTATTATTTTATTATTATTCTTTCTGACTTTTGCATATTTGGCTTTGAGTAAATCTTATTAGCATAATCTATAGGATAGCAAATATCATAGTGACCTGGTCTAAAAAATAGATGTAAAGTAGGAAACTCAACAAAATTTTCATCCTTTACTGTAAATTCAGGAATAAACTAAATTGTATTTACAAATTTTGCTTAGACATTTTCAATTTAGATAGGTATTTATAAATACTCACTGATCAATTTCATTATGCAGTTTTATCCCTCTATCGAATAATCTTTAATCGTTTATATTTCATTTCCTAAATAAAAGTGTTGCATTTGTTATTAGAATTTTTCGTATCCTAGAAGAGCTACCTTTCTCATCAAAAGAATAGTAGAAAAATCAAAAATAGGGTATGTGTTAATAAAATTTTGCAGATGCAATATCTTTTAATCAACATTTAATAGCTTAGGGTTATTTATGATGTCTAATTGTATAGAATAAATGCCGCACTAAAAAAATTTACTAGCATGATATAAAAATTTTTCTAATTCTAAAGGTATAGAGGAGGTAATAATGAACTTATCTAATTCAGCAGAAATCTAAATTAATTGATCTAATCTTTTTTCTGCTTCTTTAGGGTTGCTTTAATTGATTACTATCAGGTGCTCAATATATAAGTAAAAAACAGATCTATAAAAGCAATTACCATCTCCACGGACTTCTCTATATAACGAATACTGCTTTTTAAATTCTGTTAATGTTTAAATGATTTCAGTATTTACATACTCTTTTATTTTTTAGGATAGATTTAATGGTTGGCTTACTTATTATATTTCATCAGTGTTGCATTTGTAAAATAGCTCTTCAAATCTCTTAGTTGATTTTATGCTCATTTTTTTAATTACCTAAAGCGCATTTTTGAATTTTTTCCCTTATTTATCTTGCTAATTACCCATTTTTAGATCTGTTTTTATATATTTTAATAAATTTTTGTATGTTGTTCTTATATTTAAAAAATATTAAGTTGATTAGACAAGCTAATCCTAAGCAGGATAATAATTAATTAAATTTTGATTTGTATTGGCTATCATTAAAATCAAGTTGATTATTAATTAAGAGTATTACTTAATTTAATCATATTTATGTAATTTAAAAAGAGTATGCCATAATTAAAGTTGTTATAATAAGAGGCTGATCAGATGACTAATTATAATTAGAGATAACCTAATATTTACATCACTACCATTTTTATTAAATTAAATAATAATTTTTTTCTTTATTACATAATTAAAAAATGAAGTTAACTCTAAAGGTATTTTCTAAGAAACTGATCTAAAAATTATATGATAATATTAATAATTAATATTTCCATCTTTATGATAAGAAAATTAAATATGAATATATCCTAATAGTAATACCAGATCAAATTTTAATGAATATAAGTGTTAATGAAAAAAATACTTGCATATATATTTTAAATTTACCTTGAGAATGCATTATTTACTATTTAAATTAGGTTATTTTTATTTTATTTTGAATTTTTAAATAATTTAAATCAAATACTTTAAATATATAATAGAAATTACGAAGATATAAAAGGATATAAAATATTATTTATTAAAAACTTAATATAATTATATTTAATAATCCAGAATAAATTTTTATATAAATATAGAAAGACTTATTAATTTAATTTTATTTCAAATTCTAATCAAAATTTTTATAAAATGAATTAATTAATAATTTAAATATGAATACTAGTCATAAATATATTCAAATTAAATTAAATGTCAATCTATTTTAATTTGTACATAATAGCTATTAATTTTTTTTTTAATAGATTGAAAGTGTCGTTTAAGATATTTAAAATAGTGTTAAAGTTTATTTATTAATGATGTTTGCATTTTAGATTTATTATTTAAAAATATTTGCAATTTTTATTTAGTTTTAAATATTTATCTTTAATCTTCATTTTAAAATTATAAATTGGTATAACTTCATCAAAGAATAATTTTTAAATTTAATAAATTCAAATTTATTTAATTTTACTTAAATTTAATTGACTTAAAAATTTATTTTTTGGTTTTAAATTAAAATAATTTGATATTTATATAATGAAAAAGCTTATTTTATTAAAAAAATAATTTTTAAACGATAAACAATTTACCATTCATTAAATTAATGAAAAAATTAACATTGCAAGGCTACTTCTAGATAATTCCATTTTAAGTTAAGATATTCATTTTGAAAATTAACATTTATAATTAGATTTAATGCATAAAGATACAAATGTTAATCTTAGCAGAAAAAAGCAAGAAAGAAAGAAAGAAAACAAACAAACATACTAACATTTATTTGAAGTTAGTTTTTGATAATTAAAGAAAATATAAGAATTTATTTTTGTTATAATTGTATCTAATTCTATCAATAAAATAATAAAAGTAAAAATAAACAAATAATTAATAAATCTAAATTTACTTTAAAAAGTTCTCCTAAAGATTATCCTACAAAGACATATTTTAGCATGTATAAAAAGTTATTTTCAAGCAGAAATTTAGGTGTTTCATTAGTAGCAACCATTTTCCTCTCTAATGAAAATCCTGCATAGAATTTATTGAATAATAAAAAGAAATCAGACTAAAGTCTTCCTACAAAAACATATATTTGGGGTAATGGTATTTATTAAGCAAGGCCAGATGCTTTGTTATAATACAAAAACTTCGAACCTAAGCTTATTAAAACATTCCAAGGAAAGGAAAATAAAAATATGAAGGAAAGTAATAATTTTAAATTGTATTCGTTTATTTATTTTGTTAAAAATTTTAAAGTAAATGGAATTTATAAAGATTTTATGCTACTGATTGAATTTTGAAAGTCAACAACAAAAGTTGTTGTATAAAAAATACAGTGTTTTGTTTTTACTAAATTAAAAGATAGCCTAAACATACAAATTTATATTTTAATGCTAAAGCAGATTATAAATAAAGTTTTAAATAAAATATTTCTTTTAAAATTTTATTAGTAATTTTTGGAGAACATAATGAAGCCGGTATTGATATTAATGGATATATTTATGCTTGGAACAAACCTACTCTCGAAGCAAACTATTAAAATTAAGAAACAGACAATTACAGAAATGACATAATTCAATTAGATAAGAAAAATAACAATTATATTTAGGTTTCATTTACTACAGGATTTGTATGGGCTCTTAATGACAAAGGAGAAGTTTATTAATGGACTATTTAAAAAAAAGTAGACGATAGAAATAGAGTAGTTGGAACATAAATTGATCCTAACTCAATGCGTCAAGTTAAGAGTCTTCCACCAAATATCTAATAAATTTCTACAGGAGTTGATCACTTCTTAGCACTCACTCAATAGGGAGAAGTATTTTCTATGGGAGATGATACTTATGGATAATGTGGTTTAGGGTCTATGAGTCGTTCTACTGCTCCTCCTTTCTATGAACGTAGAGTTAAAAATCCAAGAAAAATAGAATCTTTGAATGCACGTATTAAAAAAATATGCTGTGGTTCCAATCATTCACTTGCAATAACTGAAGAAGGTTAATTATATGGATGGGGTTCAAACTCCAATATGTAATTGAGCTAAGAAGAATAATTCTCTAGAGCTGAAGAACCAATTATAAGTATTTTTACACCTTTAAAGATATAAAAAATGCTTGATTTCAGCTTAGTTACTGATGTAGCAGCAGGTGAAGAGCACACTGTTATAGTCACTCAAAATAAGCACAGTGGAGAGACTGAGGTATTTTCATGTGGACATAATAACAAGGGTGAATTAGGTGCAGGATTCCTTCGTCATCTTTCTGATGTTGTTAAGATCGAAGGTCTCTCAAACTTCTAAGTCAAAAACCCAAGTGGACAAAAAGAAAATGTAAGAATTAATAAAATTAGTTGCGGTAATCACCACTGTATTGCCTTGCTAAGTGCAGGAGTTGTTACAGAATGGGGTGAAAATGATTATGGATAATTAGGTAACAAGAAACGTTCATTTAGCGAGCATCCAATTATGATTTCAACATTTAAAAAATAAAATGTATTGAATATCAGTGCAGGTTTTACATCTTCATCAGTTATCTGTGAAGATTTAGAATAAACTAAACAAAAAAAGTGAAAAAGCTGAATGAATTTATGTTCAATTAAAATAAAATATTTTACTTACTGCATGCATAAATAACTATTTTTGATAAAAATTAACTTTTTATTTATATATTTGTTTAAAATAACTTTATTTTAAAAACTAAACGTTTTTACAAATAATTAAATATTTTTAACACTTTTAATTATTTTTAAATTTAATAATTAACAGCAGAAGCTTATTTTTTTAGATCTAATTTATAAATTTGGAGTATTGATTGAATTAGTACATAAAATTAATTAACTATTTTTAGAATCTAAACTTGTTTGAAAATCAATCTAAAAATAAAAAAACAAAATATTAAATTAATTTATTTAAAAAAATTATATTTAGTGTTTGTTGATTTATAAAATATTTTTATATTTCAAAAATGCATTAGCTAATTAAAAAGCTATAATTATTAGCAAAATATACGCATATATTTATAAAAAATATTGGTTCTTTTAATAATTTAAAAGCAGTTTATACTAGCTAGTAAATAATTATTAGTAATAAATAATAAAATGTTACCTTAAAAAACATTATTGATGATAATGCATTGTTAATACAAAATTGTTACCACAATAAATTTTAAAAATGTATTTCGTAATAAAATTGTTTTATTTTTTATGGAGGAGAATTTGATTTTAATGAATTAATTTATGCTTCTATTGAGGATATTACTAATAAGTAATAGAAACAAAGTGAAAAAAATAATTAAATTAACTCAAAAAAAAAATTGTTGAAATAGAAAATTTTGAAAACAAGCGATCAGCTTTTAATATCAGTCAAGTAGATTATCAATTAATAATTATGTAAGAATAAAGGATAAGTTTTTTTAGTAGTAAAATTTGTTTCTATTAACTCTGATTTTTTTTTAATAAATTTAAAACCAGCCTGATTCATTTATGTAATGAAAAAAGAATTGATTGGTATCAATATTTATTAGATTATAAATGTGTGTATTTAGTAATGCTTAATATCATAATTCTGGAGGTAAAAAATTTATCCTATTACGATTTAAAATATTCTAAATTAGGTTTGTAATATGCTTTTACATCAATCATTTTTATTTTAAAATTATTGATTGCGGAGTTTTTTTTAAAGTAAAAATTGATTGTATCAGGTGTAAATAAGAAGAGGAAGAAAGAAAAAATTTTAATAATCAAAATAATAGATTGTAATTAAAATTAATAATCGCTTTCAATAACTAAAAATAATATAGTATATTTTTTTCTAATTTACAAAATAATTTAACCAAAGCCTAAATTTGTTCAAATATATACCTTAATCAAAGTTACTTACAAATATAGTTAACAATATGAAATGGCAATAAATCATTTTGTTAAAAATATTAAGTTAATTTTATTAAAATCTAAAATGACTTATGAAAATATACAAAAATGTACTAATACAATCATAATCACATATTTAAAATACAAATTAGTATATTTTTGATGAGTATCATTTAGTTATAAATATAAAGAGCCATAAAAAATTATACTTTTATAATTTGTTGCTATATTTTCTATTAAAAAGCAATTTTTTTCCTAACAAATAATTTTAAATTCCTATGCAAATGATTGATTTTTTGTATACATAAGCATTTTTTCAATAATTAATTTACTTAACAAGTAATAAATTGAACCGAAGAGGTTATCATAGGTTATAAAATATAGAATTCAGACAAAAATTTTAATTTCTTATATTAGTAAAAATGAAAAAATAGAGCATAAGGTATACGAAAATGCCTTTTTTAAAAATAGTGATTAAGTTTTTAAGTTGGAAATAAAGCATTATCTATAATATTTTTCAAAAAATTAAGTTGTAATTCAGCTTTTGCTTCTTTAAATATCTAGCAAAAATTTACCATATTATTTAAAAATAAACAAAAATTGACTAAACTAGAAGAAAAACTCAATAAATAGATAAAATGAATAAGTAATCTGTATTCTAAAATGAATAATATGTTGGTGTTTTGTTACTATTTTAAATTGAATTTTAAATGTATCCCTTATTTTTTTAAATTTCAAAGATCTAGTCTAAAGATATATTTTACTTTTATCTAAATATCTTTCTATCTATCAGTCTATCTGTCTATCTGTCTATCTAACTATCGTCTAAATATGTTATTTTCAAATTGTTTTTCATCTAAAAAATCAAAAAAGAGAATACTTTTCTAATGTTATCTTTCAAACAAGTAAAAATAATCAGCAACAAAATTTAACGGAATTAGATGTAAACTTTTTATCTTTAGAAACAGCATTCTTTTTTAACTTTAATATCATAGAACAAATTTATTTAATAACTAAAATTTTATAATTTTTTAAATAATATGCCAACGTTAAGCTTAGATAAACTATAGATAACTTAAAAATACTGAAATTTTTGTAATATATTTATTACAATATTTATATTATGAGCAATTGATTGATAAATTTTAATCATAAAAATTTAAAAATACATCATAAAGTATTTGATTTTTGGTACTTGCTTTGCAAAATTCTGAACAATGTTATATATAACTAAAAATTAAACAGTTTTTTTTATTTTCTTGAGTATATTTTTGAAGAAAAAAATATTTGCTTTCAAAATATCACAAACAATGAAGTTTAATTTTATTCGCTATCTGAGTTTTGATAATAAACATAATAGAATTTATCTTTTTTCAGATAGCAAACAAAGTTAGTTTGAAATTATTGCTTTTTTAACTAAATGGGACATGAAATATTTTTGTCATAAAGTGTTTGGATGGATAGATGTATGTATGGATGTATAGATTTATCTATCTATCTATCTATTTATTTATTTTTTAATAAAATGAACTATATATGCTTTTTATTGAATATATATGAATTATGAATGCATTAAAAAACTGTTCAGGTCTTATAAATTATAAATTTAGCATTGAGAGTAATTTTATAAAATTATATATTTTTTATAGAGGTAAATAAATAAAATAAATTTTTTATAAATAACTTTAAAGGTATTTGATATTTAATTATATATGTTGTGTTTTTTATAAATCAAAATTTTTGAAAATTCCGCAAAACATATGACGAGGCAATATATGTCTATCTTTTTGATGAAAAATGATTTATAATAGGCATTTTTTGTTGTTTTAGACATGTCTCGAAAGACATTTTTTCTTTTTGAAACTAACAATAAATACTTGTTTTGAGTTGTTATGAAGCTTCAAAAAGGAATTTATTGAAAATGAATTTTTGTTAATAATAGCTTGTTTTCTTTTTAATTTTTCAATATGAGAGGAAGAAGATTAAAATTATAGTAACTCATATTTAATTTCAAAGAAATATTGCTTCTTTATCTAAGAATTTAATTGATTTGATTAAGATTGATACTTTTGTCTAGTATTAGTCTAAGATATATTGTGAAGACTAACTAATTCAGCTTGGCTATAATTACATTTTTTAATTTAGTTAATTAATTTTAATAGAAGAATGATGTTTGTTAGTGATGGACAATAAATAATCAATTAGGCCCATTGATTGAACTAAAGGAAGATTAATAGCTTTGGTCAGGATAAAAATTGTTAATAAAAGTTTCTGATAAGTTCGAATATCCTTAGTCATATAAAATATCTGTATTAATACCTTCCAAACAATTTTAAAAATGCATATGTATTGATTGTTATTATTAATGTTGTTGCTACTGCTGTTATTAAGAAATATTTTTTAAGCTGCTTGATTATTCACGCAAGCATTTAATTCTTTATTACTCGCTTTCACTAATTTCTATATAAAAGAGCATCAAGTAATTTTGTGACCAGCTTTCATTTCCAAACGAAATTTAAATTAAGTCAACTACTATTTCGCATGGAATATACATTAAGTCCAAAGTAATTATTTCTGCTGATATGCGACGACCTTTTATAGAAGATAAGTCACATGTTTTACTTGCAAACTACTGGGAAAGGATAATTCTTGATTCTAAATCAAATTAAAGCAGTTTTAAGTTTGAGTCTGCAGTCAAGAAATTTATGAAGCCCTTCCTTAAAATAACTTGCTGTAATACTTCTTCCCCGATATTAAGCAGGTCAATTAAGTTTTTATTTAGGCCCTTTCTATCTATACTGTAGCCATACTCAGTTCTTTTTAGACCATTATAGAAGAAGAGTTAATTATTATGAGCTTTTTCAGTATCAAATGAACTTAGGCTGGTTTTATAGTTATGAAATTAGGGAAAATAGTTTAAGTCTATTTAACCTTACTTGCCGTTTATTTCGATGAGATACTGATGAGCTATTTTCATACTCACATCAAACAATTAATTTCTGACTGCAGCATCGTTGTCGTTTACGGACTAATTTTAGGAAATAATTTCTTAATATTTTATCAACTGTGATTAAAGTGCAGCCATCTAAGAGTTATTGCTAAACTAAGAGGATTTCTAACAGTATTCTTAAAGATTACTAATTACAGCTTGGAATTAGTTTAAATAAAAGCCTTCAACCATGGAGTCATACATAACTTCTAAAGTATCAGATCTCTTGAAATATTCAACGGCGGAAATTATACCTCCATAATTTTACATGTTCTGATAAAAAAAATAAGATGCTGTATTTTAAATTTTTGGGCTTTGAATTCTTTCTGTCTTCTTTGAAGAATTATTATATAATAGCTAACCATCATATTAGCTTTCATATACTAGCTAATTTAGCTAGTTAGTCTTTTAAAATAGTGTATTAATATCAATTACTACATTTCCTTAAAGCACATATAATTCTGCTTCATCTCTTTAGCAATTTTTTTGGGAAGATTCTTTACAAATTTTCTTAGATTTTTTTGCTTTGTTTATTTTCTTACTTAAATTTGTAAAACTATCTTTAGAAGATGGTTTCTTTTATATAAGTTGGTATTCAAAAGGCTTGAATGTCATTTTAATACTGCTATTCATTCAAATTCGGTTTAAAATGTAGAAGGTTGATTGTTTCTAAACTTTCAATTGTAAATAAATAAAGGGTACTTTATTTTATGATAATATTCCTGATTTACTTTATTTTTAATCAATTTATTGTAATCTTTTCCTTAAAATTAAATTTCTGAAATAAAAAACATTCGTATAAACAATTCTATTTAAATATTAATTTTAAATGGCTGATTAATTGTTGATTATTTTTCTAATTTAATATGCTACTGTAAATATAGCTATTTCACCTCTTAATCATAAGTTTTTTCATTAAATGCTAGATTAATAAAATATAAAATTTTTTTTTACTAGCCTGTCGTATGGACAGACGGACAGACTGTGCATTTTCTCAAAAGTACTAAAATTAAATCTATGAGTAAATATGAGAAATATCGAGTGTAATTTGAGTTATTTTATAAAAATATTAGTACAGATAATAAATATGTAAAAAATACTAATCCTAAGTTCTTTTGAACTAATTTAGTGTTAAATTGGTATATTGATGCTAGAATTTGCTAATATATTTGTTTGGCTTAATTTAAAGAATTTATTTAGATTTACGACTTCTATAAATATGGTTACATTGCATCTAAAAAAATTCGCAATATATGTTATTCATCAATTACTAAATGAAACTATTTATTAACAAAATATTCATGTAAAAAATAAATTGAAACGAAAAATATTAATTACAAAAATGTTAAATCTCTTTAATGCATTTTTTCTTTTCTTTTAACTTTAAGTATTTTTGAATAAATTAGAATTGCTTTCAATATTTCTTACTTTTTGGAGCAATTATTGATACCCTCTTTGAAAAAAACAAAATAAAAAATATTTTTTATATATTTATTAAGTTATAATATGTTTTTGTGAAGTATAATGCTGTACCAAGTGCCATTTTACTCTCATTCCATTATATTTTGTTTATCTTATTGTATTTAAATATCTTATTCTTTTAAACAAATAAAAAATTAATGAAGAAATTAAAGTTACTCGATACAGCGGAGTTTTACACTCCACTTTTCAATTAGTTATATTTCAAATCAGAAAATTTGAACAGCTTTAATCAGAAGATAGTGCGCAAGCTATTTGAATTAGGCTAATTTACCCACAAATTTTTAATTTAAGTCCTTTCTATATAATAATTAAATATACTTCTATTTTTACAGATGATTCTTTATTAATTTTCAATCATCTTTCAAAGAAATTATATTGAACTAAAAAGTTATAAATTATTAATTTTGATTTATCTTAGATCAATTTCCAGTAAATTAATCTAGCACTATTCTTTTTATTTTAATTATTTTTTTAATTTTTATCTCTTCATGACTATTCCTAACGTCATTTATAATAAATATCATCACCCTAACTATATTTACAATCTTTCTTTCTCTAAATAACAAACTGAATAATTGTGCTATTTTATCTATAAGTGTTACACTTTATTATTAACCACTAATAAATTTTGAAATTAATTAAGCTCGCTTCTTATTTTTTTTGGTCTCTAGTTATAGAAAATTTGTAAGCTTAAAATTTAAAAAATATAATACTATTCTTAATTTAAAAAAGCTTAAACAGTAGATTATATTTTAGACATCTTTGATCTAATCAATCAAGATATTCTTTTTTATAAATTAATCTTGTATTCATATGCGTCATGCTGATAGCTTAATGCGAGCTAGATTTTGTTACAAAAATAACTATTTAATCATTCAATTTTTGAAAATAATAAAATTACATTTTTTAAAATGCGAATTAGACAAATATTTATTTTTTCTTTTTCATTTAAACAACTTTTGTAAATCTCTAAAATTATTTTATACAAATTTTATTAGTGGTAATTAGCGCTCTTTGTTCACCCTATTTTTTATAATTTTGATGGACTTATGATCAAATTTCATTAATTTAAAAAGCTAATAATTTGCATTTAGCATGTTTATTTTTAACCAAGTATTTTTAGTTAAGATATATTTCTGATAAATTCAAGTTTGCTATACAAATTTTGTTTCATCAAATATTTTTGATTATTGCTTACATTAATGCAATTAAAATTATAAGTATCAGTTTACTCTCAGTAGTTAAAACTTTTTACAAAATACAAAGTTTAAAATGTGAACCTATCATTTCACTCTTGCAGGAGAAAACACCCAAAAAATTCTAAGCATAAAGATATTCAAAATTTTTTGAGGATACCCATTTTATTGAAAAAAAATGTAAAACGTCTTAAATGTAATATTAGAAATGTAATTAATTTGATGTAATGATCAAAACTTTCTTGAGCTTAACTTTATTATCAACCATCAATTAATTAATAATGTATGGTTTTCAATTCGAATTTCTAAATCAAAGATTTTACATTTTTTAATAATCTTAATTTGGAAAATGAAATTCTTATTATTAATTTTTAAATATTATGTAATCAAACAATTTAATTGAACTAAATTTAGATGTAAGAAAATCAAAAATCTAATTTAACATTTTTGACACCTCATAAATGACTTAATAAACATTTATAAATGAATTTATTTTAATTACACTTTTTTGATAGAAAAAGAAACATTATTGAATAAATCTAATAGCTTCCACAAAATATTTAACTAATGAATGTCTAAATATGATAAAATAAAGTAGTTAATTTTATCTAAAACTACCTCAGATAACTAAAATTATTTATTTCAACTCAAAATTAATAAAAGCAGAATTTGTAACATATTTTTTGAAAAATAACTTCATAAAATAAGTTTATTAACATTATTATCAAAAATTTATAAATTTTTAAATAAAATCCTAAATATAAAAAAATTTATCTTTTATTCTTAAAAGGTGGTTGAAAAAAACTTTGTTTTTATTTTTCATTCAAATAATATTTTTAAAAAATATCAAAATAGACCAAATATTTTAATATTTTGTAAAAACCTCCTCTAGTCAATTTATTACTCTTGAATTTAATTTATTTCTGATATTTTAGAAAAATTAAAAACCAATTTTCACTTTTTTGTTGATATTGTAATTCATATTTCACTTATAATAATAAGAATTTACCCAAATTTATCAATTTCGAGCGCAATAATGTAGATTTTAAATCTTTTAATATATTAAAAACAAAATTAGGTATGCCATTTTTATTTTCTGATTACTAAAATTAAAATAAAAATTAAACAAAATTTTTTAATAAATAACTTTATTTAAAAAGCTATAAATTCCACACCAAAGTAGTAGTAGCCTTAAGTTTTATTTATAAGTTTATAATTTAGAATTAATATGATTATAATATATTTATATTTACAATTCTATTTTATTTTTTAATTTTTGATATCTATTTAAAAAGTCTATTCTTCCATTTTTTATTTAATTTTTATATATTTTGTTTTAATAAAAAAAAATTATTTATTTTAACTTATTCTAATGATTTTAAAACGTTTTTATAAATATCACTAAAATAAAATAATGATTTTCAATTATCTTCATAATTTTTAATTTAGTACATTATTTCCTTTTTATAAATTATTAAATTTTTTAAATTTAGATTAACTTTTTATTTATTCTTCCTATTTTATAGTTTTTCCAAATATCACTTGCTAAAATATGCTAATATATATTTATGGGATTATAAATAATTTTATTACTTTAAAATTTTAATTATATTTTTTTAAATTGAGGTAAAAAAAGGTAAACATATAAGACAAATTTTACATAAATTATACAAATTAAGAAAGAAATAAATATTTTTACTATTTCAGATGCTGTAAGATGTTTTCATCAAGTATTATATGAATCAATTCTTAAAAAATAAATAAATATTTGAAATATTCAAAAAATGTTAATAAATTTTAATAAAACTATTTCTATATTACAAAGTAACAAACATTTATTTTTTTATTTGCAAAAATTTATAATGACTACTTAATTCTATTAATTTTACTTATTTATTATTGAATTAATAACGCTAATATTCATATCAAAAATAAATCAGTGTTTATTTTAAGATTTTTTAATAATTTTTAGCTTATTAGAATTATAGATTAACAAAATAAATATACCATTTATAAAAATAAAAACTAAATTCAAATTAGTAAAGATGACTAAAAAAGTAGGTATGTACGAATTAGGGTAGATCTTGGGTTAAGGATCTTTTGCTATGTAAATGATTATTTCTATCTGATAGACTAAATTAACTTCATTTATAAAATAAATTATAATATTATAAGATTAGTAATTTATTTTTAGTAGAGAATATAATTGTTTTTTATATTTATTGTAAAGCGTTAGAGAGGTTACACATTCAACAACTAAATAGCAATTTGCAATGAAGATTATTGATAAAGATAAAGTACAAAGAGATGATTCAATTGAAAGCTTAAAAAAAGAAATTTCAATTTTAATGATGGCAGATCATCAAAATATTGTAAAACTAGTAGAAGTCTTAGCATCAAGAACAAAAATTTATTTAGTATTAGAATATATAAGAGGAGGAGAGTTATGGGATTTGATAAGTATTTATTTAGCATTTAATGTATAAAAAAGTGAAATTATATATTTTTCAAATCATTTTAATAGAGGATAGAGGACAAATCAGTGAAGATGAAATGAGAAAGTATTTTAGATAAATAATAAAAGCTATCCACTATTGCAAAAAGAAAAATATAGCGCATCGAGATTTAAAGCCAGAAAATATTCTTTTAGATCAGCACGGATGCATAAAAGTTTCAGATTTTGGTTTATCTTCCTTATATTAAGATCCTAATCAAATATAAAATTTGTTGCACACAACTTGTGGAACAATTAATTATTTAGCTCCAGAAGTAATATTTTTTTATTATATTTCAAGTTATAAAAAATTAATTTATTTTATAAATTCTATTAAAATAATTTCCACATTAATAAATAAAATATGCCATCACTAATTCAAAAAAAATATTTCTTTGTATCTATAAAAATAATAGGTAATATAAAATATGGGTTACGATGGACATATGGCAGATATTTGGTCTTTAGGAGTTATCCTATTCTTTACTATTTCAGGAAGTAATATTATTATTTTTGAATACTCATAAATATTTTAATGATCATAGGATTACCTTTTGAAGATGAAAATGTTGCAAAACTTCTTGAAAAAATTGTTTCTGTTGAATACACTATGCCAAAAACGTTTTCTAAAAATCTAAAAGGTATATATATTTAAGATTTATAATAGTAATGATAAAAGATATTTAAATAAAAGATTTAATTAAGAACATCTTAAACTCAAATCCTAAAAAGAGATTTACACTGGAACAGATTAAGAAACATCCTTGGTATTTAGAGTATTAGAAGTTTTTTTACATTAACAATATTTTAATCAAAACAAAAAAATTATAATTTTTTAATACCTTTTTATAATTTTTGAAGATTTAAAAAAATATTTTACGAAAAGAAATGTTGCTTCACTATTTAGTTTTATCCCCAAAATAACTCGTTTTATTAAATTAAAAAAATTTTAAAGATTTTAAATTCAAAAAATAAAAAAATGTTTCTATAAAAAGTATTAATTTAATTTTTGAGTTGTATCTTGAAAAATATGAGAATATGACCTGAATAGTTAATATTTTAAAATATTTATATTTAAAATTATAAATTTGTTATAATTATATAATGATTTGATATTTTGTAATTTAGAAAAATGTCTAAAGAAGAAATGGAAGAATTATAATTAGAGGAGAAGGAAGAAATCAAATAAACTAGCTAATATCAAAGAGAGTTGTCGATAAGTTCTGGAAGCTCGGAGCTTCAGAACTGTGAGAGTGATTTAGATGGTATTATCTAGGATTAACATCCTACATAATTAATTACGAAATAGTAATCATTTTGTTTTTAATTAAATTATTTCATTTTGTCTGCAAAAATTAGTAAAAATATTTATTTGCTAATTCAGGTAACTTTTATTTATATAAAAAATTTTTTGATTTCTAATGAAACTTGAAAATTTAAATATGCATTCAGTAATTACTACTTTTGAACAGTTAATATTTTTTTTAAATAAACCTACCCCAAGTTTTTCAAGTAATTTTTTTTTTGAAATTGAACAATTAATTTAAATTTGTTGCTTGAATTGTGAAAAAATAGAAAAAAATAAAATCAGTTAGTTTAGCAAACATTATATTATTTTTTAAATTTTATTTATCTAGAATTTCTCCAATCCAACTCATGTCGTTACTCACCAGCAATATTTTAAATAAAATGTTTGATGTTAAAGGAAAAAATGAGTAAAAGCACCTCTAAAACACTTACTAATATACTCCAATAACCTCTGATAAACCAATAGAAGAGATTGATCAAACAGTATTAAATATATTTTTAACAGAATTTATTTTTATGTTTTGTTTAAATGGTTTTTTATAAAATATTATTTCTATTTTTATCTTCTTTTTTTGAATGTTTATTTAAAAATAATATAAATCAGCTTAAAAAAGCATTTGAAGCACTAACACCAAAAGAAACATCTTATATTTTTCCAAAGCAACAGTATTAGGTAAATATAATATACTAAGAACAATATTTAAAAATATTTTTAAGAATATTGAAATATATTTTTATTATATGAATTAAAAGTTAAAATGCTGGTTTAAATTCAAAAAAGAAGAGTGCAGCTTGTCATGCAAAATTTATAAAATTAAGGAATAACTTTACTTGCTAAATTTCATAAGGAAATAAGTAATAATTTTAAAATTGATAAAAAATTATAAAGGATTTGATATTTTCTTTTAGAAAATAAGCTTACTATATTTTAAAAACCAGTATGGGTAATCAATAAGTTGATTTTTTTAATTATTTATCACTCTAAGCAATTTCTTAGTCCATAATCACATAAACGAATTTTAATAAATTTGTTTTCTTGTATAGTACATTTAAATTTTAATCTTACACTGAAAGATTTTGCTAAAAAAAACAAAAATACAAAAAGATTATTTTATAGAGCTAATAAATTGTATTTTTTATATTCTTCAGAGTCATCAAATATAAATAAAAAATACAACTTAAAGATATTAATTATTTATATTAAATCAATAAAATTAGGGAAGCATTGATAGTTTTTAGTAGTCTTTGGAAAAAATACAGCCATTTTTGAAGAACATCATGATTTAAAAGAAGCAAAACTGATATTTGAAGATTATGATATAAGACAAAATTTATTTTAAGGAAAGTGATTGAGAAATAGTAATTGATCTTATTTAGACAAATTTATGATTAAATTATTATTTTTAAGATATTTATAATATGTGTATTATTTTACATTGTTCTATCAGTTAAAGCTAATTTCCATACACAAAAATACATAAAGCGTTGTTAAATATTAATGATAATGGACTTATTGTTTTGTGATTAAATCAGCTTGATTTTACTAAATTCAAAAATACTTAATTAATTTACAGAATAAAAATACTACCAAAAATATCAAAAGTATTAATGATTAAAATTTAGAATTAGCCATTAGCGTTTAAAGTACTGTAAAATTAAGCAAATGTAATGTAATTTAGAGATGCAAAATTAGCTTTAATTTTTTTTAAAAAAATGTAAAAAACTATTTAGAAGAAAAGCTAAATAACAACAATGAATTTTGTTTTAAGCAGTCTCTACATAATATTGTTTAAATTGATATCTTTTTTTTTGCTCTTTAAAGCTGAAAAAATGTTTGCTTGATTTTATGAATTCTTAATTGCTAATTTTTTGAAAGTTGAGTTTTTGCTAATAGCAAATAATTTAATTTAAAGATAGATAAATATTTGTATTTCTCATTTTCAGAGTATTAACTATTTGCTTGCTGCTCTGATAAATATCTAAATAACAATAGAAAATATTTCAATCGTTTATCCTATTCACACGAATTTTGTTATTAAATTTAATATGAATAATTTAAATATTTGGTTTTATTGAAATAATTTACACTTTAGGAACCAATTAGAATTTATGTGTAAAGTATTTATTCATTTCATTAATGAATAATTCAACGAATATTGAGAAATATTAGTCCTTGTTAAATGTAGTGCTAATTCTTAAATATAGGGTGGGGAAAAATTTTGTAATCACATAAAAATCCTAATCATAAATCTGTATTTTTTGAAAGTTATTGTGTAAGATAAGCAAATAAAAAATTGATGGTTTAGGATATATTCTTACTTGAAAATAATTATAAAACATTGATACTACTTAAGCAAATTTACATTTAAATTAGCAATCCCTTAAAGTTTATTAATTTGAACCAACTAAATTAAGAATAGTTATCAGGTGTATTTACATTCTTTTTCTTGTAATTATTCAATTTTTTTTTTTTTTCGAGAAGTAAATTATTGCTTTCTGAAAATGATTCAGGGCTGATATTAAACAAAATTAAAGTTTATCAATAAATACTATGCTAACTTTTGATGCTAGTTCTGATTTATTTAAAATCGAGAGATGGTATTCAAAATAAACTGAGTACGAGTTTAATTTTTATAATATATTACACTTCAAAATTTTAAATAGGAATTAGTTTACTATATTTTTAATTTTTGAAGAATTAATGAGATTACATGAAATATGAGTAAATTAGCATTTTAGGAACAACAATTCGAACTAAATAAGCAAATAACAAAATAAATAATTAAATAAAAAGGAAACACTAGCTTACTCCAATAAAATTTAATTACACACTTCAATTGTATAATATTTTATTTATTAAATTTATTATCTTTTATATAGGTAACTGCATAAAAAAGAATAATTTAAGAATATTTATAGATTCTTTATTTCTTGTAAATATTGATGTAATTACAATTGATGGAAAAATTATTCAATAAATTATTACTAAAAAAAAACTAAAGTTCTTATCTGTAAGCTTATAGACCCAATTTAGCTTTTGCTTTTTTTTTGACTTAAAACTTTTTCATAAATTAAAATTTTTTATTTTTGGAGATGAAGGACTCAACTAAAATCAAATATATTTATATAAGATATTAGTATTTCTCTAAAATTATTTAAAATAAATAAAAAATAAAGGTTCTAAGTTGTTTATATACACACACTTAATGACATATATAGTTTATTTTGTTTTTTAGCCTATTTATTTAAGGTTTTAAGTTAGAGGATAATAATGATTTTGATGTTATTATGTAGAATTTCAATTGAATTCAGTTGAATTTTTTAGCTATTTTGACTAAATATTAATGTTATTGCCCATAATTTTCATTATACTCAACGTAATTTTAATTCTACTTAATTGAAATTTTGGTGTTCTCAATTTATTTTTATTATTGGCATTTTTATTTCTCTCAGTCAGATGAAAAAAAAACTATCATTGCTATAGTAAATAGCAAGAGTATAAATCCAATTATCATATACATACGACGTCTTCTGTTTCTCATTTGCTATTCGAGTTATTTAGATTAATTTACTAAAATTCGAGAGGTATCTGAGAGAGATCTAGATTTAGTTTCTATGTCTCCTAATTAGGCTTGATTTTTCATAACCTTTTCTACATTTTCTTTTACATTATTTGTCAAACTATCAATATTTTGTTTTGCTATTTATAGAGAGTCTTTTTCTTAAGGATTAGCATCATATTATCTCAATACATCGTAAATGCAGTTAGAGAGCTTTCTTTCATCCATTTTCTAAGAATTGAGTTTAGCCATTTCTGCTATTAGAGTTTAAATTCTATTGTAAGAATATGTAGGCTTTGCAATTACAAAATAAATCACTTCTCCGTCTTAAGTTGAGCGATAATAGATAATACCGCTTGTTGAATCTTTTTTGAGTGTTTTATTTACAGAGCTTGGAGAGGTAAGAGTACCTATTTCCTTTTTTAAAATATTAATTGCTTCCCTTTCAAAATTGTCTTTTTTTGAAGGATCTAATGTCTCTTAGAGAACAATTTCAGTGCTAATTGCATTTCCTATAGCTACATACTTTATGTTATTATTCATTTTTTATTGATGATAAAAATGTTTGTTTAGATATATTTCAAAATAGGTATGTGTAATTTTTCAGTTAGTTTTGAATACAACTACAAATGAAATTAATTCTTTTGCAACTAAAATATTTTAACTTTTAGTATTTGATTGGCTTTGTTAGTTATTTTTGAAGTTTTTTAATACTGCTTAGATGTGAAAACAAAATATCCTAAAATAAAGAAGTTAATTAAAAAAGAGTTTGCTAATTGGTTAGGTTCCTATTTTGTTACAAACACTTGTTATTGAATCATTTAAATTAGAGTCAATCATTCATATAGCAAATTAAATCAATAAATAAATAAATTAATTCAATCTTTATGATTTCAGAAAATATCATAAATTATATTCATTATAACTTTTGTCTATTATATTTATCTGCTCAGTTGTTTTGATTAAATATAAGTGATATAAATGAATAATGATATTTAATAATTTGCTAACTCCATCAACTTTAAGTTATGCTTATCAAAAAAATTATAAAAATGTTTTGATTTTTTGCTTTAAATATAGCTTTATTTGATAATATTCAAGAGTGTGAATTTGTATTTGCATAAAATCAAATATTTTCATGGTTTAAATTAGTTTTTTGTTTATTAAACTAGAACGTTATTTAGTTATTTTAATCCAAAATATGTAAGTAAGTTTCTAAAATAAGTGATGATGGGAAGATAATTGATGACGTGGTTGATCCGATCTTAAGATGCTTAAATAATTATCAGTAACATTAAATTTAAAATTTATAAATTTTTTTATCATTATTAGATACATTTAAAAATTGAATGCTAAGTATTTTGATTATAAAAAAAGATGTGATCTTTTTTTTTGTTTTTAATTTTCATTAAAAAAACTAATATCAAAAAAATCAAATTAATTTAGTTAACTTAATAGCAAAATGAATGAATGGTTTCGATATGAATAAATTAATTAAAAATATTTATTATATTTTTAGAATTTATCTATACTGCTTAAAGATGCTAGTTACATATTTTTACATAATAATTATTACTTTTTCTAAAGATTATAAATAAGTAGTCGAACCCTTTATTTAAGATTTATTTTAAATTTGTGAATTACAAATTCTATACTTAAATTGTCTTAGATTGCTAATTTTTTCACTATTATTTCTTTATTTATTTATTATTATTATGTTTAGGGATCTTACATTAATACTAATATTCAAAATGCAATTTTTTTAAGTAATTAGTACACACACACAAGTATGCTTTAATTACTAATGTGCTTTAAAAAAAAATATTTGAAAGTAAATAGTAGTATAAATAATATTTTCATGAAAGAAACACGATATTGCATTAATAATTTATTGATACGTATTTACATTTGGTATCCAATTCTATTTGATATAGGCTAGTTGCCTTTTTATTATTATAATACTGCTAATAACATATATATCTTGGTTTTTTTTCCCCACAAAAAACAAATGATAATAGCATCGTTTTAGCTTTAATTAAGGTTATTATTTGTTTCTTAATTTATTAAAAAATTTATGGAAAATATTAGACTGTTTATGAAGGGAGTGATAATGGTAAATTTATTTTGATTAGTTTTTCCCCTAGAAATACTTTCTTGAAAAGAATGGGATTTAGCTAAACATGTTAGAAATTAAAAATTTATAGCATTTATAAGGGAGATGAATTTAATTCCTTAATTACTAAATCACTTAAGTGTAAGATAAATAAAGTACTAGAATTGCTTATACAAAGTTAGGGAATTAATAATTGCAGATTACATATTATGAAGATATAAATTTTATTCTAGAAATTCATTTCTTTTACAAAATATCATTCACTTTTGCTAAAAAGCAATTACTGTTTTTTAATCATAGGTCTGCTAAAAAAACAAAAGAGTGCTTATTTGAATTTTTTTACAAATAAATTAATGTATTTCGTGTGATTTTTTATTCTATTACTCATTTTTTTAAGTAAGAGGCACAATACCACCAGAGTTGATTTAATTTTAGTAATGATAAAATTAAGGAAAATGATTATACTGTTACAAGATTTAATTTATATTGCAAGATTAGCAATTTAAATCACCCTAATTTGCTTACATACATAAAAGTGAAATAGAAATTTATAGATATTAGTTCAAGCTTTTAAATAATTTTAAAAAGAAGAGTAACTAAATTAGATTTTACTTTTGTTTAATGCCCTTTTCATCTCTTTCACGATCAAGAAATTATAATTACACTCTAGACTTAAAAAGTATTTTGAGCAAAATTCATATTTTATAAAACTTAAAAATTTTTCTCTTTTGATCTCATAATAAACATTGAACTCCATAACTTTCTTACATATTAAAGTTTAATGGTAGATTCTAAAAAGATTAATCTCATAAAAATAGACAAACTGATTGTTAAATTTGCAAATTGTAATGATTTTAGGTTTCAATTTTTTAGTTTTTTCACACACTCTCACTCGCTAGTTATTAATAGAATAAAAAATTCAATAATAACAATGTGAGTAGCTACCAGCCCTATATAAAACCATAATAAATCTTTTAGAAGTAATAATTTTATTTAATTTTTGTAATTTTATAATAGTACTAACTAGATTTGATTGCTTATTCCTTTAAACTAGGCGCAAATTATTTATTCTTCCATATCTCTCCTGATCTGAAAAATAAGCCATTAACATTATAAAATTTTGCATTAAAAATTAGGATTAGTTACAGCCCTAATATCGGATTTTTTTAATTAAAATATACTAAATCTTTTATTTATATTTTTTTTCATGAAAATTTAGTGATAGTTCTTTTTTCTTCAATATTTCCTACATACACATTAAAAACTGTTCATTATCTATTTATCTAACTAACTAGCTATCTTACTAACAATATATGTCCTATTTATTGCAAACTCATAGAAATTTATTTTGCTAATTCATATAAATTAATAAAAACAAATATTTTTATAATCTATAGTAATACTTTCTAAATTTTATCATTTATAATTTCTATGCTATTTGTTAGGAGCATACATTTTATCAATATTTCATTTGTTAAAAATAACAATTTCAACTGCTTTATAATTTGTAAAATCAAAAGAATTCAGTCATCAGATTAATCCAAATGTCATTCGAAAATAAAAAAATATAAACTATATATTTAACTAATATCCTAAATTAATGCATTAAAAGCTAAAATTTGATTTATTCCAAATTATAAAAATTTTATAGAGGCTATTTTTTGCTCGAAGATTTTTTTTATTTTATGCATTAAGGTAAAAATAAGTAATATTTTCACAATCGAATTTTATTTATCGTATAAATAATTAACTTAAAATAGAAATAAAGCTTTAAATAGAAATATATTAATGAATAAAATTTAAGGAAAAGAGGCTACATAAAATGGTCTTTCTATTTTGATAATTTTTTTTTTACATTAATTCAATATTTTACACAATGAATGACTTTTTTTTAGATATTGCTTAGTTATCATAGAGTGTTTGTTACAAATTATCAGAATTAAAAACTAACTTTTTTTAAAAAGGTTAAGTAAATTTTGGAAAAAAATATAAAATAGATAAGGCTGAATATTAAAATCATCCAATTTAATCACTAATTTTTCAATAGCAAGGAAAAAGATATATCAAAGATAAATTTATTGCATAAAAAATTTATGATTTGATTCTTAAGTAAATTTTGGTATAATTGTAATTCAGATTGTTAATTTAAAGAATAATAAAGGTAAATACGAATGGAAGAATAAGAACTATTCGTAAATTAAGTAATGATAGTTGTTAATTTCTAAATAAAATAAATATATATATAAACACAAGTATTTATTTATTTACAAATAGATTAAAGAATATACTTATATTTTAAATTAAATCTTATATAGAGTTTTGTATTGAAATTTGAATAGGATTTGCTGTATATTTATTTATTAATTAATTAGAGTAATATTGTTTTGAGAAAAGTAATAAGAGAGTATTTATTTATTTATTTGTATTGATGCTCAGCTAACTAGCTATTCATTCATTAATTTAATGGTTCATAAATTAAAGACTGTGATTCTACTATTAGCTTTTGAAATTTTTTTATAATTTAACTATTTCTTCATACTTTAAGTTGTTTTGTGTTAGAGTTTAACCATTTTATATCTATCTATCTATATGAATGCATAGCTCTGATTTAACAAAAATCTAAAAATTAGACTTAGGTTTGTGTGAATATAAATATTAAGTTGTTTATTATATCATGGTTATTGACTATATCAGATTTAAAAGAAAAAAGGTATTTGATGGTTAATTTTGATTTATAAGTTACTTGAATATTTTCTTATTTTCTATTTTTTGAGCTTACAATTTTCCTAATCAAACACTAGAAGCAGGTATCATTCCAGAGTTAGAAAAGAAAGAAGTAGCCTGCAAGTTTCTTAAAGCATGACTAGCAGATAATTCAGGCTTATTCATTAATAAACTTTAATCAGGAAGTGTTTGGAGTAGTGCTCCATTTACTTATGCGGTACTATTAAAAGTAGGAATTCCTTAACTTGCAGATAATAAAGGGAGAATTCCTTGTTAAATCAAGGGATTCTATGGAATCTTAGCTAAGGCTGGATTTGAGTTTGAGTTAATACCTGACAAACCAGCTTATTAGTTTTAAATTAACATTTGCAAATTCATAAGCTATGGGTTTTGCAAGATATTTTGTTAAGGAATAGCTCCCTATAACAAAAATGAGTTAAATGGATTGAAAATTTATTGTTATTAAGATTAAATTTATTGTTGTTATTATTACTATTATTAAAGTCTCAGCTTTAGTTATAGCTCTTCTTATTTTATTTTTTCTTACTAAATTTGATTTTCTTGTAATTTAATCATTATTTATTACTCAGCTGTTTATGGGGCTTGGGATTATTAAGTCTATGCATTTTACTAAATTGTTCCAATATCGTAGTTGCTTGGAAATCCAAGAATTTATGGGCCCATTGCTTGAGCAGGAATAGAAGGGTTTCCACTAAAGTTCTGTTATTACTATTAAAAGGGAAGTTGTAAAAGTAAACCTGAGGGGATGGGGCATCCGTTTATGGGATTTGCGAATGTATTTACTGGGCTATTTTATTTGACTATTTTACGAGGTAAAGAAGATTCTAAATTATTTGAAGACATGACAGATTATTCACCTAGATCTTCAACTTTACAGAAACTAGCTGAGCGAGAGTCTTCAGAGATCACTTGGGGTGACATTTTCTTCATGGCTAGTTGTTACTATAATTATTGTTATTACTATTATTAAAGTTAAATTTATTGTTATTATTATAATAAATGCTATTATTATAATAATGTAAGTTAGAAATGAGGATTTGCAAAGTTATTATTAATCATAGCGAAATGAGGCAAGTTTCCTTTTTGGAGACTGATCATCTATGAGTTTGAGGAGTTGTTTTAAGGAGGAGAATAAACACATGCTTAGTTAAGAGTATCGGCATTTTAAAAGTCAAAATTAGAGCTTGAGCCAGATGTAATACGCTTCTTAGAAGATTTGTTGGTTGAATCTCCCAAGATTGCAGTAGAAAGAGAGTGAGCAGCATCTCTATTTACAAAGCTGTTTGAAGAAATTTTTTTTACTTAATTCATAGGAATGCTGGGAAGTTGCATTGATGAGTTTAGACCTTCACATCCAGAACCTGAAGGGATATGAGGTAGAATGGCTGAAGAACCAAGAGCTGTAGTGGTAGCTGCAGAGTCTGGAATACCTAATTAGCGATTCTTTTTAAGACGGAGTTGTTAGACAATGTTATCAAATTTCTTTTTTAGTTTTTATTTTTAGGCAGCACTATAGCTACCTGAAAGTATGTCTAAATTGTGCTTGGTTTTCAAATCTTTTAAAATGAGTTTAGGCTTGGAGCAGAACTCAGATTCGAGAAGGAAATAGTTTTTATAAATAAAGTCAGAATATTTAAGAAGTCTGCCAGTAAGCATTTTTTCTTCAAATTTTTCCTTAGAAATATGGTGATTGTGCTCAGCATGAATATCACGAAGATAATACTTATTTTCAATGGGACTAAGCTCAAGTTTAATACTAAATTGACACTTTTGCTTGGAGCATATAAGTTTAAGTTTGTGGGTTGTCTAATTTTCAATTTTTTTTAAAATACAAAAGGAAATTTATTCAGCAAGAGCAATTTTATCTTCTAAGTAGATGGCATCGAATTCTTGCTAGAAGAGTTCTTTAACGGTCAAGGGAATCATATTTATGAGTATTTGCGTTATTTTGATGAGAGGATTATGGAGGTGGAATTTTGAATGAATATTTTTTAGCAATTAAAAATTAAAAAGATTATTGAAAGGATTTGTTGTGAGTTATGTGTGCTTTAAATTAATTAGCAAAGAGATGTTCTTAATTTAGAGTTGTTTTTTTAATAATTAATATTCTCAGAAGAACCTGCTTCTTTTTTATTATTTTTTTTTCTTCAATATTTGAATTATTTTTTTACTAAACAATTATCAGATTTTTTGCTGAAGTGTTTATAGAAAGATTAAATCAAGTATAATCAAGCACAAAAAGAAGCAAATTTTTAATTAATAATAAAACAATACTTATTTGAATTAGCGATTACCTAGTATGTGTACAAACTAGTTATTTTTTACAAGTTTTTTTTTTTACTAAAGCCTTGCTGATTGAAAAAATGGGCAGCAATGATTTTTGCTAAAGCTGATGGCACAGTAATATTATAAAGTATTTCATGTTATTTTGTAATTTTCTATTTAAATTCTTTTCAGCCAAAAATAAATGCTTGGTATAAGCTAATATTAATCATCTATATAATAGAAGCACTATTTTAATAGTTTGGAATTGAGTCTTAAAATTAAAAAAGAGGTGATTGATTAGCCTATTTTTATTTATTGCTTTCTTTCATTCAAAAACCACTCAGTACAAACAATTATTATTAAAGCTTTTTGATATCGCTAAAATTTACGAAACTAAGCACCTTTTTATTTTTCCTAAGAAAAATAAGATAAAAGCAGGTTTTATTAAAGTTATTAAATTAATATCAGTCTCAACTTAGCTATAAAATCTGATTGAATATAGATAGTGAGCATACGGGCTAGACTTGCAGATAAAGGTATTGTTGTTGCTATATTTTTCAATTGTAAAATATAATGCTAAGCAGTTAGCAGCAGGGCAGAGTATTTACTGCTCATATACTTATAGACCTATTTGATGAGCCTTATTTTTATATTAGCTAACCCTTACATTAAGATAAATAATAGTCAGCGCTCTCTCCTTTTACTTTGTCAAACCTTAAATTTAATAAAGCATACCCGCTGGTATTTATTTGTTTAAATTAGTTTTTGATAAATTAAGCAATTTTTTTTAAATAACCATCTACTGCTCTACTTTCTATTCCTTAATAATTCTAAATAAGAATTACTTTTATTTGCTACTTTTATATGCTGTCGAACTAAAGCGTATTCCCCTAAGTAGCCCACATAATTTATATGTACCAAAGTAAAAATACATGGACTTAGTTTTTTGCTAATAAATCCATCTCCCTCTTTTACCATTTGTTGCTTTTATTAAAATTTTTGAGAAAACGTTTGAGTCTTAGCACTCTTTCATAATATTTCTGAAAAAAAAATTATTTAAAAAAACGTATTAATCTACTTAAATTTTAGCATCTAGACATATAATAAATAATATTTTTAATACGCATTCGCTTTCCAATCTGCTTATTAATTTACTTCTTTTTAGATTAATGAAATTCAAATAATCTTTTTTGATATTAAGCAAGCAATAAATCAATCAAGCACTGCCCCACCCCTCAATAAGGGCTTTTAAAAGCAAAAATTTACTTTAAGATTTAAAGCAATATATACGTAAATTTGATTAAATTTTTCCTAAATTTTTTTCAATTTTTTGAAGTTATTTTCCTCCATCAAAAAGAAATAACTTTATAAATGTATGTATTTTACTATATAAAAAAGATACTATCGAATTATAGCCACATTTGTGTCTTTAACAAAATACTTTTTAGGAAACGAATTTCGCCTTTACTAAATAAGAATTCCGAACTGTTAAAATTTTGCAAAGTTAGATTTTCGTAGCATTATTTATGCTACTAGGATTGTTAGAAATTATTCTTACTCTTTCCTTCTAATTAACAATCTTTCGAAAATCAAAAAATATGATAAATTTTACTTACATTTATTAACTCTCTTCCTTATGAGTAATTTAATTTGATAAGCACTTTTGATTAATTGAATCGACTCTTAATTTTCTTAAATTTAGATATATTAGAGGATTAAAATACTAATTTTTCATGAGAATTTATCAACTGACTTTGATTTAATAAAACTTACAGAAGATTTGTACAACTAATTAAAAACAAACAAAAGAGAGATCTATATCATTTCTTAGGCTGGTGAGCTTTTGCAGTTAAATTGAATAATTTGTGGAAGGGAAAGAAATAGCATTTTGATTATATTTCTGTTTTGTCCTTGCGTCAATTAACCAAATTGGGCATTTTTCTTTAGGATATATTTTTTTCTATATTCCTCCGAGAAGGATTTTTCTGTTTTACTAAACATTCTTTGGTTTTAAATATGTCAAGAAAAAATTCAAAAAGAGCAAATAATTAATAAAATACAAATTAGATTTAATGAATATGGCACCATATCTTGCACAGTAAATTTAGCTAATGTTTAAGCTATGCTCATCGTTTTTTGCTCTGTATGTTTTGGTATTAATTAATAACAAAAACTAATATATATCTCTAGTGTTATATTATTTATTTTACAGATATAATTCACTTAATTTATAAATTATAGTAGTAATCGCTGCCAGTAGATCAATAATTTACCTCTTTCAAAAAGAAAAATTGTAATCAAACTTTCCTATTCCTTTTCAAGAATGCCACCATTCTTAAAAAAATCTAATTTAAACGTGATATTTATCTTAAAAATAACATATAATAATATTTTTAACTTGTTAGAAGATTTTCTTGAAGAGTTTCATTAAATAATTTTTTCGAAATAAAATCACTCTTTTAGCAAGTATTAACAAAACAAATCAAAAAAGTATAATTTAAGAAACGATGATTTTTATTTTTGTTTAAATATTTTTTAATATTATAAGAACTGGAAAAATAAAAGTTATTTGTTTTAACTGGTAATTTTACAAATGGCAGCTCACGAAAATACTTTTTAAAAAGTGTATTTTTATTTTTACGATTTGCACTTTTTAATCTCTAGATCGTTCTTTGATTAAAAAAATATGTGTAAGTTTAAAATATCTTCAAAAAAAATGAGAAATTCATCTAAGAATTTTTGATTTATTAAAGAACACGTAAAACATAAAAAAATAACAACTGAGGTAAATACTTTCTTGTGCCTTCCAGGCAAGGCCAAGTTTAATAAAAACAGGCTACCAACTTATTAAATTACAAAAAAATATTTGGGATTAATATTAAATCAATTCTCCTCTTCATTATCTTCTCCATTGTCATCATCATCATCTCCTTCTTCCTCTTCATCATCATCATCTGATTCCAACCATTCGATAAAATCTTTACACTAATAAATAATAAAAATATGAAAATTCACTTGTGTTAAAATAATGAAATGCTCCTTTTAGTTATTGCCATATGCCAGTTTAGGCTTCTAGTATTTGTAACTCATTAAAATAATTTGATTTAGATTATGGATAATAAATTCCAATTAGCATTGTAAAAGAAAGGTAGAGAGATATAAATAAAAGTAACAAAATTACTAAATCAAGGAAATGTTTTTGGTCGTCATTACTTTAGTTTCTTCTTTCATTAACCCAGTTTAATATATATTCTTTAGTTAAAATTTCATTTTAAAAGAGAAGCTGTTATAAATTTAAAAAATAAATTTGTTAAATGAATAAAATTTAAATTGAATAATTTTATATAAATGATATAACATTTTTGAAAATTTTATTTTTATTCACTTATGTTTATTTCATGCATTTCTCAGAGAAAAAATGAAGAAAAAATAAATAAATAAAGTTAAAATTTAAGAATTCTTGAAATTTGCAATTATGTCTAATTGAAAGTAAATAGAGATGAATTGCTAGATGATGTAAACAAAAAAAATGCTTAGATAATTGTAATCTAATCAAAACAACTTTTTTCTTTTCTATCATAAAATAGTATAATTATAATAGATTGGGGATTATTTAAATGAAGCAAGAAAGAAATATCTTTCAAATAAAAATAAAACCTACCCTAATAATTTATTAAAGTAATTAAAAACACTATTTTCTGAATGTGCATCAAGACTTGTATAAAACAAAAACTAATATACCATTCCTAAAATAATGTGTGGTGGTTAATTGAATTCTTAGTATTTAATTTACTGAATTTAACTGCTAAATATTCATTTAAGTTTCCTTATTAAAGATATGGAAAAATAGAGGGTAAGTTAAGATAATACTTACTTTTTTTTCTTGTTAAGATGCAAGTATAAAATTAATATTTTGTTTATCTTAGGTATTGATTTTTTTTATTACTAAAATTTTTCCATAATGATTTTTTGGAATTTGAATCTAAAAAAACAATCATCAAAACTTCGTTCCTTCAAAAATAAATTTAAGTGAATTTGGATTTTTTTATAGGTGTTTTATATATGTATGTATTTAGGGTACCAAAAATCACCTAAACTACTAAATATTCAAAATAAATACTTTAAATAAAAATTTGCATAATTAAATTTCTTTAAGTCTGTAATTTCCATATTTTCAAAAATGTTATATTTCCTCTATTTTCAATTTATACCTATAAGAAGATGTGAAGGAAGTCGTAGAAATCCTTGTGAGTGATGCAGAATTACTTTTTTTTAGTTAAACATATTAAATAAGCTAATTAATAAGCAAATTTATAATTTTTAACAAAAAGATTAATGTCTAATTAGTGTGAATAATTTTATAATATAATGAGAATAAGTAAAGTAATCAAGGTTTAAGATTTTTGTAAATGTAACGATTAGACATTTTAATAATCATTAATTGTATGTAATTTTACTTCTATTTCTGATATGAAAATGAGAGAGTCTTCATCAGAATGAACAAATTTCCTGAACAGCTTATTCCAATTTCCAAGCAGCTTTTTTTATTCAAAATTATAAATATGTTTATTAAGCTGCACTAAATAAAAAATTAAATAAAAATCTATTAGAAATATATAATTTTAAGTGATTTAAATAATTTTTATCATTTTTTTTACTGTTTTTATGTGACCTATTCTTTCTTATGGATTGGCACTCGCTTTAAATTTTACTATTAAGCCATTAAGAATTTCAGGAACAAATACTTGAATGCATCTCCAACCCTCTGTATTTTCTGCAACCTTGAATAAATTTTAATTCGTTGATGTGGTTATTATTCAATTGTTTTATTAAATATCAATAAATTAATTAAATTTTTTCCTGATTAGATGCTAATCATATTTTGTTACACAAAAATTGTAAAATGTGTGCTAATATTTTTTTCATTTATAAACTTTCAATAGTTACTATCTTAAATTTACCTTAAGATTGTGTATTTCAACTATGCTGTGATCAGTCTTAGGAGGATCATTAAGAGCTTCTTGAATAATTTGTCTTATATCTTCTGCTAATTATTAAAATATGGCATCTTCTCTTTAACCAATGTCTTCTTCAGATCCTTCTTTTTCTTCATGGACTAAGTCATCTACATCTTCATAATTTTTTATTATTTCATGTTGATTATAGCCTAACATAGCTTCATTTTGTATGAATAGTTATGCAGCGTAAATGACACCTTTTTCAAACAGTTTACTACTTTCTTCTTAATTTTCTTCTATCAAATCCTTATCGTACTCAAAGGTTGTGGCCTTGTTAATATTAAAAATTAATTTAACAGAAATTTAAGAATGATTCAAATAATTTAAGCTATGTAAAAAATGGTAGACTAAGATATTATAAGTAGTTTAAGCTTTCAATTTAAAAGGAAAATGAGTTAGTTGAATTTTTGCAAAGCGACATTTTGTCGAATTTTAGAATATAAGTTTTGAATAATTTTTAGAATTGATTATTGAAATTAGTTGTATAATTCAATATTTTTATGTGTAATCAAAAAATAAATAATTCTAAGTGATGGGTTCTTAATGGAAAATTGTAAGTGATTAGCCTAAAAAGTTTGTGCTTTGGTTTGATTAAAATAATATTTATCTAGAAATAGAAGGTGTAAAAATATTGATAATTTTTCATTTTACTCTATCTAGAACTACTTACAATCTTTTTAATTTAAAACAACAATCAGCCTTAAAAATTCCTAATGAGAGCAAAATTATAATTTAAAATAATATTAATCTATTTTATTTGCAATAAAAAATCATCTGAGTAACTCTTGTATTTGTTTAACAATTAAATTTTTTTAATATTTGGTAAAGATAGTAAGTTGATGCTATTTTAATCTATCTAGATTAAAAATTTATTTATATATTCATAATTCTTGAAAATAGTCAATTTTGAGTAAATTTAAAGTGTAAGTAAAGATAAGGGTTATTTTTTGTTCTATATTAAGCAAATATTATTGATAATTTAATGCAACTTAGCTGATTAATAGTTCTGGGGATAGACTGGAAAATTGTAAAATTAAGAATAATATAATTTTCGCAATTAAAAAATTGTATTTTTGGATATTTGTAAATATATTTATAAAGTCTTTAAATAAAATGTTAAGATGAGAAGGTAAGGTTATGTGTTAACCATTAATTAATAAATAATTAAATAAAATCAAAAATAAGTAATGAGTTTCAATGTCTATTAGATTTGTTTGAAATTAAATTTCCTTAAATTATTTTTACTGTATCTATTTTTAAATCTACCCGATCATTGATCATTGATAGGTATGCTAGATTCTTAGTATTGATTTTTTCCTCTTAATTTGATTGATTTCAAATAAAATCATAATAAGGAAAAATTGTGCAATAGTATTAGTAAAAGATTACTACATATTACTATTATATTACCAAAGATATACAGCTTTATGAGTATAATACACTTTTGACTATTCTAGTCCACAGTTTCTATAAATTTAGCTCCTTTTCGCTCATTAAGGAACCAAATTTTTAAATTATAAATAAATGCTGTTTGGCAATTATAAGTTTTTATTTTGAGAGTATATTTAACTAACTAACTAACTTAATATAGAAAAAGAAAATATTTCTAAGCAAATTTTGAAATAAAAATATTTTGTTGATAAAAACAAAGGCCATAAAATTTACTTTATAAAATTTTTTTATTAAGAATTTCGCTAATTATCTAAAATATTTGGTAAAAAAACATAACTTTTTAATTTTAGTGTAAGGTATCTATTTGAAAACTCAAAAACAATTTCAAGAATGGAGGGAGGTAGGTATGTATGTATGGGAGGAGTATAAAAATTATTAGTATATTAAAAAGATTAAATAAGAAGAAAAAAGACTAATTTAAATTTAAATTATAAAGATTTGTAATAGATATGATAGAAACAAGTTCTAGTAATTAAAGAAACTGAACCTTCTATTTATTATTTAATATAGTTTTTATTTAAGAAAACTCAATCACGTTTTTGATAAATATGAGAAATTAGATTAATTTTTGATAGGAATATCATATCTCTTTTTTTTTAATTAGCGTATTTTTTCATTTGCCAAAATTTTTATTATCTTATTTTTTTTCACGGTATTTTTTTGCTATTTATGACTAGTTAATATTTTTAATAAAAAAGAAAAAAGTCATATTTAATTTCGTTTGCTAGTTAGTTATTTAATATTTTCTTTCTACTGTTCAAAATATTTAAAATTAATCAGTATAAATATCCTGAATAGTTAGATTTTGGGAATATTTTCAACGATATATTCCATAAAATTTAAATGTAAGTTTATTAAAAGTACTTTTCTTAATCTTTTTTTCCAAAATTATAAATAAAATAAGTTAAATATTGTTTTTTGCTTGTTCAAGCATCCTACCAGAGGAAAATCTATTTATTATCAATTTAAATTTTTTTTCAAGGCAATTCAACATACTTTATTGTATATGAGCTATGAAATTCAACAATATAAATAAATTTAATTCAATTAAAAATTTAGGTTTAGGCATTCAAATTATGAAAATATGTCCCTCAAATAAAGTTTTCCAAAAAATACAAATATTTGATGTGTTTTTGGTTTATTGAAAATTAACTCATTTGACGAGTGTTTATTTTTATTTTAAAGAACTTAAAATTTTATAGCAACAACTAAGAATTATTTTGCTATTGTTACATAGAAAAGCAAAAATAAGATATGCTTAAATATGTGATGAAATTTAGATAGAATAGTTGAATTTCAATTTCGAAACTAAAATCTAATTAGTTATAATTCATGAATAAAATACAAAATCAAAATGCGTATTATATGGGGAAACTTAAAAAATTATTAAAAAAGATATACACTAACTTATTAACTAACTAGAAAGATTTTAAAAAGTTCTATAAAAATAATTGTTAAGGTAATATCTGCTGAGATAATAATTAGTATTATACTCTTTTATGCCCACATAACTTAAATATTAAATTTAGGGGTATTTATCAATCAGTTGAGGTTTAAGCTTAAAGAATAAATTTTCTTTATTTTTTTAGCTATAAAAACAAAACACTTACTCATTCAATGATAATTTAGGCATAAATAAAAAAGCAAAAAATTTTCCATCACTTAAATTTAAAGCGTTTAATTACATAATGTTTGACATACCAGCTATTAAGAATTAAGTTTTTTAAATACTTTGCACATCATTATTAAAATTTTAATGCTTAAATACTAGGATCAAAAAGATTTAAAAATATGTCCATCTTCTTACAGATTATGTATGTAATCAAAAAGAAAACTTTTTTTTTGTTATAAATGCTAACTTTTAAATTAATGTGATTATAAATTCACTTTAATATTTTTGAGATTGGGGGAAAATATATATATGCCTTAATTATTGTATGGTGTAATTCACTTAAAGATTATATTGAGTGATTAATAATATTTTTTAATTGAGTTCGACTTTGATTTTTATCAAAATTTCTTATCACCAGAATTGCAAAATTTACAAATAAGTATTGCTTAAAAAAAGAAAAAATTTTAATTACCATAGTGTATTCTGGAAGTGTTATATCTTGCTTTGTAATTACATTGTATGACAATATTGATCCTTCTTTAACAATGCAATTCTTTTTTATCACTACATGATTGCATATGATTGAGTCCTTTATTATAGTGCCATCCTCAATTATGACATTATCTTGAATAATGCATCTTTGAATCTAAACGTTTGATCCAATGTTACAGTTTTTTCCTATCACAGAAGCTTGAACGTTAGTATTATCACCAATTTAAGTAGCATCTCCTATACATGAATTATTTCCAATCACTGTGCTGTGTGCTATTTTAGTAGTTTTCCCCATGAAAATATTAAAGTCTTAATTTAAAATATTTTATTTCTAATAAGCCATCATCTTATTAACAGTAAAGGGATAAGTGTATCTTTTTTTATAATAAATAAGCGGGTAAATATAGTTTTATTTCTATAAATATTAGGTCAATTTTGAGAAATTTAATATCAGTAATGTAAGATATTCTATATATATATTAAATAATGTTTCTATAAAGAAAAGGTGAGGTTTATATCATTCTTTTTTACTCAAATTTGCAAAATTAAACTTACAGTTAAAATTAGTAAAATAGAACAATAAGTAAACTAATTCAAGTATTTTATTATCAAAGGTGGAAGACTTTTAAAGTATGATAAACAAATCAAAATATTTGGAAAAGAGCTAAAATAAAAGAATGATAGAAAATAAAATAAAGTATATGTTCTTAACATATTTATTTATCTAAATTCTTAGCAAATTATGAAATTTTATTAAGTAGCTAAAATCATGAAACATTTTTTTAAATGTTTTATGTGTATTTATGTAATTCTATTTGTTTATTGTTAAAAATCTATTAGAATTAATTTTAGAAATTATTTCAAATAATTTTTCTTAATAAAATTAATTTATTTGATATTTCATTAAAAAAATATCTTTTATCAATGACTAAAGCACTCAATAATATTTTTTAATTTTAAATGAATGATTAAGTAATATTAATAATTATTTTAAATAAGTAGCACAATTATTTATTTAATTAAAAAACTAAATTAAATTAATATCAATCGTTTTTGATGTGCATAGAGCATTAGCTCCAATCCAAATTAAATATAATTAATAATTTTTCAAATTAACTTTGAAAGAAAAAATAAAAACTTGGATCAAATGTTTAATAGATTGTTGGTTTTATTACCTTTTGATAACTGATTAATTTATTTTATAGTAAAGTCTAGGATCACTAGCTCTTAAAGCATACTCCGAGTCGGATATTATATATGAACTAATCTTTTCTTCATTAATTTCAGCAGTTAACAACTCTTTCATAAAATCTTCCCTAAAAGAGTTGAATGTAAAGTTTTCTTAAAAAGCCTTTAAAACATCCAAAGAACAAATGTATATTTAATTATCTAAGTAGTTGTAATGAATTTTTTAGCCAAGTGCAGCACCCTTAGAGACTTTAAGTCTTTCTAAATTTAATTCAAAATAATCTTCCTTGTTTATGTTTTCAATTTGAAGAATATCCCCTGATTGTTTTTCAACGACAAATGCAAAATCGTCATCTTAATAAGTTCTATTACTATCAAATGGGTGGCTCTTTTTAAGAATAGCAGTCATAATATTAAGAGAGTTCTCCTTCTTCTTCCATAAGAAATGCTTAATAGCACTTTGCAATTTAATATTTGAAACCATGTCTCCATAGCAAAGAAGGAAATCTCCATAAACTACACCCTTGTATTACAATTCTCTTAAAGCATCACCAACACTTTTTTAATTAGCAAATAAAAACTAAATATTTACTTCTACTTTAAAATTTAATGTATTATTTTCAATTTATATATAAGCCTTTCAATAATCTATTCTTTAATGCACACTATTATATATTTTTAAATTTCTATTTAAATGCTAAGAAATATTGATTTATATTAAATACTCATTCTTCTTAAAAATTATAATCTATTTTCTTAATACTAAGTTGTGCTATATATATTCCAATTAGCTTAAATAACAATTATTTTATAAAAAATAATTTCATATTTAAAGGTATTTTTATTTACGTTTTTGCATCATGAGCATGTATTAACTGTATTTTCATGCTACTTTTATCTCTTTGAGAGAAATATTATTCTATTTTTTAGCTGTGTGATGTATAAACAACTAACAATTCATAAATTTTATTTGCTTCAAGCCAATTAATTGTATGCTCAATCAGAGGTACATTTGCTACAGGTAAGAGACACTAATTAATAATAAAAAAGCATGTTAGTACTTACTTAATGTAAAATTGTTTTATAAATTATTATATTTATATAATTGCTTTTTAGCTATTAATTTACTATTTTAAACATATTTTAAAGATTTATTTTTTAAATTTCGCAATAAAACAAATAAAACATTTTTTTCATTGCATTTTTAAAGTTAATTTTAAACTTACTTTAGGAATTTCTTTTGTGATAGGTGCTAATCTAGTAACATATGTATCAGCAAGGAGAACAGCTTAGAAATTTTCTCTAATCTATTTGTTAAAAATAATGTTGATATCATTGAAGAATCAAAATAATATTTTAAATTTGCTTATTAGTAAAATTAAATATGCAAATTATTAGATATAGCATTATTTTTTATTAATCCTATTGTTTAATATGGTACTTCTATTTTTTCTTTATCTATAGGCTTTTGGGTCTACTTCTTCATTTTTATTTCTACTCTTCTTATATTATTCTTATACTACTTGAGGATATATTTGCAAAATTTTTTAGTTAATAGATAAATATCTTTTTCTTTTAAATTTATTAAAGAATCTTTATTTTATTTAGGTTTATATCATTAATTTTAGATATGAATGATCTATTGATGCAAATTGAAGTAGATTTATTGAGATAAAATATATTTCATATAAGTGTTTGAAAAGAATACCTTTCTCATTAATTGCCACTTTTTGTAATTTGTTTAAGATAAAATAGATAAATTATTATAAAATATATTTTTTAAGTAATTTACATAGAATATAAATATTTTTTTTAAATTAACCATATTTGAAATTTATAAAAACAAATTTTATTATCAGTTTTTTACATTTTAAATTCTAAAAAATAAAAAAATATAATGTATAATTTTAATCTGTCTTAAAATGAAATTTCCAACAAATAATTAAATATCATTAAAATCTATTCTATTTTTTCAAATAGGTTTTAATAAATATTGAATTTGAGAGAAAATAATAAATAATAATACACTTTTTAAATTTAGGATGTGATAATTAATAAAAAAAGGTAGGATTAAGCATTAAACTCTAGTGAAAAAATTCTTTTAAAATCAATAAAATGTTTAAAAATTTATAAAATTTGATATTTATTCATTAGAATTATTTAAAATATTAATTACTATTTCTAATAAGAAATTCTTGATATCAAAAATAGAAATTTAGTAAACTCTTAACTATGATATAATATTCAATAAAGATACGTATTACGTATTATTCCCATCAAATATCGACTTTAAAAAATCATTTGGACATTAAATAATAATTTGCAGAAAATTTGATTTTAATTAAAAAAGTTAATATTTATTTATATTTTGCAAATTGCAATTAAAAAAAAAGCATTAGTTAGATGAATCCTAACCCAGTTTCATACCAAGCTGCATTTAAGACAGACCTATGTGGTATGTCAGTAAAATTTTCTCTATTTGATCCAACAAGAATAGCAGTAAGTAGTTCTGCTAATTTTGGTATAGTAGGAAAAGGAAAATAGTTAGTTTTAAGCATGCTTCCTAATGGATAGATGAATGTATTAAACTCTTTTGAACTTCCTGATTCAGTTATTGATTGCTGTTGGACCGAATTAAACGAAAACTTACTCATTACTTGCTGCGGTAATGGAATGATCACATTATGGGGTATTTTATTTTTACATTATTTCCATTTTCTTCTTTAATATAAGATTTTATTATATCTGCCAATATAATAATTTTAAAAAATATTTAGCATATTTGCTATCATAAAGATGAAAAAATAAATAACTTAAATTGAAAAATAAATATCAAATGTAGATTAAGAATGAAAACGTTTTTAATAAATAGATTTATAAAAAAATGCTATCGTTAAGGAAGTTAAAGGCCATATAAAAGAAATCAATAGCGGAGAATGTTCTTATAAGTAACCTCATATATTCCTTTCTTCAGGCAAAGAAGGAAGAGTCAAAGTTTGGGACTTAAATGTGATGAAATGCTTATTCGAATTACCTGCACATATAGGTTAATGTTATTAAGCAACATGGCACCCTGTTAATGATGGTATATTTGCTACTGTTGGGTCAGATAGCACCCTTAAGTTATGGGATTTAAATACACCAAACAAGAGTATTGCAGGTCTTCGTGCTCATGATGGCGAAATACTTAGCTGTGATTTTAATAAATATCAAGATATCCTAGCTACTTGTTCCACTGACCTTTCTATTCGTATATGGGATCTCAAAAACTTGAAATTTCCTCTTAATATTTTAGGAGGGCACAGATACCCTGTAAAACGTGTAAAGTATTCACCTTTCCATCAGTCCATTTTAGCTTCTTCATCTTATGATATGAATGTATGCGTTTGGGATACTAGTGATCCAGTTTAGCCACTCAAATTCACACATAACAAGCACACTGAATTTGTAATGGGATTGGACTTTTCAATTCATAATGACAGATAAATAGCTTCTACTTCCTGGGATGGAAGAGTATTGGTTTGGGATTTCGATAAACCTCAACCTTAAATATAATGAATGATAAATAAATAAATTTTAAAATAATTTCAAGCGTGTTCACTATATTTTTGTAATAAAATTAATTATATGATATTAATATTATAAATTATAAATTAAAGAAATTTAGTCAAAATATATATTAAACATTTCAATTATAAAAGCCTTTAGATCTTATAAATTTGTTAAACATGATAGAAAAAATTAATTAATATAAAATACAATTCATTTTAATGAAGCAAAATAATTATAAACATGTTATTTGCTGATTAACAAATTCTGAATATTATCAGCATTAAATTTATTTCATGTAAAAATTAATGTAAATAGCAAAAATGTTGTGTATTCCAAATATAATATGATGGCTTTAAGGTTAAGGTCCAATATACTCCTTGTATAGTCTTTTAAAAATCTAACAATATCTGAATAACTTTGACCCTTTTCATTCTTTTTTTTGTTGTAGAGTTGATTAGAATATATTTCAGATTTAATACCAATAATTTTGAATTATTAAATTTTTTGGTATGTCATGTTTATTATATTTAGAGGATTTAAATTTAACGTGCAGGTCTATTCTGTTGTTTAGTTGGGTTACTTTTATTTTGTTTATTATTTTTTATTATTCTTTGAGTCAATTTCCAATTTAAAGATAATATAAGAAAATTCATTAACATTCTTATTCTTAATTTTTAGATTTTCTAACAAGCTGAAAATATTTAATTCATCTTCATCCACTGATTATTCTAATTATAATTTTATTATGAAAGACTAAACATTTTTTATTTATTGGTCTAAATTTTTTGAGCAAGCAAAGAATTAAGAGTCTAGTAAGTACATTGTTGTAACTTCAGACAGAATCTGATATTTAACAGAAAAATACAAAATTCTTTCATATGCACTAGTCCCTTACCTTATAAGAGATAGATTCTAGAATCCTTCAGGTTTATAAAGAGCATTAACTAAGTAGGATTATATTTATTAATTAGCAGCAAGTTTGTGAAAGACATTTGTTTTAATTATTTGATTAAAGTAAATTTTAGCTTTTGTTTTGTAAACAACATTTTCTTCATCTACTACAACCAAACTAAAGCAAATTTTGTCAATTTAATTTTTTTTAGAATATTTTATGAGTTTTTACAAATTTTTGTTAAAAAAAACATTCAGCTAATATGATTTTGTGAGACTTATGGTATTTATATTATCTATTATCGAACTCATTGTGTTAACAATCTTTTAATCATAAATGATAGTAAATTTTTTAAATTTAGGTGCATTTATTTCGATAATAATTTTATTGATTTCTTGGTTCACATCTTCAATTCTATTAACTATAAAGGTTCTACCACAATTCATTTATTCTAATCTTTAAAATAATTAAATTGAATAGCGATTACCAATACCTATACCATACACTGATAGCTTTTTTTAGAGTCCTAAGTAGTACAATATTTGGCTAATATTCCAAAATTCTCCTGCACCAACAAGCAGCAAGAACTGCTTTTTAGATTTATTTTAAACTTTTGATAATATTTTTTCAATAGGTAGCTTTGCAGCTTCATCAACTTTTTTAATTTAAATTTTTTTTGAAATAATCTAAGATATATCATCAACATTTTAAAGATTAATATCTGTTTCTTCTGTAAATACCATTTCTTGAGAAGATATTAAAAATATATTAATTTATTGTCTATATTTATAATCTGAAATCTAATTAATTAATTCAAGTAATATATTTTTAATGAATAATTAATAATTATCTATACTAAACTAATTAGAAGATAGAATATCCTCAATAACAATTAATATATATCTTTCTATCTTTTTTTACTAATTTTATTATTATTATTATTACTATTCACTGCTTTATGTCTGATCTGATTACTAAGATTATTTATTTTCTGATTAATTATTTAATTCTTCATTTTAGTTTTCTTCAAATTCACTTTCTTCGATTGATGAAAGCTATTAGTTATTATTTTTTAAAAATTGACTTTGAGAGTTTTGAGGGTGAGTTCTAGTTTTTTTACTGCAAGAAGAGTTCGATTCATCTGGGTTTATAACTATAAGAGGAGAAAAACGAATTAAGGCTGCATAAGGATTTATTAAATCCTAAGGATCATATCCTATAAATGTTCTAGATTGATTTTTATCTTTATCTATTTCCTCAGTGATAAGAAGAACAAAATCTTTGTTTTCTTTAGTATTTTTTCCATAGTCAAGAGAGAAATAAGTGAGATAGTCATTTTTTTCTGTTTTTACATGCTGTATATTTAAATCTTTTTAATGACTCACACTAAAAATATTTTTAATCTATTCTGAAGAAAATATTTGTCCATTTATTTTCCAGTCGTATGTTACTAAATTTTAGCTTTCAAAATTAAAATCTGGGCAGTCACTAAAATCTAAGAATATATTATCATATTTCCCTTAATTTTTGCTATTTTAAGTAGGTAAGGTGAATTTCCAAACATTCGGTTCCTGTCGCTCTAATTCTTCTATATATTTAATTACAATTTTCATGTATTATCCAGGATACATAAATCCAAGGTTTAATCTAATAATGTCATGTATATCTTCTATTATTTCTGCATAGGGTGAAGGAATCATTTTTTCATCTTAATACTTTCCACTTTTTTTGCTCTTTTTAAATAAAAACAAAAATGAGTATTTATTTTATACTGTAAAGCAATTAATTTTCTTTAAATTTTCAAATAATCGATTTAGTGTATTAATCAGATTATTTTGAGCAAAAATTAAAAGTAAAAAATAATACCTACTTATCTAGAACAACTCCTTTTAATATTTATCCATCTGATTGCACTTCAAATGAGACAAATGTTTATGTAACCTTTGTTTAAAAGTAAAACTCTGCTTAAATGAAGCTTCCAAGTATTGGATTCTAGAATTCCTAAATTAATTGTACTTCTGAAATTGTACTATGAATCTATACTTAATATTCCATTGATAAGAGAGGAACATGGGAGTTATCCGCTAGAGATCTAATTCCTGTTACATATTCCCTGGGTATTTATAAAATTTTTCTTTTGATAGATTCCTACCCTTCTTATGGCAATATCATAATATCATCTTAAATGGCTTCTACAAACTTTAAAAAAATTAGAATAATCCATGACAAAATATATTTAATTATATCCATTATTATTCCTTATAATTATCAATGATTTATTATGTTATTATTGAAAATTTTTTAATTATTCAAATTAAATCAAAATCTTTTATAATACTTTCAATAATCAATTATTATTTAACAATAGACTCCTTTCACACGTGTATAATAAATGCGAATTTTACAATTATTAATTTACAAATTAGTATTTTGTATGCATAGCATATTTATTTTAATAAATTATCTATTTTAATTAAATCATCTATTAACTTTTAAAATTATATTTGTTATCAAATATTTATTTTAATTTCCATTTCAATCAATAACTATTTTTTGGGAAGAAAATCAATCTAACAATATTAACAAATTTTAATAAATAAATTTGCGCAATTTAGATGATTTTTTAACATCTATTCTTTATAAATATTTTATTATTTTTTTTTAACAAAGCTATTTTATAAAATTGAAATAAATATTCATATAAAAAAAAACATTAAAAAAATAAAAATAAAATTTTTTTTTAATATTATTATTTATTATATCAAAATTATCTTTTTTCTTTTTTAAAATTATATTTTTTAACAAATATTTATTTTAATTTCCATTTCAATTAAAAGCTATTTTATGGGAATTAAATCGCAACTAACAATATTAATAAATTTTACTATTCATTATAAAAATTTTAGTATTTTTTATACATAAAGATATTGTAAAACAATAAAATAAATTAAATATTTTCCAAATATCTATAAATATTTAAAATATTTTTTTTAATTAAATAATAAAATAGAAATAAATATTGATGAAAAAAAACATTAAAAAAAATATATTTTTTTTTGTTTTATTGAGGATTTTACTATCAATATCCAATTTTATTTATTTATTTATTTTAATTAATTGGATAGTATATTAAATATTATCCATTCTCTACACCCTGATAATATAAGGTAACTAATAATTATCTGATCAAAACATATCTTTTTTTGTTTATTTTTGGAAGGAGTATATAAGAAAATAATATATACTAAGATATTGGATAAATAATTTCATAAAAAAAGATTAAATCTAAAAAAAAGAAATATTCATGTCTATCTAATTAGCAGCTAAAATTAGTGTGGTTGTTTTAACAGTGGCTTTAGTAATAGGTGGAGTTAATATTTATTACACATAGAAGCTTAACACTATTTAGCAAGGTTAAAAATTAAACTAGCAAATTAAATAAGAAGAAGATGATGATGAATATGAAGAGTACACTGTACCTACTTTAAAAGAAACTATGTTGATTAATGATAGTCTTTTTAACAACACTATTCAAATAATTCAGAATAAATATAATATCTAAAACTTAACAGAACTTGATGATTTAATCAACTAGTTAGGAAGAGTTTTCAATGACTTAGAATCTGAAACTCTTTCTTCATACTTTAAGAACTTTGTTAATAATCCCCATTAAAATAAAGATATTCAACAAGCATTTTATGGTCTTTACCGTGATGATTTCTATTGTATTAAAAGCGATTTATACCATTTCGCTCATGAAGAGGAGTTATACAATAATATTACTTTATTCTCAGACTGGAATGATTAGTATACTCGTGATGATATTTTTGCAAATTTTTCTAAAGTTGCTTCTGAAATGTATGGATGGGAACTACCTTCAGACTATTTGAGAAAGGAAAGTTTTGCTCCAGAAATCAACATTACTTAGTATTATTTTAATCGTCCCAGATTTATGTCCTCTTTTGTCATGGGTAAGTAGCTTGGTTGTTTATTTTAAGGCATAAACAAAATTCCTAGCAGCGGCTCATTTACAAGAAAAGAAGGACTTTCTCGCAGCTATAGAAAATTCCTTACTTAAATTGACTAGATTAACAGCAACCCTAATATCACAAAAAAATATAGTGACAAGTGCATGAAAGAATTCAAATTCTTACCCTAAACCTACAATCTTAACAATGTAGATGAATGCAAGAACTTTTTTAATTATGTAGAATCTGAAACTTATCAAAAAAAATTCAAAGAAGAAGGTTTCTAATTTATATCTAAATTAGGAGCAAACGTTCATTAAGGTAAAGGCATCTCAGTAGTCACACCAGCTATTATGGAAGCTCTTTAAAAGAAATATTAAAATGGTCAATTATGTGGCTCTATTGGTGAGTAAAATCCAGAGTTAGTTTAGGAATATATCAATAATCCACTTTTACTTAATGGTGTAAAATTTGAAGTCCGTATGCATTTTGTTATAGCCTCTCTTAATCCTTTAATCATATATGCTCAAGATAAAGCTGGTGTTGCCTTCTGTGCTCTTAAGTACAATTCCCATGATTCTTAAATTCAAAGACATCTTTGTGTGTATAACATTGCTAGAGAACTGCTTAATCTTTCAGATGAAGAACTCTTCAAGATTTCAGGAAAGACTCGTGAATAATTTATGAGTAGCTTTTCTTATTAGCACACCCTAGAAAGTCTCTAAGAAGAGTTAGAAAAAGAAGGTTCAGTCCCACCTGGATGGGTATTTAATGACTTTATCCCTTCTGTTTTCCGTAATTACATTAACACAGTATTATTCTCTCGTTAATATCTCTCCCCAGATTCTAGATTATATGAGATGTATGCTCCTGACATTCTTGTCAACAAAGATAACATGAAGCCTTACATCCTTGAATATAATACCAATCCACGTATGGTTAACACTAGCTATTTTGTTCATGGGTGGAATGTTTAAACTATTAAAGATATAGTCCTAATAAACATGGCCCAAGTTAGATCTAGACACTTTAGAATTAAAACTATAATTGATGAATACGTTAAAGAGTTTTTGCAAAATAAAAACCCAAATAGATCTGAATACATGAAAAGATTAATTGAAGCAAATAAAAACAAAATTGAACCATAGTTCAACGTTGACAAAGAAATAACTTCTTATGTTAAAATCTATGATGAATCAACTGAAGAGGATCTATACTACAAGGGCAATCTTATTTTTGATAAAGAATGCTTGCACTGATAGTATTTACAATATAACTATTTATATGCATTAACTTAATAATAAAGAAGATCAATACAACTTAAAATTAACTTATTGTTTATTTAAAAAATAAATTTGATATTTTAATGTTTTCATATATAAACTAAATGCTGGATTTTAGTTATTTGATTTAAATGATATAGTTTTTTTCTTTCTCACATTCATTTCTTCTTATTTATCGAAAATTCTTTTAATTTTTCTCTTCCGAGTAAACAAATATTTCTGTAGAATTCTTATAAAATTTTTATAAAATACGTCATATTAATTAACTTTACCTATTCTTTTTAGTTGATCTTCTATCAAAAGAATTCTTAATTTCTGATATAATTTAATAAATATTATTAAGAATAAAAAAGATATCAATATAATTTACTTATTAAGAAATGACTTTTGAAACATTAGAAATCGAGTATATTGAAAATCATATCGCCCATGTTAAGCTTAATAGACAGAAAGTCGGAAATGCTATGAATGTTAAAATGATTCATGAATTGCCTGAAGCTATGAAGATGCTATAAAAGAAAGAAGATCTGAGATGTGTGGTTTTAACAGGAAATGGAAAGCATTTTAGTACTGGAGTAGATTTGTAAGATCCTATTTTTGCAATATCCATTGATGAAGAAGATGTGGCACGCAGGACTGCCTTTTTATATAAATTCATTTAAGTTTTACAAGAAACAATAACTTCTTTTGAAAGATTATAAATTCCTATTTTAGTAGGAATACAAAATGCATGTCTTGGAGTAGCTATTGAATTTATTTTAGCAGCTGATGTGAGAATTTGCACAAAGTAGTCGTTTTTCGAGTTCAAAGAAATAGATGTTGGTATTGCAGCTGATATGGGACTTTTACAAAGATTACCTGTGACCTGCACAAATGATAGTTTATTACGTGAATTAGTTTACACTGGTAGACGTTTTGACTCAGAAACTGCATTAAGGATTGGTAATATAGAGCATTCATTGAATTGATTTAAATTTAAAAAATAATTTATTAATATATATATTTAATAAAAGGTATGGTTTCTTAAGTTGTTGAAAATGAAGAACAATTGAGAAGTATTCTTCTTAAAACTGCAAAAACAATAGCAGAAAAAAGTCCTGTGGCCGTTTGGACAATAAAAAGTATATTAACTACATAAAGGCATAAAACAATACTTCCTAATTTGGATTACATGGCTCGCTTAAACTCTGCCATGGCTTAAACAAGCGATATTCCAATAGCTTTGAATTCATTAATTTCAAAGTAAAAAGCAATATATCCTAAGCTATGAAAATTAAATAAATTTATAAAACACTTAAATCAATTGATATACAAAATACAATAAAAATAATTATAAAACTATTATTTCTTATGGTGGTAAATAAATATACATTTTATGCTTTTTTTCATATATTTCCAGACTCATTTTAGCTTTCAACTTATTTATTTTAATTTAAATTTTGCATATTATTTGATTCTTCTTTCAAGCTATTATCTTTAACCTCACCTGCTGTTGGCGTTTCACTAACACTAAGTTTTAGTACTTCAAATCCATTAAGCCCTCCTGGTGTAAATTACTTTCCATAATCTAACTCTTTGAATAAAGTCTAATCATCTACATGATCTTAGATAATAGATTCATTTTCGAGTTTAAATTACTCAGAATATTTTTTCCTTTAGCTTTTGATTTCAAAATTACTTTTGTTATCAAAAAATTTATCTAAAGCATCGTCAATAGTTCTTGTTGCATTATCATTAAGATTAACAGGTATTTAAAAGTAATCATTGACTTTTTAGAAGTTAGCTTATGTCATATTATCTTTTGCTGTGTTTTCTGATTCTGCTTCATCAAAAATTATATTTTCATCTTCTTCCATTATTTGAGGTGATGGAATATATTTTTTGTTTAATTAATCTGTTGTTATCTTTTCTGACTAAGGTGTTTCATTATTGGATTAAATTTGCTAATTCAGATTTGTATTTGCACTTTAGTTAACAATAGATTGGTCTAAACCTTCTTTTATTTGTAAATTTTAAGCAAATTTGTCAATGATATTTTAGATTTGTTTTGAGCAACTGATATCGTTTTTAGGCAAAGATGAGTTTTAAATTGATTGAGATTAATTTTTATCAATTTCAATTTATTCAGATTAACAGATTTCATCTTTTTTTAACGAAATAAAATTAATTTTTTATGATTTTTATTTTTTAATTAAATAAAAAAAATAACTTAAAAAACTTTTATTAATTAATAAAATAAATTGATAAAAGATTTACCTTTTTCAATATTTTTTTGTTCTATATTTACTATTTTTTTAGATTTTTATGATTCGTTGCTTTCTAAATTCTTTTAAAAAGTTAGATTATCACTATCAACTACTTCAAATACATTTCCTTAATCTATAACCATTTACTCTTTTTTTTCATGATTAAGCATATTTTTATCTTCCTCAATTTATTTTTTTAACTATTTTTGTGATTACTGTTTTTCAAAGAAATCTTCATGTTATCTATAAACAGTTATTATAGGTTAATTTATTGAACCAATTAAAATTAAAATTTAAACAAATGTTAATATAGTTTGTTCATTTAAAAAAAATTGAAAATACTTTTCAACTGTGCTACTATCATTTAGTGAAAGAAGAGAATCTTCAATATTGTAAAGCATATTATCGTTTGCAGTATAATTTTTCTAATTCTTATTTTATTCCTAAAGAATTTCATTTTCATTGTAATTAACTTTAAACAAATTTTTATAAATTAGGTTTGTCTTTCTTTTTAAATTTAGGTCATGCTAGAATTATGATTTTTTTATTAGCCTTCTGATATCTTCTTCCTCCTCTGATTCTATTGAATTCTAAAAGACACTTTCTTCAATATTTTCATTTTTAACCTCCTTGTTTTATTAAGCTTATTAATCAAATATGTTTTCTTCATTTTAAAGATAAACATATCTTTTATTCTAAGTTTATTAGATTTCTACATTTACTTAAGATTATTCTGATAATTCAATAACTTCTCCTTAGCTATCTTACTTTAACTCCTAATTATCTTTGACATTGGCATCTAAATTTTCAACACTTGTTATAAATCTAGGAGCAAAAGATTAAGCAAATCTATATTATTAAATAAATTTTTGTTTTTTTTTAAATAAATATTTCTTTTACCTTTTAGCTTTTAAGTTATTAAAATCATTAATAGAATCGTCAATATTTGGGGTTTGGTTGTCTTCTTTAGGTTATTATTCTATAGGCATTAAAGTCTCTTCCATCTCAACTTATTTTAAATTTTTGTAAATCAAGTCAATTTTTTGATAAAGCCTATATTCTTAATTTATTGCAGCTTTTTTTTAAATTCTTCTAAAATCTTCTTCCTCCTCTACATCAGCATAATTAAATAGCGATCTAAGTAGTTAACCATATGATAATCTTTTTAAGCTAACATCTGAATATGGGCTATAGGATTATTAATGCATAGAGTCAATAGGTATACTTTATGCTCTAATATCCTACAATTAAGAAGTGCTACTAATTCCTTTTGCACTTAAAAGCTATAAGTTATTACTATCTATAGATAAGAGGTTCATATCTCTACTTAATTGTGGTAAATGTTAGTTATTTTTTGAAATTTCTTCTGATCTGACAATATTTCGATTAGACATTGCTAATTGATAAAAAATTACTATAATTACATATTAAAAAATCAAATAAATTACCAATATTTCTTGAACTTGCTAACAGCAGATTTTAATTAAACATACGATTTCTGTTTCTTTTACTAGGTTAAAAATAGACTGATTCAGGGTTTAATTCCGATGATCGACCAAATTAAGGACTATTTTATTCATTATAAATTCTTCTTTCGCTACATTCATTCAAGAAAAATTTAACTTTCATCCATAAACGGAATGTTTTAAAAGGAATTTTTTTTTAGAGAGTTAAAAATCTTTTCATAAAGGGCAGCATTTTGAGAAGATTTTTAACAATTTTATTATAGACATCTTTATACTTAATAGAAAGTTTAGCTCTAACTACCTCAACAAGAAGGAAAAATTAATAACCATTATGAATAATAAGCAAAACAATATAGAATATTTATGACTAGATAATATCTGGTTTGTTGTATAAAAATATATTCATGATTAGAAGTATGACAAAAACGATCATACTCGTCTTATCTAACTATTAAAAATACTTCATTTAGTAAGGTTAGAATTTTATCAAAGCAACTTAGTAGATCAAGAACATGCATAAAATAATAACTAATTTATTAGCTATTAAACAAAAAAAATTTAAGCAAATAATCAAAATGAAAAAAATAAATACTGTATGGATCTCCATAAAATGAAAGTACAGCAACAACAGCCATTTTTGTGTAGATTCTAACAAATTCCCAATAGAAATGCTTGTTTTTATAATCTTAATACAAAAACCCATACTTCAAACGGATAGTCGCATTATCTAAGTTATCTCTATTCTATATTAAATTTTTCAAAATAATTAAGGGAATTATAAAAGCCCAAAGAATTAACCCAGGTAAACAAACTATTGCAATGTATTTTTTATGAATATCAGTATAACACTCATAAGAAATATCACTTTGTATGTATAACTTATTGTCTATACTTCTACACGACATGACTCCTAAAAGATTAGATATCATATTTGGCTAGATGAAGAAGCTTAAAAATACTAATCCACTAATAATGTATGACTATATTTTTATAAACAAACATAAAATAGAAAAATTTTTAAATGAATTTCAAATTAAATACCTTATCAAATTTTGATATTCTAAGTAAGACTAATATTAAATAAAAAAATCCAACTACAGCAAGATAAATAACAGGAATAGCTAAGAACCAAATTGTTCTGAAAAAGACTATAGGATATGAGCTCTACTACTATTAATTTAGAATACAATCAAAACTGTATTGCAGATTTTAAACAGGCGAACCTAATTATAAAAAATTTTATATTTTAGCAAACCATTGATTGCAAAAATGTACCTAAATAATCTGGTATGAATGTCATCCATTCAGGCAGCTAAATAACAAAGGTATTGATCATAGAACTGATTTGCATATAACTCATCATTGCTTTTAGATTCATATTTGTTGTATCTTAAAATGAAGATTTACTTAAAGGCAATAAATTTAACTTTCTTATATAGTAACCTAAAACTATTAATTTATTTATTTGTAGTATAATCCTAATACTAATTAGGATATATATAATTATGCCTAACGCTATAAATATAGTAGGTATTATATAATTAACTGAATTTAAATTTTAACATTTCAAACAGTTAAATTTTCCATCACTTTAATAGGTTGTTTTCCATACTACTCCATACACATCGCAACTTTCGCACAAAGGACCTATATGTCCTTCGATACAGTATCCTGTTTCTTGAGTTCCATAACAGTTTTCAGCTTTATTTTTACAATACACTATAGAATCAGTATCATTATTAATCTTCCAATAACCAGGATAAAGTGTCATTTAATCTCTATAGCAATAAACAGCATCGTCGGGACAACGTTAGCAAATTTATGTTTCATATTATTCTTATTAAGTAATTTTAATAAATTTAAGCAAAAAATATAAACAATTTACTTTAAATCGGAGTAATTATAGAGTAGCTCCCTTCCTTACACTCTTAACAATAAAATATACTTCCACTAAGCTTGTAAACTTCACCTCTTATGCAATCTCTAAATGACATATTTAATCTGACATGGAATGGGCCTTAAAAATAAAATTATCAAGTTAATAATTTTGATTTAAAATATAGTCAAATTAAAAAATTAATTTGATTATTAATGATTTTAAGTATAAAAATATATTACCATCATCAAATTATCTAGAAAGCTATGAAGGTTAAAGTACCATCTTGATAGATGGAGTTTCAAAAAAAATATAATTTGAAGTTCCAGGGTTAGCTATTACCATCATTTGTTAAATTTAAAAAGTTTAATTAACTTCGTCGAATTATGAATAATCTGTGATATATTAGCCATAAATCTTTACATCGTCTGTACCAGGAATGGCTTTGATGTTAAAGTCGGTTATTTCGTTTTAAATAATTTCTGGGTATTAATTTTTCTAAAATTTCTAAATATTAAATTTGACAGGATTTAATTCTTAATCTAAAATTTAGAATTAAAAGTTAATATTAGCACTACTTTAAAAATTAGATAGAGAGTATTAGTCAATGTTATAATTATCCACATTTGTTGTAAGAATCCTAGAGTGAACTAACTAACTATTTGACATAACAGATATCATTTATGGATAAGAGCCAATATTTTATCCATAAACATCAGCTTAATTATTAGTTATATTATTTTCTAAAAAATATTTTGGGTCTTGTGTCTATTAGTAAAGATATTGATAAAAGATAAATATTGGCTATATTCCAGTATATCTTATTCCTCCTCCTATTTAAGCTTAGCAAAATTAAATAGTTGTTTAATTTACCATGATATCGCTTGAACTTGAATATATAGCTCCTCCATGAGAAAGTGCTGTACAATTGTAGAAAGTATTTCCTATGATTTACAAATTTTAGTAAAATAAATTAATTAAAGCGACAGCCCCTCCTTCACTAGCTTGATTCAAAAGAAAATAAGATGATTATAGTATGAAGGTTTGAGCTTTTTTAATATTTAGAGAAGCACCAGAGCATGTTAAACAACTTATTTAAGTAAAATTGCATTTATTTATTTGAAGAATGTTACCATTAAATGTAATTAAGCTGTTTGTAACTTTAGTCATGTTTATAAATTAAGAGTTTTGTATAAAAGCTTAATCACTATATAGATAGACAGTCTAATCTTCAAGAGAAAAATAATTATCAAAGTTATAAAAGGAAACCCCAACAATATTTTAAACAGTAATTCCATTTATTTATTATAGCAATATACCATTAGACTTGATAAAAAGTTTATTTGAATCAAAGGATGATATATTCAAGAATAATGATTAAAATAAAGTCAAATTAAGCGAATTTGAAATATAAATTATATTATTGGCTTGTGATTCTTTAGTAAAAATAATATTTACTAAATTTAAAGATTTGATTACAATCTACTGGACATTATTAAAAGAAAAAAGAGTATAGTTTATACCTTTAAATTTAGAGTTTAAAAGATTAAAAGTATCAATTTCAACCAAATAGCAATCATTAAAAGTAAAAAGAGTACCGTTTCCTGAAAGAGTGACATTGTTAATTTTAATATTTTAAAGAGTAATAGTATTTTAACCATTAAAAATAAACTAAAAGTTATTTGAATCAGAAGTTATGTTGATATTTTTAAAAGTTATTTACTAATTTATACTAGGAAACACAATTTCTTAATCATCAAATAAGGTAAAATTATAATTGTTTATTATTATTTAGCTTTAAAGTAGTTTAGTAAAAGTATCATTTCTAATCGTAATAGTTTAACTGCTATTATTATAGCCATACACTACATTCGAGTTATAACTCTGCATAAGTTGATGGTAGTAAAAACTATTTTGAGAATATATCTGTTTTATATATGTATTTATTAAAAAGTTATTAAATTTTTAAAAACAAATTTTATTACCTAAATTAGAGTTTACTGTAAATTATATTGCAAAATTTTAGAGGATTGGTCTAAAATAATCATTTATTGCTCAACCTAATTTATTTAAATTTTTTATAAAATTCTAAACAGTAATTTATTTTAAAAATTACCTAATATCCATATTGAATGTTATCCATAGTCTAATAACATTAATTTATACTAAAAAGAGGCTTTGAATCTTATCCTATCATTGGTAACACGAAATTATATGAAAAGACAATACCTGAACTTATACCAAGCAGTTGAATATAATAAGAATTGGTATTGTTTGTTATTGAATACTATGATAACTTGGGATACATTAAATTGAATTAAAATAATTTTGTGTAAGAGTTGTTTAGTTAATACATGGCTAACTGATTGTTTGACTAAACTATATATAGGTTAGAGTAGTTTACAACCTAAATAACATTTTACTGATTATAGAATATCTAATTATCTCTATCAATTCTGGTATACTGTAATGTTTAGCGATCTATATAAATCATTTACCATGGTAAGTTAAAAATAATACTTTATTAATATATTTGTGCTTTCAATTATGTAGATCGAGATGGTAGACTTATCAAAGTAATTAAATTAAGATTTTAAAGTACTCCATTTGTGACATTATAAAAATAGACATAAACTAAAGGGATCTATAGATTCAACAGGACATAAAACTTATTAAAGCTGCTATCAATTAAAATTCTAAAGATTCTCTGATTGAATTGTAGTTTTTAAACAGGCTATCCAGTCATATAATCATAAATACTTGAAGTATAATTAGGATATATGTTTAATGTACCATTTATATAAGCTTAAAATATTACACTATTGTTTGTATCTATTCTTATAAAATCCAAACTGGGATCTGTAAAGTTAAATAATAAATCTCTTGTTACAAAATTAAAGCGATTTAATTTATTTGATTATTGGAGCACAAAAATTTCTTGAAAGTTTTCATTAATTATTATTTATTAAAAAAAAGAGTCAAATTAATAGAAATACTGAGAGGCAAAAGAGTCCTAATCAGCAATGTAAAGCTGGTAATTTGAGTTAAATATAAAAACAAAATTTTATGAGAAAGTAACATTAACTGATGTTTAGTCTATCTCTCCCAAGTTTACAAAATTTTGGTTATATTACATGATCTAATTCTAAGCTATCACATAAAATTTTTGATTAATGAAAGCAGTTTACCTAACACCTTAAAATGGTATTTAATAAACTAGTTACTTAAGATTTGTGTTTAGTTACCAAGAAATACCCAAACCATCTAAAAAATAGAGTTTCTAATATTGTGAATTATAAAATTGCTCTAAATTTTTAGAATCAGTTAAAGATAAAAACTTGTATTAGGGATTAATTGATGTCTCTATTGACATTACTCTAATTTTTAGAAATACTTAAATTAAAAATTAATTTTTAAAAATAAAATTTACCTAATTTCTTTTTAGTCTAAGTAAATAAATCTATTCGACTCAGGAATAAGAAGCATGCTCGAAATGGAAGTTGTGTAATTTCTATTAGCATAATAGCCTGTATAGTAAAATGTTCTTAAATCAACAGTATAGAAGTAGTTATTAGGATTATTTTTAGCAATTATCATTTGATAGCTATCTTAATCGACTATTATTTAATGAATATTACCTGTTTCAATGCTTTAGTATCCTACTACATCTGTTATTTTACTTCCTGTTAATAGATTATAGATGCCGATACTTTAGTTAAATTAGCCCAAATTGAAATCACTCCAAATAATGACTAAAGATAGTTTTTCAAAGACAATGAAATTAGTAATTATGGGATTTACACATTAAATAGAAACTAGTTTATCATAGGTATTCCTACCCATAACTATTATAAAAGTATCTTCATAGGAATAAGCTTTATCATTTTGGAAAATAATTCCTCTTATTGGATTATTATGATACTAAAATTCTTTGAAGAATTCTATGGTATCTGAATTATAAGTGTATGAGTAAAAAGTTTGTTTGTATTCTTGTTAAATTATAATCGTTAAACGCTAGTATTGTTAATCGATATATACATTGAGCATGTTTGGAATACTGATAAAATAGTCTACTCTATTAACATAATTGTGCATATAAACTTCCTAAACATTATTTACTACAATCAACTTTTATAAATTACTGTCTAAATAAATTTATTAAATTTAATAACTAATCTGTAAAGTAGGATCAATATCCGCTTGTGATGCTAATAGTTATGCTGCTCTTTACTGATGGATTGGAGTTGTATATATTTAAGCAACTTTAGTGTAACTCCAAAAGGTTAATGCATAATTTGATGAATAGTAAGAAATAGCTATGCCATTTTAATCATCAAGAAAACATTGCGAAAGAGTCATTGAACCACTTGTTTAAAACTGTACAGATTAAGGAGAAGCTACATTAGTAAAATTTAACCTAAACATATTAGCATTAGGCTCTGAAGAACAAGATAAATATGTGTTTGTTTTCTAAGAATAAAAAAATCCAACTAAATTTTGGTTATGAACTTTTAATAAAGCCAGCTAATTAAAGTTCACTGAGTTTACAACCCTTATTTCCTAAGATAAAAATGTAATAAAATATAAATTAATTTCTAAAAAATAAATATTTACATTCTTATAGTAAATAAAAAGATTTTATGCTCTATTGTAGTAAAAACCAACAGGTACAATTGGTGTAACACTAGAAGAAAGCCAAATTTCATAAGTTTACTGAATAAATCCCGAATAAATTTAACCATTCTAAAATCCTATATAAAGCTTAGAAAAGACTGAATCAATTAGTATTGTTGAGATTTTCTGCTAAAATGTAAGAATGTGTTAGAAGTTTAAATTTGTTCCACTTAGAACTACAACCTTGATTAAAAAAAATTATCAGTTGTTTTATTTATATTAAAAAATATACCTGATTTTGTATAGTTGATACACCTGAATTCTAAAAAAAGGCAAAAACATCATTATTATTTACTTTATTATACGTTGCTTAATAATCTTAGACGTTTGTAGCAGATGTATATTAAGCGGCAAGTGTTGACAATGAAGAATAAGAAAAAACTTGTAAGTTATTCATAAATATCAAATGCTTGACTGAAGTAACTGTATTCTGCAATATGCTATCAGTTACTACTCCAGATATTCCTACTTAACTGATAGAGTTTTTTGTTAGTATATTATTATAATAACAAATATTGGTATCTGTGATTATATAAACATTTCGATGAGTAGGAAAGTATTTAGCACTTGTGTACAATTTCTTGCTTGAATAAGATGAGCTTACAGCAACCACTGTTTTTGTATTATTAGCTAAATACAGATTTAATCTTTTATTTTTTGTGTCTAACACATAAATACAATATTTGCTTCCTGTATAAATTTCAGTGAATGCATATTGGAAATTAACTAAAGTAGAGTTCACATTAAGAATACCTACAATAGAGGAAGTGGTTGTATTATATACTTTTACCTAAATAGGAGACTAAAAGACTAAGAGATTTGTATTCAAATTATAATTCATAGTTTAGGCAGGTTGTAATGGATTATCAAGAGTTAACATTTTTAATGATTAAAAATCTGTAAATAAATACTACCAGAGGATAATAGAACCATCGCTATACAGAGCAGCATATAATTTTTAATTAATAAGTTATAAATCGATAACTTTATTTTGGCATATACTATTATCAAGTATGTTACAGCTAGTATGATATTTTTTTATAACTTGTCTATAGTTATTATCAAATACATTCATTCTTTCATAAGCTCTAATTGAACCATCATCGCTGTATACTATTAGCCTATTATAGAGTGTATCAATTAGCAATCCATTTATTTTATCTGTCGGTTAGTCTTACTAGGTAGGAACATTTTAAGTTATACTACTTAATTACATTTAAGTAGAAAATGGGTTTGTGGGATCAAATTTTAGTTTAATTACTCCTTAGCCAATTAAAATAACTTAAGAGTATTGTAGATCAACAAATGCTGATGTAATCTAGAAATTTTTCGACCAATTTAAATTTATAGAATAATTCTCTTACAAAGATCCATTAGTGTATTAATTCAACACTACAAACCCACTGAAATCAATCAAAATTAAGTAGCCTTGAGATTTAAAAGCAAAAGATTTGCTAATTTATCTATTTGAAGTTGGAACAATATTTTACTAATCAGCTGTTGAAAATATTATTTTATATGTTTCTAATGAAAATACATATTTTTAGGGTCCCTTTTCATCTATGATAATTTAAATTATTGGAGATGTATGCCCAATTTATACTTAATTGCATTAAGTTTAATCATAATAGTATAAATATTGTTATTGATAAAGCTAAATAACTATTTCTCCTGTTGAAAAAATATATCCTTACTGTAAAATTTAATTTGGTATTGTGCATAAGATATTACCTTAATTATTTCCTTTAACATAAATTTCATTTAGATCATAAGAAGCTAGTGTAGAGTCCATCGAATAACTGTATAATATATTTCCATTACGAACAAAGCCGTTTATGCTTTTTGTATGAATTACTTAAACTAGTTGTACACTTATTACATCATTGTCATTGTATTATTTTATGCTTTTTAAAAAAAAGACACCAAACTAAATTTCACTTTTAAAAACAATCAAAATTTCTTCATCAATATAGTAGACTAGTTTGTTAGATTATTGCGATGTTACTAACTGATCAAATGTCAAGTATTTCATACCAATTCCTCTACTTAAATCCCAAAGCACCAATTCTGTATTGCTAAAAGAAACCAAGTAGATAGAATCAGAGTTATAACTTACTGTAGAACTATTAGTAATCATTTAAAAACCTAAAACTTGGTATTTATGTAGTGTCATTTCACCCAATAGCTATATGCTATCTCTCGAAAATATTTTCAAAGAATAATCGGGAGGCTTATTTGAATTTTAGGTACCAGCTGCTATATAACTAGTAGGAGTTTAAACCGTTGTTGTGATAGAATCGAAATATTATTATCCGTACTCTTGCACATTTGCACATTCCTAAAATGGAACACATAAGTTATAATTATTATCATTGTAATAATTAGTTGGGCATATTGTTTAGCAAGTTTTGTTTGGCTCATAATAATAGCTAGCATCATTACATTTTGAAATGCAGTGATTGAGAGACTAAGAAAATGTAAAATCTTAATCACAACTCTAGCAAATACCATCAACAGAGCAATTAGTGCATTTTAAACCACAACTTATTTATTACGCTTCAACTATTTTTTTTAATGCTATTATTATCTCTACGAATATGATTAATTTCAAATACTTATTGCCTTTTAGCATCATTTATCAAATATATTTAAATCTAAAACACTATAGAAAAGTTTATTTCTTAAAAATTTATCTAATCTAAAATAAATAGAAAGCTACTAAAGTAAGTAAATGCTACTCCTACGAGTAATTATTTTACTCTAAAATTATTTTTTTAAACTTTGACTTATTTAAAATCTTAAATTTATGCTTACAAAACTATTATCTATATTTTTAATCTTTAATTTCCAGTAATATTAATAATAAAGTATTGAACAATTTAAATAAATTAATTTATGTACAATTTTAAAATAAAACAAAGTTTTAGCAACTAATTTATTGAACAAAAAATAATGTACTCGAATAATTTTTTGAGATTTCTTAAATAAATAATGTAAGTATATCTAAAAAATAAAAAAACATAAATACATTCAGATAATAAAAGTAAATTCAAATGCTTATCAAGATATGTTTTTAAAAATTTTCAATATTTCATAAACTATCAAAAAAATTTTTTAAAATAAATGTGTTCTTTTTTTTTGAAGATAATTAAATATTGTTTACTCTATAGATAATCAAAAATATAGAAAAATGTTAGCTTTTAATAATTGTTTGTTATCTGCTTTTTCTTTTCTATCTTTATTTGTCAATTTAACTCGAATAGTCTACTAATCAAGATTCAACATATAGAACTGAACCCTTTTCAAGCAAGTAAAGTAATTAACAATATATACATATAAATATAATTTTTTACTAATTGTAAGCTCAATAAATTATTTACTATTATGTTTCTTTTTTGATAAAAATAATCAGCTTTAATTATTGTTTTTCATTTACAAATTTATATAAATAAGTAGCATGAATTTTCTCTTCTAATTCTTCAATGATTTCCTTAAATATTTTTGTTATTTAATTTTGGCTATTATAATTTATTTTCAATCAAATATATCTAATCCTTTTAAATCTCTACAAGAATTTAATATAAAATCTTATAGCTATTCTTCAGCTACGAATTATTTTAAGAAATTTTACACTTAAATAAGAAAATCATTGTAAGCAACAAAGTTACATCCAAACATTTTAAATTAGGCCTTTAAATCTAGAGTATAAATTCTACATGGCTATTCGTCTATAAATATATCGAAGAGAAAACAGAGTAAATTTATAATAAATAATTTTAAATTAATAGGATTTGATAATGAAGTGTATTGAGTAAAAATTTAGTTTTCATCAAGTAATTATAAAAGTTTATTTAATAAAGTTTCAAAGTTTAAATTATGATTAGAAAAGATAGTATTTATGATTGGCTACTTTACACCAGAAGCTATTTTTATTGTAGATAAAGCTAGTTACGTATCTAATATTATACTCTTTTCGCATTTGTAATCTCTTTATAATAATGTTAATATTTAGTTTGATAACTAAACTGTAAACTCTTAGCCATAGGAAAATAAAGCATTAATTTATTAAGGAAGAGAGGAAAAAGGATAAAAACAAATTGATTTTGCTACTAAACATTTAACTAGATTTCCGAATATTTATTCTAATTTACTATTTGAAAAGCTGTTTTCTGTCGCTATTTAATTGTATTAAGAATAATTTTGAAGTCTTGATCTTAATTAAAAACCAATAGTTTCATAGTTTATAGAATCTATAGACTGAGGTTTCTTAAGAATTATAAATCTTAGTTTTTCTATTGTTTCTAAAATAGCAAACACAAGTTTCAAATTAACACTCTTTTCCAAGCAAAAATACATGAATTTATACTTAATATAGAAAAAATCAGCATATGTTAAGTCTAAATAAGATAAATTTGAGTCTTAAGAATCACCTAATTAACGTAGATATAAATCGACTCTCTTTTTTATTTCTTCTTTTAGGTTTTCTTCGATATAATCTCTTTGAAAAGCTGATAAAATAATTTAATTGAAGCTAACTTCATCTATTTAAAATATCATTAAACATTTCAAGCAAAGTGGGTCAAGTAAAAAAGTTTAATACAATTATTTTGAAAACGATAGCAAATCATTTTCTGTTCCAAATTCATCAAGTAAAGTCCAGTGTATGTTTTATTTTAAGTAGTAGTTAAAGTTTTCTTATATTTGTATAATACTAGATTCATTAATTTAGAATTGAGATTTATCATTTTGCGATTGCTGAACTAGTTCATTTAATTTCTCTTTTATTTCTTCTGTAATTAGAGGAATCATATTTGGCGTAATTCCAATCAATTTTATGTGTTCTTTTATGTAAGAGAATTTCAAATTTTAGTCTTTTTTATTAGCTTTTTGCTTTAAGCCAACTTGTTAATTATCCTCAATATCATTAAAAATTATATTTTTTATAAAATCATAAAATGTTTAGCTTCTGAATTAGATATTTTATAATTCATTTTTATATTTTTTCAGTTATTAGTAAGAAAAAAAGTCTATTATTTAATTGTAAATAAACCAATAAGTTTAAATTTTTTCTGAGCTTGCTAAAGATTAATTATTATTACTTTAGCCTGATTAAGCTTAATCTTTACTCTTATAAGAATATGCAGGAGAAAAATCTTATGAAGAATGAAAACTTTAGTTATTACAAAACTTTTTAGCTCTGTTTTGATTTAAGATACTTTTATTGAAATTATTCCTAAGCTCATTTTCGCAAAATGCTAATCTACCTTCTTAATCTATTTTATTACTTTTCATATCTACTTATTTTCTTTAAAGGCTATTACAAGAATTTATATTTTCAGGACTGATTAAATCATTCTATTCAAATTATTTAAGATTTCGAAGCGAATGCTATTATTAGAATACGCCTAAATTAAAATTTAGGCTTGAGCTCTCAAATTTGTTTATACTTATAGGAGAAATGTCTAGCTGTTCTATAGAAATTTGACTTTTTTCAAACTTAGATTTCGAGTGATTATGTCTAATAGAGTTAATGTTTTTAATACTATTCATAGTATTATTTTCTAAAGGAATCTTAAAAGAATTATTTTTTGGCTAATGCATGGAAGAAATATTTTCATCTTCGCTATCATGGTTTTATTACTGTTTATGAATAGCACTAAGAGAAATTCTATATTAATTGGATGCAATCAAGTATTAATTCTAAATAGTATTATTATTTGATTATTACTTATAAGTTTAGTCAAGGCCTTACAAAATATTAGTATTATTTTTGGCATAATCTTCCTTTTTTTATGAATCATCTCTCTCTAAATTGAGACTTTGATAATTTTATATATTGTTGGAGCTATTTTTAGAATTAGAAAACTCACAAGGCTTTACCCTTCTTCTATGTTTTTAAATTATGCTCTGTTTTTTGTTATCAAATTTTTATAAATTAGTCTGTTGGCTATTAAATTCTTGCTTCTCTGAACTATGATAAACTTGAGGGAATAAAATTTGAGATTTTTATTTAAATTAGCTTGTCCTTATTTTATTTAAAATAATCGGAGATTACTCAAAGCAATTTTTTTGATATAATGTAGAAGAGCTGTGATTATTTTTCAAAGTATCTTATTCAATCTAATTCATTTATTTTTAAGAAGAACCCTAATAGATATTTCTAAATTAATTTTAAGGCACGATTATTTGTACATCATTTTTTAATCTTTAAATTAATTAATTTTAGCTATTGTTCTTTTTTGAAGACTATGCCATATTTTCTAATTCTTGCTATTTAAATTAATTATCTTGTAAATACTTTATAGAGTCACTTCTTTTGCTCTCTGCTTTTATATTTTATATTTCCTATTGGCTTTTAAACGTCATATTTTGGCTTAAAAAGTTATTTTAATTTTATAAATCATATTTTGAATTTTGATCAATTTTGATCATTTCATCTTTGCTATTTTTCAAAAAGCTTAAGTTGAATTTATCTTTTAAAGTTTGGTTTTATACTTTTATATTAAAATCATTTAAATTTTAAGTGTGATTTTAGCTTTCTTATTTTTACCAGTTATTCTCTAAATTTTTTTAAAGAGTATTTAAAGTGCTATCGTTTTGGGTTAAGCATTTTTATTATGCAAAAACATTTTAGATTACTCTTTTATGACTCAAATCTAATTAAGTAATATTTCTACTATGCATATTATTAATTGATTATGTATTTTCGGAATTATTTCTCACAGATGACAATTCAGTAGCCAAACTGTATCTAAATAAATTTTGGTTTTCCTTTTTATTTGATCCATTTATTTTTTTATATGGTGAGAAATCTTACTCATTTCGAAAAAACTTTGGTTAAGTTTTTTATAATTATTTTGCATCAGTAGTGCTACTTAATTCTTCAGCCTTTTAAAATAAATTATTTAAGGAAAAAGCACACTAATCTGATTCGTATTATCTCTCTGATTGAATGTATTGGTTTTAATTCAAACAATTATCTTTTTTCACTAATTAGTCTTCCTTTCTTCCTATTTCATTCTATGTGCTTAAATTAAAATCTTACTTTTTTTTTCTAAGCTAATCAAATAAAAGCTAAGACTATGAAATAATTTTTTAGCCAATCTCTTTTTTTTTAAACCTAGAGAAATCAATAAAATTATTTTCGTGATTATTTGTATTATTACATTCATATTAAACCTCAATAGGAATATTTAATTGTGATAAGTTAATTTCAAACTAGCTGACAGATTTTTTTTAAAAGTTACTTTGTGTTTTAAGATTTTATGAATTAGGTTGCGTTAGATATTACTAAAGCTAACTTTAAACTTTTTCTTTTAGGCTAATCATTTTTTGACTAGAAAACTAATCTTATGATAAGTTACCTTATAATGTCACAGATGTATGACACTATTTTATTTGCTATTCCAAACTTGAGTTTCTTTTCAGTTAAGGATTTTATTTCTGTTGAAGGCTTATAATTTAATCTTTTCTATGCGGAATATTTTCTACTTGATTATTTTTTACCTACTGAAATTATACCATGTGTGCCAGCTATTAATTAACCAAATTCCAGTCCTATCTTGTTGCTAAATCATTTTTGGTAATATTTTTATCCAAATTTTATTTTGAATTCTATTTCTAAGACACTCCTTTTACAAATATATCTTTAACATCCTAACTCATTTACTATTATCTATCACTTAAAAAAAACAAAATTTTTGAAGCTTATTTTACCAATATCTTAATTAACAAAAATAATTAGAAATTTGTGTTTAATATTAAGTAAGACTAAGAACTAAAGGTTTTAATTTCATTTTTAAGCTAATTAAGATAATCCGATGTTACTTAGTCTTTATAAATTTAATTTGTAAATTAAACTTATCCTATAGTTTGAAAATATTATCTACTTATTAAATAATTTGGTTAGTATAAAAACCATTTATTAATCCATTATATTTGATCTGAAAAATTTGATGGAAATAATTAATAGATAGAGAGAATCATAAAGAAGTTAAATAATTCATAAAATTTTCAAAAATTTTATTTGATTTCTTAGCAAAATGTAAAAATATTCTTTAAATTGAAAGATCTTCAAGGAAAAAAAATAAAAACTAATTAAATTATATTAACAATCAAACAGTTATTTAACTAAATCATCCAATTATAATAAATACTGATTTTATAAAAATAATTTTATGAGCTATTAATAAAATTAATTTCATGATTTAGATGTATTTGCTTGATTTGATTTTTTTGTTAAGCAAAAAAATTACACCTTTAAATTATTATATTTTAATAAATAATTTTAATTAATAAAATGAAAATATGCTATAAAGATGCAACAATAATATTATAATCAAACTTAATAGTATTTTTTAATTGCAAAGATTTATGAAATCTTAAGTTCAATAACGATTAATTTAAAACAGTTAATATATGCACTATTTATTTATTATTTACTGTTTGTTATATGTTAATAAATCAAAGTTATTTGTAGCTAGATAGCAATAATTAATTAATTGTTAGTTTATGCTTTCATTAATTCATTATCATTATGTAGCAAATTTAGGTGATGAGTTACCATCTAATTAGGTTTCAGTTAAAAATAGATTACTTAGATTCATTTCTGTTTGAATTTCTTTGAAAATATCTTATAAACACTTTTTAATTTCTACTTAATTTGTCATTATAAGATCAGTAAATAAAGAAAACATATAAATTAGATGTCCTTTTTTTCCTTTTATAAATGGATTATCGCTATTTACTATTATATATTTTCTCTTTGACCCTTTTTTACTAGGTGATTAAAATTTATTTAGCACTTGGTTATTTTAAGTTGACTATGCAACAGTAGATTCTTCGTCTGGATTGGTTATACAATTTTAGCTACCATTTTAATTTGATAATTCTGTTTATTTGTTATTTTCTCCTTATATATCACTATTGCTACTAACTCCAGATAGATTAAGTTAAAGTGAGTGTTTTACTGAATTATCGTTAGGCATTTTAAAACAATCAAAAGGAAGTTCTAATTGCTTTAGCTACTATAAAACAAATACTAACTCAATTACTCTTCTCCTAAATATTTATTTTAGAATTTTAATAAACAAATTTTAATAACAAATTAGTTTTACTTAGAAATAGGGAACGATACATTAAGTTACTCATCTTGTATGAAATCTTCGATAATTTATTTGCATCTAAGTATTAATATTGGTAGAACTACTCTTGATACTTCATTAAATTTAGGATTTTTAGATTGTTTACTTCTACTTAACAAGAAGAGGTTTGAAATATACTTTTTACGAACTTCAAATTCATTTTCTTCAAATTAAGACTAATTAGCAGAATTTCCATTAGCTGTAACAAGGAAATTTAAATTATTATCATGCTTTTTAGAATCAGTATAGTTTTCTAAAACTTCTATCATTCTAGATATTATATATTACTCTAATTCCTAATCCTCACTAAGCATATTGCCGATAATGAATTCTATGCAGATAGATTCTATTTTGGCTATTTCATTCATCAAGTAGATTCTGTTATTTTCATCTAATCTTTCTTTAAATATATATAAATTTATTTTAGTTAAATATGTAATCAAAATAATTTACCTATTTTATCTTTTGGTCTTTATAAAAGATTCTCCATCAAAAAGAAGAAATCTGAATCGAAATTATTCTTTTTGATTAGTGATTTAGCTAAAAGTATAAATAGATTAAATACAAACAACCAAATAGGCTAAAAGTCCTTTGGAAAGCTGCTGTGAAGTTAATAGTATTCTCTCTCATATCTCAACTCAAGCAATCCTTCTATTCTTGCAAAGAAGTATTTAACAAAAACATCATGGAGGTCATTTGATAATCTTTCATCTAACAAAATATTGCTAAATTGCTCTAAAAATCTCTTTACCATCAAATAGTTGAAACGGCTGTCAATAGGACTATTCATCATTTCATTCATAAAAAGTAGAATTTAATTTTATATAACAAAAGTTTTATGGAAAATTAATCCAATGAAAGCTTGCACTGAAGCAAATACTGGTTTATCTTCTATGAATTTAATTTGTACACTGTATTATTCAATGTCTTTACAGAATTTCAAAGCCTAGTATAAAAATATAATTTTATTTTATAAAACAATAATAAAATTAAAACTTACTTTTTTCAAAAACTCAGTGAAGCTTTGCACTAATGATATTGTAATCACTTCAGAAGATTCAATGCTTAGAAGACTCGAGTAAGTATCGCAAATAATTGGAATCACCTGTTATGAGGCTATTTTATTTTCTTCTTTGCAATCAACTATAAACTCCATTAATTACTGGTAATCTGCAAAAATTAATTTAATTTCTTCGAAAATTTTTAATGCTTGAGCCGGTTTAGATGAGCAAAAATCTTTAATTATTTTTAAAAACTCAAAAATAAGAGTTTAATTGTTTAAAACAACTATTAATTTTAATTTATTTATGTAATTCATGTATAGATCAATTAAATTCTCTTCTATTTATGGAATATTCATGCCTTTTTTTATTATCTTTTATAATGACTAGATTAACTAACAGATTGAATCTTCAAATGCCTTGATATCAAATTTATTTAATGATTCATGGGTAATATAATGGTTATTGAATCTATTTAAGTCTGATGGAAGTAAGAATTTTGGAGTTTCAGGCAATCCCATAAATTTAGGTGTTTATAAATAGCTCACCTGCTGCTCAGGGATTTAATTTAATATTTCTTCATTTTCTTTTATAATTCTTTACATAAGTTTGTCAATCTAGTTTATTATTACTTCTTTCACAATTTTAATCCAAAATCTCTTTCTAAAGAACCTGGTGTTTACAGTGAGGAGATTGCTTAGTGTTTGTATAGCGGATTATCTTAGCTCTAATTGAGGTTCATTTGTGAGATTAATTAATTTTATAAATATGCTTTCCCACAAAGCTTCAAATTATTTTAAATCCAAATTAAATTGATTTAATTCATAATTTAATTCCTCAGCTGTTAATTAGTTTTCATCTTCGTTTGCATGTCTTTTTAGTAGTTATTCATTTAACTTAGCTAAGTGATCACCAATATTCCAAATCAAGGCAACAGATTAATAAATAGAGTTGCTATCAACTAATTTAATAAAAAAATTATATATTAAAACAATTAACTACAAAAAACATTTTATTACCACAGTGCTTTCTAAAGTTATCAATCAAATCTAGAATTATCTTTATTTAATCACGATTTATTATACTGATGTATTAACTAATAATTAATTCTAAACACTTTTATCCTTAAACGACTATACTTGGGTAATCTGAGCACACAGATACTTGGCTTAGGACTTCCAGTATGACTTTTAGTCCATTTTGTGAAATTTAATGTCCATTATTTTATAAAAGGCGCAAGCAATTATCTAGTAAAGTCTATTTAGTGTCTGGAAACTGTGAAGCAATTATTTCTTTATAAGGATTTAAAAGTGTTTCTTGCCAATTTTCTCTATTCCAAACTAGTATACCTGAGAATTTTTGCTATAAGAATCTCAATTCTTCAGAAACTTCTTAATCATCAGTAGGATAAACGTTCATAAAGAAATTAAATGCTTTATTTATTATATTGTTTAAAATATCAATAGAAAATAATCTCAATTCATTGTATCTTTTATTTGCAAGCATCAAAAAGTGAGTTGCTACTAAATCCCAAAACAATTCTATCCTGAATATATTTACAAGAATTGTTTCTTGCATTTTTAAAAGGCCAAACTTTTGATTAAAGTACTCAGGTGATTTCTTATTTGGTTATTCAATTGCAGCAACCTCCAAGACAGATAAATTGACTTAGTTTAAAGCATCTATCATAGTAATAACTAAGTTATCCTAAAAATTTTAAAATAAAGATGAAGAATTTGAATGTGTGAAGTTTATTTACATCAGCTTGGTCACTTGAAGAAAACAAATTATTGAGAAGGTTTTATTAAATTTGTATCTCTGAGTTGATTACAGTATCTTCTTTTCTTTACTATTCTTCTGGATACAGTTTTCTTAAAAATATATTATCTAATTTTTGCATTGATTATAGAATTATATGCCAGGAGCTTGTTCCAAGGACATCTATTTTTTTTGTTAATATTTAAAAAAAGAAAGAAAAAATTAAATTCAATTTACCTCCTAAACATAAAGCTATATTAAATAGAGTTTTTGTGCAAAGGAGGTTAAAAGAAGTGAAGTCTTCTCCAGGAGCACTAACACTATTGTTTGAGAGTACTTTTAAATATTCATCAGAAATTTTATTGAGTTACAGAGTTCCTGCTAAGCGAACCCAGCTTTGTATAGCCTTCAATATATTTTAAGTATATTGCTCATTTACTTATTTCTATAATAATTTTTTCACAATTCTTAGGTTCTCTTTCCAACATTACTCAATTATTCCTACTATTTCTTCAAATCCATCATGCTATTTACTATTTTATATTACCTAGTCAGCTAATCCTTCTTGATGCAGACTCTATTTTTATCTCACTGAGGCTTATTCTTAGTCTTTTTCTTGAAAAACTCTGCAAAGCGATTCCGTAAAATGTGTAGTGCATTCAGCTTTTTATTAAAAATTATTCTTTGATAATTATAAAATTTAAAAATTATTTACTAAGTATTTTATATAGCATATTTAAGCTAATTTAAGGAGATTCTTAAAAATCTATTTCGTTTCTGTCAATTATTTTGGACTTTATGTTAGAATGAACAACCTTTCTTAATTCTTAATCTGGTAGCTTAGAAATGTTAGAAGCTATTGCTTAAACACTTTCTAAAATATCTAAAAGCCCCTTATATTTTTTATTTTCATTATTTTGTTCTTCTTAAAAGCTTGCTTGATAGAGATGATAAATATACTTAGTATCACTCAGACTTAAGTTAAAGTACTCACTATATACATAAGAAAATATGAATATTTTATTAGCTTTTTTTTATGTTTCACAAATCTTTTGTAATATATTTTCATTAGATCTTAAATTATATGTTAATCTACAGCACAATTTAATAATTCTAATCCCAAACTTGAATTCTGAATAATCACTTTTAATGTTATCATAAGCAAATTAAACTAACTTTTCATTAATGATATGCATTAATTGCTTATTGTTTCTAATATATTTTCCAGCCAACTTTAAAATTGCCAATATTAAGTCAAATGCTAATTTAAAAATAAATTCTAGATAAATATTTAAAATAAAAAAAATACCGATTTCTTGATAGGTTGTGGTTACTCCTAACCCCTATGGTACCCAAGCTGGCATTTTTTTACCATCAAGCATCTATACAATTTCTCCAAACAGCCTGACACAGGTACTTTTTTAGATTAAAATTATATATTAATATATTTAAACTAAATTTACCTCGTAATTTATTCGTATGACTAAGGAGAATAAATAATACCATTCAAATCTTCTTCTGTATTTCTTGAATCATTCTTTTTATAATCAGACGAAGATTGATGCTAGATTTATGAAATTTATTCTTTGGATTCTTCTTCAGCAGTCTAGTTGAATTATTAAGAGTTGTCTGAAAAATTCTACTCGAAAACGATACGAGATTTAATAAAATGCTCAAAGACAATATTTATAAGCTAAAACATTCCTGCCAAAGAAGTGTTATGTACTATAATCTCTTTTTAACTTTATAGGGTCAAACAGATATTTAAAATCTATAATTTAAAAAATGTTTGTATTTACTCGATTTTTAGTAGTTAAAATTGTTTGAATATGCTAAGAAAAAAGTTTTATTCTTTTAAAATAAAATCTAATTAAAGTTTTAGCAAATATTTTATACCTTTTCTATTTAATCATAATATTTGCAAGTTATGGTTTTAAGATTAAACATAACTAATAAAGATTATATCAGTTTTATTTGCAGCTTTTCATCTTTAATATCTTTTATTGAATACAAGAAGTTTAATGCTATAGTCTACTCTACCTATGTTTATAATTAAAATGACTTTTAATTGAATACTTGCAAATAATAGTAAGCATTAAATAAAAATCGTTCATTCAATAAGTAAATTAGAAAATCAAAATAAATAAATTTACTTCAGTAACAGATGGTTAATTAATCAATCTTTGTAAAATATTTAAACCATGTTCATATATCTTCTACTACTTAGTGTCTTTTAACAAATCTATTACTTTAAAATATTAGCCTAAAGGGATGTCCTGCAAACCTCTATGAGTACCTACATTACCTTGCTAATTATTTTATGGGCTTTATCTTTTCTTAGTATTTTAAAGTTCTGTTATAAGCTCATTAACCATCTTTTTTTTTAAATTAGTAAAAATTTTTTTCGATGAATTATGCTTTCATAAGAAAATTATAAATGTAGCTTTTTATTAATGAAGTAACTAAATTATTATAATTCAATTTTAAGTTAGCAATTACATCCTTTATTTATGGCCACTTCTTTTTCGTCTCATATGCTATACCCTATAATTCTTTTTCTAGTAAATCGAATGCACTCATTTTTTTTCCTTTATCTGAAAAAATAATATTTATTTTTTTGGATCAATTCAAAATTTATTATTGTTATGAATGTTGCTTTTAATCAAAATTATTAGATAGCAATAAACTCTTTCTTTTGAAATACGCAAGTAATTAATTGAAATCTATTAATAAGTTGTTATTTATTAACTAAAATATATTTAATTAAACTTTTGATTCAAAGAGTGATATAATAAAAAAAATAAACCTTGCAATAAAAATGAATAAAAAACTTATTAGCTTCTTCTGAAATTATCAAAGTCAGCTGAAAAAAAATTTAGTAATATCTAATAACTTTAACAAAATTAGTAATGTAATACTATTTAACAGAGCATATTGATAAGTGTTTGCTTTAATTTTTATTATGCATATGTATTGATAATAAAATCTATAAATACTGAATTTAAATTTTCATTCTTACTAGATTTTTGATGTGAATTGCTGATAAATATTCTCAAACTAAAATCTAAATTCAATACAAAGTATTTAAATAAAAAAGTAATTAGACAATTAAATAAAATATGAATTTTGTATTAAATCCAAATGTTAAAAATTAGATTTAATAAACTACTCTTATGTTAAGAACAACAAAGCTTTATTTATAAAATAGAATTAGATATTTTATTTATTTTTAAATAATAATGATAATAAATTTATTTTTTATATTTTTTAAAATTTTAAATGCATTTTGAATTCTAAAATAATTGATTAGAATAAAAATATTTTTCATTTTTTATATACAAATGCAAAATACCATATCTTTAAATAAATAAAAAGCGATGAAATTAATTAAAAAAGATTTTAAAATAAAATAAATTCTTGAAATAAATGTCTTTGATGAAACTTATGGTTAAAATATTAAACGTATTTGTTTGATAGAATGATTGTTAAAGTTACAAATAAAATGATTGAGAATTATAACGACAAGATAAAAAATATTTTCAAGCTTATTATCTGAAGTTAAAATCACAATCTTGGGTTGGGGAAAGTTGCTTTAGCTTCATACCTAACACCAACACCATGACCTTTATTAAAGCAACAATCAATAGCTGTTTTATTCATTTCTTCTTTCAATTTTCTAAAGTTAGGCTTATCAACTCCAAATTTAGTTTAAGATTCAGCAAACTTTAAAGTTTCTTCAAAAAGCTTTTCAGGTGGGAAGATTTTATTAACCATCTTTCTTTCAAAAGCTTCTTTAGCTTCAAATCTCTTTGCTTAGAGAACTAACTCTCTAAATGCATCCTTATCAGAAATTTTTTCTTAAATGACTGCATTCATACCTGGAGGCAGAGGCATATGAAGCTCAACTTCATTCATGCAAATCTATCCAAAATCATCTCTCATAATTCTTTTAAAATACATTTTTATAATATTTTATTAAAGCTTATATAATTTAAATAAAACCTGTAATCATGTGAAAAAGCTAGCATACATCCTCCAGCGTATGCGTGGCCATTCATCATTGCAATGCAAGGTACTGCTAAAGCTAAGAATCTACCATATAAGCGAATAACTTCAAGAATAAAACTAAAAATATCTTCCTTTTCTAAAGATAACATGAAATTTAAATCTAATCCAGTAGAGAAAAATTTTTCATGTAAGCCAAAAGTGACTAAAGCAGTAGGACCGTCATTTTCCTCAACAGTATCTAACAACTCACTAATTTTTCTGATAAATGGGATACTAAGAGTATTTGCCTTTTTATTCAAAACCAAAAAAAAGACACCAGATTCAGTTTTTTTAAGAAAAACGTCTTGCTTTCTCTCTTCCTCAGTAATATTTAACTACTTGCATATATGTTCAATATTAAATCTTCCTGGGTTAGCCATTTCTAATGATTTATCAAAAATACTTTCTTTATCTGAAGTTATTTTCTTCTACTTAATTTGAATGTTTAAATTACTAATTACTAAAATAAAAGGGTTAGGATATTATATGAGATATTTCTTATGTTAATAGTGTTAGATGTAATATGTATCAGTATATAGTGACGTAATTTACAGGTAAATTAGCACTACATAAAATAAATAGAATCTTAGAACACTCAGTTTTTTTTAAATTTTAAAAATAAAAATTAGGAATTTTGAGACTTTTTTATAAGCTATCATCATAAATAATATATTTTCATTAAAATCTTTTTGTTATATAGTGAAATAAAAGTATTGAAAAGTATTTTTAGTTATTTTTAAACTAGGATTTCATTAAATTTTCATTTTAACTTTTTTCATATATACGCAACTTTTTAAACCAATCTACTGATTCTCTGATAAGGTAGAATAATTAACAAATCATCAACTATGCCATCAGTATATCGATGTAATATTGGTATTATGTTTTTTAATTCATGATATAAGAATATTTTTCTTATAATTCAAAATATAAGTAAATAAAAATGTTTAATAGAAAAGAAAATAATTAAAAAGTATTTCATCAATGTATTAAAAAAATAATAATTTTCATTAAAATTTTATTATAAATATAATAAATATACTAAACAAATAAATAATTTGATTATAAAATGTCAAACTTTTAGACTAAATTTTCTTAAAAGCTTTTAATAAATATTTATAATAAAGTATACATCAGCTACGTCATTAATGCTTTGATTTAATATTGTCTTTAAAGTTAGCTTTAGCTTATAACTTAACTAAATCACGCTCTCTTTATTTTTTGTGTAACTAAAATATACACAATTTATTATTTAATTAATTATTTATTTATAAATTAATTTAATATTTATTTATCTATTTATTAAGTTTAATTATAATAGAGTTTTTATTTTAATCAATTTTCATTTACTTTAAAATATTTACTCTAACTCCCCACGAATTAGGGGAACTTCTCATTTTGTATGTATGGCTACTTTTTAGTCCTTTGGCTCAAAAATTTTTTTGGTTACTAATATTAGCAGCTATCAACTAATTAGGAGTTAGAATATATTATCTTTAATTTAAATTTTTTTAAGTTTAAACTAAATGATTCCAAATTAGTTATTTTATATTTACATTTCATCAATAAACTTTATAATTAACGAAATAATAGTTTTTTGATTTTATCACAAATATTTATAAATGTCATTAGTTTAAAATAAAACTAAAATTTTTAAAAAAAACATGACAATAAAATGAAATAAATATTATATATATGAATGTATACTGAACATAATTAAGGCTATTATATTGATATAAAGTATTTTTTAATAATTTTACATTTATATTATTATTATATTTAGTTTTATAAATGATCTTCAGGAAACAATTAATTTTTATTATTTGAATTTTGATGAATTTATAACCATGCACTTTTATTTGAATATTAATTTGGATTTAATTGTAATTATCAGTTTATTTACTTATTTATTTATTGATTAATTTTTGCAATCTCACATTATTATAAAGTAGTAAACTAATAAGAACTATTTTTTTTCTTCATTTTTCTCATTATTAGTTTATGTAAAACAGTTATTGAAATTATTATATTTGTATAGTAAATGATGTTATCTGTAAAAAGTCTTTAAAATAATTCCTATCAGTTATAGTTTATTTCTCCCTTGCATACTGGACACTTTTTTTCTTATTTTAACCAGTTGTCCACACATTCAGGATGGTAAATATGCTTGCATGGTAATTATTTCAACTTTTCTCCATATTCGAATTCACTAATGCATATTGTACATTTTTCTGAAATAATTTTAAGCCTTGAGTTGAAGTTAACAGATGGAATTTATTAAATAATCTCTTGAGGTAATCCTCTTGAAACTTTCCCATTCTTTTCTTCAAGTTCTAACATTTCCTAAATAAAATAAACATATTATATAGTCATTTATGATTTTAAAATATTCAATTACTTCGTATGTCATATTGTCTACGTTAACAAAATTAGGATCATTTTAAAATTCCTCAGCAGATTACTGAATAGCCATTTAAAGCATTTATTCTTCTTGCTGATGTAATCTGATAGCATACATCATTTCTAATAGTTATTCATGGTTATCTATTAAGTAATTAAATAACTATTAAATATTTAATAAAAATATTTTTTTTAACTAACCTTTTCTCTCCTCATTTTAGGCAACAACAATTTATTCTTTCAACTATTTGTTTTGCTTGACAAGCTCTTAATTTTTCCTCTTGAGTAGAATATTTTCTTAGAGAAATTTGTGATTATCTAATCTGAGCTTTTTTATTTATTCGCTATGAGACTCCTATAATTCTTGATATGTCTGAAATCATTTTATAATTATAAAAGTGTTAATCAATATGTAAATTAATATGAAAAATAAAATTAATTTCTAGCATGAATATCTATAAATAAAAGCAATTTATCTAATTCTCTATTTAAATCTTTGTTTTTTATTGTTATAGCTAAAAATGTTATTAAAAAGTTTAAAAAAATAAAAAAAGTGGTTTACATTTTTCAGTTCTTAATATTTATCAGCAATAGATTCATATTTCGATAATAGTTCTTTATACACATCTGTGCTAACAATGTCTTCTTTTCTTAATTCCTACTTTTTGGTATACTGAGCTTAAGGAAATCCATAATTACCCATCATTTTATCATATTCAGAAACTCCAAAAGGTTAGTAATTCTAATTTTTTAAAGTTTATATCTGAAAAGGGCTTTTAAAATTAATTTTAAAATGAAATAAATATAATTACGGCTGAGTTCGATTGTTACTTAGTTAAAAATAAAGGAGAATTCTATGTATGTTGAGTGTTTATTTAGTTCATAATTGGCATTTTGTTTATTTAATTCTCAAAAATTGCTCCGTTTGATGTAGGAACCTGTTAAATAAAAGGTTTCTCAGTATGAGGATTACCTTGTTTAGCAATTTATTTAAATTATTCATCAATTGTATTTGTCCTCGTGTCTATTTTGAAATAAAAGTTTTTAGTGAGCTGTAAGAGATGCAGTTGCTTCATTAAATTTTTTAGTCAAGCAACTAGTTAAAAGTTTAAATTTAATATTAATTAATATACTTGTTGTGATTTTTTTAATTTGGGATGAAGGGTTTGCGTCCACTATCTTTCTGGACATATTTATTTATGGACTAGGTTTCTAATTTGAAGAAGGAGTACTTCCTCTTTTTATTGTTATGACTTATTTAGGATTTGACATTTAACTTAGTATTTAAGAAGGATTTATGAAGATTTGATAAGATTATTTTGATTTCTGGTAGCTTTTGTTTGTTTGCTAAACAGATGATTGGTAATGATTTTTTAATTATTTTTTACTTATTATTTTTAATTATTATTTGAGTTAAGTTTTTAATGCTTAATATTATTTATTCTTTAAATCTCCTCATTAAAATTTAAATTGGAATAAGTTTTTTTCTTTTTTCTTTTTTTTGCTTGTAAAATATACTTTTATCTAATACTGCCATTTACAAATAATCATTTTTCCATTTAATTTCTTGATATCGTTCACTAAAAGAATTACTACACCTTAATCAGTTTAAAAAAAACAATAAATAAAATAATTAGAGTGTTAGTTATTACAAAAATAATCTAATTTTTTCTTCTTCCAATATTGTAAATATTCATAAAGTTAAACAATTTATATAAATATTAAAATTGTACTATTTTAATTTTTCACTATTATATTTGCAAATCATGTTTGTTTTACACTTAACTTTAGAAGTAATACAATAATTTTTTTTAATTTAAATAATTGATTCTCTTAAACTTTGATAGAATAATTTTAATTTTATATTTTATATATTATTAATAGAGTTATGAAAAATATTTTCTATGCTTAAAATGAATTAAAAAGGTTACATTTAACAAATAAATAAATAGCTCTGATAATACTTTTTAAAAGTAGTCCTTTTTTAAATAATTAATTTAATTTGTATCTTAAAAAATTAAAAAAATATAACACAAAGGTTATCTTAAAAAGTCGGAAATGGAAGTATTTTTGATAAAATAGCCAAAATTAATTGATTATTATGAAAATCAAAGCAATTGGTAAGTATATTACTATCAAATAATACATTTTGATAAATAATTTGGCAATTATATTAATTATCTTATTAAATAGATTTATTAAATTGGATGGTTTTGGGATAACTAGTATAATAACACTTATTGTATCCATAAACTAAAAAATTATTAATTAGGCATTTATTAATATTGAAGATATAAATACAAATTACACTAAAATATAATTTTAATTTTTAAAAAAAGAATATGAAAGCATCTAAACATATTAATAATAATTATTTTAGTATTGTAGACTAATTAAGGGAATACGAAAACCACTTAAAAAGAGTATAAAATGCTTAACAGAAAATATTTTAGATATCAAAAGAGCATGAAGTTGAGAAGTATTAAAAATATAAGTAAAACTATTATCGTACAAGAATTCATGAAGAGAATATTAAAATTTAAGATATGAATAAAAAGAATGATCTGATAATGTAAAGATTATTAAAGATTTAAAATAGTTCAACACAGCCATAGGTGTATTCACCTAAAAAACGCTCACAATCTATTTAGTACTCCTCAGAGATATCAAAAAAAAATACTGAAAATCTACTTAAAAATAGATACAGATAATAATTAGATATTTAAAGAGAAAATGTTGCTATTCATAGTAGACTTAACTCTCAAAAAAGTATAGTTGATATTTATGATATTAAAAATCATGAAAAAAAGCATAAAGAATATAGGTAAAAGCTAACAAAGCTAGATCATGATAAATAAATAAAATTAAGGGATGTTTTAGAAAATAAATTTCATCTTTAGAGCTCTAAGTCTATAGCTTTTTATTTACCTTTGATATAATAAAATAGAAATAAATCATAAATAAATGACTCATAGTATGATACAGCTCATTCTAAAAGCTAAAAGAAACTAAGGTCAATTTCCTAAACATATGATGCAAAATACTACTAGGAATAATTTTCTTAAGATAATTTGATAAAATAAGGAGATAACTCTTACTATTAACCTGATTTTAAAAGTGATTAATAATTTTCAGAATCATTATCTGTAATAAAAAAATAGTAAACTTAACATTGATAAATCTTAATTAAACAAAAATAATATATTTAATTTGAATTACTTATTATTTTTCCTAATACTATTTATATATATTTGCTTAAAAAATCTTAAATTATTCAAAAAGTATTCATGTTAAAATCAAAAGAAAACTAATTTATAATAATAAATAAAATTATTTCTAATGTAAAATTTAATATTTTCAAATCAATTAAAGATTATTATCAATTTAAACTATGAAATAAATTAATAATTGGACTAATATTCTTAAGTTAATGTGCTAAAACCAGCAGATAACTCATTATTAACTTGAAAAAAAGTTATTAATAATTTTCTGAATTATTATCTATAATAAAATAATAATAAACTTAAAATCGATAAAACTAATATTATCAATCTTATTATTTTTGAATTGTTTAATTTATAATATTATTTATTTCATAAACTTTGAAAGGATATTTAAGTTTAAAGCAAAAGAAAATTCATTTTATGATTGATAGGTAAATAAATAAATTAATAAAACTGTTTTTAAAATAAATTAAATATTTTAAAGATAAAAATATTGTTATGAACATTTAATTAAATATTAAAAATTATCAAAATAAAATTAAAAAAGTTTAAATCAATAATATTTTATTATAATTATAATTGTTAATTAATAAATTATATTGAATATTTTCAAAAATAGATTATAAATTTAATAGTTATTAAAGAATTTTAACTATTATAAAAATAATAAACAAATGAATGAATAATTGATTGATAATAATCTATATAAAATTTGATAAAAGTTTAATTTCTTAAATTTTAAAGATATTTTTTGATTACTTAACTGTAGTAAGTAATCTATAAAAATATATGAGATAATAGGTCAATAAGATAAAAGATGAATAAATTAGCTTACTTAAAAATTAAGAGGATATAAATAAACAAGCAAATATAACAGTAAGGTAACGATAACTTAGCTAAAGCAGAAGCTAAAGTAGAAAGAAGACTTATTAAGTTTAAAAAGATATAATAAAGTAGGGATTACAAGATGAGACTAATATTTAATGTAGAAAAAGAATAGATTTGTAGTGTATAATTCCTATTTTGCATAAACTGCCAGAAGAAAGGACAGTTTAAGATTTAAATGAACTTTCAAGTAAACTTGCTTCTTTGGATTTTTTTGAATAAATTCTTTCAGATGAAAGTTTAAAAAATAAGCATAAGCTCCTTAAAGAAATGAGAATTGAGATCTTTTCTCAAAATGGATAGATTATATTTAATGAGGGTGATTAATCAAACAAATTTTATGTTGTTCTGTCTGGAGGTGTAAAATTAATCTAAATTTTTTATCAAAAAAACTCCCTTCAATAAAATAATACAAGGAGTTCTTAAACAAACCTTTGTGATGCGTAATAGGATATTGTTACACCTATCAACCGTTTGATAGAATAAGATACAAAGCACTTTTTTTAACAAGGCTAGTATTTTGGCTAAAATGAGTTGATTTTTTATTCAAAAAGATTTTACTCTGCTATTACATTTAACAATTAAATAGGAGATAAATCTTTTGAATAAGAAACCATTTTGATATATTTCAATTAAAACATTTTTAATAACTTATTATAAGATTTCATAATTAACTAAAATCCTTTTTTTAGGAGTTTTTCTCTGCTAAAACTTGTACCAAAAGAGGGAAAAGTAAGGATAAGTTATGAGCATCAAATAAAGCAGCTTTCACTCAATGAAGTAGTTTATAAATAAGATTAAAAAGTAGAATATATTTACTATTTAGATAGTGGAAATGTGCAGTTAAATTATTCATAAAAATAAATTTTAGATGTTCTTCCTCATTCAGTTTAATAGAAAAAGTAATAAACTCAGATTATTAGTACTATTCCTGAAAAATCCTTTTTTGGAGATGAAGACTTGCTAAATTTAAATGGAACAAGAAAATACTCTGCTACGATCAGTTCAATTAAGGCTACTTTATATTTATTTGATGCAAACATGTTTTATGAGGAAATAGTATAAGCTTATGGGATAGTAAAAACAAATAAAATGATTAATGATTATCTTTTGTCTAAATAAAAATGGAGAGATGAACATATTTAGTAGGCCATAAATATAAAAAATTAATTTTCTGGATTCTAATACTGCGGCTCAAAATTAAACTAGAATTTAGTATTAAAAAATTAATCCGATTCTAAATAGAATTTGTAAAATATTAGCAATAGACAGTTCTTAATTTCTTAGAATTAATAAAAAAAAGTTTCTAATGCTTCTATAAGTCGTTGTGTCACTGAAGAATAGGAGAATAAGTAAAGCTATCTGTCTAGATAGTTAAATTCTTGCTTAAGCTAACTGCAAGTTGGTTAAATAAATACAATTAACTAGAATCACTTAAAAACCTTGAATTATAAGAACCATAGTAAAAAATCCAATTAAAATAATATTAGTGATGTTGAAAAGTATTTTAAGTAAAATATTAAAAACGAAAGAAGCCATTAAAATAATTTGAATAATTTTTTGATAAATTAATTCGACACCTGCAAATAGATCAACCAAAAATTTCAATTAAAAAGGCCTATTAAAAATAGCAAATTCAATACAATAGATAGTGAGCTTAGCCTATCAAACGATTATTCTTTGTAAAAATCATAGATAAACTAAACAAATCAAAATAATACCATAATTAATCGATGTGAAAGTTTAACTTTAGATGATCAAAATGGAGAGAGTATGCTGATATTTCCAAATCAGTTTTTAAAGAGTTAATAAATAAAATAACAAGCCTAAGGCTAAAAAGCATCATTTTCACAGTATTCATAAAATAAGAGTTTATTTAAAATCAGATTACAGAAAATGGAGGATCATGAAAAAAACAATTTAAGTGAAATTAATACTTTTTGTGGGCATACAAGCTTAATTCTAAGTGGAAAACACAATTTATCATTCTAAAATTTATCTCCGGGAGGATAAAAAATATATGATCCATTTAATGATTGCTGGGTGAAAAGAAGCTCCCCTAAAAAAAATAATATTCACACCTAAAATTATTTGGAAAATACAAGTATTAACAATGAACATTTAAAATATTAAGTAAGCATAGATTCTCCATTTTCAAAATAACTAAATTAAAGTGTTTATGATTTAAGCGACCCTTCATATTTGAGTATTTCTAAATAAAGCTTAGCGGCTTAGTAATATCAACTTGATATAAAAGTAAAAAATCATTAAAATAATCAATAAAATTGTAAAAAGGTCTTAAAAAATTTAAATATCTAAAGTGCTATTTCTAAAAAATGCGTTGTAGAGGGTAAAGAAAAGAGGAGAAACTTGCAAAATAATTTAAATAATAAAATTAATTCATCGTCAAATTTCAATTAAGAAATTTAAAATAATACAGCTCATAGTAAAAATCAGGAGTCAAATGAAAAAAAAAAGTAAAATAGCTGTTAATAGAAAATAGAATTTACAGTCAATTAGCAATAAAGTTAGAAAGTACTAAGTAATTCAATGAAAATCCTTAAAATTTAAAATGCAAATATTGGAGAATAGGTTTAGCATGCAAAAGAAAATTTTTAATAAAATAAAAACAAAAGTGGTCAAAAAATGAGTTAAATATATTCAATTAATGATTAATAAAAATAAAGGACAGAATATTAATAACTGAAAATGCAAAATCAGTAATACAGTTTGGATGATTAAATAAATAGCCAGTAGTAAGATTAAAATCATATCAATATTGAAAGCTGTAATGATTTAGATTCTTATTAGGAAAGAAGTAACTTATTTAAAAGTCTTAGGAAAAAAAGTATCGAATAAGAAAATACAAGCTAAAAAATAGCAGAACAAAATTTAAATAGGTTTATTGAAGAAAACTGTAGCGGTAACGAAATATACTAAATTGAATGTAACAATTTGCTAGGTAAAAAAAAATAGATTTTAAAATATCTTCTAAGTTAAATTGGTTCTGCAGATTTAAATTGTATTGACATGAATTAAGATTAAAAAAACACAAAATATGATAATTTATTAAGAATTTTGATGAAATAAAAATAAGAAAATAAAAAAATGGATTGTAGGAGTTCCAAGAACTTTAGCAATTCTCTATAGAAATATAATAGCAGAGATGAAATTTAAAAACAAAAATTAAAGAATTTTGAAGGAAATTTTTCTAAAGATTTTTAATCAATAGAAAGATAAAAATTTTCTCCTAACTAAAAAGAGAGAGAGAAGTTTTAACAAGTTAATAAGAGCACTTCAAATGCTTTCTAACAATATTTAAGATTTGCAAATGATATTATAAATAAAGAAATTAACTCTTCTTAGACTTAGATGGGGAATTTAAGCGATTAAGCTATTAATATTTCAGATTAAATTAATTAATTCACTCAATCATATACTCCTGTTAACTATCCTTTAAATTCGACTATTAAAGAAAAGAAAAGAAATACTGGTTTGAAGTAAAAATTAGAAATGAGAAGAAAACTTAAAACTCCATCATAGAGCTATTCAGTTAATAAAAGAGATAATAGATAAGAATCAACCAATTTCTCAAATCTCCACCAAACTCTATTCATTTTACCTAAGTCTTAATTCGATTTATGAGTGAAGTAATATAAACAATAAGCAAATAGAAAGTAAAATAAAAATAAATAAATATAATAAAAATAATATTAACAAATTTTATTTAGAGCTAGTCATTTTAACTTCTATTTTTATTTATTTTTTTCTAATAAATTTTAGTAAAATTTCAGTTTGTTCTTGATAAATTTAGATTACATGAATAATTTTTTATAAATATTCATTTTTTGTTTCAACTCAAAAAGTGCTCTTTCGTTTGCTTGCTTGCATTCTTACTTATTTTTCCTTCAAAATATATATCCTTTTAATAAAATTGAATTAAGTGAATGTGTTTATAAATATTTTTATTTGTTAGTCTTTTCTATATTAATTAAATAAAAAATTCCCTTTTAAAATAACATTTTATAAAATAATCTTAAAAGTTTTTTATTACTAATAATCAAGGGAGATATTTAAAGTTCCAAAAAACATTTAACTATTTTTAAGATTAAATTAAAATTTGTTTACTTGGTTGGAATATTTTTAATTGATTCTTTCTATTTTAAGTTGCAACTTAAGATTTTTATATTTCATATCAAGATAGTATTATTTGTTTATTTTGAATATTTGAATTATAAATATTAGTAATAACTAAAATTAGAAATAGAGCTTAAAATTATTTTTTAAATTCTTATCTAATCAATTGAGTATTAGTTGCTGGAATAAGATATTGAAAGTTCTTTTAAAGTGAAGTATGAAAAAATATAGTTTCATTTTACTTAAATTTGCAAAATTTTCTAGAAACTATTTTACAACTTTCTGAATAAAAAGAAAACAGTCTGCTTATCTATCTATCTATATATCGATCTATCTTTATTTACTTATTTATCTATATATCTAAAGTGAATAGTTAGTTTTTGTTAATAAAAATGATTAATATTCCCTTAAATATTAATATTTTAAACTATTAAGATTTAGCTGCGCAAACAGTGAAATAAAGAGAAAATATTTAATTTTTTAGTATCTTATTAAGTTATTTTATAAAAATTTAAAAATAAAGTTAAACAAAAAGATAGAATTTTTTAAAAAGGGAATTTTTTTTAAAACAAAAACAATTTTTAAAAGAGAAATTTCTAATATTTAAGTTTAAGAATTTGTGAAAAAAAAGCAATTTTATTTTAAGCTTGTAATTATACTATTGTTGATGCTAAAGGAAGATTGCTAAAATTGCTTTTTAAAATAATATTTTTAAAAAATTAACCTTAAAATTTTCTTCATAAATAACTAAACGCTTTAAACAATTTGTTTAATTCCACTGTATTTGACAATAAATTTTGATGATGATTAACCAAAATCACAATTAATAAACAGAAGCTGCATTTATTTTTTATTTATTAATTTATCTTAATAAAGAGGAAAATGAGCTTACAATGTAGTCTGTAATATAAATTTCAAAATAGCTAGCCTTATTTAACTGTTTTAATAAATTTACTGAAACTAAAATTTATTATTTACTCAATATTTATGTAGTCCTTCTCTTGTAAGATTTTTTTAATGGTAACTCTATATTAGTAAACAAAAGGGTTTTTGATGTAATTAGAAATTTAATTTTATTTTTAATGATATTACCCTGTGCTAACAAGGTGAAATAGGATACAAGAAGTTTATTTCATTAATCCAAAATTAATATTTTTATCATATAAATTAAAAAATAAGCTAAAATTATGTAAAATATTCTTTGAAGAATCAAGGATGATAAAGCTTAATTTCTAAAGAATATAATTTTATATTTAATTTTAGAATTTTTTGGCCATTTTTATTTTTAAATTTGTTATTTAAATTTAATGTTAAAAAATGTTGTTATTAAATTGTTCAAAAGAACCTTATTTAATAGGATTATTGTTACAGAGAATTCAATGCTTTTAGAATCTGTACACTTTAGCTATTCTCAAATTTTGATTTCAATATTTAAACACTTTTACCTATCTCTCTTAAGGAATAATAAAAATTAATATAAAGATTATTTTTTAATTAATAGAAAGCATTGATCAATTTTTTTTACTATTTATTTTGCGCAGGTATTAAATAAATAAGAAGTTTTTTTAACATTATAATAAGTGAATAAAGTAAACAAAAGAAGCAAACAAATTATAAGAAAAGTAAAAATAATTAAAGAAAAGTCAACAACTAACATAAATTCTCTTTGAATATGAGAGACTGCTTTCCTAAAAAAAATGTATACAATAAAAAAAGCATTGAATTAATATTCTTAATATTTATTTTTGAAATTAATAGCAAATCTAGGTCAAGTAAGACTTGATTACAAATGCTTCAAAGATATGTAAATACAATGCCATAAATAGCAAAAGAAGTCACAGAAGTATTTAGGTTATTAAGACTTATGGTTAAGTGCTTTCAGATTCAACTAAAATAAAAAAGCTGCCTCGCTATTGTACTTTTAAATAGTTATACATTAGTAACTAAAATTTCAAAAGCAAAGAAGAGGTATTAAATACATTAACTCATTATGCTTGCACAGTAATTAGACCTGAGTTCGATAGAATGTTTATAGATGTATAAAATTCAAATATACCTATAAAAAAGTAATATCAACAAAATGTTAATAATTAGCTACCATCAGATTAAAATTCTGAAAAATCATAAACTGAATATAACAGAAACTTAGTAACTTCAGTGTCATCTAATAATACTTCAACAAAAAATCTATTTTAAAAAGAGAATTTAACTATTCAAATTTAAAAAATAACACATTAGAAAGATAAATACATAATACAATAGAATGGTTACTAACTAAAATAGTAAGACAACATTAAAAATGAATACATTGAATCTAATGATGATTATTCTCATTTAAACGTAGATGTTGCTGATAAGAATGTTTTGTCAAACTAAAAATATTTAAACTTGAAATAATTTCCTTTTTTAAAAAATAATGAAATTACTGATTATGATAAAGAGGCTGTGTCAATTTGTTAAAGAATATACTCAGTAATTCAAGATATTGGTAGCTAATTCACAGAGAGTATACGCAAACATGATTATAATTATATCTAGCTGAAAATTAGACCAGAATCAGAAAAATATTTTACAGCTAGTATTATTAACATTTTTTAATCTTTTACTAAAAAACACCGTGCACCTTACAAAATGAATTCTAAAGAATAAACAAAAAAATAAATACCAACACTATCTCCTTCCAATAACTCAGAACCCTTCAACTCACCAATCGAAATATAAAACCTTTATTTAAATAACGAAGCAAACTAGTAACTTAATGATAAAGCTGCTAATATCGACATTTAAACTGATGAAAACTCCTCATCAAGTAATTAAAATATTAAAAATAAAAAGACAGTGAAAAAGTAATAAATGAGACAGTCTAAATTTCATAATTTGAAAAAATCTTTTATGCATGCTCTCATCTTACTTTTCTAACAAGATATTTTAAACTGCCTCGAGATTCCTGACAATCATGGCTACTTCCTATAGCAAGTCGTAAACAGGATGCGTATGTTTTCTACTAAAACAAGGTCCGACAGTGGATAATATGAATACTACTCTCATACACATTATACAGCTCTCTTATTAAAATTAAATGAATATTCTTTACCTCTAATAACTTAAAATGAATTAGATCTATAACTACATAAAGCAATGTACTAGGAAGATCTAACTTAATCAACAGGAACAGACTTTGCTTCTATTAAATGCAATTATTATAAATCTCTTATCTTCAAAATCATTGAAATGTCAATTAATATTATCGAAAATCAAAACCATTTATTATCAAACATTGAATGCGAAAAAAAATCAGTTTGCAGATTTGACTACATTCTCAGAGTAAAAAGCGGAATAGAAAAACTAAGCTAAGGGATATAAGTCACTAGATTTTGAGTGAAGCTAATAATTCAAAAATTTATAAACAATTATAATCAAAAAATGTATATTTAAATTATCATCCTTTGAATATAAAAACAATAAAAAAAATAAAATTTAAAATCTAAATCAAAAAAAAAAAAGCAAAAATATAAAAAAATATAAATGGAATCAAAACAATCTATTCAAAAACATTAAATTATAAAATATAAAATACCCATAACATCTTTTATTCTTCTTATTCTATACATTCATTTACAACAATATTTATTTAGTAAAAATTAAAAAAATATGATTTATTTAGAAATAATAATCGAATATTTATTGTATTCTAATTATTTGCACATTTACTTGTATTTTTTACAAATTTATTTAAGTCTATTTACCTTTTCAGATATAATTCAATAAATTTCTTTATTAAAATAGCTTTTAAATTTTTGTTTTTGTTTAAATTAGTTCAGTTGATAACATTTATATTTTGAATATTTATTTTGAAGCAAATTGTAATAAAATTAATCATGTTTAATTAAAATAAAAATTGATCATTTAAAAAATATAAACAGGCGAATAAATCAATTTTCTTTATTTAAAAAAAAAACTGAAATCAAAGGTTAATTTTTAAGTGGCAATTCATATTTTCACAATAATTATTTAATTTTTTCACATTCTTTAAATTAAATTATCTTAACTGTATCGATCAACCTTAAAAGGTATTGCCGTTAAAAATATATAGTATGTTGCAAAAAAGATTTTATATTATAAGTTAAAATAAAATTATACAATAAAATTGTGAAGATAAACGATATTATATATTTATTATTTTATTATTATTTTTTATATTTAATACTTAACTTGTTATTTTTATCCTCTTAGATAATATCCACTTTCATTTTTAATTTATAAATAAGAAAATTAAATAATAATGATAAAGATGATATTTTTATGTTCATTATACTACAATCGAGTTAGTATTGTCCGTGTGTACACTATTTATTATGTTGCTTATAAATTTTTTATAAACATTCAGATTCTTTTACTTTTTTCATATCAATTAGATTATTTCTATTTTACAGACTTCTATATTATGATATTCTCCTGATAAGAAAAATAAACATATTACAATAAAATAGAAAACAAATAAACAATTTGTTGTAGTTGCCATTTGTTACTAATTTTTAATTTTCTGGTCAAGAAATTTTGCTTTATATAATTTATCTTTAAAGTTTAAAGATATTTTTTATAACAAATAATAAATAAAAAAAATAATAATAATATCCAAAAAAATACTTTAAGCAAAATAAATAGTTAGAAATGTTGTGCGGTGGATTCCAAGGTAAAGAAATTACCTAAAAGTAACACGATTTAGCTAATCACCATCTTTAAGATGTTAACAATTTACTTGGCAAATCTTTTACTTCCTTAAATGTCACTAAGTACTCTTCTTAAATTGTTGCTGGTACTAATCATCTTTTAGAAGCTGAAGCTAATGACGGTACTAAGCTCTCTCTTAAGGTTTTTGAACCTCTCCCTCATACTAACTCACCTACTTAACTTAGTGAAGCTAAACTTTTGTGAGTTATCTAATCAGCTAATAAATAAAATATTTTTAAAAGATTTATTTTTAAATTGAACAGTGTATCTTCATTTTTTGTGTACTTGTAATTAAATTTTTTGAAGAATCTAAATTAATTAACTCCTTTGATTTATTTCTTAAAAATACACGAGCAAGTCCAATTACTTCAAATATTTTTAAATACTACATCCATTTTTGTTTAATAATTATGATGAAGCTTATAACGAGTAGCTTTTTTGTATAATTTATTGTTTCCTTGCTTAGCTTAAGCATTTTTTAAGTTTTTTTTCAGCTAATTTACTTAGAATTAGATGGATAAAGGGAGACAAAGGAAGTATGAGAAAAATTGAATTCTAACACTAAATTTTACACATAAATGAAAAATCTTTAATAGAAGTATAGTTAAAATACTTTAATTGTTTACTTGATATAGATCAATAAAATATTTTAGATTAGTGTGCTTACATTTTAAGCATAAATAATCTAAATGACTGAACAACATTTTTATAGCTTTACTACATTAAAAAGATCAAAGCAATCATATGGTCAAGAATTTCATATTAATTGATTAATTTTAATTGAAATAGAATACGATATAAATAATATTATATCATTTTTAATCTGCTTTTTTATAAAGTACATATGAAAGGTATTTATTTAAAAAAGATATGAACGAGTTAGTAATAAAAGATAAATAATAAAAGAATTTAGTTTGATTGATTTTGATTGAAGTAGTAAAATAAAAAAAATAATTATGATTTTTAACTTAATTGAATAAATAAAAAGCATAAACTAAATACAAATACTTTGAATAAATGATATGTATGGCTTTAATATAAGAATATTATAATAATCACATGAACTAATATAATTCGAATAATAATTTAATAATTAATTAAATAATTCAATAATTAATATATTGGTCTGAAACTATATTTAGAAATATCATAAAACACACCAAAATATTATAAATATCATACTAATTAACTAACTAACTATCTATCTATCTAAACTAAATTTTCTACTTATAAATCAACATTTATTATAATTGTATTCAAAAAATTCTTTTTTATAACTTATCATCATTTTTTCTTAGTAGCAGGCTCCTTTTTTAACTATTTATTGTTTTTAGATTGAGATACTTTTGCATGCTCTTCGTCAGAAGCTTTCTTTTTACTTGAAGATCCATTTGATTTACCTTTGGAAGCAGTGCTAGCTTTAGCAGGAGCTTTCTTATCTTCAGCTTTAGTTCTTTCTTTTGATTGGCTCTTTGATTTAGAACTAGATGCAGCTGATGTTTTTGGCTTAGACTTAGATCTAGATTTGCTATTACTTTCGCTTTTACCATTTTTTTTAGATGAACTTGAGGTAGCTCTCTTCTTGGTTTCAGCTGGCTCTTCTTTTTTCTTATTTTCGGTTTTCTTTTTTCCTTTTTCAGCTTCTTACTTTTCTTCTTTCTTTGGTTAGCTCTTTTCTCTCTTCTTTTCAGCTTCTGCTTATTCTTTTTCTTACTTTTTAGCAAGTCTTTCTTTTTCTTTTTCAGCCTTCTTTTCAGCTTCAGCTTATTTTTTAGCAGCTTCAGCTTCTTTCTTTTTGGCTGCTTCTTCAGCTCTCTTAGCAGCTCTTTCTTCTTTTTCAGCTTTTTCAGCTGCAGCTTTAGCAAGTGCAGTTGTTTTCTTTCTCATATTGTGAGGTAAATATTCGTCATCAGCATCTAATAGCAAATCTTTGGGTACAGAATGTTACTATTACTCTAAATTGACGTAATATGTGACATGTTGGGTTCCCATAGCGAAATCTGTTGGAATTTCATTCTTATAGAAGTCTCTAGGAATAACATATGGGTTGTACTCATCCTCATCTTCATCTTTACGATTTCCTAACACAAAATTTGAGCCGAATCCCCAAGAATAGCACTAACCTGTTTCTTCTTAAGCATAACTGTAGTTTGCACCAGCCCAAATGTTGATAATCTTTTTATGATCAGCAGGGAAGGTATCTATTTTAATAGGTTTAGGGTTGATTTCCTTAATTTCTCCATAGACTGGATGGTTATCTTTTACTTTGCCTAATCCAAACTAACCAATATCATTTCTACCAAAACCGTAAACAGTGCCATCTTCTAACAAAGCAATAGAATGAGATTCTCCACCACAGAATTTTTTAACTTCAAGATTATCAAAGAATTTTATTTGAGTAGGCTCAAAGACTACATCTAAGTGTCTTTCTTCAGGTAAATCTAAACCAAGTTAACCAAAATTATTTAAACCCCAAGAATAGTAAGCATATTCGGCCTTTTACTCTTCGACACCGTCAGAAGCAGGAATGGCCTTTTTAATTTGGCGCTTCAAAAAGCTGTGACGACCTCCAGTGTAAATATCTGATACCTTTATTTATGTAATTTTAGCAACTTTAAGAGCTTGCTCATATCCGTGACGAGTCTTAGGCATTCTTCCAACAACACCCATGTCAGGGTCACCCCATCCAAATAGTTCTCCTTCATCAGTAAGCACAAGTGAGTGTTATTATCCACTGAGAATTTTAGTGAGTTTTTTTCTGTAAAGTTCCTTGTTGCCAACACGTACAGGAGTTCTGGCAGGAGGAGCAAGGTTTGCCTTCTCAGTATTTCTATAAGTACCCCAGAAAAAGCATACACCCAATTCTGAGTTTGCAGCAACTGAGTGGCTATCTCCTGCTGCAATCATGTTAACCTTAATGGGAATTTAGACTAATTATGCCTTTTTATCACTGTCTTCATCTTCATCGTTAGCAGGTCTACCTATTTATTATAAATATTATGTTATAATGATAAATCAAATATTTTCTTTTAATATTAAAAAGCAATATTTTGAAAGAATATTTTTAAAAAATGGATTTTAAGCTAAATTTTATCATTGTTATACAATGCGCCAAGCTATTCTTATTAGCTTAAAAGAAATCTATAAAAAGCTAACTAAAAATTTAGAAATTTAATTTGGAGAAGTTCTCCATTTAAATTTGATATTAAAGCTAATTTTAAAAAATGTACCTAAAGCGCCATCATCATTTTAACCTTAAGAATAAACTAAACCAAGATTGGTAAGGATAAGAGTGTGTAGAGATCCACAAGCTATTTATACTACAACATGATTTTTAAGACAAGCATTTAAATAAGGACGACGAGTTTCAGATCTAGAGTCAGGAAGCCAAAATTAATCCATTTCAGTTGATCCATAGTTATAAACCTTTGTTAATTCTTGTAAAGAATCAGCAGGTTTAGCATCTACTTTAGGAGGTTAGTTATGAGAGTTGTTATTCTCTTCTTTTTTATTAACTTATTCTTCTTCAGCTTACATAGCAGTTGAATTATTTTATTCAGAGGTAGCAGCTTATTTATCGCTATTTGGTTAATTTTACTTTTCTTCTTCCTTTTTTTCGGTTTCTGTAGATGCAGGTTCAATAGGTTTTTCTACTTCCATTTTTCTGCTATTATCTTCTTCTGGGCTTTATTTATTAAGAATAAAATGATTTGGTGAAGTAATAACTAGCGTAAAATAGCCAGCATCAAGCTTTAAATAATTATTTGAATACAAATTGAAAAACAAAGATTTTTACATAATATCTTCCTTGTTGGTAGATGACATTTTATTAGTCTAATTATTATTGTTATTTATCTTAAATAGCTATTAATAAAAATATATTTATTTACTTGAAAAATTGAATGATTTATTAGAAAAGACTTGAATCTAAACTTGTTATAGAGGTACTATTTATATCAAATTGCTATATATAAATTATGATCTATCAATCTATCAAATATTAGTTTTTTAAATGAATTTTTTTTATTTCAATATAATTTTATTCTTATAAATAAATGCCCATAATATTGTGTATGCGTATCTTGCATGAGCTTGTTATAAATATTTATAGCTCATTATTAAAGAAAATTTTAGTAAAATGCAAATTTTATTATTTATTATTCTTATCATTAATTCACTAAAAAATTCTTTAAAAAATTTAAACTAGATTAAATTTTAGCATTAAAACTTATAATTTTTATGTTATTAGCCACTTAATTATTATTTTTCATTAACTTCTATTATATTTACATAATATTATGATAGTAAAAAGAAAATAAAAAAAGAGAGACATTTCAATCAAATTAAAGATTAATATTTTGAAGTTAATAAAAAGTTTCTATTATATATAAAACATAATTAAGGTATTTATTCATTTATTTTGGTTAATAATAACATTAATAATTTTGCAAAATTTATAAACAAAATTTTAATTGATAATTTCAAAATTTCAATTTTAAATAAAAAGGCTCATTTTGCATGGAAAAAAATTTGAATTTTTTACCCAAATAAAAAAGCAAAATATTTTTATAATTTTAAAAAGCTAATAAACAAAAAAATGAATAGATATACAAATTTAAGTATAAAAAATATCAATTAAAATTAATCATAATTGCTAAAGATTTTATTTAAATTAGCTTTCTCGTTCTTCAGGATCATTAAGTTGCTCTAACAAGAAATTTCTAATAAATTTGTTGAAGTCTCTTACATTTTTGTCATTTTTTCCATACACTTGCTTTAAATTAAATTAAATAATGAATAAAAAAAAATAAGTAAAATTAAGAATGATCAAGAAAGAAAATCTGTTTACTTCTAACGAAGAAATGAAATTTGTTAAAAAATCAGTGACAATTTAATTATTTTGCTTATAGTATTCGATATCCTTGAGTAGTTTCTACCATTCAAATTTTAAATCCTCCTAAAAATTAGAAATTATTTCTTCAGGTATGCCAGTACCTGTTTTAAGTACTAATCTATTTAGAGTATTTATACACTTTTCAATAGCAGAAAATGCAAACTTTTGCATAGGGTTTTCTTTGAATTAGTTGGATTTTACCTAATTTTTTAACTAAATATTTGTCTGTGAAACCTTTTGATTCACAATTTTCTGGGTAGATTCTTTACTTTGAAGAGATAAAATTTGCTAGAGAGTTTAATTATCTTCAGATAACTCTTAATTTTGCAATGTTAATGTTGATACACATTTATTTAATGAGGTGTTTTCTTATTTTAAATTTTATATTATATGATTTAATTATTGCATTGAATTCATCAATTCATCATTCTTAGATAAAAGTTAATCTCTTTGACTTTCCAGATCCTTTATTCTTTTATCTTTTTTTTCTAGTATAAACTAATCACTCTCAATTTTTCTTCTTTCACGTTATAGCTTATTTAATTCTTCTTCTCTTTCAGAAAATTCAAGATTCAATGATGCTATCATTTCTTTGAATTTAATATTTTACTTTTAAATTGAAGATAAATTTTTTTAATTATCTTTTTATATTTTTACATCTGTCAAATAATTTATTTATTCTCTTAATTTTTTTTATTATTCAACATATCTATAAATTTAAGCTTCATAAACAGTAACAAGCTCATGAATATTCTTTTCAGCAGCTAGCAAGGTAATTTTTTTTTATTGATTCTTGATAATTTCTCTTAACTCACTAATCTCTATTTCGTATCTGGCTTGGCTTTCTTGAATTTATAAATTAAGTTCTTCTATTTTTTATTGATAACATTCCTCTAGAAGCTACTTATGCTATATAGTTGACTGGTACTAAAGATTTTAGTATTTTTTACTAACAAGTTTGCTTTTTGTTTCTGGTAATTTTTAACTGTTTCCCAACTCTTAATTAAATTAATCACATGACATTTAAGTTTGAAAAGTCCTTAGTCTATCTTTTTCAGATTCATAATTTTCTTAAATACTATCTTAAGTCTAATTTTGAAGATTTCCTCTTTTACTACAATTGTTTGATGATAAAAAATGTCTGTCTTCATTGTATTCTTATTTATTTTATGTTTATTTCAGATTTCCGATTTTTAGTTTATTTTCTTTTTCTCCATTATTTAAATCTTCATTTGTTTCATTTTATTTATGTTATTCACTACAATTGTTGCCATTAATTCTATTTAGTAGTTCTTTCATTTCTTGCTTAAATGTTTTTTTTGATTTTTATTGCTCGTCTACATCATTTTACTACTTCTAAATCCTTGATCCTAATTATTACTACACAGGGAGATCATAATCTTTTGTTATTTTAGAGCTCTGTTAATTTGAAGTTTAAAGTGCTTTTGGGTGGTTCTAAATATTTCTTTCAGGATATTAGTATGATCTATTGTGGTTTTCAAATGAATTATTAAATTTTCTCTTTGTTTATTTGTCAAAATATTCGTCTTGGCTATCATCTTTAACTTATCTATAATAAAAATTTACTTTTTAACAATTATATTCAAAATTTTTAGTTTATTTACGTATTATATCTATGAGTAATTGTGTTATAATCTGATTAATAATCAGATGTTTGCTCGTAAGATTTTGAGCTATAACGATGGCAGACAGTATTTATATCATTAAATTTATCTATATACATCAACCTCATTAATAAATTTTCATATTTTTATAAGCAAGTGCTTGGTTAGTTAATAGTAGAATAGTCACCAACAATAATATTTTTTGTACTACCAAACACAGTTTTTTATAAATATTCTAATAATCTAGTTTTTTATATAGTTAGTCTGGATAGGTTATCTTAATTAGATAAGTACTTAATTGCTTTACACTCATTTATCAAATTTATGAAAGCTTTCTCAAATGCAATCTCATATTTTGTTTAGTAAGAAGAATGAATAAATAGATCATCATATAGGTTTATCAAATTTAGTTCACTTTATTAATTCCCATTGATAAATGTAATCCTGACTACCTCTGTTTGTATCTTTTTGATCTTAGTTTCCAAATATTCTTTTTGACTCAAATTCTCTAAAAATTAAATGGATTATTATCCAAAAAAGTATCCACTCTCTTCAATTTTAGTAATCTCTCTTAGGCTAAATAAGTCTTCTATATTTTCAGTGTAAAAATTATCATTTGATCTTGGCGTAAATCTCACAGTCTATACTCTAAAATTCTAACTAGCAATTTCATATTTTTTCATAATCTTCATAGCTAATTAGTGAATATTGACTGCCCTTCCAAAAAATACAAAATTTAGATTAAACCCTTGCAAAAACCAATCTGAAAAATATTTTTCATCTAGAAGATTTTTAACTAACTCTTCATTTGAATTGAATACTTCTTAGTACTTGAATCTTTTTAAATAAAAAAACATATTTTAAAACATTTAAGCAAATTAAATATCAACAGCTTAGTTTTAATGAAATAAAAATTTTATTTACTTTTTTTTCATGCCATTTTATTGTTTGTTTGGTGCCAAAAGTACATACTTGTTTCCCTTCTGATGCTCTTAATCACTGATGCCTTATGTTAAAATGGAATTATGTAAATTAGGTAATAAACATATTAATTCTTATTAGCTAATTTTGACATTAATTCCTCCACCATAATTATCCATTTCCTCTAATAGCTCATTAATGCTTTTTTTTAAGTAAGATTTTTTTTTGTTGTTCATAATAATAACTTTTCCTATTTTAACTAAATTTCAAAAAGATTTCAAATAAAATTAGTTAATTTATATTGGTGTTTTATTCAGTAAAAAAATAACAATAGTTTTTATGAATTAAAACAACAATATTTTTAAATGATTTACACTTAATAAAGTATTGCAAAGATTTTTTTTATAAACAATAAATTTAAAATTTTCAAAACATATTCAAATAGTTATCCGCTCACTCTACTAAACAACTAAAAATAAATACTATATAAATTAAATTCCAACACTATAAAAGATGAACATAAATATTTTTAAAATTTATAAATTTATAGAGGAACTCAAAATGTAAAGATTCAATTTTATTGTTATTCATATTGACTTTTAGAAATTAAATCTTGATAAAGTTTTAAAAATTTTCCATTAACATCATTAAAATTCTTAAATCCTGGGAAATAATTAATATCAACAATGTAATATTCTTGAGTTCCTGTTCTTTATACAATATCGTATCCAAAAATGTTAAGATTAAAATAATCTCTTATTAGTTTGGACAAATCTTGTATTAAATCTTTATGTAAAGTGCTGTTAGGGTTTTCAAGTTTATCTGGAACTTGTATAGGTAACTATTCTTTGAATCCTTTTTAAGAATCAAATGTCCAAACAGCATCATCTTTATCTTTGTACTACTCTACATCTATATTTGGTATTGATACTCTTGCTTGAATTTCTGTATGATTTCCTATCACATAAATTTTATTTATTCTGTTATCGTGATTAATCATTTCTTGTATTATCACACTCCAGCCTCTATTTTATAAAGTCATTTTTAAATAAATTATTTATTAATTAAACAATAATACGCTAAAGGTGAATCTAAAAGGAACTTTTTCAAAGAATTTATATTATGTACTAAGGCCATAAAGTGACTTTCTTTACTACAAGTCGCTACAACAGTTTTGACAATTATTGGAAAGATAGCTTATTTTTCAACTCTTGAGATAAACTCTTCAATATCTTAAATTTTTGGATCAAAGGGGAATATCTTAGGAGTTGAAATAAAATGCGAAGGGTATTTAGATAAGATTTATTTAGCTTATTCGCTATTTAATAAGTTTTAAAATTCATTGTCAAAATCTACTCTACTTCTTATTTTATCTTGCTTTAAGGTGTCATCAATTATAATCAATTAGCTTTTAAATTTCTAAATGAAATTCTAAAAATTGGATTCCTATTGTTGTATTAATTGCTATCCTTTTTCTGTTTTATCTTTATAAATATCTTAAAACTTGTGTATCATTAAACTTACAGTTTTATTGTCATTTTTGTCCTTTCCATAAGGAGGAATATCACCTTCATAAGGTAGTCTGAAATCTAAAGGAGTGAATTTATATGGGTAATTTGCATTTGTTATGTTGTAATTATTCATTTGAGACTGCTTAGAATAATCAAAGAAATATCCGATGTTATAAATCTTTTAAAGAGTTTCTTCATTTTATTATTACTCCTACAGCTTAAGTAAAAATTTGACTGCTGAAGGTAGTTAAAAGAGATTCGATGCATGATAGTCAACTAAATTTTGAGCATAACTTTCACATTCTAAATTTCTTCGTTTATTATATTCTTATGAGAAGCAAGACATTAAAATCTTATAGACAGGATAGTTTACATTAGCAAAATTATATTTAAATTTGAACAAATTATGAGATATTATAGAAACAGATTCAATAGAGCTATTCTAATTTTCTTTTTCTAAAATATTCGATATTTCTTTCTCAAGATCTTAGATTAGTAAATCTTAAAAGTAAACACTCTTAGAACTACTTAAATCAAACAAATTAGGATATTCCTTTCTGAGAGATTAGTAAAAACTTATTTTCGCCTATGATTTAGTAGGTAGCAATATATAAAATTTAAATTCATTTTAAATTGAGTAAATATGCTTTAAAGATTATTCGTCAGGCTAGGAATTTTTCAGTATTTCAGAAATATCTTCCTTATTTTTGAGATTACCTATCTTCTCTCTCTTTTTAAATAAAGAATGTCTTCCGTCTATTATCAATATATTAGATTTTTATTCCATATCTAAATTAACTAGCTAAGTCAGTAAGTAAAAAATTTTGAAGTAAAGATTGTTTTTTTTATTTTTTTGCTGAATATGTTTTTATTTAAGATAAATAATTTAATTTGTTAATAAATTGTTAATTTATATCCCAATAATGTCTTCAGAATATCTTCAAATAAAAACCTTTAAATTTTATGTTTATCATAAAATAAATAGATTTTATATCAGACATCAATTAATCAACAATGCATTATTAATTGACATTTAATTAACAAATGAAATGTTATTTAATAAATTATCATTCATCGATAAAGCTTTAGCCATTTTTAAAACAAACAAAAAGATATTCTTAAATAGAAATATATTAATTTTTTAAAGCATTGATTTATAAAATCAACATTAAGTGTTAATACATGCATTAAAATTATAAAATAATTAGAGATAGTATTTAGTTGAATAACTGTTTTTGTTTTATATATGGATTATGTCTATGTAATGAATCATTCAATTGGCGTCTATTTATTTAAAAAATTCAAAGATTCATTCATTGATTTATTTATTTATCAAGAAAGATATATCTATCTTAAGATTTTGATAATTTATGATTGATTGATTGAGTTATTTATATTAAAATAAATAAACCTAAGAAGAAACAAATATAGATAAAATTAGAAATATATTATTTTTGAAATTATAATCAAAATAATAGTTAGGAGAAAATGATGAACTTATACAGTTTAACGCTGTTATAACCAACAGCTATTTTAAAAGCAGTATACGGTAATTTTTCAGGACCTAAAGCTTAGGAAATTGCTGTAGCTAAAGGAAAAGTTTTAGAAATTCTCACTCCAGATGAAAATAATTCGTAAAACTAATTTTTATAAATGGCATTATAATATCAAACAAAAATCCTTAAAAGTTGTGATTTTTAAAACGCTTCAAGGACAGACAATTAAAATAAATCATTTGCAAAATTTCTATTTTAAAATATTAAAAAAATTATATAAATAGAGGTAAATTAAGGGTAGTACACTCAGAAGAAGTATTTGGTATCATAAGGACTATTAACATTTTCAGGTTGCATGGTGTAATTAATTATCTATTATAAATCAATAAATATTTAAATAATATTCAAAATTGATCTAATAACATTTTGAACTATATAATGACCTTTGTTTTTCTAAATTCATAAACAAAATATTTTTTTATTATACAGCAAACTTAAGATTATATCATAGTTGGTTCAGATAGCGGTAGAATAGTTATTTTGAAATTTAATAAAGAAAAGGGAGAGTTTGAAAAAGTTCATTAAGAGACATATGGAAAAACAGGGTGTCGTCGTATTGTACCTGGTTAATATATAGCAGTAGATCCTAAAGGTCGTGCTTGCATGTTTGCAGCAATTGAAAAATAAAAGTTTGTATACATTTTAAATAGAGATAATGAAGATAAGTTGACCATTTCATCTCCTTTAGAAGCACATAAATCACATACACTTTGCTATGATATAATAGGTATTGATGTAGGCTATGAAAATTCATAATTTGCTTGTATTGAGTGTGATTACGGTGAGGTTGAATAAAAAGATTCAGCTGTTCACACTGGATAAATATAAAAATAGCTTACAATTTATGAATTGGATTTCGGTTTAAATCATGTCGTAAAAAAATCATCTGAACCTATTCCCGAAACTGCTCATATGCTTCTTCCAGGTAAAATATAATCTTTATTTCTAATTATTTAAAACATTTTATTAATAATGCATAGTTCCTGGTCTACCTGATGGTCCTGGAGGAGTGTTAATTGCTTGTGAAGATATGTTAATATATAAAGGAAATAATTAAGAATTAAAATGTAGATATCCTTAAAGATTTAGTACCAGCAAAATTATGATTAACTCCTTTGGTTTCCTAAAGCAAAAATCAAAAAACTAAAATCTCTCATTTTTTTTATTACAAACTGAATTGGGAGATTTATTCAAATTATAGATTAAAAGTACAGATGATAAAGTTCATGGATTGACATTATAATATTTTGATTCTATTCCAACTGCTATTTCAATTTGTATTACTAAAACTGGTCACCTGTTTGCAGCATGTGAAAAAGGAGATCACTTGCTCTATAGATTTAAATCTCTTGGTGAATAAGAAGAAAGACCCACCAAAACTACATCAGCAGACTTCGAGTAATAGGCTATTTTTATTCCTCGTAAGCTAGTAAATTTAGAACAAGTTGACTCTCTTGATAATCTTTCAGCTATCAGTGATATCAAAGTTAATGATTTAACTGGCGAAGGTAATCCTTAAATATACGCATTATGTGCTGCTGGTAGTAGAAGTACTTTAAGAATATTACGTCATGGTTTGTAAGTCAGTGAATATGCAACAAGTAGATTGCCATTAAGACCTAACGGTATTTGGACAATTAAGTAAAGACATGATGAAGGTTTAACAAAATATATTGTGTTAAGTAGCAGCAAAAAAACTTATGTTCTTTCTATTAAAGATACTATTTCTGCAGTTAATGACTCCAGTTTAGATACAAATAGTCAAACTCTTCATGCTGGTATTTTAGAAAATAATTGCATAATCCAAGTAATTTATTTTATTTTTAAATTATTTCTAACCAAAAGAAATTTCAATTATTAAAAATGAAAGATAATAAAACGATCAAATTATATTTACAAATATTTTATTTAAATGATCTAAAACTAATTTTGAATAAAATAATGAAATTTTTAAAAAATAAAATTTTAAGCAAATAAATTAATTATTTATTTATTTTTTTATTTATTTATTAAATTAGGTTACTCCAGAATCATTTAGATAAATTAGAGATAACAGAGTTACTTTATATAAAACAGAATCAAATAAATTCGTGAAAGCATGCTCTAATTCTAGATAAATTGCATTAGCATTATAAGGAGGCCAAGGATAACCCGGTGGTGATATTATTTATTTCGAATTCGATCTTGGTGGTTAGCTCAAAAGAATCGAAGAAAAGGCTAAATTAACTTCAGATATTGAATGCATAGATATAGGTGAAGTTCCAATAGGGCGTCCAAAGTAAGATTAATAATTGTAAATTAGTATTTATAAAAAATATATTATTTATTTAAAATAGATTCAAATTTTTAGCTGTTGGATGCAAAGATTAAACAGTAAGAATTTTGAGTTTAGAATAAGATCAATACCTCTAAAGATTGAGTTTATAGGCTCTTCCAGGTATTCCAGAAAGTGTTAGCTTAATTGAAATGAAGAGAGGCACAGGAACTGAGTAAGAAGCTGAGGAATATTAACTTTATTTGTTTGTTGGTTTACAAAATGGTATTCTTTTAAGAGCAACTGTTGACTAAGTTACTGGTTCTTTGTCTGATGTTAGAACTAGAGTTCTCAGCGCTGCTCCTATTCGTACTTGTAAGTATGTTGTTTAAGGATAACCTGCTTTATTGGCTCTCTCTACTCGTCCTTGGATATGTTATACCTATTTAGGAAAGTACTAAATGGTTCCTATCTCCTATGATATGCTCGAATATGCTGCTCCTGCAGTTTTTAATATGTAAGGAGAGTAAAAGTAATGTATAGTATCTACTTCAGGTGAGTCCGTTCGTATTATTGAACCATAAAAGTATGGAGATTTACTCAATCAATAAGTTATAAAATTGCGTTATTCACCTCGTAAAATGGCAATCCATGAAAGATCACATAATATAGTCTTAATTGAATCTGATAATAAGGTTTATAATGAATCTTAAAAGAAGTAGCTTATCGAATAGTATTATAGTAACTAAAACAAAGGTGATTTAGCCACTCAAGTAGATCTCTTAACAGCTCCTTCTGGTAACTGGGCTTCTTGTGTTCGTATAGTCGATCCTGTTACTCGTAAAACTCTTAATATTTATGAATTAGAAAATAACGAGCACGCCCTTTCTATGTGTATGGTAAACTTTGATAACAAAGATGAGACTTATGTTTGTGTTGGTACTGTTAAGGATTATTAAGTTCATCCAAATAGAAATTTCTCTGTTTGTTATATAAATACTTTCTAGCTTAACGAAAAGTTGAATACTCTTGAATTGCTCCATAAAACTGAGATATTTGAAATTCCAGGCGCCTTGCATGCTCATAAAGGAAAATTACTTGTAATTTATTTTTTAAAATTAAAAATTATAAAATTTAAATCATTTATTTTAATAAAAGGCTGGATGTGGCACATTTTTAAGATATTATGAACTTGGTAAGAAGAAATTATTGAAAAAAGCAGAAATTAAAGGTTTACAATCTCCAGTTAATGGAATTTAAACATTTGGAGATAGAATATATGTATCTATGGTTGCTGACTCTGTCCATGTCCTCAAGTATCGCTCTAAAGACTAGACATTTTATGAGGTTTGTGATGATATATTACCAAGATGGATGTCTTCCTTTTAAGTTCTTGATTATCATACTTATATTGGTGGAGATAAATTTGAGAATGCATTTGTCTGTAGAGTACCGTCAAGTAATTAGTTTTATTTTATTAAATTTAAGAATTCAATTTATTTTTATATTTAGATGCTGATGAAGAAATGGAAGAAAATCCTATGGCTTATAAATTAAGATGGGAAACAGGATATTTGAATGGAGCTCCTTTCAAAGTATCAATTTATTTATTTATCAAAAATAAAATATTAAATTTTTTAATTAAATAGACTGAACAAATTTGCCACTTTTATGCTGGCGAAGTAATAACAACATTACAAAAAGCAAGTTTAGTTTCAACAGGAAATGAAATAGTATTATATGGAACAAGTATGGGCTCAATAGGTGCTTATTTACCTTTCCAAACAAAGGAAGATATAGATTTCTTTATTCATTTAGAAATGTATCTACGTTTAGACGTTCTTCCATTGGCTGGTAGAGATCACGTTATGTTCAGATCTTTCTATGGTCCAGTCAAAGTAAAAAATAATTTATAATTAAATATCTTTATTTAAATAATTTCTTTAATATAGTCCGTAATCGATGGAGATCTTTGCGAATAATTCATAAAATTAAGTTCAGGTAAATAAAAAGTGTTAGCAGATGAAATGGATAGACATCCACACGAAGTACATAAAAAATTAGATGAAATCAGAAATAAAATTCTTTGAAAGCTGTTAATTATATGCGTATTTAAAAATAAAAAGATTCAAATTTTCTTTAATAAAAACCTATAAATCTTGTTATGTGTATTCATTCTATAGAAAACTGTATTTACTTTTTCAATAAATTTTCATTAAATTAAAAAATAAAAAACTATTTTTTTTTAAGCTAATAAAAAATAAATATAAATTATAATAAAACAATCTAAATGCAAATACTCAAAAAAATACCTTTAAGTAAATTTGTTGGTTGCAAACAACTTATTTTTTTTTATTATTTCCATTCAATTTTAATTAAGTTTTTAAAATTTTCTTTTTTTACCATAGAAATTCATACTCAATATTTTAACGAAGGAGACTTAGCTCAAGTGGTAGAGCGCTGGACTCCAAATCCAGCGGTTGCGTGTTCGAGTCACGTAGTCTTCAATTTTTTTTTTTAATAAATATTCTTTTTTTAATTAAATAAAAGAGAGATTTCAACTATCAATAAGTTTTCAGGCTTTGATTTAATTATAATTATAAAAAATGGAGATTTACAAAATTAAATTTTATTATAATTTATCAACATAGATATTTCACCGAAGGAGACTTAGCTCAAGTGGTAGAGCGCTGGACTCCAAATCCAGCGGTTGCGTGTTCGAGTCACGTAGTCTTCAATTTTTTTTTTATATAATTATTTTTATTGTAGTAATAATAAATAAGTAGAATGAAAAAAAGTATTTTTATATTTTTTAATTTATAAAATATGCGATTAAGAATAGAATTTTTGAGATAATAAATATTTGTAATTTTAACTAAACTAAATATTTTGCATTTAAATTATTTTAAATTTATCTTAGAATTTTCTAAACTTTACAATATTATCAACGAAGGAGACTTAGCTCAAGTGGTAGAGCGCTGGACTCCAAATCCAGCGGTTGCGTGTTCGAGTCACGTAGTCTTCAATTTTTTATTTTTTCCAAAGAAATTTTTAAATAATCTTTTATATTGTCTTTAAAGTTTATTTATTTATATAAATATATTTTACCAATAAACTTATTAAATTAGTTTATAAAATATATATCTAGAATTACTATAATTTATTATTATAAGTTTATTTATAAGCTATTTATTTTGTTTTTATTTTATATTCTATTTAATAAACTAATTTATTTGATATTAATATACAACGAAGGAGACTTAGCTCAAGTGGTAGAGCGCTGGACTCCAAATCCAGCGGTTGCGTGTTCGAGTCACGTAGTCTTCATTTTTATTTTTTGTAAAAAGTTTTTGACTTAAAATTAATTTGTTTAACATCATAAAAAATAGTAGGATTGCTATTTTAAATAAAAAATATATTAAATAAATAAATAAATAACTAATATAAATTTAGTTAAACATTTTATTTATTTTTATAAAAAACATTTAATTTAATATCAGTTTAAATAAATGCTATTAATCTTCTTGAAAATCTCAAAAACTTATATTTTTACTTAAAATTATTTTTAAATTTTAAATAAAATTTTTAAACTAAAAGTTTAACTATAAGCTTTCAACGAAGGAGACTTAGCTCAAGTGGTAGAGCGCTGGACTCCAAATCCAGCGGTTGCGTGTTCGAGTCACGTAGTCTTCAATTTTTTTATAAAAATTAAATTTTTGATTTCTTGATATTCCACAATAACATTTTAATTTAAGATAGCAAAATTAAAGTTTTTTATGATTATTTATTTTAAAAATAAATTAAAAAATTAATTTTAAAAATAAATTTTTGTTCATTAAATTTAATCACAATTTTCTTAATATTTTGAGCAATAAAACACAAATTTTAGTTTACTTATTTACAATAGTTTTTTCTAAAAAATGTATAAGTACTTTATAAAATTAAATATTAGAATTATAAATAATAAAAATTACTTTAAGTATCAAATAATAATTAACCTGAACAACTAATATTATTTTAAACTTTCAACGAAGGAGACTTAGCTCAAGTGGTAGAGCGCTGGACTCCAAATCCAGCGGTTGCGTGTTCGAGTCACGTAGTCTTCAATTTTTTTAATTATTTCAGGTAAATTTTAATAATTAACTATTTAGTAATATTATTTATTGTAGAACATAAATAAAAAACAATAAACTTTGACATTAGCTTATATTTTTTAAAGCTTCATTAATTTAAGTAATGCCAGTGATAAATATTTTTATTTTAAGTTTTTATGAGCATTACAAACAACTTTAAAAATAATTCAGGTGTATTATAGAAGATTAAATAAAATAAATAATTTGTCAAAAAAATTTAGTAAAAGAAAATTAGCAAATGAAAAAGTATATCTTTACAAATTTCCTTCTCTGCCTTTTAATTAGCTACCTTCAGGGCTAAAGATTATCTGACCCACTATAGGGTGATCTTTTATAGACAGGAGAGATTATTTTAAGATAGGTCAAATAAAATACTACTGTTGATATAATATATCAACAAAAAATTGTTTAATAAGATTATAATGTGGTTCTATCTCTAAAAAGAGTTGAATATCAAGAGATATGTTAGGGTTAATATTAATTTGAGATGAGCGTATTGTTAAAATAGGAAGATAAATTTGTTTTAAAAATTTAGAATTATGATTGTTTAAGAAAAGTTGAATTATAATGGTTTGCTCACACTTATCAAGCGAACAGCGTTAATGAGACTGCATATTTTAGAGAACAAATATATCAAAAAAATATGGCTATAAAAGGTAATAGAACAATTTCTCAAGAATATCTATTTGATATAAAGAAGAATAATAGAGATATATTGCCTCTGTTTACTGGATTTTAGTTGTATCCCAAAACAAGAATAGAGTTAATAACTAATAGAATATTTGATCGAATAACTTCTAAAGTAATATAGACTAACCTAAATATCTATGACTATAGTGAGACATAAAATAAGACTTCAAAATAGGTGAAATTTACAATGTCTTTTATAATCGCTCATCCTAGCTTATTTAGTTGTTAAAAGAGATTAAATACTTCTGAAAGTTTAGCAGAAAATGCTTTGGTATTATAAAACATTGAATATTTAGATACTACTTAAGGTAGTTAAGAAGGAAACAAATTAGTTTGTTATTTTAAGTAATATAATAGCTCTTAACAATAGTAATTACAATCGTAATTCACTCCACTTAAAAATCCTATTTAATATTACATAAATGGAAAATTTTAAGAGAAAGACAATGAATCAAATGAAGATAACCAAAATAATGAAAATGAAAACAATCAAAATGAAAAAGAAAATGATAATATACCTGAAATCGAAAAGTAAGAAAAAAACAAATTAGATTAAAACGATTATTTTGAGTTATTTTAAACTCTTATTATTATAGTAGCAATTTTAACTCTTCTATCAGGAATAATATATAAAATATGCAAAGAGAGTCAAAAAAGCACTTAATAATTTAATCATTTATAAGATATTCCATAATATTAAGTACCTCATCATCATGTAGAGTTATAGGAAGAGTGATAATTATTTAATAATATTTAAAAAATAAATAATAAGAAAATTTGAATTTATTAAACATAATAATTGAATTTGTATTTATTTATGTTATAAAAATTAATTTGAATAGATATCATAAATATATACATAAACAAATTAATATTTTTCCATTTTTTAAAATTAAATTTATTTTTATCAAATTTAATTTATATATGCTCTTAGAATTACTTCGAATACCCAAACATCTTATTGTCCAGGATTTAAAAATCCTCCTGAAATTTTTAGCTCGGCCTTCATTTCTTTCCATTGTCCTAAACCTTGCAATGCTTCTATACTTGCCTAAATATTTTTTAAAGAAAATTTGTATTATTAAATTTAAATTACTAAATTCTATTACAATAAGAGCATCCATAGCAGGTGGCTTAAATTTAAAGCTTATAACTGTTTCAATACCAGGAGCTACAGCACCCTTCACATTATCACATGTAAAATAATTATTTTTGTCATCTTTCTATTTATATTATGAATAAGTAATTAATTAAGTTAAGTTAATTGTTATTATTAATTACTGGCATTATGATTTCAAAATTTACAGGTTTCTCTAATTTAGGATCACTAGCAATTTTGCTGTTACCTATTATAATTTTACGAGTAAATGATTTTTCATCTACTTCTTCGTTTTCTGATATTAATGAAATAGGTATATTCCTATCAGCTGTCTGCTTTGGTGCAAATGAATTCACTTCTTTCGATTTTATTTTTGTAAATTCTAGCATTATTCTTGTATTTTTAGGACTAAATATTAATTCTTCGTCTAATATTTTAAGTGTATCGAACGTTGCTTCAATTTTACTAGGAAGATCCTGAGAATTAGGTAATGAAAGGTATGGCTTGTAGTGAGTTACATAACCTTATCTGGGATAACAGCTTCCCCAAACAAAAAGTTACTTTTCATCTTTTTAGTTTGGAACAAAAATAGAAATTAACTCAAAGAACTATTCACTTATTCTATCAGGTTAGAACACTACTTTTATTTCCATTTCTTTATTTGCTTCAATTTAAGCTTCTGATGGACTAAAGCTAAACACTTTAGAGCCATTTTTATTGTAAATACCGTGAGCTATTGAAGCTACTTTAAATTTAATGGGGAAATTTGAAACATTTATCACCTTGAAAGATTTTTCTACCTTTTCTCCTAAAACAACTCCTCCAACATTGATTAATCCATTTTCAGGTTGTATTTTAACTTCAGGTCTAACACCTTTTCCAATTAACTTAGCACTAACACAAGTTGTTCTACACTTTATTCTTAAAGTCTCTTCAAAGGGTTTATCCTAAAGTAAGTATTTTGATATTTTTTTATTATCATAAATTAATATAAAAATTTACTTCATGAGGTTAAAATTAAACAAAAAGAATTCTAGATTTTGTAGGTTCTATTTCTCTTAGTGCATTAATAATGTTAAATCCACTAAATAGAGGTAAAAGATCCATAGAAATTTATGCATTTTAATCTGAGTTATTTGTAATAATTAACTACTTAATTTCCTTTATTCCTACTGCTATTTCACCAAAATCAATAACAGTTTTATTAAGAACTAGAGATTTTTAAACAGTTACAGTATTAATTTCTACAAATGTTAAGAATTTTGAAGCATCAGGCATATCAACAGGTTTGAAATAGCATGGAACTAGCCATGTATAGTGCTAGCTATATTTAATAGTATCATCCTATAATTTATAAAAAATTAAATTAAACTTTATTATTTTAAAAAATTGGTTAAATAATTTGATAAAGTTATTCATATTTATCAATCAATTTTAATTATGAAATTAATTTTTCTATTAAAATAATAACCATAATTTTATCAAAATAAAACTTCTTTATTCCCTCTCTATCATGATAAAAATAAAATATTGGCTACAAAGTTGCTACTCATATATTTTTTATTGGAGGAGACTCATTTTAAGGGAATACATTATAATGTTTTAATTGTTTTGATTTTCGATCATTTATGTATTAAATCTAAAAATTTAATTTAATAGTATTAAGGTAAAATAAAATATTTTTTTCTACTACATTTAAAAATCATGGTTAGATAGTTTTCTAAATTTGATAATTAAAATATTATATGATAATTTTTTTAAATGTAATAAATAAAAGTAATTTAATATAATTTTAATTACTAAATGGAATTCTAGGAGTTTACCACCTAACTTTGCTAATTCTTCTTCCATATCAAAATTTTTTTCTATTTCCAACCTCTTTTATTTTTCTTCTTCTTCCTTTATTCTTTATAGTTCTTCTTATCTACGTTATTCTTCTTCAAGAGCTTGTTGCTGCGTTTTATTTAATTTGACATCTTTTTTTGGTGGTGCTTCCTTCTTTTCAGGAACTTTCTTAGCTCCTTTAGCTGCTTTAGGATCTGCTGCTTCAAGTTCTTTCTATTCTTACTCTTTCTTAGCTTTTTCAATTTCATCTTTTTTCATTTACATTTTAAGCTAAAAGTTATGATTTGGATCATTATCGTACTTTTAGACTAGTTCCTCCAAAGTAAATGCATCTATCAAAATAAAAATAAATTAAAAATTTTTTTTAATGACAAGATTTACTTAATTTTTTAAAGAAACTTTAGTATTCAATATTTATTTCAACACTTTCTTCTGGCTTGATTCTTTCAACCATTGGTGTTAATTTTAAACCACAAATTTCAAACTTTGGTAAAAAAAATTCAAAAATCATTGTTTTATAAGTTGTATTTTTAATCATCAAAGTTGTATTAAACATTTCGTCTACTTGCATGACTGGAATATCTATTTTCATTGCACTAAACTCTAGAGGGCATTTCATAATATCACAAGAATAAGGTATTCTTATATCTTTTGTTGCTATATTACCAGTAATTATTTTGCATTTTAAATAACCTTCATCTTTCCTATTATCAATACCTGGTATCTTTGTACTTCTATAAATTAAATTTGTTTAAAACTTTTCTTTTGGCAATAGCTTTAATGGAATTAAATCTAATTCAACTGAAATTTCTTTAGGGAGAGGGTAGAATAAAATTTCTTGAGGTAAATCTGATAGATTTTCGCAAGTAAGAGGCATTCTTGAAGCTGTACCTTCATATAATTTCCCAAAATTTATTTTACCAGGTGTAATTTAAACAGTATCTATAGTCATTTTAGATCTAATAGTGAATAAAACTGGCATTTCTTATCCAGCTCCAATTAACTAATTAACATGAAAATTCAAGTTAATAAATAATAATTAATAAAGATTTTACTTTAAAGGGTATATCTAGAATTCCTGTTTTTTAATCTAAGTATTTACTGCAGAGAGTCAATAGATCCTTATCAGCATTCATTTTTACCCATACTTCAAACTTAGAATTACCTTATATATATCCAAGCAAAGGATTAAATTCAAAGAAGGATTTTGTTTCTTTTGGAGCTACTATTTATGTTTTCATTGCGTTTTAACTTCTGTTGTAAAAGACAATTTTTTCTCTATAAATATGATTTAAAAGACAAATTTCAAAATCATAAAGTGTTTTTTCAACATAAATTGGCACTTCAATGCATTCTCCTCTATTTAATTATTAAAAAAAATTTTATACTAATGATTGCTTTAAGTTTTGTTTACTTGATAACAATTTCAATAGGACGTGAATGTAAAAAGTTCTCAAAGTAGAGTACTAATGGTAGATGTAAAGATTTTATTTTATTAGGAATATATTTGATTGGTATTTTTAGTTGAGAGTAGCCCTAAATTGTATGCTGCTTTGCAAATTTAAGTTATGATAAGGATGATTAAAGATCATTATCTTCATCATCATCTTCCCCTTAAAATGACTTTTAAGATCCTCCAACTCCCCTATTAACAGAACCAACTACTGAGGCTGTTTCTGTTTTCGTTAAAATATCTGCACCATCTTTACTTTTTATAATTATATCAGTTGGTAAAGCACCCTTATTTTGTAATATCAAATTTTTAACTCCGAATTCTCCTTATATAACCTTGGTATTAAATAAAAAACCTAATATATTTAAAAGAAATCTTATTTTATTTTACCTAACCAAAATCTACAACTGTGTTATCACAGACAACTATAGCTTTCTTACAGAAACACTTAAGGGGTATATTTACTGGACCTGTTTCAGTTAAGATAGGGAAAAAGTCATCTATATCTTCATTTACTTAAGCAGTAAATCTGATTGTAATAGGACATGACATACCAGCAGAGATTCTTCCAGGAGGTTTATACATAATTTCAAAGTAATCCTTTATAATTTTTGTAATTTTTTTAAAAAAAAGACCTTTGCTTGATATTTATTTTGCTGAAAATGCATTTATTATAATGCTTTTCCATCTTATATTTATATTAATAAAAACTAATCTAATATGATACTCTTATTTTTTCCTTTAGCAGTAACAATTTGAATGAGTTTTAAGTATTTGATACATTCGTAAGTAGCACTGTTTATACATACGGTTCACCTACTTCAAAATCCTAATTTTATTTAAATTTATGATTAAACTACGTTATTGCATTTATTTTTAAGCTAATATATGTAAAATAACAAATTGAATTTCAAATAATCTTTGCAATTTATAGATATTTTAAAATAAATTTACTTAAAATATTATTTATTCTGGCTTGCAGGCAAACGAATCACCTTTAAATTCCTTTCCCATAACAATTTAAGCCTAAGTTATGTTATTTTTCTACTTATCAAGTGCCTTAGTTTTCATTTTTTTCTCTAAAACAGTTTCTTCTCTTAATTAAATAATTTTTCTACCCCTTTCATCTCTAGGAGTTTCAACCTTTTCGTCATTTTCCTCTTAATCAGACATTTATAAATACTATTAAACTAACTCTCTTAATGCTTATTATTTATTATTATTCTAGTTTAAAATTCACCTTAGACTGATTTACAGTTTTAACCTATTTATTATCCAATTTTGTAGTGATTAATTGAATTTTAATAGCCTTGATTAGCTGTTTAATAATTAATAAAAATATAATACTTTATCTTTTTTGAAAATTTTTATAAATCAAATAAAATGTAAAAATAAATGAAGTTTCAAAAAATCATAAAGATTTGATTGGATAAATTTAAATCTTACTTATTAAGTAGAAATATTATACAAAATTTATTATAAAAATAATATTTTTCTAAAAACTTATTTTATTCTCATTTAAAATATTTTAAAATATAGCAAATTTTAACATTTCATATTACTCTATTTGTTAAATTTTTATGATTAACTTAATTTAATTTGAATAACAGAGTAAAAATAAATAAACAAAAAATTAAAATAAGTTGATTTAAAATGAAATTAAATTTTTTAAATTTGCAAATAAAACAGATTTAATTTTGAAATAAAACAATTAATTGTTGGTTGAAAGAATAATTTAAAAGAATTCAAAAAAATATTAATTTTAAATCAAAAGCCGTTTAATGAAAATATACAGACACATCATTTAATTTATGTATAAAAGAAAGATATTTATTTGCTTAATTTTGGTATAAAAGTTATTTTAATAATTATTTTTTTCTAAAATTTAAGATTGATATTTTTAAAAATTTTTTAAGAAGTGTTAGATAGATTATTTTACAATTTTTTCAAAAATTTTCTTATATTTTTTTTAAGATTCTAAATAAATTAAGTTATTTATATCAATGTACGAGCTGATTGTCAGATTGAATGACAATTCATTTTTATTTAATTAAAAATAAAATGCTTATTTAAAGTCTTTTTTCAGTTGTTATTATTATTATAATTTAAGGAACAAAAAGTAATAGTCATGAGTATTCCTAATGAGTTAATTAGGGATTTAGAAATATTATTTAAGGTGCTGTTTCTTATTTAATTAGTAATTACTGGGTTATTGATTCTTTGCATACTATTAATTCTTGAATTATATTCTAAATCATCTATTGAATTTTTAAAGAACTAGTTTCTGCTCATCTTTCTTGAGAGCTCCCTTTTAAATTTTACACTTGTTTATGATAATTCTTTTATATAAACTTCACTTACAGGATTTTCATCTTCAATTTTATCGCTTTCTTCAAAGAGCTAGCTAGTAGACTTTCTAAGTTCATGCTACGGCTTCCTCTCTTATCCATTTCTTTTATCATTATTTTTTTCTGGAAGAGTGTGAATTTGGTATGAGGAATTTTTATCTAATTAATTATTAGCTGAAGAATAATTTGATTATGATTGTTACAGTTGCTAGAGAGAAGATTGATATTATTAATTGTGACTAGCAAGTACTTATTACATTTAAGGGTTTTAAATTTAATTTTATTATTAATATTTATCTAAAGAATTTCCTTGAGAAGTAACATTTTATTATTAAAGTTAATACTAAGATGAGAAGAGCAAACCAGATCCTTAGTTAACATTTCTAGAATCTACTCCATGATAGAGATAAATTGAGCTCGGATTTTAATTGGAGCTTTGAAAAGGATTATTTTAATTATCTTGATTTATTTCTTATGAAGGAGGACTCTACTCATTGTTATTTTTATATGTATCGTCATCGCTATTTTAAATCTATGCTTAAAATTCCTAGCCCTCATCTTCATCTTCTACATGGACATCCTCTTCGTCTCCGTCTTAAAGCAAGTCGTTATTTTTACCATTCTAATATTCAAACTCCCCATCTTGCAATAGATCTGTATAAATGTAAAATGAAACCCGATTTGAATTATTCTTTTCTTCAGACATATAAAAAATATTTGCTTGAGGTCCTATAATTTTAAGGATTTGTTTGCAAACCGATATCTCAATATCTTAATAATCTTTAAAAAATAAATTAATAATTATTTAAGTTTAATTTATTTGAAAAATTTTACTTTGTGTTTTGTTCTTTTATATCTTCTATAAGTTATTAGCATTAAAATAGTAATCGTTGTTCTTTTAATTTGTATATTTCCTTATACTATTATCTCTAATATTAATTTTTATAGTGCCTTATAAAGCCACATCTCCGTATTCACCCATTTCAGCAGCTCCTGATTGAGCGCTTATGACAATCTATCCATTTTTTTAAGTATTTTATAAACAGTCATACAAAAGGAAGTTTATGATATGTTTTAATTTTTTTTCATCATTCTAAATTTAATCTAATTCTTAACAATCGTTGGAAACAATAAGCTAGATTTGGTTTTATTTTATTTTAAAATCAAAGTTATTAATTACATCTTTGATAAGCTTTTTCAAGCTAAATTATTTTATGCTAGTTTCCACTCTATTGCTCTCTATACAGAAAAATTCTAAAAAGTTATTGATTTTACTTTAAACATTACTATTTAAATATGATGCATCCGTAATATAATTGGTTATTTTTTTTTGCATTTAGTAATTGATCTTCATTTGCTATAAATAAAAATTCAATAGATTGTTTTCATTTTGCATAATATTACCAAATTTAATTGAAATTTCTTTGTATTATTGCATTTATTCATCTAAAATTTAATCCTTAGAAACTCCAAAATCATCTTCTATCAATATTAGCTGGTACTATTCATCTCTATTGTAGCAAACTAGTGTTAATAAAAATTTTCTCTTTTCTTCTGTATCGTTTCTGAAAACACCTTTATACTTTTCTAGTTTCGTTCTTTTCAAAGTTCTTTTTGAATACTTTCGAGATTATTTTTAAGATGGGTTAGCTATACTCTGTAGACCTGGATCTTCCATGTTAAATAAAGACCTTTTTTTATTTCTCATATAAATAGCTCCTTGATCTTATGTTGTTGTATTAAGGTTATTATTGACATTAATATTATTTATATTAGGCACTCCGTTTCCATTTTATGTTACATTCTAATTAGGATTGTTATTAATGAGACCTTAGTTATTTGTTGAATGTAAATCTGCTCCACCTCCTCCCTGCATTTCATTTGAATTCTATCTTTTTATTTCTCTCCTTAGCAAAAGATCAAGGGGAAGAGTCTTTGGTTACTTTTATGATTATCTAGAGTTAAGTGATTTTTTAGAAAGTTGAGAAATAACTCCTAAAGATTTCGAATGCAGAGAGTCCATATGGTGTTGTATGTTAAGATAATCTTCATATATAGGAATAGATTGGTGAGAATCTAATTTCAAGTCTATTTTATTTATAAACTATTACAGATCATCATTATTATTGATATTGTACTCTTTTCTTGCCCTTCTATTTATTTTATACAGCTAAAAATTATTAGTATCTTTTTAAGATGTCTTTGTGATTATTATTCTATGTGGTAGCACATTGTTAGCAATATGATACCATATGTAATATTTATTAATTAGTTCATAGTATAAGCGAGCATTTTTTTCTCTTGCATAAGTAGTTATTCCTACAAAAATAGGAGTGAGTATAATAACGCACAATAAGTTCGCTATAGATGGAAATAAGCTAAATACATAAATGCAATTTATAATGACAAATGTTATTATGTTTAATAAAAAATTAGTTCCAATTAAAAGAATTAAATGAAGAGTGTAGAAAGCTCCTCCTATAACAAACAGTTGAGAGCAATAAGAATCTGTAGCAGAATTATTTTCTGTTTTTGAACATTATTTTATAAAGGAATCAGGTATCCAAATGTAGGCTATGCAAATTAATAGACACCAAGAAATGTTATTAACACTTAATATAATGTTGCAATGATATGGAAATTTTTTAGCTAGAGTCAAAATAATTATTGGTATAAATAATGTAGCAGCCATAGATCCTAAATAAAGTGCATATTAGCTTTGAATAAATGCCATTATAATTAAAACTACGCTAATAAGGGATCCTAAATAAACCTAATATTTTAAAACCTAAATTATCCTTAGATACTCATCTTCATAATATTTTCTCTCTATTTCTGGGTCTTTAAAGCGTAAATACCTTTCATCCATCTATAATCAATTTCTAGTTACCTTTTTCGCAATTATATCAGTTATTTCTTTTGAATATATTTTAAAATACAAAATGTAAATAAAAATGTAAAATATACTGCAATTTTTAGAATTTTTAGACAATTTGTAATTGTAAGAAACAATGGATAAATTACTGATTTTATTCAAAGATGGCACTTGCTTGCAAAAGATTCTTCTAAATATTTATTATAAATGATCTCTTCAACTTTTATTAATTAATGATGGTTTGTATTATTGGTACTTTATATGTTTGATAGGGATTACTCGATAAGATTATTACGTTGAAAAAAATAAACAAATTATTCTTGGTTTTTGTTAACAAATTTATCTAATTCTTATTTATTCACTATTGTTTTTTTCTTTCAGATATAAAATTCATTGAACGCTTTTCTTCTCCACAGATTTTTCTAACATTTTCACTGTTCCTATTCAATCTATTCCGCGAAAATTTAAAGAATAAGATAATCATTCATTAAAAGTTTAATATTTAATTTAATGGTAACAACTAACTGCATTCATTATTCTTATAAACAATATCTTTCTACTGATATTTTAATTCATTCAGTCAAAAATTTGTAACAAAATTAATTTATTTGTTTATATCATTTATAATATCAAGATAAATAACTTTATTAAAAATTTTTAGGTTTAAGGTTCTATTGTATAAATTCTTTCATTACGATTAAATTAAAAAAAAATCTCATATTTATTTTATTATATGATATGATGAAACTATGATTATTCAAATATTTAATAAGTAAAATACTTATTTTACAAATTTAATTTATTTTAGCATAAATTTTTTTATTATTGAAAAACGAAAGAAGTATTTTACTGCTAATATTATAATTAGATTAAATATTTTTTATTAATGAGTATTTTATTATTTAAATGCAGATCGAAAAAATTAATAAAAAATAAATTTTCATGATTTAAACAATTAATTATTTATATAAGTTTGAAGTTCTTTTTAATTTATTTAGATACATATATTTAGCCTAAAAAACATTTACTATAAAATTATTAAAATACACTTTAGTAATTTTAAATTATTAATTATATTATTATTCATTTATTATTTCAGTTCATTTAAAAGGATTAAAATAATAAGCTAATGCACTTGTTGCCAAAACAGCTACAGAAAGGAATTTTCTTGATTTTAAGACTTCTGATGGATAAACGTCTAAGTTTTTAATAAGGAAATTCAAAGTTTTCAATTTAGATTCAGTGTAAGGAGGATATCTGCAGTTAAGAGGGTAGGAATTCAAGCTACCTAAAGTACCACTTTTATCAAGAACAGGTTTTAAGTGTGAGCAATTTTCAAATCCTAACTTTCCATGAATAACACCTGAACCTGAATTTCCAACACCACCAAAAGGAAGAGTGTTATTAATATAATGCATTACACATTCATTAAAGCTCAAATGACCACTAGATGTCTCATTAAGGAGTCTGTCTTTATGTGTTTTATTTTCACCAAAGTAATAGAGAGCAAGGGGCTTAGGACGATCGTTGATGAAATTAATTACCTCATCAAAATTCTTGTAGAAAATAACAGGGAAGATAGGTCCAAATATTTCATCTTACATACATTCGGAATCTAACTTAGGGTTCACAATAATAGTAGGTTCAACGAATTTTTTAGAGACATCAACCTTACCTCCATAGTAAATCTAACCTCCATGAGTTTTGATCATAGATTCCATTCTCTTGGTATGGAATTCATTGATCATTCTATTATAGTCTCTGCTAGTTTCAGGATTGTTGCTAATTTAGGTTATCATAGCTTCTTTAAGAGATGAGAGGAATTAGTCTTTAATGTCTTAGTCTACAATAGCAAAATCAGGGGCAATACAAGTTTATCCAGAATTACCAATTTTTCCTTATGCTATTCTTGCTACTGCAACATTTAAGTTGGCTGTTTTGTCTACAATTGTTGGGCTTTTGCCTCCTAACTCTAAAGTGCATGGAATTAAATTTTAGGATGCGGCTTAAGCTACAAGTTTTCCTTTTTGGGGTGATCCTGTGAAAATTATGTGATCCCATGGCTTATAACAAATAGCTTTAGCTACTTCTACTTAACCTTCTATAACTGTATAGCAATCCTTATCTACAAATTTAAAATAAAATTATATTAAAATTGGATAATAGTGTATACATAAGAATTAATTGTGTTAAAGCCTATCATAAAAAATAGATATTTTTAAAAAAATTTAATTATGTTTAAAACATGTTGAGAGGGAAAAAATATTTATTTACCCAAATACTTGTCAAAAAGCTTCTTCATGACATTAGAATTGTGAGGAGACATTTCGGAGGGCTTTAGTGCTACACAATTTCCAGCTGCGATAGCATTAGCAGCAGGAGCTACTGTAGTGTTAAAAGGATAATTCCAGGCACCTATAACTAAAGTAACTCCATAAGGTTCTGGAATAATATAACCAGATCCGGGACCAACAACTAAAGAAACATCAACACTACGCTTTTGAGCCCAAGATTCGAAGTTATTAAGAATGTACTCTATATCACCAATAGTAGGTAAAAGATTCAAAAATTTTGCAACTTTAGGATCTTGATAACCTAAATCTTTTTAAACGGCTTCACTAATTTCATCTTCCATTTCCTTAATACCAGTGAGGAGGTTTCTTAATTATTACTTTCTGAAAGCCAAATCACGAGTCTTTCCTGTTCTGAAAGTCTTTTTTAAATTATTAAGAATAGGATCTATAATGGCAGGATTATCTGGGACCATTTTTTAATTATTTTTGTTGTTTTGCTTTTTTATTATGAGTGATATTTTGTTGATTTATATGTTTTGTTTATTATTATTATTAGTTTAAACAATTTAGGGAGCTTTTAAATATTGAAAATGCTTATATAAATAGCGCTGTTAAATTTTTTATAATTATTTGTATTTATTACGCAATTCTTATCATAATAATCGTAACTCTATCATCAGAAAGATATTTTTTAGGTAATTAAAATTTAACTAAAAGTAATCAAATTTGGAAGTTAATCAATTTTTATAATTAAAAGATAAGCTTTTTATGACGGGAATTGAGTAAGATATTTTTTTAATTAATGAATATATATTTTCTATTTTTCTTGAATTATTCTTATGAAATTTTCCATAAGTAATTAAATAAAATGCTTATTTATTATAATATCTAGGCAAAAATTATGTGCTAATGTCTTACTAGTTAAAGCATCAGATTACTAAAAGAAAAATCTTTTATTAATTTCACTTAAATATGATTTACGTAATTATTGCTCTAAACAATAAAAAATTAAATAAATTCAATAGTTTCAAATCTCCAATTAAAAATGTCTTCCTTCATATTTTATTTTATGTGGAATAATATCATATTTTTATTTTAAACTTTTAAAAATTCAACACCTTTCAAATAACATATTTATTTTCTTTAAAAATTTAAGCTTATTTAAGTTATTTCTTGTTAACAATCAAAACAAAATATTTTATGTATTTTTTCTAAATAAAGAATTAGCAAAAATGATATTTATCATGTTGATATTGAGAATATTAAAATTTTTTTTTTTCTATTTTAAATTTAAATTCACAATAATATAGAAGTAAGTAAAATTTTTGTTTTTATAATTGAGAAATTCTAACTTTTTATAAAAAAACTTTAATCACTAAAAATGAATAAATAACTGTTTTATTTAGCTTTATTATTTTTTATGAATTTTTTTAAAAAACTCATAAATTAAAGCCATAAAAAACGATTTTAAACTGAATCTTTGAAATTTAAGAATCAATTTTTATTAAATAAAATATATGATTTATAATAAATATAATTTTTTAATTTATAAAAAAAGATAAAAATAGAAGATTAATTTAAGGATCAAGTAGAAAACAATATTTTGTTTTATTCTATAGTGTTGAATATAATTAATATAAATATATAATAATTCTTAGAGTTTTATATCATGTTAAAAAAAGATACAAATATTTTAACATTAAATTTTGAAATTGAGTAATAATCTAGATTATGAGTTAATTAGTTAGTTGTAGCTTGTCAATATAGCAGTTAGTTTTATTCTTTATTTTGATAAAATTGTTAGTTTTTTATATTTTATAGTAGTAATTTAATTTGATTATATTATTTTTTTGCTTTTTTTGGGTTCATTAAAATTAAGTTCATATTATAGATTAGAATCTTTCTCCAAAGTTAAAATTTTTTACATCCTTCATTTCATCGGATTATTTACTTTAGTTAATTTTATAATACTTTTCTAATAAAATTTCACTCATCATAGAATATCCAAAATCGTTAATCCAGTCTGAGTTCTCCATAAATTTATTATTTTGTCTTAATGATATAACTTGCTTTAGTTAATTTAATTCTATTTAGAAGAGTACAAATAATCCATATTCAATTTTGAACTAATCTCCATTTATTTATAGCTCTTCTGGATAGTCAAAAAACAAGTGTTCAATTATAGAACTGCATTAGATAACTTAGTCATCAAATGTTAATAAGCAGCAGTCACATCCGACAAATCTACAATTTCTCAAATTACATTCAAACATTTCATAATTAAGTCTACCAATATTAAATATATCTCTATTTCTTTAGGCTTAAATTTCTGGGTATCCTTTTCTCATGATTGTTTATGCAAATTGCTGAGGATCTGACCCTAATAAGCAAATAAGGGAGTCAGAATATCCTTGTTGAGTTATTTCAAAGTAACCTCTCTCAATATTTGCTGTTTCAAATGAAAATGTGTAGAATTAACCTTCGTTTGATAGCTCCTTAAATTTTTTATGCAATTATTGCTCTCTAAAAAGTTTTCTTGCTATCATTTTTTCATCTATGGTTTATTAATTGAGTAGCCTAGAAATTTGAATTATTTAAATCTACTATTCATAGTTTATCAAAACTTTCTGATACTCTTAAAGAAGCTTAGATAAAATTCTTAAGCGCTTATAAGGCTGCTTTGTTAGCAATTATAAAAGCTAAGAAAAGTCTTTCATTGGTTCTTAAGGATTTTCTAAATGCAAAATTAATACTTATGAATTTTGTAAATGTTCTGTATAAACTACTCTTTTGAAGTGAGAAAACGATAACATTTATTCTTAAATGGTTTTCCTTTCTTTAAAACCTAGATCAAAAAAGAAATCAGATATTAAATGAAATGTTTAATCTAACTTTATATGCTAAAAAATAGGAGTCAAACATAATTATCTTTATTTATTGACTCCAAAAATATCATGCTATAACTTTTATGTGGCATTTAAAAACTCGTTTAAATCAATTCTCCTCTATTCTATAAGACTATTATCTTCAGATTTTGTTTCTTCAGTTGAAATTTCAAATTCTTCATCTTCAATTTCAATCATTTTTTAGCTTTCAATTTATAATATACTTGTTAGTTACTTAGATATAATGAAAAATATTGAAAGTTTATTCACTAATTTATTAAATTGAAAAAAAAAATAATGTAGTTTAAATCAATTCTGCTTAATTTTAATAGCTTAAGTTAAATTTTATGGCAGATAATTAGTTAATCTTTTAAAAGAATTAATCAGCTTGAAAGCTTTTACATTTTAAGAATTGTTCTAAATTCTCTTTAGAATATTATAATCTTAAGAATAAATAAATTAGCAAAAATGGCTAGACATATTAATTTATAAATTTTAAAATAAGTAAATTTTTAATATCTTACTTAAATTAATGTTTAAGCAAAAATTTTAAAATATTTTTTATAAATTATAAATATTGTTTTAGTTTGAAAATCTGTTCTACTTTTGCTTTTAAATAAATCAAATAGAAAATTTATTAACTTTTATGATTACGTCATTGCAGTATCATCTGCACTTCGTCTAATATGTAATAATTGTAATTTTCGACTTTAAAAAATATTTATTTTTTTATTTTCTTACCGACTTAAAATGAATGAACATTCAACATTGTATATTTATAGAAAATATTATTCAAATCTTTAAACTATAATATCGCTAATAAATCCTCATTAATTTATCTTTTCTTGCTTTTAAAATATCTCTCATTACTTTATTTCAAATAAACTTCTTAAATCACTGAAATTTCATTTTTGAAATTAAATATTTGAAAGAAGCAAATTAGGATTTAATCTAATAATTAAACTTAAAAGAATCAAATTTTGACAGTATTCTTATATAAAGCTAATTAATTGCTTGATTGAATGAGAAAAATGTATTAATACATTAATAAACTCAAATATTAAAATTGATGAAATATTTAAAAAAAATAAAATATTATTATTAAAACAAAAATAGAATACATTTTTAAAAATATTTTAATTTAAACTATTTCTCATAGTATTTTTAAATAAAGTAAAAATAATTGTTTGATTGAATGAAAAATAATATTACAAATTATTAAGATAGCATATGGAATTTGATGAAATATTTAAAAAATAAATTTTGCACAAACTAAATATAATTTATTTTCATCAATATAATAAGAATCATAAATCTGACTTTTATTCAGTTTATTATTCATTTTATGTTACATTAGATTCGTTTTACAGAGTATCAGATCCATTTTATTAATTTTAAGCAAGGTTATCTTTTTGAGATTCTTCAAGTTTTTATTTTTCTGCTTCTTGTTTTCTTTATTTTTCTGCTTCTAACTCTCTTTACTTTTACTCAACCTTGAATTTTGCTTCTAGCTCAGTATCATCTATTACAATATCTTTTAGTTGTACTTCATTTTCAGATAATGGCTAAACCCATGGGAAAGTTACTTCTTGCTTTAAAGCTTCGATTAAAGTTGATTGCTTTGTTGAATAGATGAAACTAACAGGTGAGTCTTTCTAATTTGCTTTGTAAAGTTTAAATTCAGGAGTTCTTTTAATATGTACATCAGGAATGTCATTATCTCCAATATTTACTCTTACTAATAAAAGGTGAGGATTATGTTTAAGTCTATGGGCTAAATGGTAAAAAGTAGGTTTGAACTAATCGCAATGATAACAGCCTATACTATAAAAGAATACAAGAACATCCTATTAATTATTTTTATAGACATATTCATCCCAGTTTTCAGCAACAACAGGCTTTACAAGGAGAGAATCAAGTTTTTCTTTAGGAATTGGTTTTTCTTTTTAGGTAAGTGGCTAAACTTTACCTTTTTTTATGTCTTATATAAATTACATCATTGTTTATACATTAATTTTATCACCTGAGAAAACATATTTTTTACTTTATCTGCCCTCAATTTATTATATAAAGAAAACTTAAGGCAGAGTATAGTTTGTATCAAGCATAAAAGACTTTGCAACTTCTTCTCTATTTCTCTCTGTGATATTTAATAGGTTTAAGAAAACTTAATTCATTAATTTCGGTCTTAAATCTAAAAACGCTAACTCTTCTTTAGTCATTAAATCTTGAGGTTATTCATTAGATTCGTAATAATTTTATTAATTTATGGCTAGGACTAAATTTTCTTTAGCATTTTCATAGATTTTGCTTGTTTCCCAAGGTCTAACCATTTATATTGATGGAGTAGTATATATCTTTAAGAAAGATTTAATTTAATTGACATCTTGCAAGTTTCCTTTGAAATAATTAATGTAAAACATACCAAGCTCTTTCTCTTTTTGACTATATAAAATTAGAGCTTAAACATCTGCTTCTTTATAACCATTTTCTTCTCTACATACTATTTTAAAATAATTTATTTAAACTACCATTCCCAAAATAAATATGTAAAATTTAATTTTATTTACCTTTATCGAAAGTGTGTGCCAATACTAAATCCTTTTTTTTGCTTGCTAAAGACTCAAACGTTTTGAATTCAGGAGTATCTGGAGTAGAACCTAAGAAAAGAGCAAATTCCTGGAACTAATCCATTTTAGCTTTCAGTTATTCAAAATTCTCAATAAAAAGGGATGATGTTTTAGGAGCCTTAATAGATTTGATGACCCAACTATATACATCATTTATGTAATTCATACCTTTGTAAATATCTTTTTATTTCCCTTGTTATGAAATGAGAATCAATCCAGGAACTTTTTTAGCCCCATTAATTTTTGCAAAATCGGGCCAATTTTCATGATTAACATAGCCTAGCTTAAAATCATTTGTCCCATTAGAATTCAATTTTTCATGTAGCTAGTGATAATCAATCAAAAATTTCTGGAATGACCTTTCTGCAGTTGCAAACAAAATAAGAAGATACTTTGACTATGTCTTAAGCTATTCATAATTATCAGAAGTAACTTCTATAGTTACTACATTACTTGTTTGATTTTTATTGATTAAGCTTTATAAGGATTCTTTATTTTTAGTTGATTGTTGTTGTTCTTTCTTTGCTTAAATTACTACGAGTAGTAAGAGGAGCGCTACAACAAAAATATGTATTTTTTTCATTTTCTTTTTGCTTAAAAAAATAAATAGAAATTATGTATTTTTTTTTTAATTTTAATTAAAGATATTCAATTTTTTATATTTAACGAAGTAAATTATTATTTAAAGATATTGAAAAAGTAATCAATTCAAAGTATTTAAAAACGTTCTTTTAACTAATAAAATAAATAAAAAAATAAAATCAGTAATTAATATAAAAACATGCATTAAATATAATAACGTAATAAATATTTAAATTAATTACACGTGCAAATATTTTAACAATTTTTAATGAAAAAGACAAAGAGTATTTACAAATGATTTTTTATATTTTTAAATCGATTAAATACTTTATAAAATGGTAACAATAATAGTAATAATTACATGATTTTATAATATTAAATTGAAAATTAATTAATAAAGATAGAAAGGATTCGATTATGTTTATAATGATATTTGTTTGTATTTATTTTATCTATAAGCTTAAATTGTTAATAAATTATTAGTTTTTTCTAAAAGTATAATTTATTATTTTGATATATTTTTTTTATGCTTTTTGATATTGCTGTAGAAGCTTTTTTTTATGAGAATTGGAAATTATTTTATTAAATCTTTAACATTGCTTCTCAAATATATTCTAGGACTTTCTTTTTATTGTCATCTTAAAACCTAAAAAATAGAACTACACAAGTGATATCATCAATCACATTTTCATCATTCTAAAATGTGATAGAAAATAATTAAAAATTAAAAATAATATTGAATATTTTAATAAAAACTTACTTTTTGCCACATAAGCACTGATTGTTTGATTATAGCATCTGCTGCTCCAGCAGAATCGTTTTGTTTATAAAAAGGAATTACTATTTTAACTACCTATTTAAAATTATATAGTAAAAGAAAACATAACATTATTCATAAAAAATTACATCTTAGTTTGTTAAAAACTCCCAAACGCCATCACTAGCTATTACAATAAATCGATCTTCTTCTTTTATTAGTACTTCATATATATCCGGATCTGATATTACTCCTACTTCTCTCCCTGCTTTATCTCCAAGAGACCGAGCCATAGCCAGTCCAGGACCTTCCATAGTTTAATTCCATATTCTGTAAATGCCACCAGCTACTCCGTTTTCATCTCTTGATTTCTCAACTTTGCCACCATGTTCTAAAATTCTCTTTTTTTCTCTTGGCAAATCAGGTTTATGGTCTTCACTAAGAGGTATACTTTTCCACTCTGATTTTGAACCTTTACCTAATTCTCTTCCTAGAATAGCTCTAGAATCACCACAGTTTGAGCACCAGAGAGTATTATTATGAATCAAAACAGATACTACAGTTGTACCACTCATAAAGGTATCTACTTTGGAATTTAATAAATCATTTGATACTGTCTGAAATGATTTCGTAATTATTTTTTATAAATTTATATCATTATTTTGCCACCCTCCTTACGACTTAATAACTCTCTAAATAACTTTGGGCAAATTTTTTTTTACAAAGTTAGAAGCTAAATGCCCGTATTCGCCTAATAAAAAAGTAAAAATCAATATTAAAAAAAATTATCATATATAATGTAATAAGGTTTTAATATCTATTTTATTATAAATGTTACCATGACCATCACAAACTCCAAATAAGCTATAAGTTTTATCATTAGGGAAGTACGGAATAACAATATAAGAATCTTAGTTAATTTTTTTTAAGTTAGGACTGTACTACCCCGCTCTAGTTTTTGTTTAGCATATTATATCAAATGTTTTTATATTTCCCTTTTTTTAAAAACGCATTTTTAATAAAAGCATTTAAAAATATTAAATTTTTTTACTTTCTAGTCATATATAAAACCCTTATACATACCATGGGATTCATTTGCTGCAGTGATATTTTATTTAAAGGATTCAATAATTTTGTTTTCTTTTTGTTCTAATTCTCTTGCAGATTGAATAGTTGGTTATTATTGCAGTATATTATTATTATTATTTAATTCAAACTTGATGTTCATTTTATTGTTGCTACTTGTAGCTATTTCATTTTTTTATTTTATTTGTTAAAGAGTATTAATTTAAACAGATTAAGATCTAATTGAAGATGAGTATTACTAGTTTGTAGAAGTAGAAGAAAAATTCAAAATATTTTAAGAATTTCCTTAATTTTTAGTAGTCTGCGCATTTAAAATATTTTTTTAAGATGAATCGATGGAGTTCTTAATATGATAGAGAGAAGAATTAGGCTTTTTAGAATCTTATTTTTATATCAAAAATCGATTTTGATTTAATTCTAAAAAATGATTGTTTATATTTTGCTTCGAAGAAGTATTTAAATTTTATCCTTCCTTAACTACTTTAGAAAGAGGCTTTGCATATTTATTTTAAATATTATTAAGATCTATTTCTCCCTCACTCTTTCTTCCAAAGCTCTTCTTTTCATCGCTTATTTTATTTTATGATTCAATTATATACTAACTTGCTTTGTTAAAACTAGGATTATGATCATCTGTTATGTCGCTTTTTTTTTGTACTGAAGTTGAATAGTCTGAATTATTACTAACTAAATTATATTTTCTATGGATGTTAATGGGTGTATTTTTAGAATAACTTTTATCCTAGCTTGATTGTGAACATTAATTTAAATCTTAATTACCCTATTAACCATTTTATATTACGCTTTTCCTAATTTTAAATAAATAGTGTGAACTCATAGTTTTATTAACGCCAATAATCTTGAATTCTTTTTTAAATAAGTATTAACTTTCAAAAATTAGAAGTAATACTTTTACTAACTTTTTTATTAGATAAAATATACCAAAAATATAATCTAACTAACTATCATAAAATAATGATCAGTGAGAATCAGTGAAATTATGATTTAATTAAAAATTAATTTTTTTTCAAATCCAAATTTCAAAGTATTTTTTATTTTTATCTAAAAAAAAATTATTTTAAAAAAATCAGAAAAGAAAATTAACAAATAAAAAGTAAAATAAAAAATCAACTTTTTAATTTGAAGATTTATTTAGAAAATTGATTTTTTCTCAATCAAATTTGTGTTTGTTCTTATAAAATCTTTAAGATGTTTAGAGACTTTGTTTTTTATTAGGGAATTTCTTTTGTGATTCAGCCCAATAAATAAATATAAAGTAATGAAAATTTACTTTTATAAATTAATACTAGAATGCGATTAATCTAACTTTGGCAAGTTTAAGCTATCTTTACTTATTTAGATTGTTTCTTTAGGAGCTTAAAATACTTAAATTGAAGATAAATCTTTATATTTTTAATCATTTGGAATAAACCTTTCTTTTATAATAGGAGTTGAAGACTTCCTTTCCCTAAAATATATTTTTTGTAATATTTTACTAAAAAAGTTTCATAATTTATTTAGGTTACATGTAACTTGGTTATTGAGATATGTTTTAAGATCCATATTTTTATTGGTTTAATGCTTAATTATTTTAATTTTACAAACTGCTTTAATAACTTAAATTTTAATGCTGAAGTAAGCTTTCAGGTTAAGGAGAATGGACTTTTTTTTGAATAGGAGTGAAAACAACTTATTCTTCTAAATCTTTATTTAAATCTGTGCTCTTCATTCTTAAAATACCTGCTAATTTATATAAATTTGATTCTTTAAATAACTTTCTTCATCTAGAAATTGATTTACAGTGACTTACATTACAATTAACTTTGTTTTGGGTATTGCTGTCATTACAAAAGTATTAGCTTGAAAATGAAGCTCGTTCTACATAAAAAAAAAATGAATCTGTTATTTCCATTAATTAATATTTAAGTTACATTTTGCATAATGCCCTTTTTTAGAACGTTACTCAGTAGGAGGTTAGAAATATGGGATCTCATAATTATCCTACTTAGAATTACCTCCAATGAAATTTTAAAAAATACTTAAGGCATTGTTTTAAGGATACTTTTTATGACTAGTAATTTAATCTATGTACCTATTATTTTAATGTATAACTTTGGTTATGCTTTTTTGATTATTCTAGTTTGTATTCATGCTTATTTTTCACTTTTATATTCTTGGATAGATTATAGAATTGAATATAAACGCTACGTTTGAAGAGTTTACTTTAATCTAAAATAAATTTTGATTTATTTTATTATTCTAAATAGTAATTAAAATATTTATAAAATGTAGTGAATTAATTATCAGAATTTCTGATACCTTTTCATATGTTACTAAATTTTAAAATAATATTTTTTTTTCCATCATAATTAGGGGAAAACTATAACGCTTTATATAAATTGCATAAATTATCTTAAAAAAAGGGAAAATAAAACTTTGTAAGTTTATAAATTTGAAAAAATCACAAAATTTATTCCATTCAATCAACAATTTGTATCTTTGAAGAATTTTAATATTATTCGATATTTCATAAAGAAATTGTTTATAAGAAAAAAATAATTTTAAAAAATAAATTATTAAATGTTAATAAAAATTATTCAAACTATTTTCATTTAAAAAAAGAATAAATTTTAAATTAAGTTAAAACAAAAAAAATCTTTAAATATATTTAATAGTTATTTATTTTTTAAATATATTTAATAGTTATTTATTTTTTAAATATATTTAATAGTTATATTACTTAAATATAGAGTTAATGTTAAATATTTTTTTAGATATGATAGTTTTCAAAAATGATAATTTCTCTAAAATTAATATTTATTAAATTATCTTTTACAAACAAATATGTTATTAAAATGAAATTTATTAGAAAAAGTTATTTTAATTTAAAAATTTAGTCCTAACATTTATATTAAAAATTTTAATTGTAATATTTTTTATGAAGATTTAGCTATAAGAATATTTTATAAATAATTCCCCTAAATTAAAATTGCATGAAATACATATTATAAAAAAAGGTAAAAAACAATAATATTAAAAGTAAATTTACTGATTATTTTTTGTAGGCAAACTATTTATTCAACTTTAATTAACTATTAATATTTAGTAAGGTGTTTAAAAAAGAATATTTTTAAAGTAATTTAAATGGAAAAAATAACAAATTATTAATTTTTGTTACAATTATTATTTTAACTTAAAAATGTATTTGATTATTGAGTTAGTTAGTTAGTTTTTTATTTATTTAATTATTAATAAGTTAATTATTTATACATTTTTGCTTTATAATTTGTAATATATTTTTGCTTTAATATTAGATAAAATTAGTATTATAAGGAATAAATATTATGAAAGGAAGGAAGTAAGTGTTTATTAATTTATGGTAAATCTTTTCTAATTAAAAAGAAAAGAAAGTAGTTTTTTGCTATTTATAATTCAAGAAAGCTTTTAAAAAAAGAAATGCTAATTTTAATTAATAATTGACTAAATCTTTTATTAATTAATTTAAATTTCATTTTATTTTCTTTCCTTGAACTGTAAATTAAAACATCAAAATCTAAAGCATTCGATTTCAAATTAGACTACCTGTTAGAGGTTTTTTTAGTCTTTCAATACTTTCAGTTCCTCTGTGAAGATTGATAACTCTTAATGTTTCTTTAAAGTTCACACATTTTTTTCTTTAACCATTTTAATTAATTTCTTAGAAATTAGACATAGAGTTGTATTTTCTTTGTCCTCTTATTTTTTGATAAGAAATCATATTTTAAGCTTATTTTGTATCTGGGGCATGTAGATTTTTGCGTTTTTCATTTTGATCTGGAGATTAGTTTCTGCCTTCATCTCCCATTTATGCATAATTTTATGGATTGTTTGGATCAGTAGATTTATATTTTAGTATACTCTTACTCTTTATTATAGAACCTCTTACATATTAAAAGTGCCCATAATAATCTCCACTGTATATTTGATTATTTGGTTATTATTAAATTATTAATTACATCATATTTTATTACTACTACTACTACTACTATTATTATTATTATTATTATTATTTATTTTAATAAGGAGGAAGAGGTTATTACATTTATTCTTGCTGAGTTTACTGGTACTATTAATTATTTTCATTTTAACTATCAAAATTCCAAGCTTGTTAGAGTTTTAGTAATTCAAGCTTGTTTGAATTAATTTCATGATCTGAATTCAGTTTTAATTTTTTTTATGTTATTTTCTTATTTTATTCTACATTATTCAAAATTAATATATTATTATTGTCTGAATTTGAAGAATTTATATCATTGTCCTGAGAAATTAAATTAAGAGAAGGTATTGAATTTGGAAACACAGTGCTACTATTCATAGTTGGTGAAATATTTCTTTTCCCTTTTAATTATGGGGAAAGAGTTGGCGAAAGTGGTAGATGAGATAGAGATCCTTAATTTTAATTATTTTCTTGTTATTAGTTTAAATTATTTTAATTTGTAGTAGCGACATTATTTACAGTATTTTATTGTATGGGTTGATTCACTTATTCTTCAGTTTAGTAGCTGATTTTTCTTATTTTAAATCTACCAACTTATGCAGGATTTTAATTATTTTAAATAGCTCCATTAATTTTAACAATTGTTTGCTTTTCTTCTGTAGGTTTTTCTATTCCTAAGAAATCTCTTACACTGTCAGCTTACTAATATTATGAAGAAGTATCAATTGGTATCATAGAAGAGTTTCTTATTTTATCTCTTCTTAAGGTAATATTTGGTTTTGTTCCTATCGAAGTAGTATAGCCACTTTAAGTAGGATTTTACTTTACAATGGGTATTTGGTGGCCATTTTAGTTTATTTTTAAATAGCTTACAACCTCTGAAGCGTTTTCTCCATTATTATTAGATGTTTTTCCAGGTACACTGCTGCCCAAATCTTGTAGCCTTTTTTGCTAATTATTATGCGTTAGAATAGAATTCAAAATGTTTGTTTAATTTATTTATGTTTTAGTTGTTATTAACTATGGTTAAGATTAACTAAGCATACTACTTGTTAGTTTATTACTGGTTGGTATAGTTGGAGCTTGAACATTCACGTTTATTCCTTACTAATTATTGTTGTTGTTAAACCATTTCTAAGCTGAGTTTCTTACAGAAACTATCTTATTTCCTTAATTGTTGAGAGGCAGTTAAGTAATTTCTTAAGATTAAATATTTTAAGGTTCCTAACCATTTTCTTAGTTATTTATTTTTTCACTTTATCTCTAGCTCTTGGAAGCCTATAAATCAATTTAATCCTTAATAAAAGTGTTACCACCTAATGGAGTTTTATTCTAAATACCAGGCTTTTCCATAGTTTCAAGTATATTTTTTTAGTTAGAATCTATAATGGTTGTTCTCTTAACAGGTGATGTAAAAATATTATCAGATTTTCTGTAATATTTTATAGGGGTTGATGAAATTTAATTATTTTATGTACTCAATCTTCCATTCTCATTTTAAGGAATACCACTACCGTTTTAGGGTCCACTTGGAGTTATAGAAGAAATATTAGCTTGGTTTAAATTATTCATAGGAAGCGATTGTGTGTTATCGGTTTGGGTCTAACCTTTAATGATATCGTTATATGTTAAATTTGAATTAGAATTTACTAGCCAATCCTAAAGCATATCAGACATAGATTTTTTTGTCGAAGACTGATTTATTTTTTATTAAGGATTCGCTTAATTGCTATCCAATAAGTTATTTTAAATTTGCTGTTATTTAGCTTCTTAAAATAGATTTATTGTGTTTTCTGTTTTACGAGGTCTTTTAATTTTTGGTAGTTACTCAGGGCTTTAAATATCTTGTAACACATTTTACGATGAAGACCTCATATGCTTAATTGATTATGGATTCTTTATTGGAGAAAGCATGCTTAATTGGTCATTTTGAAACACTGTTGAATTAGATAAACCATTATTTTCTTAAATCAGGCTATTCTACGTCCCTAATATCAGCTAAGAGTTATTTGCGAAAATCCTGTTGTGTTGCTATGTTCTTACAGCCATTACAATATTATTATCTATTTTTTTATGATTTTTGAATATTGTATGTGCTTATGGTATTATTGATTCTTGTAATTAATATTAAAATTACTTATTTTTATGATTTTTAATCTTTTTCATAGATCTTATTTCTTTTAATTTACGAATGACTTCATTCTCCATAAATAGTTTAATTCTGCTAATCATAAACGAAGATTAGTAGGAATATACTTTAATAAAAAATTGATTGCACCATTCATATTTAAACATTATTTAAATGGTTTGTATAAATTAATAATTGTAATTTATCCAGTCTTGTAAAACTATGAATAAACCTTTTTTAAATATAATATAAAAATATGTAAAATTAATTGCTTTAATTACCATTGAGTTTTTATTTTAAATTATCCTTCAATAACATGCGATTATTTATGAAATATAAAATATAATAAATATTTTCATTGTTTTGAATAAAAAATTAATTATTTTGGCTAGATCAAAAAACATCAATAAGTTTATTTTGAATATAAGATTGTATTTTTTAAATTCGTTATTGCAAAAATGAATTAAATCTTCTGATATTAACCATGAATTTTTTTTATGGCTTTTATCAAAAATATATAAAGTGTAATTTAGTATTGCACTTACTTTTGTGTCAAGAATGCATACTCCATATTCCACAAAAAAATGAAGCGAGCCTTTTACATATTTGTAATTATTTATCAGATTTATATTATTTTTGAAAACTTGCTAAATTAATGTGAATAAATAAACAAGCAAAAACTTGAAAATGAGCTATCGGATTGTTTGATTTTTATTAATTAAGTAAGTAAGGTAAGTGATTAAAATATTAAAAAAAATAAGTCCTAATTAAAATTACAAAATTATCCTTTTTATTTAAATAAATTAATAATTAGATTTTTCCTAAAAAGCTTTACGGAGAATTAATAAAAACAAATGTTTAATACATACTTTTGACTTACCTTTAAACAGAAAATCCAAATAAAATACATCGAATATAATTTTTCTTATATCTTTTTATTTGTGGAAATTAAAACACAGATTAAATATGTTGATAAATTTATATAGTCTATCAAATAAAAGGCACGCTTTAATCAAAATCTCTGCCATACTCATTAATACCACCAACAACATTATAAACATCTAAATTTTTATTAAATTTTTGATGAGTTGTGAACTATTTACTAATTTAAAAATATTTAATTTTACCTTTGTAGCCTTTCTTAAACAAATCGTTTCCAGCCAATCTTGACATATTACCTCTTCTGCACATAATGAATACTAAATTTAAAATTTAAAACTTCAATTAAGAACAACTTTGAACAATAAATCATTTTTTACTTTTTTTGTTTTTATCACCTAATAAGTTGCTGAGGGCATTCTATTTTAATTTAAAAGTAAGGATGATTGATATTTCTAAATTATCTGAGCAATCAAGAAGCGAATAAATAAATAAATAAATAAATAAATACATATATAAGTAAATACATATCAAATAAATAAAAGGTGTAACATAAATTAAGAATAGGAGGGATAAATTAATTATTTTAAAGAATGAATGTTATCTGATAATACTGTTTAAAAAACTTTATTTAATCAAAGAGAAAAAATCACTAATTATAAAATTTATTTGTAGTTACTTCATCCAAATCTTACAAGTCTTGATATGGAATATTTTTAAAAAGAGGTATATTGACTATATCATATTAGCTTTCAGGTCTTACATCAATAAACTCGGCTTGATCAGAAAATCCTTTTTCTTTTTCCTAATTAATTGAGAAACAAATTAATCAGTTGAAAAATTTAGCACTAAACTAATAAAAGTCTAATAAATTAAGTATTTTATTTGTTTGATGAACTTATTAGAATCTCAATAGAATTTTTAATCAATTATTTATAATAAATAAATAATAAAAGAAAAGATTAATACTTAAACAAATTCCTTCCATGTAATATTTTTGAAATTATGTTCTTTCACAGTAAATGCTTAGCAGCTAGCTCCAACGAAATTATCATAATCATAATCCTTAACAAACTTAATTGTTTTGTTTTCACCACAGCTAATGCAATTCCTTTTTTAAATATAAAAAGTTTATAAGTGCGTTATGGCTTAACAAAATATTTAATTAATTAATTTAAATTTGAGGTTATTTAGAAAACTTTTAATTACTTTTGAGGGCCTCTAATACGGAAGGCTTTAAAAGTTCCTTCGTACCCATCAAATATGATCATTCTTTAGGAAAGAACTTTAGCCTAAGGAGCTTCAATTAAAATTTTCATACATTCAACAGCTTCTAATAAACCTATAATACCAGGAATCATACCAACTACTCCTGCCTCACCACAACTTTTAACCTATTTTAAATAATAGCATTTTATTTTTTTTTATAAAAAACATAAATCAATACACTTCCGGCTTTAGGGCACTCTGGGTATAAACATCTGTAGCAAGGACCATTCTTGTAATTAAAAACAGTAAGTTACCCTTCCCATCCTATGGCTGAACCTGAAACAAGAGGTTTCTTTTATTTTTTAATAATTTGTTAATTAAAGTTAAATATAGAATTTCACCACCAAAAAATTTTATTTTTATTTAATAAAATATATTGTAAAAATCCATTATATTAAATAAATTATTTTTGAATATTCTATTTTGTAATAAGATATCTTATCTATCATTATTTATATTTACCTTGGCTAAAACAGATGCATCGCTAACAAGATATCTTGTTTTTGGATTGTCACTAGCATCTAATATTATATCATACTAACTGAAAATATCTTAAGCATTTTCTGGTGTCAACTAGAACTAATAAGTATTCACTTTAACTCTGTGGTTAAATCTTTCTATTGTCAACTTTGCTGAAAGTGCCTAAAAATTGTTTTATTAATACTAGTAAACTTATTAATGATATAAATTGAAATACCTTATTCATGCCAATTCTTTCTACATTGTGAATAATCTATCTATGTAAATTACTTTCTTCGACATTGTCATGATCGATAATTCCAATAGTTCCTACTCCCATTCCAGAAATGTAATATGCTGCAGGGGCTCCTATACCACCGGCACCAATAATTAAAACTTTAGAGTTTTGTAACAACTTCTAACCTTTATATTTAATTTCTGGTAAAAGCATTTGGCGAGAATATCTCTCAATAGTGTCTTTAGTCAACAAAGGATCATCTAAATTTGTATGCAAAGGACCCTTTTGATCTTTTTCCTACTATTATTCTAACTTTGATTCAACCTCTACTTAATTAGATTACTATTCTTAATTGATCTTTGAAAATGGGATCTAATTTTTTTCTAAAAGTGCCTCCAAATACTTTATACGATCCTCAAGCTTTTCTATCTTTTATACAAGGACAGCCTTTTATTCTTCAACCTAAGACATTTACTTTTACTTTTATTTTTGCTAAATTTAAGCAGATATTCTTTATGATAACAAAATTAAGAAAAATTTAAACTAAATATAATAACTTCTATATTATTTATTATGTATGTATTCTTTTAATTTTAAGTATAGCCTCTACTTAATCTTCTAAAGTTCTATCATATTTCTGTGATTTTTCTATTTTTCTCTGTATTTTTTAACAATTCCAGTGATAAATAAATTTATTAAAATTATTTTTAAAGCTTTAATCTAAACTAAAAAAATTTTTCTTCTTTTTTTAAATGAATTAATAATATTTACTAAACATCATAAGGATTTTTATTATACATAAATAATTAAGCTTATACCATTTTTATATTTAAAATTATATTTATTTATTTACAGATAGATCATAAATTAAAAGATTTTAATTATCTTAGCTTTCTTAAAAATATTTTTTATCAACTAAAGCTAAATGTTTTGAAAATAGTGAAACTAGCCACAAAATTTCAATTAAATGCAGCAATATTTGTCATTTCTTATTCCATTCTTACGGATTGCATCATAGATTATCTAGCATCTATGTTGTTTATATATATTAAGGACTATTTTAGAGAATACATTTCTTTTAGCTTTTAGTTGATTTGCTATTCATATTCAGGATTGTATAAGAGCATTATTTCTATTCTAGTTAATCCCTATGTTTCTTTAACATATCGATTTACAAAAACAGATCCCAGAACACTATTAGCACAAAAAATTAAAAATGTCAAAGGGTATCCAATATAAAAGAGTGACTGAGGAAAAAGAAATCCTACAACACCTTAAAAAAACCAGTATGACATAAAAGCAATAGAAATTCCTTTGTCACCACATATATCTGACACATAAGCAAGAGAATTAGGAGCATAAGTTGAAGCTATATAAGACCTTGAAGCAATTATATTTATAATTAGTAAACCTTATAACCAACTAGGGGTTTAATCATAAGAGTCATTTATATCTACATATGAGAGTAGCACAAAAGTAAATGTAATAAAAATTTAGCCATTCATACCCCAAAAAAGAAGAGATTTTCTTCCATATAAAGTTGAAAGAAACCCACTTATAAAGGAGCATACAATAGGGAAAACACCACTTATAACAGTTAAGTAAATTGAAAGTGTTCTATTCATATTTGTAAATCTGTTAAATAGCTTAGTTGAGTCTATTAAATAAATTGAAATTTTAAAATAAACCTAAGCAAATTTAAAAATTACAAAACATAATCGGAGACACACCAACAAAGTGCAAAAAATACATCATCAAAATAGCAATAATAATTCTTTTCTTATTTTAATAATTAAATACTGAAAGAAATGTTTCCTAATTTTTTTATTTTTCAATAAAAACTTAATGATAATCATGATATATTTGGTCTATGTATTCATCCTTGTAGATAATTCCCAAAAGACGCTTTGCTTCAATTAACTCACCATTTTCGAAAAAAAAATAAGGCGAATCAACAACTAAAAAGAACCTATTTTTATTAGAAGAAAGTTATAAACAAACAAGCTACTTCCTAGATTTAAAGACAATTTTACTTTAAAAGTATCAGTCTAATTATACAGAATATAATAGGAAATCCATAAATGTAAATTATCTATTTTTCAGAATAAATATTCGACTGAAGTGCAAATCCTGTAGAGTATGCTATTAATGTACCCAAATTTAGACCAAATACTGGAAATGTGCTGACTTATTATCTCATTTATATTGGTGCTACTTCCATAATAAATAAGCTTACTAATGAGCTATTAATACCACTAGATAAACCACTAATAAACCTTCCAAGGATAAAAAGATATTTTGAAAAAATACATATTTAAAGAGAACAGCCTATTTTAAATAAAAATTTCATTTTAAAAACTAAAATTTGCATTAATTTAAGACAATTCTAATAGATCTATGAGTAATTTTATACATTTCTAGATCTAAAAATAATTTTTAAAAGTAGAAATTGTTGAATTAATTATAATTGATAATTTACCAACTATACTTATTATGTCGCTTAATATAAGCCCATCTTTCCTAGAGTAAATTTTTAAAATATGATGAGAAAAATAGGCTCCTATAACACCTCCTAGAGGAATTAAGCTTGTAATTAAACCTTCAAAGTTAACTCTGTCATCTTCATCTTAAATATCCATAATATCTAGTACCGCATTGTAACTTTGATTGAAAACACCAATTTAATATCCCGAAAAAAGACTTCCTAAACAAGTGGCAGCAACTAAATAGTAAATATAAGCAGATGATTTGTAGGTATTTTCTTCTTAATTTTCTTCAGTATCCATTTTAATTGGTTTTATTTTATTTTTGGCTTATTTCTGAATAAAAAATAAAAATTAAAGCTATTATTTATAATTTGTATTGAAATCAAATTTTGTAAATAATATTTTTTATAAGTAAAGAAAAGTAAGATTTTATAAGTATATTTTTGGATTAGTAAAATTATTGAATATTTTAAAGATTTTTAAAAGTTCCTTCAAATCTAGGTATCTATAAAAGTGTAAATAAATAAATACCTTCTTGAGTTTACTACTTTATATATTAATTAGATTCTATTTATCTTTTATTTTTATAGAATAAAAGTATAAAATTTACTTAATTTTTGTATTCTCTATAAATAAAGCGTTTAGCATAGCATGTATTACTTCTTAGATTCATTTTATTATTATTTAATCTAAAACAACAAAGATTTTAATAATAAAAATAATAATTCAATTTTCATTAATTGAGCATTTTGATTTAAAACATTTTAATTTAATATAATAATTGAAAATTAAATAGAATTAGTACATTTCAATCAAATAGTAAACATTTTTAATAAAAAATGAAAAAATAATTAGAGTTTTTAATATATATTTTTTTAATGGAACTAATTTAATTGACCAGTAATGTTAATATTCAGAATATTTTTTTATTTTAAAATTCTATATGTTGAGTTCGTAGTTTAATGGTCGATTAAATATTTTATTGTATTGAATTGATTTTTGATCCACTCATAAACTAATTTTTATATTCTATTTGGTGAAATTCAAATGATTTAAAAAAATTTTTTAATAATTCTTCCAAAAGTAACTGTGGAAATACTTTAAAATAAAACCAACTATTAGTTATTTTATATTTATACTTAAGTAGCTATAAAATTGATAGAATCAGAAAAATTTTTAATAAAATTTGATAGATAAACTTCTGATAGATAGTAAATTATATTTGGAAATTGTTTAAATTTTTAAAAATATATAATAAAGAAGAGGAAAATTCTTTATTGTTACAATTTTTTTTAATTAATTTAATAATAGCAGCTACTTTTTTTTAAATTAAAATTAAAAAAGTAAATATTGTTTATCAAATTAAGATATTTATTTATATTTTTAAATTGCATAAAAAGAATTTAGGATAGCATTAAAGAAGACGATCAAAAATATTAAATGGATTAGAATAAAAGCATTATCAAAAAACCTAGCTCAAATATTTCAAGTAATGATAGCTAATTAAGATAATCAAATGGATTTTCTTAGTCAGGGTCTATTAATACTCAAAAAATGAGAATATCAGGATAAGGTTTTCGTCCATCTTCAAGAGATAGAAACTCTGGAAGTAGCACAAATTTAGGAGAAAGCAAATTTTTTAATGAAGACAATTTATATTCTTTAAATTTATTCCCTATGGGATAAGATGAATTTGCATTTGCTAGCACAATCAAAGCAGATTTGCTTTAGGTTTAGGAAGAGTTAAATGAATTAGATCCTGATAATAAATTGAGATCAAGTGGCAATATCGAATTTGGAAAAGGTTATCAAACTACTCTCAAAAAATGGTTAGGTTAATTCAGTGATAGTAATATCAAATAAAGTTTTGATAAAAGAGTGAAAGCAGATCTAGATGTTAACAAAATTACTGAAGCTTTAGGTTAAAAAGGAAATACAGAAGAGGCTCTTAAAAAGTTATATAAGCTTTGTTTAATATTTGAAATAGTAGCTAATAAGCTTACTGAATTTGAAATGGTTTCTTTAATGAGATATGATGATACTTATTCAAATTTGGTAAAAGATGAACCTTAAGCAAATCAACTTTCTAAACTTAAAATGATAGCAGGACAAGGTTAGTATTAATTTTCTAAATTCTCAATTTGCTTTGCGAATATGGAACGTTTTGCTTCACTTATTCGTGCATCTAAGAAAATAGCTTCTAAATAAACAGGAACTTTTATGACTGACAACTAAAATGATAAGCTTACAATATTAGAATCAAGCATAAAAGAACTAAAGGAAACTATCCGTAAGAGAGATTTTCGTATTAAGGAGCTAAATGAGAAAATAGTTGATTTAGAAACAAAAATTGAATAGTAGCAAAAAGAACTGATTTAAGCAACCCAACAAGCTTAAAGTGATAAAAGTGTTTAAAAAATTATAGGAAAGACACCTGATAGCTTTAAAGAAAATCCAAGCTATTGGACTGGCTTGATCGACGAAACTAAAGTTTTTTATGAATAACGTATACGCGAGCACGAGCTAGAAAATATTTCTCTCAAAGAAAAACTTGAAGACACAAAAATAAAAATGGAAAATATTTAAGAACAGTATTTCGATTTACAAGAAAAAGTCAATACATTAAAATAAGAAAAAGAAATATTATTCTAAAACTTTAGCAAAAGATATGCTAGTTAAGAAGAAGCCTTGAATACTTATGAAGATGCTTTGAAAGAAGAGGTATATCAAAATAATTCATTTCGATATTAATAAAAAGTGAAACAATTTTTTTTTAATTTAATAGTTTGAAAGAATGAAAAAGGCTTATGAAAAGAGAATTGACACTATCATGTGGGATAATGATAGGCTTAAAAAAGAAAAGGCTAGAAGTCTTATTGATATGAAGCACAAAATGGATAAAGAAATTGAAACAAAGAATTTATTGCTTAAGAAATTAAGTTGTTACATAAAATGAATTATAGTATTTTTACTATTTAATTTGTAATAAATTTATCACAGGATTACTTATAGTACATTAATCTTAAAAATATTTTTTATCAAATTAAAAAAATTCAACAAAATTAGAATAGGCTTTGATTAATAAATTAATTATATATTACTAAATAAATTATTATGATAAATCATCAAAAAAATAAATAAATATCCAAATAAAAAAGTTATTTATTTATTTTTGTAAAAATATTTCAATAAAATTTTTAGATTTTTAATAAAATAAATAAATAATTTATATTTATAATAAGCAGGAAACTAATAGAGTTAAAAAAATTAGCAATAAAAATATGGTAGGAGTTGAAATAAAATGAGAATAAAGCATACATATGAATAAAATATAGATAATTTTTAATACTATTGAAATTATAAATTATAAAAAATATTATTTGTAAGCCAATATTTAATTATTGTTGCTATTTATTTTTTTAATTCAACAATCTTGATTTTTTTTGATATTTTTTAAAGATTTTAATTTGAGTTTAATTAATGCATATTCACATAAATTTTTAGAAATCATAGTCGAAAGATACAAATAATTTACATTAGCCAAAGCCAATAACACTTGCGAATATTTCTGCAAATTATATTACTCTTAATATTTTTAAATTAAAAAAATGTTTAATGTTAAAAAAGTATTTATTAAATCAAAATTATTAAATAGTTTACTTATTAAGCATTTAGGGATATTTGCTAATGTATTCAAAGTTATTAGAGTTTTAAAGATAACATTTTATGTCAAAATGAGGCCTTATTTAGCTTATCTCTCTATAATAAACTCTTAGTATTGTGGATATTAGTTAGCAAATGAGCGGGTTAGATTTTATTTCTTAATAAAATTGTTAAAAATAAACATTTATTCTTTCAAACTCTGCTTGCTGCTTATTCTCATTACTATCCTCTAATATTTCGATGGTATTCTTGTATAAATTGATTTGGTTGATCAATTCAACAAAATAATACCTCTCTTTATAATCAGCTTCTATCAAGTTTAATATTAAGCATAACATAAAACTTTCTCCTACTAGTTCAGGGTAGCTCTAGATATCTACTTAAAGACAAATTAACCAAAAATCTTAAGTGTATAGCATTATTTTTTTTTAATCAAAATTTTTTGTTTAGAGCATCAATTTCATTGAAACATTAAGAAGCTTCAAAAAAGCATAATCTAATGATTATTGATCTTAAATATTTTAATTCTTTTTATATATGTAATATAGCTAGAGTGCTTTTTAGGATTTATCCTCAGATCTCATAAAATCAACTATTTTTAAAAAAAATTAAACTGATATTTACAAAAAAAATAAAAATAAACTTTTTATTACATTTCTCATAGTATAGCTCACTCAATTTAAGTAAGACATCAATTATGGAATAAAAGTACGTTTATTCAAAGTCTATATATTAATCCAAACTTTTTTCATAATATTAAATAGATTTTACCGAGTCACCAATTTTCAAAAATATTTCAGCTATCACTTAAATTTATAATTATAATTAAATATAAAAAATTAGAATTCTTTTTTATGTATAAAAATGTGTGTTTAAAAGTAAATTTACTTGATGAGCAAAATGCAGCTTTTGGATGATTATATCCTACTTGGTTTGTCAATATATTTTCAATTTAAAAATAGTAATCTAAACCTTAGGAAAATTATTTTTTTTTAATGTAAAAATTACTCAACTCTTCAATTGATTAAATAAGCTAAATACTATCCTTTCCTATTAAATTATTATTTTTATTTTATAACAATTTAAGTTTCTAAAAAAATTACCATAATTATAATCAATATTAAGCATGATTTATTAAAAGATTTCTTCAGCTTTTTAAATGTTTCCAATTTTAACATATATCGAAAATAATAACATTAATATTTTGCATTTTTCTATTTAGAGAGGATAAAATTTCTAATTTATTTCAGCTTGGTATTGTATAATCTAGCTATATTGATTTTCTTCATACAGTTACTTAAGTTAGCAATATAAAATGTTTTGTTACATACCTAAAAGGATTTTATTTTATTATTCTTATGAATGGTGTTAAGGAATTGCACTTTTTGATTACAAAACATCCTCACTTTTTTCAATTAAAGCTGATGGATCATTATCTTTTTAAGAGTTGATTTTATACTCATTTATAACATTACTGTAAGTTTACGATATTTAAAATTTTAGGTCTATTGTTGACTGTGTCACCATGAATAAATGAGAAGACAAATTCTTATCGAAGTCTTCTTCAAGTTAATAGATAGTAGATTACTTATTTACATATTATTTAATTTTTACAAACGGCTTTACAATTATTATGCTTGTGCTGCCAGCGAAGTCAAATAAATTTATTTTTTCAGAAGGTTTACTTTCTACACCAATTTATTTACAAATTTCTTAAAAAAACAACCCATTTGGGATAATTTATTTTTGAATTTCAATTCCTCTTTCTTAAAGCACAGGATCTATATTGCTTTACCAGTAAGATAATTTAGAGTTTTATAAATTATAATCAAAGTAAACTTATTTAATAAACTATCTGATATTTTCGATCAGGTAGATATCAAATTTAGTTTTAATCTTCTTATAATTTTTTTTATCTAAATCTTTTAGAGAAAAAGTTTTAGAATAAAGAGATTCAGATTTATTTCTCAGAGTCAATTTTTTGTTAATTTAAGGAGAAGAATCCTAATATTATGAATTATTTTATAAAAAATACTAAGTTTAATCTTCACTAGGATCTCCAGAGAGAAGGGAGTTAAAATAATTTATTTCATTATAAAGATTTTTATTTAAATCATTAATTTATTATTTTATTGATTATTAACTTAAGCTAATTTATTGAATTTATATCAAAAAACTGCTATCCTCACCTTACCAATTACTTTTGCTTTATTCTAATTAGTTATTTAATTTTTGTATATCTTACTCCATTTCTTTATCTTAAATTTATAACTTGTTTATTTCCTAATTAATTATATCAATTTTAACTTTTTAATCCTAAATTTGACTCTCTAACGAATTCATTGAAGATTAAAACTCTTAGATTTTAAAATAAATATAGTACCTAAACTATTTTTTAATTATTCTACTTAATATTTAAACATAAATATGCTATAGTCCTAATTAAAAATATTTTAAATATGGAATTAATTCGAATAATTCGCTGCATTTTATTCCATATTTTTTTAAATACTGTCGAAATTATGCCGGCTCTAATATTGAAAGTTTTAAATTTAACATATCGTTCAAGAAGTACTTCAAAGCTAAATCTTTTTAAGCTTTTTCTAAGTTTTGACTCTAACTAATATCATATTGAAAAGGTAGCTGTATTTATGTATTTGTGTTGGACTAATTGCTTTTCTGAGATTTGATATCACTTAATTTTTGCATTACGGTTGAGCTTGAACTCTGTGCGTTATTTATATTAAAAGAGAAAGTGTTCTCAAAATCTTTTTTTTCTGGAACTATATGCTAAATGCTTTTAATTTGTGTATTTAAAGACAGCTTAAAATAAATTATAACAGTTTTTGTGTGCTTAGGATAAATACTAACTTAACCTATTAATTCATTAAATTTAGAAAAACTTTCATACAAATTGTCATCAAGCAAATAGAGTAAGTAATTACTTAACTCTAAATCTATAATATACTATTTGTTATTTGATCTTTAATGATTTATCAATGTTTTTAAAATTGAGGAGACTTCAATTTTATTATTTTCTTCTTTAAAATCACTTTCATTCTCAGAACCTAAAACCTTTAGATTATTCTAGTCTGATAAAGTTATATTATACTCTTCTTTTATCATTTATTTTAATATTTCTTCATATTTTTTTTCTTCTGGATCTTCTTCCTCTTTTTTTTCTTATTTGTTTTAATTTTTATCATCTTATTATTTTTTATTTTATAATTCTGTTTCCTTACTTGAATTCTATTTATAAATAGGATTCAATTCTTATCTTAGCTTTATCTTTTCATCATATTGCAATGTGACTATTTTTTCAGATTTTGATAGTAACTTAATATCCACATTTTCTAAGGCGACACACAAAGAAATACACCCAGCAAATTCTATCAAACAGCACTAAGGTGTCCTTAACTGATAGTAGTTATCATAAGCCAATATTTCAAAAATATCATCAGTAAGTTGATTGTATAGTTTAAATTCTAAATAAATTATTTATAGCTTATAAATAAACCAATTACATTTTTAAATCAAATAGATTATTTACCTTGTTTAAACTAATTTACAACAAAATCAATTAGTTGCATTTAATGTGATCCATTGTAAAAAACTACTTTGAACAAAATATTTTACAAATGATAGCATTTTACAAAAGAGTCTTTTTATGAAGTGAATTATGATAACTAAGGATCGATAGTCTTAACAATATTCTAATTTATAGAGATTATTGTTTACAAATCCTCTCTCAGAGCTCTATTGAAAATAATTTCTTTTAGATAATTTTAGCAAGTTTCAATAAAAGCAAATTAAGAGTGTATCATGTACTAAGATTTCTAATATATTTTAGCTATTTAATGAGTTTGGTGAATGTTTTCTTCAATCGATCTCATCCATTAATAATTCCATGCAGTCTTTAGCTTTTCTCCAATTTTCATATTTTCTAATTTTCTTGAATAAAAATGAGCAAAATTAGTTTAGTTTTTTGTTTATTTATATACTTTTTCAAATTTTATTCTTCAACTTCCCTTTGTATTTGTAACTATTCTTTCTTTTTTCTTTCAAGCTCCTCTATTTCTTTTTCCTCCTATTCCTTTTTTAGTCTTTCATTTTCTTCCATTTTTTTTCTTTCCTCTTGAAGAATCTTCAATCCTTCTTCTTGATTTTTTTTATATTGTTCAAGCTTTTCTCTTTATTCTTTTTCAAGGTCCCTAACCTTTTTCTCTGCCTCTTTATTTTGCTATTAATTAGGAGGATTTTTTGTTTCATTTATACATCTTTTCTATTTGTTAGTTATATAAAAAAATAGTATTGAATTATATTCAGTAATTGAGATAATTACTATTTCATTTAATTAATTGATAGAGTTTGCTTGAAAATACCAAATTGTAGTATTAGGAGAGTCTTTTTTCAAATTTTCATTATTTTAAACTTATCCTTGTTATTCAGAAACATATTCTGATTCTAGCTAATGAAAATTCATCAGTTCTATGTTTTTTGACTCTTTTACTAGCTTAGAAGTTGGAAAGTAAATTTCAAAGAAGTATTAATTCTATTTAGAATTCTAAGAGTCTTCTATTTTCAGGTCTTCAATTTTAACAAATTTAAGAATAGATTTAGAAAAATCTTGCTTGAACTATTTCCAAGTTACATTAAAACTGTCATTATTTCTTTTATTTTTTGCTTAGTGTTTCTATTCAAACTTTTTATCTTAACCGTCCTTACTTTTTACATATCCCATGTACCCATTATGAATAAAAATGAATATATCTTTGAACATTTTCAAGATTCTACCTAATTAATTTTATGCAAAAAAAAAAAAATGTTATCTAAAATATTTAGAAATAGCTATTTAAGTAAATTAGTTAATTACTCTTCTTTTTTATTTTGCCATAGAATTAAGGTAGCTGCTAATTATCAGAAGCTTTACTTAAAATATTATTAACATTCTAAGATACTTAGCTTGGATTATTTACATTATTCTGGCTTAAATTTTTGTTTATTTGAGTTTATTTTTAGCTTTAATCTAGAGCATTTTCTAACTATTATTGATTTTGAACAGGTTATTAAGGATTAGGTTGTTATTAAACTAATGATGGCTGATTTTTAATCAATCTATTTTCTTGATTATTATAACCGATTTAGATTTACTCATTCATATCTCTAAAATTTAACATTGGGTTCTAGTTCCCTCTCTTAAATTAACTTACTTAGTTCATAGGGCGTTAATCTTCCTTTTGCTCTTCGATTCCATTTTATGTTCGTTATTATTGTTTCTAGCCTTAGCTCATAAATATCTAAATTTTTAGAAATTACTACCAAAAATTTTACAATCAATAAATAAATAAATCAAATTCTTTATTTTTTTTTTTTATAATTTTTAACACTATTATTTAATCAATATGTAAAACACAAAATCAAAGGCTAATAAAGTAAGATAAAAAGAAACAAAACCAGAATTTCATCAAAATTGTATGTTTAAATAGCTCAAATCAATGGTAAATAAGATTGATCTAATATTATTTACAAAATATTTAGCAAAGTTATTATAAAATTATCAACACTTTTCTTCATGTATTTATTTTCAATCTTAATTTTATAAGTATTTAAAAACCAAAAAAAATTAATATTTATATTTTTAACGTTGCTTTCCTGATCAATTTAATTATTTTTCGTTAACATTTAGATAAATAAATATTTTGTAGGGTTTAATCCAATAATTGAAAATATAATTAATTTTTATCAATCTAATTTTAATAATGTTTAGATTTACTACAAAAAAGGCTGAAAATGATAAGCTGAAGTAATTATATTAATAACATAACGTGCGCATACCTGAGAAATAATAATATGGTCAGGATTATCTTAGATAATGTTTTGATTAAACCGAAACAATTTTGAACCACTAAAAGGTTAACAATTCAAAAAACAAACATAGCACCAAAAAGTTTGATATAATTCGAGCTCAAACCAGTGATAAATCATAAAGAAATATCAATAAAAAGAGTAACAAGAGCATTTTAAATAATACAATTGACAATATAGAGCTTGGTAGTAGCTTTGTTGAGCAAAGTTTAAGTAAAAAATATAATAAACCGAATGGGACTTATATTTTTCCTAACTAGAAAAAATAAAAATCATATTATATTATTCCATCATCAAAAGCAGGACTGATGGATATATTTGAAAAATACAAAAACTACACCCCTAAGGAATAAACTTGTTTTAGCTCAAACTAAAGATCAACTCCATAAAGACATGTAAGACATTTTAAAGCCTTAAGTTAAAATTTATGTAAAACTATTAATGATTCTGATAAAAAATCATAAAATTATTATGATTAAGGAATACCCTAAGTAATATTTGATAATTTAAGATTAAATTAGTCAACATCATTCCATAATAATAATAATAACACAAGTAATTTAGAAAATAGCTAAGTTCAATAAAATATGAATAACAATTCCTAACTATTTGAAACTCCAACTAACAACATGAGTAAATCTTTTGTTGTTGATAATAAAATGTAATTCATTTATTTTAATTCTAAGTTTTATTGTATTTTTTAAATAAAAGATATCAAAATATTTCAAAAGACAATATTTTTAGTACAAAAGTCAATAACTAATAAAATGCTGAAACAAAATATAAATAAACACATAATTCTTGCTTTAGAGGCACCAGCAGAGAAAAGATTACTTCATAGTCATTTTTCATCTCTAATTAAAATAATCCTGGACCGGGAGAGTATGAAAATAAATCATAATTTTTATAAAAAAAGAGAAACAATTATTCTTCGAAGATTTAAAGAGATGAAAATGATAGCTGTAATATATCTATTAATAGGCTAAAAAAAAAAATTCAAAAAGCAATATAATATTAAGATGTAAATATAGCACCTTAAAAAGAAGTAGTGAGTCAACATTTAACTTTTGAATCTCTAAAACCTAATAACCCCTCTCATATGTTTGTAAGTGATTAAAGAGATAGGTTTGGTGAAAATCAATATATCAATTTTTTTTCAAGTAAAAATCCGTTATACAGTCCTGGGCCTGGTTAATATTAATAGGTGCATAAAACAATATTGAGTTCATAATAAAAAATTGACAAGATTAAAGAATAGAGAAAGCTTTTAAAGGATTGGTTAAACCCAAAAAAGTCTTAACCATAGTAAGAATGCTTGGTAATTTAAAATGGTGATGAAAAAGTAAACTACACTGCTGAACCTCTATGCGTTTATTAATTTTCATATAATTGATTAACTTTAAATAGCTATAAAATATATAACTTTAACAATAATTCTTATTCATAAAGCAAATATTTAATTTAAAAAAGTAAAAAAAATGTATTAAATAAACTATAACTTTATTTATTTATATTATAATATCCCATCAAATAAATAGTGTAACTTTTCGTCAATTTCTACAAATTAAAATTATTTTCTAGCGATTTGGCTAATTAAAAATTATTTTTAATTTTATTTAATATATTTAATTAAAATGGCTGGCTCGAATTACTTAGAAACTATAGAGTATTAAAATGTCTTTTTCTTTTCTTTTTGAAATTTGGTGTAAAATAATAAAATTAACTTTAATTATAAATAATTAAATAAACATTTGTTTGAAAAGTATATTTAAAAGTTCTTTTTAAAAATTAAATTGCATATTATTCTAAATAAATACTTACTTTAAAGTGAGGATTTAGATCATAATCAATTTGGTTTTTAAATTTTTATTTATTTAGCATTCAATAAAAAGGTTTAACTATCTATGAATCAATCAATTAATAATTTTGTGTTTAGGATATATAAATAATAATTTTGAGTTGTTTTAACAACTATAATAACTTTTAATTAATTATTTAATATGATAAATAAGTCAACTCTTCTAAATCATTTATTTGATGATTTTACAAAAGTTTCTTCAAATGAAAGACAACAGTTGTTGATAGAAAAAATTAAAAATAGAATATAAAATAAAAAATTCTCTAACTTTTAGGAAAACAATATAAAAAACGAATTTGTCCTTTCATCTCAAAAATCTTTTAACGAGCTAAATCATAGTGCGCTAAAAAATTCTTTTAGTTAGCAGACATACATTTCTCCTAACTAGACTTTAAATCAAATCATGGTAAGTTATTTATATACTCGCTAGATATTAAATATTAATTCTATATAAATAATAGACTTAAATAAGAGATTAGAATGCTTAAAGCAAACAAGAAGTAAGTTTGATAATAATAAAAATTATTTTTAAATGTTAATCAAACAATAAATATGAAGGATCTGAGTTGCACTATTGATTCTGCTAATGAACAAGAAAAATATAAATAGGCCTTTAAACCTCTTAAAAAAATAAATCATAGCTCAGAAAAAAAAATGTTATTTAATGACATAAATTAGTCAATAGAAGAATTACAAGAATAAGAAGATAATGCATATTTACAATAGAATGTTTATAAGCCTTCACTAAAAGTATTATTTAGTTTTAAAGGTCTTTAATTAACCATTCGTTTTTTTTAATAATAAAGAAAGATCCAATTAAAGAAACTAAAAGGGAGCGAATAGTCAAACAATATTTTTATGTAAAAGATTTTTAAAAGAAAGATGCATCAAAGGATACAGAATAGAGGTCCTTTAAATTAACTAAATAAAAAAGTTTGTTGGATTTATAAAAGGATGAAAATAAATAGTTTGAAAATCAAAATAACCACATTAACATCAACAATAAAAATTCATTCAAATTAAGAGTTTCAAGCAGTTTAAAAGATTTGAGTAAATCTCAAAGATTTTAAAATATTAATAATTTAGATGAATAAAATCTCTAAAAAGCATTTGATAGAATGCAAAAATCTTTAATCAACACATCACTAAAGCAATTACATGAGAATTAAGTTTTTGTTGAAGATAAAGAAAAAGAAGTTGAATTAAATATTTAAAGTTATAATGTAAATCTGGATAAAATATAAATGTTGAAACCTTCAGTTAACGAGGAATATGATGGAGAAGCTTCAAGAAAGATAAATAATGATTTGAATTTCATCTATTGTAAATCTGATATTTAAAAAATGTTAACATAATTAATTTATTTTATAAGAAAAAAGGCAGTCAAGAATGTCTAAAGAAGACCTATCTTTTATCAAAGAAGCTGTTTAATAACTTAAAATGTAAGATAATGATATTTAAGAACTAGCTAAAAAAACGTTTTAGTCCAAATAAAGTTTTATCAAAAAAAGATCTGTTTCTGAAAAATAAGATCGAAGTTTATCAAATTAAAATAAGAAACCTTAATATTATAATAAATGGTATATCCCACCCTAATGTTGGCACATTAAAAAAAATGATGAATCAAACAAATCAAATTTAATCTAAAACCTATCCAAGAATCCAGATTATATTTATCAAAATATGTATACTTATAAAAAAGATAATCCTTTTTCTCTAGATAAAATAGATAATGATCCTAGATATATTAAATTGCAGTTACTATAAACCCAAGTGATGAAAAATTAGATGGCTAAAAAGCTGAAAAAGTAATTTTTTTTGTTTTTTTGTTTCAATAATTTAATAAAAAATAAAACTTGAAAAAGACATTTAGAAGATAGTCAAATGAGAATTCCAAATTACTTAAAAGTAATCAATACAAAAATAGACTATTTATGAAATAAATCATTTTATCTATATTCATTTAGCTTTATATTTATGTTTTAATATGTATTTGCCATTCTTAAAATTAATTTGTGTCCATTCAAAATAAAACAAACAAAAAATAAATAAATTAATTAATTAATTAAAAGGTTTTTTAATAAACATTAAATTATTTGTGTTTCAAAAAAACTAAAGATGAATAGTAAAAATTAGACTTAAAGTCACCACTTTTTATCCGTTCCTAGATGTAAAATTTTTAATTATTTTAAAAAGCTATATTTCATACTTTTAATCAGAAAATGTAAAGCTTGATCCAATTCAGATGAGTCCACTAACATCAACATTGAAAAGAAAGGAAATGACAGAAAAAGAATTGAAGAGAAAAGAAAAATAGGAAGAATATAGATCTGCAATGAATAATTAGAGCGAAGGAGTTTGGAGTTTAATTAATGGAATGAATACAAAAGTATAAAAAATAGATAGTCTGGTAAACTAGTATTAAGACCAAATGGAATATGTAAACTCAAATGGTATATAATAGTACTTAAAAAAAGCCTACGTTTTTTACAAAAACGATGATCCCTTTGATCCTAGTGATCCTCTGGGATAAAGGACTTATGCTAATTAATATATTTACAGAAAAAAGCTACCAACTAGTTTTTACTACATAGAAAGATAAAAAATAAGAGAAAGAATTCAACTGAATACCTAAATGTAGTTTTTTCATCCTGAGTGGTTTGAGCATAAAAAGCAAAAAAATAGATAGAGATAAGATATTGATTATTTAAAGCTATTAGCTTAACGTAAAGAAATAGTGCAAAAAGAGCCAGCTCCTAAACACATACCTCTTAATTTAAATGCAATGTCTTCAAATAGAAAAGCCGTCCTTGATGAATTCTATTCTAAAGATACTCCTAACAAAGTTCAAAAAATCTGCGAGTTATAAAAAAAACTTATTCCAGAGTAGGACATAGAAAGAATAGAATAATTAAGTAAAATATTAAATAAATATAATTTGTTGTATAGTTATTATTTTATTTAATAACGCTAAATTATTTTAAAATAGAAAAAATCCACGAATAGGAATTGCTTAATATACAAAGTTATAAAAAAATATAGACTTATAATTACCTTTGAAGCAATAAATAACATATGATTGTAATTAAAATTTAAAAGTGATTTTAGCTATTAATCCAAAGAGAGAGTATCTCATGAATTATTTTAGTTGAAGAACAAAAGTTATATACAAATTTAAAGTTATTTATAAATAATAAATATATAAATGATAATTTTGTTTGATAAACGATAACTAATTATTCAGTATGGCTTATAAAATTGCTGATTTGATATTCTATTCATATCTTCTATGTGATTCTTTACATGATTTAAACGATCTCTATGGTGGTCAAGATCTGTTTTTATAACATCTGCAACAGTATAAAAATTTCCAGTATTTTAGATAGCTCCCTAAGTATTGTAGTTATTTGTTTGTATACCTTGGTAACTATTATTAGGCTAAATGTTAGGAGCAGAGTAATTTAGTGCTTAACTTCTTAAATTTTAATTAAGACTACCTAAAGTACCTACATTGCCTTATGTATTGTATTGATTAATTAAACCACTTAACTAAGTGTTATGCTAGTTCATTATTTAAATATCTTAATCCCTCTTTTTTTCTAAAATCTTTTCACTAAGCAGTTTCATAATTTTCTAATTTGCCTCTTTTAATTTTTCCTTGAGCTATTTATTCTTTCTAGTAAGAGATTCTACTTCCTGTTTGTTTCACCATTTTAAAAATTATTTAAAATTAAAAAATTAATTGAAAATTTACTTTAAGAGAAGATAAATCTTTAGCATTATTTGAAAAATTCCTAATTTCTTTAGGGAAACCTGATTAATTTTATAATTATCTAATCTAATCTGTTAAAGAATCCTTTTCTCTATCCAAATCCTTAACTTTATTCTAAAGATCCAAGACCTTTCTTTTTTCATCTGATAATTTGTCTGAGCTTTCTGAAATAAATTTTTGATATTCATTTTGTAAATCCCTTTTCTCTCTTCTCAATTTATCTATTTAATCTTCCATTTTCTTTTCTGCTTGTCTATTTATCTATATTTCCTCTTCAAATTTTTATTTTTATTCTTATATTTTAGCCTATAAATTTTTGATTAAGTATTCATTATCTCTGAGTTGATGTAACTCTCCTCCTTGCTAATTTAAGATAAATAAATTTTTAATTTATTAAATTATTTTTAATGAATTTAATTTACATAGTCAATATATCTTTTTGGAGATAAGTCACTACCCTTTTGGTTAGGTGACTGCTACTATTTTTAATATTAATGCTTTATCTCGTTTTCCAAATCTGAAATATGATCCTACTACTTCTCATTTTCAGTCTTAGATTATCTGATTTGTTCTTTTAATTCTGAAATTTCCTCAACAAATTTTTAAATCTAATCTGATTTATCTTATTTCTCTTAATCCTATTTAGATTTATAATTCATAAATAAATAAATATAATATTTGTAAATTCAAAAATATTACTATTAACTTCTTCAAATTAAAAATATCTTCATCTTTTAATAGCAATTATGCTCTTAATTCTTCTGCCTCCTTTTTAAACATTTTTGCCTATTATTTCTCTTTTTAAGTTTCTATTGTCTTTTCTTAGTTGATTTAAAGTTCAAGCATCATATCTTTTAATTCAATCTGTTTAAAATTTGAAATTAAATTACTATTTTATACTTTAATTTAAAATATTTTCAAATTAAATATGAACTAATTTATTTTTTATACACTATAAATTTTAAAAAATAACGGACCTTGTGCTTTTCTTTTAATTCACGTATATCTCTCTGCGCCTCAGCAGTTATAACTTCATATTTTGTTTTAAATAACTCCAACTACCTTTTTAGATCATAATGTTTTTCTTGTAATCTTTCTATTTCTAGCTACTTTGCTTCTAACTCAATTCTATGAGGAGCTTCAAGCTCATTTAACAGCCTAACTCTAATCATATCTTGATCTAGAGAAGGAAGAACTTTTGCTTAAATATACTCTATTTCTCTTTACTTTTCTTCTATCTAGTTTTTTAAGTTTTTGACTACTTATTCATAATGATTTTCTATATCGTTTTTTTCATTTATAACAACTTAAATTCTTTAAACTTATTCTGACTTTTCATCTTTTAGTTTTTAATAGTGTTGCTTAAAGTCTTCATGAATGTTTTTTAAAGTTTCATAATCATCTGTTATTTTAAAGTGAATATAATGAAATATGTAATAAATAGAAATAACTTATTTATAAATGATTGTGAGATAAACTTAAAAACATAAAATTTAAATAAAAACATAAGCTGCAGTTTACCAATAGTCCTATCTAAAGTATTCTTAAGTTACTTAAGAGCCTTTTTTAAATCTTTATTCTCCTAGATTATATGATCTACTCCGCCTTCTGATTATTCTAGCATCATTTATTTAATCTATATTGATTTTAATTAATTATTTTATATTGAAAAATAAGTTGATTGGATCAAAAATAGTTAATAATAATTTCAAATTTACTACCTAACTACAAACAAATTTCCATAAGTATATTCATTCATTCATTCACTTTTAAAAGTAGATATTTCTTGAAAATTCAAAACTGATTTTTTGAAATAAAATTAATAAATCTTAAAATAAATAAATAAATAAATATCTTCAACACTTTCAGCACTGAATCAAAATAAATAAATCAGATAATGTTAAAATAAAATTATTTTTTTTAATTTATCATAAAATTAATCAAACCAAAAATTAAATTCGAAATATGTTTAAAAAAATATTGAAAAATATTATTTTTTTATTTTATTTTGATAAAATGATAAATAAATAATTTTCTTAAATATTTTAGTAAATTATGTAGTTGAGAAATTAGCTGTTTTAATTTGAATTATTAGCTATAAAAGTGTAAATTAAATAATTTTATAATTAAATTTCAATAAACTTATACCAAATGAAAATATTAGTGTAACCAATATGTTTAACTTTAAAGTTATTCAATTTTTTTATTTCAGAAAATATCAGATTTAAATTAAAAACACGTTTAAGGTAATAACTTAAAATTGATGATTAAATACGAACAAAAACATTTACATGTAAATGGATTAAACGCCATCTTTTTATCTTATATTTTTTGTAATATTTATTTATTTTTTGCTTAATAATAATATAAATAAATATAATTAATTATTTATAAGTAACCAAAATATAAATAAATAAAAAAATAATTCCTATCGAATTCTGTATAATATTATAAGAAGATCTGAATAAATAATTTAGCGTCTATTTTTTTGTATCTTCTAAATTTTATTTAAAAAATTATTCAGATGGATTTTAATCAATAAAAATAGGATAAAATCATAAATTTTTGAAGAAAATATACATATTAATCAAAAACTAAAGCAAAATTAACAATGAAAACTGATGTAAGAACACAATAAACTGGCCAGAATAGCTCTAATTTGTTTAAATAATAGCTTTTTAATACAAAATAAAAATCCAAATTGCATTAAAATAGAGCAAATTTAAAACCTATGCATTATATTCACCCTAATCCAATTTTTTGAAAAAGAAAGATTAGTTTTTTTTTAATATAATTTTTAATACCAATCCTTATTAAATAATTATTCGCTCCTTAAATGCACATTCTAATTATTTAATTATTTAATTTTCCTTAATTTATTAATCTAAAAAAAAGTAAAAGTAAGTAGCGATAGGATATTTGGGAAAGTAAAACATGGTAATTAAGGAGATAGAAGATAAGAATTAGTCTTATTTTCCATACATGCCAGTAGCAGTATGTAAATACATTTTGATAGGATGATTTTAAATAAATCCATACTTCAATTGAAAATTATACGCTTTAAGCAGATAGATATAGTTCTATTTTTTATAAAATTTAGTTTTCATATTTGCGAAATATATACTAGAGTAGATTTTAAATCTAAGATAGCTTTCTAGGTACATAAAGGCAGTAAATACTTCGCTTTAATTGATATCAGCTAAATAAATCTAACCTAATGATTTAAAATTATAAATAGATTAAAAAAATGCCTTCAGATGTAAGATCTTTAGGAATAGATCCAGATCAATATAAGAGAGCTATGTAGTATGCGTTCGATAAATTGTAAAGAAATTTTATGATTTATCATAAAAAGTTACTCAAACACATGTATTTTTTTATTTGAATTAGAGCATTTTAAATGTATGTTTACTCTGTTAAAACTGGTCTTGAATGCATCTTCTCCCTAACTTATGTTATGCCATTAGTTTGGAACGGTGTAACTAAACTTTTCCCTATTATAGAGCCAACAAGCGAAGTAATTAATAATTTGTAGTTTTATCTTAACATAATAATTTTAATACAAATTAAACACATAAATAAATACAATAACTAAAAGTTAAAATCAAATATTTAAATTTATTTATTTATTAATTCTAACTGGTCTATTTTGCATTTTAAAATATTTTTTAATTAATTAATTTATCTATCTATTTTAAATAGTTTTAAAGAGGTTTTATGTTTCTCTTAATTGAAGCTCTTAAATCAAAATTTATAGATGTGCCTATAGCTCTATATGAAACATTTGTAATAGAAGAAAAATATGGCTTTAATAAAAAGACTCTTTTCCTATTTTTTAACGATTTAGTGATAGAAGCAGGTTTGAGTGTTATTATCATACCAACTATTCTTTATGGATATATTTATGTAGTAGATAAAACAGAATCTAATGAGTGGTTCTTTTTTAATGTAAATTCAAAATTTTTTTCAGTATTTTCAGTATTTTTAGTTTTAGTGTTTTATTAATCTTTATTTAATCTTATAAAATAAAACTTTTTTTTGCTTAATAAAATTCATGTTAAATAATATATATAGGTAGAAATATTTATTATATTGTTTATGCTGGCATATATCACTATAAACCCTAATTTTATAGCTCCGGCATTTAACAAGTTTGAGGAATTAGAAGATGGAGAATTAAAACAAGAAATAAATGAGCTAGCCATCAGCATTAATTTTCCTTTGAAAGATATCCTTAAAATGGATGGGTCTCGACGCTCAGAGCACTCTAATGCATATTTCTATGGACTTTGGAATAACAAGAGAATAGTCCTATTCGACACTCTTTTAAATTAAATGTCTTAAAACGAAATAATGTCTGTAGTTGGTCATGAATTAGGACACTGGAAGCATTCTCATTCCAAAATTAAATTTTTAATCTATTGTTTGAGAATAATAATAATTTTTTCACTATTTTCTTTTTTCAGAAACAGTGATTCAATATTTCTTAGCTTTGGATTTACTGATAAATCTACTTTTATAGGCACAACACTGTTTTTTAATTTATTTTCACCTATAAACTCAGTAATTGAAATAATAGATTTAGTAATCTCCCGCTATTTTGAGTTTTAAGCAGATACTTTTGCATGCAATTTAGGATATGGTTATTATTTAATGAGTGGTCTAACTAAAATATAAAAAGAAGATGTGTCTACTCTTAATCCTGATCCTTGGTAAGTTTTCATTTGTATTAAAACTAATTTTCTAAATTATTAATTTTAAATCAAATTTGTTAAATTTTTTTTTTATTTTAATGAATAATTTAAATTAAAACATATTTATTTTATTAATTTAATTATTTTATATTGAAGCTTTTATTGTATTTAATTTAAGGTATGCTTGGTTCAAACATTCTCATCCTGGATTATTTGAAAGATTAAAACGTATTAAACAGACATTATTTTAAATTGAAAAACAAAACGGTTTAGAAAATTAATAAATTTAAGAGAAAATATAAAATTTTCTTGAGGAATATGTAAGTATAAATGGAAGAAATCATCAAAATATAGATAATAGTAATAATAGGCATTATATAAATTCCCCTAATAATACTAATAATAATAATAGTAATAATAGAAGATAACTTGGTTCATAATATTAAGGATTCTTAAGGGAGCATGCAAATTCATAAAACTAAATAAATGGATTTTAAAGTAGGAATCCAATTTATCATGCTCTAGATAGGAATGGGAGTAACAGTTTAAATAGTTCTATGCAGTAATTTCCTATCACTTAGTAATAAAATAATTAAAATGAGATAGATAGTAATAGCAACCAAATAGGTTATCAGCAAGCATTAAATAATACACTTATTTAAAATTTTGCCAATCCAAATACAAATAGTGGATTTAATTTAAATCTGTTGTTTAATTATGAGCAATAATAAAATTAATAGCTGATTTAATAATAGCTTTAAATGCAATAAATGTAGCAGTAGCTTGTATCTGATTTATTAAATTAGTGGACTAATTAATAGTATCTCTTACAATAGCAATAACAATAAGGAGTCAATAGTGGATTGCAGCTAAATTTAGGATCTATTGCTCAGTAGTAACAATAATAATAATAACATTAGTAATAGAATGTACTAAGAAATAATTAACAGCTTTCAAATAGCAGTAGTTCTTACTTAATTACAAATCGCAAGGTTTACAAACACTCGATATCTAATATCGAATCTCTTGATTCTAGAGATTACAGCAGTAGTGTTGATATCAATCATCCCAATAAAAAGTTATATAAAGAGGATGTGTATCTTTTTGGCTCATAAATACCTTCAAATGATATTAGAAAAAGATAAGTTTTGCAATAAAATTAATCTAGACCTCAGTCTCCTCCAGAATTTTAAAATAATAATAATTTCAATAACAATATTTTTAATAATAATATAAGCAATGGCTTTCACAATTCACCAAACCAATAAGTAATAAATTCTGATTAAAATAAAGAACATTACCAAAATGGTATAAATTATTCTCCTACCTTTAATGGTAATTAGAAAAAATAAGGATACCAAAAAAATGGAACATCTCTAGATAATAATAAATTCTCATAAAATAATAATCGTTCATCAAAGATAAACTAATATTAAGTAATGAATGGAAATGGCAACTAATGAGATATTAACCTTATTATTATTAGTTGATATTTAAATCTAATATTTTCTTACTTTCTCAAAAATTTGCTATTTCAATTTCAAAAAATTTTATAATTTAGACTAAAATTTATTTATTTAGTTAGATAGTTAGTTAGTTAATTCTTTGAGTAATTTAGTTTCAAAGTTGAAACGAAAAATAAATCAGATTTATTTTTAAATTAAACAAGTTATATTTTAAAATCTTTAATATTTAAAATCTATATTTTCTTAATAATTTTTATTTCAAAATCGTATTGTTTATTTTATTTTATTTAATACAAGCTTCAATAAAATTAACTCAAAATTCACCAATAAAAATGAAAAAAAATAGATTAGTGTACAGATTTGATATTCATTCTATATACTTTTCATTATCAATTGATCTCACTTCTTAATTTAGTTCCAATCTGCTAAAAAAATTTAATTAGATTTTTTCTATATTTTTATCTCCTAAATATCATATTAATAAGTAAATTATAATAAATTTTATTAATTTCTTTTGAAGATATATCTTTTAGATAATTAAATCAAGCTTTTAAATATTAATATATAAATATAATATTTGCAATTATTCATAAAAACTAATTCATTTTTATTTTCATAAAATATACTTCATCCTAAATTAGATTTGTATTTATGTTCAAATTAGTTCTATATATTTATATAGCATAGCTTGTATTTAAAATAGGATTGTACTTCATTTTTAATTTTATTTATAGTAAAATCATACTATTTTTGATATATTTTGATACATGATAGATTGATATAATAATCCACAAGCAATTTATTGATGCATCGATTATTATAATATCTAACAAAATTTGATTATATTCATTATAATTTATTACAATAATCAACTAATAAAAAATATTTATTCAACTTTTAACTTTTTACTATTTTGAAATATTTTGTTTGAATATTTATTTTTGTTTGTTCTATTAGGTAATTTCTATTATATTTTATAAAATAAGTGATGCTAATTAAATGTCATATTTAGGGATTTTAACCTTTATATTTTTAAATATTTAGTTAAGCATATGTTGTCTTAATAAAATATGTATGAATAGTTTAACGCACATATTAAGAATAGCATCAAATAAATTGACCGTAATTGAAATTTGAATGGCTGACTGTAATTGAAATTTTAATGACTTAAAAAAAATTAGATGATGGAAATATACGCAAACAAAGTATGACAAATCATATGTATACTTAAAGTTATAAATTTATCTATAACAGCTTAATTAATAATTTATCATATGGCTTGATTTTTGTGATAATTGATGAGTATTTGCAATTGTAAATTAGTAATTTTCATCACAAATATATCTCTTTATTAGATTAAATTAAGTTGAACGTGTAGGAAATTTAGATTGAAGTTTTTACGCAATTAAATTTACAAATTCATCAAATCATTATATATGTAATTAAGACTAATAGGATACTTTAATTAAAATATTGCGCATTAAGTAGCTATTGAAAGACCTACATAATTATAAAAATAGTACTATATATACAATACTCCAAAATACTTAAGTTCTTATTTCATATTTTCAACTTAAAGCCAAAAATGGTAGATAATTCATCTAACTTCTTTCAACTTACGTTTATTTTTTCTATTTGCAGTAATCAATAAGTTAATCAAATATAAATTTAGCCAAACATAAAGATTAGAATATTATTTTTTCAATTAAATAAATTAAAGTATACAAAATAAAATAGTGTTGCATTCAACTCTAAAAATATTAAGAATTATCGTCATTCGAATGCAATTAAAAATTTTTATTTCAAGTGATTCTAAATTTCTCAGAATTTTACAGACTGCAACAAACAATATATATTTGATGTAATACCGAAATAAAGTGATGTATTATTAATAGTACGAAATTTTAATCTGAATTATATATTAGGGCATAATATATCTAGTGATGATTTTTATATTACTAATATTGTACAACTAACTAGTTTATTTTAATACTCTGAATGACTTAAACTGAAATATCTTATAAACAATATTTTATAAATAAAAACATAAATAATTTTCTATTAAAAATAGATTAAGCAAGCTTCATAATCCATATAAAATAAGTATAAATTACTTCTACCTTCCTAGGATTTATTATTTATATTACTTTAAACAATTATAATAATAGAAATGAAAAGATTCACTAAAGTAGCTATCTTAGGTAATGGTGCTTTCGGTACTGCTCTTGCCCATGCAGCATCTTTTAATCCCTACAACAAGGTTATGATGTATGCTAGAGATCCTGAAGTTGCTCAACACATCAATGATAAAAAACGTAATCCTAAATTCTTCTCAGATATTGAGTTAAATGGAAATATCACTGCTTCATCTAGCTTTAAAGAGGTTGTTCAAGATGCTGCCTTTATCTTATCTTGTATTCCTACTTAATAAACAATGGTTGTCTTAAGAGAAAATAGGGAACACATTAACTTAGAAACACCTTTTGTTTCATGCTCAAAGGGTATGCTTGTTGAATCTGAAAAATTCATTTCTGAAGCAGTCAATGAAATGTTTGAGGGAAAGCTTAAGTATTGTGTTCTTTCAGGACCTAGTTTTGCTAAGGAAATCCTCTAAAATATGCCTACATTAGTCGTAGTAGCTTCCAATGACATTAAGAATGCCTAAGTTGTTTAAGAAAGTCTTTCTCATGGTGCCTTTAAAGTCTATACAAATGATGATGTTATTGGTGTTGAAATAGCAGGTGCTCTTAAAAACGTATTTGCTATTGGTGCTGGTTTTATTGAAGGTAGTGATTTTGGTATTAATACTACCACTGCTTTCATTGTCAGAGGTACAGCTGAAATCCAAAAGTTTGCAAGTAAAAAATAGCATTTATTAAATTTCTTCATTTTGTTATAAATAAAGATTAGAATTTATTCAAAAAAAATTAAGATTAGGTTAAAAGCACAAAAGTTAATATAATTAATGCAAATCCAACAAAAAATAAAAATTTTTATTAAATCAAAATAAATTTTAGTGTTTTTTAATTAAGTAAACATACTCTAGAAATAAAATAGAAAGTTATCTAGCTATTGGTCCAAATTAATCACTTTTTATTAATAGTATTTGATAAAAACCAGTTAGATATTTAATTTTTAGCAAATAAAAAGGCAAATTTATAAATTTAATAAAAAACATAATTTTTTTATATTTTTTGATAGAGATGTGTTTTATAAATTTATATTTATTAGCATCTAATTTAAATTATTTTATTGTTATCAAAAGAAACTTATGGAGCTAGAGATGAAACTTTCTACGGCCTTGCTGGTATTGGTGATTTGATGTTAACAAGTTTTGGTAGCTTATCTAGAAATAGAACTTGTGGTTATAGACTTGGTAAGGGTGAATCATTGGAAGATATTGTTAAAAGTAGCACTGGTGTTGTTGAAGGTATTCCTACTTTAGATGTTGTTTATAAATATGCTAAAAAGAATAACTTAGATATGCCCATTACATTTACTATCTATGATTTATTACATGGTTAAATTTCTTTATAATCTGCTGTCAAGAGATTAATGACAGTTAACTTAGGTACTGAATTCCCATAAAATTATGCAAAACAAGAATGGAAATAACATTTTTGAAAGAGAAAATAATTGGTTTTAAAAAAAGATATTTATTTTTACTAAAATTTGTAAAGTAGTCATTTATTAAATGTATTTTGTAATATTACTACCTTCAATTATTTTTATCATCATTTCAAAAAAAAATTTTCATGTTACATCATTAAGTAAAAAACATTATTAGATATTAATATTTATTACTTAAAAAATAATAATAAATAATATTTGACTTTTAAAATTTTTAAATTACATACTAATTGTGTTAATTGACCAATAATAATTGTCAGATTGTAATTTTAAGTAATACGAACTCATTTTTTTTGGGATAATTTTAGTTAATTAATTTAAACATTTTAATGGCTTAATTAGGGGTGAATTCAAAATAATTGATTAAATAGTTAATTTATTTTGCTTTGCAAATTTAAGAAAAACTAACTAATTAAAAAAATTTCATAAATATTAACCCTCATAATTTAATTTCAAAAAAATTATTAAAATAAAATATATTCATAAAAATTGAGTTTATTTGTTTTAGCTTCAGTTATTTAATTTACTTTTGAAATTTTATATATTTATTTATTCATTTATCGTGCTTTAAAAATATCAATTTAATTTATTTTATACGTTTGAAATTTTTTTTCATTTTTAAAAGTAATTAATTTAAACACAAAATAATTTTTATTAAGAATAAATGATTCATAATGTAAAGTATAAATTGAAATTTAATCTTAAAAATTTATTACAAATATTTTAATTTTTTAAAATTATTTATCAAATTTAATTTTAAATTAAGTTTATTTTACACACTTTTGAAAAATATTTTTAAAGAATTCTAATTTTAGGGATTGGTTTTGTTTGTAATAAAATTCTTCTAGTTTATTTTGGTATTTACTATTTTCTAATTTACCTTTTTTAGCTAATTAATAAAAATAGCTAAAAACTATTTTTTAACATGAATTATTAAGATAACAATTAAGACTTATAAAGCACTTTGTAAATAGATAGTGCAAGACTTTAAAATTATTCTTCAATTTTAGAGAAGGCGGATAAGTAAAATGAAGATATTAGCCACGAAAGTAACCTATAAAAAACAATTTAAGAATAAAATAGTTAGAATTTAACTGTAAAAGTGATTGGGGGAGATAATAATTTATCTAAGAACAAGCACAGAAAATTATAATCTTCCCTTTTACCCCCAAGTAAAATGATGTGCATAAGTAATAATATTTTAGAAAACAGTGGTAAAATATCTTTGACCTTAATTTAGATTTATCAAGCTTTATTTATATTTATTGAATAGTATTTCCTGTTATTGCAGATGAAAATTTAGATCCTGATGATCTCAACAAAAAAATAAACTATGGAGTAACTGGTAATTTTGGAATAAATAAAATATTTGGAAATAAAATACATTATAATTGTAGATAATATCAGTAAAATGGATGCAAAGATGGTGAAGATTATTTAATCGAAAATGAATTTAGAAAACATGAAGAAAAAATAGATGTAATATTAGTAAGGAGTATAGAAATAAATAGATGAAAAGTTAATAAAGTAATAAAAATAAAGAAATATTTTTCTTGATCATAGAATCAAAAACTGTAGAGATAGATCTAAAAAATGGTAGGAGAGAAAAGAAAATCATCAAAAATTTTTAGTTGAAAAAGAATTTCTAAAACAAATTATGCAAGACGAATATCTTTAAACTTAATAAGAATTTTGGCAAAAAAAAGATGCAGTTAATTCTTAATCTTAATATTTTAGTTTAGCTTAACAAAATCTTAATAAATCCACTCAATTTCTTTAACGGAATAGTATAAATATAAATAATAACCAATTATAAATACCACAAAAAGATGCTTATAGGCCAGTAATACTTTAATTGCTTCTATCTTACTTTAATACTTTACTTAAATAAAAAAACTCTTTGATATTAATTTTTTTTAATGATAAAATATTTTAAGGACACAGCAAATACAGCATTTAGCAATATTAATAATCTAAATTAATAATACCATTTTAAATAAAAAATCGTTGATAAGCAACAGGAGAGAAATGAATAAATCAAAAGTTTAAATTTGGTTGGTGATAGAATAGGTTCTAATAGATCTTAAACTGCTTCAACAAATTAAAGAACATCAAGTCATAATAAATCTATTGCTTCTAATTCTTTCTATAATGCTCTTTCTAGTAATGTAAGATAGTTGCACACATCAAACCATTAAAAAAGAGATTTATCTTTGCAATCAAATTAATTATTTGAATAGCCTAAAACTTTACTTAACAATGTTATGATTTCAGATTCAAGCATTACTAGAGAATCTTAGAATTTTGATTTTAAATCTAAATCTATTAATAAAATGGAAGAGCAATAAAACGAATCTTCTGCTATGCTCCATAATAGTAATTTATTATCTGAAATTAAGATCTAGAGAGATTTTTATATTGCAGATCCATATACGAGATCAATCATTCAAGTAAAGCTTTAATTAAAGCTCACTATTTAACTAACTTATATTTTATTTAGGAATCTTTCACTTAGCCACCAGTAAAAAAGAATTTGTCTTTGGATTAAAACTCGATTAATAATGATTTCACACTTAAATAAATTACCCCATAATCAGGCTTATACACAAAATAGCGTTACTCAAATTATCTAAGGAATCCTACTATTACAAATAATTATCTTATTACTCCATAAAGCATTAATTAATAATAAAACTCTACAAAATTTCAAAGCGTTTCTCCTGTTAATAGCCATTTTTCTATAAAGAAATAAGACCAAAAGTTGAGTTATGATAAAAGAAGATATTAATGTTTAAATAAAATATATTAAAGCAAAGTAAACCAAGTAAATAAGAAATTATTTTAATCAATTTTTTCTTTATTATTATTTTAACTAAAAGCTTAATTAAGATGAGGTGTTTACTGAAAAAATGAGAAAATAAAAATTACAAGATTTAGTTAGAAGAAAGATAAATAATAATTTTCCTGGAAATTATAAATTAAAAATAAATTTCTCTTTAGTTGAAAAATTAAATGAGTAAGATGATGATGAAAATAAATAAGATTTATCTTTATAACAAACTTTATACTAATAAAATTCTTTAAACATAAATTACTAATAATAAAATGAAAGTACTTGGAATACCTAATCTCACTAAATTTATAGTAGAAAAGGGTAAAAATAATACTATGATAATCATAATTTATAGCATGATGATCCTTCAAGTGATGAAGATGGAGAAGATATTATTAAATATATTAAAAATTTATGAAGCTGTGCATATATTTTTCAAATTATTCATTGCATATGATTCAAAATTATGAATAAACCTTTTTTAATCAATAAAATATTTTTTTTATGATTTATTTAATAAGTTTAAAAATATTTTTGTTTTTGAGTATTAAAAGTTATAAAATCTTAATTGTTAAGTTAACTAGCATTTACTTTTTAAATTTAAATAAAAATATAAATATTAAGTTTAATTTGTAAATTTTATGTTTAACTAATATACAAAATTAAAATATTGATTTAAAAATGTATTATTTTTAATTTTATTTATATTATTTCAAATAAAATTTTAATTAAGATAAATGTTTAGCTTTTTAAATTTTATCTACATGTTTCAATATTAATTTTAATTTAATTAATTTAATTGATGAGCAAATTAAAATATTATTTTGAGCTTTAATTGTACTAATTAGAAGCTAAGATTCATTTTTTATTTTTGAATTAATTTATAAAATATTTACACTTATAAATATTAAAAAATTAGTAGATTTACAAAGATAAATGTATTGTTTTAATTAAATTTTTATTTATTGAATTGTTTATTATTTATTTTAATCTAGTATCAATATTTTTATTTTTAACATCATTCCACAATGCTAGTGTTAACTATTGTATCTATTTATCCGTTTAATTATAGTAACAATTTTTATGTCAAAATTTCTTCGTCAAGTATATCAACCATGCTTTCCAAGTACTTACCACTTTCATAAGTGTATTGTTCTTTATTTAATAAAAAATATATATGAGCCTAAAATAAAAAATAAGTATTTTTATATATTTACCAAACATAAGGTTCAACATGTGAATAGCGACATCTTAAAATTTAGGGTTTGCAATTTTTTTGGCTATAAACTCAAAAACTATACTCAATTAAGACTATTAATTTAAGATAGATTAAAGATAAAAACTATTATTTTAAAGAATTTATTTACATCATCTAAATTTTTAAAAGCATTTATTATTTCACCCCTTTGAATTAATTCTTCATATAATCCAATAACAACGTCATTTTAACGATTTTCTAAAGCGTGCATCATGGCGGTTTTATATTGGAATTTTTTAAGAAGCTTATCGTACTTGCTTATTTTTTTAATTCTTTTTTCTTCATACTTTACATCATATTAGGTAGGCTTATCATACATACCTCTGCTAAAATATTAAAAATTATGCACTCTTCTTTATGCTGCTTCGTTATATTTTAAAAAGTCAGGAATTTATAAACCTAAATCTTCCTTATCATCTTTTTCTTCATCAGAATCAACTTATTCTCCTAACTTTTTTTAATTGCTTCTTATCTCTAATACACCATCTCTGTTTTAAATGAAAAATATTATTAAATAAACAGATAAATAAGTTTTTATTAATTTCATACGCCATACCAACAGCAAAACATTTTGTGTTTTAAGTCATATCGAAACTAAGAACTGGAGAAGGGAACTTAAATTGATGAGTAATCTAGTAAGTATCTGTTCTATATATTTTCATACTTTAATCGATTGAAGAAGTTATCAATCTATCACCATTACTTATAAATTTGGCACAAGTTATAGTCTTTAAATTATGATTTAGTGTTTCGATAGCATTACCTGTTCTTAAATCCCAAATATTAACTGAAGTTCCACCAACAGTTGCAAAAGAAAAACCAGAAGGAATAATTGTAGTATCTTCTATAGAAACTCCGTGATTGAATTAACGAATAGGTTTCTGAAATATATTTATTATTTAATTTTGAAAACATTAAATTATTTTAAAGAGTTTATTACCTTAGATTTATCTCTAAAATCAAATAGGTTTGCAAAGCCATCATAACCACCAGATATAACATTTCTATCACTATTTGGAACAGAAACTATACTTCTGACATAATCACTATGAGCATTCACGTATGTTCTAACTACTTCATTTGATGCTATATCATAGAGTTTAATTTGCTTTTTTTAGTCATTATGAATTAATTATTTTCATATGTAATTCATATTTATATTTTACATAATCATCTGATCCTGAATACATATAAGACTCTCCACCAATAAAGTCCATAGCGTTTACTGCTTTCTTGTGAGCATTGAATTCTCTAAGCAATGTTTTCTTTGAGACTTCCCATATCTAAATAAATTGAAAGAAAATTTAATATCTTATTCGATATAAATTAATCTGTTTACTTTAATTTTACCATTTGCTTCAGCAGTAGCCATCATTTTTCCTTTAAAATTAAAATTTGTATTAGAAATTATTTTTTTATGAAAATTGCTAAATGTTCTTCTACTAAACAAAAGGCATAATTCTAATATTAAATACCTTCTTTTCTAAAGCAAATTCCAGTAACTTTATCTTAAAATCTTTCTATTTATTATTTAATCTCTTCCTTCTTTGAATTATAAACATAAACCTAAATTTTTTAATAAAGTAGAAGATTAATATTCTGTACACTATTTTCAAGACATTAATTTTATTGTAGAAATAACATCTTACAATTCTTCCTTCAGTAAAGGCAATTAACTCAGAATCATTTCCACCTGAATATACTTTATTAATGGCATTTACATAAGTCTTGGAACTTTCAACCTATTTTCAAAGAAATAAATTAGATGCTTTTATATGATATTCTAATTATATAATTAATCATATATCAATCAATTAGTAGTAAAGAATATGAAATGATATATCACCTTAAACTTCTTCCAGTATTTGTTTTCTGGAGTATCACTAATAGCTTTCTTAGCAAACCTAATTAATTTAAATATATTTCAGTTGATTTAATGATGGCTTATGAATAATTAATCACTTTTTGACTTGTAAAGGCTTATAATTTGATGATGACATATTTATATTTTTTATTATAATTTATTTTATTTTTCACACTAATTTTACTCTTGGATACAAAATTAATTAATTTTTTTAATAATTTTAATAGATAACACTAATAATTGACTAAGAAGAATTATCAATTTTAAAGCTATACTAATATATCTAATGTTCCTTCATATTACTTACTTAAAATGTTACTTATATATTTTTGATATGTTCTACATAAATAAATAAAGATTTATTCATTCATTTTTATTTAGAAATTAGATTTAATTTTAATTAAAATAAATTATTTAAAATATTTTTATTTTAAAAACAAATTTAATATGAATTTTATTATTTTTTTTACATTAGAAAATAAATTAATTTATCAATTTTAATTTTTTTTATTAATATTTTTTGGCAATATTCGAATATCTTATTTATCGTAAATTAGTAATTTGCTTCTATGTACTTTGTATTTAAAGGTTTATCTTCATTTAATCAACGAATTTGGTATTAGCTATCCTTTAAATTTATTGAAATATTGTTAAAAATTAAATCCTTAAATTATATAAAAGAGTACAAATTACTTTAGAGGAAGAGCGACCTCTTTCTTCATCATCAAGAAGTTTCTTCTCATCTTCTTCAACTTTATCCCTACAGCAGCATTATATAAAAATATAAAGAATGCCTGTAGCTAGTAAGAAGATAGCAATAATAATAGATACATACTTCATAAGATCACCTCCACTTAAATTACCAGTAACCATTGTAGATAGGTAAATAATGAAAATACCTCTACCTATGTAATTAGATAAGAACCTAAGGTTGTCAATAATAAATTTAACTTTTAGTTCTGAGAGTAACAATATAATTCCAAAAAGAATCATATAAGCAGGCTAAAACACAAGCCATGGTTAATCGATACTTAATGAAAGATTGAAGTATCTAAATACACCAAATACCATTAATACTATTGAAACTATTATGTTAAAAATTTTTAAAGTTTGTTTCAAGCCAGAACCTCTCTAATCTCCTCCCATATTTATTTAATTACTCTAAAGTTATTTATTTTACCTTTAATTTTCTTAATCAATTATAAATTACTAATTTATATTAAAAAAGTATAATCAATTTTTTGATGATTTTTAAGAGATAAAAAGATAGATAAATATCCATTCCAAAACTTTAAATCATTAAAATTTGTTTATGTCATAGACCTACCTGATGATCTATCTAATCAGCAATCAAATTGATTACTTAATTATAATCACAAAAAATATCTTTAAAAATTTGAAATTTTGAATAACTTTATCAATAGCACACACATTTTATATTTTTAGTAAAAACTTACTTCTTTTACATTACTAAGATTATGTAAGGGATTTTCTCTAATAAAAACTTCAAAACCAAAGTGTCTAAATGATATTTTAAATCATATGTGATAAATTAAATTAAATTGGTATTTATTTTTTTATTTAATTAAGGAAAATATTACCATTATTCAATATTACAGATATAAAAGTTAAAATAAAATAAATTTTTTAAGCCTTTTTACAAAAAAAGTTTTAATCATTTAAAATGTTGTAATCTTTATTTAAAATTTTACAAAAATATTAATTATTAATCAAATGCAAAAGAAAAAATAAATGTAAAAATAATTTATTATTAAGACACATTTAATAGGTAAAGATTTGTTGGTTATTTTTAAGTTTTTAATCTCAATTTAGAATATTTTTTAATAAAAAGCTTTTAAATTTAAGCCCTTCAAATAATTAATATCCTTTCTAAAAAAAATTAACTTAAACTTCAATTTTAAAAAGAAAAAAAAGGTTTCAAAAATTTTTTAATTACTTTAAAATGCCATAATAAAATGGTGATTTGAATACAATAATTATTAAAGAAAGATAATATATTAAATTGATTAATTATTAACCTTAAGTGCAATTCCACATTTAATAAAAATAAAATTAATATAATCAAAAATTATAATATAAACCTGTTTCTATTACTACCATATTAGAATATTTTTAAATTTCATCATATTACCAAGTAAAATTTGATAACTAAAATCTTAGAATAATAACTAATAAATTTATTATAAAATTCATAAAAAGGCAAAAATAATGTTTTTTATAATCAATAACAGCAGAAACATTATTTCATAAAATGTTTTATATTTAAAGCAATAATATCCAAATTATAAAATTCATAAAAGAGCCTCTTTTACCAAAAATAATTAATTTTATTTTAATTTTATCAAACAAAAATAATAACTTGCTTAATTGAAATAGAAAGTTAATATAGCAGGATAAATATGTATAGATTTTATCAAATTATTAAATTATTAAAAATTAAAAATGTTTTCAAGGTAAAGAAGATACTATTCTTTCATCTATTTCACTAATATTGGTTTTTTATTAGAATCTTATTAACAGCTACTCTGTTTACTATTGCTATAGTTTTTGGGATTAATATATTAAGAACTACTCATCTAAAAAATTTATCTTTTATTCCCTTTCTTTTATTAAATAATTGTAAAAAAATAATTACATACTAATAAATTTACTCAATTAATTTATTTTTTGTAGATCTAAATCAATGTTATTTCTTATCAAGCTTAAATAATTGGATGAACAACCTAAAGTTTTTATAGCAGCTAATTGTTCATGGTTAAACAATATCATCATAGCTTTTTTTAAAAATATAATGTCTTTATAAAGTGAAAAAATATTCAGATCATTTGCTATTTGAGCATGAATGATGTTTTTTTGCTAAGTGTTAAGCTCTAAAGGTTCTACTTCTTATCTTTTTGAGCATAAGCTATATATATTATTAATAAAAAAGGATTTATTTTTTAGTAGTATAATAAATGACATACTCATGCTTGGTTATTTTCTCCAAATTTTCCTTTGAAATATTATCGATTTAAATGACTTTTTATTTATCAGCTTTGCCTATCAAATATAAGCTTTAGTTTTAAGTTGGACTTCTTGTCTAGGTTTTTTTTTGACAGTTTTCAGCAGAAGACTTAGTTTTTAACTAATTTTTATAATCAAAATCTTTTAATATGGGAGAGACATTAAAGCTATTTTTTTAAAGACAGCTTTAATTTGTATCATTTAAATGTTAAAAATTTTAAAGACATGTTTTTTAAAATGACTGTTATTAGATAAAACTTTAATTTTGAGATTAATTATTTGATTCTTAAAATTGAAAAAAAAGTTATTCATCTTTTAATTATGATTCATCATTTAATTTTAGTATATTTTCTTAGTCATACTTTTTGGATTTATTTTATAATGATGACGGCTTTGTTTATAAATTACTTATATCAAAAGGATTAAACTTAATCTAGTTGCTTTAAGAAAACTGCAAAGACCCTTTTAGCTTCACTTCGAAGTTTGGTAAATGATTAACTTAATCATTTTACTCATTTTCGATAGAATAAATGCAATTAACAAACGTATTTTCTTATTTACTTAGATAAATAGTATTATCACTTTCGTTTTAATTTTAAACGGTATTTTCTTATACATCAAACTTATTTTATTTTTTTTCTAACGTATTTCTCTTATTTTCTTAATACTAAGTAATTGTATTTTAATTGCATAAGTGTTGATCATTTGCTTTGAACATTTTAAAATATTAAGCTGGAAATATATTCTCTAAAAACAGCATAACAAAATGCTCATTTATTTATTTTTAGGAGTATTTTCTTCCAACATATCCTATAATCATTAACAGAGAAAAAACGCCATTAACAAAAGCCAAAATTTAAGGCAGTGTTATATATTAAATCTGTATTTAATAAACTATTTCATCCATTTGTAATACAAAAGAGTTAAAAGGACCTTATCCATCATTCAGAGCTGATATTCTATCCATGCTTTAATTAATTTATCCATATTACAATGGAGAAGAATAATAAGAATTTTATTACCAAATTAATCCTTATTTTACATTTGTTGTTTATGTTTGCATATTCAAAAAAGTTACTATTGCTTAGCTTGCAAATGTGTAAACTAAAATATTCCTGTAATCCGATTACATTTATTAAGATGTTGTATTATATTAAGCAGTATAAAGTTTATACCTTAATCCTACATTGACACCATTTACAAGAGTATTTATTTCATCTTAAGTAGCGCAATCATCAGGAATGGTAGTTTTCACCTTATCAATATCTCTACAGCCATAAATGAAGATTTATATTTAAGAATATAAATTCTCTTAAGTATTTAAAGCAAATGTATAGTTAGAAACATTAGAAAAATCCAAACACTTATAACCTTAGAGATCTTAGCTTGTACAATCTATTACATCTAAAGGTATAAAGGTTGTATTTTATTTTTATTAATAAAAATATGCCATTACTACTAAATATGTTTTGTTTGGCTAATAAACAAAATCTCCAGAGTCCATTTTAAAAGCTACTAAATTGTTATTTAATGGCGTCTCAATTAATCTATTATCAATAAAGCTTTATTATCTAAAGAAGGGTTGTATTTAGTTATTTGAAAACTGGACTAGCAAATAAGAAAAGTATGCTAAAATTATTATAAATACAATTACTGATAAGCAAAAACCCAAAAAAGTTGACTTCTTTTACAAATTTTAATCTTCAATGTTAAAGAAGAATTGCTAGGAAAATATATCAAAGTTTTTCCAAATTTTCATCAGCTAATTAATATTGATTTAAAAAAAGGAATAATTATTAAAAATTGTTAAATAATTGTTTTTGATTTAAATAGATTAAAATTTTTTGTATTATAAGTTGTTAAGAATTTTAATTAAATACATAGATCACATTAAAATAAAGAGTTAATTTAGAAAAAGGGAAATAAAATTGACCATACATTTATAAAAAAAGGTTATTTGATTAGTTAGTCATACAATACCATAATTCCTCAATTTATTAATAAATTTTTACACACAAAAAATAGCAAAATATAGGGGTGTAAATCATTTCCTACTCAAATAATTAAGTAAGCTGAGAATAAGTTAGTTAAAACTACTCCCAATTTATAAATAAAAAAAACTTTCTAAAAGAACTCATAAATTCACACTATAAATTAAATTATTTTCAACCAAACTCTTAATCAATATAAAGAGGATATTAGTCTTTTATCTATTTCATTTATGTTTAACTCATTATTTACCCTTATTAAAAATTACTCTAACTATTGTTTTTGAAGTTATTCAGATTAATAAATCAAAAACTATTCATCTAAAAAATTTATTTTGTTTTCTTTCCCTTTTATTTATTAATTAAAAGATTAAGTATATTAATACTATTATTGTAATTTACTTAATTGCTGTATTTTTAGTAGATCTAAGTTAGTTAGTTCACTTTTTAAATCCAAAAAACTTGGTGAGCAACCTAATAGTTTTAATGTAGCTAATTGTTCTTGACTAAGCAAAACCATTATGGCTTTTTTCAAAAATAAAATATCTTTGTAGAGCTAAAAAATATTAAGATCATTTATGATTTAGTCATAAACCATCTCCTTCCTTTTACTGTTAAATTCTAATAAAATTTCTTTTGATATCTTTTAGTCTTTCCTATGTTTTTTATTAAAGTTTTAATAATTTCATAAATACAATAATATTCAAAATTAGTTATATTACTTTAGTTTTAAAATATTTTGCATCACAAGATTTGAAATTTCTTCACTTTGAAGAGCATTTAATTTATCTATCTTATCTTTCAAGTTAATAATATTTAGGAAAGATTAATTTCTTCTGAAAGCTTAAGTTTAAGTGTCTTACTCATTTACTTACTGAGCGTTGATAAATTTTTTTCGGTTGATTCTTTTTTAATTTGGAGATTAAGGAAAATTATTTGAAAATAGAATCTAACTTAAATTTTTTTTATTAAGTAAAGCATTTTTTGGGCTACTTTATTGTGTTTCGAGTTATGTTGGGCTTAAAATATTTTATTAATCATTTGTTATTTATTATTCATCTTTATATTATTATTGATCGCTAACCTTTTCTTATTCTTTAATCCTAAATTAATTTCTTTTAGAATATTATCTTTGTTTTTTATTTTTATTTCAATCCTAATGATTTAGCTCTTAAGCATTTATTTAAGAATATTCTAAAGATCTTTTTAATTTCACTCTAAAGTTAGGTAAAGAAATTTCCTAATCATTTGTTTATTCTTCAAATTACTACTGATTAGTATTCTCCTATTTATTTTTGTTATTAGAATTATTATTATTATTATTTTCATTTATTAAATCACTTTCTTTTGTATCATATAATATTTATTTATTTTCAAATAAGTTGCTACTATTTTCTAAATATGTTGTCACAAAATTAATTTCTTTCTATTCGGATTAGAGAAGTTTGCTTGATTGAAGTATTGTGAAATATTAGCCAGAAAAAATATTCTTCAAAAATAGCAAAAGAAATTCATCATTTATTTTCTTTTAAGAAAACTTTCTACCTACATACCCTATTAACATTGAAAGTGAAAAAACTCCATTAACAATAGCTAGAATTTAAGGTAATGTTGAGTATTAAATTTGTATTAAATTAACTATTTCATCTATTTACAAATATAAAGAGTTAATAGGACCTTATCCATCAATAAGAGCTGCTTTTCTATTCATGCTTTAATTAATTTACTGATATTACAATGGAGAAGAATATTAGGAATTTGATTACCAAATTAATCCTTATTTTACATTTGTTGTTTATGTTTACATATTCACAAAAGTTATTATAGCTTAGCTCGCAAATGTGTAAACTAAAATATTTCTGTAATCTGATTGCATTTACTAAGATGTTGTATTATATTAAGCAGTATAAAGTTTATACCTTAATCCTACATTGACACCATTTACAAGAGCATCGATTTCATCTTCACTTGCACAATCATCAGGAACGAAAGTTTTAATCTTATCCACATCTAAACAACCGTATGTAAAGATTTATATTTATGAATATAATTCTTATAATGTGTTTAAAGAAAATTTATAGTTAGATATTTAAGAAAAATCCAAGCACTTATATCCTTAAAGCTCTTCGCTTTAACAATCTATTACATTTAAAGGGAAAAAAGTTCTATTTTTTTCTTACTAGAAAAAATAAGCCATGTAAATTAAGTAAGTTTTGTTGGGTTGATAAACAAAATCACCAGATTCAATTTTGAATGCAACTAATTCATTATTTAAATCAGGCTATATAAGATCATTTTAGATAAAACTTTATTATCTAAAGATAGGTTGTATTTAGTTGGTAAAAAACAAAATAAGTAAATAGAGAAAGTATCCTAGAGTTACTATGAACACAAGTGTAGAAAGCCCTAAACCAAGTAATGTAGCTTTCTTTTTCCTGTCTTTGTCTTCTATATTAAAGAAAAATTACTCAGAAAAGATGTCAATTTTTTTCCAAAGTTTCATATTTTGAAGTTTTAATTAAAGTTTTTATTTTATTAATTATTATTATTTAGTAGAAAATTAAACTCTAATTTAAAATAAGGATTCTTCATAAAACGGTGGTTAAATTACCTTTCATAAATAGCTGCACTTTTTAAAAAAAAAAAACATCAATAAAGTATAAAAATTTACTAAGAATAGATTTACCGTATAATCTCCAAACCTTTTGCTGTGTTATACAATGAGGGACAAGGTTGAGAGGTAATATATTAATAACTAATAATAAAACATATTATTTTTTTTTATCAAATACTATTTGAATCTCTATAATTATTCTATATTTGTGAAGATAAAGACTTATATTGAAAAAAAAATGAAGCCATTAATAAATTTTAAAAGAAACAATTCAATTATATATTAATAATTATTAGGACCAATACATTATTAATCGATAATTTATAAAACTCAAAATAAAATTAACATTTTCTCTTTAACATATTATATTTACTAATTGTATTGATAACTAAGTAATAATTAATTTTATTGCTTGTTTTTACCCAGGTAATTTTAATAAATAATTTAAGTTTACTAAAAAATCAATTGGTTATTTCTCTTGTTTATTTTTTGAATTTAGTCTAAGAATTTAAAAAAATGATAATAAACCATCCATCCAATTTATTTAAATCTATAATTCCAATTACTTACACCAAATTTTAAATTTTCTTTTCAACAAATACAATATTTACCATTGTATACCTAACTGAATAATAATTAATTTTGTAGCTCTTATTTATCCAGAATAATTTTAATAAATAATTTAAAGCTTTTAAATCAATTGACTTTTTTTCTTTCTTATTTTTTGAAAGAAGTCTAAAAATTTTTAAAAATATAATATTTCATCCATCAAATTAATGTATTAAAAACTCAAATAACAATTATTAATACAAAACATTTAATTTTTCACATCAAATGTGCACTATATTTGCTAATTATAAAGCTAACTAAATAATAATTAATTTTTAGCTTCTTTTTACCCAGATAATTTTAATAAATAGTTAAATGTTGCCTAAATTATTTAAATTATTTAAAAAATGATAATACATCTTCCAATAAATTTAAATCAAAATTTTCATTTACAAAAAAAAATAAATAAAACTATTTAAATTTATTTTAAAGTAAATTTAGGATCAAACAATTTTAGATAATTAAATTTTGCATAAGTTTAATTTTATTGAAAAATATTATTACTTTACTTAATTAGTTTATTCGATTAAAAAACTTTATTAAGAAATTATAAAACTCAAAATCAAATGTTAAATTTTTTCTTCAACATATATTTTAATTACAAAAAAACTAATTAGCTTTTTCTATTTTTTTTTATAAATAGTTTAACTAATTCATTAAATTTTGCTTATATAAAAGTAAGAAATTCATAAGCTATAAATATTAGAATTTTGAGGGCATATCATTTTTACTATTTTCTAAAAAAAGAAAATTGGTAAATTATATTTAAAGAGTAAAGATTTTGAAATAATTGTAAGTAATATTTGTGATTAATATTTTTTCTTTTTCAATTTTAGTCAGCGCCAACTCATTTAATTTATGTTAAAATATGTATTTAAATTATTTTCAATTCTTTATTTTTTTAATAATTAATTGATGTTAATCATAAGTAATTCAGTTCATTTAACAATTATTATAAATTTAATTTTAAAATTAGTTAATTGTTGATTTAGAAGATATTTTTTTTTACTTATTTTAGAATATTATTTTTTTTAGTTAGTATTATTTAATGTCTAATGAGTTAACTCTTAAGTATTTAGTTACGAAATACTACTCATAAAAAAAATCTTATTTATTTTTGTTATTATAATTTATTTCTGATATAAAATCACTTTCACTTGTATAATAAGACATTTATTTATTTTCAAATAAGTTGTTATTATTTTCTAAAAATGTTACTAAATTATTTTCTTTCATCTCGCTTTAAAGATGTTTGCTTGATTGAAGTATTTTAAAATAATAACTTGAAAAAATATTCTGCAATTCTGCAAAAATAGCAACAAAAAAAATCATCATTTATTTACTTTTAAGAATACTTTCTTTCTATAAACCCTGCGTACACCAAAAGTGAAAATATTCCATTAATAATTGCTAGAATTTAAGGTAATGTTGTGTATTAAATCTGTATTTAATTAACTATTTTATCCATTTGTAAACTTAAAGGGATAATAGGACCTTATCCATCAATGAGAGCTAATTTTCTATCCATGTTTTAATTAATTTACCCATATTACAATGGAGAAGAATAATAGGAATTTGATTACCAAATTAATCTTTATTTTACATTGGTTGTTTATGTTTGCATATTCAAAAAAGTTGCTATATATTAGTTTGCAAGTGTATAAACTAAAATATTTCTGTAATTTGATAGCATATACTGAGATGTTGTATTATATTAAGCAGTATAAAGTTTATACCTTAATCCTACATTGACACCATTTACAAGAGCGTTTATTTCATCTTAACTTGCGCAATCATCATGAATTATCATTTTAACATTATCCACATCTAAACAACCTTATCTAAAGATTTATTTTTATGAATATAATTCTTCTAATGTGTTTAAAGAAAATTTATAGTTAGATATTTAAGAAAAACCCAAGCACTTATATCCTTAAAGCTCATGGCTTTAAAAATCTATTACATTTAAGATATAAAAATTCTATTTTTTCTAATAAGGAAAAAATAAGCCATATAAATTAAGTAAGTTTTGTTGGGTTAATAAATAAAATCAACTGAATCCATTTTGAATGCAATTAATTCATTATTTAATTCAGTTTGTATAAGTTCATTTTATATAAAACTTTATTATCTGAAGACAGGTTATATTTAGTTGGTTAAAAACAAAAAAAGTAAATATACAAAATATCCTAAAGCTGTTAACAACGCAAATATTGATAGTCCAAAATCTAGAAAGGTTGTTTTCTTTTATTTATCCTTATCTTCAATATTAAAGTAAAATTACTAAAAAAAATATCAAACTTTTTCCAAAATTTCATACCTTTAATTATTTACAAAAGTTTATTATTATTAAGTTGAAATTTAAATGCTAATTAAAAAAAGAATGATTCATAAAAAAGTGGTTAAATTAGCTTTTATTAAAAGCAACACTTTTAAAAAAAGAAACATCAATAAAATATAATTGTTTTTACTAAGAATATATTAAATAATTAATATAAAATAAATTTTTTTTTTTCAAATATGAATAGAATTTCAATAATTTTTAAATATTTTTTAAGAAAAATAATTATATTGAAAAAAAAATAAATATCATTATAAGATTTTAAAAATAATCAATATTATTTAAAAGAGAAAATTAATTAATTTTATTCTTGTTTTCCCACTATATCTAATAATATAATATTAATTTATAGAAAACTTTAATTTGTAATTGCATATGTGAAATTATCTTTGTTAAGTACATACATTATCTCAAGATTATCAAAGATTATTAGATAATAGAAAAAAAAATTAAATTAAACATTTCTTATTTATTTTATAAATTTTCTTCAATCTAATAATATCAAAATTCAACTTAATAAATTTTATTAAATTTTTTGAGAATTTATAAATTTATATTTATTTATCTATTAAATCAAATAATAATTTATATAAAATAATAAACAAATCAACATAATTTCAACTAATAAATTTTAAAAAAATTTCTAAAAAAATTCATAAATTAACCCAATAAATTAAATTATTTTCAACTTAACTCTTAATCAACATAAAGAAGATATTAATCTTTTATCTATTTCATTTATGTTTACTTCATTTTTTACCCTTATTAAAAATTACTCTAACTATTGTTTTTGAAGTTATTCAGATTAATAAATCAAAAACTATTCGTCTAAATAGTTTATTTTGTTTTCTTTCCCTTTTATTTATTAATTAACTGATTAAGTATATTAATTTTTTTATTATTATTTACTTAATTGTTGTATTTTTCGAAGATCTAAATTAGTTAATTCACTTTTTAAATCCAAAAAACTTGATGAACAACCTAAGAGTTTTAAAGTAGCTAATTGCTCTTGACTAAACAAAACCATTATGGCTTTTTTCAAAAATAAAATATCTTTGTAGAGCTAGTAAATGTTAAGATCATTTATGATTTAGTCATAAACCATCTTCTTCCTTTTACTGTCAAATCCTAATAAAATTTCTTTTGATATCTTTGAGCCTTTACTATGTTTTTTATTAAAGTTTTAATAATTTCATAAATATAATATTAAAATTTAATTATATTACTTTAGCTTTAAAATATTTTGCATCGCAAGATTTGAAATTTGTTCACTTTGAAGAGCATTTAATTTATCTATCTTATCTTTCAAGTTAATACTATTTATTATAGATTAATTTCTTCTTAGAGCTTAAGTTTAAGAGTCTTACTCATTTACTGACTGAGTGTTGATAAATTTTTTTTGGTTGATACTTTTTTAATTTGGAGATTAAGGAAAATAATTTGAAAATGCAATCTAACTTAAATTTTTATTTTTAAGTAAAGCATTTTTTGGGCTACTTTATAGTGTTTGCAATTAAGTTGGGCTTAAAATAGTTTCCTAATCACTTGTTTCGTCTTTATATTATTATTGATCACTAAACTTTTCTTATTCTTTAATTCTAAATTAATTTCTATAAGAATATTATTTTTGTAAGTTAGTGTTATTTTAAGCCTAATTATTTAACTCTTAAGTATTTATTTAAGGATATTCTAAAGATCTTTTTTATTTCACTCTGAAGTTAGGTAAAGAAATTTCTTAATCATTTGTCTATTTTTCAAATTACTACTCATTAGTATTATCCTATTTATTTTTGTTATTAGAATTATTATTATTATTTTCTTTTATTAAATCACTTTCTTTTGAATCATATACTATTTATTTATTTTCAAATAAATTGCTACTATTTTCTAAATAAGTTGTCACAAAATTACTTTCTTTTTAGTCGGATTAGAGAAGTTTGCTTGATTGAAGTATTGTGAAATATTAGCCAGAAAAAATATTCTTCAAAAATAGCAAAAGAAAATCATCATTTATTTTCTTTTAAGAAAACTTTTTTCCTACATACCCTATTAACATCAAAAGTGAAAAAACTCCATTAACAATAGCTAGAATTTAAGGTAATGTTGAGTATTAAATCTGGATTTAATAAACTATTTCATCCATTTGCAATACAAAAGAATTAAAAGGACCTTATCCATCATGGAGAGCTGATTTTCTATCCATGCTTTAATTAATTTACCCATATTGCAATGGAGAAGAATAATAATAATTCTATTACCAAATTAATCCTTATTTTACATTTGTTGTTTACGTTTACATATTCAAAAAAGTTACTATAGCTTAGCTTGCAAATGTGTAAACTAAAATATTTCTGTAATCTGATTCCATTTTCATAGATGTTGTATTATATTAAGCAGTATAAATTTTATACCTTAATCCTACATTGACACCATTTACAAGAGCGTCTATGTCATCTTAACTTGCGCAATCATCAGGAACGAAAGTTTTAACCTTATCCACATCTAAACAACCGTATGCAAAGATTTATATTTAAGAATATAAATTCTCTAATGTGTTTAAAGAAAATGTTTAGTTAGAAACTTAAGAAAAATCTAAGCACTTATATCCTTAAAGATCTTTACTTTAACAATCAATTGCATTTAATTGTATAAAAGTTCTATTTTATCCTTATTAGAAAAAATAAGCCATAAAAACTAGGTAAGTTTTGTTGGGTTGATAAACAAAATCACCAGAATCCATTTTGAATGCAACTAGTTCATTATTTAGTTCAGTCTGTATAAGATCATTTTAGATAAAACTTTATTATCTAAAGATAGGCTGTATTTAGTTGGTTGAAAACAAAATAAGTTAGTAGATAAAATATCCTAGAGTTGCTATGAACACAAATGTAGATAGTCCTAAACCCAGGAATGTTGCTTTTTTTTACCTATCTTTATCTTCTATATTAAAGATAAATTACTCAGAGAAGATATCAATTTTTTTCCAAAGTTTCATATTTTGAAGTTTTTATGAAAGTTTTTATTTTATTAATTATTATTATTTAGTAGAAACTAAAACTCTAATTTAAAATAAGCATGCTTCATAAAACGGTGGTTAAATTACCTTTCTTAAATAGCTACTCTTTTTTAAAAATGAAACATCAATAAAGCTTAAATATTTTCTAAGAAAAGATAACCATATAATTTTTTTTTCTAATACTATGAGAATCTCTATAATTATTCTATATTTGTTAAGATAAAGAGTTATATTGAAAAAAAAATGAAGCCATTAATAACTTTTAAAAGAAACCTTTCAATTTATGTTAATAATTATAAGCACAAAAACATAATTAAATAAGAATTTATAAAACTCAAAATAAAATTAACATTTTCTCTTCAACATGCATATTATATTTGCTAATTGTAGATAATGAAGTAATAATCAATTTTGTGGCTTGTTTTTACCCAGGTAATTTTAATAAATAACTAAATTATTAGTTTACAAAAAAATTAATTGGCTTTTTCTCTTGTTTATTTTTTGAATATTGTCTATGAAGTTTAAAAAAATGATAATAAGCCATCCATCCATCCAATTTATTTAAATCTATAATTCGAATTATTTAAACCAAATTTTAAATTTTCTTTTCAAAATATGTACAATATTTGCTATTCTATTGCTAACTAAATAATAATTAATTTCGTGGCTTGTTTTTACCTTTATATTTTTAATAAATAATTTTTAAAGTTTTTAAATCAAATGACTTTCTCTCTTGCTTATTTTTTGAAAAAAGTCTAAAAAGTTTTAAAAAATGTAATATCTCATCCATCAAATTTATTTAAATCTCTAATTCCAATTATTAACACAAAATGTTTAATGTGCCCTATATTTTTTGCTAATTATATAGTTAACTAAATAATAATTAATTTGTGGAATGTTTTTACCCATATACTTTTAATAAATAATTTAAAGTTTTTAAATCAAATGACTTTTCTCTTGATATATATTTTTAATAAATAATTTAAAACTTTTAAATCAAATGATTTTTTCTCTTGCTTATTTTTTGAAAAAAGTCTAAAAAGTTTTAAAAAACGTAATATGTCATCCATCAAATTTATTTAAATCTCTAATTCCAATTATTAACACAAAATGTTTAATGTGCACTATATTTGATAATTATATAGTTAATAAAAAAATAATTAATTTTGTGGAATGTTTTTACCCAGATAATTTTAATAAATAATTTAAAGCCAACTGGTTTTTTCTCTTGCTTATTTTTTGAATATAGTCTAAATAGTTTAAAAAATTATGATAGACCATCCAATTAATTTAAATCTAAATTTTCATTTACACAAAAAAGAAATAAAACTATTTAAATTTATTTTAAAGTAAATTTAGGATCAACCAATTTTTAATATTTGTTTTTTATTTAATATTATTGAAAAATATTATTACTTTGCTTATTAGTTTATTCTAATAAAAAGTTTTATTAGAAAATTATAAAACTCAATATCAAATGTTAAATTTTCTCTTCAACATGCATAATATATTTTCTAATTGTATTGCTAACTAAAAAAACTAAATAATATTTAATTTTGTGACTTTTTTACCCTAATAATTTTAATAAATAACTTAAAGTTTTAATTAAAAAAAATTAATTAGCTTTTTCTATTGTTTATTTTTTGAAAAAAGTCTAAAAAATTTAACAATTTTAAATAATTAAATTTTCATAAGTAAGAAATTCATTTTAAAGAGCAAAGAATTTTAATTAATTGTAAGTAATATTTATGCTTAATATTTTTTCTTTTTCAATTTTAATTAGCATCAAGTCACTGAATTTTGTTAAAATATTAATTTAAATATTTTTTCAATTTTTAATTTTTAAAATAACTACTTTGTCTACATCAGAAATAATTCAGTTCATTTAATAATTAAAATAAATTCAATTTTAAAATAAATTAATTGCTGATTTTGAAGATGTTTTTTTTATTTCAGATAAATTCAATCTTATTTTAATATTATTAATTATTATTACTATTATCTACCTTAGAAGTTTATTCTATTAAAAAATTAAAAATTTTTTAATTTATTAGTTTTTAATATCATTTAGATTTAAATTCAAATAACAAGTTCTTAAAATTATTTCATCTTTTTACTAGATAATAAAGTATTTTTAAGCTTTTTTTGTGTGGTAGTTTATTTTTGTTAATTTATTTTGTTTCTTAAAATTATTTGTTAGATGAGTTAAGTAATAATCAAATAAATTTTAGATATTTACTATTAGCTTTTTGATTAACAAAGTAGAAGTTTACTTTATTATTTAGATAATAACTAAATTAATATTCTGTAAGATTTATGTTATGATTACTAAAGAGATTTATATTTCCTAAATACAAAAAAATATTTATAAAAAAATTATTAGAATATTTTTTCCCGAACTTATTTGTTAAAGTTTAAATTTGACTTTTTGAAGTAATAATAGTAGAAAATAATAATAAATATATTAATACGAATCATTAAATATTGAGTAGTAAATAAATGAGCTCTTAATAACCAAGGAATATTTTTAAAAATTATAGATAAACATTGATTTAAAATAAAATAAAGCATATTCTTGAATAAAAATAAGCACCATAAAAACCTTTAATCACCTAAAGAGTTATAAATTAGGGTTTCTTCAACTAATAAGATTAAGATTAGCTAAAATATTAGACCCATGACTAATTAATAACAATTATAAAATTATTTATAAAAGTAAAAATAATAGTAGTGGATACAAGAGTATACAGTAAAAATAATAATAAAATAGTAATTAAAGGGATTTAATAAAATATTAAGAGATAAAATTTTTAAAGAATTAGTTTAGCTTCCTCCCCGTAAGTCAATAATAATGATCAAAATTTACGCCTGACAACAAGTTTTCCTTAATCACCTTCAATGAGTTATCACTTTTTAAAAGAGTTGTATATTTGTATCCTAACTGACAGCGATTATTCAGAAACAAAAAAATTTATAAACTTTAGTACAATCATTTCATCTTCTCCTTAGTAAAATAATAAGCAAATTATGGGATCTTATAATAATTTTAAAAAATTTGATAGAATTGTTTAATAAAATGAGATTTATGTTATGAATAATGTTTTAGGAAATAAATACAGAAATAAGCTAAATTCCTAAGTAAAAGCCAAGCAAACAAGAAAAATGAAATAATTAAGAAATTTCTTATTAAAAATACAGTACCAAGCTAAAGTAATGGATTTTTTAAATGGTTGTACAGTGTAGAATAAATGAATTAAGATGTTAACTAACAAGAATAGGATTTAAAATATATCCATAAATCTCCTTCTCATAATTAACTCCTCAGAATATATAATTTAAAACAAGTTGAATATATTTGTTAAAATAATGATAATAGTCTTTAATGCTAGGAGGGAAAAATATGAATTTTATAATAAATCAACAAGCTAATTAAGTCAGACCTGCTACTTCCTTACTCTAGAGAAGTAAAATTTTAATTCCTTAAGCAACAGCTTAAAGGGATTTCTATTTATAATAATAGCTAGTTTTTTCTAGCACAAATTAAGATATGCAAATTTAATTTTAAAATTAAAGAAAACATATTAATAATCACTAATAATAATAACCTGTAAAAGTGGATTTGGCTATCTCATATTTTGTTATAAAAAGGAATAAAAAAAGAGATTAAATTATATTTTTAATATTTATTGGATTTTCTTTTTGAACTCACAGTTTTAGCAATGCTCATATATTCTCGATCGGATTAAGATTAGGAGAATATGGCTGCCAACTGCTAATTCAATCTATTTTGTTTTTATTATAAAATTTTTTTTGCCATCTTTGATCTATTTTATGTGTCTTTATCCTAATATGTTGATATTTTTTTATTTTAAAATATCTCTGTTTCCAAGTTATTAATATTGTTTTAAGGATTTTAACAAATAACTTTGTTGGGAGGTTTTCAGAAAATAGATATAATTTTAGATTATCTTTTATTGTTATAGCTCCTAAATATGAAGCTTCTCTCGATGCTTTGGTTTAGGAAAGCTCACATTCTTTTAGCTTTTTAATTACCATTACTTTTTAGGAAAAGAATGAGTCTTGATTGTGCATTTATCTGCATAAACTGCTTTTGATAAATTATAATTGATGTGATTCTTACAAAATCTTTTCCTTTTCAAGTTTTTAAAATTAAGATACATACATACATACATACATACATACATACATACATACATACATACATACATACATACATACATACATTATCTCAAGATTATCAAAAATTATCAGATAATAGAAAAATAAAAAATTTTCTAACAACCAAAAAAATCAACCTAAAAAATTTTATTAAATTTTGGGAATTTATAAATATATATTTATTTATTAAATCAAATAATAATTTATATAAAATAATAAAAAAATCAACATAATTTCAACTAATAAATTTATAAAAAATTTCTAAAAAAATTAATAAATTAACCCAATAAATTAAATTATTTTCAACTTAACTCTTAATCAACATAAAGAGGATATTAATCTTTAATCTATTTCATTTATGTTTAAATCATTCTTTACTCTTATTAAAAATTACTCTAACTATTGTTTTTGAAGTTATTCAGATTAATAAATCAAAAACTATTCGTCTAAAAAATTTATTTTGTTTTCTTTCTCTTTTATTTATTAATTAATTAATTAATTAAGTATATTAATCTTAGTGTTATAATTTACTTAATTGCTGTATTTTTGGTAGATCTAAGTTTGTTAGTTCACTTTTTAAATCCAAAAAACTTGGTGAGCAACCTAAGAGTTTTATAGTAGCTAATTATTCTTGACTAAACAAAACCATAATGGCTTTTTTCAAAAATAAAATATCTTTGTAGAGCTAAAAAATATTAAGATCATTTGTGATTTAGTCTTAAACCATCTTCTTCCTTTTACTGTTGAATCCTAATTAAATTTCTTTTGATATTTTTGAGCCTTTACTAATTTTTTTATTTAAAGTTTCAATGATTTTATTTAAGATAACAATATTCAAAATTATTTAAATTACTTTATTTTTATAATTTTTTGCATTGCTAGATTAGAAATTTGTTCACTTTGAAGAGCATTTAATTTATCTATATTATCTTACAAGTTAATACGACTTTGTAAAGATTAATTTCTTCTTTTAATTTAAATTTAATAGCGTTACTCATTTATAGATTGAGTTTCGATAAATTTTTTTTGGTTGATACTTTTTAAATTTGGAGATAAAATAAAAGAATTTGAAAATAGAATTTAACTTTAATTTTTATTTTTAAATAAAGCAATTTATGGGCTACTTTATTGTGTTTGGAGTTATGTTGGGCTTAAAATATTTTCTTAATCCTTAGTTATAGATTGCTCGTCTTTATATTATTATAGATAATTAAAATTTTCTTACACTTTATTTCTAAATTTATTTATTTTAGAATATTATTTTTTTTAGTTAGTGCAATTTAATGTCTAAGGAGTTAACACTTAAGTATTTATTTAAGACTATTCTAAAATTCCTTTTGATTTCACTCTGAAGTTAGGTAAAGAAATTTCCTAATCATTATTTTATTTTTCGAAATACTACTCATAAAAAAAATCTAATTTATCTTAGTTATTACAATTATTATTATTATTTTCTCTAATTAAATCACTTTCTTTTGAATCAAAAAACATTTATTTATTTTCAAATAAGTTGTTATTATTTTCTAAATATGTTACCAAATTATTTTCTTTCTACTCGGATTAGAGAAGTTTGCTTGATTGTAGTATTGTGAAATATTAGCCAGAAAAAATATTTTTCATAAATAGCAAAAAAAATTCATCATTTATTTTCTTTTAAGAAAACTTTCTTCCTAAAAACCCTACTAACACCAAAAGTGAAAAAATTCCATTAACAATTGCTAGAATTTAAGGTAATGTTGGGTATTAAATCTGTATTTAATAAACTATTTCATCCATTTATAATACAAAAGAGTTAAAAGGACCTTATCCATCATTAAGAGCTGATATTCTATCCATGCTTTAATTAATTTACCCATATTACAATGGAGAAGAATAATAGGAATTTGATTACCAAATTAATCCTTATTTTACATTTGTTGTTTATGTTTGCATATTCAAAAAAGTTACTATAGCTTAGCTTGCAAATGTATAGACTAAAATATTTCTGTAATCTGATTGCATTTACTAAGATGTTGTATTATATTAAGCAGTATAAATTTTATACCTTAATCCTACATTGACACCATTTACAAGAGTGTTTATTTCATCTTAACTAGCACAATCATTAGGAACGAACGTTTTAACCTTATCCACATCTAAGCAACCATATGTAAAGATTTATATTTAAGAATATAAATCCTCTAGTGTATTTAAAGAAAATTTATAGTTAGAAACTTAAGAAAAATCCAAGCATTTATATCCTTAGAGCTCATCGCTTTAACAATCTATTACATTTAAAGGTATAAAAGTTCTATTTTATCCTTGCTAGAAAAAATAAGCCATGACAACTAAGTAAGTTTTGTTGGGTTGATAAACAAAATCACCAGAATCCATTTTGAAAGCAATTAGTTCATTATTTAACTCAGTCTGTATAAGATTATTTTATATAAAACTTTATTATCTAAAGATAGGTTGTATTTAGTTTGTTGAAAACAAAATAAGTAAATAGACAAAATATCCTAGAGTTACTATGAACACAAATGTAGATAGTCCAAAACCCAGAAATGTTGCTTTCTTTTACTTATCTTTATCTTCAATATTAAAGAAAAATTATTAAGAAAAAATATCAATTGTTTTCCAAAATTTCATATTTTTAATTTTTATGAAAGTTTTTGTTTTATTAATTATTATTATTATTTCATAGAAACTTAAACACTAATTTAAAATAAGAATGTTTCATAAAACGCTGGTTAAATTAGCTTTCATCAATAGCTATACTTTTTAATAAATGAAGCATCAATAAAGCAAAAAATTTTTAACAAAGAATATATGTTAAGATAAAGAGTTTTTTTAAAAAAAATAACAATATTTAAAAGAAACCTTTCTATATATTAATAATTATTAGTACCAATTCATTATTAATTAAGAATTTATAAAACTCAAAATCAAATTTAATATTTTCTCTTAAACAAGTGTACTATATTTGCTAATTAAATTGATAACTAAGTAATAAATAAATTTTGTGGTTTGTTTTTACCCATACAATTATAATAATTTATTTAAAGCTTTAATTACAAATTTTTAATTTGTTTTTTCTCTTGTTTATTTTTTGAATAAAGTTTAAAAATTTTAAAAAAATAGCAATAAACCATCCATCTAATATATTTAAATCTGTAATTTCAATTATTTTAAATTTTTTCTTCAACATGTGTACTATATTTGCTTATTCTAAATAAATTATAATTAATTTTGTGGCTTGTTTTTACCCATATAATTTTAATAAATCATTTAAAGTTTGAGTTAGAGTAACTTTTCTCTTGTTTATTTTTTGAATATATTCTTAAAAAAATGATAATAAACCATCGAATTTATTTAAAAATATAATTTCTTTTATACAAAAAATTAATATAAACTATTTAAATTTATTTTAAAGTAAATTTAGAACCTACTAATTTTAAATCATCAAACATTGCATAATTAAGCAATTCGTTTAATCTATAACTATTAGAATTTTGAGGACTTATTATTTTTACTTTTAAAAAAAATTGGTAAATTATATTTAAGGAGTAAAGAATTTGAATTAATTGCAAGTTATGTTTAATATTTTTTCTTTTTCAGATTTAATCAGCATCAAGTCACTTAATCTATGTTAAAATATTTATTTAAATATTTTTTGAATTCTTAATTTTTAAAATAGATATTGTTCTTAATCATCAATGCAGTTCATTTAATAATTAAAATAAATTTAATTTTACAATCAGTTAATTGTAGATTTTGAAAATATTTTTTTACTTAAGATAAGTTTAATCTTATTTTATTATTTTACTTAGAAGTTTAATATCTTTTAGCTTTAATTTAAAATAACAAGTTCTTAAAATTATTTCATCTTTTTACTTGCTAATAAGGTATTTTTAAGCTTTTCTTTTAGAAGTAGTTTATTTTTATTAATTTATTTTGTTACTTAAAATAATATGTTAGATGAGCTAAGTAATAATCAAAATAAATTTTTGATATTTATTATTCGCTTTTTTGATTTTTAAAATAGTAGTATATTTAATTTATTATTGAGACAATAGCTAAATTAATATTCTGTAAGATTTATGTTATGATTACTAAAGAAATTTATTTTTCCTAAATACAAAAAAAAAAATAAATTTTATAAAAATTAATTAAAAGAAAACTTTAATTTGTAATTGCATGTGTAGAAATTATATTTGTTATTTATATACATACATTATCTGAAGGTTATCAAAGATTATTAGATAATAGAAATATCAATAACTTTAAAACATTTCTTATTTATTTAATAAATTTTCTTTAATCTAATAATACCAAAACCGAAAAAGTTAACCTAATAAATTTATTAAATGTTTTGAGAATTTATAAATTTATATTTATTTATTAAATCAAATAATAATTTATATAATAAACAAATCAACTTCATTTCAATTAATAAATTTATAAAAACTTTCTAAAATATTCATTAATTCACTCAAAAAATTAAATTATTTTCAACTAAACTCTTAATCAACATAAAGAGGATATTAATCTTTTATCTATTTCATTTATGTTTAACTCATTCTTTACCCTTATTAAAAATTACTCTAACTATTGTTTTTGAAGTTATTCAGATTAGTAAATCAAAAACTATTCGTCTAAAAAATTTATTTTGTTTTCTTTCCCTTTTATTTATTAATTAATTGATTAAGTATATCAATAATATTATCATAATTTACTTAATTATTTTATTTTTAGTAGATCTAAGTTTGTTAGTTCACTTTTTAAATCCAAAAAAGTTGGCGAACAACCTAAAAGTTTTATAGTAGCTAATTGTTCTTGACTAAACAAAACCATAATTGCTTTTTTCAAAAATAAAATATCTTTGTAGAGCTAAAAAATATTAAGATCATTTGTGATTTAGTCTTAAACCATCTTCTTCCTTTTACTGTTGAATCCAAATTAAATTTCTTTTGATACATTTGAAACTTTACTATGTTTTTTATATAAAATTTTAATGATTTCATTAATATAAAAATATTCAAAATTAATCAAATTACTTTATTTTTATAATCTTTTGCATCGCTAGATTAGAAATGTGTTTACTTTGAAGAGCATTTAATTTATCTATCTTATCTTACAAGTTAATACGACTTTGTAAAGATTAATTTCTTCTTATAATTTAAATTTAACAACAGCGTTACTCATTTATAGACTGAGTTTCGATAAATTTTTTTTCGTTGATACTTTTTAAATTTGGAGATAAAGTAAAACAATTTGAAAATATAATCTAACTTTATTTTTTATTTTTAAGTATAGAATTCTATGGGCTACTCTATTCTGTTTGGAGTTATGTTGGGCTTAAAATATTCTCTTAATCATTAGTTATAGATTACTCGTCTTTATATTATTATAGATAAATAAAATTTTCTTATACTTTATTTCTAAATTTATTTATTTTAGAATATTATTTTTTTTAGTTAATATTATTTAATGTCTAATGAGTTAACTCTTAAGTATTTATTTAAGATTATTCTAAAATTCCTTTTGATTTCACTTTGAAATTAGGTAAAGAAATTTCCTAATCATCTTTTTATTTTTCGAAATACTACTCATTAAAAAAATCTTATTTATTTTTGTTATTACAGTTATTATTATTATTTTCTCTTATGAATTCACTTTCTTTTGTATGATATAACATTTATTTATTTTCAAATAAGTTGTTATTATTTTCTAAATATGTTACTAAATTATTTTCTTTTTAGTAGGATTAGAGAAGTTTGCTTGATTGAAGTATTGTGAAATATTAGCCAGAAAAAATATTCTGCAAAAATAGCAAAAGAAAATCATCATTTATTTACTTTTAAGAATACTTTCTTCCTACATACCCTACTAACACCAAAAGCGAAAAAACTCCATTAACAATTGCTAGAATTTAAGGTAATGTTGTGTATTAAATCTGTATTTAATTAACTATTTCATCCATTTGTAATACAAAAGAGTTAAAAGGACCTTATCCATCATTCAGAGCTGATATTCTATCCATGCTTTAATTAATTTACCCATATTACAATGGAGAAGAATAATAGGAATTTGATTACCAAATTAATCCTTATTTTACATTTGTTGTTTATGTTTACATATTCAAAAAAGTTACTATGGCTTAGCTTGCAAATGTATAAACTAAAATATTTCTGTAATCTGATTGCATTTACTAAGATGTTGTATTATATTAAGCCGTATAAATTTTATACCTTAATCCTACATTGACACCATTTACAAGAGCATTTATTTCATCTTAACTTGCGCAATCATTAGGAACAAACGTTTTAACCTTATCCACATCTAAGCAACCATATGTAAAGATTTATATTTATGAATATAAATCTTCTAATGTGTTTAAAGAAAATTTATAGTTAGAAACTTAAGAAAAATCCAAGCACTTATATCCTTAGAGCTCATCGCTTTAACAATCTATTACATTTAAAGGTATAAAAGTTCTATTTTATCCCTACTAGAAAAAATAAGCCATAACAACTAAGTAAGTTTTGTTGGGTTTATAAATAAAATCACCAGAATCCATTTTGAAAGCAACTAGTTCATTATTTAACTCAGTCTGTATAAGATTATTTTATATAAAACTTTATTATCTAAAGATAGGCTATATTTAGTTGGTTGAAAACAAAATAAGTAAATAGACAAAATATCCTAGTGTTACTATGAACACAAGTGTAGATAGTCCAAAACCCAAAAAGGTTGCTTTCTTTTACTTATCTTTATCTTCAATATTAAAGAAAAATTATTAAGAAAAAATATCAATTTTTTTCCAAAATTTCATATTTTTAATTTATTTATCAAAGTTATTATTTTATTAATAATTATTATTTTGTAGAAACTTAAAATAAGAAAGCTTCATAAAACGCTAGTAAAATTAGCTTTGATTAATAACTATATTTTTTAATAAATGAATCATAAAGCAAAAATTGTTAACAAAAAATAGATTTTAATAAGTAATAATAACATATAAACATATATTTTTTTTTCAAATACTATTAGAATTTCAATTACTATTCTGTATTTGTTATGATAAAGAGTTATATTGAAAAAAAATAACATCATTAAAAATATCAAAGATACCTTTCAATTAATAATTTTAGGACCAATACATTATTAATTAAGAGTTTCTAAAACTCAAAATCAAATTAAAATTTTCTCTTCAACATGTGTACTATATTTATTAATTACATTGAAAACTGAGTAATAAATAAATTATGTGGTTTGTTTTTACCCAGATAATTTAATAAATAATTTAAAGCTTTACTTACAAATTATAAATTTGTTTTTCTCTTGATTTTTTGAATAAAGTTTAAAAATTTTAAAAAATGGCAATAAACCATCCATCCAATATATTTAAACCAATAACTCCAATTGTTTTAAAAATTTTCTTCAACATTTGTACTATATTTTCTAATTCTAACAATTTAATAATTAATTTTGTGGCTTCTTTTTACCCATATAATTTTAATAAATAATTTAAAGAATTAGTTTGTTTATTTTTTGAATATAGTCTAAAAAAACAATAATAAACCATCCAATTTCTTTAAATATAAAATCTCATTTAATAATTAAAATAAATTTAATTTTTCAATCAGTAGTTAATTGCTGATTTTGAAAATATTTTTTTTTTTTACTAAGATAAGTTAAATCTTATTTTAATATTATTTAAAAAAAATTATTATCTCAGCTCAAAGCTATTCTATTAAATAGGTTTAAAATCTTATTATTTATTAATTTAAAAAATCTTTTAGCTTTAAATTAAAATAACAAGTTCTTAAAATTATTTCATCTTTTTACTTTCTAATAAATTATTTTTAAGCTTTTTTTGAAGATTAGTTTATTTTTGTTAATTTATTTTGTTACTTAAAATTAGATGTTAGGTGAGTTAAGTAATAATCAAATAAATTTTAGATATTTACTATGCTTTTTTGATTTATAAAGTAGAAGAATATTTACTTTATTATTGTTTAATAATAGCTAAATTAATATTCAATAAGATTTATGTTATGTTTACTAATGGGGTTTTATTTTTCCTAAATACAAAAAAATATCTTTAAAAAAATTATAATATATTTTATCTCGAACTTATTTGTTAAAATTTAAATTTGACTTTTTTGAAGCAATAATAGTAGAAAATAGTAATAAATAAATTAAGACAAATCATTAAATATTGAGTAGTAAATAAATGAGCTCATAGCAACCAAGGAATATTTTTTAAAATTATAGTTAAACATAGATTTCAAATAAAATTAAGCAGATTCTAAATGAAAAAAAGTACCATAAAAGCCTTTAATCACCTAAAGAGTCATAAATTAGGGTATCTTCAACTAATAAGATTAAGATTAACTAAAATGTTAGACCCATGACTAGTTAATAATAATTATAACATTATTTATAAAAGTAATAGTAATAGTAGTAGATAGTAGACTACAGTAAAAATAATGATAAAATAGTAAGTAAAGGGACTTAGTAAAATATTTATAGATAAAATTTTTAAAGAATTAGTTTAGATTCCTCACCGTAAGTCAATCATAATGATCAAAATTTACGTCTAACAACAAGTTTTCCTTAATCACCTTCAATGAGTTATCACTTTTAAAAAGGATTGTATACTTGTATCCAAACTGACAGCGATTATTCAGAAACAAAATAATTTACAAACTTTAGTACAAACATTTCATCTTCTCCTTAGCAAAAAAATATGCAAATTCTGGGATATAATAATAATTAAAAAAACTTTGATAGATCTGTTTAATAAAATGAGATTTATGTTATGCATAATGCTTTAGGAAATAAATACCGAAATAAGCTAAATTCCTAAGTAAAAGCCAAGCTAAATAAGAAAAATGAAATAATTAAATAATTTCTTATTAAAAATATGGTACCTAGCTAAAGTAACGGATTTTTTAAATGGTTAGACAGTGTAGAATAAATAAAGTAAGATGTTATCTAACAAGAATAGGATTTAAAATATATCCATAAATCTCCTTCTCATAATTAACTCCTCAGTAAATACAACTTAAAAAAAGTGGAATATTTTTGTTAAAATAATGACAATAATCCTTTAATGCTAGGAGGTAAAAATAGGGATTTTATTATAAATTAACAAGCTAATTAAGTCAGACCTGCTACATCCTTGCTCTAGAGGAGTAAAATTTTAATTCCTTAAACAAAAGCTTAAAGGGATTTCAATTTATAATAATAGCTAGTTGTTTCTAACACAAACTAATCTTAGCAAAGTTAATTTTAAAATTAAAGAAAATTTACTAGTAATCACTAATAATAACCTATAAAAGTTGATTAGGCTAATTAGTCATTTGAAGAAAATTATGATAATAATTTTGTTTTGTAAATACCTTAGCAAAAAAATAATTATCTATATGATTAATTGCAACAAGAATATTAATTACAAAATGACAATCTAAAGTTACAATAACCAATACTCGGTTAATTTAAATAGTCTGAAAACTGTAACGAGTTACCATTAAATAAATAGAAATCGTCATAATCATCTAACAACTCCACAAGGCGTGTTATCATAATAAATAAAAGCGGTAGTTAAAAATAATATAAGCATCAAACAGAGCAAACTAATTTTCCTGATTAAAATTTTAGTTCCATTAATTCATTTGAAGATTTTTCTCTTGATAGAGAAAGAATAAAATCTGTAGAAAGCTCAGAAGCAAAATTAAAATAAATTTCAACTTCTTAATAAAAGTATAAAGCTCAATCAAATAACCAAATAGGTGCTAATAAAGCTTCATAAGCTAAATCAGCTTCTTAAATTTTTAATAGAAGCTCTACTTAACTATAACTTTAAATATAATAAATGAAATCAAATGATACATAAAAAATTAATTTGAATATCAATGAAGAGTTGAGAAAGAAATCAATAAGAGGATGGTCATTTGTATCTGAAGATGAAATTTAAGAAACTCTAACTCTTAGATAAAATATCAAAACTAAAGAAAATTGAAAATATTAAGTAAGATTCATCCAAATTTAAAATTAAACACTTCACTTAAATATGTTTTGGAGAAATAAATGAATGATAGTAGCAAAAATAAAAGTTAAATTAAATATTTTTTATTAATTTTTATTAATTTGAAAGCTCCATTTATTTTTATTAAAGATTAAATACCTTTTAATTAAATTAAGTTTACTATGATTTCAAAAACAAAAAAATTTATAAAAATATTTAGGATTAATATATAAGCATAAAAAAAATGTCTTTTTCATAAATTCATTTGTTTTTGTAAAAAAATAAATAATTAAAATAGAGAAAAAATAAAATTTGTTTTCTATATTGTTTAAATGTGTAAAAGAAAGTCATCTAACTAAGCGTTGTTTGTTGTTGTTTCTAAAAATAGTTTTTATTTTCATGCGTTTTATTCACATTAAAAACATAATAAATTACAATTACAAAGATCAACCAGCTTTAAATTTTATAATTCTATCTATTTTAATTACGAGTAAATAAATAGATCTAATCTAACACCAACCTTATAAATAATTGGTCAAAAAAAAAAAGATTAAAACTTCAATAATTTTTCTTAAAAATTAGAATAGTAAATATTCAAAATGGCTTTGTAAAGATAAGAAAGTGACAATTAAAGTTATCTTTCACTTCAGACTTAAGCTGATGACGTAGAGATAATTATAAATGGTAACAGTACTTAAAGATTACCTAAGGAAATATCTGATTTACTTTAGTAAAGAAGCGAAATTAAGCAAAAAATGAAAAAAGAATGTAAAAGTAATTGTTGTGGAAAAGAAGAATATATTTCATTTGATAACCATATAAACATGCTAGAAGTGTCATACTATAAATAATTTATTTGGCCTATTTGTAAAGAAGGTCTTAATTTAAACATGTAAATGCATGAGACTTGCAAAAAGCTGTGGAAGTTGAATTACAGAGATTACCAAAACTATTTAGAAGCTACTTACATTTTTATATGAGTTGATTGCTCTTTTTTAATATGCTTTTAATAAAAATTAAACAAAATAAAAACAAACCAACAATTAAAGGATGTGTTTAATTAAAATTCTTAAGGTAAAAAAAACTATTTAGATTTATTGAAAAAAATAAATATGATCTTTAAAAAAATAATAATATATAAATAATGTACTTCTATATCTTAGTTATTATAGTTACTAATAAATTGAACAAATTATATAATTGAATGGATATCTTTATATTGTAAAAATGAATGCAATCTTACAAAAAATTTTAAATTATAAAACGATAATTATTATTTTGATTGTTTTTATAATTAGTGTGATCTTTTAAGATCATTAAGGTACAACAAAATCAAAGTGAAAGCCTCTTTAAACAATATTTTAAAGTGTTTATCCATCTATTTCTATTTATCTTGATTCAGCACCTTGCTCATCTTAAATTTCAACAGATGGTTTGCTATATTTTCAAAAAAAAAAACAAATAAAGTTTGTCAAATTTACTTTTATTGATATATAAAAATTACTTGAATTAAATTAAGTAAGCTTAGTCTTCCATATTTATTTCAAAAGCATTTAATTCATCTAAAAATTTATAAAAGTGTCCTTCTTCCAAGGCAAAGCATTCTTAGAAATCAAAATCAAGTTAAGGAAGATCTAAAATTATTTCTAAATTCTCTGATATTTAGATTTTTTCTTAAATATATTCCTCCACTATTGATTCTTTTGTTTCTATAAGTAAGATGTAAAGCTCAAGGAAAGACAAATTTTTAACTATTTTTCCTTCAAAGCTATTAGATTCAATTGAGATTTCTAGAGATCTTAAGTTTTTATTAAATTAAAAGTTTAAAATAAATTATAAAATGTTTTATTTACTTAAATCCAATCACATATCCAACATCATTCCATACAATGCTTTAGGCAATAATATTTTCTTAGAGAATTTATGGATCGAACTCTCTTTCAGCTTTTAATAAAAATAAGTAAATATCAAAATTAAATATTTTTTAATACTATCTTCAATTGAGAACTAAGGAAAATCCATTTATTGTTGTTCTTACTACGATTGATCGTATTATTCTAATTAAGATTACTCTTACCCTTCTTCTTATTCTTAGAACTGTCTTTCATATTCTTAATCTAAATATTACTATTCTTCCTGATTTTCATATTCTACTCCTTCCTGTAACTAATATTCATCTTATTCAGCTTATCTTAAATATTGCTCCTCTTCCTCTTATCCTTAATATTACTAGCTATTCTCTTCTTCCTAAAATTATTGTCCTTCATTTTAATTAAATTATGAATCTTCATTTCCTTAATTCTAAAATTCTTCGTCTTCTTAGTATTCTTCTTAATATTATTGATTTTTTTCATAATTTTACTAACTTTCTTCATATTATTACTAATTTTCTGAATATTATAAAGATTCTTAATGTTCATCTATTGTTCCATTTTATTATAATTCTTGATTTTAATGCCTATCATCTAAATGTTTGCTAAGAGTCTATTAGGAGTTTTCTAATTCTTCTGTAATATCTTCAAATCTATTAATTTAACTAAATTAAAATAAATTAAAAAAAAAAATGGTCTGCTATAATTATTTTTATTACTCTTTTTTATTGTTTTAATTTTATTATTCATTTAAATAATAATTTTGCTAAGTTTAATCAATCTTTTCCTCTTAAAACTTTTGCTTATCTTCATAATTACCATTAAATTAATTTTCATGTTATCTAAATATTAAAAAAATTTTTAAATTTATTCTTTTATGATTAATGTATTTTTTTTACTAATTATCTTTAGGGGTATCATTAAACCCATTCTTATTGTTGATTTATTGAATTATTTGCCTAGATTCCTCAACATCCTCTTCGTCTTCTTAAGTTCTTTACTATTATTCACTAATAGTTTTTAGTCTTTCATTCAAAGTTTCTTAAAACTATTTCATTTGCTGATCTTATTTATTCTCGTTGCTTTCAAGCTGAATATGAAGATTTTATATAATTTATTTCTTTTAATCTTAATGCTTCTAATCTTTTTCAATTTTCTAGCTTTCTTATTTCCTGATTTCTCCTTTTTGAATAGTTTGATCTTCTGAATGAAAACTTCTTGAGTTTGATTTTATTTAGAGCTCTACTTGTTTTGCTTTAGTAGAATCAAAATGGCGTAGCTATTTTTTTTAAATAAAATTTATATTTTATAAAAATAATATGATATTTTTTTGTTATACATATTCTTTAAGGCTCTCATAGTCAGTCTTAAATAAATCTAGCATATCTCTTTTTTTAGTTTAATATATTTGTTTATGAGCCAATTCTGAAACATACATTTCTATAAAAGGGTATTGAACTTTTAATGTATATTTTCCACTGTATCCACCTTCATTGTTTTCGTTTTAAGATGCATCTTCTTAAATATAATCCTATTATTGAGGAAAACTAGAAGCCTTATCAAGAATACTTCCTGTAGGTTTTTTTGAAGGAAGAGAAGCAAATTTAGTGTAATCAATAACTATTTAATTGTTTTATACATAAATACATTTTTTAAACAAATCGTTTATTTCATCTGGATGGAAATTTTCAATCAAATACTATAAATCCTCAAACAATATCATAGTTGAAATTTTTTTTTTCCTTTATGCAATATCATTAAAGCCTTTCTTAACTGCTTCAATTTCAAATGACTTAAACATAACTACTATTTTCATTCCATTATAGTCTAAGACCTTTTTGATAAAAGTTCTTTTATCATTAAGGGCAGGATCTTTTAATGGCCTTTGCTTATAATCATTTGCATTACTTGTTGATTTAGCATTTTATTTTATCTTTTTTAAACTTTCTTATTGAGAAGATAGATTTTTTAGAGCTTGTTCTTTATCTCTATTACCAAACTTTTGCTTTTAAGATGATTTTGTTTGTTCGCGGAATTGCCTTATTTAAATAATGAAAATCAAGCTTAAAATTGAGTTATGATTTAACTTAAACAAATACCTATCACACAAATTTCCAAAATTTCTTGAAATAAAATTCAAATCACCATAAACTGGTTCTATTTTTGTATAAAATTGCAATAATCATTAATTTGAGTTAAATTTCATTAAAAATAGTTATTTATATTTCAGTTTCAGTAATTCAATATTTATATTACATCTAGGCATATCTAGTGGAGAGACATTAAAATTGATATCTTCGAACCCTCCAGGTTTATGAAAGACAGAATGAGAAGTTTTTTAAAACCTAATAGTAAAAATTATTAGAAATTTTAATTTTCCATAGATTTAATTTCAGATTAATTCATAAATATTTTATGTAAATTGAATTATCTTTAAATCTATTATCTAAATTCGAAAATAGATTACTATCTCACCGAATTTTATTGATTTAAATAATTTCTGTATGAATTAGGATCCAACAATTTTTTAACATGGGAAAGATTGCTATTAGTATCAAAAGATTGCTAGCTTCTTAAGTTTTGTTGTGACATTTCCAGCTAAACTCAGTTACAAAATGATTGATTAATTATCCTACTTACTTATTAATATATAATATTTATTTATTAAGTTATTATATCTATAATTAATTTATTGTTGTGGAACGAACTTTTTTTTTGTGATTCTAATTAATATCTTTAACATGAAACCTCTCTACTAAAGATAATTATTCCAAAAATTAATAAATAAATAATTGAATCTACAAATAATAGAATCTTTTTTATTTGTTTATAAATATGTATTTATACTTATTTGAATTAAAAAAAACTGAAACTTTACTGTCTTTAATTTTTTTTTTTTACATTTTTATTTTTTTAAAAAAATTATTTTATTGAAAATTTTTTGATTTATTTTTAATTTTATAGAAAGCAAATACAATCATTAAGAAATATAATGTATGATAATACAAATTTATTCATAATATTGATTATTCTTCCTCACCAGGTTTACAGAGAGGTATAAATTAAATTGTATTCATATTTCTATAATTTACTACTAGTGACGGATTTAAAGGATCAAGCTTCCTAGCATATTCAAAATCTTCAGCAGATTCTTAATATTTTTTAACACCTTTGAGAGCAAAACCTCTTCCAAAGTATGCATGTGGATTTTATGGTTACATTTCAATTACTCTGTTAAAGTCCTCCACAGATTTTTAATACTCTCCAACTAACAAATAACTTTTAGCTCTTTCATGAATGTAGTGGGCATAATTAGGCATGAGCTTTATTGCTTCACATAGTGGTTCAATAGAATGCAAAAATTTTTCTAAATTTGAAAAAGAAATTCCTAGATGATAATGAAGATCTGCTTCATATTTTGTTATTGGTCTCTTTTCATAAGATTTAAAGAGATCCTTGATACATGACTTATAGTCTTTGTTGTTGAAAAATGCAATACCCCTCTTATAAAGTACTAATGGATCGAATTCTCTTTGCTCAAGTGCTAATGTCAAGTCATCTATAGCTTTCTAATTTTTATTGATAATTTAATAATTAAACTTTTAACAAAAAATAAATAGTTGAAATTTACTTAGTATTCCTTAATATCAACATAAATGTTGCTTCTTTATAAAAGAAAATCTACATTTAAAGAAGATTTTTCAAGTGCTTAATTTATGTAAAAAAGAGCTTTATCATAATTCTCTAATTATCGATATGCCTGTGCCATTCCACTAAATATGCTAGGGGATTTTATTCCAAGTTATAGACTAAGTGTAAAGTCACTTAAAGCTTACTTTACTTTTTTTAATTCAATTAATGATAATCCTCTAAAATAATATGTTTCAGGGTAGGAAGGCTCTAATCTTATTGCCTTTTTTGTGTTTAGTTGTAATTTTAAATTTATTTTAAATTATTATTAAAGTAAATTACCTGATTAAAATCTGAAATAGAAAGTTAAAACTATTACAAGTCTTAATAAACTTTTCCTCTGCTTTCATAAACCAATCTATCATCTCCTTTTGCATCTAAAACAATTTTAAAATTTTCTATTGATTCCTATAAGTCTCCATTCAGATGCTACATTAATCCTAAATGATATCTTGAAGGTATATGATCTTCTTTGATACTTAATGCTTTTTTAAACATTTTAATAGCTTTTACATACTCACTTTACTCATGGTAAGTAAGACCTTTTGAGTGATAATACATCTCATTATTTGGGTTTAAAAGAATAGCCTTATCAAAGTCTTTGTGAGCTTCAAAAAATTATCTTTTATTAAAAAATTCATTTTAAATAAAGCTAGAAAGATTAACAACATATATAAGTAATTACCCTAAAGCTAAGTAAGAATTACCTCTAATGTAAAAATTACGAGAAGTTTAAGCATCTATTTTGATAGCTAAATCACATTCAACTATTGACTACTTATAATCTTTTAAGTGATATAGAGTTAAAGCCTTATTTGCATAATATTCAGCCTTTGTATCATCTAAATTTCTAGCTTCTTAAAATTTTTCAAGTGCCTTATTTGTCATAAAAAAGTTGTATTTAAATAGACATTAATTATTAAATTTACTTCTTCATATCTGCCATATTCAAAGAGAGACAGACCAAGTGTATTTTAAGCATTGGAGTCTTCTTTTTTAATTAAAGTAGCCTTTTCTAAATATTATATAGCCTCTTCCATTTATTTAGTTCTTCTATAGCATTCACCAAGACTGTAATATATTTTAAACAGACTATTTGAATCCTTAATATATTTTTAGGCCATTGTGAAATCTTCGATAGCTTTCTGTATATAGTTCAATAAAAATAAAAAATTTGAAACTATTATTATACTGACTAGTCTGGTGTAGTGTTTAATTAAGCAAAAAAACTTTGTTTTCTAAAATAAACTTGAAAAAAATTACCTTATATGATTCAAGATTAAAGTAGACTTTTGCCCTATTTAAATAGTTATGTCCATCTGTAGGATTTAAATTTATAGTCTCATCAAATTCTTAAAGGGCTTCTTTTATATTGCCAAGTTCAAGTTAACAATTACCTCTACTTGCTCATATTTTTCATCAAAAAACGATTTAAATTTATTCATAAAAAATATTTCCATTTATTAAAGTAATAAGCAATTTAAATTTAAATACCATGATAAGTAGCATTGTCTATCTCTTGCTTAACAGCAGTATCAAAATCGAATAAAGCTTTTTAATACTGTTTCATCCCTAGATAAGCTTGACCTTTTAAATGAAAATACTTGGCTTATCTATTCTCTGATAGACTAGGAATAGCTTATCTTTTTTTAATGCAAAATGTGAAAGAAATTGTAAGAAATAATTTTAAACAATAATACAATAATTTTAATCCATCTGATAGCAAAATATTAGCCTTCTCACAATCTACAGTGGTTTTATTCTCTTTACTCAATAGCTTTTTAGCTTCATTAAATTTTTCTTCTGCCTTTTTATAGAAAAAGAAAAAAGTTAAAGAATAATTAAGCAAAAACTAGATAGATCTTTATAAATCCAATAAATTGATTTTTACGTCATCATATTTTTTATCGTTGTCTTTATTTTCATTTTTTCTATTATTTCTTCTGTTTTTCATGTTGGTTTTTATCCTTAATAGACTTACTATTTATAAATATTATATATAAATTTAATAAATTATTTGAGAGAAGTAGATTCTTTTAAGATCTGATAATTTTATTTTTTATAGAAAAATGATATACCAAAATTTAATATTAATAAACAAACACAAATTCAAGCTTTTCAATAAATAAAGATAGTAGAATTTAAATTAGATTTTTTAAAAAAATTTTTAACTTTAATTTTTTAAATGCTTAATTAGATAAATATTTATTAAATTCTTAAAATGGTTAATATTATAATTTAATAAAGCTTACACCATTCCTACACTTAGAAAAATGAATGAATGGATACAATATTTTATTTTGATAGAAATAAAAATTGCGGGTATAACAAACACTCTTTGTATTTTAATAAATTTTCTTAATTTACTTTTCTTTAATTTTTTTCAGTTATTAACGATAACATTAATTAAGTTTTAACTATTTTTGTAAAAATAATTGAAAGAGAAACAAAATATTATTTAATAACAAATAAAAAAAAGATTATCAGTAAAATATAATAAAATTAGCAAAAATGAAAGCTAAAGCACCATTAAGCAGCATTAGCATGAACCAATAGCTTCCACCTAGGAGTTTATCATAAGCGTAGGACAAACAGACTTAATAAAAGAGTAAATTGAGTTTGAGTGACGCAGTAAAGACAAGCAATAGCTCTAAAATAAATAATAAGGAAAATTTGATATAAAGCTCAGCTTGTGTCTCAAATACTACAATAAGCGAGTCACAATCAAGAAGATCACTCTCTATTTCAGGCTCTAACCATAATATAAGCTAAAACAGCTGTAGTAATACTAGCAGCTTGCTAAAGCAAAATAACATGTCATAAGCTTTAAAGTAAAGTTAGTTGTATACTAAATAATCGATTATATATAAATGCTTAAAGTAAGGCTTAGATGATTTAGTATGCGAAAAGCATTCTAATCAAGAATATAATTACTTTTGTACAACATGTAAGACTCTCCTTTGTCATTACTGCTTAAATAGCGATATGAGTAGCTCAGAGTAAATTTATATATTTTATAAATAAATTTTATAAGAAGATATTTTGATATTTATTTTATCTGATACATAATTTATTAATTTTTAATAACAAATTTTATTTCCCACAATTTATTTTAAGTAAGGATATAAATAAATTGTTATTTTTAATTAATTAGCAAATTATGAAATGCTTAAATTCAATTTATTTTATTATTTATAGAGAAATTGATCACAGTGATCACTGGTTTTTGAATGTTCATTAATTTATGGATTATCCTGTTTTATCATTTTTAGAAAATAATAAACTGCTCTGTGAAATCGTTTCTTAAAGCTAATTCTTGTTTTAAAAGATTAAAGACTAAACTGAATGCTCTAAAAAGGTCTTAAAAGAATACTTGAATAGTCTTATGTAATGGATGTAGAAGCAGATAACATAAATTTAAGATACATTTGATAAGTAGATAGGTTTAAAACTTGATGGTATTCAAAAATAAATAGATTTTATTCAAGAAATTTCAAGTATTTACAAAAACGAATGGGATAACTGGATAGGCTCTAATGATATTTAATCAAAGTAGGATTTAGAAGATCTATGTAAAAAATTTATTGAAAACAGTGATGACCCATAACAATCAATTAAGCACAACTACGAAGTACTTAATGACATATTAAAAAGTATTCCTGAGTTAAATATTCAGGGATTTAAGGATCTTTATTTTAGAGTGACAGATAGTTTTAGATTTTCTTACGATTACTTGATAACCCCAAAAATGACATAAAATAATAATTAAAATAACTTGCTATAAGGTTTCAAATAAACTAAAGTTCAAATCCCTGATTCTCTCATACAATTATAAAAGAGTATCGAAAGTATTTAACGTTAATATTCTAATCTTGAAGTTGTATCTGACTTTTCTAGTAATGAGGCTTTTAAAATTCAAAATATTATTCCACTTTGTGAAGGTGAAAGTGATAAAATACTGGCAGTTGGAAGTGATTCTCCCATAGTAAAATTTATTTCTGTAAGCAAAAAGCGCTGTTTAAATACTCTTATAAGAAATGAAAATGAATAAATTAATAGCATTATACCATTAAAAGACAAAAAGCATATCGCTTTGTGTACTAATAACTATTTCGAATTGTTCTCATTGCAGACAGGAAAAGCAATATTTAGGGATAAAATGAATTGTATCTAGGCTTGCGAGATTCCATCTTCAAGAATATTAGTTGCTGACACTAATAATTTACTATATGTATATTCATTTGAAAATCTTAAAAATGTTTAAAAAGTTGCTACTTTAAATCCTAACATTTTTGCTAGTGCAATAGATTTTACAATTCTTCCTTCCGATATAGTTATTCCTAACTCAAGATAATCATTAGGAGATTAAGAAATAATAGCTATTGCTGATAATAACTTTTATTCTTCCCAATATTCTACAAATTAATCAAACAAATAAAAATGTGTAATTCAATTATGGGACATACAGTCTTTGTAACTTATAAAATTTCTTCAATGTCCGCAATTAAATTCAGGTATTTTAAAACTTAAATTTCTTAAAATGTCTGACAAAGAAAAAAATCTCCATCACTTACTTCTTGCCTTAACTAATGATTCTAAAATCTTAGTTTGGAACTACGTTAATTAAAATTAACCTTCAGCAGTTATTAATTTAATACCTGGAGAACAAAATTAAACTTAATATAATTCTACTAATTCTTTTAAATCAGTTAATTCATCCAAGTCTAACCCCTAATAATAACAATCCCTAAATGTATAAAATTTTGATCTTTTAGACGATGACAAGATAATTTACTCACTTGGCTCTACAATTCTGATAGCCTCTATTTATCAAGCTAAAATATTAGGATGTTTTTGTCATGATTCGATTGACGGAACAACTTAAACCTGCTAATATGAAAATTTTAATGATTTCGAACAGCTTTAAAGTATAAGTAATTAATATAAATCAGCATAAAATGGTAAATCATGCTCATAATTCACAAGCCTGATATTGCTTGGAAAAAATAGCTAAACAGAACCTATTATTTTAGCAAGTAAATATAACCCCTTAACCAAGAAATCATAAATCGAAAGTTTTAAAAAATGAATTAATTGATAAAGTCTCAAAATGAATAATGTACATTTTCTCTTTCTAAAAAATTAAATTATTGAATTTATCTTGATCTCAAAATTAAAATATGTTATTAAATTTATAAATAAATGTAAATAATTATTTCCTTCAAAATTTATTGTAAAAACTCTTCTATTATTCAAAACGTTTTGATTCATCAATTAAAATTTTATTTTTTTAAAATTATTTCCAAAATTTTTATTTATTATTAAAAATATTTATTTAAAAAAGTAATTATTTACTTAGTTAGCTTATAAAAATATTGTTTTTAATTTAACCAAAGCTAAAACATTTAAAATTAATTAAAAATTTTTCTTTCTTAAATAAAAAAACATAAATTTAAATTTGCAGGATGTTTTGGATGGATGGATGGATGGATGGATGGATGGATGGATGGATGGATTGATAAGAATGAGTTGATATTGTTAGTTAATGAATATAAAATATATGATAAGATTTATAAATTAATTTGTTAAATTATTTTTATTGAATTTAAATGATTTTCATAAAATTGATTTTGATTATATCTTTTTTTAGAAAAAAGGCTTAACTACATTTAGACTTTGAAAATATCTGTCAATTATAGCCCCACTTTTCTATAGTTAATTTTTAATAAATGGTTATTAGTCTTTATATTATTTTATTATTTATTGCTATTCTTCTTCTTCACTTTGAAGTTTTTCCTTTTCATTGATGTTCTTATTTTTGTTTTAGTTCCATAATTAAATTAAATCTTTTTTAATTTTATGCTTTCTTTCATTTTAAATTAAATTTTTTTCATAGTACTTTTCATTAAAATAATCTGCCTGCCCAATTTATTCTATAGAACTACCTTTGATAATATCATTGCAATCATTTAAAATACTACTACAAGCCAAGCTTTCAATAGAATCTTCTTTTTTATGCAATCTGTTACCCAGTACACTTCTTGGCTAGTTTCTAGATATTTTATACATCATTCTTGGTGTATTTGATGAACTATTATATTATACATCTTTAAATTCATTGTGGCTTTCAGGTCTAACTCTATGTGTTTAAGAAACTTAATTTTATTACTGAGAACGCTCCCTAAGTTAGCTTTAAAGTTTTAGATTTAATTTTACTAGAGCTTATTTTTCAAACTGAAATTAGTGGTGCTTTTTTTAATCTAAACTATTGTTATTTTAATTAGAATTCAAAGGAGTATAGCTATTTTTATTTTTATTATTATTACTGTTATTTATCTATGTTGTATCACCTTACACAAGAATAGTCAAATCTTTTGATTTTGTTTTTTTATCAATCTTTTAAGAAGTGTTTTCAAAATTAGATTAAATGAGGTCTTGAGTTAAGAATGTACTGTATGTTTCCTAAGATGCATTATTGGGACTGCAATAATTTTATTTATGCTAATAAGCATTCGGAGTTTTATACAAATCATCTATCCTTGTTGAAGATTATTCGATAAATATTTCATTTTCAGCTCCCTAAACAGACTCAAATGCAGTCTTGGATATCGATAGTTCCCTTACTTTTTTTTTGAGGGTGAATTAATTTGGTTGTATAAATGAGTTAGGAGTGTTCTAGCGACTATTTATGTTCTTATCTTTTTCCTTATGAGGTTATTATTAAATTGAGCCACTGTTATTCCATATTTTCGAAATATCTTGAGATGATGGAGTTTTATTTTAAAGTTAATTGAAATGGTAACCATTCAAATTTTCTTCAGCAACTTTTTTAGAAGAAATCATGCTAGCCACTCTTTATCTTTTTTATTAGTTACTTGAGCATCTAACTCTAAAGCTTAAGTTATTCTATTCTCCATCTTAAATAATATTTTTTTATTATTCAAGCCATAATTTAGTCTGTTAATCTTATTCTATTCTTTTTTCTTTGCTTAGAGGCCTTTCTCCCATCTGCTAGTTCTTTTCTCTAATATGCTAGTACTACAAATTAATAGGTTATTCTTAAATATTATACTAATTTTTTTCACTTTTCCTATACTTCATTTCTCCTAGTTTTAAATAAAAAGGCTTTCCTTTTATAAAATCCATAATTTATTCATATTTAGCACTTTGTTTTCCTTGCTTGTAATTTTGTATCATGTCATCTTTATATAAAAGAATATATTTTCTAATCGAATAATTATAAATATAATGAATCAATCAATTTAGTTATTTATTCTCAGTTTATTTTACAAATAATCTAAAATTAAACAACGCTATTTATAAGCATGATAAATTGAGTTGATTAAACCAAAATTTAATTGTTAAAAAAGATTAAAGTACTTGCTAATTTTTAAATGCATTCTTAAGGAAATTCTATTTTTTGAGATGGATTTTTAGCCACTATGCTTTGAGAAACGCTAGGGCTTTAATATTTTCTTTTTTTGAAGTCCTCTAAGTGCTTTCTAAGATTAGGGATATAAAGCTGCTTTTATTTAGTTTATCGTTCTGAATATATTTGATCTTAGACTGCTTTATCATACTGCAGATTTAAATCTTTTTAAAATTACACATAAGATGTATTTTCAATTACTTCAGGCTATGCCTTATCTTGTTGAGAGTTATTTATGTTAATTTTAGAAAGATCTAAGACAAATTAACTCTTTTCTTATTATTGAATGATTTCTCTATCTTCTTTATTGCGAGGAGATAGGTTATGGTATATATCTTTTTTTAATACACTAAAATTATTTTTGCTACTCCTTCCCCGTGATTTACTTCTGAATTAATTCCTAATTTAAATGTATTTATTCAAGACATCAGAATTTTCAGCCATTACTTCATAAGATTTTAGCTTTGAGTAATTTACAATTTACTCCTTTTTTATTAAAATCTATATTTATTAATATCTTTAAATTAATAAGAAAATATCAAAATAGTATTGATTTTTATTAATTGATTATTAATTATTTTGAATAATTAAATTAGAAACACAATCAATTTTGATAACAACTACATCTGTTATACTGATGGATATACTAATTAATTAAATTAGACTGATTTTCTCTAGAATCAAATAAATAAATGGCTCATAATTAGTCTAGTTTTTCATAATTTTTTTATCAACCAATTAATTTATTAAATAAATTTTAATTCAAAAAAAATATTTAAAAATACATAATTGAAATGAACAGAAACGAGTAATCTCTAAATGGAATAAACTTTTTTTAGGATTTATATTAGATTTTAGATTCAATTATAGAATAATTACCTCAAAATATCTCTAATTTAAAAGGATTGCATTGCCAAGTAGAGCTAATAGAAAGAGGATTGGATATAGAGAATAGCTTTTTATCATAAAACTATGAAATGTAGTTAAATTAATCTTTAATTTAATTAATTGAATATATATAATAAGTCAATTAAGATTCTTATGATGTTATTAAGATAAAAGAAAATCTAGGAATGAAATAATTTTTAATAGAATAGCATGATTTAATAAAACAAACCATTCAGAAAGCTTATTAATGTCTAATTTTAGTTTAGTTTGAAAATAGTTTTGTCATTTTAGATTAGTAATAACAAATTAAATTGAATAAAGTCTAGTTTGATAAAAGTAATTAATGTGATATTGCTTTCATATTTTATAATAAAAAACTGAGCTTTTCAATTGAAGAACTAATAGATTACATCAAACTTTAAAGAATATTTCAAAACAATTACTTAATCTCAATTAAATATTTCCCTCTAACAATATTCTAGGAACTGAAAAACTCAGATTTATACATCATAGACAAATTTTGTGATATTGAAAGTGAAGAGGCAAGACATTTGAATGATTAATTTTTTGAAAAGTTGAATGAGATAGAGTATGACTTTGATAATTTTACTTATATTTAAGAACAAATATATTTGAATAGCATTTTAAGCGATTAATAAATTTCAGAAAATATTAAAGCAGTCTTTAATATTTAAGATAGGATAATTTAATAAAGTATAATAATTGACTAAGATACTTTATTTAAAGTATATTGCGGAATTCAAGAATCAGATATTGAGTAATGCGTATATTTTTATTTCTACGAAAATGGGTAAATGACAATTAAAGTTGAATTATAAGAAATTCAAAAGAAAGTAATGAATGCTTTACTAAGTTAAATAAACGATAAATTTTAATATAGTAATAAAAGAGAGATTAAAACTAATTTGCATGTTTAGAAAAACATACCTAAAAAAAGAGGAATAAAGAATTATTACAATTTTCTATTTATTATCAATTTAGTAAAAAATACAGAAGAAGATAATAATCGAGATTTAAATGATCTAGAATAATATCTAGATGGCTTTAAAATTATCTAATAAACTCAATTTCTGCATGAACTAAATTATTAATTTGAAAAATCAAACTAGGAACAAAATATTTTAAATTTAATATAAACTAAAATTCCTTTTGTAGTAGATATGATGATTGAAATTAGTGATTTATTCGATGAAAAAATTTAACCTGAAGAAGCTTAAATACTATAAGAGTGCTTGAATAATATTTTTTTATCAGATTTACTTTAAAAGTAATTTTGAATAGTAACTTTATTTAATAATATTATATATTGTATTTTTTTTAAAATGAAAATTAGCATCAATTGATAAACTAACTATATATTAAAACCCGCTTTTTTTACTTTTTAAAACTATTTATTAAAATTTTAATAATTTAAAAATTTGATTATTTATTTTACTTTATCTATTAAAATTTTTTTTCTTTAATAAATTTAAACAAGAATAAAAATAGATATTTATTTTTAAAAGGTTAATTTTATTTTTTTTATTAATTCTTTTCATTTTTTATGAGTAAAACAAGTTACTTCATAGATTAATAAGATTTTTATAATATTAATAATGAATAATATACTATTTTTATAGATTATATTAATTAAGTCTAGTTATTTAATGAGATTTAAAATTGATTTTTTCAGAAAAAATAGCTTATAATTTAAAATATAAATAAATGTAAAGGAATAATAAAAGCAAATGAAGTGATATTATTTTTCATTTTAACTAAATATATTGATTAATGGTGTATTATAAAGAATTTTTAAACTAATCAATTAGCATCTGATTACTATGATTTGTTGGGAGAAGCAGATGCTATAAATGTTTTTGTCTCTAAATTTTAATATCTTTGGAAGAGTTAAGTATTTTATTCAAAAGTTACTCCAGGAGGCTATTGCTTACTTTTATTTTATTATGCTTTAGGTAAAATACGATTAATTACATAAGAAGGATCTACTCTATCAATATGCTACAGTAGTTTACTGAATGAAACAGTATCTTAATTAGGATTTTAATCAATAATAGCATAGCAAATACCTTCTTCTACATTTTCTTCATAATTTTGTAAGGGTTTCTTATATAAGCTGCTCTTCATACGAGCATTTCCATTTTGTTATTAAGAGAAATGCATACTTGATTTCATAAAATTTGATTTTGTTTACCCAAACATTCCTTAGTGATGAGGATAATTTAAAGATGAATTACTTTTATTATGATTAGAGTTTTATATAGAGAATCCTCCTCCTTGCTATTCACTTACTTCAAAAACTTTTATTTTTTCAGCATGCCATTGCTCTAATTTTAATTTTTATTACAAAATTGCTGGATCTCTCATCTTTTTTATTGATTTTAATCCTCTTGGTAAGGCATATTTTCCTACAAGATAGGTACTATAATTCTCAGGGTGAGGTATTTTTTATATTTAAGGCTCAATTGGATCGGCTTACTAAGTGTTGTTTGTTTAAGATTGTAAGTTAGTATTAGTTACTACTGTTTATAATTTATTTTAAGAAGGAATTTTCTATTCTTTTATTTAATATTATTTTTGAGGTTTTTACTCTAATTAGATTTATTAATTTTATGATACTATTTCTGATGGTTTTGAAACTTATTATTCAGTATTTGTTTCTAAACGAAGTTTACTTTACCTATTATCTCCCAAAGAAACTTATTATACAGCAGCTATTTCTTCATTTTAATTATTTGCCTAATACTGATAGAGTTTATTTAAATTTTCATCATGCGAAATCTCTGATGAGTTAATCCCATACTTAAAGTGGTTAGTTTAGTGCTTATTTTTATCAGTTTCTTATTCAGCTTATTGCTTTTGGAATTATTACGATAAATTTTAGATTTATTTACTTTATATTTTTTTACGATTAGTAAGTATACCCATATTACCATCTATTATACCCATGTACTTAACGCTATAAGACCTATTAATTATTCCGTTAGTATTATTTATTATTTCATTTAATGGTCTATTTTAGAATACTTCTGCCTAATCATATCCCAATTATTATAGAGCATTTAAATACTATTCTTTTGATCCATTAACCTTTGTTGCATAGTGCAAATATTCATAAGGGGAATATAGCTTTTAACTCTTCTCGCTAAATGCAAATCCACTTCTTGAACGCATTTATTGCTATGATTAAGTTCTATTTATCAGAGGATTTTAGAAATTTACCATATCTTTTGCTTAATTTAAATCAAAATATAATCCTGGCTATTCTAATTTACTATTATGAGATCTTTTTTGATTATAACTTGTTTATGGTACAGGTCTATTATTCTGTTATCTTGAAAAAAAAGGTCTAATCCTTTCTCCCTGCTAAGAAACAGAGGTTCTTAATTTAAAATCACTCATATTTAGTTAGGTATTAAAAAATTATAAATAAATATATATTTGAAATAATTAATAGTATTATTCTTTATTAACCTAAGTAATAATCAATTAATTAAAATTTATTACTTTAATATTAATAGAAATTTAATAAAATAAATTCTTAATAGAAATATTTGATCCAGTTAAAATAATTTACTTTTTTATTTTAAAAATAATACAATAGGCAGCAATAAAAATAAACAAAATTAAGTATTTTATTAAACGGTTTTATTTATAAAAATTAAATATAATTTTATATTTTATAATTTTCTAATTTATTAAGTGAGTAAAATTTATTTTTTATTTTGGTTTTTTAGTATTTAATAAATTTATCAATCAAAATATGGTAGAACTTTCTATTCTTTTTTCTAAATTAGACACAGATTTAAAGTTTTTATGTCTATTATTAAGTTTATAAGTGTGTTTCTTTATTTATCTTTATTTATAAAAATATATTTTAATATTTTGTTAATAATTCACAATTAAAATTAGATGAAAAAACAAATTATTTATTTTTAAAATTACTTTGTTAGGATTGTGTTAGATTCCAAAGATTGATTGCATTCTTCAATTACGTTTCTAATACAGTTAACATACCCATTTAGTTCTGGATTTTTAGTATTTTTTAAGATTTACTCATAATTTATTTGATCTTAGAGAGTTGTTGTATTTTCCATGTTTCTGTCAGAGAGTGATTCATTGTCGTCATCGCTATCAGAATTTTAGTTATTAATATTAGGGATATTATTAAGAGATTATATGTCTCTATCAGAATTCTTTTTTGATAAATTCAATTATATTAACTCTGTTTTCTTATTAACCGAATTAATATTTCTCGATCTATTGATACTTTCTTAATTTAATGATTTTGGCATAGAAACATTTCTCTTTTTTAAGATGCCTTAATGGCTAACATTAGCCTTTAAACTATCTTAGCTGATATCACTGCTAGATTTTGTATTAAATAAATTAATTTAATTTAATTTTTAATCTTTTTTATCACTGTATCGAGATATATCTTTTTATTCTAAAATATAATCATCTGCAAGGTCTTCATTACTTTATCTGATAGAATCCTTATTATTGGTATAATTTAATATCTTAGCAAAATCTTGGGCATTCATAGGGCTACTTTCTAAACGTTCATCTTCTACTTCTTAGATTTCATATTAATATCCTTAATCACCCTGAGTAAATTATGCAGATAAAGGAATATTTCTTAAACTTGAGCTTCTTGCTTCTTCTGAGTCTGAGTTTTATTTCTAATTTGCGTTATTATCATCTTCTAAATTTTCTTCCCCATCAAAAATCATTGTCTTTTTTTTCTATAGTAATCTAACTTTTATATCCAAAGGTGTTCTATTTTCATAGTGTTTAATTTAATCTTCAATTGATTGCTTAGTAATTTGTACACCTTATTTAAGATCTTCTAATATTCTGTTGACCTCAGCTTATTTTTACAGCTTATCTGGGCGGTATATATTTGCTAGTAGCTTTTCAACTTCTGGGAGACTTCCTTTGCGATTTTAAGAAGATATTCTTTTTACCTTCAATTTCTTTTTACCACTTGAATTAGTTGTTACATCTTACTATGAAAAAACAAGAAACTCTTTCTTTTAACTACCTGACCATAGCTCTGTAGTACACATACTACCTTTCTTTTCAAAAAATTTTGGTTAAATAATTAAGTTATTATCTTCAAGAAGGATTGTAGTAATTTCATCTAACCTCTACGTTTAATACTAAATCTTCAAATCCTATTGCTATATTTATTGTTACATTTCCTATATACTCTTTTGTTAAATCTTAGGAAGATATCTTTCACTGCTAGACTAAAACTTTACAGATTTAAAAGGTGAGTAGTATGAATTTTATTATTTAGATTCACTATTAGTAGAATCTAATTATGATTGTGAATAATTACCACTGTATACCTTCCTATGAGAAAAGTAAGGGGAAGGATTAGCAGAATTGGATTAGTTATCTTTTTTATTACTAAATTGAAGACCAATTTAAGGTAGAGAAAAATTTCTTTGCATTTTTTTAAGAAATTCTGATATAATAGTGGTAAAATTGATTGATTTATTTTGATTGAAATTTGTTACTGATTATTATATCAAATTTATATGATATTTTTGCTAATATATTCTTCTTAATTTAGTATAATCTCTTTAATAAAATTATCAATTTGTTTCTAAAATATCAATCAATAATTAATCACAAAATTTACTAAATAAAAATAATTGGACTGATCAAAGTATTAAATCAGCTTTTTTAATGAAAATTAGTTATTTACTGATACTGGCTATAAAGATACCAAATTAAATTGTGTAATATATTTATTAATATAGTTATCAGCTTATCCAAAAAATTTAAAAAAAGATACTATCCTAACGCATCCAATATTTAAAGATTTAAATTCTAAAAAATTTATAATTTTTTTAATATTTTGTTTGTAAGAACCTCTAAATTTTTGGAATTTGGTAAATAATACTGAATAAATCTTAAAATTCTGTTATTATTTTGTATTTTTCAAAATATTATTTTGCTTAATCCTTTAATATTAGCTTAAACGTAATCAAAAAACAAAAAATCAATGTAAATTGAATCCATTAATAGTATCTTGATAAAAATAAATAATTTTTCTTAATTTTTACAATATTACATTTTCATTAATTCTGAAGTAATGAATTTGCTTACAATAGCAAATTAAATTATACTTTGAAATATTTTTAGATTTTTGATAAAAATAGAAAATATTTTTTATTAATGTAATATTAAATCTTAAGATTTTATTACAATTGAAGATAAAGTACTATTTAATTTAATATTTTTATTGTTAGCTCAAATATAATTTAATAAATAAATAAATGATAAATCCTTGAACTGGATCTTGATAAAAATACAAAATTTAATCTTTCATAATTAGGGTATCTGCTCTCATAAGTACCAAGATTAAATAATATATTTGTTATATAATTTTCTCACTTAAGCAAACTATTATAAAATTTTAATCATATATATTGATCTGTTTTATATTATTCTTTAAGAGTGTTTTAATAGTATTTAATCTGATGCATTATAAATTTTTAATATAATGAGAAAAATATTTTTAAATTTAATCTTTTAATTCTTAACTCAAATATAATTTAAAAAAGAAATCAAAGTTAAATCCTTCAATTATTTATTCTTAATAAAAATTTAAATTATTCTTTCATAATTTGTACATCTGCTCTCATAAACACCAATATATTTTTATAATTTTTTAAGTGATGAATTTAATAGAATAAGCGAACATTAATTTTATAATCATATCTATTGATTTGTTTGTTAATTTTGAAGAAAAGTGTTTTATTAATACATAATCTATAGCATCATAGAATTTTAATACTTGGAGAAAGTATTTCTATTCAAAGAATTATTGTAAATGAGGATTTAAAAATATTCATTTTTAAAAATTAAATTAAGGAATAATTTTATTTAGAAATATAAAATTTTATTTTCATAAATATTTAATTAAATTCTAGATTTTTCTGAAATATTTTTTTCTATTTCCTATTTATTATTTATGATAGATAGTTTAATTTAATTAAAAACAATAGTGACGTAATTTAAGTATCCCGAAGCATTATAGATATTAATTGGGAACTCATATTTCTTATTTGTGAATCATAATATAAATCAAAATTAATAAATTAAATGTAAAAAGAAATGAATCAGGCTAAAATGATATCATAATAGATAGATAAAATTAGTAACTCTCTCTTTCTACTAGAAAAACAAAATTCTAAAAAGGCAGCTATATTATATATGCTTATAGCTTAAATATTGTATTCTATTATGTATCTGGTTATAGGTTTTTTAAGATCTGAGTATTAAACTTTACAAATTTTGTATATGAGAATGTTTTATGGACTCATTTTTAACACTTCCTTTTGTTAGGTAAAAAGATTGGATGTTTATGTTGATAACTATTAAGCATTAAAACTTTTAATATGGCGTGGAATATATGGCGCATTAGGAATGATTCTCATGTTTGCAAGTATAAACTTTATGAATGTCTCAGATTGTGTTGTTATTAATAATCTCTCTCCAATTTGGACAAATATTATGGCTATATTTTTTTTGGGTGAAAAATTTTCAAAAAAAGCCTTAATCTGCTTTTTTTTAGGATTTAGTGGTATCGTATTGATGAGTAGACCCAGCTATTTATTTAGCATATAAAATAACCATGAAAATAAAAATTATAATTAATTTGTTGGAACATTTCTGGGGTTATTAGGAAGTATTTCTGTTGCATCAATAACTATCACACTAAAAAAGTTGACAAGTATTCATAAATGCCATAATATTGTATAGTAATAGTATAGCTATATAGTTACTATATTTTCTACAGCTATACTATTATTTGTTTTTAATTAAGCATATTATGACATACTAAATTTTAGATTCTTAGTATGTTGTTTCTTTTTATCATTGATTGGATGGATAGGATAGCTTTTATTTTCTAGATCTTATGGTTTAGAAAAAACATCACTTATAGCACCAATAACTTACATAAATTCACTTGTATCATTTTTAGCTGATTTATTTATATTCAACTAAGAAATATAACTTTCTAGTATTATCGGATCAGTTTTAATTATCTCTGGAAGTGTAGGTATAATTTTTTGATTAGTATAAAATCAGTAACCATTTTATGGTCTTTTTTAAGAAATTTTATTGTTGTAAGTGTTATACATTTATTTAAAAGAATAAGAAAAGGCCTTAGTTAATTACAAGTTTTCTTTTTTGTTTATAAAAGTATTCTTATATTAATCTGCGTATCCTAAATTTAAAATTTATCCTTAAATTTTGTTAAAAAAGCAAATTTTTTACTTATTTTCAAAATTCAAGCTAAATAAAAAAGGCAATTATTTTAAAAAGCTTTTTATAAGATTTTAGTCTTTATGTGTTACTTAATATTTTTGGGTAAAAAGTACTTAGAGCCAAGCATAATGAAATTATTATGTTTTTTTGTAGTGAAAATTTCATCTAGTTATTTTCTAAATTATGAGGGTTTTTTAAATAAATATTAAGATAATTTTATTATATTTTTTATATTTTAGAGTAGATTCAGAAAAATTAATCAAAAAAAAATAATTTAATAGCATTTTTTTGTTAAAGGTAAAAAGAATTCTTTAAGGACATATTATTATGATAATAAATTAAATAGCTTTTATTAAAGCTAATTAAGAGTCTATTAAGTATACAACCGCTCAAAAATATAAATTTATATTTATTAAAATAATAAAAGGAATTTTTAAAAATCTAATCAGTGTAATTAATTATAACTTGATACTCATATTTAAAAGCAAAAAAATATAATAAAGTCTATTTAAAAAATTGCATTATGGGTCTTCATAAAATGAAATAAATAATCGATGGCTAAATGATTACATTACTAATTACTAAATTATATAATGAGCTCATATTTTATGATTTTGGATAAGTTTAAAAATTTTTTTATAATTCAATTAAAATTTGCATTAGAATGAAAATGAATGTGCTTTTATAAAATTTTTAATTTATACTATTAGAAGTATTCATTAGTTCATGCAAAGACGCATACATACATATATTTTATTTTATTTTAACTATTTATTATGAAGGGAAATACTTTTTGATGAAAAAGAAAATATAAAAAACTTAAAAAAGAAAAATAAATTCAAGACAACTTTTTCTATATGTAATAAGCAGGCAATTTTATATTTTTTTAATAGAAGAAAACATTCGAAAAACATAATGCAGCAGAAAGCAAGATGAAAGAGAGAGCCCCAGATTAATAATGATAGAGAATGATGCAAATTGATATAATTGTAATTAAATTACAAGAATATATATCTAAATAAGAGCGAAAAACTAATTACCACATACAAAAATAATTAAAAAAGCGATAAAAGATTAACTATAATTTGTAAAAAGAAATTGTGTAACAAAAACGAGAAAAAATAAGACTTTTCATTATAAAAAAGAAGATATTTAAAACTTTTTGTGACAAAGACATCACACCCTTCCTTCCATTTAGAAACAAAAGAAAATATAAATATATATTTATTTGGTAATAAAATATCAATATTGAGTGGACTTAGTTCTGGCTGAAAGTGAATATCATGCTTTCATTTAAACAAACAGATCCTGAATATATTTCTCCTACATCACCATAATACGATTCATTCCAATTTCAAGAGAGCTAATCAGATTAACATTTTTAATAAGTAAATTTGCATTCTTCTTCATTTACTCCTACTAACTCAGAAAAAGCAAAGAAGATGGTTACTTAAGAATATATCGAAGACATCAATTAAGATTAAGCTTCAGGTAGCAAGAGAAATATTTCAAGTTAAGATTGCTTCAATCAGCAAAACCTTATTAAATAATAATAATCACAAATAAATACTTCTGGGGTAAATTATCAAAGTGTAAACCATTCAGTTAAAGCACATAAATAATAAGTAAGTTTAGATAATACCTTATAATATTAAACTTAAATATCAACAAAATAATAAACTTTATAAAATACTCAAACTGAAAAGATAAGCACAAAAATGTCTAATCCTTAAATCGGCAAAGCAAATTTGTAGTGTAATAATTCTATTTCATAACCTAAAAATTAAATATAGTAGACTTAAAAACCAAAAAGTACTTAGAAACCCCATAGTTTAATCAGTAAAACTTCAAAATCTATCTAAAAGCGTAAAAAAATTGGATTTAAACCCAAACGAACTTGGTGTGGAGGATAAAAAGATGATGGACATTGTCATTTCTAATATTTATCTGAGAGTCAGCGCTATTTAATTCCAGGAGATATTGTAATTCATCTTGATTGGTTTTAAGATAAAACGGGGTTTATAGCTAATTATGATGCTGACGAAAAACCTGCTATTAGGATAGAATATGATAAAATTCATGAGACTATTGAGATGCAATTAGCTAATAATTAACCATAACTCCAGTGCTATGACTATTTGAGTCGCTTCTTAAGGAGCCTTGAAGATCCCGATGCATATGATATGAGCGAAAAAATAATGCAGCATGGAGCAAACATGAGGAGGATATAAATATTTAATCGCAAGTTATACGAATAATACAGAATCAATTTTGATGAAAGGAATGATAAATTCTATCACAAGGCAAAGTAAATTCTGATTGAAAATTATGTAAGCAGTATTTGTCTTTTCTAAATTATCTTAACTAATCCTCAAACATTGTTACCTGAGCGCATGTTCGATGGTGTAACTAAATCTTGTGCCTAGCTCTTTTTTGGGGAAACATTTGGAGGGAATGTAACTGAATACATTCTTAGATAGGGAAATTTAGAGCTTTTTAATCACAGAATGAAAATCTCTTAAAAAGAGTTCTAAATGTATAATTTAAATAGCAACACCAAAATTTAGCACAATTTAAGCTCTAACATGTATACTTCTGATAATATCACATTTCCTGTCAATATAGACTATATCATCCATCCTCTTGATGGTGACGATTAATATCGTATTCATGAAGACATGACAAACCACCATTTTTTAATTATAACACGCATAAATATTCATCCTGAAGTTGAAGAGAATTTTATCCATCTGCGTGCATCAATTCCCCCAGAAGAGAAAATAAAAAGCCTAAAGATTAAAAATTTATAATATAAAATTTAATCAAATATGTTTATAGAACGATTTTATCCTGATTTGTCCAGATAGAATAAAGCGAAAATATAAAATACAGGTAGCTCTAATAACTGCAATAGCAACTCTAATAACACTCTTAATAATGGAATATAATATGGAAATGGAATTGGGAATCCTAGCTTAAGTGAAGTTAAAATAATAAATTAAAAAGCTAAATTTTAAGTTATTTAAATTCCATTAAATGATTCTATTTCAACAGAATTGTGAAATTTTAGTTTAATTATAACCATCGATATTCAATTTTAGCAAATATTTAAATGAATTTCCTCTTCCTAGCTAGTATTTATTATATAAATGAACTTCTTATTGCTATTTACTATAATAAAAAATAATCTCAAATTGAAACTCCTTTTCTCAGACGAGTTGTTTGGATAAATTGCCTCTATGTCTCTGAGAATCTTTCATAAACTAAAAATTTGAAAAAAGAAAAATGATAATTTATTTTGAGCTAAAAATTTATCATTTTGATGCAAAAACAAAAAAGATATATCTTTATGTAAAGAGTGTAAAATATAGTTGATAAGCTTTTATTAAAAAAGCTAAGTATTCTTATAACATTAATTAACTTTTTCTTATTTTGCTTTTTGGGGCTTTTGATAAAAATACAATATTGAAGAAACTCACAAACCAATTGATTTACTTAATAATGAAAAAATAATCTAATAATGAAATAACTTGCATACAGGAAATACTTTCTTTACTTAGCTCATAACTTTTTCTTTTAATCATTTATTTTACTTTACTATTCTTATGCACCCAAATATTAAAAATCTCAGAATCTTATAATAAATTATATCATAAAAACAAGTCTATATAAAAAATCTTCGAATCTCAGATCAATCAAATATTATAAACATAATAATTAACAATCAATCTTATTTAACAATGAATTCTATATTAAAATAAAACAATATGAAAATAATTCTTCAATTTATATTAACGTCTTTTAGTTCATTATCTGTATAGTATTCTAAAAATTCTTATTTTCAAATGCATATCAAATCAATCTTAATATTTTCTTTAAAGCTTAAAAAACTATTAAATATTTATTATACATAAAAAATGATATATTTTATGTTTTACTTTACAAATGAATTCTTTTATATTAATTAATTCACCCAAAAATGATCAAAAAATAACTACTTTTAGAATAAATTAATTGGCGTTTATATAAAAAAAGCAGTTGGGTTGAATTCAGGATGTATAAACATTTATTCTTAATGAATAATATTAAGCATAAGCTGTAAAAGAAGGTATAAATAATGACTTTTAGGTAAATTTATTTTTTGACTATATATTATTTATCATCCACATAATTATCTAAATAAATTTCTTACTTTAATCAAATAGAAAAATTAATAATCTGTAGTAAAATTTTTCCACAAGCTCGGTAAATTTTTACAAATTTTATAGCTTGAATTTTTATTATGTTTTTGCATCATTACATAAATAATTCCTATCAAGTTTTTAATGCAGGATTTATATCTGCTTTTAATTTGTATTTTTGCTAATTTTTTCTTTTTTAATATCATACTACTTTGCATATATGTCAAAATTATTTTTGAAGATATTTTATACTATACCTTATTGTCAATTTTATTGTAAGTGTTATAAATATAATCATTCAATCAAATTAGAACAAATTACACTTGTAAGCAGTAATTTGAGAATAGGGAGAGGAAAATAATTAATAAGGAAATTTCTCTAGTGCTTTAATTTAAGGTATGAATTACATTAAATTCATTTAATTTTAATTAAAAATCTGCATGTATTTGTGTAATAAAATTAATATATTTTTTAGTATTTAAAAATAAAATAGTAGCAAATTTTTCTCAAAATTAAATATTATTAAAAAAAACTTCAAATTTTTCACTTTTTTTTTAAATATTTTTATCTCTTTTGATAATTTACATTAAAATCATAGCAATACATTCATAAAATTTATAATTTCGTACATATATGTGCTATTTTATTCTTTTTTCACTTGTACATAGGATCTAATTTTAATGGTTTGTGTATAAACGTTTTTGTAATTATTTCTGGATTTTGATAGGCATCAAAGTCAAAAGGACTCATGCAAATCTCTGGATGTACTTTCCTTGTGAAAGGATCTACTTATTCCTTAAAGTTTTCGTGGTGGAAAATAGAACTAGGTATATCCTTTAGTTGTCTATCCATTCTCAAAGTGGTATCTTTTAATCTTGAATTCTTCATTAATAAACCTTTTTTAGCTGCAGGATCATCTCTTAATCCCTTTTATTTAAAAATATTTATTAAAATTCAATTTAGCTTAAAAAAGCTTAAAAAAATGTTTATTTATTTATAATGAAGATCTTATTTCTTCTATTTTTAATATTGATTGCAAACAAAGCCTTGGCTATTTTTTTCAGACCTGGCTAGAAAACATCACAGATACTTAAATCAAACAGTCACTTAAAAAGCAACTTAGAATTAAGTCTCATTTAAACCTGATTCATCATATAATAGCCAAGATTCATTTATTTAATATATGCATTAGAATTAATCTTTTATGATTACTTTTAATTTATCCAATTAAGAAGGATGCTCTGGCATAGTTCTTTTTGTGTATAAGTATTTTGTTCCTTTTAATTTACTCATCCATTCTTCTTGTTCTTTTTGTTTCTTTTCTCTCTCTTGCTTCTCTTTCTCGACAGCTATATATTTTTAATAAAAATAAATTATTTTCTAAAAATAATTGAAGGAATGTAAAATTTACGTTTTATTTTTTCTGCTTCTAAAACTTCTGGATTTGAAAAAATTTCTGTTTATCTGAAATATGGGTTGAAATCTTATTTGTCTTTAATCGGTTCTCCTCTTGTATTTTTCAAAGTTACTTCTTCCTTTTCCCTTTACTCATAGTATGGGTACTTGGATAGTTCCTCTACTTTGCTTGGATGAGGTTTTTTAGGGTGTCCATCCCTCTCATCTTTTGATTTTGGTGGAACTGGTCTGAATGAAGGTTTTTCTTACAATTTCTAAATAGACAGAAAAATTTATTTTAATGTTTGTTAAATATAAAGTTATTTTTTACTGTCTTTTCTAGAGTTTCTGCTAGCTTAATTTCGTCTTGAACATTGTATGGATCTACTGAAAGAGTCAAATATTATTCTGAGTATGTGTAAAAATTGTGTTTATCAGCTCTTATTTTCTCTCTTTATTCTCTTTTCTATTTTTCATACCAATTATTCTTTTAAGAGCTGTAAATGTAAACAGGTTCATCATCTGGAATAGGCACAGTTTCTTTTATCCTTATTTATACATTATCAGCTGTTTTTTTACCTTTCACAGTATACATAAACCTCGTTTTATTTTTTTTACTATTAAAAATAGATTCATTTTATTCATTTTCGATGCTATTATCTGCAATTTAAACATTATTCTTGGTTGGACTTATTTACTCTTTTTGTTAAGTTGAAAGCATTTCTTTAGTACCATAAGTTTATAAATTATTAGTAGTGTAAGTAAGATTAGCTTTAGATTCTACTCCCATCATTTAGGTTTTAGATAGATCATTGATACTTGATATTTTCTTACCTTTCTTTGATTTCTTTACTTCAATCTATATACCATGAATATCTTCTGCAGTTAAAGAGTCGCTGTATTTACGTTCCATAGCTATTAAGTCCTTTTTTAAAAGTTAAATTAAAAAATCAATTTCAGTTGTTTGTAAAACTTACAGATGCTACAGGGAAAAGATCAAACTAAGCAACACTTTTTATATTCCAGCATTTTGCTATTTCGCTAATTTAATTTAAAGTTCTACAAATATTTTCAGGCTCTTTTGTGCGGATGTATATATCAGGTTTCATTAATATTTTAGTTAAATTTTCTCTCAGCCTAATCTAGAGTTATTAATAAAAATCATATTTAAATCTTCAACAAAAAATAAAAAAATAAAAATATATTTTACTCTTTTTATTTCCATATCAAAATCCAAATACTATCTTTCTTAGAATTTAACATCTGAGTTTTTCAATATCTTTAGGCTTTCAGAATTTGGTTCCGCTCTAGGTATTTTTTCTTCTAATCTTTAAATTAAAATTATTAAATTACATTTTTAAAAAAGTAGAATTAAAAATTTTACTTTTTCATGGCACCATTTGATAGGCCTTCGAAGACAAACAGTCTGAATTAGTTGTCTATTATTTCAAAGCCTCCTAAAAAGTCAAATGTTCTATCTTTTCTTTCCTACTCACTTAGCTTTTTTGTAGTTATTGCTCTTAATCCTCCTGTTTCGACTTTTGCTGCTTCCATATTTATTTCATAAAAAGCATCTTGAATTCTTTGTACTAACTCAGGAGATTTGTAAGGCATATAGTAAACCGCCCTTTCATAAATAGCTTAGGGATCTACTTTTGGAGGAATGATCTCTATTTATGTTTCTGTCTTAGCAGCCTCTTTTTTAGCTGGAGCTGGTGGAGCTGCTTTTCCTTTTTTATCCTTTTGATTTTATCCTTAAGCGGTATCTTCTATTTAAACCATGGAAACTGGTTTCTCAGGTAGTTTAAAAGTGCCTTTAAAGCATAAATAATAAAATTATTTTTTAAATCAACAACATTTCTTTTCTTAAGATGGATTTTAATTTTTTTCGTTTTATCTTTCTTTTAAAGAGGATTATGATTTTTTTTAAATTTTTTGAATATTTTAAATAAATTTTAATAAAGATATGTCTATTTATTTATCTATTTATCAATCAAAATAAACTAATTTTGTATCAACTTAATTAAATTATTGGTAAGAAAATATTTCAAATTAATTAAATATATAATAATTTTAAAAATATACCAAAAGGATGGGCTAGATTTAAGCTTATAACTAAAAAACTATTTTAGTCGAAAAAATTAGAGTTTGCCATCATAGCAGGGATATTTTTCTTAGCTGTTGTATTTAAATCTAAATTATTTGATTCATAATCTTCATACTTTTTTACTGGTACAATGGGAGATCTAAGCTTGACACTCCTAACACTAGGTTTCAAAAGGTCAGTTAAAAAAAAACAAGAAACACCATAGTTATTTCTATGATACTCAATAGGTGGTCCCTCAGGAACATCTTTAATTGGTTCTATTTTAATTTCTCCACCTTTTTTCTTTGCATCTTTTTTAGGATCTTTTTTTGCATCCTTTTTAGGAGGCTCTACTTTTTTAGGAGCTTCCTTTTTGGCAGGTGCTCCTTTTTTTGCTTTAGGATCAATAACCTCTTCTTCAGGTGGCTTATTTTTTTCTTCTATTTCTTTAATTTTTGATTCAACACTCAATAACGGCAATTCTTATTTTACTTTATTATCCATAACTTCATCTTTATCATGAACTTCCATTTTTATATAATGGGATCTGAGTATTTATTTTATATAAAAAAGTATTTATTTTTGACTAAATAGTAAATCAAATCAAATATTACGCAATTCTTTCAACCAAATCTACTTAGTCTAACAAACCACATAGAAAAACATGTTTTGATCCCCATTTTATTGTATTTTTTTATAATTTTTCAACTGTTTTAGCTTAATTTCCATCAAAAAATTTATATTAAACATAACAAGGTTCATATTTTTTGTCAGTATTAACTGGAAGATCTTTAGCTCCTACAATTTCTATTTCTAAGGGATTTAAGTAATGTTTATAAAGTGGCTGCAAAAGAGGCTTATCTGCTATTAGCTTAAATTTAAAATCTTCTATTTCCATAATTAGTAACTTATTGTTAGAGTATTCAAACTTTTATTAACATATTAAAAGATTATTTAATAATAAATAAATTGCCAATAAATCTAATCCAAATTTGTTTGCTTTTTAACGATATTCTAATAAATTTAAAATAAAATCCTATTTTCATTCATAATTTAAGTTTTTACTTCTGGCTTTTCTGAATTGCTTGAGAGCAGTTAGCTATAGTCAATATAGATTTCTTACTTAATCTTACTGTCTTCAGAATTCACAAAATAAATATAAAATTCTTTCTTTGTTAAGTTTTTACAAAAATCCTTTTCATAATTAAAAACGAGCCTTAATTTAAAGAAAATATTATCAAATTAATATTTACATCATCTACTCTTATAGGATCAAATTCTTTTTCAAAAACTAGTGTATTAGGGTCTATATTTTAATTTTGAGTATGTTGTTATAAAGTTATTAAATATTAGCATAATATATTTGCTGTTGCTCTAAATTAATCTCTATATCTTTATCGTTTAGATATAAAAGCAATCTTTCAAATAAATCTAAATAAAATAATTTAAGTACCGTTTGGATCTTTTTAATTCCAATTTTCTATCAATTAACCATCGTAGCGCTCAGTTAAAGCTGTATCATTAGAAAACCACTCCCACATCAACACCATATTTTACAAATTTTACTATTGCACTTCAAATTAAAATTTGAATTACACATCATTTTTAGGGATTCCAGACCTATCTTCTTTAACTACAACCTTGATAATATTGGAATTATAATTACATATTATTCATTATAAGACATCATGATTTATTTTTATTTTATAATTAATGCTAAATAAAATGAAATATTCTCACTTCCTTCTTTTATTCCTTTTTAGGAGGCATGTTTGCTAACCAAATCTATTTATCTATCTATATAACTACTATTAATTAATTGATTTTTAATTTCACAATTAAATTATTAATTAATTAATTTATGTTTATAAGCAATTTAATTATTCGTAAAAAGTCAAATAAATATTGCAGTTTCTTTTTGGTGAATATAATAATTAATTATTAAATATCAATTAAATGGCTATTGAAATACAATAATTATTTTCTTACTCATTAATGTATAAATTATTTTCTTATTAACTTTTATATTTACTAAAATATTTTAAAAGCAAAATATAAAAATGCCAACTAAAAATATTTTTTATAAAACTCTAATATACAAAAATAAAAGTTGCAAAATTTAATCAAAAAGTAAAGTTTGAGTAAATAATTAAAATTAAATTATTTATTAATCTAAAAATCTGTTTCATTAAGCAAACAGACTTAAAAAATCTTATTTTAGTTGAGAACCTTTTGGCTTATGTATGATTTCTTGTGAGCTGCTTTGAATAGTATTAGAATCTGAATATTTTATTAAGCTTTATTGTTTTTCTCTTCTCTATTAGTTTTAAGATTTGTTGTATCTAATTAAAATTTTATTGCTCTAAGTATTCTACTCTTAGATAAAATTATTATTTTTAATACACTCTTATTGCATAGATACCATTTATTTATATTCTTCATTTTATAATGTGTTTTATTCATTCCTTTTTTAAAATAGTTAAAGATAAATTTATATTTTTTTTTTAAAGAATAAATTACGTTTCTTCTATCTAAAACTCTTCAATTCCTAAGTCACTTTCGTTTTCAACTAAAAGCTTATTTAATTCTATTTCGTTACTTACTTAATTTTCACTCTTTTGATACTACTATTCATAGCAATTCGAAGGTAGGCTTATCTTTTCATAAACACTTTTATCAACGTTATTTTACTTTTGCTAAAATATAGATTATAAGCAACTACCTTCTGACCCTAATTTATTTATTTTGCTGGGATGGTGTGTAGCATAAAATTGTTTAATAGTATGGCCTAATTTATTTTCATCTCCATTTTTTGATGCAACTTTTATAATATAAAAAACATTTTAGTAATCTATAAAATTGAAATAAAAAAGTACTATTTTGTGTTTAAAATTGAGTGTTTTTGTCATTTAAATTTATACCATTAGTGTTATCGTTTCTGATTTTTTAGTATAGCCTTAATCCTCTTTATCTGCTTCCACCCTCTGATGTTTTTGGCCTGTGTATATTAATTTAGCACATAGAATTAAATATTTACTAAGGAACTTCAACAGGTTTAGGAGATTCTTTTTAATTTAATTCAACTTCGCTTTCTTAATAAGGTACATTATATTTAACTGGGCTTAAATCATTTTCTTATTCTTTGTTTAAAATTATTTAAGAGTCTTGTGCTTTTATAGAAAAAGAACCATTTTTTCCATACTTTTTATTGGTATTATTATTCCATTATTTATTTTTTTCAGCTAAATCTTAAATTTTTTCAGCAAAAGATTTTTTATTATCATTTTCATCTTATTAACCTTTATAATCGTTGTTATTTTAAAATTTTTTATTTGCAACGGCTGAAGCTAATGGTGAATAATCTTTTGTATTATTAGAAGGTTGATAATAAAAGTTTTAATTTTTTTGTTATTTATTTTGATATTGCTACTCTATTTGCTTTAAAAGAAATTTCTTATTTTCAGTATCTATTTTGTTGTTTATTATCCTTGAAGAGTATTCACTTATTTAATTATCTTAATATAATCCCGTTTGAGATGTTCTTTAAGGTGATTTAGATAATTTATTTTACTTATTCACCATTTATTACTGCTACTCAAGCAAAATTCCTTCAACAGTTTTATTAATTACATCTTTTTTTTAAGAGTTTTGTTAGTTACTAGATAGTGTGATTTAGCTCATATTCCTTTATTTTTTTATTTCAGAAAATTAATTTTATAGGTCTTTTTAATTATCCTTTAGGGTATTTTATAAATTTGAAGTATAGGTTTAGCTTTATTTTTTAAATTATGAATCATTTTCTTAATAATTTTATGAAAAATTCTTTTTTAAATTGAGTTTGCGATTTTCAGATAATTTATCTTCTACATTGTAGTTAGAATTGCTTGCATTTGATAAACTTAAAGATTCTTTCAGTTGTTGTGTACTTTCAGAATGAGTAATTTGTTTTTTGTTAGATTAATCTGTTTAATATTATTTTATAAATCTAATATTTTCATAGCTTTTTTAATCAAAAATTTATTTTTCAACATTTTTTTCTTTTACTTCTTATTTAATTTCTTTTATAATTTATTTATCTACCACTTTTCTTTTTGGCGATAATTACTATTCTAGATTGTTTTCAACTTATTTCTGTGAAACTACTTCGGCTTTTCCATCACTTTCTGTGTATTCAGATTTAAGTGTAGATTGATATTGCTACTGCTTGACTAAAAATGAACCCTTTTTTTAATTAAATTATCCTTCATGTAAATCATTTTATTTTATATTATTCTTGTATAAGTGTTTCTTTAAAACCTAACTTGGAATCCTTGATGAAGCTGATAATTAAGGAGAAGACTCTTAAGATTTCTTTTATTAACAGTATTTGTGCTAATCGTCACTTTACATATTTTTATCCATTTAAAATGACTATTCTCCACTTTGATAATACAAAGATTAGTTTTTCTTAAATGAAAGCGGTTGTTGGGTATGTCTCTAAGTTGAATCAATGTTATTTTCCTGCATTCTCGTATTTTAGGAGGTTGTAGGAACAATCATCGAGTTACTTTTGTAATGGTACAAATTTGAGGGAATATTAGCTTGTATTTTAGAATTATTCTTTTACATCAATTAAAAACTTTTACTTTTTGAGTAAAAAGAACTATTTTCTAAATTATTATTTTTAATTGCTTCATTACTTGGAGAAACATCCATCACATAATCAGGTTTTTAAGTCTAATTAAAGTTTTAAAGGATAGTATTTTATTACTAATTTGATGGATTGATTTAGCTTTATTCCTTTTACAATCTTATTTTATTACTACTATTTTGAGGAGAGTTTATACTACTTAAAATAGATTAGTAAGTTAAAGAGTTTTTTTAACTCATAGATTTTTATTATTTATTCAAATTCATGATATTGCTTAAACTTTAAGAGTGACTTTAAAATTAAGAAGATTGCTAAGTATTGTTTCCTGTTTGAAACTTTCCATGCTATAATAATTTAGTCTTGCTGTCAGATCTATTAAAAATAGAATTTTGATGATTTCTTGTTTCACTTTTAATTATTTTAATTGAATTCTTTTATTGTTTTGTTAACAAAGCAGTAGGCTGTAAATTGCTTACATTGACTTCATTTTCTTCTGTGTTTTAACTTCTCTAAGATTGATCTGCATTTACACTTATTTGCGTAAATCTTTTGCTATTTTAATAAATACTTGATGGAATTGACCTTGTTTTTTTTTATTTTCGTTAGAAATTTATAGCTTGTTGTTGAAACACGTAAAGTTACTTATTTTCATCAACCCTATAAGAACTCAAAGTATTATTAGTTTTTGTAAGAAAAGAAGGCATTAAGGTGCTGTAAAACTATTGTTCAACTAAATTAGTTACTTAGTTACTTAAAGAAGAGGATTTGTTATATTTCTATTGCTAAGGACTGCTTTTTTTTTCTTAATATTCCTAGTTAATCTAATTCGCTTTTTTTTAGCATTTCTTATTGTCTGTCAACTATGTAGAGTATATTTTAGATATTTTTATAATCTTCTCTTTATCATTTTAGTTTGAAGAGTTTTAAATTTGTTAATTTCTTAAAACCTAAGAATTTCCTTCGTTATTTATGAGCTATGTATTCAAACTCTACTAACTATAAATTTATGAGGGCTTGCTTAAATTATAGAATTAGGGCGTAGATCTAATAAATATTTTATAAATTAGATTAATTTTAAATTATTTTAAATTACCTTGCAAATGTAGATATGATACTTTAATCACTTTAAATCCTTTTTAACGATTTAGATGGATTTCTCATCTTTTCTCCACCTAAATTCTCTTATTTATTCTATTCTTTTAATAACTCTAATTAGTTATTGCTTAAATCTATATTTTTATCTTATGGTTAAGATTGCAATTGTTATTAGTTGCTAATTTAACAATCATTTTTGTTGTTGTTAAACTTTTCTGCTTTTATTATGCTTGAAATTGATTAATTGCTATAGTAATTAGTGAAATTGATCCCATAGGAATTAGATTGTCCAAGTAGAGTGTGCTACATTAAATCTTTATCTTCAATTTCATTTACTACTCCATTGTATTGTATGCTATGGTAATACGGAGATGATGAATTTTAGGTAATAAAATTAGTGTACATCAATATTGCTTTTAACTACTAATTAAAGTAATTATTACTTATACCTTAAACACCCAATAAATTAAAATTCAATAATCAAAAATTAGCTTTTTTGTTTAATTATCCTCTCTGGAAATAATATATTTAATCAATAAGTAACATATTTGTTTTACACAAATTGTTTAAGTTGAAATTTTTGATTTCAAATGGTTATCTTTACAAAGTTAAAATGTAATAAAATTATATAAAATATTAATCACCATACAATTTTTACTAAATATTTAACACACCATTTGAAAATTTAATACAAATGTACTTAAAACCACTCAATTATTTTATTAAAATCTCATAATTTATATTTATTTTAATGTAAAGATTCCATTTTAATTCTCTGTAAAAATAAATTTCCAATTAATTTATCACAACATTATTTATTATTTTAATTTTTAAATTTTAAATTTAGTTTATTCAAAAGCTAAATTTTAATATTTAATAAACAATTAAAATACATAAGAATGTACTTTTAAAGAAGCTTAGTTTCTTAACATTTGTATCTCTAATTGTTCAAAACTTGAACAGATAAATAATTATATCAATAAATTTACATATTTCAAAGTATTTATTTAAAAAATAAAAATAAAACATTTTTAAACTTGAAAATAAAACTAAAAAAAATCATTAATTAATTAATTAATAAATAAATTTATTAAAATTAATTGAAGAATTTGTAATTTTTTTATTTAAATTATTTAAAAATAATTATAAATTTCAGTCTACTTCAACTCTGTCAGATTTAATAAGAGCAAGAGATCAAAAGAAAATAAAGTAAATTTGAAAAATAGATCATAATATTCATTTAATTAAAGTAATTAAAGTCTTAGCTTTTAAAAAAAGAAAGATATAGAAAAATATTATCTCTACATAAATTATTTGAAATGGAAATTGAAGAAACAAATAAATAGTAAAATTAATAAGAAATTGAAATAGATCAAACTCATCAATAACCTAATATCACTTAATGTGGTTCAGTTTAAGTTAGCCAAATAAACTAAGATTAGTAGAATTCTTAACAAATAGCTAATCAAGATCTAGAATAGTAAAATTTACAATCAAAGCCAAAGATAGCTTATAAAAAAATGGGAGTAGATTTACCAATTAACAATGACGAATCTGTAAAATTAATAAATATTTTAAATTTTTAGGTGAGATTTTAATATGTAATATTTTTAGGAATTGTATTTAGTAGGAAATAGAATAGGCAAGTTGGAAGGCCTTGAAAATTGTAATAATTTGACAGTAATGATTATTGATTGATTTATTTGATTTAGCTCAAATTTACTTTAAAGAATAAAAAAGAATTTAAATTTGATAATAAATAAAAGGTTTTATGCTTAAGAAATAATCTGATTGCAAAGATTGAAGGAATTTCTCATTGTACTTCTTTATTAGAGTTAGAATTGTATGATAATAAATTAACTAAAATTGAAGGTTTAGAAACTTTAGTAAATTTAAAGTAATTATTTTAAAAAATAAAAAATGATTTATTTATTTATTTATTATTTAAAAAATGAATTTAGAGTATTGGATCTATCATATAATAATATTAAGAAGATAGAAGGATTAGATACACTAAAGTAGATAGAAAAAATATATTTACTATCTAATAAGATAAAAGTCATTGAAAATATAGATTTTCCTGAGTGCACTATGTTGGAATTAGGAGCAAACAAAATAGAAAAGATTTAAAATCTAGATAAGCTTCCCAAATTGACCGAACTTTATCTAGGTAAAAATAGAATTCAAGTCATTGAAAACCTAGAACCTCTTAAGGATACTCTAAAAACACTAGCTCTCACAGTAAATAATCATTTTTTAACTTCTATTGTAAATTTATTTCTACTCATTTAAATAAAAGGCAAACAGAATTAAATATATTGGAAATGGAGTTTCTTGTCTAGAAAACCTTTCTGAGCTTTATATTGCTGAAAACTTTATCACCTAAATAGAAGGTTTGGTTAACTTCCCTGATCTTTATCTTTTGGATCTTTCAATGAATAAAATCAAAAAATTAGAAGGAATTACAAACCTTAAAAATTTAACTGAATTATGGGTAAAATTAAAATTAAATTTGAGTAATTATCTATCTTTAATATTTATTATCAATTTAGTTAAATATTAATGAGATAGAAAACTTCTCTGACTTAGATATCTTGAAGGAAAATGATCTTTTGGAAACAGTAATATTTTTTATCTTGATTATTTATTAATTATAATTTATTGTCTTTCAGGTATATTTGGCAGGTAACCCTGTATCAAGATTCCCTTCATATAGATAAAAACTTATGGAAATTCTACCTAATATTTAATAGATAGATGCTACTCCTATTAAAATTAGTTACTAAATAAAATAAAAATGAAAAAAAAGTTTAATTTTCAAGAAAGAAAAACGAATTAATTAATTATTAAATATTTCAGATAAAATAAAAATAATTCACTTTCAGATGTTTGTATTAAGTTGTTGTTAAAATAAAAAATTTTTAAAATAAAATAATCCAAACTTTAAACTTTTATATTTCATTTATTAAATGCTCTATCACAATATACTTGTTGTATAAATTGATATGTTTTTCGGATTATAAAATAACTAATAACAAGGGTGATACATTTTATAAAATAATATAAGTATTAAATTTTATTTAAAAAGAAGATTAGGTTTTGATTTTATTTATTTATTTATTTTAAAATATTCTAATAAATTTTTGAGGGAGACAATACTTTAAAAAGGATACTTACTTTTACTATTTTAGTGTTATGAATATATTTTTATTATTTTGTTTATGATAGACCGCCAACAAATTAGCGTTATAATTAATCAGACGATAATAAAATTATTCAAAAAAAATTTTGTTTATTGATTAAAATTTTTATAATATTTGAAAGAAATATTGTTCTAAAAAGTTTTAACATGAGTGCTGTGTATTGGGAAAAATAGGGAAATGATTTATTATGCGGAGTACATTGTCTTAATTCCTTACTTCAAGGACCTTTTTTTAATGAAATTGATTTGGCTTTATATGCTCAGGAATTAGATAAATAAGAAAAAATCCTTTTAGAATAAGGAGGAACAGATTCTAAAGATTTTTTAGAATTTGTGGCAGGTGATTCTCATAATGTTGAGGATGGAGGAAATTATTCTATCTAGGTATTAGAAAGAGCCCTAAAAAGATATAACTTGAAATGTAAAAATGTAAACGCTGATGAATTAATAGATAAAGATTTAAGTAATTAGACTGGATTTATTTGTCATAGATCTCTACATTGGTATGCGATCAGAAAAGTAGATGGAGTTTGGTATGACTTAAATTCTTTGTATAAAACTGGGCCAAGACACATAAGTGACTTTTATCTGAGTGCTTTACTCATATAGTTTTAAGAATAAGGATAGAATATATTTTTAGTTTCAGGTGATTATCCCAATAATTAAAAGGTTTTGGATAACGCTGAGTTTGAAAAACACTAGCTTCTTATTCTAAATGAGGATATTTAACCTTATAAAAATCTTAAAAAAAAAAATAATATTCAAAGTAATAAAAAAAAAGACAACTAAATGGATGAAGAATGGGATGAATATGAAGATTTTTCAAATTATGATTAATAAAAGTCGTATAATTTAAGGAATAAAAGCTAAAATAAATAAGTTAATTAATCGAAATATTAAGATGAAGATATTAAGGGATATCAAAAATAATTTGATGAAATGAGTTAAAAAAAAAAATATCATGAAAATTAACAAAACAAAATGGTAGATGAGCAAAAACAAAATTAAACTTTAAGCTTTTATTAAAAAATTTAGTTAATAAATAACAAATATAAATAAAAAGTTGAAAAAATTGATAATAATTAATCTAATTAAAATAGTTTTTATAAAAAACTAAGTAAATAGCAGAATCAAAATAGCTTATTAAATGATTAAAGTAAATAAGTTAACATTGGTTTTTAAGAAAGCAAAAAAATAGATAATCATATAAATAATAAAGATTATAATCAAAAAAATTAGAATTCAATGAGTGATTTGATAGAAATTTAGTAAGAGTAAATTGCTTTGACTATTTGGATTGATTCTCAAATTAGATATACAGAGAATTTTCATCTTTTTGAAACTATAGAAGATATACATACTTTTATCAAATAAAAGCAAAGAGATTTAAGCCATAAGAAATTTATTCTTTATACTAATGTTCCAGATAAAATGTTTTTTAATAATAAAGAAAAATTTATTTCCGACTATGGATTGTATAGTGGCCAAGTTTTACACATAAAGCTTGTCTGAAAATCATGTTAATAGATAGATGTAAGCTAACTTTAATTTCAAACTTATTTTAATAATCAAATATAAAACCAATAAAATTAAGTTTTTTATAAAATTCAACATGTAATATAAAAATATGTAAACTATAATTTAAAATAATACTTTATCTTGATCAGTCATTCTTAAACCAAAAATCATATAAGTAGAGGTAAATTAAATTTAAGATTTATTACATGACCTATATGGTCAAGTGCAATGTAAGCTTGAGTATAATAGCAATTAGTAATTAAAAAAATATTATTATTATTAAGAGTTTTAATCATAAACAAATTTCATTAACTGATAATTGTAAACATAAAATTTGTATTTATTAATTTATTGCTTTAAAAATTTATTTTTTGAATATAAGATTTCACTAGCACAAATCAGCTAAGTATTATAATTATTTGAAAGTTTTAGTTGTAATGAAAATACTTACTAGTATATATATCCCCTCTGTTTGAAAATAGTTTATAAAAAAGAGTTTGTGTTATAAATAAAATTTTTATGATAAACCTTTTTCAATAAAACTATTTGTTTTTTTTTTTTATGTTGTCAAAAGTTTAAAAAATTTTGAAAGTATTTTATTATAAAATTTAAAGTTTGATTGATTTATTCATTTCCTGTTGAAATAATTTTTAGTAATTTTTTATTTTTTTTTTGTCAAGAAATTTTATGAAAAGATCTATTTATTAAAGGTATTTTTGTAAATTGTTTAAGTATTTTTTGAATATTGTTACTGAGCATAAAAAATAAATAAATAATATTTTTAAATTTTAAATAAAGTATTAGAGTATGAATTAAATAAATTTATTACTATTGAATAGAAATAAATTAAGCAAAATGATGTATTAAGTATCTAAAAAATCATTTAAATCTTATCAGTATAAATTTATCAATTGAATTCTTTTAAATCTTAATAAATTTAATAAAAGAATTTACCGATTAAGCTCAAATATTTTATAAACATATATACTATCTCTTTTATTATTTATTTATTAATTTATCTATTTGAAAGGAATCTTTATCTTTCCTTATATTTATTTAATTTGTTATAAAAACTGATTGTAATAATATAAAATACGGACCTAATAATATGAATAAATCTTTGATATTCTTGTTAGTTCTCCTTTCTTTGGCTTTTGCTAAATAAACTTACAAGGTTATGAATGAATAATCAAGTGAAGGAGAATTATACTTCTAATAAAAGCTTGATCATTATGCCCCTCTCGATAATCGTACCTGGGCCCAAAGATACTTTGTAATGGATCATTGGTTCAATAAGACTGCTTAACCTTTAGTTATCCTCTACATCTGTGGTGAAGGTGAATGTAATGGTGTTTAATATAACAGTTCTTTTACTTCTAAGATTGCTGAAATCCACAATGGTATCGTCTTATCTTTAGAACACAGATTCTACGGTAATATTTTTTGAATTTCTAAATTCATTACTTAAACTATACATAATTTATCAACTAAATTAACTATTCATTACATAAAAATAGGAAAATCTCAACCTTTTGGTTTCGGTAATGACTCCTATGCTCTTCCTAACTTGAAATACTTGACTGCATAATAAGCTTTGAACGATTTAGCTTGGTTTATCTAATACGTCAAAGATAATTAACTTTTCGGAATTACTCCTAATATGCCTTGGATCACTATCGGTGGATCTTATCCTGGTGCTCTTTCTGCTTGGTTTAGGTAATTCTAAATTTAAACTTTTTTAGGATGCTAAAAATTGCATGATGAAATCTTCTAATAACTAACAAAAAATATCAAACTATTAATAATTTATTATTTGATTTATCTAGATACAAGTTCCCTCACTTGACTATTGGTGCTTTGGCCAGTTCTGCAGTCGTCAATGCTTATGCTGATTTCTATGAATTTGATTAATAGATCTCTGATTCTCTTTCTAAGAATTCTGGAAATTGCAGATAGATTGTTCATGATATTAACGTTAATGTTACAAATATTTTGAAAAAGGGAACCCCTCAATAGAAGTAATAATTAAAGGCCTACTTCAACAGTACTTTAATTACCGATGGTGACTTTATGTTCTACTTCTCTGATATTACTGTTATGGGAGTTTAATACGGTAGTAGAGTTGCTATGTGTGATTTACTTATGTCAAACTAAACTTTTGCAGGTGTCTTATAGAATCTTGCTACCTATGCCTTATAAGTTGGTGTCACTCCTGATTAATACGGTGCCTACTATTTAAGAAATACTACTTACAGTCATGAAAGAAATGCCCGTCAATGGTATTACTAAGTAATTATCAATTATAATTTTTTTCAATTTTAAATAAAAACATTTTTAAAAATATAGGTTTGCAGTGAATTCGGTTGGTTATTCACTCCTGCTAAACACTATCCCATGAGAAGTGAAATCTTAACTATGAGCTACTGGACTGAATGGTGCAATTCCGCTTATGATGGTGCCTTCCCTAACACTGAAGTTACTAATAACTACTTTGGAGGTCTTGATATTTAAGCTACTAATTTGATTTTTACTAACGGTGGTGAAGATCCTTGGTAATGGGCATCCAAGAGAACCCCTACTCTTCCTGGAATGTAAAGCTATATTGCTGATTGTGACCAATGTGCTCATTGCGTTGACTTAAGAACCCCAAGCCCTAATGACAGTCCCATTCTTAAAGAAATCAGAAACAAAACTCTTAGCAGCTTTGCTACTTGGAAGAATGAATTCTATGCTAAATAATCTCAAAAGAAACCCAGCTTTGTTGAACAAAAGATTGTTGTCTAATGATTATATATTTTCAAATAGTGTGCTATTTGAATAATAATAAAAATGATAATTATTAATATTTTATATTACTAGTTTTAAATTCAATAGCCAAATAAATTTCTTTTTTGATTAAATTCCTAAATAGATGAATGAATGAATAAATTAATAATAAAAAAATATTTGCAAGTTGAATTTTTTTATTTTATAAAATAATTTAAAATATTTTTAAACAAAATAAATTAATTGAGAATTAAAAAATTTAAGATTAAACATAATAGATTTAGCCCAAATTAATTAGTTTATGATAGTTTATTAAATCCTATTTGTTTTTGTGTGTATATTATAAGAACTAGTCAAATTTTACCGTTGAAAGCTGAAAGAAATATTCGTTGTAAACAATTTTAATTGAATAAATCAGTAACGAAAAAAAAAATTAAATAAATATAAAGATTAATAAAACACATCAATATTAAATAATAAGTAATATTAAAAATAGTCATTAAATCACAAGCTAGTAAAAACTCATATGTCAGAAATATAATTCAGCTTATCTATTAAGAACATAGAATTTGGAAACTAAAATGAATATTTACATGATTTAGGATGCTACTTAAGCCAAATCTCAGATTAAGAAGAACGTTTTATAGATTTGATACTTTTTTCTGATGAATGCAACAAAGCTAATTTATAATTTTAAAGCTAAAATTCATATAAACTTAGGTTAGTCTTTAAAAGATTAAGTACTAATGAGTCTGTTGGATACATATCATTTTCTGATTTATAGCTTCTTTAAATTCCTAAATAAACATAATAGTTTTAACAGTGGTATATTTATTATCTTTTTCATATTTATAATAAATTATGTCTTGTTAATTATCCTTAAGGTTCACTCTTTTTGATAGTTAAAATGATGATGAATTTGATGGGGTACTAGGTGAATCTAATGATTAAGAAAATCCTAGAGTTTTACTTTAATTTATTTTAGGGGAAACGAGCAACATAATGAATGATTTAAGATAGAGTCAATAAGAATAGTAATCGCTAGTTATAGATAAAATTAGAGAAACAGATGAGGAACATTAAGAAAATTTTCATTCTTTACAACTTTAGAAAATAAAAAAGTAAAGTTCATGTGAATAAAATTTTTAAAAAAGAGTAGAATCTGGGCTGAAAAGAGTAGAAGACGCCTAAAAAGAATTATTAATTAGCGAACAAATGAGAAGTAATGAAAAATGTGAATAAATATTGTAATACAAAAGCATTGATAACGTGAGTTAGAATTTGTTAGAAAAGTTCAATCAAAAAAGTAATTCGTTGCCAGAGTCATCTGAAAATTTTTAAAATGAAATAAACGATCTTAACCTCAGCGATGAAGATTCTAATTAGTTTTCATCTATTTCCAAATTAGATGATGTTTAGCTCACATTAACTTCAAAAGAATATCAAGACAAAATATTACATCTTTAGATTATTTTGATAAATTAAGAAAAAGAGCTTGAGAGAATACAATAACAGTAAGAAATTTTATAAAGTAATTAATTAGTTTATTAAAATATTATCAAAATAGATATTAGAAATCAATAACAGGCTATTAAAAACACTTTTAAGACTTAAATGATGAAAATGTTAAAATTAAGAATAAGTAAAATAAGTTTTCTTTTTTTTTTTTATTTAATAAAAAATTTTAACAGTAATTAATTTTATTTACAGAAATATAAGATTTTAATTTTATTAAAACTTTATTTGATTGTTTGTTGATTTCATCTATTTTTAAATTATAAATAAAAAAAGATTGATTGAATAAGAATTTGAATCCAATCAAAAATTAAAGATATTAGAAAATTCTAATAAGTGCTTGAACAAATAAGTAAGTTATATGAAGACTGTATTGTAAAGAAGAGATAAAATTCTTGAAATAGAGCCTGATCAAAAAAAATTAATTTTATCAGTAGTTGATTAAATAAATTAACTATAAATAATTTTTTAAAGCTAAGAAAATGTTCAAAATAGTGATATCAATAACTCTCCTTCAAAAATATAAAATTTAAATTGCTTAAAGGAGTAGCTTTCAAGAGTTTCAGAGTTTCTAGAAAAACAATCAGCAAAAGAAGAAAGCTTATAACACAATTTGAATAAACTTGAAGAAGAATTAAAGTAATCAAATGAACTTCTAGAATAAGCATTAAAATAAGGAGTTGAGAGTTAATAAACAATATAACAATTAAATAGTAAAATTGAGAAATTAAATTAATTTTAAGTTGAGTAACTTGATGAATTTAGAGATATGAATGAGCAACTTAAAAATTAGTAGCATTTAGTTTAATAAGAAAAAATTACTAAATTATAACTAGAAGCTGAAGTTAAAGAATTCAAAGAAAAAATTAAAGGAACAGAACAATAATACAAAGAGCAAATATAAATTTTATAAAAAGAGATAGAATAGTTAAAGCTTAAATCTTAGAATAAGAATGTTATCGCTTGCTATAAAGCTAAACTAGAAGAAAAGGATTAAATTCATGCTTAGCTTCTTTAAGAAATTTAAAAACTTCAATCTTTGATGAGATCCTCTCTTAGTGAATATGAGTCAATATAAAAGAATGTAATTTAATAATATTTTTAAATTTTATTTAAAGCTTTGAATTTATAAATAGGATATTTAATAGTATACCAAGGAGCTAGAGAGCTAAATAGAATAATTAAACAATATAATTACAGAAAAAGATAAGAGAATAAATGAGCTTATATATCAAAATTAAGATTAGTGTATCTAAATAGCATAATAAATTGGCTAAAAGGAATTTATTGTAATAAAACTATTAAAATTAATTTATTTATTTATTTAACATATCTTTTTGTTTTATTAAAGGAAAATTTGATAAAAGAGATTGATTTATGCAAGAACAATCTTGCATAGCTAGGAAATTAAAAAGATAAATTAGAAAATAATATGATGTAATTGCAATAAGAGTTAATTAAGAAAAATGAATAAAATATAAATTTAGTATAAAAGTTAGCTAAGATGCAAAATTAATTAAGATAAACTGTTTCAGCTTAAGAAAAGATAGTTAGCTAAGCTTCTGTGATGGAACAAAACTCAGGTTTATTATTTTAAGAAAAAGAATAGTTTAAAGAAAACAGGAATAACTAATATGAAAATAGCGAGATAGACAGAATACTGTATTAAGAGTATTCTTAATTTAAATTTATTAAAGTCAATAAAAATATTTACTAGTTTGGAAGTAAGCTTTTAGATATTTAATTAACTAACAATTCACTCATTTGCAGAGTTGTTGATTAGCAAAATAATGAGAGAACTAATCAATTTATTTTATTGGATGATTTTATTAAATTAGAAAGGCACCCAATTAACATATTCGATAGCATAAAAACTTATAATAGTTCCTCTAATGTGAATTCATGCTATCATCAAAGAAATTCTTCTTCTTCAAGCTATTCGTCAAAAGAAAATCCTAAGCATCTTTCTGTATTTACTTCTAGAGATAAGGAATAACTTTCTTCTTGTTCAAACACTCAAAGAAGTCTGACAAATGGTATTATAATAAAAAAGAGTCCTTTACAAGTGAGCAGAATTTCTTCACATAATTCTTAGAGATAAACTTAAAATTAAATTTGATTTATATATAAATATATTTTTATAAAAAGATAATTGCTGGATGTACATATATATTATTTATTTTATATTATTATTTCTATGAAAATAATTGTATTATATTCAAAATATTACTAAGTATTTTATACAAATGATCGTAATAATAGTAAAAAATTTAAATGATAAAAAAAGAATATTTTCGAATATTCAGAATATTCTAAATTTTACAATCTATTGTACTAAACTAGCTTTAAATATTCTATCATCAATTCTAATAATTTTACAAATTAATAAAAATTCATAAATAAAATTATTACAATTAATGTTATATTCAAAAAATATTCTAATTATATTTTTATGGTAAGAGGGTATATTGATTGGATTTACTCAAAAATAAATATATTTTTATTATATTGTTTTTAATTATTTAAATTTTCTAATTTACTTTTGTATATAAAAAATAATATAAAAGAAATTGAAAAATTAATTTTTGTTTAACTCTGAAGCATCAAACAAGCAAGAAAAAAGAAAGAAAAGATAATAATTAACTATAGCAATCACACTTACATATTTAGAATATATTAATATAAAAATGGCAGATATAAATGACAAATATGTCTTAATTCCAGGAGTAATATCCTCTATATTATTCGGTTTAGGTTACTATCAATTTAAAGAGTAAAAAAGGATTAAAGATATTGAATCATAATTAAAGAATCAAAGAATATATACTCCAGATGAATTGAAGAATATCATAGATAGAAATGAACCATTAGTTCATAAATTATTTTAAAATTAAGGGAATATATTAGTTGGTAAAAATCTCTTAGTTTAAGGGCAAATTAATAATTCAGATTGTCTTAAATCCATTCTTGATATTGATAGCAAAACATAACTAGTAGCTCGCATTAATTATGATTTTCCATACTATAATGATTAGGAAAACTACAAGATAATTTCAGAAAAGACTACTGATAGTCTGTATTATTTATAAAGAAAAGAATGTGGAATAAATTAAAGGATAAAAATATAACCAACCATAAACATTTAGAAAAAAGACACAATCTGTAAAATTAGTTTATCTGAAAACTTTAAAAATATAGATAATCAGTGTTTTGATTATACTTACTCTAAAATGATATCAGAAAATCCATCTCTTCTCAAATATACTTGGAATTTTTTTGGTAATCTAATTGCTGGCATAGCAGGATTACTTTTAAGAGAAAACTTAAATCAACATTTATGCTTTAAAATAAAAATTGATAACTGTGAAATCGGAATAAAAAATAAAGGTATTATAAGTGTTTTAGGTGATGTTATATATAACAAAGATAAAGGTGAATTTAGTATTTAAACACCTGTAAGACTTATGAAAAATAAGCTAGAATACCTTTAAATACTTAGGAATTAAATAGAATCTAAAGATACACTTAAGATAATATTATTCTTTTCTTCATTTGTTTTTTCTAGTTTTGCTTTAAGAGGACTTTATTTATAACTGTAAAATAAAGATTACTTAACAATATTTGGTAGAAGATTTAAAGTCCCTACATTTATTGTAAATGGTATGAGAAATTTAAGAGCCTATCTTAATAAAAACAATTCTCTATAAAAAATTGGAAACTAATAAATAGAAGTCTAAGATGAATAAAATAATAAAGCTCTAGAAATAGTATATACTTAACCAAGAGAAGAGATGGAGTGTATCATTTGCTACTAAAAATCCAGAAGTGTTATTTTACGTCCATGCTTGCATTGTTCTATGTGCTAATAGTGTTATAACGTTCTTCCCAAAAAAGAATGCCCAGTATGTAAAACAAGTATTAAGAGCGAATTGAAGATTTATTAATAACCTAATCCCTAAGTTAACAATGTAAATTCTAATGTAAATGATAAAGATAAAAATAAAAAATGAGTAATATAAAAAAATTATAATTTTATAAACAATTAAAATACATAAATAGAATAATAAATTAGTTAAATAATTAGAAAATACATTCATTATTTAAATAGTTTTAATCTGTAAATGTTTTAGCAAATTCTAGAAACAAATTGAATTTTAATTTTATATTATGAGTAAAATTTAATATATTTATTGTATTTTTTCAACTTACATTACATAAATTTCTTTGATTAAAATCTTAAAAATTACCTTAAATTTATTTTGTTAAGTTATAATATTTATCTAAAAAAATTAATTTATTTTAATAATTTTTAAGCTGATTATTAATTGATTAGCAAATTCTAGAAATAAATAGTAATTGGTTTTGTATTTTAATTAAATAAATGATTAAAATTTAATATATTTTAATTAATTACCTTTAAAATAACTTTTTTAATAAAAAAATATTAATGAAATTAAAATTAAGATTGAATTTATTTTACTCAAAATAGTTAAAACAAATTTTATGTTGAAATAATTTTAGCTAAATATGTAAATTAAATTTAAAGAAATATATGATTAAAATATTTAAAAAATAAAATTTTTTTGCAAAAAAATAATATTTTTTCTTAAATAATTATTTTATTGTAAATAATTGAATTTTTTTTAATTTAAACAGAAGATCATAAATGCTTTGTCAAATACTTTTAAATTACCAGAAAATCTTAAAGACACTTTGTTAATGAATATTTTTGTTTGTTTGTTTTGTGTATTGTTAAATGCAATTTGAAAATTAAAATTTGAAAATAAGTAGATATATCAAATTAATTAAATGATTATATTTCATTGATTTTACAACTATCTGTCCTTCCTAATCAAATTAATTAAATTTTTTTTTCAATTTCAACTTAAATCAATAATTTATCAAATTATATCTAAAAATTATTGGTAAACATTGTTATTCAAAATTATACATTATCAAGCACATAATTTTTAAGCGGAATAAGGCGAAAACCTAAGAACAACAGTTTCATAGTATTTTAGGGTCAGCCATAATTAGAATTATACAAATAGTCTTCTAATTTTATTGATCTTTAATTAGAGCTTTTTGAACGTTAAAAGAAAATTTAATAAAAAATTATTTTAGTTTGAAAGTAAAAACTGTTTTTAATGGCAAATATGTATTTTAGAAACTAAAATAATCTTATTTGTGATTTCTTGATAGGAAGCAAGACTTCTTTTTCTATTTCACCATGTCATATAGCAGAACATTACGATGAATAAATCAGTAATGTAAAAGATAGCTTTGATACCCTCTAAAAACTCACTCTCAGGATAGATTTAGGAAGTCCATCACTTGTCACTGTACAATTTATTAATTAGCATAATTTTTCTTTAAAAAAGAAAAAAAAATGAAGTAACAAGAAGTTAATTTTATATAAAATAGAGTATAAGAATAATTATGACAGAGTAAGAGGCAGCAGAAAAGAAGTTTACGTTATTAGAAGTATTAGGAAACTAATTAGGGGAAAATACTGAATTTTAAAGACTTTTGAGATTAGATTCTATACAAGATTAAGGAGGAGAACTATCTGCTTATGGAGCTTCTTTAAAAACACTCCAAACTCAAAAGATTAAAAAGTATATATTTTTAATTGAATGATTAATCCTAAAATTATACCAAAATTATTATAGTTAAATGAAAGTTCAAGTATATGGTGTCACTAAAGTTCTATAAATATCTTACCTTATAAATAAGAGTGAGTTTTTAAATAATAGCTCTCAAGAATAAAGCTAAGATGGGTGTTTGGTAATGTATTAAGATTAAAATTTAGATAAGAATATAGAATTAGAATAAGTAAAATAAATATTCTTTAGGAGTTATAGTTTATAAAGTTAATTCTTTTTATATTAATTTAATAAAATAAGGGCTCTGAGGAGTTTAAAAAATTATTTGATAGCATATAAATATATGGATATAGTCTCTTTCTAAGTCCTCCATCGAATTAATGCATACATTTGCTTAATATTTCTAATTTATTTCAGAAAAACAATAGAAAGGAAGAGGCTATTGAGACAGATATAATTTTAGGTTATTCATTAATGTCATAAAGAAAGTATATTTAAGCAGCAGAAATATTCAAAAGATGCAGTCTTTATTTTTATAAATAATATGAGAATACTGCTTAAAAAAAAAACAATTTATAAGAAAATTTTTAATCTACTCCTAATTAAACCTTCCAAGATACTTCAAAACCATTGATTTTTTCTCCAAATTAAAAAAATGGTAAATAATTTATTAATTAAATCGTTTTACTTTTCAATTTAAACTTATAAAATCTTTATTTAAAGAATTTAATGAAGATACGTTTAACTAAACAAATATCTTTAGTAGCACTAACTATTAAGGATGTGGAACTAGTAATTAAAAGCTACTAAGAGCAGCAAAGTTAGAATTGCTTGTTGCTGATTGTATCAGATAGCCTTAACTTCAAAATTAAAAAGTATAGGCTTATTTAAGAGCCACAGAATACTTTTAAGGGTAACGTTTAAATATTAATCTCTCTCAATAAAATGCAGATCCATATACAAATATCTTAATATTATGTCCCTATTTGTGCAAATTTCTTTTGAGAACTCTTGATGAGAGAATAGATCCTTTAAGAATATCTGCAATTAAAGGGATAGAATTTTTAATTGAGAATTTAGGATGCACTATTAGCAGTTAGCTTCCTTAGATATTAAAATAAGTCATTCTTACATATCCCTTGATCCCAGCTTTTTCAATAGAGCCTAACAAACAATTTGATGAAGAGGATGATTATTAAGAAGAAGATGAAGAAGATAATGAGGATATTATTGATAGGTATGAAGAAGGAAATTTTTAAGAAATAGAGCATGAAATAAATGAAGAAGAAGACTAATTTGCTCGCTAAAATAAAAGGCCAAAAAAAGCAAAAAAAGGAAATGGCTTCAATAATTTTCCAAAATCCTTATAATCCCAAGCTTCTATAAATTAAAAAGTGATATTTGATATGTACCATCATTTGCTAGATCAGTTTTTAAATTTGTTAGCATCAGCATCTTCTTAAATATTGAGATCAATATTCAATGATGTAATTTCCACTTAGCTATTTAATAACGAGGTTGCTCATGATGTTAAAATTTATTTGTGTAAAATCACAGATAAAATTATTAGTATATGTTAAGGAGATCTAACTGTAACACCTTAATTCATTACTAATATGATGAATTATCTTTTAAATACTCAATAACAATAGCAGTTTACAAATTAATTCAAATAGCATTTGGAAAGGACTTGGGATAATATTAAATAAAAGCTTCTTTCAAACTTAGAACTTTCACAAGCCAATAAAATTATTGATTTAATTTCAGAAAACTTGTAAAATATACTTGATAACTAAGGAGAAGGTGTTGAAAAATCATCGAAAAGAGAATCGTAAATAGACTAAGATACAGAATTTAACTTTTGGATAGAAATTACTTCTATTGTACTTCAAAGAGAAAAGAGAACTTAAGAAAATTTACCAAGTAATTTTGCTCGCTATTATAAAAAGCTAGAAATGTCTTAGGAAAATTTAAATTTAAAAATACTAATCCATCCCTACTTATAAATTTTAGAGCTCACCTTAGCCCACCCTTAAGGAATAGATACTTTTAAGCTAATATGGTCAATAATTATTGATATCCTTACTTCAGCCAGTTCTAAATAATAAACTGAATACACTCTTGGTGAAGTCACTTACTCAATTCTGAATAAAACTAAGCAGTTTATTGCAAACCATCCTCCTCCTGTTTTACAATTAGATGCATTAATAATTATCATTTCCTCCCTACCTCAAGTAAACATAATAAATACTTAAATAAATTTATTTTTAAAAATAAACTAATTTATTTTAATTTATCATTAGAAAGAAATAGATATTGGTTTGAAAAGAGAAATGCTTGATTTTTTACAAATTATCTTAGGATATGTCCCTCACTCTATATTTGAAGAAATTTTTTTTCTTGTTGATTGTTTAATTGAAAAAATTGATTAGCTTGACTATAATTTAATAGAAAAAATACTCTCTGTTTTAATTGACCAATATACTATGAAAAACAAAACTTAAAAGAAAGTGGCTTCCAATTTCATCTCTAAGATAATGAAACCTGAGTCTCAATCAAAACAAATCAATTATTTTTAATAGATATTGGAAATTTGTTTAGTAAAAAATGTAGAACCTTACAAAGATGATCCTAGTTCTAGTGATTTAATTTAAGTTAAAGGGAAAGCCTAAGTAATCAAAACTAGACAAAACAAAAAAAATACTGATACAAAGCAGTTTGAAAAAGATTATGATATTTTTATTGATAAGCTATCTTTTCTCTAAGATTGCTTAGATCATTTAAAGTAAACTCATTTTGTGGGTTTAATAAGTAAAAATCAAGACTCAGTAATCTCCGATTCGATTATCAAGCTTATCAACAGTGGAGACTCCAGAGTTAGAATGAAAGGTTTTTCTATTATCAAAAAGATCCACGAGCATTTTGTTGAATTAACTGAAGTATAAATTAGATAAATAGAAAAATTGCTTGGAAATTATTTAAATAGTTCATTTTTATCCAAGCAAAATTAATTTGCACCTTCTTTTTAAGAAGAATGGTATAACAGGTAGATTAGTTTAGATTATATTTTGGTTTATTTTAATACTTATTAATAAATTTAATAAAATAGTTCTAAAAATGAAAGTGATAAAAAATCTATTTAGGGTAATAAAAATCAAAGTAAAATTAGCACGAGTATGAATTCAAAATATGATTAAAGTGCTTAGCTAGATTAAACTATTTTAAATAAGCAGCAAAAAGAAGAAGTTGATTAGAGTAAGGCAAAAAAACGTGTATTTTCTTTTGCAAAAATTATGATAACAAAGTTAATAATTGCTTGCTTAAAAGCTTCTTTTGAAAATTTAAAAGATCCAAAATAATAATTTAATTCTCTTGTTCTCATGGATTAGTTTTTTTAGAATTTATTTGGTGGACCTGATCTTGAAAGTGAATTGAAGTTTGCTAATTAGGTTCTAAACCCGAACAAGCATCAAAAGACTTAAAAAAAAGTACAGATTCTTGATTTAGAAACTTACGAATTCACTATTGATTAATATTTCGACTACGATAATGAGTGGTATCTTCATATGAGGTTAAATTAAATTTTAAAATTCTGGCCCCTGCTTTAAAATCTTGTTAACTCTCCATGGAGTAATATCAGAAGTTTGACCTATGGTGTTATCTGCAACTGGGTATTTTTTTAATATTATGAAATTGTTTAAATTTAATAATAATTTTAATGAACTTATTAGGTTAGGGCAGACCTCAATCACTATAAAAGTTCAAACTAAAAAAAATTTCTATAAATTTTATTTAGATTGTTGCTAAGTTTACTTTAGAGTAAAGAAAGTGAATGTAGAACTGGAGGTTTAAATATTTTAGGATCTCTATGCGGATTAAGTTATAATTTTGACGATAAAGTAGATGAAATGAAAAATTATCTCCATTTTTTTAGAAGACACGAAAATTTAATATCATTAGCTATTTGGGAAACAGTTTATGACATTTAAAGTGATTGGGATGTAACCAACTAAGCAGCAGCTATGATTATAATTTAAATATGTGCTCCTAGAGATTCTATAAAGCATTTTTTCAGACTTAAATAAGAAGGTATTTTATATATATTTCTTAATTTTATGATTAAATATTTATTATAAATAGATATCAATATGAGAAGCAATTATCACTCATACAGCTAAAACAATATACATTCTCATTTATCTTCTAAAGAAAATAGGTCTACTACTCCTATAATTTTTTAGGGAAAGGAAGAAGATTAGATAATAAATGACTCTGGAATTATGAATAGATCAGTCAAATAAAGTAATCATCAAACTAGTTAAAATTTATTTATTGGAAATAATGAAAGTACGCCAAGTCGCGGCATGTTTAATTAACTAGCAGCAGAAGATGATAAATAAAGCAATTTATATAATAACAATAATATCTCAAGTGATAGTATAGGAGCTGATTAGCCTTAATTATAGAGTGAAGAGGAGCTAAGTGAAGTAAATTTAGATTAGGAAGATAGCTAGGATGGAAACTTAAGCAAAAACTAGAATTAAGATGGTCTTTTTTGGTTTGATACAGCTTCTGAAAAAGAAATTAGAGATATGATTTCTATGTTTAAAGGAGAATAAAAACCACCAGTAACTTTATGGATAGAAAGAGATACATATAATACTGAGCATAAGTAAAATCATTAAGTTAAGAAATAAGTTAAATATTTTTTTTTTAAAGGCCTGAGGGGACAACTACAACTGAGGTTATTACTTATACTATGAACGAAGAAGAAGATGCTGGTATATATGGATACTTTGATGAGGTAGGTTTAAATTAAAATAACTAAAATGGTTCTTCAAATAATAGCAACAATAATAATCTCAATAATATTACAGAAGAATACATTTAATAGCAGCAGTAGCAATTTTAATAAATGAAAAAAAATAACAATTTAGGACTTGATTTTTTGTAGGACAGAAGTAAGGAAATTAAATTATTTAATAAGCAAGAAAATAACAATTCTGATTAGAAAATCGAAAGAAAATTTGAATAGGCGAAAGATAAGTAATTACCTTAAAATTAGAACATTTAGGGAAATTAATAAGCATAAATTTAAGGAAATGCAAACAAAAAGTTCAACAGGTTTGATGATGAAGATTTAGATTATGATAAGCTTGGAATTATTGAAATGGAAGATGATGAACATTTTATTGATGATTATGAAAAAAAATACTAAGAATATAAGAGACATAAAAATCCATCCTAGTTTAATAATAATAATTAAAAAGCAATGTCAGACAGTAATAGACCTCAAACTGGGAGATAAGTATAAAGAAATTCTTAGTCTAAATAATAAAATTTAGTTGAGGATACTTAGTAGCAAGTTAGCAACGAATTGCAAAAAATTTAAGGAAATATAAAAATAGAAAATGTTGAAAGTAATGAAAAAAATAGTAATTTCAGTAAAAATAATTTATCTTTAAGCTAAAATTAGCAAAATTAAATAAAAGAGCAGCATTTAACTGGAAGTGATTCAAAAAATAAAAATATAGCGACAGATAACATAAACAATAGTAAAGTTAATTAAGGAAGCTAGGAATTATAAGATAATCAAAATTAAAAAGATACACTAAAGTTTTATAAATAGCAAACCAAGCAGGATGGTTCACCATCTACAAATTCAAATGTTCTCGAATAAAAAAAAATTTAATAAAATGATCAGATATAATCATTTGAGAAAAGACAAAATAAAAATTACTAAGATTATGAATACTATGAAGAAGATTATAATGATGAGGAATAACAGTACGAAGATGAAGATGAAGAAGAAATAGAAGAGGATATATAAGAAGATGATACTGAGTAAAATTCATAAAATGGCTAATATAACTAGAACTAGTATTAAAACTTAAAATATAATGGCTTTATTAAAATAGAGCACAACAGTAATAAATAGCAAAATCTTACAAAAAAAGATAATTCAAGATATGCTTCAAATTATACTAATGTTACAGAAAAAAACTCACAATAATCATCTTAATAATAAAATAGCTCAGGAAAGAGATTAAAGGATGATTTATAACCAATAAACTGTGTAGAGTCTGAAGCATAAAAGCAGGTTTTATTTAATTAAAGAATGCATTTCAGAGAAGCAATAATGAGTGATGAAAATAAGGAGTCTTTAAGCTATACTTAGAGTTCTTAGCCTAATCAAAAAAGGAGAGATACATTTGAAGTAACTTTAAGTTTTTCGGACAGTAGTATTTTTAGAGATGAGCACACTGACAAAACTTTAACAAAAGAAGATGAACCAAGTTAAATTTAAATGCAATAATAGTTTTTTAATAATAAAGCATAAGATACTGGTAATGCTGAGAATAATTTGGCTGACAGTTCTTAAAAGTAAAATAACAGCTAAAATTTAAGTAACTAAATCCAATAGCAGAATTAATAATAAAGATCTTCAACTCCCTAGAATTAGAAAGGATAGTAAATTTAAATGAATAATTACTTTGCTAACTAACCCTTTGTATAGCCTTAATAAATAAAACAAGAATAATAAAACAGTAAAAATAGCTACAAATAATCCAACTAAAATAATGTAGTAAAATCTTAATCTCCAATCAATCATAATCAAACAATAAAAGCACCTATGTCACAAAAATAAGATAATGATAATTCTAACATTTTAAATAGAACTTCACCTCTACCAACCACTCACTAAAAGAGTACTGATAAATAAAATCTTCCTCCTAACAACACACCAAGAATTAATCAACCAAGTAAATCTCCTGTTCATGCATAAAATATTTAAGAATCTAATTTAAATAAATCTAAATTAGGAAATAATAATTAAAATCATTATAATTCAAACGAAATTAGTGTTTCTGGATAAAATAAAAAAAATAATAAAAATACATTTTCACCTTAAGAAAGAGGAGATGTTCAGATATTACAATAAAAGCAGTAATCACCTTATAAATAGTAAGTATAAGAGACAATAGAAAAACAAAGATTAAACTACCATCATAGCAATGATTCAAATAATTAGACTGAAAATACCTAGCTCTAGCTGTTAAATGCTATTTAAAATTAATCTCAACATAACAAATCATTTTAAGGAGGAAGTAAATCTCCATCTTCAACCAAAAATCAATAGAAATAGATTAGGTAGTCACCTACATAAAATACCTCAAATTAAAATAATTAACTGCTAAAACATTTATTAAAGCACCCTACATCAACTAAAAACTAATAGTTAGATATAAGTGATGAATCAAGTTCCAAATAAAAATCTAAGTCGAGATCTAAAGAAAAAAATTAATAAGGATAATAAAGGTATTAAGCCTTCTAAAATAATTTAGAGTTAAATATCGTACAAGGCTAAGAGTTTATAGTTGCTTCTAGTGCCTCTTCGAAGAGCTAGGGAAGGTCATAAAAAGTTGATTTTTTTAGAAAAAATAACCAATATTAAACGCTTTCTAACTCTCATTCTCCATATTAGACAATGAATATCTAAGCTGGTGGAGGCTCTTCTTCTACCAAACATTAAAAGTCTACTTCAAAGAGTAGATCGAAATCAAATGGTAAAAAAAGGAATGGTTAAAAGACAACATCAGTCACTCCAAGCGGTTTCTTCAAAAATAGAACTCCTTCGCATTCTCCACCAACTTCCACTGGTAAAAACAATATTTTGAGTCAACTGAGATTGTAAGGCTCAAACAGTGGTGGTAAGTCGAGATCATTAGAAAAAAATACAAGTAGTAACTTAAGCTCTACTTTTAATAATACTATCTCTAGTGTTATTAATGGAATTAACAATAATAGCTCTACAAATCCTTGCAAACCTCCCTTGAAAACTAATAGTGCCAATATTGTAGCAGGAAACTGCTTTTAGAATACTGTCTCAAATTCTAATAAAAATAATTTAAATCTACATAGCATTGATAAATTATATAAAACAGACTTTTTAAGCAGGTTGCTTGATTCTACAAAATCCAATGTTTCTTCTAAAAAGACTACAAACATTACACCTAAATCTTGTAAAACAAAAATATCTAGCTCAAGAAACTCTAAATCTAAAGAGAACAATAGCAGTTCTATTTAATGCGCTAACAACCAAAGCTACTATAGCAACTAAAATAACCCCAATTCAATTACCATAAATAGTTAATCATACAATAACATGAGTAATAGTAACTTTTCATTTGCAGGAAACCATTAAAAGGATAGCTACTCTCCTTAGTAATCAGCTTAGTTTGATGATGAAGTCCACTAACAATTTTCATATGATGATAACGCCTATAGTAATATGGGTGGAGGTGATTCTAAAAACTGCACTCTTGATCTTGCAGATGCATTTTAAAATTTCGATAACCAACACATGATTCCTCTTAAACAATAATCTCTAAATAATACTTAAAATATTTCTAATTAAAATATAAATGACCAATCACAATAAAAATATCTTATTGCTTAAATAGCTTAAAAAAATAATTAGCTTACAAATAAATTATAAGTAATGCCATTAAAATAGAACATCTAAGCAAATGCTAATTAATAAATAAGATCAAGCAGAAGAGGTTCTGAAGGAAACTGCTTTCCAGTCTAAAACCATTTAGATATTTAATAAAATAGCTTTCTTCAGTACTAGTAACCTTTACAATAAAATTTTATAATTTAGCACTAGCAGCAATAAGTAATATTGTAAAACTAATATTACCCATAAAAATCATTAGAGAATAAAGAAAATCATTTTGAAAACTCAGCAGATGAATTGTTGGATGTTTTAACCAAATAAAGAAATCAAAGAAGCACTTCTGCAAAATCAAAAAAAAGAAGTACTTCTGGAGGGAAAAATTCTTCTTAATAATCTTAAGCGAATTCTAAAAATACTAAAGGTCCTTCTAATTCATCTAATTCTGCTAACAGAGTAAAAGTAGTAAGCATCTCTTAGCAGGGTTAAGAAAAACTTAATAAATTCGAACCTTACAAATAACCTCTTAGTCCTAGTAGAAAAAAGAAATTATCTCCTAATTAAAGACCATAGTCTAGCATTTATTAACATAATGTTTAATAAATTAATTAGTAGCAGCAGCTCTCTGTTTCTTCAGTTTTGAATTCAAACCATTTTTCTTCGACATCACAAGACTCATCATACCTTTAGGGTTAGTTAAAAAATAATTTCAATCAAACTGCTGCAAGCCAAACAAGTCATAATAATTCATTTTAATCATATAATAAACCTCCTTTAGTTAAGAAGTAGTAATAAAATAATAGCAGAGAAAAAGAAAGTAATTTATAAAATTCAGGAATATTCATTGGTGGAAACGCATAATAATAAATTAATCAAGCAATTAGTAATAATAATTCTTTTTATGTGTAAGAAAGAAATCCAATAGCTTAAAAAAAGAAGAAAAAGATTTAATTTAATTAGAATCACTCCTTCGACGACTCATTAATTAACACAACTTTATGAACTAAAAAAATTTCTTTATTTCATGGCATTTTTTAAAAATATTATAAGTGTAAATAAATATGAATATAATAATAATTAGTAAATAAATATATAAAGTGTAACTATAAATTTCCACTTCTAATTAATTAAAAAATATATTCTATTTTAAACATTTTTCTTTATTAAAATGGATATTTACTATTAATTAAATTAAGTTAACATTACTTAATTCTTCATTAATTTTTGTATTAATTAATACTTTTCTGTTTTATAGATATTGTAAATTATAAAATAATAGGCAAATTTTCTCAATCAAAAACTTATTTTTATTATAATAAAATTTAATAATAAAAAGTATTTTTTAATTCATTATAAATCTATTCTAAATAATACATAATAAATTTGCCTATTTAGTCCAAACGAAAATATAATTTTGTAATTCTAATGAAGAAATTTGTCTTGCTTTAGCAAATGTTTCATCAAATTTGTAAGAAAATTCTGATTTGTAATCTCAAATTTATAGGGGAGTGACTCTTGAATCAATAATTTTTTTGATAAATTCTGAATATATATTTTGGCTCAAGAGTCACACACTTTAAAAATAGTGCATTATTTTCAATTAGCTGCGTAATATTAATTAAAAATATGAAAATAAAGGCTCGACTAAGAGTACAAATTTTCAAATTATAACTTTTGTATGTAGTTTATATGTTAAACAAAAAATATTTATCAATTATATTTAAAAATTATTTTATATTAATTTAATAATAGAAATATCATTCACATGTTTTAAAACTATTTTTATTAACACCTGTACTGAATGAATTATTATTTAAAAATAATTTGAAAAACTCTTGAACCTTAAATTTGTGTCATGAGCCGACTCATTTTAATTCAAGCAAATTAATTACCGTAAAAACTGTAAACGCTATTCTTAAATAAAAGAATGAAAAATTTAGAAAAAATACTAAAAATGAGTTAAAAATTGAGTATTTTTAAAAAATTAGTAAGCAATTTTATTCAAAATAAATTCTAGATCAATAATTTATATAACTAAATCCTTAATACAAATATAGTTTAATCTTTTATTTTGCTTTTCAAATTTAAATCTTTCATAATGCTCATATTGATAAAGCTAGTAATCAAATAAAGATAATAATAAATTATAAAAAAAAATATATAAATAAAACATATCAACATTTAAATCATTAAGAATAAAAAATTTCTGATTTATGTCACAGGATACAGACCTTGAGCAAGGATCAAAGACTATATACTCATATGAAGCTTAACTCTCAGGTATACGTTGCACAGGATGTACTAAAAAGATTTCTGATAATCTCAAAGAATTCTCAAGCATAAAGTCATTCAATATTAATGTTATCGGTGAGAAGGGTCTATTCCACTTTTATGATAAGGAAACTGCATAATTAGTGGAATCAAAAATCAAATCTTTAGGCTTCAAAATTCTGAATGGATTCTAAGAAATCATCTAAAAAACCGATGCAGCTGATACCACTCGCTAGATACATTTCTTAAAAAAGTAAAAAGAGCAAATGGACATAAAAAACTTATAAAAAGTGATCGAAAACTAATTTGGAGGTATACTTGATGTCCAACAAATTGGCTTAGATATTTTTATGGTAATTTGAATTTATTTATTACTCTTTATTAAAAATATTAAAAATTGATTACAAACTGAGTGTGTTTATCAATCGTTTGGAATTATTGAATTAATTGTATTTTATATCTGTGATTTTAATTTAAAGGTTAAATTAAAATTTTATTTTCTTAAAAAATTATTCTCAAAAAAAATAAAATTTAGAAACCAATAACATAATTTTATTAAATTTTAATAATAGAATAATATCAATTAATTAAACTCATTTTTTATCATAAAGGTTAAATATAACTCTAAGGTTGTGAAAGGCCGTTAAATTTATGACTTTATACTTTAATAGTATGAAGGGAAGCTAGAAGTTTACAACAATTATATTTCTGGATTTAAAAAGTAAAATGTTAAAAATGAGGTTCTAGAAATTCGTGATGTTATCATAGCACTTCTAGTTTGCATTGTTTTTATCGTTATGGCTCTTATTCTTCCCATATTTGATTTCTTCGAAGAAGTTTAAGTTTATCCTCTGAAATTTAATGTCATAACCCTTTATGTCATATTTTTGTTTTTACTAACTGTTTTTACTCTTTACTACTTTGGTAAAGGTCCTATTTACAACTCATTTGTTAACTTTAAGAAATACAGAATAATGAATATGGAAACTCTTGTTGCTTTAGGAGCGCTGTCAGCGGCTATTATGAGCATTTTCTTAATAGTAATTTACTTTATAGAATTAGAAGATGATTCTAATAGTATGAGCCATATGTCAGAACACGAAAAATCAGATCGTAAAATGAAAATTGAGGATATAGTTCACATGTTAGAAACAGCTGCTCTAATTTTATCTATTATCACCATAGGTAAATACTTAGAAGGATAATCTAAGCGTTCAATCATTTAAATGACTGAAAAACTTTTCCCTGAAGAATAGCTCTTAGCTAACTTAAATACCAAATATATTGAACCTAAAAATAAAAAATTTGATATAGATGTAGAAAAATCTTATGATATTTCTTATATAGATAAAGATGATTTTATCTTAGTAGAGGCTCCTTATAAGCTTCTAACAGACAGTACAGTAGTACACATTTACACTCCAACTTTAAAAGCCATTGATCAGGTTTGTTATGGGTGGGATGATGCTTTTGAAGTTAAAAAAGGCTAAACATTAAAGAGTGGAGCTGACATTACTGAAGGTAAAGCTATACTATAAATAAGCAACACTATTGAAGATAGTATGCTATTTTAAATTAGCAAACAGTTGAATATTGCTTAAAATAACTCTGAATCAACTGAAAATGGTATTGCTGCGTTATTCAAAAAAGTTTCTGAACACTTTGTGAAAGTAATTATTTTCATCGCTTTTTTGAGTTTGATAATTTGGTGTATACTGATTGCTACAGATTCCTACACTGTTGATAATTATTGTGTTTGGTGCTTTCCTATTGAAAGATTCATTTCCGTTTTAGTAGCTTCATGTAATTTTTAATTTTCAAAAAAAATTTATTTTATATAAAATAAAAAAATATAGTAATTAAATTTTTTATTGTTTCAACAAATTAGGTCCTTGTGCACTTGGATTAGCAATTCCATCAGTAATTGTAGTAACTTTGAATATGGCTATGAAAAACTCTATCTTGATTAAAAAGAACTCCGTTTTTGAAAAAATTAAAAAAGTTCAGGCAATTATTTTTGATAAGACAGGTACTCTCTTTACAAAGGCCGAGAAAATAGACTATTTCCATAACTACTCAAATGGCGTTTATTCTGATTAATCTTTATGGTAGATTATTCAAATCATTGAAAAAGATATCAAGCATCCTTTAGCTGATCTTCTTTACTAAGAATCTGTTGCTCGTGGCTGTAATGTATTTTAAGCAGATTACAAGATGGTAGATAGACCCACATTTGATGGTAAAAATGGTTTGTCAGCACTTCTATATGACACCAAAAGAAATAGTGCCTCACTAGAAGTTAAAATTGGAAACGTGAAACTTATGACTTAAAGTTAAATCACCATCTAAGAAGAAAATCAATTATAGATAGATGCATATTTAAAATAAGGATACACTGTCCTTCTAGTCTCCATAAATAAATTGCTAAGCGCATCTATAGTGTTAGATAATTAAAACAATTTAAGACCTGAAGCTAGATAAGTTGTTGATTATCTTCAAAAGAATTTAAAAAAAGATATTTATATTCTTAGTGGAGATCATAAAGACACAGTTTTAGAAGTTGGTAAATATTTAGGAATCCCTGAATAAAATTTGATTGGAGAATGCGATGCAAAGAGTAAGTAGTAACTTTTAAAAACGTTAAAGGAGAAATAAAATAAGGAGGTTATGATGATCGGTGATGGTTTAAATGATATTCTTTCATTATAAGAAGCTTGTATAGGTGTTTCAATAAACGCTAAGTCAGAATTAAACCTCATGGCCAGTGATATTGTTGCTCTTAATGAAAATTTATGGAAAATTCCATTTTTATTTGAGCTTATAAAAGTGGCTAATATTTTTATTTATTTAAATCTTTGCTGGTCATTTGCATATAATGTATTAATGATTCCTATGGCTGCTGGTGTTTTTGAGCCTGTAGGAATACATGTATCTCCCCTTATATCAAGTGCTTCGATGAGTGGTAGTTCTATAGTAGTGGTTTTATTCAGTAATCTACTTAGACTTTATAGATTTAAAGAACCAGCTGTTAATATTTAAAAAGTTGTTAATAGCCCAAAAGAAAAAATAAATTTCAATAAGAATACTAGACATGATAATGTTGCATAGCCAGTCATACAAACAATAATTACTTAAGCAACATAAGAGAATTAAGATTTACTTAAAACTAACTAAAGTTGAAAATCATAAATACAAATCTTTATAAAAAAATTATATTAAAATTATTATTTAAAATTAATTTTGTAATAAATTTATTTCTGTAAGTTCAATTATATATTTTTTTATTATCACATATAACTTCTTTCTCTCAAATTTTAAATATGATTTGTTAGCTATCTATTTAGATTTGAAGTTGATATTTATTTACTGAATCTCCAATTAATTAAAATGGACTTATTTTTTATTTAAACAAAAAAAATTTGGTATGAATTTTATAATTTGCTTTTTATCCTCAATTTTGATCATCATTATTCAAGTGAAAAAAACAGAACTTAGTCATAAGAAGATTTTTGAATTGAATTAACATGCGAACATATCGTTCTGTAATAAGAAAATAGTAATATTTTAAAATTGTTTTTAATCTCTGACTATAAATATTTAAAATATTGTTTCAGTTTAATAAAAAATATTTTATTTTGAATTTTATAATTTGAATAATTTATATTTTAAACATCAAGTATCATTAATATATATTCAAAAGGAATTTCGTCTAAATATTTTACATCAAAGAGGGATTTATAATAAACTTTCCACCTTAGGTTGAGGTTAACTATATTATCTGTGGTAAATATTGTCACTGAAGAAAGGGATTAATAATATTCAATAAAAATAATAATGGCTAATATATTATTTTTTGTTTTTTCCATAAATTGTACAAAATTGAATTTTTACCACTCTTGCTAATTGATGGTTTCTATTACTTTTATTAAGTGATCTTTTAGATTTAGCTGGTTTTACAAATTAATTAAGCACCTTGCTTATATTTAAATCAGGTTAATTATTTTACTTCAAAAACTAATCATAAATTCAAGCATAAACATTCATCTAATTTATAATTCTTAATTAATGATAATTTGATCTGGCATTGAAATCAAAAAATGAATAATAATCTTAAACAAGACATTGAGTTAGGAGAGAAAAAAGTATATGTATACGAAGCTCAGCTTTAAGGTATCCATTGTACAGGTTGTCGAAATAAAATTGTTTAGAATCTCACAGATTATCTCTCAATTTAATCTATTTCTGTGAACATTATTTCCGAAAAAGTTCTAATTAATGTCACAAATCAAGGTGATATACAAGATATTTCTAATAAAATACGCTCTCTAGGGTTTAAAGTGATATCTGAATTTGAAGAAATCTAGTTATTTAGCTAGTCTAAAAACTCTAACAGGAAAGTATACTTCAAAATTAATCTAAATAACAAGAAGGATGGATAATAAATAGATGAGCTACTTCAAACTTCAAATGAAGATTTGAAACAAAAGTTAAAGTAGAAATTTAGTGGTATAACTGAAATAAATGAACAATCTGACAAAGGAATAATTTGTGTAATAATTTACATTAAATTTAAATAGTTCTTTGTATATTTAAATAACAAATATGAAATATATTTTATTTGTTTAAAACTATTTTGTAAATTACCTAATTTTTTTTATTTTAAATTAGATACAATACAATCCTAAAGCTACTAAGGCTGCAGATATTCACGACTTTTTATAATAGTAATTTTTAAACAGTAACATTGATAGTAATCCATACATAGAAAGCTTCAAAAAACCAAAGAGTCACTATTAAGCAACAAAAATGCGTGATGTACTAATTGCTTTCATTATAATGGTATGCTTCACCCTTTTTACTATGGTTCTTCCTCATTTTGAATTCTTTTAAGAGATAGCGTTATTTCCTTATAGTATGAATATAATGACAATTTATGTTATAATAATGATAATTCTAACCTCATTTACTATGTACTACTTCGGAAAGCGTATATTTTTGAATACTATCACAAACTACAGAAAGTATCATGCAATGAATATGGAAACTCTTGTGTCTATTGGATGTTTTTCCTCATTGTTGCTAACTGTATTTTTGTTACTAACATATTTCTTTGAAGATTATAATGAAGTCTTAGGAAGTAACTAACTCACAGACCAATAAAAGCATAGCAGGTCAATGAAAATATCAGAGATTGTACATATGATGGAGTCTGCTTCTTTAATTTTAGCAATCATTACACTTGGCAAGTATTAAGAAGGGAAAGTGAAAAAATCAATTTTAGATATGACTGATAAGCTATTTCCTGAAGATTAACTTCTTAAAAATACCTAAGTAACAATAATAGAACCTAAAAACAAGAAATTTGATATTGATAATTAGAGAACTGTTGATGTTTCATATGTAGATAAAGATGAGTTTATAAAATTAAAAGCCCCGTTCAGGTTGCTAAATGATGTTACTATAGTTTAAATTATATCATCAAACATTAAAGCAACTGATTAAATATTGTATGGCTAAAATGATCCTTTTGTTGTTTAAAAGGGTTCTATTTTAAGAAGTGGTGCTGAAATAATTGAAGGAGAAGCAATAGCTTAAATAAATCACACAATAGAAGATAGCTTACTTTACCAAACTAGCAAGTAGCTTAACTTGGCTTAAAGTAATTCTGAGTCATCAGAGTCAGGAATATCTGCCCTTTTGAAAAAATTGTCAGAAATTTTTGTTAAAACCATAATAATTATAGCAACATTTACTTTAATAGCGTGGAGTTTAATTGCAATTTTTGACATTTATTAAATCCCTTCTAGTTGTGTGTGGTGTTTCCCTGTGGAGAGATTCATTTCAGTTTTAGTAGCATCATGTAATTAAATTTTTTTATTTAATCAAATAACAAATAATCCCCTTTTTTGAAAATCATTTAAAAAAAGCTCAATATTTAACTAATATTTTTAAATTAGAAAATTTTTCATTTGTTGTCCCCCTTATTATATTACTTTTCTTGATAAAATTTGTCTCAAATTAATAAGTATTCTATAAGTTTTAGCATAGATACAATATAACATAACATAATTTATATCTTTGCATTTTCATTAGTTAAGGGGTGTTTACAAAAAATGTTTTTTCTCTAAAAAAAATTGACTTTATTGAAAGATTTCTTTAAAAATTTTATTAAAATGGATTTAATCTTTGAGAATAGAGTGTATATAAAATTTATTATGTTTATAAACTTATTACTCAATTTTTTTATTAAAATTATTTTATTTGAACAATAGGTCCATGTGCACTGGGTCTTGCTATACCTTCTGTCATAGCAACATCTTTAAATTTAGCTATGAAGAATTCGATTCTGATAAAAAAAAATACTGTATTTGAGAAAATTGGAAAGATTAAAGCTATCGTCTTTGATAAAACAGGAACACTTTTCACTAAAGCTAACAAAGTAGATGAATTTTGTAATTTATCTGATAACTAATTTACTGATAGCTAAATTTGGTAAATGATTTAACATGTTGAAAAAGATGTAAATCATCCCCTAGCAGAATTACTGTATAAAGAAGCTGTTTAAAGAGACTGTAGTACCTTTAAAAGCGACTTTTAACTTTTGGCAAATTCTTTTAAATAATTTAAAAATGGTATTGAATGCACACTTTTGCAAATAAAAAAATCCAATAAATAAATAAAAGTCTTAATTGGCAACCTCAATTTAATTAGGGAAAACAACATTGATGTAAGTAGTTAATTAATCGAATAAATCTAAAATGTCTAAGAAAATGGAAGCACAGTAATTATCATGAGCACAAATTAGAATATTTGCTGTACTATAACATTGCATAACACAAATAATTTAAGGCCTGAAGCTAAATAGGTCATAGACTACTTGACTAAGCAACTTAAAAAAGAAGTCTTTATATTGAGTGGAGATTCTAAGCAAACTGTCAACTAGGTTGGTAGACATTTAGGAATTAAAAAAGAAAATTTGTATGGAGAATGTGACTCATAAATGAAAAAAGATCTCCTTATTAGCTTAAGATAAAATTATAAGAAAGAAGTAATGATGGTTGGTGATGGTCTAAATGATATCCTTTCTTTAGAAGAAGCTTGCTTAGGAGTATCAATAAATGCAAAATCTGAATTAAATTTAATGGCCAGTGATATTGTAATTTTAGATGAAAACCTATGGAAAATTGTATATATATTTAATCTTGTTAAAAGATCTAAAATATTTATTTACATAAACTTATTTTGGGCCTTTTCCTATAACTTTTTTATGATTCCTCTAGCAGCTGGGTGTTTTTGTCAGTATGGATTGAAAGTATCTCCATTAATTTCAACTATAGCTATGAGTACTAGCTCTATACTAGTTGTCTTGTTTAGCAGCTTTTTAAGATGCTTTGAGTTTAATTACCGTAGTGTGGGATTAGAGAATATTAATAATAATGAATACCAAAGCATTACCAATTCATTTAATAAGCTAGATACAAGTAAATCTCAAGATGAAAAGTAAGTAATAATCAATATGTCTAACTTATGAAAAATCAAAAACAAAAATCCATTTTAATAAAATAAAAATTAAAATATAAAAAATAACTTTTAATCCGAATATATTATTTATTCTTCAATTTATATTTTATATTGAATATATACACACTTTTTTATTATCTATTTCAAATAAATTAATTCTCTTTTATTTTAACAAGACATTCTAGAATAAATTTGTGATAAATATAAACAATAAAATAGATTTTGGTATTAAAATAATAATTTTTTAATCAAAATTTTATAATAAATAATTTCGAATATCTCAGTAATACTTCTCCTATCATCTCTTAATATAAATTATTTTGAAGAAAGAAGTTTTGTTGCTTAGTTTAAATTGTTGCTTTCCTAAACCAATTAAAATATATAAATTTTCATTTTATATTTATATGGTTTATTTAAATTTAATCGATGTTTTTTTTTTACAAATTAGTTTATGAAATATTTATGTTAAATTGGTTTGTATTTAGCATTATTTTTTTAGTTTTAATAATTTTTTACAAAATTTGTGAGTATTAATTTTAAACATAACTTTAAAGAAGAGTGTTTATTTATTGATCTTCTTCTTATTTTAGCTATTTCTTTTACTTCATGTGTTATTTATATTTCATCATATTTTAATTCATAATCTAATTTGATTTTTTTAGAGAATTCTCTTACTCCTTTTTTTGTATAAAGTCTTCAAAAATTTAAAAATTCTTATATTAGTTTATATCTACTTTAGAGCATTCTTATTTATCTGAATTATAATTATTTTATTTGTAAAATGAATTTTTGTTAGATTTACTTCTTTTTTAATTCATTTAAAAAAAGTTAGGACCTGTTTTCCATAACCTTTCTGTAAGAATAGTATTATTTTCTTATGCTTTTCTTGGCGTTTGGAACCCGTATTATTTTGTTAAAGCTTCATCATTTAAAAAGTAAATTAAATTGTTTTTTTATTACATTTTTTTGCTAGAAAAACTATTTGTTATCATTTTAGACTCACCTTATTTAAATTCGCTATTGCTTGATTATAACATTCTTTAAGTACTGTTTCTGAATTCTAATAAAAATATATATTAATAAAATAAATTGGAAATTTACTTATTTACATAAAGGTTGAGATTCTGACATAGTGTTTTATCTTTTTTTATCTAAGTTTAATTTATCGTTTTATTTAGGAAAAATTGATTTGAAGTAATTTATATTTTATATTTAATCAGTTGTTTAATTATGTTGATTAGCTTAATAAGGAGATTCTTAAATACCATTTTCTTCATTGTTATTCATCAATCTCTTAGGTGTATCGATTATTTTACTACTAAAATTTAAATTTAATTAAATGGGTTTATTGCTTTCAGTTTATTAATAAAAAGTCTTTTGTTGATTTTGAAGTTTATTTTTTTAATATAATGTATTGGATTTTTAAATATCAACCTTATTTATATGCAAAAAAGATGGAGATCTAAAATTACCATTAATTAAGTTTGTTTTATGCATTTCTTATTCATAATTTAAATCAACTTTGTTATTCAAATTGATTGTTTAAGAAGATTGATAATAAAAATTTTTAAATGGATTTATTTTGTTTTTAAGATGATGATTTGAATCAGTTTGAATATTTTATAAAAAATTTTATATGTTTTTTATTTAAGTAAACTGCTCTAAAGATTAGGATTATGAGTTAGATCTGACACTCTATGTTTTTTAACTATCATTAGAAGAGATATGAATAAATCTAGGAGTAAACATATTTTAATTTTCTTAACTAATTTTTTAAATTTATTAGCTAGATTTAATTAAATCTAATTTATTTGTCTATCCTGAACTTTAAGTTTATGAGATAAAATAATTCTAGTCTTTTTAAAATTATTTATGTACATCTTATTTTTTACTTTGAGGAGTGATATTTTCATTTGATTATTAACACTTTTTGTAATTCAAAAGTGAATTAGATTTATTACGTAAAATATTTTAATTATAATTGCTTTCTTCTTAATCAAGCAAAGAAGTAGATCCAAAATTTTTTGAACAATCTTCTTATGTTTTAGGCAAAAATTATTAATTTGAGCAGAATTAATGCTTAGAATTTTAAACATTTTTAGTATTGTAGCCATTATTAGTAATTTGAAAAGAATTCTCGCTTTTTAAATTTTATTCCTAGTTCTAAAAAGATAATTGTGTAGTTTGTTGCTCATGCTTTGGTAAAGTAGGAGTATTAGCAAAATTAAATTTATTTCTAATTTAATGTAAAGGTAGAATAAACTTTTTTTTTTCTTATTTATATTCAGTTTAGCTTCCTTTTGTATTGGTTAATGCATTACTAAATAAGCTTTAATTATCTATTTCTAAATCGTTCATAAAGCTCAATTTGCTTGCTTCTTTAGATTCCCATGGTGTTAAAGACTCTTTTTAACAGTTGTTTTAATTTTACTTTGCCAATTCTAAATCTAATTTATTTATAAACTATTTATCTAGGCTATACTATTATTCTAATAAAATAATTTAATTGCTCCTGCTTTAACTTTAGGAGGAAAGAGTATTTTTTCCAGTTTCTTCTAACATTATGTCATCTTTGAATTTATTTCCTCTTCTCTTTTTTTAAATTTTTCTTTGCATTCTATCTATAAATATTAGCTAGCTAATTTATGATGAATTAATTATCTTTTTTTATATAAAAATTTTATGCTTACCAAATTCTATCAATAACATATTCAAGTAAAATTATGTTTATTATTTATATACCTACAATAAAAATTTAATTGAATAATCTAATAGAAATAGCAATATTTTTATAACATAAATAAAAATTTACCTAAAATTACTTTTTAAAATTTACTAAAAAAATAGTAAAATAGAATTAAGACATAAAAAATTTTAATGTTATGAATAATTAATTTTATCTTAAATAGAAATAAAATAACTTTTTAAAGTAGAATAAACTTTTTTTTTTAAGATTTTTTTGGTTGGTCTCTAAAAGTAAATTAGTAATTACAAAAGTAAACATTTTTTTTAATTTTTTAAGTAAAGAAACACTATTTTATATTTTTAAAATAATTTTTAAATTCGTTTTATTTTTAGGGATATTTATATTTCTTTTAATATTTCTGTGCTGATTAATTAATTAATTTTACATACTTTTTATATAAACAAATTAATATCAATTTAAAAAGGTTTATTTGTGAAACAATCAATTTAAAAATAGATCAATAGTATTTAATATAAAGGTATCTAAAAAATAAATGGATAACGTATTTTAGTCTAAAAAGGACATAGTTTAATAAGAATAATAGGAAGCAAAGTAAAATTTGTTATTGCTTATTAAAAAATACCAAATATTTTGGATTCATCTTGCTGTTTTAATGCTTTTTTCAGAAATTAAAAAGAATAGAAGAAGAAAATATTTAAAGAAACATTTAACTCTCTCTCAAGTTCTAGATTTCAAAACAAATTAATGACTTTTGTCAAAGAAGATGGAACATAAACTATTTTAGAATGTATTTTTTTTCTAATTTATTGATAATTTTGATAATTATTTTTTTAAAACAAAATAGCATTTTAAACAGGATCTTATCCTTTAATAAATCCTGATCTTCATAACTTTAGGGATAGATAAAAAGAAAAAGAGAAAGATTAATATGGCGGAATATATTTAAGGACGTAAAAATGATTAAATTTATATTTACTTATTTATACTAAAGACTTATTTAAATAAATTCTAATGAATGTTTTTTTTAAGTTATTAGGTTGGTAGTGAAAGGGCAGCCCATACTTAGTAGGAATTTTTAAGCTCACATTTAGAAGGATAAATATACAATAGCCATCCCCCGCATTTGCATCCTACACTTTCATGGTTAAGAATAAGAGATTTGAAAAAAGAAGGTCCTCCTTTAAGGTATACACTTAAAGATATTAGTTCTATAACTATAAGTTATAATTATTTTCTAATTTCAAAAATTTAGGTATAACAATCGTATAGAAAATGAAAATCTTGTAAAAAACATTGAAAATAACAATCAAAAAATTGATCACAGCAGTCGTGATATGAAAATGGTTCATGATCCTGACTGGAAATAGAAAAATAAATAAAAATGGATTGATTTTGTAAAAAAAATTTTTTTATTAATTATTAATAATCAAATTTTTAATTATTTTAAGAATAAAGGATTTGATTGTTCTACCAAATCAAGTTTGAAATGGTCAAGTAACCCACCATGGCCTCAAATACCAATTGGACCAACTGACCCTTACATGGGAGGATTTAAATAAATTGAAGATAAATTAGGAAGACACAGAGATAAAAAAAAAGAAGTAAAAACTATTAAAAATGTATTTCTTTTACTGATTAATATATTTTTAAAGCCCAAAAGAAATGATTTTATTGGAAGAGTAAAAGATGATCCTTGGGAGAGCACACTAAATGTTTCAAAATCGATAAGAACACTAAAAGCAGAATAGGTTATGCACGGAGATCCTGAAAGGTTCATGTTTTCAAAAAATAATAAGCTAGATTAAACATCTTACAAACCTAGCTTAATCGAAACTAAAAGTGTTGACAGATTAACTCCTTTCAACCATAGCAACAAGTAATTTGAATTAAGAAAGAAAATAAATAAATTATTAATCTATTTCAAACTAGTTTTTAAAGTCTGTAATTAAAAAATATGGGATAAAACTTCCCAAGAATATACAAAAACTCATTAGTACATTATGGGCTAATTGAAAAGTAATAGCACTCAGCCAATCACAGCAAAAATTATTATAATTCATTTTTATACGATAACGCCTATAAATCTAATACCTCAGGAGCAGGGTAAATTTTTACAATAAAATTAATTTTAAAATTACTTATAACAATACTTGTCTTAATTTAATAAAATATATGGGTAAAATATGTTCAACTTTAATTAATAAAAGCTCTTCTCCAAATAAAAAAATGTTCTTTGACGACACCAAACTTTTACAAAAAGCACATCAAATGTCAAATTAATCATTAGAAAAAAATAAAAGACTTCCAACATAGCAAGCTGAAGATTTTAGATATAACCCTCCTTCTGATAAACAAGTATAAGATGCTGTATGCAAATATTTTTAAAAATGATAAAACAAAAATGTTTATTTGTAAAATAATTATTTGGAATGTAAAAGTGAAAAATTTTATTGAAGTTAAAACATTTTTATCTTTTTATGTTGTAAAATTAAACATTTATAATTAGAAAGAGTAAAATATGATTGATAAAATGATTATAAGTAAGAAATTAGACATATTTTTTATTTATTTTACATTATTATATAGGAATTTATATAAATGATAAAACAAAAATATTTATTTTTGTACAATAATTATTTATTTGGAATGCAAAAGTGAAAAATTTTATTGAAGTTAAAACAATTTTATCTTTATGTGTTGCAAAATTAAACGTTTATAATTAGCCAGAGTAAAATATGATTGATTATAAGATTATGAGTATGAATTTTTGACATATATTTTTTTTATTTTACATTGTTATATAATAATTTACTATGCATAAAAATAAATTGATTTTAGATATTTACTTAGTTAGTTACTTTCTAAATTATGCAGATAAGATTAAGATATTTTAAATTTATTTACATTTGAATATCAAAATATTCTTTTTGAATTAATTTTATTTTAATTAGCTACAGAAGTAGTCTTTACTTGATTATTTTTTGATAAAAAGTAATTTTGTTAGCTTATTTATTTTATTGCAGATATTTTTTACTATTAATTTTAATTAATTATTAAGTTTTGCTTTATAATTTTGTCATTTTAATTATTTGTAACAACAGAACTGTTTTAACTGTTATTCTAAACTTAGTTATTATAATTTAATTTATTTTCTCCTGATAATAAAGTTTAGGGAGCTTAAAATTTTTGATTAAAATATTATTCTTTAGACTATCTTCTCTATTGAAGCATATGAGATATGGTTTCTTTGCCTTAGATAACCTAACTGTTATTTTTTTTAAGTATATTTTATTCGTTTTGCTAAGGTTGTAATGGACCCTATTAATTATGGGTTTTTTCCTGTTAGACAGCAGCTTAATGTTCTTTAGAAATTTAGTTTTATGTGTTTTAAAGGATAGTACGAAGGTTTGTATTAATTTAATTTTAGTTATTTTACATAACGTCAGAACTCTAATTTATTTTGACATCGTTTTATTAAATTTTTGCTGGTATATTTTATTAAATTTATTTTTCGTTTTAGGATTGATCAAATATTTTAAATTTAGTAGTCTTTTTATTTTACGTATTATTTTAAAAGTTATTTGAATAATTAGCTGTTTTTATATCTCTGTTTGTTTCAGAGTATTATTTAAGTGTTAGACCTGTCTAGTTTTTCGAGTGATTAATATTCGCATTGTTTGTACTTTGATTGACTTATGTAAGATTAATTTGGGACAAAGAGCGATTATTGTTTGCATTCACAACTAAATTGCTTTAACTGCTATTCCCTCTTCTTTTATGGAGCATCTTTTTTTCTTCTTCAGCACTTTCTGTTTGGATATTCATTTATTAGTTAACAGCTTTATTAAGTAAATTTGGTACTTATATTTTTTAATTTGTTTGAGCTTGTTTTACTTTATTTAAATTATTGTTAGTATTGACTTTATTATTACTAATTTCATAGGAAAAATAATCTTTTAGAATCAATGGGTCATCTTTGATTTGAGTATTCTCAAACTTATTTTCTTCATAAGTTTATAAATAACTTTATTTTTTTTAGATATCTACTTTCAATTTGGTTTTTTACTTATTTAATATTTAAGAAGAAGGATTAAAAATAATTCTTGACTAAAGCTAAGTTTGATGTGGTTTATCTCTAGGTTCTGTAGATAAATTTTCATTTTCTTCTTCTTGTACATTCTCAGTGTGAAAATAATTATTTTTAATTTTTTGCTAAATTTTCAAGTTTTAATGGTTTTATGAGCCAGCTATAGCAGCTATAGTCATGCTGGACTATTAATATTTAATTCCTTGTAGGTTAATTATTTAGTTACTTTGAGGGCTTAAAGCTTTTTAAGTTGGGGACTTTATTCCTTATGAAAAAATTTAGCTACCATTTGTTAATAGAGCTTGATTATCTTCTTCATCAATTGTTATTTAAGTATTGAGCTAAATACCATTTTATATTTTCCAATTATATGAAAATATTTTAGAGTTAGTTGGAGAACATATATCTTACTAAGTGTTAACATTTGTTTGCTAGCTTTAATTAATAGATAATTAAAACCTGTTATCTAGGTTTTCTTCAGTCTTTATGCAACACTTTGAATATTATGAGTTTTTGTTTTAATCAGAAATTAATGTATTAAAAATAGCCTTACGAGGTATTACTTGGCTATTACTACTAACTTTATTATTCTTAAAGTAAGGTGGTTAAAAATGTGCACTTTTTAATTGAGGTATCTAGCCACTGCCTTAATTTACTGGAGATATTACAGTAAAAGGATTATTAGACAAAGAAAATCTGCTGCATGTATTTACAGGTGATAATTAATCTTAAAAGAAATGATTTCTTATTTCAAGTAAAGGATCTGAACCAAACTCCTCTTCGTTAGATTTATTATGATTATATTCATTATCTAGCTCGCTCTCTTCTATTGAAGTAAAAGCAAAATTGTTTTAGCAATTCAAACTTCTTTGAGTGTTTGCTTATCCTCCAAAATTTTAAACAGATTTAAAGTGACTTTTAGTTTTATCTTAGTTTGACGACTCCTTTTTACGAAATGTATGGCAACTAGTTATCTGGTCGATATTTAATGTTACAATATTTTTCATTTCTAACTCTCCTCTAAAGAAGTCAGGTACAGTATCTACTTAGTTTTCTTCAGGAATGTCTGAGCGGTTAGGAGATAAAGATTTATCTTTTTTGGCTATTTATTTTTTTGGTACCTCTTCTATTTTGAAGAATTTATAATCTTCATCTTATGCATCTTCTCCTAGAGTGTCTTCTTTAATCTAAATTTGGTTATTAAAAATGTGATAACGTAAATCCTCCTAAGTATCATTCTTTTCCTCAATACTCATGTCAGTTTTAGCCTTTTATTTAATGTTATTGCTAAATCTTCTTTGATTGTTAGGATCTAACGTAGTCCTTGGCTTATAAGCAGCAGAACAATAATTTCCAGAGAATTAAGTTACTGTATTTTCAAATATTTTCCTTGAATTTCTTTTTAAGCTCTAAGATGAAGTTCCAGTATTTTTAGCAGGTTATTCAAATTTATTCCATCTGGTTTCAGTAGAAAACATTATTCCGTTTGGTTAAAAATTATTTTATGAATTAAACTGCATTCCATCTAAATAAATAAAAAATATATTAATTATTTTTTAAAATGTTAATTTTTTTACTGTATCCGTTGTTGAAAGAACTCTATTCTGAATGAAGTCTTTACTAGCTTTGAAATGTCAAGAATTCTTTAGAAACATTATTAGATTAATTTAGATTTAAATTATTTCTATTAGGAGATGGGTAGGGAATAATTAACTCATTAGTGGAAAATTCTTAAATGCTGAGATTCTATCTGTGGTGGTTTTCCATTTCATGCTTTATGTTAATATTCTTAGCAAATTAAGGGATTAAAATTTTAGAACTCTAATCTTCAAATTCTTTAATCTAAAATATGTTTTGATAATTATTTAAATGAATGTGAAAGATAAAAAGAAAGAATTTTATCAAGTTAGTAAACTTCAATAAATTACCTCAAATATTTAATTTTGATTATCTAATAAAATTTAAAAGTCTGGGTTATATTCCTAAAAGTATGGCTGCTTTAAAAAAATATGCTACTTGCTTTCTTCAGCTTTTTTCGTAATAGTTTTATCTACATCATTTTATATTTCATCTAAATTAATAATAGGAATCTCTCCTATTTGTTCTAATATTGGTGAAAGAGGAGCTGAAATACTTTTAATATTTGAAGGATAGAACGGATTCTAACTTTGCTTTTTCTTTAAATCTTTTTAGAAAAAGATCAAGTATTTAAGCAATTCATTTTTAGTTTCTGTAAAGTTTTATCTCTATAATTCTTGCATGTAATTGTTAATAATAATAGAGTGCTCAAGGTTTAAAGTGTGAAGAAGGTCAGGGTATTTGTACACATTAACATTAGTTATTTCAATTCTCTTTTGGCTCTGTAACTAAATGTAAGAATTTAATTTTTAAATTTCCTTTATGAACTCTATTAAATACTGGGGAGCCTCTTAGTCTCTAATATCGCGAATATCTCTGTTAAAAACTTCAACTTATCTTAAAATCTTATATGTTTCTTCAATAAAGCTTCTAAAAATCTAAGATTAAATAAACAAATATTTTAATATAAAATAAAATAAAAATTTATTTACCATAGTTTTTTAGACGAATTCTTGGTAAAAAGGTTCGGAAGAAGCATCTAAAAATCTAAAATAAGCCTTGAAGTCAAATATTTCATTGCTGACATCTCTTTCATAATCAAAATCCGTTGGGAAAAGAAAGAAGGGTAAGTAGTTATTAATTAAAGAAATCATAAATTATAAGAAAATTTTCTTCATATTTAGAATGAGATTCATAAAATTGAGATTCTACTCTTTTTTGGTTCCTTACTTAAGCGTGTCTTTATAATTTTTTAATTTATCTCTCAATTACTCTTTCAAGTGAAACTTTAAAAACTCTGGTAATTGCAGTCCCTGATTTTAAAAAAAATTATGGATTTAACTCTATGATAAAAAAGTAAAAATATTTACATCTTAAATTATATAATCACTATCTAAATCAAGGAAAACTTTATTTTCAGATTCTACTGAAGAAAGAACTTAATCTTTATTATTTCTATGAATGCCAATAATATAGGGAACCATTATATGAAGAGTCTCTATCATTTGAGTTGGTAAAAATGGTATATAAAGACAATTCCAAGTAAGAGGTCTAATAAAAGTAAACAATGCTTCACACAAATGAATGATGTCGCTGGGATTATTTGAGAAAATAATTATTTATTTTTCAAGAAGGATGCTTTGTATAAGATCAATTATATTCTAAATGGATAGTTTCATAAAAAGTGGCTTGTAAGAAAAATTCTCTATTTCAAATAGTTTGTTCACACAATTACGCAAGGTAAATATCTCTCTTCCATTAAGTACGAGACTAAATTATTTACATTGATTGATATTTTGACGACTCTTGATTGTTTTAAGGTACGAAAATAGAAAGTTGAAAACAAACTCTTCTCTTACGTTAAAGACTATACTTCCTTTTTCCTTTAATTCTGAGTTATTATTGATGGCTACTTTTTAGGCCTCTCTATATCCATAGTTATTTGCGTATTTTTCGAAGTTTTGTATTTATGTTTGAGAAAATTTTATAGAATCATAAACTAAATCACTGTTTTATGAGATTGAGTTTTAGACTATTTAAGGATGTACAACATATTTGTAAATAAAGGCAAGGAATTATTTATGGACTTCCAAGAGATTGAGTCTACTTATTAAACAATATGATTTTGGTATAAATACTCTTTAATACTCTAAATTTGTAGCTTCTGAAGTTGATTTAATTTTAAGCTTTCTTAACTCCTAAAAAGTATAAAAATATTTTAAAATTCTTGGTTTTTATAAAATATTTGTTAGTTTGAAATAAATTAAAATTAAAAGATAAAAAATTTAAATATTTTAATAAAGTATTTTCTTACAAATACTTATAAGCAAGTGCAGTATCTTTTTAAAGAATTCTCATCAGTTATTACGAAGTTAAAAACGTTTACTTTATCTTATATTTACTATTTGCTATTTTAGCTTATATTATTAATAGCTTGCTTCATTGAATTGTTTTAATATTTCTGATTTCCTTATTCGTCATAAATATGCACGCCTTCTGGAAAACACCACTTTTTTGTTTATAGAACAAATTATGAAAAAAATTTTTTTAGATTCTTTAATTATCAATTCCTTTTAAATGAAAATATATTTAAAAATATACATGATGTAAATTATGAATAAATCCAGGCTTATTTTCCTAAAATGGGTAAACATCTTTTATAGAAAATTCAAATTACTGAGCTTAATCGCTGATTTCTAAAGCTTTATTAGATAAAAAAAATTATTAGATTATTTTCATAGTGTAGCGATATGAATCTATCTAAAAAAAACTTAATAAGATATAGCTTACTTTCATTAGTTATTTTGATTCCCAAAATTACAAATAACTCTAAAATGTCAGCATAATTTTAAACTTCGGCTTAGACGTTCATATTTAAGTAATATTAGTCTAATATAATATTTTAGCAGTTAAGTAAATAAATGGTATGGTGATCTTTAAAGTAGAATATTTGAGTTGATTATCCAATAGTACTGCTTTGCTTTTAGTTATTATGATTTTTACTATTTATTTTGTTTTGATTTCAAATCAATTTATTTGCAGTATTAATAACTCAAGAGACGATATTAACGAACTTTATTTCTTTTTACTTAAATCTTCTAAATTTTTCAAATACCTTAGAAATAAGGCTATAAGGAGCTTTTAAATTCGATTCAAAATTTCATCAATATTTCTATTCAAAGCAGTGTGTGTAAAAGATAATACAAATTGATTTTTTGGATATTAAATTTAAAATTTATGAATTCTATTATTATTTGAAAATTAATTAAATTTTACAACTAATTATTAAGAATAAAACTATTTCAAATTATTTTTTGAAATAAACAATGATATTTTTTATAAAAGATATTTTAATAATTAATTAAAATTATTCTCAAATTAGTTAAATTATAAATAATAAATCATAAAGAAAATATTTTCTCAAATATGTCTTAATTATTAATTAGCATGCATGATTTATGGTTGTAGAATAATGGTGAAATATTTTTTAATAAATTTTGTTTTATTTTCAAATATATTAATTGATTTATTTTTTTCATAATATAATTGTACTTAAGATTTTTAAAATAAAATTAAAATTAATTTCAACATACTTTCTTTTAGATATTTTAAAACAAAAGTGATAGATTAATTAATATTTGAAATTAATCCAATTATAGATATATAAATTTTAAAAAATGTATAGAAAATATGTATTATACTTTATGGTATTGGTATTTATTAAAGTTTTCATCATATTTGAAAATGACTATTTTGTGTTTTATTTAGTTTTTTAAGATTCCTTTTTAGCTATATGTTTATTTTTAATATGAAGTTATATTTATTAATTTATTTATTTTTTTTATTTTTTAGTTATTTAATTTAAGATTTTTTAATATGTAATTAATATTTTTTTATTTTATTTCATTTATTTTAGTATTTTGTTTTTTTTATATAAATCAATCAGTTGAGTTTTTAATAAAATTTATTTATTATCAATCTTTAACGGTAAAAAAAATAATCAAATCAGTTGAGTTCTCGATTTTATAAAATTTATTTGTAAAAATTAAAGCATAGCAATCCTTATAAAAAATATTTTATGATAGTTGTTTTGAAAGACGTTTTTATGGGCGCAGCCTAAGGTTGTCGTATCAAGTTAGATTAGTGGTTAGTTAATCCTTCCCCAATTTAAACGACGTTAAGTTCCAATCATTAAGTAAAGACTGTTCAACCAATCAATTTCAAGAGTTCAAATTCACTTAGCATGTCATATTTTTAAGAAAATTTCAATATTCCTCTAAATTCCTTCTTGATTATTATCAAATACTTTTTTATTTTTTATATATTTTTTTTTTTTTCATTTTTTTTATTACTTCAATTCTTTCTCATTGATTAAATTACTTTTATAATAATTAGCCTAGAAATATCTCATCTAACATGTTAACCTACTACCGAATTTTTAAAAATTTCGAAGAAAGGAATGCAGAATTAAGAGATGGTATAAAAAACTAATTTCTCGGTAGGAACAGTATGCTATTAAAGATATCCCTCCTAATTAATATAATTTCCTTTAATGCTAGATACTTTCTCTCTCTCGAAGTAATTTCAATTTTTTTATTTTTTTTATTTATTTATCTATTTAAGTATTTTTTCAAATAATCATTCAGTTGTTTAAATTTGTATCTCCATCTTCCCTCCAATAATCAATACTTTGCTTCATATCCGTCCATCAATTGTCAGAATACTTAGCCTTTATCTTAAGTCACAAAGAGAAAATAGCTGATGCTTAAAAAACTTTTCCTTAGCGCTGCTTAAGTATTAATTATTTATTTATTAAATTAAAAATTATATTTCGTTAGATTGTTTATTTTATTTTTGGGAAATAATTAATTCATTAAAAAATAAGAAAAATATTAAATAAACTTCTGATTTGATAAGATTGATTAGACAGAAAATAATGATAAAGTTTACAAAAATATAATCATGGAATGGATAATATTTATAAATAAATGAAATTAAATAAATAATTCAAAATATATCAGAATTTTCTTCATTGTCTTCGTTATCGTATTGTTATCCAACATCGTTTTAATATTATTACATATCTTCTTCATTTTCATCTTCATAAACTTAATCGTTTTCTTCTTATCCTTATTCAAATGACTTATCTTCAAGAATAATAGCTATTAATCTTGCAAATGTATCATAATCTATATCTGCTTGAGGGTTTTCAGGTTTTAACTTTTCTAAATAATCTTTGATATCTTCGTCTAATAATTTTAAATAAAAAAGTAATAATTAGTTTGATGTGTTTTAAAAGGATTTTATAATAAATCATATTTGATTGAAATTCTTAAAGCATATTTTACCTGTTAATTCAAAGTCCATGTTAGCTAAAATAGCATTTAACCCAAGTACTGAAACTTTTCTATTATCATCACATGCAGCTGCAAATTCTTTGTAAAGCTCTAAACGTTCTTCTTCAGTATATAACTCATCGATAGGAATAAACCTAGCTCTATAAATAGTTCTTTATTTCCTTACATTTTCCATAGCTTCTTAAAGAACTTTAGTTGGATTCTTTAATTAGATTTTAGGTATATTAGGTAAAATATATGGGTCAGTAAAGTGTTTTTCCCTTTATATTTTTTTTAAAAAAATAAAATAAAAATGACTTTATTCATTTATTGAAAACAGAATTTAAATTTGTATGTAAAATATTTTTACCTATCTGGTTTGACAGTGTATGGATCTTCTACCTCAGAATATACACCTGTTTTGGGCATATCATCTACCCATTCACCAACAAATACTTAATTTTTTAGGGCAAAGAAGTATGATCCTTATCCTTCTCTTTTATCATTAACCCAATGACCTTCGAAGTGATCACCGTTTCTTTTTGTCATAACACCATATCCACTCCTTTTTCCAACAAACCACTATCCTTTAATTTAATTTTAATTAAAAATAAAAATAACTCTTAAAAATAGTATGTAAAACCTTCATAAACATCTCCATTAGCATAAATCATTCTCCCTTCATCGTGTGGCTTATCGTCTAACCAAAGGCCATCATATCTATCTCCATTATTATAAAACATAGTTCCTTTACCAGTTTTTTTATCATCCACCCAATCTCCAGTATATTCTCTCCTCAATCTTAATCATTTAAATAACTTTAAGAGATTTTATAATAAGAGAAACTTTTTTACTTATTTTTGCCTTCACAAACCCAAAAAGTTCCTTAACCATTTCTCGTATTATTTTACCATCCTCCCTTTATTTGACGTAAAAAATGAATTAATGCATTAAATTAGAAAGTGAAACGATTTTACTTCATATTTATCGCCATTTCCATAAAATTAAATACCAAAACCATCTTTTTTATTATCTTTCCAATCCCCAATATATTTTGTATTTGCTATCCATTTTTCAACTTTCATAGATCCATCTTCATTTCTTTGTTTTTTCTAAGTATAAACCATATTAATCTAGATAAGAATCTGCACTTTATTTTAAATATTACCTTAACCCAGTAGATAGCACTATGAGGTCCATTCTTTTAGGCTTTTCTATCATTTCTTTTGAAAAATTAAATTTAAATTTGTAATTTTAAAATGAAAAAATTACATCTTCCAATGCTATTCTTTTTAAGGAGCAGTTCTATTTTTCAAAGTATAAACATGTTCGCTATATTCTTGCTAATAATTTGAGTTATTCTTTTTATAATACAATAAAAATATTTGATATTAGTTTAAATTTCATTCTGCTACAACTAATTTAAAAATCTAAATTAAACTAAAATCTTACATCCATTTTCTAAATCAAAAACCTATGAAAAGTAGTTATTATTTTTTTTATTGCTTTCTAAATTTTTAGATTAATTAGATGATGAAGAGTAAAACTTACTATTATTTAATTAAAAAAGTGATATTGATGCAAATATATTATATGCAAATAACTCTTAAATTATAAAATAGCTAATAACTAACTATCATTTATTTTAACAAAAAAATGAGTTAGTTTTATTTTATATAAGCAAATTAATGACCATTATATTAATTAATAATAATAAAGCATTGAAAAACAGTAGAATTGCAAATCTAATAAACACTAAAAACAATCCACTTGCTTCTTTACAAATACTTTAATATCAACTATAAATTGTTTAAAAGATTTAAGTAGAAAAAAAAATTTAAATATTAAATTAAAAATTAATAAACAATCTAACAAAAAACAAATAGGAAACAAAGGATAAAATGGTAAAAGTTTTAATTTTTTAGGTTTTTAAAATTTAAAAATTAATATAAATACTATCAGACTTCAGCAACTAGAAGTATCAAGCATAGAAACCAATAGTTTAGTGAAAATATTACCAAAAGAGGATAGTCAAGTATTTCTGGAAAAGTAATAAAAATATTAAGAAATTTTCCATTCCAATTTATTGAAAAATAAATCTAAAATTATAAAAGCCTGTCCCAAAAGAGAAATCAAGCAAAGTTGGTCCTGTTATTACTTCTCTATTCATTTTTGTAGTAGTAGGTTCAGGTAAATTTGTTTATTTTAACATCTTCCTTAATTTAACATTTTTATATTATTAAAAATAAACAGCTGTATTTTAGTTATTAAATATGTTTTTAAACACTTCTTCTTGAAATATAAAGATAAAAAATATTTTATACATAATTAATTATATTATCCCTTATCTAAACAGTATCTTTATTTGATTTTGTTTTTAATTATGTATTTTTTATTAATGATATAAATATAAGTTCATTATCTTTATGTGAAGTAATTTTCTTATAAAAATTAAAATAAAATATTTCTTGTTTTTCTAAATTTGTAAAAAATTCATATTTTAAAACCAAAAAAATATTAAAAAAAAAAAGTAAAAATGAACTTATTTTAATTATAAAATTAAACGAAATAAATTTTAGAAAATGATATTATTTATTTTTCTTTATTGAAGTTAAATATATAAATGATTATATTATTAGGTATATGTTTGAATCTATTTTTTGAAATCAATGAAATAGATGAATCTTTATTTAATTTTTAGGTATTACTATTATTATTATTATTAAAACTTAAAGTTCTATTGAGGTAGAAAAAAGAAGAGTTTTTAATTTTTTAATATTGTTTTCTCACAATCAAAAGATAGAAAAATTTTAGTGAAAAATTCGAAATTCTATCATATTTTTTGTTATAGTATTTTTGTAAATATTCTTTTTTTGTTTACATTTTTCCTAATTAAAATTTATAATTCCAAAAATCAAAAAGATTTTTATATCTTACATTGCAAATTGAAGCAAATAGAAAAAGGAGTTTTTATAAAGTATTCAGCAAAATAAAAACTATTCCTTACTTCTCATTATATAATTGTTAAAATATATATATAAAATATTAAATAATGATTTTAAGTATAGTAAAACAAGTATAAAAAGAAAAATATTAAAATTAAATACATATCTATATTTATTTATTTTTTTATAAAATTTGTTTATTTTATTTTTTATAGTTTTATAAGTTAATAATCTTTTTAAATTCTCCATAATGTAAATTCAATATCACTTTGTAAAAATAATTGATTTAATCTCTAAACTCCATGTATTTACTAATACAATTACACTTTTTTGGTTATGCAGTTATCTTAGATATACTTTAAGAAAATTTTTTATTTTTTTGTAAAGTTCCACAATAACAACCAGTAAAATTTTTGATTTTCTTTTAATTAATGCTTTTTTTTTGAGAAAAAATTTAAAATGTGTTAAAAAATTGGTAGTAGCTTCTTATATATAAAACTCTAATTTCTATTTGATTTAATTATGAAAAAAAAAAGAAATTATACTAAAACTATTCACCAGCTTAGTTTTTCTAAGTGGAAATGTTCTTCGAAAATAAATATTGTAAAGTTATTATATATCAAGTATTAAATGTATTATATATCTGGCTAATTAAAAACTTTTTTGTAAATAATTTATAAGCAAAATTTAATATCAACTACAAAAACATAAAAAAAACAAATAAATAAAAATTCTTTCTCATACATAGTGACTATTGTTAAAAATAAATATGTTAACTCAAAAGTTAAACTAAGAACAAAGTAAATTCTTTCTAAGAAATAAAGCCTATATCTTTTATCCTGATATTTAATTGAATTTATTTTAAATATAAAGAAATTGAAGTTAAAAAAGTATCACCAAAGCTAACTAGCTTTTTTGGTAAAAAACATAAATCTGTTTATGAAGTTTGTTGCTGTCTCTATTAATCAATCGATTCATATTTTAATGACTTGAAATCAAATAAAGTATTTCTCTGATATAATTTTACTATTTTAATCTAAAATATATTCTATAAAATAAACTAGAAGCATCAAAAAATGAATAAGTATATTTAAAGGTGCTCAGAGATCTTTTAACATGTAATGAATTAGTTCTTTTTTTACTACTTTGTTCTACTAATTTAGTATATAACTAAGACTTTTCAATCTAATCTTTATTAAAAAAATAAAGGGAGACTAAGATAAAATAAAAGAACTTATTTCTTATGAGTATTTCAACAAATCACTTGTACTTCTTATGAAACATCCAGATGTTTTCTAGTTAGAAGATAAAAAGACAATAATTAATTTGTTGTAGAACTCTTTATTAGATGAATAGGGTCTACTTAGGTCATCTATAAATACTACAGAATAATATCTAAAATCTAATCATATTTAGAATATTGTCAATGATTTATGTGATAAGTAAACTAATTTATTAAAATTATTAAATTTTAAGTATTAAATATTTAATAGATTTGAATAAATGAGTTTTTATGTTGGAAGCGTTATAAGGATTGTATCAGAATCCAAAGAAGTAAATTATCAATAATTAATACAAAACAGGCTTATTAAAATAATTAAATTAATTTTAAAATTAAGTTGCTAGGATAGATTTTATCAATAAATCTAATAAATAAGATATTTAAACATTTGAATTCAAACTAATTCATAATCTAATGTGAGGCTATTGAAGTAATAAATGTAAATAAATTAGTTTTAAATTAAATTTAAATAGTAAACATTTCATTCAAATCATTAATATTAGTAATTGTTCTTGAACAAAAAAAATACAAACACTAAAATTGTTGCGTCTTAACTGCTTGAAGAAAAATCTGTTGAAGTAAATAATTAAATGCTAGAATTTGCCTAAAATAACAAAATTTATAAATAAAAGGTAGAGCAAACTTTCAGAAGATCCTTATAAGATAATGTAAACTACTCTGGCATAAGGATGATTTTAAAAGTAATATTAAAAATTATTTAAATCAAATATTTATTTTTAATTATTTGTTAATAATATTCTTATAAATTATTTGAATTAATTATATACTCTTCATTATTTATTAATAATTTTTAAAAAACTTTAGAATTTATTTCTTATATTTTAAAATTAATATGAAAATAAAAATAGATTTTATATAAGATTTTGAATGATCCTATTTATCACGTGTTTGCCAGTCATTTCTTAAGCATAGTAAGAAAAATACATAATATATTTAAAATATTCATAAACTTTTTTATAAATATAAGGAAAACTTAAAGATTATTCTTCTACTTGCTGCTAATGAAGATCAGGCTATAAGAAAAGAAGCTTTTCTTATCCTTGACCTATTCATCAATTTGGTCTAAGAAAAATAAGATGAAAAGCTTAAATAGATATTTAAAAAGAATTATTAGAATATCTTGGGCGTTATTTAGACTTTTAATGATTCAAACATAGAAGGAGAAAAAGAAGAATAAGACAAAGTAGATACAAATTTCCTAATACATAGACTTCATTCAGTGTCTTTCTGATATTATTAATATAAGCTAATCCTCTTTAACTACTACTAAATTATTAAAATAAAAATTATATAAAAAATTTGATTAAAATTACAAAATTAATAATTAAAAAATATTTTAAATTAATTACTATTTAATACTTACTACTTAATTTATGGCTTTATATTACAATAAATATATTGAATAAATTAAAAAAACTTATTACTTAGAATGTTTATTCTAAACTAAAAATAATTTAAATTTATTTCTAAAAAAAAATTTAATATATTTTAATAAAAAAATAAATAAAAAATTTGTTTAGTGAATTAATAAAATTTTAACTAAGTTTTAATGAATAAGTTTGGATAAAAGAAATTATTGTTTAAGAATTTACAAAATTTTGTATAAATTTGATGAATAAAGATATGCAAGAAATTGGATGAGAAATTTTTGTATATTTGTTAAAAAACAAATAAACATTAGAAATATTAAAACCAAATAAAATTTTATCAAAAATAAGATTAATAATAAATGATTAATAATAAATTAATTAAAGGCCTTTTGCCGCATGATATTTATTGATTCTTATTTTATCAAGCAAGCAAGATATGTTTATCAGCAAATAATATTTGCATATTCATAAAATTAAATTAATGGGATTAAACAAAAAGAAAAATAAAAGAAAAAAAAAGATTATGAAAAATAACTAAAATTGATAAGCTTTTATAATGAAAGATATATATTATATGAGTTATTAAATAAATGTAAAAAAGATAGATAAATAATATGTGAGTTAATTAATAATGCCATCCATGTATGTATGAATGCATGCATGCATGCATGATAGATTGATTAATCAAAAATAAAAATAAAATAAGGAAGAATCGATGAATAAAGATAGAAGAAGGGATGGGAAAAAAGAAAAGGAATATGTGTATTATCTTATTTTTTTACTTTACTATACCTTTGTTTGGCTCATTAGTTAAGGTGGAACAAGCAATTATTTGGCTATAGGGATGAAATCCTAATAAAAATTTTTATTTATTATAATAAAATATAAATAAAAAAACAAAAATAAAAATAAAAAAGAAAAAGAAGAAAAATGTCTTCTGATCCTATAGCTGCTAAGATTCACGCAGCCGCAGCATCTAGAGATTATAATGTTGCTCCTCGTGCTGATTACAGAACAGTTTGCAAAGTCGATGGTCCTTTGGTTATCCTCGATAATGTCAAATTCCCCAAGTAAATCATATATCAATTTCAACAATTAATAAATACTACTATGCAAATAGAGATAATAAAATAGGTTCATTTTTCATTCTATGGAAATAATTTTTCATATTTTACATACAAAATCAAATTCCAATTTTTTGTTAATGATACTACTGTATCAATCCTAATAAAAAATTATGAATATAATGGATGGCATTAGTTTCCCAAAGAAGTTCCAAATAGCATATAAAAAAATGTTAAGAACATTAATTATTAGAGCAGCACAAATCAAATAAACAACTTTTTTCAAAGCAAATAGTTGAATGCAAAAAATAAAAATTTAGTAATAGATAGATTCAGTATAAAGAGTAGAACAGATAAAATATATAAAAATATAGATAGATAGTTAGATTGTTTTGCTTGATGGTGATTCAATCAACTTTATAGATTTAAGAATGAACTTATTTTTTAACTTTTAATGTAGCTTTTACTTATTTTAATTTTTGTATCAAAAAGGTTTGCTGAAATCGTTAACGTTTGCTTAGCCGATGGTACAATCCGTAAAGGTTAGGTTCTCGAAATCAGTGGTAAAAAGGCCGTCGTTTAGGTAAATAGTATTTAAAAAGAAAGGCAACAAAAAGGATTACTAAAAAAGTTGCTTTGCCATAAAAATAAATGCATTAAACTAATCATATTTTTAATAAAATTAAAGATCTTTGAAGGTACTGATGGTATCGATAGTTTATATACTCACTGTGAATTCACTGGTGAAACTTTATAAATGCCCATTGCCGAAGAAATGTTAGGTAGAGTCTTCAATGGTTCTGGTACTCCTATTGACAAGGGTCCACCTGTTTTGGCTGAAAAATTCTAAAGTATTAATGGTCAACCCATTAATCCTTACTCCAGAGTTTATCCCAAGGAAATGATTCAAACTGGTATTTCTGCTATCGATTGTATGACTTCTATTGCTAGAGGTTAAAAGATTCCTCTTTTCTCTGCTAACGGTCTTCCCCATAATGAAATTGGTGCTTAAATCGTGCGTTAAGCTTCTTTGGTTAAGGGTAAGGATGTTTTAGATCACTCCGAAGAAAACTTCGCCGTCGTTTTCGGTGCTATGGGTGTTAATATGGAAGTCGCTCGTTTCTTCAGATAAGATTTCGAATCTAACGGTTCCATGGAAAAGGTTATTCTTTTCCTTAATCTTGCTAATGATCCCACTATCGAACGTATCATTACTCCTCGTCTTTCTTTGACCGCTGCCGAGTAATTAACATACAATAAATATATTAATCTAATTTTTAGAAATGACTTTAAAATAAGATACAAATAAACACACACACATATAAATTAATATAAGATTAAGTGCATAATTAATTATTTCTTTCTTTCTTGATCTCCCTCCCAATCAAAATAGCTTAGCTTATTAAAAATTTAATAACTATCTTGTCCTGTATATTTAATTAACACTTAATCTTTCAATAATTAAAACTTTATAATCTGCATTTTTCTGCCTTTCTAAACTAAAATCAGGCAACTAACTACTAATAAAAAATAAATAAACAAAAAATAAATTAGTCAGAAGGATGGTTAAAATTTTTTATTTTTTAGATATTTTTTAATAAAAAATTAGCTTATTGATTATTATTTAAGATATGAATAAAAGGCAAATAGTGTTTATGAAAGAAAAAGCAATATAAAAAATTTTAATTTAACATCGCACTTTTAAATAAAAATAAAAAATTATTTTATTGATAAAAATCTTTTGAAAATATCAATAATAATAAATTATTTAAAAATTAATAGATATTTAGCTTACGAAAGAGAAATGCACGTCTTGGTTATCTTAACTGATATGTCATAATATGCTGATTCTTTGAGAGAAGTTTCAGCTGCCAGAGAAGAAGTCCCTGGTAGAAGATCTTATCCTGGTTATTTATATACTGATTTATCAACAATCTACGAAAGAGCCGGTAGAGTCGAAGGTGTTAATGGTTCCATCACTTAAATTCCCATTCTTACCATGCCTTCTGATGATATTACCCATCCTATTCCCGATTTGACTGGTTATATTACTGAAGGTTAAATCTTCATTGATCGTTAATTACATAATAAGTAAATTTATCCTCCCATCAATGTCTTACCTTCTCTTTCTCGTCTCATGAAGTCTGCTATTGGTATTGATGATCACGGTAAGGTCATGACCAGAGTTGATCACCCTGATGTCTCCAACGAACTCTATGCTGCTTATGCTATTGGTAAGGATACTGCTGCAATGAAGGCTGTCGTCGGTGAAGAAGCTCTTAATGAAGAAGATCACCTTTATCTTGAATTCTTAAAGAATTTCGAATCTAAATATATTTCTCAAGTAATAAATAAGATTAAATTAGAAAACAAATTTTTTATATTTTTAATATAATTTAGGGTCAATACGAATCTAGAACTATCTTCTAAACCTTAAACAAAGCTTGGGAATTACTCAGAATTTTCCCTCCAGAGAAGCTAAAAAAGATTAAACAATCAACCAAGGATTTGTACTACGCTAAAAGGGGTGAAGAAGAAGATAACTGATTACTAATTTTATATAAGTTTTTTAACGTTTATCATATCAGAGTATTAAATATAAATTTATTATACAGTAATTTTTAGTAAGCAAAGCAAGTAAGCAAGTATCTATCTATATCATAGTATTATTCATCCTTTCAAATTCAACAAATTAAAAAGTTCATTCACTTGTTTATTTAGTTCATATTTTTTATGAAAATTTCTATTTTTGTTGACCAAGCTTGGTCTTTTATTATTAGCGTTATCACTTTTTTCAGTAAAATACAAAATATATTAAATATCAAACAATAGTTATGGATAAAGTTGATTCAAAAATGGTAAATAATAAAACTATATTATTTGAAAAGGATAAAAATAGTCATCAATAAATAGAAATTTTACGTTTTAAAATATCAATTTAATAAAAAATTATCAAAAGATATTTTTTAAACACATAAAAAAAATTTATAATTCTAGTTTTTACTGATTTAAACAAGTTATTTTCATATAAATATTTAAAAATAAATTTTTTTTTACTGTATTAAATAAATAAACTATCATTTTTTATCTCAATTAAATTATTTCTAAAGAATTTATTTTTAAAAATCGAGTTTCAATAAATAAATCAATCAGTATTATATAATTTTTTTGATTTATTTTAAATTACTAATTTCTATTCAGCTTTAACATTGATAGTTTTTTATTTTTTATAAAAAATTTTAATTTACTTAGATTTATTCTATTTATAAATAATTTTTTTTGTTTCATTTTGATTTAATATTAATCATTTACATGCTTTTTTTTTGGTTAAAATATTTTTTATAATTATTTACAGTATTATAATTTTGTCAGATATAGATATGAAAAAGTGAATAATCAGAATATTTTTCTCAAAAATTTATTGATTTTTTTTTCTGTTATCAATTAACTTTATTTAAGATCTTTTGGAATTAATATCAAGCAATTAAAAATTAAACTAAAATATCTGATTTGGATTTTTTTTCCAGTTATTAATTATTTTGCAATTATTATAACACAGTAAATAAATTATTTAAAATTAAAAGTTCACAAAAATTTAAAAAAGAGATGACTGAATAATTGTTTAATTATAATCAAGAGCTTTCATTTAGACTATAGCAAGATATAGCAAAATACTAAGAAGCTAATCAAATATTTCGCAAACTAGATTATGTTGGCTACATAAATTAAATTTACGATTTATTTTATAACATAATGAACAGCGAGTACTAATTTACAATCTAAGAATTAAAAAAGTTTTATGATTTAGAAGTTGAAAAGTTTGATTTTATAGAAAAATATCAAGTTAACTCACTTATATTTAAATCAAATTTCTAAATCATATGCAATTCAATTCAAGATTATCTATGGGTATTATTTTTCAATAAGGTTTAATAAGAATTTCAAAAAGATAACTCAAATTAAGTTAGCAAATCAATAGAGCAAAGTAGCAGTATCATATAAATTATTATGAAAAGCAAGTGCATATTTTTTTTTAAGGTAATAAAAAAGATCAAAGAGAAGAAAGGATGAGTATTGACACCATATAAAACTTAAAAGCTTAGCTGGCAGATTAAAATGGTCAATAATATTAAGAAATGAGAGGGGACACCTTTTAAAATTTAGACTTTAAGAATCAAAACCACCACGAATAAAGATAAGCAAATAACTTATCTTCTAATATAAGACAAGAGTTTGCCAAAGTTACTTAAATGAATGCAAAATATGAAAATTAAATTTCTTAGAAGCAAGAAATACTTTCTTAGAAATAAATAGAAGATCTAATACGTGAATCTTTCATTGAAGACCAGTAAGAAAAATTGAACAAATATCTGAATTATGAATAGAATGTAATTTTAAAATAGAACTTTGCTAAAACTAAATAAAACTTTTCTCACAATAATATATATTTTTTTTAAAATTAATATGTAGGGTTTTACACAAAATTAAGCTTAAAAAAATATGAGTGTTATTAATTTATAAAAAAATTTAGAATGGATTGTTTAGAATTACCCTGATTTAGACAAAGTTATCAAGCCTCTTCCAATAAAGAAAGACAGTATCAGCTCAGTAAATATCTCTAGAGTTATGAGGCATGAATCAACTGATTTTATTCTTAATGAAAAATCAAATGAAACTGAATTAGCTCAATTAAAAATGATGAAAGATATTTTGGATGGATAGCAAACAGTTAAATCGGGACTTCCAATAGAAAACAACTATCAACAAAATAGAAACTAGCATTTTGATAGAAAATTTAGTACATTAAAACCTTAAGAATTCTAAGATAAGCTAGCTTAAATATAATAATAAGAAAAGGAAAAGACTCCATCATCATAAATTTCCACTTAAAATTTAAGAATGTAAAGAGATCATAAACAATAATCAGGTTCTATCCACAAAGATGCTTATAATATATCTAATTAATAGACAGAATCTTAAAAATAATATCCTTTGAGGCACTCAGCAACACAATTTTATACAAATAGCCACAAAAAAAATTTTGGAGATAATATTTTTTATTGTGATGATAATAATGAAGATTTCAACAGTAAGCAGATAAAAAATTAATTTTAAGCAGGATCTTAAAGCACAAGAAACTTTTAAAATTCTTCTAACATTACAGGAAAAAGATCTCCTTCATATGCTTTTTCGAAAACCCCTAAGGTATCTGTCTTTAGTTAGCAAATAAAACTCACAGAAAATAATAAATACAATAAATACTAATGAAAAAATAATTGTTATAAATTAATTAAGCTATTAAGTAAAATTTTATTTTGTAATTAAAAGTAATTTAGTAAATATTTATCCATCCAGTTAAGAATATTTTTAATCAAATTTTGTAATAAATTTTGATGCTTTTACATTTAAAATTAATTTTTAAATTATCCATTAAAATAAATTCACATATTTTATTTTTGATCTTGAAATGGTTCGTAACTTAGAAGAATTTGTAAATATTTCGTTAATTTCCGATTATAAGATGATTACTTTTGAATTTAAAGTGTTTTATGTATTATGGGGAAGTTCTTTAGTTCATTAACAATACTATCAAATATAAAAAGGAAAAAAGAAATTTAAATTAATTTAAAAAGTTTTCAATTTAATAAATAACACAAATATATTCTGTCGTAAATAATTAGTTGAAAGAAATATAGTCTATTTCATTTTTTTATTTTTTTAAATTTTAAATTGGTTGAAACATACATACAATAATTAGATATTATAAAATTAATTCTCTATAATAGAACTATTTTAAAATTATTTCTTTATAATAATTATTTTGGTTAGATTCTATCTTTACTTTGAAGCTTTAATATAAATTTACATTACAATATAATTTTTTTATAGCCAAATGATAAAAACTTAAAAGCATCTATTTAAAAAAGAAATCGTGTTTTTCTGCTCTTATTTATCAAAAAAAATCTAAGCTGCTTTTATTAAACTTTAAATATTTTTAAAAAATATTGAACTTTGCATTTATTATATTATTTATATACTTCATTTTGATATTTTGAAAGTATTTTTGGGATTTATTAGGATATCAGAGTATTTTAGATCCCATATTTGTCAAGCGGATTTGTTATTTAGATTTGTAAATTTAAAATCAAATTATATTGATTATTTTTTACATGTTTTGTGTCTTAACTCAGTAGAAAAAATTAGGAAGTTTGATAACAATAATAATAAATTAAATGTATAAATTCAATATTAATATTCAATTATTTGTCTAAAATATGTATTTTAATTTACTAATTAATATTTTGATCTATTTGATTTTTTGCTCATTTGTAAAATCACTTCTTATTTAAAGATGAAAAAATTTTATGAATTTAGTTTAGTTATTTCCACTTATTATAGTTAATAATAAATAATGTTTTTATGTATTTATATATGTATAGATGTATAAATACATACATGCAAACAAGCAAGTATGCCAATAAAATGAATGAAAATATGAGGAAGAAACACAGCAGCAATTCTAGCTAGCAAAAAAACTTAATTAATTAATTAAAAAAAACTAAGAAAACAAAATAAAGGTATTTATACCTAATTAAATTAATAGTGTATACAAAGAAAAAGCAAATTCCTATAAGATAGAGTCTAATATGGGCAAAAAAAATAGAAGAAAAAATAATACAAATAACTCAAAGGTTAATTAGGGGCTTAAAGCAGAATAATAATTATAAAAAGCATAAGAGGAAGCACAGCTCTTAAAATAATAGCAAGAATTGAATATCATTAGAGGGAAATTATGCACAAATTCCATGTAAAATGATTACATAGATGATGAATCTAAATTGAATGCGAGTGTTTATTAATACAGTATGGATTTAAGACAGCAGGAGTTCAGTGCCGAGGAGCTTTAAATGATTCACTAAAGTTAGAAGGCATGTTTATTAAAATATTTATTTAATTATTAATTATTGAATGCACAAAGATCTTGCTTAAGATGGTAGTGCTGCGAATTTCTTTAGTTTTTATGATATTTTATTGTTTGCAAACATATTTGATTTTTCTAAAATTCCTTTATTAATTAATATAAACAGCACTCACAAAGCAAACAATTAGAATAATGTAGAGCTACTAAGGAATAAATGGTAATTCATAATAAATTTTTCTGATGTTATAATAATAAAATGCAATGCTTAGTCTAGGTTAAAATTCAACTTTCTTTATATTTTAGGTACAAAAAATTATCTAAGAAGGAAGGATGAACTAGCATATACCTCTTCATCACAGATACCCACTATAATAATAGCAGTATTAAATATATGGACAATAGAATATATAGATAAATGACAATTAAATGCATCACTACAATTAATATCAGATTAATAGAAATCACCACTTAAACAATCTTAACAGCCTCTCTTAAAAAGAGGGATCTTAGATTATGATGATTCGTCGATTTGAGAGAAAATAAATTTCTAAGAGTTGTGATGATGCAATTAAACGCTAAAATTATCATAATTCTTATGATGACGAAGAAGATGCTGATTGTAACGATATTTATTAAACAGATAACTAAGAAATTTAAAAATAGCAATATCATGTTTACCTACCACAAAATGAGCTGTAATATCAGAGTAAATTAATATACATTTTATAGAATATTTCTCCCCAATCTCTATTTGACGCCATAATATATATTTGAATAAATTGAAGTTGGCTTTTCCTTAAACTCTCTCTGCAATTCTCTCTAGTTAGCAGCATCCGAATAATTATTTTAATTGAATGAAATCTTTCTGAAAGGATATATCAAATAAAAAATGAAAATTTTTTAACTACTTAAATATTATTTTCAAATAAATTTTATCTGGATCTTTTTTAACACTCTTTAACTGGATGCTGAGCGATAATAAAAACAGAGAGAAGAAAATTAAACATTTAATTGAGAATAATAGGATTATTTTAGAGAAAATCAAAAACAAAAATAGCGTTTGTGTTTGTAATTCAAGTTAAAAAGTATTTTCTAAAAGATCGTGAATTTAATTGTGGTATAATTGATATAAAAACATGTCATTGATATTATCTTTTTACTATTTGATAATATTATAACATGTAGCTTAAATCTTTAAACTATTTGATATAAAAATATTAAAGAAACACTATTAATTTCCTTGTATTATTTGATAATAATTAGACTGTGATGATATGGAAGGACATGATGAAGATGAAGAATAAATAGAATACGATGAAAATGAAGAATTTGATTGCTAATAAAATTTGTAGATTTAATTCTGCAACAAAAGAGATTACTATAATCATTATGGGAAAAAAATTTTCTAGTCAAAGTAAAATCATATTTAAAAATTCTAAAACAGCTATTTGTAATTTAAATCATATTGTAATTATAAAGTAACGGAGCTACTGAAGATGATTAAGAATATGAAGAGGAAGACGATGGAGATGATGATGAAGACGAGGATGAAGACGAAGAAGAGGAAGAGGATGACCACGAAGAATTTGAAAATGGTGATTTTAGAGGTAGCTACACATACGATGAAGATAATTAAAATTTGAGATTTATATAAGCTAATATTTTATAGAAGAATCTTAATGATCTACAATTATAAGGAAATCGCTAACAGCAACAATTATAGATTAAACAGTATTAAAAATAACTTTAACATTAGAAATTACAATAGTACTTACTAGAATAGCAATAATTATAAAATGCTTAATAAGGAAAATCTAAATAAAGTAATTTAAGTCATCAATAGTAGTAGGCATTATAATAAAAATAAATATTGTAATAGCAACAACTATAGATTTTCAATTAAGTTAATTTATAATAATTATAATAAAAGCAATAAATCAATTAAAACATTCAATAACTTAACAAAAACTATCTTCCTTCTTCTTAGTAAACGACACACCACTAATTTATAAATTAAAACAATTCATATTATGCAAACGGCTCATAAAACAATACTTCAAACTAAAATTCTACAGCTAATTACTAGAACCAGTCTTAGCAATAAAAGAACAGAGGTTGTAAAACTCCTTCCACGGATGATAACTCTGAAAGCTTCAACCATTCCGCAAGAACAAATAGTTTTTGTAAAAAATTAATTATTTATTTAACGAATAAAATTGTTATTTTACAAAATATGCAAAACAAAATAGAAATTAAATATTTTAATTTTTGCTGTATCTTTTCTAATTATTATTTATTAATCATAAGAAAAAAACACAAAGTAATCATCTTAGTCTTTAAAGAAGAGCTCTGTTGAAAGAGTAGCAGTCTATGGTAAACCAAAGTCTGAAAGTGAGAAAAAATTAGCACCTTCTCACAATTCATTTATCAGTCAAGAGGCTAATTTAGCCTTGCTATCCTAATAAAAATTTAAATACTGTAAAATTTGTTTTAATTATCAATTTCGAATTAAATTATTTTTCATTTTTTTCAAATTGTGTTTAATTAAAATTTATTCTTTAATCATTTAAAATTTGAGACAAATAAATAAATAAATAACTTAATTCAAAAAAATTCAAAAAACTTTTCTTTAAATTCAGTTTAATTTTTTTACACAACAGTTTTAATTTTTTAAATTTATTTGAATAAAAAAATTAATAGTAAAGGACGAACACTTGGATTTGGATTAAATTTTAAATAAAATTTATTTTGAAGAATATACTTATGATGAATTAAAAGAATTTGTTATTCCAGCACTAAGAGAGATTTAAAATATAAATAATTTTTTTGATATTCTTTTTAACTCAATACGCATATACGCTGAGGTAATAAAATTAAAGAAATTTAGCTATTTCTATAAAATAACTTTTATTTATATTTTATAATAGGATGTAAAGTAGAAAATTATAAATAATATAAAGTAAATAAACTAAGCCTGTTCTGGTATAGCTGAATCATAAAATAGGATTTTCGAAATATCAGAATTCGAATAAATTATCAATAAAAACTTCCATAAATAGTCTGAGGCCTTTATAAGAATTACAAATCAGATTTATGGATAATATTAAGCAGTAGAAAAATACAGTAAATAAACAGAAAAAATAGTTTATCTTTATATAAATCATTTCATTGAGAAAAATAGATCCGTAAAATAATTTTTTACATACTTTTCAAATAATAATTGTGTTACTAATATTAATTTAAATAGATACGCTTCAACTGTGAAGACCTTCATAGGAGAATATTTATCTTCTTTGTCTTTGCAGATCCTTAAATTAATAATTACTTAGAGGCTAAGATAAATTATTTCAGATCAAAAGGTTTGAATGGAAGTAAATACCATGATTGCTTCCATCAATTAAACAAGATGCATGACATTTTAATTAGAAAGTAGAATTTTTAAAACAATTATTTATTTGAGTAAATAAATAGATAAAAATTTTTGATTTAAAAATAGAAATTAATACATTCCATCTGAAGAACATCCAATAAACATTGAAATATATGAAAAAGAAACATGTGATGAAGAAGAGGAAGAAGAAAGTCAAAGTAATAGATTTTATAAAATTATCTATAGTAATTAATATATTATTTGAATAGATGATGATAGATATTATTAAGGTCAACCTCACATTTCATAATAAAGCACTATGAATCAAAAACTACTTAAAAAAAGAAACTAAAAGAAGTCGAAAAATATGTAATTGAAAAAATTACAATAATAGTTTGCACAAGGTCAGTATAATGACATAAGTGATTACGCAGGGCAAAAAGAATTTTCGGAATAAATTAATGGGTTATGTGAATACATTAATACACTTGATGATTAAGAAATAAAGAAAAAGAAAAAGAAGAAAAAGAAAAACAAATCTGCTGCTAATGCTGCTGCAAATAAAGGTAAATATTTTTTTAGTAAATATGTAATTAATTTAAATTTATATAATTTGTAAAGATGAAGAATAAAACCAATCCTAACACTAAAATGGTGAAGAAGAATAGCCAAGAGATAGCAGCACAGAAAAGATTAAAAAAAGTGAGGGAAAGAAAAAGGGACCGAACTGCCATATGAATGAAGAACTTGAATAATTTTAGAAAAGGCTAGAAGAATCATACAAAAATTTAAAAGAACACCAAAAAATATAGCCAATAATTGCAGAAAATTGGATATTAAAGATCAAAGAAAGATATGCTAAACTAAAAGTTAGGCTGAATAAATGATTGAAAATTTAATAAATAAAGAGAGGCTAACAAAAAATATATTTGGCTTCATTATAATTCAATAAAAACTATAAAAATAATAAAAATAAATACCTAAATAAACATTTACTATATAAAAATACTCTGGTTCCACTCATATAAAACATTTTCAATTAAATAATTAATGATAAAATATCATTTCAAAATCAAACAACCAAACAAACTTCTTATGATCTAATATTTAATAAATTTAACATATTAGATTGTAATTAATGCCACTCACTATCAAAAACAATGAATGACTCACCCTTTCTGCTTATTTCTTCTAAATAATTGATAAAATAATTAACCAACAAATCATATAACCTGTTGCTCATTGAATGAATACAAAAAATAATGATATTGGTAGAGGGATTTAATTGGAACCATCCGAAGCAGGATGAAAAAATATAAGATCGTTTTAGAAATAAAGCTTAATCTACATCAAGGGAAAAAAACTTTTTTATTTCAATATTAGTATCAAATAGCAACCTCAAAAACTATTTGTGCTATATTTATTTTTTTAATTAAATAATTTTAGTATTTTGTTTCTTTTATTTTGAAATCTTGATGATAACATACATGCATGCATATATTTAAATACCACTATTTTTTTCTTCTTTTTGAAATTCCCTTTTTAATTCTATAAATAAAAAAATTCAATATTAAATAAATAAATAAGTTAAAAAAAGATTTTTGTTTATTTTATCATAATAATATTTTTAAAATTAATTACAAAAATACATGTAAAACAAAAATAAAAATAATTCCTTAAAAAATTAATATGATAGTACATTTATATCAAGAACAATAAAGATAGATAATCTTAAATAGATATATTTTCAATAATTTAATTTTAAATAAATGAATTAAATTATTTAAAAACAATTAATTACATTTAATTATTTAAATTTATCAACATATAAAATTTGAGAATAAAATAAGTTGTATAAAAATTATTTATTTTTAAAATAATAAGGATTTTTTCATTAAAAGTTAAATATAGCATCAAATTTATAATATATAAAACTAAGTTTATATTTTTCTAATCTAAATAAAACAAATTAAATTATTGATATTTGGAAAATTAAAAAATTTTTTATTTAGATCATAAAGAAATTAAAAACTTTATTTATCATATTGTTAAAGCTAAATCTTTAATTTTTTTTTAAACTTAAACAAACAAAATAAATTAAATGAAAGTTTTTATACAAATTATTAAATTATTTTTTAATGTGTTTTTATTTTAAAATGATTTGCAATATACAATTCATTAACAAAGAAAGTTGTTATTTTTATAATGTTTTTTTAGTTAAAAATAATTGATAATATGAAAATTAGATAGATTTTTTTGTTCTTCAAATTTTAAATTCTTTAATAATTTGCATTAATAAGTTTTGATTAGTTGGAAACATTTTTTAATAAAAGCTTGTTTCTTTATGATTACAAAATAGTCTAATAGCCTTAATTTAATTATATAATTTGATTGATTGAAATATAGTAGTTTGTTTTATTTGAAGTATTTATCTTTTATTCATAATTGAAATATTTACTAAGTTTTCATACATTTTTGAAAACTCTTATATTCTTTGACTTTGTAGACTATAAATAAATCAAAAAATAATTTCAATCTTTGAATTCTAATGCTGCTATCATATTTTAAATAGTTTGATCAGGTAACTAGGTCAAATTCATAGAGAGCTTTTGTTCTCTATTTTCTATATTTGAAAGTGTTTCAGGGTGTTTTTCTGCAAGCATAGCAAATAAATTTACTAACTTATCTTCTGTAGCATTTTTTAATTTAAAAGCTAAATTTAATCTAAGTGATATATGAGCATATTTTCTTTCTTGCTAATTAGCATATTTTTCTTACTATTATTCATTTTTATTGACAGGTGGTTGCCTTTCTTTTTTACTATATTATACACTCTAGACATTTTATTATTGTTAATATTAAGTATTATTGTTATTTCCATTATTATTATTTCCTGATGCTACATTCACGTTTGTATTAGTATTTACTGTAATGCTACTGCTTCCTTCTTTGTTTTTATGGATTTTCTTTTTAATTATAGATGAACTAACTGATTTTTCTGTCTTTTTTTACTTACCAGCTATGCCAGCTGAAGAAGATTGGTTTTATGTTGCTTGTGCTTAGGTTTAATTTAGCTTTTTTAAGGACTATTCAAAAGCATATTTAGCAGCATTAGTAGCTTTTTCCATATTTAAAGCTTACTAATAAATGTTAGATCCATCTTGATTGTACATTTTACAATTATTCCACACTAAAAATATGTCATCAAAGAAGTCTTTAGGCTATTTATATTTTTTTGCTTTTAAGTTTTATTCTATCGTGCCTAAATCCATAGGATTTTTTATAATATCAGGGTAATCAAATAACTATAATTATTCATAATCGACTGGTTCTCTAAAAGGATATGATTCTGGTAACTTAAGCAGCTATTTCAAAACTTTACTGCATTCACTTTATACTTATTTATCCATTAATTTTATAATCTATCTATCTATATCTTTTATTCAAAAAAACCTTTTTTATAAAATATTTCCGTCTAAAAAGTAATAGCTATTATTAAGAATTTTTTAATTTTAAAAGCATAATAGTGAAATAAATAATGATAAAAAACCGATTGAAAATTTAAACTAAAATTTTTAATAACAAAACTAATTAATCAATTATAAGTATTTATATATAAGGCGGTACAATAAAATATAAACGTCTAATATTGGCGGTTTAACATAGCAAGGTAATTTAATATAATTTAAAGAGATAATGATTTATTCTACTTTAATTTTTTTAATATTTATTCATATAAAAAAATAATAAAATTATATTTTTAATTTTTAATTTTTAAATAAAAATCTAATCTAATTAATAAATTAATTAATACACTAATAAAGGTCAATATAATTTGAAATATAGATAACATTTATCTTAATAATTTTATTAAAAATTTAATTGAAAATAAAATTATTAATCAACATCCATAAATAATTGTATCATGCTTAAGTGTACCCTTGTTCAGTATATTATTACTGTTATTGTTGTTATTATGGTTATTGTTATTGTTATTAGAATTGTTGTGATTAAGTTATTTATTATTATTAATTTTATTAAATATTATGCAATTCAACATACCTAGACATATCTGATTAGTTATAAAGTGGGGATTAAAGCTAGTGCTCTTGTAAATACTATATCTATGATTTAGATTGCTATTTCATTTTATATAGACTATAACCAAGCAGAGCAGTTACTATAGCTAATACTACTGTAATTATTGCTAAAAATTAAATTAGAGTTTCCCTATCGTCTATAACACTTTTATCGCTTACTATACCGCAAAGATCTTCGTAAACCCCTGAGCTAAATTATAATCTTGAAATAAATTCTTAGAGCTCACATTTAGTTGATTATTACTCACAAAGAAAGACATATTAATTATTATATTTTACCATCACATAGTACTAAGTAGGGTCAGCTGCTGATTAGTAAAGCTCGTATATGATAGTAGATGCAAATCTTGGACTATCTACACAATTTAATGATGTACTTGGCTTATTTTGGTATTTTTACCATTAACATTCATGATTTGACATATTGAGCTGTAATATTTATCTACTAAGAGTGCTATCATGTCCTGATAAGACTATATATTTAAGTGTAGAGTTATTGTTTATCTTATTTTAAAATTATTGGATTATAAAATTAAATCCATTTGAGGCCAATGCTTTAGCAACTGGTCCTGTTTGGTAAACGAACCATGAAATAGCTCTCAATATGTTTATTTTGTTAATCTAATCGTAGGTAAGCTATGGTGGAAGTTTTCTTTATTAATATATATCAGCAGTCATAACATCTTCGAAATTCATCAAATCTTATAAGTTGTTGATAGGCTCATTAATCATATCAGAAATTTATTGATACAAATCGTTGCATTCAGCATTTAAATTACTAATAAAGTCGCCATACTTATTAATATTTGATTACATTAGTTTATTATAGTTAGGGCAATATAGAGGTAAAATCGATCCTTACTAAGGGAGAGTATGGACTGGAAATACAGACATTCCATAAGGTAATGCATATCCTCCATCAACAGGGTAAAATATAGCGTTTTAATAAGGAGTCTGAAGTAGAGTTTAGTTTGTAACACTAATATTATAGCCAGTACCTGGTGGGTAAAGAGCTTTTTATAAAATTAAAATCTTTTTCATTTTTTGATTTTTGATAAAACTAACTAATTAATGTTGTATATTTTATTTGAGAAAGATAAACTACCTGTAAGATGGGCATAAGAACTCATTATTGTTCTGTTAACATCTGTTGAATAGACTAATATTTCTGTATGGTTAAAGTAGGGTCTAAGGAATTTTCTGTTTTAAACGTATTCTGCTCTAATTTGAGATCCTAACTAATACTATTAGAAAATTCCTACGTCTGTTAATTCACCTGCCATATATGTTTACTATTAATAGTCATAAGAGTTTTTTAGAGGACCTCTTGCGCCATGTCTAAAGTGCTCTATTACTAGAAGCAGCTTATCTTAGCTCAAAACTATTTCTTAAAGGAGAGATATTAACAATAAAAAGTTATAAATCGCTTAAATTTTCATTTGTGAATTGTTAATTTTACTTTAAAATAAAATTTAAGAATTTAATTTTTTTACTGATAGCGAAACTATCTTTTATCTTAAAAAAATTGTAAAAAAATACAACAACACTATCACCACCTAAGATATTAATTTATAATCAAGTCTCAACTCATCAAAAAATTAGATAGTAAAAAATTTAATTTTCTTTAAAATTTAATATCTTAGATCAGAAAAAGAGTATCTAAATAAATATTAACAAACAAATTATTGCTTTTAAAAAATATTATTTATTACAAATTTATATAATTAAGATTTTTTTCTTTATAACAAGATTAATCTTATTCGCCGTTTTTAAATTAAATATTTATTAACTAAAAAGATATTTTTTTATATTAGAATTACCTTTTTAAAAATTATCTACACAACAAACAATTAATAAATTAAAAAAAATTAAACTAATACTTCAAATTATATAAATTTAATTTAAAATTAAACAAAAGGGTTTTATGTTTCCTAATAATAATTTATAAAAAATAGTTAAAGGTATTTTATTTTACAAGGTAAGAATCTTTTTTTAATTCAATTTTTTATAATTTAATTCATTGCATGACACAACAATCAAAAATATTTTTAAATTTTATTTTATTATTAAAATGAAAATTTTGTTTTTTAATAAATAATCTAAATAATTTCTACAAAAATTCAGCATTTTTATTAAATTATTAAGCACAGATAGAAGGATGACTGTTATTCGTTTTTTCATCAAATTGCAATATAAATTTCTAATTTTACTTTAAAATAAAAGATTTAAATTAATTATTTTGAATATGTGTTTTTAAAATGTTTACTTCTTTTAATTACTAGATAGCTAATATTTCTTTAAAATTTTAATTGTTGCAAAAAATTTAAGAGTAAAAGTAATTTTTTCTAATTCATTTATTTATTTATTTTTTATAATCATTTAAGAAAAGAAATGGAAGTCAAATTTAAGGAAATATTGTTGTAGATCTAAAATTACTATATCGAAGAGGAAGATAATATCCAAAGTTTTAATAAAATTAGGTTATTTGAATTTTTTATTTAAACTAAAAAAAAAGATTAATAAATATTATTATGTAATTACGAGAAAATATTAAGTAAATCATTTAAATTCTTTAAAATATTTTTGCTTTTGGATTCAACATAATTTTTAGAAACAGAATTTTACATGCGAATTTTACATAATTTTTAAGTGTAATTTAAAAGATGTAGGTATTATAAATTTACAAATTTACACCAAATTGGTCAGAAATAAATTAAAATAAAAATTTTGGCTGATTATTTTAGTATATTTACATATTTATTTCTTAGCGGCTTAACTTTGTTAAATTTATATCCTCAAAATTTTCCCAACAAGTTATTACTTAAATAATTTTAAACGAATCTATGATATGTAGCTATAAAAATACTTCTTTTATTTGAAATTGTTTTAATAAATTTCATATTACAAAATATTCTAGATAAATATTTCATAATTATTTTAATTTGTTAAATTTACAGAAATTGATAAATATATAACTGGCTTTCGTTTGATTTGAAGATATATGATCTTATTAACTTGAAAATATGAACATTATTACCACTTAAGAAAGAATTGGGAAGATATATGTGAAAATTAATGAGATAGTACCTAATATAAACATAGTGATATGAAAAATAACATTTGATGTTAAGCAAAATAAAAAATGCAAAATAAATAAATAAAATTTAAAATATGCTTATGGCACGTAAAAGTATAGTAGATAGAATTCAAAAATTGCAGATGAAAGATAGGATTTATAAAAACTGAAATGCAATTTAAGTAAAAAAGAAAAAAATAATTATGTAAGATTTGAACTGTAAATTATAAATGTGATGCAATAATTAAGTTAAATTTATAAGCATTTAATAAAATATCTTTGATAACGAATTAAATTGGTCTAAATTGATGAATATTACGATTTATTAGTGTAGATTTTTAATTATCAAAAATTTTAGAAAAATGTTTCTTTCGAAAAATGACGCAATATTTATTCTATTTTTAAGATAATTTAAAAATTATTTCTTGCAGCCTTATATTTACACTTAAAAATATAAATCCTTCTTCAACAGATTTCATAAATTTTACACTTATCCATGTTTATATGGTTTTTACTCACCTACACTTTACTTTCTATTAAAATTATAGATATATTTTGGATTCAAATATTGATTTCTAAAATCTTTCATTTTAAGCTGAATTTTTACTAAAAAATTGTTATCCTAACAGGTTTCTCGGTTTGCTAAGTAATAAGATAATACTACCTTTATATTTTATACATTTTTTCCTATTACTGATATTACAAATAGGACTTATCACGCAGTAAGATAGACACTTAACTAAAAAACATTTGTTAATTCATGAAGAATTTAAAAAAAAAGAAAATCAAGGATTATTTTATCTTGATAAAATTATGTGCTTTCTTCTTAAAATATAATTATAATTAAATGCCCAGCTTACTATTGCTAATGTATCAAATCTATTCGCTGTTTATTGGTTGATTGATTGATTAATTGAATGTTATAAACGAAGATTCTAAAAGACCTTTAATAGAATAGTTAAAGAATATACATATCTTTTTAATTATTAAATTAAATTTTGTATAAAATAAGCATTTACTTTATATTTAAAAATCTAACAATTGCTTCAAGAAGATAAGATAGAACGATCTATGTGTGATATGTGTGTCCCTTTATATCTGGTAAATCAATAAAATTTGTATTATTAATTAATAAAGAATAAAATAAAAAATAAAGGAAAAAAATAAGTAAAATAATCTTATTAAAAATATATCATCAAAAAATGAGATCTATCAACTAACTTCTTAAGCAAGCTAGCTTATCCCAAAAGAGCCAATACAACTTTAGTCAAACCAACTTAAAGAAGGTTATTGCTGAAATTATTCCTCAAAAGCAAGCTGAATTAAAGGAAGTCAAGGAAAAGTATGGTGATAAGGTTGTTGGTTAATACACTGTCAAGTAAGTCATCGGTGGTATGAGAGGTATGAAGGGTCTTATGAGTGATCTCTCTCGTTGCGACCCCTATCAAGGTATTATTTTCAGAGGCTACACTATTCCTCAACTTAAGGAATTCTTGCCTAAGGCTGATCCTAAGGCTGCTGACTAAGCCAACTAAGAACCTTTACCTGAAGGTATTTTCTGGTTATTAATGACCGGTTAATTACCCACCCACGCTTAAGTCGATGCTCTTAAGCACGAATGGTAAAACAGAGGTACCGTCAACTAAGACTGTGTCAACTTCATTTTGAACTTACCCAAGGACCTCCACTCCATGACCATGCTCTCTATGGCCCTCCTTTACCTCCAAAAGGATTCTAAGTTCGCTAAGCTTTACGACGAAGGTAAGATCTCCAAGAAAGATTACTGGGAGCCCTTCTACGAAGATTCCATGGACCTTATTGCTAAGATCCCCAGAGTTGCTGCTATTATCTACAGACATAAATACAGAGTAAAATTAATAGAATTTTTGTTTCTTAGCTTTATATTTAAATCTACTTTTAGAAATATCTAACAATATGCTTTTTATCTTCTAATGAATTCAATAAAAAACTAATTTTAAGCATGTTAGTTTTTGAAATCGTTTTTAAAATACAATAGAATTTTTTTTCTTCTAGTGCTACCCTACACTGATTTACTGATAGCTATTTATATAAGCATCTTAATTTTAACTGTATTAACAAAATTTCATTTATATTATAGGATTCCAAGTTAATTGACTCTGATTCTAAGTTAGATTGGGCTGGTAACTACGCTCATATGATGGGTTTCGAATAACACGTCGTTAAGGAATGTATTAGAGGTTATTTGAGCATCCACTGTGATCACGAAGGTGGTAATGTTTCTGCCCATACTACTCACTTGGTCGGTTCTGCTCTTTCTGATCCTTATCTTTCTTACTCTGCTGGTGTTAACGGTCTTGCCGGTCCCCTCCACGGTCTTGCTAACTAAGAAGTCCTTAAGTGGTTACTCTAATTCATTGAAGAAAAGGGTACCAAGGTTTCTGACAAGGACATTGAAGACTACGTTGATCACGTTATTTCTTCTGGAAGAGTCGTTCCTGGTAAATTTGAATTTAAATTATATTATTTATAAATAGCAATCAATCATCATTGTCATAAAAATCGCAAGTTAAGTTAAAAATATAAGCAAAATTTAATATTTTTTATAGAAAGAGTTTAGCTATTAAAGAAATAGCAAAGATAAGATTTAGATAAATAAGCACTTCAATAGTATTAGCACAAAATAAAACTACTTATTAAGCACAGTTAATCATAAAATTAAAAATAAAAATTATTTACAACAAATATTTAGTAGACTTACCTCACATATTAAGATAAATAAATTATCTCGAAAACATCAAGAATCTTAAATAAAGATTAATAAAAGCAATCAATCACTTGCCAGAATTTTCTGATCACAATTTATATTAAAATAATAAAGAAATAAATAAATAATGGAAGGAAATATAATTCATAAATAAATTAAGTATTTATGAAAAAATTAAAAAAAAAAATTATTCTTAACATCACATCAATTAAGACTTTCCAGTTTGATAAAAAACATAAACGGCATAATATTATTTGATGATTGATTATTACGATAATAGCATAAGCTTATAAAATTTCATACTTTTTAAACACTTTTATAATACAATTCCTAAATTGTTATTACTAAACAATAGGTTACGGACACGCTGTCTTGAGAGATACCGATCCTAGATTCCACCATTAAGTCGATTTCTCCAAGTTCCACTTGAAGGATGACTAAATGATCAAATTATTACATTAATGTGCTGATGTTATCCCCAAGAAATTATTAACTTACAAGAAGATTGCTAATCCTTATCCCAATGTTGATTGCCACTCTGGTGTTTTATTATACTCTTTGGGCTTAACTGAATATCAATATTACACTGTTGTCTTCGCCGTTTCTAGAGCTCTTGGTTGTATGGCTAACCTCATCTGGTCTAGAGCTTTCGGTTTACCCATTGAAAGACCTGGCTCTGCTGATCTTAAGTGGTTCCACGACAAGTACAGAGAATGAACAAATTGAACTATAAATTATTACTACTCTAATATTATTTTCGTCGATATAAATTTCTAATTAGTCTTTAATAAAAGTTGTATCAATTCAACTAATATCAAAGCTTTATAATATTTTGTGTCAGTATCAAATGAGAAATATTAAAAGTTTTGACGATTTAATAAATAATTAATTTTTCAATTTCTTAGCATAAAAATCTCTTTTTTAAATCTAAAAAAATATCTTTAAAATTTGAAATAAAATTATCATTTTATAATTAACTGCTATTCAATGCAATATATTGATAAAATTTATTTTAAATATTCACAAATAGTTTAGTGAAACTTTGAATTTTTAATTAATTGATAAAAATTAAATTATTTATAAGCAATTAATTCTTTATATTATTAGAGATTAAATTTACAAAATGATATTGATTGATGAAATATAATTTGATAATTGGCTATTTCATTAAAGCAAAAGTTTGATAAAAGTAAATAAATTATTCTTTAATTGTCACATTCTATTTAAAAATAAGCTTTTCTATTTTGCTTAGTTAATAAATTTACTAAAAGCAATAATTTTAATAAATTTTGAAAATTTCAAAATGAAGATTTGTCTATAATAAATTATTTTAAAATTAAAATTTATCTATTTTTAGTTTTTGTTATTCTAATTTTGAAAAAAAATTGTCAAGCATTTATGCTAAAATCCTTTTTGAATGGTTATCTTTAGAAAGTATTAAGATGTATTTCATTCATTTAATTAAATCATAGAAAAATAATTCAAAATTTATCAAAATCTTAAACTGAAATTTCGGAAGATAGTCTTCACAGTTTGTTTCTTGATAATGTTAAAATTTAAATTTTAGGTAAAATTTAGAATTATTGATTTATCTTAATATTTAAATAAGATTAGATTGAATGTGGGATTAAACGCTTCCAATCAAGATTTTTAATATCTAGTTAAAAGTAATCAAAAAAAAAAATTTATTCCATCACTCAATTTATTAATCTATGAGCTAAAACCTTGTAAAATTATAATTAAAAAATCATTTAAATTTCTAATTAATTATTCATTAAATTAACAATTAAATTTTTAGATAGCTTTTTAATAATTTAAAAAGATCAAACGATATTTTTTCTTCACAAATAACTCACAAAACAATAATACATTAACTAAAAAGATAATAAATATAGCTTTAAACCTAGCTAACTAGAGATGAACTAGCTGTAATATAATTAAAATAACGATTATCAATAAAATGGAGATATATTTAATCAGATTTAAAGACCTAAACCTACCTAAGAGTATGAAATTTATAAACGCTTAAAGTTATTAGGTGAAGGCTCATTTGGTAAAGCATACTTAGTTGAAAGTTAAAGCGATAAAAGTAAGTGGGTTATAAAATAAATTTCTCTTGATGCTATGAGCCCAGAAGAAAAAAAGGAGAGCTATAAGGAAGCTAAGATTTTAGAATAGCTTAATCACCCAAATATTGTTAAATTCAAAGAAATTTATAAAACTAAAAGTGGAAAGCTTTGCATTGTAATGGAATATGCTGATGGTAGTTTTTTTTAACTTAAATTTAAAAAAAAAAATATATTTTTTAAAGATGAAAACTAAAAATTAAAGTTAAAGTTAAATACTTTTTTATTAAAATTATTTTTGTTCATAGGTGGCGATCTTTCTTAAAAAATCTAGAAGTAAAGAGGTAAATATTTCAAAGAAGAGTAGATTTTAGATTGGTTCACTTAGATTTGCTTAGCTATGAAGCACGTTCATGATAGGTATTTAATATTTTTTAGCAAATAAGATTAAAATTTTAAAACATTTTATTCAGTTTTTATAAATTAATTTTGTAGTTTTAACTTTAATGTTTAAAGAATATGACAAAGAAAAATTTCATTTTAAAACAAAATTTTATAAAATAGAAAAATTCTTCATAGAGATTTGAAGGGTTAGAATATTTTTTTAACGTCTTAAAATATTTGTAAACTTGGAGATTTTGGTATTGCAAGAGTCTTAAACAAAACATTTGAAAAAGCTAAGACGATGGTCGGTACTCCTTATTATTTATCTCCTGAGATTATCAATAGTGTTCCTTATTCTTACAAAAGTGATGTATGGTCTATTGGAGTAGTTCTATATGAGATGTGTTGTCTTAGACCACCATTCCAAGGTGAGAGTTTGCAAAATCTAGCATTAAATATTGTGAAAGGATAGTATTAGCCTATCCCTAATATATATTCATAAGATCTTAAAAAATTAGTCTCTAATTTACTTCAAAATAGGCCTGAAAGCCGTTATTCAATTTAACAAATTCTTGGTTTGCCTTTTATCAGAAACCGTATTAAAAATTTCTTGAGTGAAACTATAAAAGCAAATGAATTCTCTCATACTATCTTGCATAACTAAGTAATAATTATTTTGTTTTTTTAATTTATAAATTAAAATTACTTTATACCAATAGAAAATTATTATCGATGATGATTTCAAGAATATCAAAAATGTCTAAGGTCCTCCACCACCTTCAGTTGCATACCAAATGAAAGAATAGCAGAGAAATGCTCAGGAGAAGCAAGATTAATAATAATAATAAAAAGTACTGCCAAGTATTGAGCCAAAATAAGCAGCTTAGAAGGCACCTCAAAACTAGAAGCAAAATTAAATAGAAAAATAATAAATAAGACCCTAAACTCCAGTCAGCAATCAAGTAAGACCTATAAATGGAAAGATTCCCATTTAGAATTAATAGTATTAAGCATAAAATTAAAGACCTTCAAATATTGATGTTGGACCATAAAATTATCCATATGGTAAAATACCTAACAGTTAATAATAAACTCCAATCGGAAAAGAAAATAGTTCAGATAATAAAAAAATCGTAAGATAGCCTTCGAAAAATAATATTGTAAATGTAAAATATAATTCTGTTCCAACTGAGTAAGAAGAAAAAATAAGCTAATAACCCTCAAAATAAACACCACCTTTACCTCCATAACCATAATTAAAGCAAAATCCTTCATAATAGAAATTTTAAAAAGCTCCTTAGAAGCCAGTTGTATAAAAACTTTAAAGACCTTCCACTGCAGTTCCATAAAATCCTTAAAGATAGATAATGACTCCCAAATCATAACCTGGAAGTAAACCTTTTTATCCTCCAAAACCAATTGACCGCAAATAAAGTGCTGGATAGATTCTAGTTTCTAATTAGGTCTCAAAAGGTGACTAAAATAATAAACCCCCTATTTCAAATAATAGACCAATCACTGCCCATAATAGAAATTCTACACCTTAAAGAATATCAAATACTCCACCTGTATAACTTTAAAGAAATGTGAGATAAGAAATAAGTCAAAAAAGGCAAGATATCTTAAATAAAGTAAAAGATGCATAAGAGTAAAAGAAGAAAAAATTAGAAGATCTTAAAAAAGCTAAAATGGAAGCAAGTCTAAAATCAAAAGAAGAAAGAGAACAAGTTCGTTAAAATATGTATAAAGATATAAAGCAAAAGGTAATTTATTTTCTTACTAAATACACTAAATTGAATTCAATAATTTATGTAATAATAGAGATAAGGTTCAAAGCCATCACAAAATGTTTAACAAGTTCAATAGCAACAGTAATAAAATAAAAAAGAAGAAATACAAATAGAATGGATGGGAACACTTAAGCCAGACTAACCACCTGAAAGACCTAAATACATTGATTAAAAGTTAGAAGAATAAAAAATAGCTGCTGAGAAATATAACTAAGAAATGGCTTTGAGAAAAAAGAAAGAAGAAGAAATAGAAAAGCAAAAATAACTTTAAGAATAAATGTATGAAGAAAACAAAAGGGAGAGAGAAAAAAAGCAAAGAGAGCTATTTTTAATGGACATGCAGGAAAACTCAAATCCTTAAAATTATCCATAAAAAGGTTTTGCACATAGAAATGTAGCACCTCAAAATAGACAAGAAATAGAGTATACATAGATGTTAGAAGAAATGAAATCTTTGGTATTTTCTAATCTTTTTTATTTATGATAGATAAATAACTTTATTTTTATAAAAGATTGATGAACCTCCTTGTACAGAAGACAACACTACTAATGATTCAGATTAACAATAAAACATAAATTAAAATTTGAATTTTGAAGATGTAGATAGAGATGACTATGATGACTAATTTGATAACAATGAAAGTCAAGGAAATACTAATTAAAAGTAAAAAAATAACAATATTTAATAACAATAAGATGAAGAAGAATATATATACACTCTTCCAAATAACAAATAATCAATAAATGTAATTTTTTAATCGTATAATAAATAAACTTGTTAATATTATAATCTAAATAAATAGGCAATTAAAGAAAATTATGTTAAATAAATTGGTAAAGAAAACTTACAAAAGCTGTAATAGGCAATTAAAAGTGAAGTAATAAATTTTATAAAATTTTTTTAAATTAAAAACTAAATCCATTATATTAATTTACCTCACTTTTATTAAAAATTTTATTATTTTAAATAGATCAAAAAGAATAGAAAATTTGTTGACTTGAGTCCTTCTGACAAAATAAAAATTTTAAAGTAACAAGTCCCTTCTATCAAATTCGATAAAGTGGATTTGAAAATAAACTAGCTTGTTGATATAGTTTAAATAGAGAATTCATGATTAATTTAATGATTTTAATTACTAAATATAAAATTAATTAATAGGTTTTCCTATTTGAAAAACAAAACAAATATCAAAAATAAATAAATTATGTAAAAATAAAGTAATTAATATTAAAAGAAACTTAATTTACTATTGATCAATTTAATATATAATTAATAAATAATCAAAGATATGTTTAAATATATTTATATGTAATATTATCTATTTCCTTATGTAAAAAGTTTTATTAATTTTAATTGTTGAAATGTATTTATTTATTATCAATACTTAAAATATTACATACTGCTTTCAGGAATGTTGATGTAGTTAAAATTATTAAAAATAATTTATTTAATAAAATCAAATTCAGATTTATTCAAATTAAAAAGCTTGAAACAGCTCTTCAATTCAAAAACTCAATGTTTATTTAATCTTAAATTGAAAACAGAATAATATATTTTTAATCATCTATTTGATTAAATATCTAATTGAATAAAGAAAGCTACTTTTAAAATAAAAACTTTTCTCTTTAAATTCCAATATATCTTTTAGAGTAAAATTTTTATTTAAAATACATTTAATTACTTCTTATGTACACAAATTAAGGATAATTACAAATAATATTACCTAAAAATTAAAATTCTAAGAATCTAAAATTGATAAATATATTTGTAATTAATTGAATTGATTTTTAATACTTTCTTTTCTAAATATTTTCATTTCGAATATTAAACTATTTAAAATGAATTTTTTAATTAATAAATTTAATATGAGGCAATTGCATAAATATATTTTACTTTCACAAAAACATTAAAAATCATAAAATTTAATTACTTATTATTTATGTTAAATATTAAATTTACAATTTTTAAAAAATAAGATCTTTTATTATTATAATCTAATTTAATAAATTTAGTAAGGCAAAATATAATAAATAATTTTACCTTTTAAATTAAAACACTAAAAATTATTATTTATTTATTTATTTATTTGTTTGTTTGTTTACTTTGAAAATAAAATTTGAATTAAACAATTTTTAAAAAAATTATTATTAAATATTTTTATAAACTATCGATTCGCGTTAAAAATAAATAACTTAAATTTTCAAAATCTTTGAAATTTTTAAATTTAATGATTTATAGAAAATGGATTATTTTTATATTTGAAAATGTGAAACAAATTACTTTTAAGTTTGTTTTCTCTAAAAATGATAAGAAATAGAGCAAATTGTTAACAACCTTTGAAAACTCTTAAATTTTAAAATCATTTACATATAATATAAAATACTTTCAGTTAAATATATTTTAATAGAGGGGTTTATTATCTCCACCTTTAGATTGTTAACCTTAAAAATTTGAAGTATCATTATCATTTAAATCATCTGCAAATTAAGTTTTTCCAAGCTTTTATGAAACTGTATTATTTTAGGATTCTTAAACCAAATCTTTTGTTACCATTTTTTTAACGCCATACACTATACCCTTTATTTTCAAAAACAATTATCAATATATTTTTATTAACATTAGTATAAATTTTTACATATAAAAGAGGTAGATCTCTTGTGTTTTTATCTTCGATGATTTTAAGTTTTTTAGCTATAAAATTACGATCAAATGGAGGCTACTAGGGTTATCCAGTTTCAGGAATAAATACAGACAGTGCGTGATTATAATTATTAAATTCCATATATTCTCTAATTAATTCATTTATAATCATATTTTCTGAGGAAACAGGAGCCTTTTCAGTTCCTTGATCATTCAATGTATTAAATATTTCTGCTCTAATTTTAGCTCTTATTTTAGTAAGAACACCTTTCTCTTCAAGAGTCTCTTTAAGGACATCTTTTAATTCGTTAACTGAAGCCATCCTATTATTTTTGCTATATTCTTATAATTTTTAGTTTTTTATTATTAATGATAATTATTTTTTGAAATTAGTTTTTAAAAATCAAATTATATTTAATGAATAATTTATTGATCTTATATTTTAAATTTCTGAATAGACCTATCAAAAAAGAGATCTAATTACCTTCTTAGATATTTTGATAAAACTAAAAAATTTAATTAAATTATAGTATTTTAAAATTAATTATATTATTAAAAGACATTTAAGATATCTGATTTATAATTTTAAATAATATCTTTGATTCTTAGCAGTATTTTCATCATATTTAATATATGGCACAAACAAAATGGAAATAACTTAAATAAAATAAATAATTAGATCTTCATTATTGAAAGATTTCATAATAAATATTTTAATCTAAGAAAAGATTTGCTTGCAAATTGATGTCTATGTGGATACTCATCATTTGAAGAAATACCCATAACTAATTAAATAATTAATTAACTATATCATTATCAATAATTAATGATTATTTTGATTGATATTTAGTATATTAGAAACCATATTTTAAAGAAATAAAGAAGAAAAAAGATAAGAATAAGAAAGAAGAAAATAAGGGAAATCTTGCTAACAATTTATAAATAAATTAATCCCTTGTTAATAACAAAAAAATAAAAAAGACAAGAAGGAAATTAAAGAAAAAAAAGAAAGAAAAAAGGAAATAAATAAATAATTTAATAAAGAATCTAAAAGAAAAACAAAAAAGATAAAATCAAAATGAATCCTATTCAAAAGGCCTGGCTTAAGATTTTGGAACCTGTCTCTTATGTTATCAATGAAAAGATGGCCAAGAGAACCGGTAATGAATTAAACTTTTTATAATAGAAAAAAGTGATATAAAAATTAGAAATTTATAGCATAGCGCAGAACGTATTTAATAAACTGAATAGCAATAAGACTATTTAGATAGATATCAAATTATTAGCTTCCATTTTATGTTGACTAATAAAAATAAATCATTAGCTCTTTATCAGTGAAAATAAAATATTTTACTTATAAAATATAAGAAATAAAATTTAAATTCGTTACAATCTAATTATAGCTCAAGCAAAAGCGCTTATCTCTTATTTTTTAAATTTATTTTTCTTTTATTTCATAATAGGTATTATTGGTAAGCTTGGTAGATTCTTTGCTATTGGACCTAGAGAATATGGTGTCCATCCTATTAACAGAATGTTCATTTTCATGAACAGAAAATATATGGCTTTCTAAGCTGTTGCTCTTCATAGATATTCTTTCGTCAAGTAAAGAATATTTTTCAATTTTACATTAGAAATAACAAAAGAAAGTTGAAGTTGGTTGGTGGATTAATTGATCGATTGATTACCTCCTTTTTTAAATAGCATATGATGAATACAAAAAAAACATAGCATTTAAATTATAAGAAAAATATAAAATTAAAAAAAGTTACTTACTGATAAAATTAAATACAAGCTAATTGGTTATAATATTAACATTCAAATTTAATTAAAAACAGGAGTTTAACTCATAATGGCTTCCATATGCTCAGAGTTTTCAGACATTTCGCTTTTGTTTTACCTGCAACTGTTTTGGCTGGTTTAGGTTTGTTCGTCTACTGGGGTGATGACAATAAATGTTACTCGTAATCCATACATTCATATATAAATAAATAAATTGAAATTACAAATATAAGATGACTAAAATACAAAAATGTTTGATATGCATACATAAATTTTAATAGATAAAGTATACTTAAAATTCTTTAATATAGAGTAATAGGCAAACAGCAATATAATTCATAATAAACAAATAAATAAAGATATATACATACGTATCTTTATCAAATTGCCAAAAAAATAAAGATATTTGAAAATGCATTTAATACTAAATTAAAAAGAATTTAAAAGATGTCTTTGATCTAAAATAATTATTTTATAAAACAGTCCTGATAGATTCCCCTACTTGAAAAAGAGAGCTGGTGACATGGCTTTACCTCTTAACTCTTTAAATCAAAGAACTTCAGCTCACTATATTGAAATTAATGCTATTTATGGTGCTGAAATGATGAAGAGAGTAAATAAATTTGAAACTTTTGAATGTATTTTCACAACATTTTATTAAAATTATTTTAATGAAAAAAGTATCACAAGGTCTGGGAAAACATTATTGAAGAAAGAAGTAAGGCAACTGATCAAGAAAAAAAAACTAGATATGCTCATCCTAGCTATTAATACAGCCCCTTACCAGTTGTTAGCATTCCTAACGTTCTCAACCCCTTGAACCTTTAATGATTTACTTTTTCGATTTATTGTACCTTTAAAATATTATATAGGTTAAATAAATAAAACTTGCAAAGTAAATTAAATAAAAAATAGTATTTTTAGACGTTATGTTATGTTTAATTTTCTGTTATAGGTTTGGAAAATATGACTATATCTTTGCAATATCCTTAAATCTCAAAATATTTATATTAATATAAAATTGTTGTTTTAATTACATTACATATTCATATAAAAAGGTTACTTTTTTATTTTTATATTAACCCATTTTTTCAATAAACAAAGCAATAAATAAATAAATTAAATATTTAATTAAAATCTACTTTAAAGCTTATTTAAAACATTTGTTTTAACAAAAATTTATAAAACCATAATTAAAATATGAAAATAATATTTGTAAGATTCATTCTAAAATGAATTATTAATCAAATGGAAGAATAATCAGAATCATCTGAATCAGATTCAATCAAATTAAATCTTGGCTTCTTTAAAATTGATCTCTATTACTATTGTTGTTGCTAGTTATATTATTATTATTATGGCTAAACTCCAGCTGGTGTATTTCTTTAGTATGTTTGAGCACTTTTGAAGAGGCTATCATTAATTTAATTCTAATAATTAATTTTAAAATTTTAATTAGCTACATTATCAAAAATTATTTAAATATACTTTTGATTGATTGTGAGCATTTTGTGAAATTGATGACTAGTGAACATGTGAAATTTCAAGATTTTTTTCATGTATAAGCTCTTTAACCTTTTCATCCATCTAATCTAATTATGTAGTTAAGTGCTTAATCACATTTTTATTTTTATTCAATTTATCATTTTATTTTTCAGTAAAAATTTTAAACTCTGTCAACCTTAACTACTGCTCATTATCTCTTTGACTTAGGTCTTAATTTTCTTTTCTTAATGAGATGATTTCTTGATTCAATTATTTAACTTTACTTTCTAGTCTATCAATATCCTATTTAAATTTAATTACAATTAATCTTAATTTTAATTTAAATTCAATAAAATTTTATTATGTTTAAATTATAATAATATGTAATTAATTTTAATCCAGAAATTTTAATTTAAACAACTTACAGTGTGCTAAACATCTGAAAGATATTGATTTTGTCTCTCAAGTTAGCTTATAAAACCCTTTTAGCCATAGTTTTCTTTATCAATTTGAAGTAAATCTTTCTTCAAATTTTCAATATAAATATTCTTTTCTTCTAACTCTGTCTCTAACATATGGATGCTAGCATCTTATTTTCTTAAGTGATGATTTAATCTTTCATTTTCATCTAATAATTTTTTTTTCTAAAAAAAAATTAAAAACATATTAATTAACTAAATAGTTTACTTCCTATTGATCGTTTGATGAATATTAAGCATTTTCTCTCTGTATATTTCTGACTCTCTTTAGTTCTTGTTATACACTTTCTCTTTTTTAAAAAATAAATTTGAATAAAAAAGAATATTTTATAAATAATTTTTACAGCTCTTCAGACAAGTCTTTAATTTATTAGTTTTTCTACATTTAGTCTCTTTAAATTTCTTCATTAAAAGTTTGTAATTTTTAATTTTCAATTTTAAGAATCTTTAAGTCTTGAGTTAGCTCTTAAACTCTTCTTTCCAAATCCTTAATTTCATTTTTAAGTCTAGCAGTTGCTTCCTTCTTTTTAATTAGCTCTTGATCTTTTTCTTCAACTATTTAGTTTCTTTCTTCTTAGAATCTTCTTTTAAGCTTATTTAATTTTACTTCAAGAGTCTATGCCCTATCTTCGGCTTCATCTATACGCTTTTCATATACAGCTTAAGCTAACTTCAATTCCTTACTTAAACTTTACTCTTCTTAATACATGATTTGAATATTATCATATCTTTTGTTGGATAATTCAAGATCTTCTTACAATTTTTTTAAAAGCCTTTCTTAATTATCAATTTAATAATCAAGGTTTTCATTTATTCTCTAAATATCTTAATTTCTGACTTTTTCATCTTCATATGCATTAGTCAAATCCTTAATTTATCTTACCATGCTATTTTTTTCTTCTTCATAAAAAACTCTTTATTAATAAATGTCTCTCTCAACTTTATCAATATTATCCCTAATATAAATTTGAAGGTAATTAACACAAATTATATATAATTTTATTTTTATTCGATAATTGATTACTTTAGCATCAAGCATTCTTCTTTCCTTCTTTACAATTTTATTTTCAAACGATCAATTAATTCTCTGAGTTCCTCATCATTTTTTTCAAGGAGCTCCTCTTTATCGATTTTAAGCTAAATAATCTCTCTATCGCGTTCAATTTATTCTTTTAACTACTCGTTTTGATCCTGAACATATTAAACTCTTGCATCTTTTTCTTTGATATCGTTTTCTAGATACTAAAGTTGATTCCTTAGCTCTACTTATTACTCTCTTAATTCTTTATTTTTTTGTTTTAATCTTTATCTTTTTTCTTAAATCAGAAAATCTTGATCAGCAAGCATTTCTTTTAATTGTCTTAAATTTCTGCTAGACCTAGAGTTAATATAAAATATTTTACAATCTATTTGAATTCCTCGAAACGTTCAAAAATTTAAATACAAAATAATGAAATTACCTCTCTGCATACTATTCTGCAGATTCCCCATTTCTACCTCCAACTTTGACTGTTCTACGACTAGCATCATTTTCGTTAATAACTTCTTCAATTTTATTAAGTATCTATTCTCTAAGCTCTTGCATACTTTTTTTACCTCCGTTTTAATTATTTTAATAGGTATAACTTTAATTAGCTCCTTCTTATAAATCACTTTGATTGTACGATTTTACTAAATCTTCTTATGAACCTGATCCTCTGAGCAAAGATTCCTTAGATTTATTGTATTAACTCATTAAAGTACCTAAATCATCGCTCATTTTTAATGCTCCGCTTGTTGGGCCTTGAAGAAAAATTATTTAATAATAAATAGTAATTAAAAATTTTACTTCTGTTTTATGCTAATTGGGCAGCATTTTTTTTTATTTGTTATAAAAAGTTAAGGGATTCTGCAATCTTAAACTATGCAGCCTCAAATTATTTTTATTACTCTGGAGGTAATTTGGAAATATCGTTTTAAATGCTTTAAAGCTCTTATTCTCTATCATGAGCCCAATCTTTAATCTCTTCCTCAGTCAGTCCATTTGTTTAATCAGTAAATGTGTAAATATCTTTCATTAAATTACTCAAATCTTATTATATTTCTTGGGCATTAGGATTTTCACCTCTAAGTCTTCTGAATTAATAAGTAGCATCTCTCATAGGTACATGTATTAATTCATTTTCATAATACTTTTTATTAAACTCATTTTAAGAGTTTCTAAAGGTTCCTGCTGCCTCACCTCCTTGTCCATTTACTCCACTGTTTCCTAAACTTCCTCTATAAATATTGCTTCCCTATTATAAATCTTGTGCAGATTTGTTATTAGGGCTTGCTAACTAATTAATCATATCCTAATCTTAGTTAAATGTATTAACATCTTCATAGTAATGGTCTATTCTTTCTTTAATTCCAGCACAGTACTATTTTAATTTTTATAATAAATTTTTTGAAATATCATATAAAAAACAAATTACCTGCAAGCAATCTACAGATTAACTTAGGTAATCATATGAACCTGAGATATTACAGATTAACACACAAGAATTATCTTTCCCTGAATTTAAGGAATCATTCAGCTAGGAAACTAGCTTAGAATTTGAATATGCAGGTACTTCCATGACATTTGCATCTTTGCGAGTAGCAATATCAGTAAGATAATCTCCTAGCACTACAAATTCTGGCAATTTTGCTTTACAAAAATCAGCACAATGCACGAAAGTTACTGTACTGAATAACCCTCCATTTGGTGCATTCATTATTCTATTTTTTGATTTACCTGTTTCATTACGATAGATTTAGAATTTGTAAATGATATGTAGTCTACGAATAGATTATTCTCCTTGTCCAATAGATTTCAATCTTTCTCTAGATTTCATATAATATTTACGGAACTCTCCAGAAAATGTCAGCTCAATTTCTTCTAATTCATCTTCATTAGGATCTTTTTGAAGTAAATCTACTATTTCATTGTTGTATATAGCATAAATGGAAAAAACAACTGTAACAGGTTTGTTTTTTTATGTTACTTTAGTTCCAGAACTTTATGATTATAATTCAGATAATTTTATCATATCATCAACAGCACGGGTTAAAATACCTTTTTCTGTTTATTCACCTCCCTTTATGGTAAATTTTTTTCCAGCTCTAAATTTATATTAAAAAAATAAAAATTTCATTCATCATCTTAATATTTTTGAAATAAATATTTAAAACAATAAATTAATATTAAACACAATTTTTAAAATTTATTTGAATTTTATTTTCATAAAAAAAGTGATTTATGTCAATAAAAAAATATTTTCTTATAAATTAAAAGCTTCAATTTGAATTTTAAAATTATTTTCGAGAGATTTTAATGTTAAGACAGATATTTTATTAAATATTTAAATTAAATTACTTTGCTGGGCCAACTACTATGAAAGTACTGCTGATGCCCTAAGACATAGCTTTTTAAACAAGATCTTAACATTAAAATTTGTAGATTTCCTCATTATTAATTTTATAGCTCATAGCATGATCAAATTTAAAAATATTTGCATTTTCTAGGATGGAATGACGATACTAAATTATATTCTTATCAGTTTTAACATATTCTTAAAGGAGTTATTTCTTTATTGGATTTCCACTGGCCGCAACATAAATAGGCTTAACTTACTTGCTAGAAGCAGTAAAAATGCAAACTTTACCATCTTTGTCAAGAGACGAATTTTGAGCCATGCCTTAATTTGCATTTGCAAGTATAGATTTAGGACTTCCCATTTATGTTTAAGCCATTGAAACGTTATCTCCAAAGTTTTTAACTGTGCCCATTTGAGATGTATTAGCTTGAATATTACTTATATTTTAAGCTTGCTATGGGGCATTAGAGTATGTCTCACTAATATTTTGCTACCTAATTCTAGCAACAACTTTTACTTTCTAAAGTTAGTCCATTTGAAGTTAAAATGTACAATTTTAAATGTGCCTTGCTAATTTATTTCACCCTATTTTTGTAATTACTTACTTTAAATGCAGATTGTAAATCTCTTTTATTTAAGAAACAAATCTTATTTTTCAGTATATTGTTAAATATTTTTATTGATTTTTGTATAGTTCTGTTAATAATATATCCTTTATCTATTAATAATTTTTGTTTATTTAACTTTTATTAATCAAATAAGTGTTACTTTTTTTTATTAAAATAATAATCTCATATCAATAAATTAATAATAAGATTTTTTCTCTTAAAATCACATAATTTTTGAATTTTATTTGAAATTTTTATTTATCAGCTCATGTTTTTTTCAATTGAAAAACAAGATAGCTATCCTAATTTAAATAGAGAATCTAATTAGAAATAAATAAATTAATGTTAACAATATCCAATCATATTCAAAAAATCTTGCAAATTAATTTTATTAATGAATAATTTAGCATAATTAAATTGTTTAAAATGTTCATTTGCCCAACCTTCAACTTGTAGACTGACTAGCTTATTTTCATATAATAAATTTTTTTTTAAAAATATTTTGCAAAATAATTTTAATTTAAATAATTTTTTATTTTAACTAAAAGTAAAATATTTATTTTTTAATCAATTTAGCTTTGACTAAAATTTAAATCTATCTTTTGAAAAATTGATAAATCTTTGATAAAAATAAATATATGAATAATATTTGGATTGACATGAAATAAAAATTATGATTAATTTTTGTATTCAAAGATTACACTAAAAAGGTCAGTTAATATTTGATATTTATATTTAATTTAATTTATAAGTCTGCGAATTATCTTGATTGAATTCTACAAAATTTAGTAGAAAATTTTCTGAAACCATAACAAATATAAGAATTAAAATATTTAAAAAGTCAAATCCAGTAAGATATTCACATTCCTACTAATATTTAAAATAAAATGGTAATTAATTGCTTTAAATTGATAATCTCAGTACCTAAAATATTTTATTTAATAAATAAAATTAAGGATTAAGTAAGTGGAACAAACCTTTTAATGCTAAAAATTGAAAAAGGGGATTTAAATGAAATTATTTAATGTATTTAGAAATATCCAAAATACATAAATTTAAAAAATAAAAGCGGTAACAGCGCCATAACAACTGCAATAAGACTTAATGATTTATCTATCCTTAAAATACTACTAGACAACAAAGCTGATGTTAATATACAAACCAAGGTTAGATATTATTCGCATATTAATATATAAAGTAAAAAATTCTTTTAAATATAGTCAAGCTAGACTCCTTTATATTTGGCCACCTTTAATAACTAAATTGAAGTAGTTAGTATTTTATTATAGTACAATGCAAATGTCAACATTTCTGATTAAGTAAATCTTTTAATTACTTTTATGAAAATAATTATTTTGATTTTTTGAAAAATAAAGAGAGGATGGAGTCCTTTGATGATAGCAGCTAATAAAGGGTTTATTGATATAATTTACTTGCTCCTAAATTCATTAAAATGTGATTTATTTCAAAAAAATTAAAGAGGAGAAACTGTTTTTGAATTGGCTAAAAATAAAGAAGTCTTAAATATTATAGTTGACAATTGTGGCTTTAAAGTAAGTGAAATAGAAGACTAATTAGGTAATAGTATTATGTGTGGGATAAGGACAAAACTAAATTGCAATAACAATAGTCTCTAAAATGCTTAAAAAACACTTTTTGATGCAGGTTCATTCTACTAAAAAGAAGTAAAAAGAGTATAAAGCACTTTCAAATCAATCTGTGAAAAAAACCATTCATAACTAAATAAACTTAGAAATGACTTAGCAAGCATATAAGGTGAAGTTATATAAAAAAAATCGTATTAAAAAGGAAAGCTACTACAAGAAAATAAAGAGATACTTAATTAATAAGATAATAATTATTCTAGCAAGTATCAGAACTAGTCTGTTAACTCGTATTAATCTAATTAAGCAAATAATAATATTCCATATGTAACATAGTTTAACTATGATAGTTAAAATTATTATTCTTAGAATAGCAATTAAGCCAAAATTGAAATTTAAAACGAAAGTTTAATTTTTAGTAAAGCAAATTCTAATAATATTACACCATCAAAAGGCAAATAATTAAGTATAAATAGCAATAGTAAATCTTAGATTAAAAAATATAGTGGAGGAGAAGATCAATCTACCTAAATAATTAGTTCTAATTCACAAAATAGGAATAATTTACCTCCTTCGTCTTAAACATAAAAAAATGCTGTTAGTCATTATGGATCAAACTAAAGTAATAACTTTAATATAAATAGCTCTTAAAAAAAGAGTAGTAATAAAATTAGCTCATTTATTGTAACAGATGATATACCAGACTCTTCATCAACTAAGAGTAACAAAAAAAATTTTGGGAACTCGAATGGAGGAAGGTTAGAATAAAGTATGGATGAATATTCTTAGTCTAACAATGACCAATAAATAACAGAAACAAGTAAATTTAAAGAACTAGAGGAAGATTTTTTAAAAAAGAGTAGTTCTGAATTAATAGAGTAATTTATTAGATAATTGATGAGCTAGATTAAATTTTTGATTCCTAACATACCAACAGAAAGCTACACTAAGTATGAATCAAGCATAACATACTTTATAGAACAGCTTATAAATAATCCTAATCTCTCCCATATTGAAAAAATTCTAGTTTTAATGCAATTTTAATCTTAAATATTAATCGAAATTATGCAAAATCAATAGAAAAACCATTAGTAAAAAACTATTCCTTAAACAACTAATTCCTCCTTTTAAAATATTAACTAAATCAGTAATACTTAAAGTTCTGATGAATAAAAATATTTGACCACTTCTGGTGATGCAACTGAGGATAATATTAAGAAAGTTGATTTTAATATAAATCTGAAATAGATCCCTTAAATTTCAACTGTGCAATAAAAAAAGTAATAAGTGCTTCTTGATATGATTAATTAAGAAAGTTCCCCCTCATTAAATGAAAACAGCAATAACTACTAAATTAATGTTAAGTAACCTTAATAATAGCAAGCTATTAAAGAAAAATATTACCAAATGGCTAAAAATAAACATTTTTAAATGGATGGAATAATTGAATAACCTACTCTCGAAATGATAGAAACTCCTAGTTAAAATTAGTCATAATCTAAAAAAATGTAATTCCCAAACAAAGATTCATATTAACAATATATTCATGAGAATGAGGTTAGCAAAAGAACAGAGGATTCAGCATCTAAAAATGAAGAACCTTCTATACCTACTATTTCTCCTCCTAGAAATATCTCAGAAGATGAAGATATTTTGAGTACCTTAAAGGATTCAAGTAAAAGCGATTTTTGTTAAAGTCAAACAAAATAATCGAACTAAAATTTTAAGTTGAATTTTTCAGATAAATAAAATAGAAAACAATTAATTTAGTAGGATAAAAACTCTGCTATGTTTTAAATTTTAGGAAATTAAAAATCAGAATAAAATTAATATTTGTTATAGTAAGACAATCATGACTATTAAATCAGTGAAAAGTTTAGTATTACAGATAATTTTTTAAACTTTAACGACAATGCAATAAGTTCAGCTGATATATTCCATCATGCTGAATATAATACTATAGAGTCATTTAACACTAACCCAAATCTCTTAACTTCTGATTAAAATAAAGAAACAAAATCTTTTATCGATGATACAAGACATGGTTTTGTAGTAGAGTATAAAATAAGTAATGAAAAATAAAATCAATTTGACGAAGATGATATGATCTTAGATTAAAATTTGTAAAGAGATGAATATGATGAAATTGCTGATTAGCTTAGCTAGACCAATTTAAACAAAAATCTATTTGATTAAGTTCATGTTTTTAATGGGAACAAGTGTTAAGTAGTTTAATCTGGATAGACCAGTAAAGCTTAAAGTGAAATTGATTATGAAATATCTCCAACAAATTCAAGCAGAGTTAATTAAGGAGTTTAGCAAATTTTCTCATAAAGAAACAATCAAAAAAATGAAAATCAAAATTAAGAAGGATATTTATATAATATACAGTAATTTGATTATAATTAATATGATTACACTTCTGACGAAGATAGCAATGAGCATTAAAACATTTAATATATTTCTCAAGCTTAAAATTCAGAAAGATAATCTAAAAACAAATTACATACTTCGAATGATACAATTTTAAATTAGGGAAAAAAATAGGAATAAGCAAGCAAAAAAACTCATTCAGACAATTAAAATTAATTTGAAAACGATTAAATTAATGAATAAACAGACAATTAAACCCTAAACTCAAACTTTTGTGGAGAAGACCTAAAATAAAATGATCAAAATAATATAGCATCTCATTCAAAATAACAAGGTATTTTATTTTTTTCTTCTATAAATTATAAACTTTTATTTTTTAATTTTTTAGTCAACATGCATCAAAGAAATATTTAAAAGCTATAAAAGATGAATGAAGCATTAAATGAAAAACTAAACTAAATATAACAAAATAGAGTTAACTTACAACTTAAAATGAAAAATAAAATCTGAAAAACTCTACTTTTAATAATTCAATAAAGAATTTTAAAATAATTGATAAATTAAATAGTAACAAAAAAATACTTTGATGTAAAGATTAAATTAAAATTTTTTTCTTCAAATTAATTGATTAATATTAAATAAAAATAAAATAATTTTGTAAATAAATTTAAGATAGTTAATTGTGTTGTATATAGTAAATATTATAAGTATCAATTTCAAATGAGTTATTTATTTTAGTTCATTCTTCTTGTTTTTTTTCATCCTAATAAATACATTTTTTTACTGCAAAATGTTAATCTTTTCATTTAATCTGGCTTTTACTTAAAAATTAAAAAAAAATTAACTTAATTAATCAATAAAATGATATAATTAAACTTTTAAAAAGTTGAGCATTTCATTCAAATAATTAAAAATTTTTTTAAAATTTAATTATTCACAATTATCAATAATCTATTTTATTAATTTCGACCGAAGTTTTAATTATATATCTTAATAATAAATATTATATTTAGTAAATTTGAAAATAGTTATTTATTTCTTTTAGTTTTCTACTTTTCTACATTTATTATCACAATTAATCAAATAGTAATTTATTTAATTTCATTTAATAATAATTTGTTGTATTATTTATTAAAATATTTTTTAATAAATAGAAAAAAATATTTAATAAGATAAATTTAAAAAAATGAAATTTAATTGACAAACTTAAAAATTATTTAAATCTATCAAGATTATTTATATCTATAGCTTTAGATTTAATTTACTTTTGATTATTCACTATTAATTAATGAAAAATTGTTTTAAATATTTTGACTTAATCTAAGATTTATTTTAAAGTTTTACATAAATATGTAAGCAATATAAAATAATATTTAATAAATTACATTTTTAAAAATTATTTTTAGATTTTACATCTTACTAATTTTTGCTATTTAATCAATTATTTTAGTAGCTAAGAACTCTGTAAATTAAATAATTAATTTTATATTTTTAGCTAATATTTCTTTTTCATTTTGAAAATCATGAAAGCTCTTAAACTTGCTATCTAAGCTCTTCTATTTACTTTTCTTATTTAAGAGTTTTTAACTCCTCTAACTTTTATAAAATCTTGTTTCTCCAAATTTTTTTAAGTTTGTTTGCTAGATATCTATGATCTCTCTAAGGTCCATATTCTCTCTAGCTCATTGATTTATATTAACCCTAAAATGAAGGTATAGAGGAATAGAATGTTGTCCTAAATTTAGATTCCTAATTTAATTTTTTATTTTTTTATATTGAATATAAATAATAGAATATATTACATTTGTAGGTACTTCCATATCAGGAGCAGTGTTATTTACATTATGATATGTTGGTTTAATTAAGAAAGGTCTGTAAGTGGTAGCATATTGAGTTTCACCAAACTAAATAGGATAGGTAGGTATTGGTCCTTTAAACCTTGATTTTATGAATAAAATATTAAATTAATTAATTAAAGTAATTGTTTTTTACAGGCTCTTTCTATCTATTTCAGCAACTTCTCCTTTTTAATTTTTGTTATTTCCGAAAGCTTCTTAGTAACTAGTTTTGCCAAAAAATGGAATATCATTTATGGTACTTAGATGCTATGGTGCTTTTTGGAACTATTACTAGTAGTCTTACCAATTGACAAAATTGCTCTTTTTTAATTAATTAAATTTAATTTGAAATAAACAACTTTTATTAATCAATTATTACTTTATAATTTGTTAATCCCATAAAAGGTTTTTAAGAAGGTTAGTATTACTGAACTCTTCTTTCTAATTCTTGTACACCAGGATCTTTATAATCATTCTTTTAAATTAAAAATAAAATTGACCTTTACTTAATAATATTTATTTATTTATTTTATACTTGTTTTTATGAAGTATATTCAATTTATTATTAACCTAAAAACTGAGTTTGTCTCATTTTATCAGTTATTTATGCTTTTGAAGGAAACTGCTAAGTTTTTCTGAAAAACTGCTTGTTATAAGTAGTATTAAAGCCTTAGCTATATTTAAGTTTAGCTGTCTATTAATCGTTGTTAAAGAAAAAAGGTTTATTAGATTTTATTTGAGCATTTTGACCTATCCAAAATAAAAATTATTTAAATATAAAATAAATTTAGTTAAATTTACATAGCAGATTATAAAAATACTCAGAGTTATCTATAAAGAACTTTTCTAAATCAATATTCTTATTATTTAAAACCTCTTCTGGAAGCAATTGATACCAATCTTAATTTGATATCTAATCAAAAAGAGCTTATTCTTCAATGTCATCGTAATCACCACTTTGTGGATCTATCATCATCCCTCTTTTTATATTATTTAGTTAAGTATTCATATTCTAAAATTATTTTAAGATACTGCTTTTCACGGTCTGTATATACATGGTCCTCTAATTAAACTTGCCTTTAATTTTCATTACCTTCTGTCTTCTAAGTTTCTAATTTTTATGCACTCCTTTGACTAGATAAAAAACCTAAGTTGTTTCTGGTATTTTACTTATTAATAGTTAAAAATAAAATATAAATAAAATGTTTTTACAAAAATATAACTAAATAAATTAAGAATCTAAATTTATATTTCAAAAAAAAAATTGGAAATAGGCTTAAATATTTATTTACTTGTGCATACTTAGAATTTTCATTACGGTTGAGGAGCTGTTGATATCTAGTAGAATAATTTTATTATGGATTCATTTAAGATGATTTATTTATATTTCTTCTATTAAAGCTAAAAGAATCCTTATTTTAATTGTAAAATGTTCCTTTAAACTTATTTTTTGGTATTTCTCCATCCTTCTGTGTCTCATACAATCCATTTCTTTATGCTTCATCTTAATATGCTTTTTGCTGTTTAAAATCTTAAGATCCATAACGAGTATTTCTCGCAGTTTAATTATTGTAACTTGTTGTAGTCATGATTGGTTCGTAGTGCTTTTTGTATATGTCATTGCTTAAAGGGTCATTAGGTCTATTCGAACGAAAAACAACTCTTGTAAGCTAGGGCTTGTTTTATTTTTATTTTCTATCTTTAAAATTTTCCCAATCATCATCTTCAGTATATCTATACTTTATTTTTCTTTTGAATCCTTAGGAAGTTGTGGAATGTGGTGCATAGTTAGAGAGTGTTTCTTCTCTATCCTTAGCAAAGTTTAAGTTGTTGTCTTTTTTTTAAAGTATGTCAAGTAAACTTTTCTCTGACTAATGCCTTTTACTCAAGTTCATCTATGCTACCTATTAATGCGTTGAAGTTAATTTATTATTAATTAATAAAATTATTACAAGATTTTATTTACAAAACTATGCAAATTGATTTATTAATTTATTGTTAAGTGTTTGTTTTTTTTAAACAGGCAAGTAATTTTTTTATACAATTAATTTATGTAAAACTTATTCTTGAAATTATCTATCTATATATTTATCTAACTATCTCCTTATTATATTTACAGACTGTTTTTCTTTTGCAATGATAAAAACAATGGTGTGTAAAAATTCTAAAGAGCTTAGCGTAATTTCATTGTACCTTTCAAAGCTTTTTAATTATTAAGAAATTTAATATATCTATTTTGACTTTAAATCTCATAAATTGGTTGAGTTTGTTTAAAAAGTTTTTTATAATTTTATGAATTAAATAAAAAAGTTAGCTAATACTACTATAAATTTTCAATATTAATAAAAAAATTTAGATTATAGATATTAATTATCAACGCAACATGCTAAAAAAGTTAGTTTAGATCTTAAAGAAATATTTTTTAGTATATTTGATAGTAATATCATTAATATAACAAATAATCTTAATTTGCAATTTTCAATAAAAATATTAAGCAATTTAGTTTAAATGAAATATATTTTAGTTAGAGCGAGTGATTTATATATTGATAAGTGATTTTTTAATTTTGATTTTTGTTATTTATTTTTTTTCGGATTTATTTGTATCTTTTATTTTTAATTAATTAATAAATTTTTATTTATATATTTTTAATATTTTTTATTTTTTTCAAATTTATTTATTTATTTTCTTTAACTTTTTAAATTTTTTTAATTTTTTTTTTTTTTTTTTCTGCAGGGAGTCGAGATTAGAAGAGGTTCCTATATTTTAAACAATATTTTTATATATTTTTATTAACTGGAAGAAGTATGTACTCATATTGAGTGGTGAAGCTTCAAAGAGACTAAAAATTATTGGCATTTTTAATTATTATTGGTATATCTATCATTTCTGCAACCATATTTAAAAGTGGGAATTTAAAAACTTTTTGATGTTAAAAACTAATAATTTCAAATGCCATTTAATTATTTTCTCTTTGTTTTACGCTTCTTTCATAAATAAGTTTTAGAGGTAGTTCATCGGGAATTAAAAAAATTGAAGTTTAACTTATTTATGATTTTATAAATTTATTTATTTAAAATTCAAAGATGATTAACTTTTTTTTCATTAACTTCTCTTTTCTTAATTTTTTTTATTAAATTATTTTTCGAAACTAAAGATTATAAAGATACATTAATCAATTTTCAAAATATATAGTTAATTAATTTTTTTCTAAAATAAGTTTATTAAATAAAAAACAAAATATCTTAATACAAATAAATCAATCAATGACAAATGTTTCTTTTAAGATAATTGACTTAAATAATTCAAAAATATTTATGAATATTTAAAAATCAAATTAATTAATAATGAAAACTAAATAATATAATTTCAATATTAAGTATTAAGCTATAAACATGATTTTGGATATAAATCTTTAATTTACAAATAAATAATCTTATATAAAATATAATTTATTTTTTAAAAGAAATATAAAATATAATTTATTTTTTAAAAGAAATATAAAATTAGTTTGTAATAAAAATTGCATACATTTTAAGAATTTATTTTCTCATTTTTTTTCTATTTAGATAAAGCTTATTTATAATTCTTCAATCTCTTGAATTTTTTCTTAAATAGATTGAATATTTTTACTAATTGTTTATATTTATGGTTTAATATAGGTAAATTAGCTAAAAATTTAATAAATAGAGTACAGCCAGTGTTTAATATTTTAGTTACCTTCTTCATTTTCATCAAACATTTAATTGATTTATTTTTAATAGTTTTAATTCAGCTCCAAAAATTTATCACTATAAATTTTAAGCAACTAAAATAAATATTTAATAGTATCTAATAGTTTGACAGTTAATTTTTCATTAATTATTAATTGGTTATTTTAGTAAATAGTAAAATGTTTATTTTCAAGATTTATAAATTAATTAATTATATCTAATAATAATTCAATATATCCATATTCTATTAATTTAGGTAAATGAATATTAATATCAGAGTTCTCTATCAAAAGAAAAATAATTTCATACATTTTCTAGCATACAGATGATTACTATTTGTTTTATTATTATTCTTAAAATAGTAAGAGAAATTTATATATCAAAGGTATATTGTCAGTTAGGTTTATCAATGCTTAATTTTTATTATAATAATTTGAATTGACTTTATTCTAAATAAGAATATCTATAGCATTAAGACTATCATTTTTTAATTAATATTTTATTAATTTGATAATTATTTCTTTGAATTCATTATCTTCATTTTATTCAAGAATATTAAAAAGTATGTGTATAATCTACTCAAAGATACCATTAAATAATAATTTTTAGCTTGATAAAAAAGAAATTTTTGAAAACTAGTGAAAGAATTGTAGCTATAATGATATAAATTATTATTACTATTATAGACTTTCTGTATTTTCTTCGCTTTTTAATGTATAGATTTTATTTAAAGGGATTTAATCTACCAAATTTATTATATGTGAGATATTTTATGGACAATTATGAATTTATAAAATAAAAATGAATAATTCAAATAATGAATGCATAATTTCAACATTTTTATTATAATCAGAAATGATATTTTAGCAAGCACTAATAAATAACTGATTAGATTTTATAAACTCTTAAGAATCATAAAATTTTATACATTTTGCTAAAACTTTTAAAACAATTAGAGTGATATCAATTGAATTAAGTTAGTCATTCAATAATTTAATAATATTTAAATCAATTAGCAACATTTTACCTAACTTTAAATCTAAATCTGATTTTAATTAAATTACATCAAGTAAAAAATTTAAATGATTTACCAGTTAATATATGATATAAGGTTCATTTTTATATCTATTAAATCCATTAATTAGAATTTTATTTTCCACTTTTATATTACTTTCTTTTTTAATCTCAGTATCAAAATTTAACTAATTTATCTATTCTAAAACCAAACAAATATTTTCAAAATTGCCAGATATTATTTACAAATCTATTTAATTGAGCAATATTTAATAATGATGGTCAGTTTGAATATGTTTAAATACTTAGTTATCAATATCAGTTTATTAAAGATCCATTATATACTAATTTTATTATTAAATACAACAACATTGCATTTATTCCATGCAGTATTCAGCTTATTCTTTTTCTTAAATCATTTTGTTATCATAAATTATTTATTTTTAATCTTATTAGTATCTATTTCTTGTATTCTTAAAGGTCCTCCTAATATCATGATTTCTTTTATCAATTCTTTTCTTCTCAATTTAAAGTCTTTAAATCTTTTTTTCTAAAGATATTAGATCTTTTACATCCTGCGTTCTTTTTAATTTATCTTCTTGATTTTAATTATTCATTTTGTATCAAAATAAGAAGCAATTAGTTAATTAATTTTTAAAAAGTATTTAACACCACTTAATTATCAATAATGAAAATAGCATATTAATAAAAATTCCTTCTATCTAATTCATATAAGATAGAATAAATTATTATAATAAAAATATGCTAAAATAAAAGAAACAATAGATTAAATACAGAAATTAAGAATATTTTTCAGATAATTTGAATAAATTTTTTTTAACTACTTGATCTATTTAATTATCCGCCAAATTATAATTCATAAATTGTTGTAAGAAATTATTAAATTTAAAATTTTAAATGCTTCATTTGATATTAATTAATATTTTCTTATGATTAAATAACAAATACTATCTATATCAGAAGCTAAACTAAGTAATTATTAATAAATTTTTTAATCAAATTATTTTAATTTTTAAGCTGATAGAATATTAAGTAAAATATTAGATTTAATTGAGTCAAAAAAGCGAAAAAATCTTTATAGCTTTGTAAATTATTAAGTAAAAGCACACATTTGTAATTAATGAACTAAGAGGTTTAGTCAGATTCAAGCTATGTATCAGCTGATTTGCATTTTGAGGTTATAAATAGTAAACTAGATAAATTAATGTAGATAGTAACATTTACTGAGAAAAAACCTTCTATTTAGATGTAGGATTTGTTATAGCTTAATGATAAAGAAGATGAAATGTTATTATTTCAAAAGCAAGTAACTTTGGAATTGTAGAATATAGTTAATGAGCAGGAGAATCAACTTAAGTAATACAGAAACTAAAACTAAAAAAAATAGAATTAGTTTGAAAAAGAATTTGCATAATTATAGGATTTCTATTTCAAAGAAAATAGAAAATTAAATGAAATGGTGGAATATTTAGCAAAAGAGAATCTTAAAATTAGAGAGTAATATTGCGAGCAAACAAAAAATTATTATAAATTGCTAGACTTCATTAAAATTTTTACATAAGGCTCGTTATAAGAACAAACACGAAAATAACTAGAATAATTAGGAGTTTAAATATAAGATACAGATCAATAAAATTGCCTTTAAGAATTATCAGATGAAAACACAAAAATATTAAAGAAAATAAATGCTCTTGAAAGATTTTTAATTTAAGTTTTGAGTTCTTATAAAAATAACAATGAAAAAGAAGAATTGCTAAATTTAAAAAATTAATTAGAGTAGAAAATGATAGAAATGGTTGATTTAAATATACAATTTTAGGCAATTAAAGAATAAAATGAAAATTATAAAAGGTAGTTAAAGAAGGCAAAAGTATTTACTTAAGACAATACAAATTAAAATAAAAAGAAATAATTATAGAATTATAATAAGAAAAATGAATCAAAAGCAAGACAGACGAGAGGCAAAAAAATTAATTTTTAAGAGTTCTTAAAAGATTATGAAGAATAATTTAACGAAGTAAGTTATAATAGTAGCAGTTCAAGCCCAATTAATTCTAATTCTTGCAATCAAGAAGCATAAAACAATTTTAATAAAAATGTAAAATCTAAGAATCTACAAAATGAAGATGAATCTTTATCAGAAATTCATGAAAATATCTTTGAAGAAGAAAAAGCTAATAATTAAAAAAAATTAAATAAGTAAAACTATAAAAACTCCAAAACTGTTAGTTCAGACGATGATGAAGAATCAGAAGGAGAAGATTAAAGCTAAGATAGTTTTATTGATGATGATGAAGATATTGATGATAACAAAAATTTTTAAAAAAACAGAAAGCTCTTAAAGATTTCTGAAAAAAAGGAAAATAATGATTAAAGAAATTAGAAAAAAGGGAATTAAAATCTAAAAGAGAGTGATGAAAGCGATTTTGAAGAGAGTCTAAGCGAAAAATTATAATCTGAAGAATATAGTAGTGATGAAAGCGAAGGCAGCCAGAAAAAAAAGAAGAAAAAAAATAAAACAAATAATAAATAAGAAAATAAATAAGTTACTGTTTAAAAATAGGCAAAGCCAATTCCAGAAAAGAAAAAAATTATTTCTTAAAATAAAAAAAAAACTTCAAAAAAAGTGTTGAAAAAAAATCAAGAAAATTAAGACAGATTATTTAATTAGCTAGATATGTTTTTAAATATGTAAAACTGATATAATAAAGTTATAAATATTAATTTAATAATCAAATGTAATAATCTTCATAAATAATATTTCCATATTAAAATGACCATTTATCTCATTTTATTGTTTAATTTAGAAATTATTTTCAATAATATAAATAAATAAAATATATAAAATTAATATCAATTTATTAATAATCAAATGTAACAAATTTCATAATTGATATTTTCATATTTTTAAATTAAAATTTGGCTCTTTTTATTTTATAATTTAGAAATTATTTTCATAAATAAAAAAATAACAATTAGAGAATACAAAAATGAATTTCAATCAAAAATAAAATAAAATACCTAAATAAAACTTTTTATATTTTTAGCAAATTTGTTTTGCTTAAATTTATAATATAATTACAATTTTCTTTCATAAATTAATTCAGGTTCAATTAAAGTTTCGTTTTTCATTTGAAATTTGTTAGTTGAAAAATATTTAAAATCTAATTAAATTAAATTTTTTGCATGAAAAAATAAAAAATATTTTTTAGTTGAAAAAATTTTTTATTTTTTTGAAATCTTTTTAAGTTTTAACTCCAAAAATATAGATACTATATAAGGTTTATAAACTACTTACAGCACAAATATCTTAAATATTTAAAAATGACCTAATAATTTTATTATTTACTTTTTTTTTATAAAAAAATTTAGTTAAGAAATTGATAATATTATTAACTTAGAAAAGCAAGGTTTCGAAGGAAAATCAAAGAGATGACTATCAATTCAAAAATTTACTATTTAAAAAGTAAAAAATAAATTAATTGAATGTAAATTAAGAATTAAATTGTTATAAACATCACATATTTTCTTTGTTTTCTTATTTCAATACGTCAATAGATCAATAAAAATATATTGAAATAAATTAATAAGACTTTCTTATAAATGCCGATTTTTAAAGTAATTAACTTGTGTAAACTTTTTTAATAATATTAATTAAAATATATACATAAATAAATCAGATTCTAGAACTCTCTTTAGTGATACTTGTGAAATTGTTGCTTTTTATGAGTACAAATGTAAGAATGAAAAAAAGCACTACAGTTAAATTAGGTTTACTGTATTTATTTACATAAACAATAGAGATTTCAATAATTTTATTAATATTAAAATAAAAGTAATTATTTTATTTTGATAGATGATAAAGCTCGCTTTTTATTGAGTAAATTTTAAAACTAAAATTTTGAAACAGAAAAGTATTTATTTAATAATGAAGCACTCTTCTCATTAATTTACTCTCATAATAAAAAAAATGAAATGTATTTATTTAGAGAAAAAAACCAAAAATTTTTGGAATTACAATTAAGTCTTTTGCTTTTTAAAGTCAACATATTTAATCTTAATTTGAAAAAATACGAATAAACAATGAATAGAAATTTAACTAAAACTATAAATTTTATTTTATAAAGTATAATAATCATAACAGTCATTTTCACTGTATGTTTGATAATTTTTTATTAATTTGTAACTAAATATTATTATGAAATAAGCTCATGAGTCATACCCATTTTTATCCTTACCCTTTCCAAGCATAGATATAGCAGCTTTGGAGAGGAAAAATGTCCAATATATATGCATAATTGCTAATGCTGAAATCATGAATAACATGTACATCATTGGGAAATCCATAATTCTTGAATATTCTTCTGATCTTGGTGTCATGTATTAGTCAGCTGCAGCACCAATTACGCAAAAGGGGAATACAATATTACGAGTGTAAACCCAAGTAGGATATGTTAATACGTAGATCAAAATGTTAATTGCTACAATTCTATTTTTTAAATCAGTGTATGCTCTTGCAGCAATCAAAAAGACATCACCAATATCATGAATTAAAAGAACTATGATACCAACTAACTTAAAGTTCATCATGTATGAGAACCATAACAAGAAGAGAGCAAGTCCGTGGTGAAGTGCATATTCGTAGAATTTAGGATCTCTGAACTTAGCTATTATTTAGTGAATAAATGTATAGAGATGAGTACCTGTTTGAACTAAGTAGAATATGTCTAAGTAAGGTACATAGGGGACTTCAGGATGTCCCATGAAAAGATTATTACAAGATCCACTTCCTAAAAGGGAAGGAGGGAGGAAGGGTTGGTCTTTGCAGATCAAGTATCCGATTATGCTTGTCAAAGTATAGTAAGAGATATCGAATAACCACTTACAAATTTAATCAGCACGCTTTTTACCTTCTTCAATAGTTTTTAAACGCTTTTCAGAGAGCATACCTACAACCTTATCAAGTAAGAAATATCTGATGAGGAAACGGATCAATGCAATAACTAAAGCAGATACAATTGAAATCCAGAAATCATAGATATGTCCTTTAGGTACACTAGCAGTGTAAGGGTCGTTATGGAAGCGATATACTCTTTCTACTAGGATACCACCACAAATTGTGATGAACAAAAATATTGCTCTCCATATATTTTCATAGATAGTTAGCTTGTATTATATAAGAGAATCGCGGTCAGATGCTTTGGCAATACCATCGCTCTTAGATTGCTTAATGAAATAGCCATCGCGCTTAGAAACCATTTGACTGGTTTCAGTAGTAGAATTAAGTGAAACCTACTCCATTTCCTTCAATATCTTGTTAATGTTATAATTCTAATGGGTGTCTGAGATAATACAGTAAAGCTATAGCTTCTTGTTCTTGTATGCTGCCTAGAAATAGTCCTAAAATGTTTGTTTAGTAGACCTAGCAAATTAAAATCTTGAAAACTTGCAAATTTTTTTATTTTACTTATTTACAAGAAATTTTTAAAATTAATATTTTTATATCTTAAAAAAGATTGGTAAGTTAGAATTTAAAGACTGATGGGTAATTAAAAAATTAAGGTTTGGTTTGTGTGTAGTCGCCAAAAAGACTGTAATTTAATAAAGTTATTGATTAGTATTTTGAAGATTATCAGCTTTTAGTAATATTAATTTTTGAATTATAGTTTCATCCTTAAATTCAAAAACTTACATATTAACCAATTACAACTGCCATAATACATATTTCAATTTTTTTCCCTTAATTCATTAAATTGGATTAGCTTGAGTGTTTTAAGTATCATGACACCATTCGCAAAAGCTAATACAATAAAATTCCTAAAAAATTTAAAGAAAATATTGAGCCAATTGAAATAGGGTTTCACTCAATATACATTAGTTGATTAATAATTAAACCAGCTTTGAGCTGGAACAAGTTTTATATAAAATTAATTATACAATAAGAAAATAAATGCGTCACAAAGTAAAATTTTTTGAATTTTTTTGTGTCTTAATAAAAAAAATTTATAAACACACAAAGACTACCCCATCTGATGCAAGATAAATGTATAAGATATCTTAATATTTTTATATTGTAAATATATCATTTTTTTATTATATAAATTGATTAAAGATACAAATATCATGAAGTTTTATACTCCTAATTTTTTTATCTTATGTAAGTAAATATGCCAAAAATATTAGCTATTTTATAAACCTAAAAAAAAATGTAAATTTATACTTAAAAAGTAATATTTCTGGAAAATAAAACAGAACCTTTAGTGTTTGTAACAATAAATTGTAAATAAATAAATAAAAATAAGATAAAGAGAAACAAAATTTGAAAATTAAATTATCTTTCTTTGTTCGTTCGTTCGTTTATATTTTTTAGCTAAAAAAATGAACCCAAAATCTATAGATTAAATTATTCTCTCTAAAGAAAGTTAAAGGTTTAAAAGATAGGAACCTAAATATTAATATTAGTATATATAAAAAATAATATTTTTTTAATTTTAAAATGTAGTTGAATCCATCTTTCACTCATATCTTAATTGATATTTCTTTGGCTAAATTTTGCCTTTTTGCTATTTAAGAAATTAAAAACCTTCTTGATTCGATTTTTTATGAAAAATTGTGTAAATAATAATCGTAAGCAAATAATTTAAAGTCTTTTCAAAAATAAGAAACAAGAAACTTCATAATTTAATTACAATTTTTTTTGACTGAGCTCTTGATTAAAATATAAGATATGTGATAGAGTCCTCTTTCTATCTTCTATCATTTTGTATTTTGATACTTTAAAAATAAAAAATTTATTCATCTATTTTATTAAAAAACAAAGAATATGAAGAAATAAAATAATATTTTAAATTAATAATTATTTCCAATTAAATTTAAGTCACTATCAAAGAAAATAGTGTTTTGATCGATAAGTTATCATATTATCTTTTTTCTATATTAAAATTATTAAGAAAATATCACTGCAAAATAGGTGGATTTAAGCGCAATCGTATTTATCATTTGCTTACTAATTTATAATGCATTGTTTCACTAAATTGAAGATGAATTATTATCAAATAAAAGGCTTGAATTACTAATTTATTTTGTATTAATGACAATTTGTAATATATTATTTATGAATAATTTCTGATATCTACTGTATCAACCTCTGTAAGCTAGATGTTTAATAATATTATTAAAGCTAATTGAAAAAGAAAAACTATATAATACATTTGAAAAAAATTGTTTATCAACCTTTTAATTAAAAGAAGTAAGTTTAACCTAATTAAAATTAATATTTTGTAAGTAATTACAGAATTAAATTATATTTTTTTATGATTGCTATTTATACAAGTTACTATTACCATTTACTATTTAAAAAAATCTTCTACTTTTTTCTTTATTCTAAGAAGAATTACAAGTAAATTTTGAAATATTTTAATAAATTTCTAATTAGAAGACATTGTTGATTCTATTTAAGAGCATTTGTTCAATCAAATAAAATAAATTTATTTTTTCTTCTCCTATTAAATTCAATGTATACATTTAAAGACTACTTAAAAAACTTGATAATTTTTATATGGCAACTATTGTATAAATCTATTAAAAAATTAAGCATAAAAATAAATAAATTTATAAGCTTATTATTTTTATCTGAACTACAAATACTTTTTAAAGAATTATAAATCATATTTTATTGTTAAATAATTGGAATTATTTAACTTTTCTTTAAACACTTTTATTCAAAATGACATTTTTTGTTTTCTAATTTAATTTTTAAGATTTAAATCATACTTAAATCAATTTTTAACTTTATACACTAAAAAAAAGCAAGTTAATAAATAATCTATTGATATTTTATTACATTTGAAGATTCTGTTGATAATATTGTGTTAATGCTCAAATAAAATAGCTAAATTTTATAATTTAAGAACCTAAATAAGTAAAGATAAAATTCTCATAAACTATATTTTTACTAAATTCACAAATATAATTTTATTTTAACACATATTAAACGAAAATATAATATTTTTTAAATTTATTCAAATGTTTCTCAAGTTAAAATTTTTAAAAAAATGTCATTTCTTTATTTTGGAAAGAAATTCTTTTTTAAATTCATAGAATTGACTGATTTCTTGTAGATCTTCTTCTTGTAATTTTATTTAGAGATTAGGTTTTTAGTTTTCTAGCAAAATATTAACCGATGCATTTTACCTTACGTAAGTATAATTTCCTTGGTGGTTAGGCAATTTACATTTTTCATTTTTGACCATAAATAAATTAGAAGAAGAAGGAACTATCATCTTTATAGGATAAAGTTTATCTGATATTTTTAATATTTGGAATTCGATAACTAGAACTTCCTCATTGATTTCAATCCTAATCTCGTTTTATTTTTTCCAAGCCTTTATTTAAGCATCATCACCAGGTACTGACAAGTTTTAATTTATAATTTCTAGAGTCTAATTGATGAATTTATCAAGTGTATTACAAATATTTTTTTTATTGAATTGGCTGTTAAGGAGATGCTCATAGTAAATTTCTTAGTTTCTTTATTTATCGATATCAGAAATACCAAAAATGAAATTAGTTTTTTAAGCTAAAGAGTTTAAGGCTCCTATTAATTATTTCACCATTTTTTATTTTTCGAAGATTAATTTAAACTCATAATTAAGAGATTCTTGGCACTTTCTTTATAAATATTCAATTTCTATAAATTCAAAATCAAATGTTTTATCTTAAAGATATTTATTGCACTAATTAATTTCTTCATAAAATTCCCTAGGATTAACAAGTTTTAGATTAATTAAAGTAAACTCCATAGCTTTACAGGTTTCTTTTTGTGATATGAGGGTACTATTTTGTGGATCATTCGAAATAAAAGAAGGTCTCCTTGTAAATTTAGATATCAATTAAAGATTTCCTTGTTTGAAATAGCCATCAGGTCTAAGCAAAATCTAATTGAAAAAACCTTTAAATTAATCTTAAATTTAAACATCAACTATTATCTTTGATTAGAATTTATCTTAAAATTCAGATTCATTCTAACACCAATCAACTATCTTATTTATGTTACAACATTAAAAAATGTTAAAGCCTCTCAAAAAAGGAGGTTCTTCTTTTTCGTAAATATAAATGTTATCATTATATACTTTGCAACCAAGCTTTAAATCTTTGATTCCTTCGATGGCTCTTAATTACATTTTTAGGTATTATCTCTGTTATTAGAATTTTTAAAAAGTAAGTTTTTTATTATTTTCGATGTTAGATAGTTTTTCTTGCACCATGCTTTAAGAGTTTTAAAATTGAAATGAACCAAATTCACTTTTTGAAGGTAACTTGCTTTCTTCCTTGTTATTGGTTTACTAATTCTGTATTTAATTACTATTAATTTCTTACAGTGATAAATCATCCTCTTCCCATTAATTTTAAAATAGTTTTTTATCATCTCCTTTAGATATAGTTATATCACAAATCTTATCAGATTCTTCATTAGTTTCCTAATAATTTAGAATATCAATTTATTTGTTCAAATTTTATCTTAGTTTTTGTTCTTTTTAAATCTTTTAAATTTTTTCGAGAAGAGCATTTTTTTTGTAAAGTATATTTAATGGTTGGACATTATTAAGACATAAATCAGAAATGCTTATTGGTTTTTAATCATTTACTTCATCAAGTTTAAATTATTTTATTTGAATATTTGTTTATTCGTTTTTAAGCTAAAAATTGTTTGACATTTGTTTGTCGAAGCATAATTTTTCTTTCTCACCACTTAAAGAATGAAATTCAGATTATCTACTGTTTTCATCTATTTTTGCTATTTCAATCGAAGAAAAAGAAGAAGAGGAACATTTTTATTATTATTGACTATTTACTCTCCCTTCTTTTTGAGAATGATTTTCGATAGTATCTTCACTTTTTGTATTAATTTAATCAGAGCATGTTTATATCTGTTCATCTTTAGTTTTTAGATTTTACTCAACTTGTAATAAGGGAAAGTTTTGTTCGATGTATTAAGAGTCATTTTCATCTCTTGAAGAGTCTTCTTCATTGAATGAATCAGTCTCGTCTAATTTTTTTATTTCAAAGCTATTCCAATCACCTAAATCTTAAGGTATGTCATTTAAATGAACTGTATAAGGAGCTTCTTAAACTTCTTTTATTTCATATTCTTAATCTTATTTTTTTTAATATTTATACTTCCTGTATCTCATTTAACATTTTTTCTAGTGGATGTTTTTATTATTATTTAAGATGTCTTAGAAAATCTTTTAAGAAACACATAATGATAGAAAATTTAAGCAGCACATATTAATATGCTTTTATTAGAAATTTAATTTCATGCCTAAACTATTGGTAAAGTTTTGCAATTATTAGATGCATTAAAACTATAAAATTACGTTTAACTCTTGTTAGATTTAATTTTTTATTTTCTAAAGCAATGAAATATTTTGATTTGAATTATCAAAGGAATTACATTCTTGAGTTTATAGCGATGTTGTCTGTCTTTCGCCTTATTTTTGATTTGCCTCACTTAAATTTTTATTTGAATTTATTATTTATTCATTTATATCTGCTTTTTTTATATCAATTTGTTAGCAAGTAGAACTAACATTTGATTCGCTTTGTTCTTAAAAAAAGTTATTGCTTTTATAAACTAATGGTTTTCTTTGCTTCTTTTTACTATCTGTTTAATTAAAATAGCAAGTATTCTATGTCTAAGCAGGCATTTTTTCTTAGGATGATTTCAAATCCTAGTTATTGAAAATTTAAACTTAAAGATTGTTTTTTAGGCAGGTAGAAGATCTCTCTTCAAAGTTAATATAGCCTCCTCCTTATGAAAAATATTACTTCAATAAAGAAGTTTAGATCATTGTTGAGCTTAGTTGGGATTTCTGAAACAAGAAAAGTGCTTAAGGTCCGAAAAGAAATAAATTTCTCTTATTTGTTGTTAATATTATTTTTGGAGTGCTAAAGAGTGTTTACCTTTTTGATTGTTGTTTATTTTTTTTAATTAGTTTTTTTATTAAATTTTTTTGTTCTTTCCAATATATATAAAGCAATTATTTCTTAGCAACAAAAATTCCTGATAAAAAAGGTATCCTAATAAAGATACAATAAAATATTAGCAAGCTATATCTAAATCTTATAATAAATAAATTTTTATAAAAATTATAAATATCAGATTAGGTTCATTGTAATTAACTTAAGAAAATAGAAAATAATAAAATCCTTAATTATTTTATAAATTCTTTAAAAAAAATTAAAACTGATAGAATATCAAATATTTTAATTTTATATTAATTTAAATAAGAATCAAAAATAGAAGCCATTTTACATTTTTAATCAGTACTTATAAAGTAATTTATTATAACCAAATATTTTTTTTGGAGTTTCAATCACATACATTTATGATTTATTTTAATTTTATTCAAATATAATTTTATTATATTTTCATTTGCAAATATCTTATTTGATATTTATATATTGTACTATTTAAAATAAATTTCAATAATCAACTATTTAATAATCATAAATATATTATCAAGATAAAATTGCATAATTTATAAACAAACAAAAAATAGAGAATGATAATAATTGCAATAATTTATTAAGTATTTAATGAAAAATTTCAAAGTGCCTTATTTTAGTTTTATATTAATTGATTTTATTTTGAAAATGATTGAATCAAATATTTTTATTTTATTTGAGGATAAAAAAAAGAAGGCATTTTACATTTTAAGTTAGAATAAATTAGGTAAATCATTATTATAATAGTTTCTTAGGTAATTGAAATTGCATTCATAAATGATTTATTTAGTTTAACTTAAATATTACTTTTTATTTTAAGTAGGTTTTTTTATTTGATCTTAGATTTGATAATAGACATTATTTAAAATAAAATCTTGCTATTTTACAATTATTAAAATGAAAAGTTTCTTAGAAATTAAATAAACCAAAAATAAGAAGATGATAATAAAACTATAGTTTATAAAGTATTCAACAAAAAATTCAAAAGTAATGATAGTGTTATCTTTATTGTTATAAAATTAAATTGTTTTTGATAATAAAAATAATTAATATGTTGTTATAAGGATTTATGTATGGCATTATTTGATTTTAAAATTGTGTTTGTTTATAAATCAAATACATTTTAATGAATTAATTAAAATATAAAAGAATGCTACTTATCTATCTATTTAAATAATGAATGATCTTTAATGTGTTTGTGGATTGTATTTTGTTATTTTTTTTTCAATGAAATTAAAATAATTGCAATTTTTTATATCTAATAGCTATTATTCTGATAAAAAAGAAGATAACAAATTAATTCACAAAAGCTTTATTATCTAACAATTTTTATCTGAGAGTGAGAATCTTCTACTAACTCTCATTTCTCAAAATATATCTGATATTTTAATTTTGTAATATCGCAGGATTATATATATAGAATGAATGATACTGCTTAAACATAGTAATAAGCCATTTAAATAAAAACAACATAAATTCCGCAGCATAATACTTTTGAGTTCAAATTAGAAAATTTAGATGGATAGTCTGAAATGACAGTTGTTTTTAATAGCGATTTTGACTCTGGTAATTGTGGAAGAGTAATTTAAAAATCTAATTTCGAGGTAATTTATTTAGTTATTTCAAAATATTATATACTGTTTCATTATAGAAAGAATAATTTTATATCATTACAGCCTTACTTAAATATTTAACTATTATTAAATTATTACTGAAGAGTTATTTTGTTAATTATGATAAATAGTATGATATTTTTACTTCTCCTGATAGAGATTAAGGAACAGACCAAGAAGGATACTCTAAGAGTTGGTTTTATTTTAGTGTAAAAGGATTCAAAAAGGAATAAACTATAAAATTGAACATTTAACAGATCCATATATTATGGTCTCTATGGAATGTAAAATATGCTTATTAGATAAATAAATCTTTTTATTTGTTTGCTTCATTTGAGCCATATAAGCTAATAAACATCTAACATTAAAACTTATATATATAATAAGAATAAAGCTTGTAACTAGTATAAACCTGTCTATAAAATAAATAAAGATGGCGAGTATTAGCGACTACAGACAGAAGTGAATATTTAGGTATTTTGTTTAAATATTTCTTTCTTAAAACTATAAGTAAATAAAGAAAAGTAGTTATTATTTAATCAATCAATTATATAAACAGACAGTCCTCTTACTTTTAATATTTATTAAAAAATAAATTACTTGTAAGATTTATTTAAATCAACTACTTTCTTAACTATAATTAGTGGTTATTATTATTTATTAAATTAATTTAATTTTAGATTTTTTATCAAATACAATTAAATTTTATTAGATGGTTGCCAAGAATTATCTCGTTTTAACATTTGAGTACACTTTTGATCAAGAGAATAGCGAATAAGATGAAGTATTCTTTTGTTTTTCTTACCCTTATGAGTATCAAAGATGTATAGATATGATTAAAAAATTGTAAGAAGACTATTCTAATGATTAAGACATTTATTTGCATTCAGAAGTTATTGTTTAGAGCACTTAGTAAAGAGATGTTCACTTATTAACAATATCTTCACAAGATGGTATACTTGATAAATAAGAAGAATATTTTTAATAGCCTTTATTTCCATTTAGAGAAAAAGAAACTAGAGCAAAAAGGTACTGCATTATAATATTTATCAATACATATCAAAATATTTATACAAAAAAGCTTTAATGAATCATAAATTTTGTAAAAAATATTCTTATTTTATTGAATTCATGTTTAAGCTTTTAGTATATATTTTTGTATATTTCAAATAAAGATTTCGTACTAATAAGCCTTATATATTGATTACATGCAGAGTTCACCCTGGAGAAACTCCGAGTAGCTACGCCTTAGAAGGAATGATTAAGTTCCTTTTAAATAAAAAGGATTCAAGGTCTGCTTTACTAAGATAATTCTTTGTATTCTTGATAGTACCTATGCTGAACCCTGATGGAGTATACAATGGACACTATAGAATGGATACATTTAACAATAACTTAAACAGATTTTATAAAATCGCAGATCCATAAAAGCAACCTTCAATATATGCGATAAAAAAACTTGTAGAATATTTGTAAGAAGATAAAAGATTATTTTTTTATATTGATTTACATGCTCATGCAGGAAAGAAAGGTCATTTTGTTTATGGTAATGCATGCGATGACATAGTAATGTAAATTGAAAATTAGACATTTGCTAAGATACTCTCTATGAATTGCAAAAATTTTGAATACAATTTTTGCAATTTTTCTAAAAAACATATGAAGGCAAGGGTAAATGTTTTTTTTATTATTAAAGCACTTTTAACATCTGAATATAAAAAAAGGATAAGTTCGAGGAAATGACAAAAGAAGGTTGTGGCAGAGTATAGGTGCATTAAATTACAAAAATTATACATGCATACACTCTTGAATGCGGGTTTCATCAAGCAACTCAACTAAATTATCTTCCACCTGCATCAAATGCAGAGTTTAAAATTAATGAGTAAAGTTTAATTAAAATAATTCTCTAAAAATTTTATAAAAAATTATATTACTTTTTAGTGTTCTAGGATTTGATTATGATCCTGCAGAAGACAACCAATCAGAAATATATAAGGGAAAAAAAGAGCCTCCAGTATTTGTTCCTATATTATATTAAGATGTAGGGAAAGCTATTTTAGTCACTATATTAGATATTTTTGAGAAAAATCCATATTCAAGGATACCAAATAGTTCATATAAAACTATAGATAATATAAGGCGAAGTATTGGGTGGGACTGTGCAAGAATAGAAAGATTTAGGAAAGATCCATTAGCATATAAAAAAGCAAGAAAATTTAATGAATTCATTCAGGAAGCATTTTTTAGCGAGTTTGAAAGAAAAAAAGTATTTAATTTTGATAGTACTTTGTTTAAAAATACATAGTGGCCTGAGCTATTGTTAGGGAATTTTTTACATAAATATGTTAGTATTGAGAACTCCAAATAGAATAATAACTAACAGAATAAAAGATAAAATAAATATTTTCAAATTAAATCAAGAATATTTGAAAAAAGGATAATAAGCTGTTCAAATATTGAAGAGTATTACACTGATGATTACAATTGCTAGAATAACAAAAATGGGTTTGGACTTCTAAGTACTTAAAAAGATAATTATAATACTGAAATTGAAAGATTGTCAAACTTCAATGAGGATGATGAAAACAGCCAGAGTTAAAAAAATTAAGTTACACAATTTGAATTTAAAAGCATTCATGAAATAGAAAAATGTGATATTGCAAAAGAAGATTATCAAGATAATAATAATACTAGCTAGAACTCACATTAGCATAACAAAATTTTATCCAAGTCTGAAAGCCCAAAAAAATAATCTCATCATATGAGCATGATTTGCCATATTCCTCCTATAAATAAATAAAATTTTCAAATTTAATAGTAAAATATTAATAACGACTAAGTATCATTTATATTTTTAGGAAATCAACAAAGCTAACACATATCGAACAGTGAAAAAAAATTTTATAAAATTGACGAAGAAGATCCTATTGTGCGCCCAAATTAAAACTCTTTATCTAAAAAAAAGAAGAGAAAAAATTATGAATAATATCTTTCTGAAATTACAAAAAACAACAATGTGTTACAGCTATCCTTACATAAATAAGTAAATGGAAATTAAATTTAAAACACTGAACTATTCAAAGTATCTAAAAAGAAAGACTAATAAAAAAGTATCATTGCTAACAATATCAATGAAAGGACTAGGTAATTCAGAATGTCTTCTTTAAATGGAATAGAATAGCAATAAAATGATTTACCATCTTTAAATATACAAGGAATTGAGAAGTAGTTTTATAAACCATCTGAATAAGGCATGTTTTATTCTAAATAACATGGATTGAATTAATAGTTGTCTTGTCATAATCAGATTTAATTGATAAATCAAGCACTAAATAGTAAAAAACTTATTGTTTCTTAGAGATTAATTGATAAATAGTAAATAAAAAGTGATGCTTAATCATTTATAAGCTAATATGATTCTCATTTAAGTAGCAATCACCCATCATCAAGTAAATTAATCTAAAAAAGGGAAAATGTGCCATAAGGACATTATAAAAACTACCATTCTATGACATAATATAACTACAGTAGTATATCTAATCCAAAAAATGTAGTTTAGCCAAATAATAATGCATGTGTAGAGGAAGAAAAAATAATTCAAGGATTGAATGCCAAATAAAGTAATTAACGCAGCTAAAGCAATTTAATTGGATATTTACTGAATGGTAATTCTTAGAATCTTAATTCAACTTCCAAAACAGATCTTCTTGTAAAAAATGATTAAATTACTCATCAGCAATATCTGAGTAACCAATAAGATTAAGTAGAAAAGAGAATATCTTTAAACTACAGTAACTAATCAAGTTAAAGGGAAATCAGAAGCAACAAAATAATTAGATTATCAGATACTCTAAATTTAATGCATGATTAGATATCTGATAGCCCCAATCAAACAGACATTAAAATATTTGAAAATACAAACTATTATAAATAGACAAATAATGAAGGCGAAACTTAAAATTTGCAATATTAATCAAGTTAAGAAAAATAATAAGTAAAATAACTAAAAATATTTAATGTAATGGATATTCCCCAGTAGAGTGGACCCTAATCCAGTTTTTCAAGTGCAACAAACACATAATATGGAATAAATAATACATAAAATTAAAACAAAAACAGCTAAATTAAAAAAACCTTACAATAAAACCAATAAAATTTTTACAAACCTTTAAATTTCTCACAAAATCCCAAAACAATTTTACAATAATCAACATACAAAAAAAAAGATTCCCCTACAGTTAACTCAGTTAAAAAGAAAAACAATTAAGCTTCAAAAGGCAATAAAATTTTTGATATGATTTTTAGTAATAATTAACAATAAAGTGTTAATTATTCAAATTACAATAAAGTTATAGCTAATCAAGATATGATTAGTTTAAATTTAGATAATGAGGTTAAGTAATGTGAAGCAATAAGTAGGATATTCTAAAACTTTCCTGGTATAGTGAAGCAAGGAGTGGTAAAGACAGAAAGAAAGTAGCAAATTAACAATATAAACTCAGATGAACTGAATAATAATAATAGCATTAACAAGTAAATTAAATATTTTAACAAATAACAATTTAAATCTTAAATAAATCATCAAGAAGCAGAAAAAGTGAAGGAGGAGATGAACATTTTGTTAGATAAATTAATATTTTCAGTTCTCCAAAAAAATAACAAGTAAATTTATTTATAGCGAATTCCAATTTTATTTGAAAAACTTTTTTAAATAAATAATTTAAAAAAAAGAATTAGAATGATTTTAAGCTGCCAGATTTGAAAGAGACTTGCAAATAATAATATACAGAAGAAGATTTAAGTAATAACAAGTTATAACTCACAAATCAGCATAAATCTTCTAAATATTGAATGATTAAATAAATAAATAAAAATCTATATTTCTCATTATAAAAATTATTATTTAAAATTTTCAATAAAAATAGATATGATGAAATATTTATAAATTATATGTAATAAGCAATTCATTCATTAACTAATTTATGTAAAAAGACAGAAGACATTTTTATTTTTTTATTTAAAATTAAGATATTTTATTTGTTAATTTAATTACTTGTTTTATTATTTATTCATTTCCTACTAGAAATTACTTAGTATGTTATGATAATCATACAAAATATTATAACTGCATAGTATATTAATACTCTTCTATGTTTTGCTCTCTTTATAGCATTAACTAAATCTCCCATTCCTGGAATTTATTCTAATTTTAATTTAAAAATATTTTCAATTAAACAAAGCCATTATATTAATTTATATATTTACTATTCATATTTTCAACTTATTAATTTGCTCTACTTAATAAATTCGTCTAGAAATTTAAAGAGCTTCTAACTTATTATGCTATTCTAATTTAATTTTTATTTTTATATAATATTTATTTAGTTTAATCATTTTTTTATTTTACTGTATAATAGAATTAGATGTGCTTAATCCTTTATTTAAGCTAACTGCATTTTGCTTATGTTGCTCTAAATCGTCACCATCTTACTGAAGTTTTTCCTCTTCGTCATATGTTTCCAAGTCTTTATCTTTTTTTAACTGCACTTAGGCAAATAACTTCATTTTATCTGAGTTCTACTAAATTCCATTTTAAATTCTTCTAAACTCTTTTTTTTGGTCGTCCAATATCTCTTTGTATCTTTTTATAATCGACATTTAAGAAGGCTATAGCTGTTTAAATGCTAAGCACTTTTTAAGAAGAACCTCAAGCTTTTTAATTTTAGAAATTCTTAAAATGAGGATAAAATGAAAAAGAATTACTTCATCAATATCTGATTTTATTTAGTTAAAGCAGTTAACTACATTTTTAGGAATATCAAAAGAAGATTCAGAATGGCTTATGGAATTTTTACTACTTCTGATTTGTTAATATTATTAATAATTTAAGAGTTGCTATTTCGAAATGCTTGATAATTGATACTTGCTTTCAACAACAATAAATAGATTACTGAATATCTGAAAACTGTTTGGATGTTGTTAGTAAATAATTTTATACACTAGAAATTAGAGATTCAATATTTGTATTCAGTCTTCTATATTCTTTTTTAACATGTTCCCAATCAAATGAGGTAGTTGTTTAGCTTTTTTTTTCTTCATATGAAGATTGCATCATAATTTTTAATAATAAATAATCGATAAATTTTAATAAACTAAATTGTAATATCTTTAATTTTTTATAATTTTTAAGTGATTACTTAATTATAACCATATGTATGTATAGTGCTAAATAATTAATTATGTAGTATTAAGAATATACAATTTAAAAATGTGATTTTATTTAATTTATTTAACATTTTAAAATTTCTTTTTCACAATCAAATATTTTTATTTATTTATTTTAAAACAATTAATCAAACAATCAATATTAATGTTAAAAAATTAATTTAAAAATATAACATATGTAATAAAATAATAATATAATAAATAAATATTAAACTAAATTTGCATGAATACTATTTAGAATTAATAGATTAAAATTACTTCCTAGATAACCATCACTAAATAGATAAAACATTCATTAAATGATTTTTCATTTGATTTTTAAAATAATTTTATATCAAAAATAAAAAAGCTTTCGCAGTTAATTAAAATTTCAAACAATTTATATACGATAAATGCCATTGGTCATTTCGAATGTATATTTTCTTGTTTGAATATATGAATGATAAAATAACAATTATTTCACTTTTTTCAGAGCATTAATTGCAGTTCATTTCTGGAGTATGAATACTGTTTTCTATCTTCTCCTTCGTCATCTTCAAGTGTTGGGAAAAATGCAACTAGAGCATCTTAACTTCCAACATATATCATGTTATACAACTTCCAATATACTTGTCTAACCTATATCATAAAAAAAAAACGAATGAAATATAATTCTTCTTGAGTGTAGAAAGAATTTGCAAAAAACTTTCTAAATTCAAATGTTAAAGCTGAATAAAAAATTGATTACTCTTTTAGCTGGATGATACAATCCTTAAAGAAGATAAAGTAATATGACTCCAGGTCCTAATGCAACACGAAGGGCATCTATAGCTTCGGTCATAGCGGTGATGACGTGAGGAGATGTTTCAAAAATGTTAGGCCAAATGAAGTTGAGTAAGTGGATTAAGCAATCTTCACATCCAAGATTGGAAACACCAAGAGCTAAATGTTTTACTGCTGAGGCTGCAGTTTGACGATGAACTGGATCACGATCTACCAAGGCATCTTCTAGAAGAGTAATTATAGCGGCAATATAATTCTTTGCCATTTCTCCAATATATTCAAACATGAATGATAAAGATTTTAATACACCATTTTAAACATTCAATTCTTAGACACGATATTCATTCATCAAAGCAGGGAGGACTGTGAAGGGACCACATGTTTCTGCTACGATAGCAATAGCTACTGTTGTGCAAACACGAAGTTGTCTTTCTTAGACCTTCAAGTTATTCAATAAAGTAACCAAAACATCCTATGGACCGATGGCTTTAGCAATATAACCAAATGTATTGACTGTAGCACGACGAATACCCTTTTTATGTGCCTTAAGAAGATCAAGTAAATCGAAACATATACGCATCCATTCTTTAGGAGAAACATGCTCAGCTCCTCTATCTGAAATTCTACCTATTAAATCAATAGAGTTTTCTTAAACTTTTTCATGTCTATTTTTCAAAATTGGAGTAAGACGAGGTAATAGATCTTTTATTGGTGGTGTCATTTTATTCATACCTATGACATTTACTATTGCTTTCAAACCACCAAGGATAGAACCAAGGACTTCAGGATATTCTTCACCCAAACTCTCATACAACAAAAGACCTAAATTACCAAGTCTATTCTCTTCACTGCAATTCTTCATACAAGAAGCTATACGAGAAATTAGATCAGCTGCTTATTGACGGACACGAGCACTCTTGTTATTCAGACGCCATTATATAATACCACAAATTTAAGAGAAATAAGGCTTTGCACGTTAGCCTAAAGCGTTAACACAAGTACCGAAACCATTAAGCATGGTACCAGTATCTTCACTATTTTGTTCATGGAAAGCAGAGATGATACCATCCATTAATTATTATTCTAAAGCGTTATCAACGTCAGAAACACCAAGGGCTGCTACTATTTTTTCAATAGTCTCCATGACCATTTTACGATAAGCTTCACTAGTTGATTTTAAGTGAGGAACTATAATTTCAAGAATTTCAGCACCTCCAACTTTGGAAGCAATTTCAATAGTAGTATCAATAAGTTAACGAGAATTCTTATCAGTTGCCATACGAGATACCCAAAATTGTTCAAAAAACTTTGGTACAACATGCTCACGGACGTATTGTGCATCAACACCCTAACAACTAACACACTACTTTACTACTTTTAATACAATTTTACGCATTTCTTCTTCAGGATTTGAAAATTCATTTTTCAATATTTCCATTACTTCTTTAGTGTATTCGAGAGCTCTGTCAGCATCCATCAATGGAATGATAAAGCCAATAGCCTTAAGGAAGGCAGCTAAACTTTTACCCTTGTACTATGTAATACCTTCCCAAAGAGGAATTAACACACTAGCAAAAGCGTCGATACCATAAGGAGTAGCAGCTTCTGCTAAGGCAGCAAGAGCAAGACTTGTAATTGTTCTCACTTTATTTTGTTCATCTTTTAAACCAAGCTCAATAATTTCAACAAGTGAACGAAGATGAGGAAGAATAGCGCAACCCATCAAGATAGCAATTTATTAAACGATTTTAATACCAGTGTGACGGGTGTACCAACTTTTTTTACTTTTGCAGACAGGCTTTAAGAAAGGTAACATAGATGAAATACCTAAACTACTTGCGACGACGGCAAATGCACGAGCTGTTGTATTACGTACGAATTCATCATTATGGTCAATATCAGGCTTGAGTGTTTTAATCATAGTAGGTAAACCGGCAGCCTTAGCTAAGTTAGAAATAATTTCACGACCTTCAACACGAGCGTAATAATCTTCATCAATAAGCAAGGGTTCAATAACGACCAAAATATTATGCACATGAGGACGGACTAAATCGTCTAATTTGTAGAGAATACGATCAATGACTTTAACAAGCAAGTGACGTTCTTGTACTTCAAGTGTTGGAGACATAAGCAAAGTCAAAATATCGTTAAACAAAAGATCAGCACCAAACTCTCTTGCATTTTAAGTAATTTAACGTAAAGCAGATTTTCTCATTTAAGGAGTACCTCTTTTAATTTTGAGCAATAATTCTTTTATTTTTCTCTTCTTCAATTCCTCAGGAGTTAACTCTGATTCATTGACAGGGTTTTATAACTCTCCAAAATAAGCCAAGTCTTCAGGTTTAATTGAAGGCAAACCATTTATGCTTGGAGATTGAGGAACTTCAATAGGCTTAGTCATTTCATCAGGGATTTAATAACCCATGGGTGTCATTGACGGAGTTTATTATGACATTAAAAACTATCTCATCATATTTTTAGGAGGGTTGTAGCTATCTGGTGGTTTAACAATCTATTTAAATTAATAAAAAAAAAAATTAAATAAAAGCTACTTAAAGTCAAAAGAGTGGAGTTATAATCGAGTTAGATTAGATGATGATTCATTAGATCTATCTATTTGTTTATCTGCCAACTTAAATAGCAAATTGGGTGCATTTTTTTTGAGAATATGAAAGCTTCAAATATTCAAAATGTTGTTTTTTTAATTATTCATATAACTTATTTTGCTTTTATTCTTATTTTTATATAGATCATAAAGAACTAACATATCCACATTATTTTAAATTTATCTCTCCTACTTTTCTTCAACCATCATCAATCGCTCAATGTTTCTAGTTTGTTGATCTCCCTTTCACATATTTTACTTGTGTCAAATTTTCCATATACATATAGACTTAGATGTATCTAACCATGGAGATAATTAATAGGAGAAAGGATAAAAATATTTTCTAATTGCTCTCTGAGAGGGTTTCTGTTGAAAATGCTAAGGTTTTTATAAAAGAAGTGTTTTTATCACGACAACGAAAGCATTTATTTTAAATTAAAATTAAAATATTTTTTTTATTTTTACTGATTTTATTTTTTTAATAAAAATAAAATTGATTATTTAATAATATTTTTTAAGATAGAAAAATTTTTTCAAGTCTACTCGATTATTACTCTCATAATTTTATGTTAGTGAATTAGTGAAAAGAATTTTTACTTCATAACCGTCTCCAGGTCCAGGTAACATTTGATCAAGATCTTCATCAGTGAGAGGTCTATTTCTCATTTCATTAGCTTGTAATTATTTAAGATTCATAATTTATTCAGGAGTTAAATTGGGTTGATTTTAGGGAGTATATAAACCACCAGGAGTAGGTGTAATACCCATATAACCTCCTAAAGGTGTTTATATATTTTTAGGAGTTTATTCATCCCAACGAGTACGTGTGGTACTTCTTTTAGGAGTAGGGGTTTCACCAAATCTGCTTGGTGTACCTTAGATTAAGTGACCAGGTGTAGGTGTTTCACCAAACATACCACCAACTTTTTAAGGAGTTTATCCAAAACCTCCACTTTATTAAGGTGTCATATCCCATCTTTGTCTCTTTACAGGAGTAGATTGTTCAAAACCACCTTTTTTATAAAAAATAAAATTAATTTAAAAATTCTGAATATATTAAAAAAATTTGTTCAAATCAAATCAAATTTAAAAAATCTTTCATGAGATATCTTTTTAAAGAAAGTATTAATTTAAATACTTTTGAATATAAATAGTATCTATCTATCTATTTATTTATATATCTATTTATTTTTAAATGACTCAGAAATAAATATTGAGGCATTCTTAAAAATTAATTTGATTTGATCTTAAAAAAAATGAAATATTTTTAAAATCAACTGAAATTTAATATTCAATAAAGTAAGTAAAAATGATTACTTTATCTCTTAGGAGTTTCTCCCCATTTTGATCCCATTCTGTTAGCAGACATAGCGCCACTTGAAAAAGAAGTATCGGTATCAACATCACTAAATTTGGATGAACCTTTTGAAGTGTTAGCTTATCTTAAAGGTGCATTTTAGTTTACTTAGGTTGGTACACTTGAAAACTTACTATTGTATTCAGCTTATTGAGCTTCTTTAACTATTTTTTATTCTAACGCTACCCTTTCGTTTTCAAGCTTTTATTCCTTTAATCTCTCTGAAAATTTAATTGAATTCTCATCTGGCGATTTACCACCATCAGCAAATGCATCATAACTCTTTTACTAAAGTTATCTATTTTATTGTCTTAACTGATATGAATTTTGAGTATCAGTAACTCTTTGTTAACTCTTTTTGAATAAATCATCATTATCATCGTTATCTGCTCCTTACATCTTTGCTTCTTCTATTAATTCTTCCGGAGCATTATATGCAAATCTTTTTTTGACTGGCTTTTATCCTGGAATTTCTCTTCCATCATCATCAACGAATTGATTTGAGCTACCTTTATTACCTATTAATACAAAATACTTATTAGTATACGTTTAATCTAGCTCATAAAATCTCTATTGATTTGTATGTAAAAGTTATTTTGAATAAATAGAATATTTATTACTCATTTAATATATCTAAGTTTCTTGTTTGATTAATGACCAAAAGAATCAATCCTTCTTATAATTACAATTTATTCTTTAGGTTTTAATTAATAATAAACAAATTATATTTTTTTGCGTCTTTCTCCTCTTATTAAATTATGAATTATTAATAACTACCTTAATCAAATGTATGTATAATTAAATAAGATTTACATAGACAGAATAATTTATAATCCACTTTATTTTATGAATATAGACAGCATGTTCCTTCAATTTTAATTAAAATTATATAATCTTCAATAAGTAATAGATCATATTAATGCATAATTAATATTAAAATATTTTTTTAATAGGAATTTCTAATTATAATTTGTTTTAAAAATGAAAGTAATAATTGATACACTTCATTTGATCATTTATTTTAATAAATTCAAGATGACCGATTTAGAGAAACACTGATTAAAAAGTTAAATTCAGCAATTATTAAACCAAGTGTTCATTGTTTATTTGTTAAAGAGTATAAATCTTATTGATGTTTTTTAAAAAAATAGACAAATTAATTTAATTAAACTCGAATTAATCAAATTCTTTACTATATTTATCAAAGAAATAAGAAATAATAAAATTTAGATTAATATATTTTATTTAATTCTTTGTTTATCAAAATTATTCTTTGTTTTAAATAATTTATTATGATAAAATTAGATACAAAGTATATTTCTTATTTTAAAAAATTACTTATTTGACAATTGAATGATCAAGATAACTTTTATTCGACTTTTACATTTTTTTTTTTTGAATTCAAAATAATTTACAGATTTAAATAAATTTTGGGTTTTTTGAAGAAAAAAAATTCAATTTTAACTATTTAAAACCTAATCTTAGTGATGAAATTTTTAATTTTAATTAAATTGCTTAGAAGATCATAAAAATTATTATTTTATTTTAGAATTAAAATTAATTTTTTTAATAGAATTTAGAAGTAAATTTTAATTTTTAAAGATTGTTTTAAAAAAGATTTGAATGTTTATTAAAAATATTTAGTTAATAAATTAAAGTCAATTTATAACTTATTCATTAAATAGTTATAATAAATAAAAAAATAATAAGGCTAATTATTAGTTATAATTAGAAATATTGTTATTAATTTCAATCAAAAGATAATATTTATTCTGATTTATTTCAACAATCAATTGAAATTGCAAGAAATTAAGTACCCTATTTATACAAAATGGCAAGCGAAGATGGTGAGATGCCTTCCTAATTTGAAGGTATAGACCCTGAATAATTAACAGAAAGTCAAATGCAGTAATATATGATGGAAATGCAAAGACAGGGATTATTAGATTCTAATATGGAAGGAGGATAATATGAAGAAGGCTATGAAGAAGGTTAGGAAGGAGAAGGTTATGGAGAAGAGTATGGTGATTAAGATTATGATGGAAATTAAAATGAATATGATAGTCAATAAGATAGCCAATAGTAAGGACATGATCAAGTTAATGAAATGCATTAAGATAGATATGATAGAAGAGTTAATAGCGAGGTAAAATATATCTATAAATGATTTAAATACAATTAAAATTTCAAAAGTTTTTTCTTAAACTAATTAAAAATATTTTACAAATAATTTTTAAAGTTCAAATTTTATATTTTTGCTAAATTGTTTTAAATTTTATATAAAGATTAGTGGAAATTATGAAGCAGACGATGAAACTTTAAGAAAAATTCGTAGAGATTTATTAGATAATATAAATTTAGAAAGAAGACATAGAGATTTATAGCCAGTTTATATTGATCTAACAACTAACAATATTTCTTAATACTACTCAGAATATCTCGTCAATAATGAACACAATTAAGATTTTTATGAAAATGCGTAAAAATATATTAATTATATTTACTTTAAAATAAATCACTCTAATTTATTTTAAAACTATAATTATGAAAAATTTAAAAATTATTTTTGGATATTATTAGAAAAGTCAGGTATAATAATTTAGGAGAATGTGAACTTTGTCATATAACAGCTAAGTTTGAGCCAGATGCAGATATCACTAAAGAATATATTTATGATTATTTTATGGAAATTGGTTATCTCTTTTTAGAAAGTGAAGAAGAAAAAAGAATTATATTAAGTATTAATCTTCAATTTATTATTAACTGAATATTTATTGGATAATTATTGTTTAAAAAATAATAAATAGATCCTGCAAATAATCATATCGGTATAGGAGTCTTTTTTGATGAAATACAAATTGTTGTTGTACTGATTCTTTCAGAAAAAGTCTTATGCATCTAAAAGATATCATAACCAGAATAAAATAAAATAGAAATCAGGGGTAAAATGCTTGATGAAAACTTTGGTATTTATGCAATCAGAATTATGAATGTGGATGATTAAAAGAAAGACATTAAAGGTGTTGGACCCGAATTTATTGAGTATACGCGTTCCACTTAAGAATGGATGGCCTCTTTTGAACTAGAACTGTATAACTAAGATAGAATGGCAATTGAATATTATACTCGTGTTTCTCCAGATTCAATCCCATATAAAAAGAAATAAAGCAAAAATGAAAAATTAACTTATAAGCATCTTCAATTAAGATTACGTACTCCATTTTAAATTTATCCAGATCCAAAGTACGCTGCTGAAGATGAAAAAGAAAGAATTCGTAAAGAGCAAGAAATATTAGCTCACGAAGAGTAAGAAAGAAAAGAACGTGAAGAAAATGATGCAAAAAGACTAAAGCAATCACGCAAGGATTATGGAGATGGGTAATATGACGACGATGAACACGGTTAAGACGATTTCAACTCATAGTCTGATATATCTGATAAGGATAAACACCATGATTCTATGCATGCAGAGTAAGAATAAAACCAACAAGCTGCCTAACAATAACAAGACACAATATCTAATGTAAATTAATTGACTCAAATGAAGAAATTTTTAAAATAATGTCAATTTTAATTTATAGAAAGAAATTAGGTAAGAACTTGAAATGGCAATAACAGAGGCTTAGAGGTAGCATGATGAATTTATGCTATAAAATCATAAACTATAAGAGGAAATTAAGCTCCTCAAAAATAAAAATGATGGTTTTGTAGATAGGTCTAATGAAACTGCAATGAACGAACATAAGTACTTAAATACATTAGCTCATGTTCATTAGATCCGTTTAGATTTGAAGTAAACTTAAACTAGATATAATTAAATGTCTTAGGAATTGTAAAAGAAGCTTGAGTAAAAGTAAAAAAAATGTAACGAAATTAAGTATGCTTTTCTAGAATTAAAGAGAGAAGTAGCTAAAAAGGCTGCTAATTCTCGTACTGATAAACCTATTCCTGAGCAACAAATTAATGAGTGGGAAAAGGCAGAGTTGTAAAAATCAAAAGAACTTTAAGAACTCCGTCTTTAAATTCTTCGTTTAAGAAACGCTTATGTGAAAAATCAAAAAATATTAAAAAAGAAAGAAGAATTAGCTGAGGGTCTTCATTTAATTGATTTTGAATAATTGAAGATTGAAAATTAAACTTTGAATGAAAAAATTGAGGAAAGAAACGAAGAATTACACAAATTAAAAAAGAAAAACACTACAACTATTTAAATTCTAACCCACACTAGAGAAAAGCTAGGATTTGTCTAGGGCGAAAACGGAGAACTCAATTCTTAAAATGTTAGAAAAGATTAAGAGCTTGATGACATGAGAAAGTAATTGACTTAATAAAAAAAGACTAAAGATAAATTACGTTCTGTAAATTTAACTCTTAAGCAATAAACTGGGTAAATATTTTTGTTGTTATTGATTTAAATTTATTTTTATTTTATTTGAAAGTATTGTAAACTCTGAAGAACTTGGCTAAGATTATAGAGATTTAAGAACAAGAGTATCAAAATTAGAAGAAGAAAAAAAGAGATTAGAAGTAATTAATTTCAAATTTATTTTTCTATTATAAAACTTTATTAAACTTTAAAATAGTAAAAGCTCAGAAGCATGCATGAAGCCATTAAAACAGCAAATTAAATTTCAACCTAAAATATGCAATCTTAAAATAACTCATTAAAAAAACCATATTAGCCTTATTGAAAAAAATATAATTTTATTTACGATTTGTATGAATTTATGTTTTTACATCAACTCAGATTAAATCAAAGCAATGTTTTATAATAAATATTTATACATTTTTTAAAAGCAATTTCATTTTTGCATTTAATTGTGTATTTAAATTAAAATAAGATAAGGTAAGCAATTACAAATTAAATTTTATAAAATTCAGTTACTAATTTTTTCAAAAAATGATACTTTTAAATAGAATGAATTAATTAAACTTATTATTTATTTTTATATTTTGAATTTCAAATTATAAATAATAACTATTTTTTAAATTTACAAATTCAAATGTATGCTTGATACATTATCGCACATTAAAATTAAAAGTTTCATTAATTTCATTCAATTTTTAATTATTTATTTTTTATTTTTCTTATTTATTTTTTTATTATTATTTATTTATTTGTTTTTTTATTTTATTTATTTGAAATTTAAATTTATTTGTATTTTTTTAAATTTTATTTTTATTAATTTTTTATTTCTTTCATTTAGTTTTTGTTTTCTTTTAGGATTGGAAGGAGAGATCATGGCATAGCAGAGATTTTCTATTTTTATTACCTACTTTTTAAAAAATACTAATTATATATTACTAGATACAAGAACAATAACATTTAGGGATTTCCTCACAAAATCCTCGCAATATTTTACAATAGTGATGGATTATTTATTTATTTAATGACAGTTTTTACTGCTAAGGTATTAAATAAATCGTTGTTTTAAAAACTTAAGTTTTCTCAAAAATGTTTTTTGTAAAATATCGATTTTGGTAAGGTTAGATGGATTTAATTGAAAGGAGTCATTTTAATTTATGATTTAGCTTAGCATTTTTATGTTGTTTTATACATTTCGTTAAAAAATTAGGTGTCAAAAGTAAGTTTGATACTTGAGCCTTGAATAAGGGGAGTTTAAAAACTTTTTTTAAAATGCAAATAAATCTTTTTTCTTAAAATGAACTCTAAATTTTGAAAGAAATCTATTATAAATGATTCAATCATTTGATATATTTAAAACAAATGACTTCCTCATTTTAAGAGATAGATTCTCCCTTAAATTTAATATTTATCTTTTTTATTAATTTAATTATTATTTATCAAAGTTTTTTTTGATTTTTATCTATCTTAATTGGTTTGCTTTATATAGAATTAATTAAGATCAGGCAAAGTGATATTCCTCACTAAAAAAAATAATTAGATTTTAGAGTTGAAACTACAAATATTAGTTAATTAATTAATTAGTAAGATAGCCTTGAGTTATAAATTAGTAAATATGGAGAGAGAAGATGATGTGTTTGATTACAAACTTATGAAAAAAGAATTAAAGCAAGCGATGAGAGAATAAAAGAAAGAATTAAAAGAAAGCTCTAAAATTATGAAAGATTAGATGAAATAAAATGCTAAATAATTGAAGCAAGAGTTAAAATAAAATAAGAAAAATATGCTAAATTCTTAGGAATAATTTATTGATAGTTAACATAACTTTTAATATCAGATGATGTAAGATTAGTAATAGCTTTAATAATAAATATTATTTAATTAATAATAAATGCACATGTAAATGGTTCAAGAATAGTAACAAATGGCATAATATATTCCATAAAACCTTCAAAATTCATTTTAGTATCAATATAATTAGTAAAATAGACAGTTTCCTAGTAATAATTAGTATTAAAATTTTAATTATCCTCCAAATAACTATAATTAAAATTTTTATCAAGGAAACTAGCAAAATTTTTAATAAACTCAGGTTTAAAATGATGTAAATAGAAAAGCCCATGGTAATAAAGAGAATAATAGAAAAAGTAATTTAAAAATAATCTAATCTAACACACAATAACTATTTGAAGACATATTTAATAATGATAAACAAAAGGTATAATTATGTATTTAGAATTAAGATTAGCTGGCAGCTACTCTCAGAAAAGACAAAAATGGTTGCTTAAAACAATTGTATAAAAAGGAATATTAAAAACAAATAGAGTATTTAAAGTAAAATGGATTTGGAAATACTTCGAAAATTATAGTTTTATTAAAAGAAGAAAATGGGAATGAGGAAATTGTTTTACGTAAGCTCATAAAAGAAACTATTTAAAAATAGTTATAAAGGTAAATGTACCAAAACGAAATTAATATCATATAAAAGAACTATAAACACAAAATTTGTAAACATTTAATTATAAAACACCTGAAAGAAGCTGATGGAGATGTGTAAAAAGCACTTTTACTAATTAATCTAAATAAATAAACATGCTTAAATGATTAATAAGTTTTTAAAGAGTAGCTTTAGACTTTAGCTTTAGAAGGATGGTTAAGTTCTGCAACATTAAAAAAAATAATATAAATTTTAAAGAAAAACAGTGGTGATCTTGATAAATCTCGTTTTGAAATACAATTATTATGTCATCACAAAATAAAACAGATCACATATTCAGAAATATAATCTTTGAATGATTTTAATATTACAGAGAATTTTAATGAAAAATTTACTGATGTTGTTATAGATGGCAACAATTTGCTTTTTATGAACTCTAGTATAAGGAAAAATTGTATAAATAAGCAAAGAGCAATTGCTGAATAAAAAATATTCTAATTATCTTTTCATCTTAAAGAAATTCTAGGATTGAGAACACTGATTCTAATTTTTGATTAAATGCATACTAAGATATGTGATAGTAAAATTTAAGTAATTAATTGTAAAAATACTCAGTTTAAAAGCTCAGATGATTTTATTGTGGATCATGTTATGTGTTTAAACGATAATTAAGCTAGATCTTCTCTAATAATAACAAGTGATAATGAACTTACTTATAGAATATTTACATCTAATAGAAATATTTCTGTGATGAAGGGTAAGACATTTTTTGAATAAATAGAATAGCTAATTTCCTAGCAAATATTTAATGACATTGTTACAAATGATTAAATCTGATAGAATTGGTGTGTATTTATTAATAAAAAATAATTAATATTATAAAAATGTGATCTTGTCCTTGTTTCAAATTAAAAATAAATAATTAATTAATCAAATAATAACTTTACTAATTTTATTATTAATATTTTTAAAATTTTCTTACATAACAAAAATATTTATAATCTTTCTTATTTATTTATTTATGAGATGTTTGAACAAACTAAAATATTTTAAACCTGATTTGTAAACCTTTCTTCAAATCAATGATAATGAATTAATTAATCAATTAATATCTTTACTAATTTTATTGTTAATATTTTTAAAATTTCTTACATAACAAAAATATTTATACTCTTTCATAATAAATCTTTGAACAAAGTAAAATTTATTAAACTTAGTTTGTAAACCTTGTTTCAAATCAATGATAATTAATTAACCAAATAATATCTTTACTAATTTTATTGTTAATATTTTTACATAAGAAAAAAATTTATACTCTTTCATAAGAAATGTTTAAAACTTGTTACAAATCAATGATAATTAATTAACCAAATAATAACTTTACTAATTTTATTGTTAATATTTTTAAAATTTCTTACATAACAAAAATATTTGTAATCTTTCTTATTTATGAGATGTTTGAACAAAGTAAAATATTTTAAACCTGATTTGTAAAAGTTAAAATAAACATAAATGCAAATAAATACATATTTTCGTTTTTCTAAAATTATAAATATTTACTTTAATAATATCATAGTTTAAAAATTGTAGTTATATTTTTGATAAAATTTTAAATAAATATATAGAATTAGTAATTATTTGAAAACCAACAAATTTTTTAACAATATTAGATATAACATAGCTAAATAATATTGTCTTAATTTAATTACCAAATTAAAATTCAGTATTTATTAAGCTATGTTTCTTTGTAAAGTGCTAGATTTTATAAAGGGTTTGCAGCTTTTGTAGTGATATTAAAATGTCCTTCTGATTCTTCAGAATCTGATCCTGAGCTATCACCACTCGAGCTTTCTTCTTCACTTGACATTTTGCCATTTTGCTGATTTTGTTCAGAATTCATTAATAATGTGTAAAGATAATCTGACTCATCTAATTAAGACATCCACTTAAACTTTTAAGGATTTTAACTATATGGTAAATCTTTTTCATCAATAATTTCATATTTGAAACCTTAATTTATTAAACATTTTTGCCTTGCTAAACAGTAGGAAGTTTCATCAGTTCCTTTTGAAACTAATGTATACCAAAAAGCATTATATTAACCATCATAGTTTTCTTTAGCTCTCATGATTCTACCTAACCTCTAAACTTCTTATCTCCTACTTTTAAAATGCATTCCAATTTAGATACCAACGTTAGCCTGAGGCAAATCTATTGCTGTATCTCCAACTCTGGAAAGAAATATTGTATTTATCTAGTTTGAAACTTTAAATAGATTAAATATTTTCTTTCTCTCATCTTGTGATACATCTCCATATATAACTGGATATTTTAAAATATTTCCATAATAATCTATTATCATTGGTCTATCACAAAAAACTAGAATTTTATCTCCTCTTTCTTCATGAACTTTTATGAGATACTCAAGAGTCTTAAATTTTCTTGGGTTACTTGTATGTATTAACTCTCTTTATGGCCCTCTGTAGTAATTTTTACCTGTCTTTAAATCTTTCTTATTATACTCGCTCATCCAGAGCTACGACATTTCACATCTAATTTCTACACAGTAGGGTTTAGCTAAAAATCCTTAACTAACTAAATCATACCAATTTTCTTCATACAACTTAGGTCCTATCATATAAAATAAATTAATAATCTTTTCATCTTCTCTGTAAGGAGTAGCAGTGAGACCTAGTTTAAAGTGGAATTTATACTGCTTAAGTACATTTTAAAAAGTATTTGCTGGCAATTTATGCACTTCATCAATCACACAAACTCCCCATTTTCTTTCCTTCATTGAGTCTATGTATTATCTCTTTTTGCTCTTTTAAGCAATTTAAGTTGGAGGAAGATCTTCACGCTTTTTTACAAGCATATAATATGTTGTAATCACAATAATAGGCTCATCTGTAGTTCTAGTAGGCCATTCATCCACTATTCTACCAGTTAATCTAACTATTTTGTTTTTATTAATTGTAGTCCATCTCTCAAGTTCATCTCTCCATTAATCCACAGAAACATCAGAGTCACAAATAATTACTGTACTTTATTTTATCCTTTCGATAGCAATAACTCCAACAATTGTTTTCCCTGCACCACAAGGAAGAATTATCAATCCAGAACGAGCTTTCTTCTATATAAATATATTTTTTAAAGCTCTTTCTTGGTAATATCTCACCTTTATTTTTGGCTTTAATTCAATTTCTAGTTATTTGAAGCTTTTGTTTTCGAAATCATATTCTTAAATCAGAGGAACACTACAGTTAATAACAGCTTTAGTAACCTCAAAATGATCTCCAATAATTTAAATACGTTTAAAAGACCGTTTTGTTTTATTATTCATTATGAAATTATAAACAAAATCATCATCACCATCATCAGAATCTTCTTCATCTTCGTCATCATAATTAGCAATACTGCTATCACCGTTTTTCATTAATTTATTTTTTTTATCTGGAATTCCATCATCTTGCTCATCTTCAACAATCATTTTCTAGTTTTTTTTTGAAGATTATTAATTGTTTTCTGTTTTTATATTTTAAAAGAAGCTTTGCAGATCTTTTTAAATATCCCTCAATTCTTTATTTTAGTTTATAATATTATCAAAGTTAAATTATGTTTGTGAAACTAGGTCTTTTATATGTGGATTTCTTTCTATTATACTTGTCCATACCTAAGAATCTATATCTAAGTAATAACTACTGTCGTCTAAAAATAGTCTAGCAGCTCCATAGTTTTATGTATTTTCAGTAATATATCTTTCTACTTCTTTAGGAATTTTTTTGTTCTTACTAAGCTTTTCGAGACACAGAATTATATCTTTAGGTTCATACTATAAAACCATCGCAGTATAAAGTGAATACTTAGTCAAGGTAAATTTATGCATTGAGAGAGGTCTTTACACAGGCTCTCCAATAGAAATTAAAAATTAATAGGCAACCCTGTAAAGAGGATTAAAAGTTTCTAAAAATATTATTCCATCTGGACATATCAAAATAGGTCTTTCTCTGTAATCATCTTTTAATTCTAGAGTAGAGTAATCATAAAATTATTGAAATTAATTTCCTTCTACTTGTGCTTTTCCTTATTTTTAGCCAAATAAGCCATCATCTCCTTCTTCATTCTTTTATTATTTGCCATTTTAATTTTATTTTTATGAGTTTGACTTTAATCTTTTACTTTATTCTCTAGATTTTGGATTAACCTTTTTATCAGCCATAATAAATAAGATATTATATTATAATTTAATTAATGGTTTCTATTTAGAGATATTTTTTTATAAATTAATATTTGCTATATAAAGCTTATTGGATTTAAACGAAAGATGTATCTATTTTTTTATTTAAAATTTAAGGAGTTTCGCGCATACTTTTTTGCAAAATCAAAAAATATAATTTATAGAGGATAACCAATATCGCATTTATTAACAAAAAAACAAACAAATTAATGTAAAAAATAATATGCAATGTAAATGATACTTTTCTAGATTAAATCTTTACATAATTATAGATACTATCAAAAATAAAAAAATCAAAATAATTAATTATTTAATAATTCACGATATTGAAAAATTTGTAATTAACAGCTAAATTCCTCTTATTAAACAGTTCCATCAAGCAACAAATAACATACAAATTTTCTTAAGGATGTATAAAAACATTTTCACCAAATTTACAAGCTCAAGCAGCATATAGTTATCAAATAAAGTAAAGCAATGCTTCTCATTAAAAGGCCACACTATTGATATTTAAAGCGAACACAATTTAATTTAGAGAAAATCAGATTTTGAATAATTGTATAAAGTTAAATACACTGATAAATTGGTAGGATACGCTACAGCAGAAGGAACTAAAAAATATTCAGAATTGAAAAAAGATTCTGGTAAAATATTTCTTTTTAAATACATTATCTTTAAATATAAAAATAAATCATTAATATAATAATAAAGTTGACCCAACTAATTTTAGCACTCCCTTTAAGAGCGATCTAACTTTAAGCAGTATAGGTTTTGGAAGCTATTAGGGTACTCCTGATAAAGAAGATGATATGAAGGTAATTATCAAAAGTTTTAGATATTTATATTAGATTTTGCATCACTAAAATCAAAGATTCTAAAAAATACAATTCAAAAATCAAATTTATTTACTAATTCTTGTTGTGAAAGTATTTCAATCACTCGAAATTTTCTGGAATATTCAATATTTAAAAGCAAATAAATATATAATAGAATTACTAAATATTTTTAAAATAGTAAAATTAACAAATTTATATATTAAATTTATAAATTAGATGTTTAATGCCTTAATAGACTCAGTTAATTCTGGTGGTATTAATGTTATTGATACAGCATTAAATTTTAGATACTAAAAATCAGAAAGATCAATAGGTGCTGCTCTCAGATATCTCAAAAATTAAAATAAAATTACTAGAGATTAGTATTTCTTAGCTTCTAAAGGTGGTTTTTTGGTTGATGATGCCGATTAAGGTATTCCTAGTACTGTTCTTATAAACAATTTGATTTAGAAAAAGTTAATTACTGAAGAGGATATTATTGGAGCTTGTCATTGCATGAACCCTAATTATTTGTCTTAAAACATTGATCAAAGTCTTGACAACTTGGGTGTTGAAACTTTAGATTTATATTATTTATAAAATGCTTCTGAAGTCTAAATGCCTTTAATTGGTGAAGATAAATTCTTTGAAAAACTATCTTTAGTTTTTGAGCTGTTTGAAAAAAAAATACAAGAAAATAAAATTAGAAATTACGGATTAGCAACCTGGTTAGCTTTCCGCTCACGTTAAGATGAAAAAAATATACATTTAAATTTGTAAAAAGTTGTTAAATTAGCAGAAAAAGTAGGTGGTAAAAACCATGGTTTACGTTACATATAATTGCCAGTAAAATAATTAAAAAGGTTTTTCTTTATAAAAGTTATTATTTTTTGTAATAAGGTTAATGTGATGATGCCTGAAAGTTTTTCTGAAAAATGGTAAAATTATGAAAATGAAAAAGGAGAAGTGCAAGAATAATTCTTACTTAAAGTAGCTAGAGAATTATAAGTTAATATTATTACTTCATCTCCACTTATGTAAGGTGCTATGATTAACTGTCCTTTACCTAAAGATGTATTCTAATGCGTTAATCAAGGTGCCAAACATCTTTAATTTGTAAGATCAATTCCATCTCCAGCTATCATCAGTAATAAATAAATTTTTATAAAATTATTCTTTAATTTCTCATTTAATTTCTAAGGTACCTTAATTGGGCAAAAATCTAACAGAAATGTTAAGAAAAATTTAGAAGTTATTGTCTATCCTAAGCTTTCAGAAGATAAATTTTGGGAATTCCTCATACCTTCTAAGAGAGAATAAGAAATAGAAGAAACTGTTAATATTAGTTGATGTTTCTAAAATATATTTGTTTCATTTTTTGTAAGAATTACAAAAACTAATTTATTTTATAAAGAAAACATAAAATTAATAATTATAGCTTCTTAATAATAAATATTCAATATTTTATTCGACTATAATTTATGTTACTTAAAAGTTGTAAATAATTAATTTTATAAAATTAAATGAAATCTCCTTAATTATTTTTGAAAATATTTAAACAGTATAAGAATAAAAATTTGATAAATCACTTTTCTTATTTAAAAAAGAAACAAAAAACATAAATTTTATAATTTTATAATTTTAAAATAACATTTAAAACTATTAATATTAGGAGGATAAACTAATTTTAGATTTATTACAACATTAAAAGACCTCATATAATAAAAATTGAAATAATTATAGAATAAAGGAGATTTAGAAAATAAGAAACCTCTCTATATTCATTGATTTTATTAATTCATATTTAAAAAATAAATCTTTAAAAAGGTTTAATTAATTAATTAATTATTTATTTATAAAGTAATTGAATAGGTAGTTGATTTAATTATTTATGAATATATGCATCAACTTTATTAATTAATTACACGGTATTTGCATGTTTTAGTTGGAAATTTATCTTATAGATCTGATTGTTTTTTAGGGAGAGGTTTATTTTAATTATAAAATTTATCTAAAAAGTATTGGCTTTGAATTGTGTAGGGAATATCTGTTACTAGCTCTTGAATAAAGTTTGATTGAGAATTCTAAGTTAGTTCTACATTTTAACATTAATTTTTTTTCTAAATTTCACTGTCTGTGAAGCTTTAATTTTATTCTATTTCCATTTCATAGGATTTTTCATCGAATTCGGTATCGTTTTTGTTGTTACTTAACAAGTGTGGTCTGTAAAGATTATCAAATTGAGGCTAAATATTTTCATAATTACCTGTTTTTCCATATTCTTCAATGTATTTTTATCTTATACTATTGATTTTAAGGATATGAAAATCAGTAATATGCAGCTCAAAAACTAGAAAACCCTTATCTATTAAGTAATCTTTGTAATCTGGATGAAAAAAGTTTTCAAAGATTCTATTAGCTTAACAATTATATAGGTCAGAGGAGAAATTAGCATCTATTAAAATATCGTCTAATGTTATCATTTCTATTCTATCTTCATAGTGAAGTTTAGTTTCTACTCTTAATTTAAGGTTATCTACAATTCTTTTTAATAGTTTCCACTTAGATTTTGATTCTACAAAATCAAGAATCCCTTTACGCATCAATATATCTTACATACTTTTAAAATCACATCCTAAGAGTTTTAGAAATGACTAATTCATACCATTTCCAATCATCTTAAAAGTCATGTCAAAGTAATCAAAGCTGTAATCTACAAACATATAGTATTTATCTTTTGGCAGATGACTTAATACTTCCTTTCTAAGCAGCATAAATTCTTATCTCTTTGCTGCAATAAGCTATGAAGTTATATTATTTATACTTGTATATTTCATAATTTGCGATTTAACTTCTGAGTGTTTTTATTGGACTATTTCATGCTTTTCTATTTTTTCTCCTAAATCATATATATCTTCATCATTATAGTTTTTTAGAAGCTTAGCTACTCTTTAATGGTCATCGAATTACTTCGAGTCTATTAAATAATCTACATATAAAAAGCCATATTCCTTAACATATGTTGCACTACGAACTTATTTGAAGTAGTTTAAGTTCGAAATTCTTGAAAATTCATTAAAATTTAAATCTATAAATAGTTCTCCTCTTAAATAAAATAAATTAAATGGCTTTAGTTGCTACTTTGGAATCATCTAATAAGAAATCATTTTATTTTTATTATATTATTCTTCTTGTTTATCTTTTTTTTAAGGTATTTAGTATGTGCTACCGTTTGAGGTTGATAAAGCACACTTAGAACTTTACCAAGCCTAAGTTGACTAACTCTCAGGAAATATTTCATCATTTTGGATATCTTCTTAATGTTAATCACCATTTTAAGGCTGCCTAATTTCCTCAGCAATCATATGATTTAACTAAAACTAAATAGATAAAAATAAACTAAATGTATTTAAATCTTATATTTGATATTGAATTAATTATTATAATCTTATGATGATTTTGATTACTTTTTATTATTATTATTTTTTTAACAATTCCAAATTTGTATGTAAAATTGACTATGTCTAATATTTAATGCAGTAATTCTTGGTAATTAAAAAACTTTAAATATTGGTTTAATATTTTATATATTATTTTTTCTTTTTTTCTATTTAATAGTATTATTAAACTTCTTTTTATATTTTCGTTCTATTTTTTTTCTATTACCTCTTCTATTAATCAATTTTGATATCTTGATAGAAATCTATCAGAATTTTTACTTTCTTCATTTTGTTACTCAATTTCTTGTTACAATTCTTAATTACTCTTTCCTTTTTCATAGAAAAAATTTATATTTTATGAATTCAAGAATAACTTTTAATAAAAATATTTATAATTTGGTTCTTTTAAAAGTTTAAAGTCTCAAAATAGTTGAAAAAATTATTACATTTTATAATAAAATACCTTCCAATTTATTTAGTAATATAATATTTTCCGAATGAAAGATGGATTTTAGAGAAATTAAATTTTATACCTCAAATAGATATATTTTTTTTCAATTTATTAAATTTAAATCTTTTAAATAAACACAAATTAATACATTAATCATCTATTTCGAGTTGATACAATTTATCAAATCGAATTTAAACTTTATATTGACATCTGTAGTTTTCTTTTGTTTAGTTTAATAAACTCTTTAGTTAATATTAAAAATTAATTTATAAAGCATGAAAAATAATTTTATTAAACTAGCATATTTAAAGCCTACAAATTGATTTAAAGATTTCATAAATTATGAAAATTAAAATAAACATTTTTTAAGTTAAATTTATTTAAAATAAGTAAATAAATAAATATAGTTTGAAGTTTAATAATTAATTAATTTATAATTACGATAAATTGATAAAAATAAATGAAAAAGAATTAATATAAACGAATATCAGGTCAATCTTATAATTGAACAAAGAACAAGCTAGAATTAAGTTTTTTTAAAATAAATAAAATTGTAAATTTTGATCATTAATTAAAATTATTTATATTAAATTTATTTAATCCTACATAGAAGAAATTATATATTATTAATAATTAATTATTTGAATAATTTATACGCATTTAAAGATATTTTTTAAGATAATTTTTATTAATTTTTACATTAAAAGTTGTAAGTTAAATAAGTTTATTTAAATATAAAAACGGTTCAAATGTCATAAACAGCAATAGATAAAGTTAATAATAACTGCCATCAATAATTAGAGTGCAAATAGCTTAGAAGAGCAGTTAAGTGGATATGTTTACATCCACTCTGTAATTCATTTTTAGAAATGTGCGATTCTTGCTACCCTATTCATATAGAATTTCATAAATAAAACAAATTATTTTAGGAAGCAGATTTTTAAAATCCACTAAATAGACTAGAATAGCAAAAAGATAATGTCAATAAAATTCTTATTAAGGTATAGAGTGAGTTATAAGCAATAAGAGAAAAAATAAATTAAGAAATATAATCTTTTGCTAAGCAAGAGTCACCACCTTTACCAATTGTCTAAGAATTGACTTCAGTGAAAGATGCAATTATAAAATTATTTGATGATTTGATAGATAAGTTACAAGAAGAATCGCATTTAAAAAAGAGAGATATGTTGAGGGCAATACATGAAGAAGTTACAACCAAGATTACTGAAACTTTAGAATATTAAAATATGCTTAGTAATCCAGAAACTTAGTTATAATCAATGAGAGACGTTATTATATTTGACTTAGAGTATTAGACATAAATACAAAGATCGAGAATGGAACAAGTATTGGATGAATTAGCAATTAAAAAGTAATATAAATACTTTATAAATTCAATTTTCCCAAAAATATCAAAATATCAATAAAAATTTCAAAAAAATGTCATATTTAAGCATGCAAAAAACGCGAAATATATTAGTATTTTAATAAATTTCTATTATTGATTTTGCAAAGAATCAATTAAAAAACTAAACAAAGAACTAAATAGCTAAATAAATAAGTTATTAAATTTATAATTGAATAATAAATTTTTAACTAAAAAAAGTGATGAAAGAAAAATAGATGAGGATGTAGTTTTGAGGATAATATCTTCAGTTAGAAAAGACATAGAATAAATTATATTAAAGCCATCAAATATATAAACACAAAAATAAAATATTAAAAAATAAATAGATAATTCATAATAATGCAAAAATTGGCTTTTCTATTTTGAGCCTTATACTAAAAATTTTCACTACTTAAATGTTTAAGACTCAAATCCAACATTTAAGACACATACCTTAGCAATAGACTTTCTAATTTCACCAGGGAATAGGTCTATTCTAGCTAAAGATAATTAAATCTATCTTGTAGGAGGTTATGATCCAAAATAAATTAACTTAGAAAATGAATAGTAATACAAATATGTTTACAAACTCAATTTGGAAAGATTAACTCTTTCAAAAGTTAGTTCTTTGATAACTCTAAGACATTCATTTGGCTTGTGCCAATTATAAAATTATTTATATGTAGTTGGTGGATATAATTATATTGAAGGAAGTTTAGCGAAATGTGAGAAGATTCCATTGGATAACGAAGCATATAATAGCTCTATTCCAATTAATAATCTTTAAAAAAGATCATGCTACCTTACAGTATGTAGCTGGAGGAATAGCATTTTAGTTAAGTATGGAGGTATTTTACACGACCAGAGCTTTTAAGCTACTAATGTAAGCCATTATAATTAATCTAAAATATAAATAAATATGAGTTATGGATTTTTAATACAAAAATATTTTTTGATTTTCTAACTAGAATTACATTTAACTAAAGATAATTTAGAAAATCTTTATGAGTTAGATAGTAAATGATAATAATTATTATTAAAATATAATAGCGATTTGAAATATTAAAGCAAAAATAAAAAGAAAATATATAAATTTAAAATATAATAATTAATTATTTAAAAAATATTTTTATTAATAGGGTAAATAAGAATAGTAGATTGTTTTATCTGATTATTTGACAGAGTTTTATCTTCCAGATTAAGATTTTTGGGTTTAAATGTAAACATTAAATTATCCTTGCACTTTTCTATCAAATTCGATTGAAATCAACGGCTAAATTATTATTTTTGGAGGAATTACTCTTGATAAAATAAAAAAAAAAAGCACTTCTAAGAATGAAGATAAAGTTATTACAACAAACAGCTTAATTAAAATTAAAGCTTACAATGTTGAGAGTCTGGACATAGAAATATCAAAATCATCTAGCGTTTTTGACCCTTGTTATTCTATGTTTCAGCCTTTATTAAAAGAAACATCTAATTCTAAGAAAAAAAGAATTTACTTTCTCGCATAAGATAATTTAGATTTTAAAAATCATACTTTAAAACCATTTTTAAGGTATTTTGATATTTGATTATGATTTAAATTAATTAACAAACAAACAAAAAAAAATTAAACTCATGATAATATTAGCGAATATACCTTTTTACCAAATTATTAAAAAAAATAATCGATCTTTAAAATATATTATTTAATTTGTAAATAATTTAAAAATATTGACTGTAAAAAGCCAGTTAATAACTAAAAATGACTGAAATTATATCACTATATTAATAAACACTTATATTAATTTAATAAATATTTATTTTGCATATATTTAACTATTTATTTATATAATTTATTCATTGTAAATAAAAAATAGGTCTTCTTAACTTTTATAGTAATTTAATTTCAATATGTTTTTAGTTATTTATTTTTTATTGATTAATTGATTTATTTATTGATAAATAAAAAAAACATAAAAATATATCATCATAAAAATATACTTAATAGTTAAATCAATGCCAGTTTGTACAGGAACAAATACTTGTAAATAACAAGGAAGATAGATTAGATGGATTTGCTTACACCCAATATGTAGCAACTTCAAAGAATTGTGTGACGAATGCCACAAAAATCACTTATAATTCCATTAGAAGTATAAAGTAGAAAATGAACCAGAACCAAACAATACTATTGTTACATTTGATGATCAAAAAAATACTGTTGAAAAGATTCTTTTGAGAGTTAGAGAAGATCTTAAATTTTTTAAAGATAGAGCTTCTTCAGAGATTTAAAATATGGAAAATACAGAATTACCAATTAATAATATTGTAAAAGAGTTACAAGAAATTAGGAGAATGATTAATTAAGAATTTGATCATTTTATTGAACAGCTTGTAGATGATTACGAAAAACCTATAAAAGATAAAATAAAAGATGTCTATAACGAAATATAAACAAAAATAACTGAAACAGATGATTTTATTTCTAAATTAAACTCAGTGGATTAGCTGGAAACGATTAAACTTACTAGTATTATTGATATACCATATTAGACATCGTTTTAAAAAGCTCGCTTGGAGTAACTTTTTGATGAGCGTACAACAAAAAAGTAACATTAACATTAATTATCATTTAAATAAATTTAGCAAAAATTAAATTTCCATTAAAAAATTTTGAATATTAGACCAAAGTTACTTTTATATTATGTTTCTAAAAATTCATCAATATACAAAAAGATTTGAAGGAGTAATAGATGATGATGTGGTCTTGCGCTTTTTAGGCTCATTTTAGCAGGAACTAAAAAATTTGATTTATATTCCATCAGAAAAAAATGAATTAAAAAAGAAGCTTATGGTGTAAAAAAAGCAGAGAGCCCCTCTAAACTCTAAAAAGAACTGGCTCTTCTATTTTGAACCTAATACTAAAAACTTTTATTATGTAGATACTTCTAAAACAAATCCATAGATTACAAAGATTGTATTAGATAATATATCTTTTAATATTTATTATGGTAACAGATCTATACTGGCTAGTGATGATAATATTTATTTAATTGGAGGCTATGATCAAAAAAATATTAATTCTGAAAACGAGGAGTAATATAAATCAGTATATTTGCTTGATCTAGATTAAAAAACTTTAAAAAAGGTTAGTAGTTTGCTTACTCTTAGACACAGTTTTGGTTTATGTTGTTTTTAAAATTATCTTTATATCATTGGAGGCTATAATTATTAAGAAGGAAGTTTGGCTAAATGTGAAAAAATATCACTCTAAAAGGTTAATTAGCACAATGCTATACCTATAAGTAATTTGCTTTAGAAGACATCTCATGCTTCAGTATGCTCTTGGTAAGATAAAATAATTGTCAAGTTTGGTGGAATATAATTTGACTCTAACTCAACAGATCAAGTAAATTAAATTATATTATAAAGAAAAATTATTAAGTTTATTATTTTATTAATTGAAAAAGCGAAACTAATCAAAAACACCCAGGATTTTAGCTGAATCGTTGTTTGAATTCTATTTCCCTGATTTGGATTAATGGATATAAATGCCTCAATTGAATTAATGTGTAAGTCAATCCTTTTTATCAACTATTATAGAAGTTAATGATTAGATATATATTTTTGGAGGATTAGATGAAAATTTATAACTTCTAAAGAAATGCACCAAAATACAGTAATACAATCTGATGAAACTTGATATCGAAGTAATTAATCAACCTGATTTAGCTAATAAATCCTATTCAATCTGTTAGCCAATTTTTAGAGAGTTAGATAATTAAGCTTTTAAGGTATTTTACCTAAGTTACGAAACAAACGATTACAAAAACTAACGCGTTTAACCTGTATTACGTTCTTTAATAGTATGATATAAGAATTTTAAAAAGATTATATCGAGTATTCAGTTTTAAAATAATTTTTGAGTAGCTTAACTTACATTTTAAGGTTCATATTTTAATAATAATTTATAAAATAATTGTTAAAATAATATAATATAAAAAAGTTAAAATAGATTTTCTTTTATTTCTAAAATTATTTATTCTAAAATAAGAAAATCTTTTTTTATAATATATATTTTTAAATACCTTCAAGTCAAATATATTATTAATTACCTATAATAAAAACTTTTTTCTTTAAAATAAAAATTATTTTTATAAAACTTTTAATTAAAAATGTGGCCTTAATTAAAATAAACTAAAATACAAGAATTTAAGATAGCTTATATTTGATAATTAGTTTGTATTAGTCATCTTTAAAAAATAGTTTTTAAAAATTTTATCTCCACTAGATAAAAATTGATCACAATATTTATTAAATTATTAATAGGATTAGCTACTAATAGAATCAAATATAGATTTCAAAAATTAAATTAAACAGTCGACATGAAAATATTTTTTTTAAAAAAATAGATAATTTAATTAAAATGCTAAACATAGGTAATTGTTTACTAATGACTAATTATTTTCAACAAATTTTTATAATTATTAACCAAACTATATTTATTATTATTATAGATTAATAATGCATAAAACTTAATTAAGAAGCTTCACTCTATATCCATATTTTCTTGATTATTTTGTTTTTCACTATTTTTATTTTATTAATTTTAATCCTATTCTTAAATTTCCTATTAATTTTCTTCATCTTCATCATCAGTATATTCTTCTTCTTCATCATCTTCTCCATCGTTTTCTCCAAAACCTTATTTATTAGAAATAAGATTTCCATTTTCATCTATATCTTTTGCTGTAACCATAGAATCAAAATCAAAACCCATCATTCCTCCCATTAAATTTGCTACATGAGATTCGTCTTCGTCTGCATCAGGATTCAAAGCAGAACATTCTGAAAAAATACTAAATGCACTATTTATATCAGCATTCAAATTCTTTTCAAAGGAAAATCTTACTTCATAATCTCCTTATAAATTAATTAATTCATTTTTAGAATTAGCTAAAAATGCAAAATATTATTTTTCTTCTTCATCTTATTAATCTCCATCTTCTTCTTCGTCATTATTTTCTTGAGATTCGCCTCCATTTAAGTAACAAACTAGATTTTTATCTTAGATTCCGTGAGAGACTACATTTTTATATTCAAGTTAGAAAATTTTTTGATCGATGTTTGCAAAAACAACTCTTTAATTAGTAATGCAAAGCACTCCATCATTAAATATGACAAAATTTTCTGTTACATTGCTAGTAATTTTTAAAGGAATTTAATCAGCTTTATATTTAACCTCTTCTCCTTCTTAAAATTCTACTTAAGGAATTAAAGAATTCATAATTGTAAAATATTTGAAAATTGAAAATTAAAGAATAAATAATCTTAAAAAGATAATAAATAATATTTATATCTTATACAAAAATTCTGATTAATTTATCTTTAAAAAATTTAATATTTAGTTGAAGCTGAAAATAGTAGACACTTATCTATATTGCACATATAATATAAATTAATAAATATTTACATATTCAAAGATTTTTAATGATTAAATATTTTTTATGCTAACTCATTGATCTATTTGATATTTCTAATTGTTACTCTACTTATTCGATATATTAATTGTTCTTATCTTTAAAAAAATAATATTTTTTTGAAGCTGAAAACAGTAGACACTTATCTATATTACACATATTATATAAATTAAACAATATTTACAAATTTAAAGATTTTTAGTAACAAAGAAATTTTTATTTTTTAAATTGATTGATTTAATAATTCTAATCATTCAACTTATTCAAGAGGTTGATTACTTTTATCATTAAAAATTTTAATATAGAGTTGAAGATGAAAATATTTTATATTTTCAAATTCAAAGTTTGAACATATATCTATATCATACATATTATGTTATTAAATAAATTTATATAATTTCAAAAAAGATTTTAATTATTTATATTTATTGGTTTATTTAATATTTCTAATTGTTATTCTATATATTATATGTATTAAAGATATTAATTACTTTTATTTTAAAAAAATTAATATTTAGTTTGAAGCTGAAAATAGTAGACGCTTATCTATATTACATACATATATTATATAAATTAATAAATATTTACAAATTGAAAGATTTTTAATTATAAAGAATTTTTTATTTATTTTATTGATTGATTTATTTATTTAGTATTTCTAATATTATTCTACTTATTTAAGTATTAATTACTCTACCTCTCCTACTGTCTGAATAGACAAATATTAAAGTTCAAATTATCTATTTTATATCTTCTGTCTTAGTATTATAATACATCCTAAAAAAATTAATTAATTAATTAGTTTTCACTTTAAAGTGAATTTTATATATTTTTAAAAATAAAAAAAATAATGTGAATAAATTTTATTAATGCTTAAATAAATAAATCTAAATAAAATAATGCTAAAAATTTACTTTAAATTTTATTTTAGTTTCGAAATTATTGAAAAAGGATAATTATTTATTGTGTAAATAAAAGTTTAATCTTAACCAGATTAAACCTAGAATTACTTAATCTGAGAATTATTCTTATTAGATTTTTTTGCATTAAGAGGATTTTTTAAATTATTATCTTCTTATTCCTGCCTTTCTTTTTCTTCCTACAGACTATTGTGAATGTAAGTTAGCTAGTTTTAATCAACTTCACTCATATTTTTTGCAAAATTTAGGCTTACTAATTAGCTATTATTATATACTTCTATAACCACACCTGTGTATTAATCTAACATAACCATTTTTTCTAGTTACTGAGTTGTAGTAGGAGCTTAATAATAATACTATGAACTATTATCTATGTGCTTAGCTTTACCTAACCTAAGCTTTCTTTTGATTTAATTTTTAGCATAAGAAGAAAATTGTTGCTCAAATATTTGTTAATTTTATCTGAAAGAGACTCTATCAAAGCATATTTTTTGATCACCATAATAACTAAGAGTTGCCTCATATAAAGCTTACTCATCATTGGTTTCAAATAATACAGATACTAAGTATTCACCTCCTTCACAATTAAATTCTTAGCTAATATCTCTTCCTACTTAGTAAAATCCTTATCTATACACAAATTACTATTACTCTGGTTCATACTTAGACAAAATAACTCTACAAGGTAAATATTTATAAGAGTTTGTCATTTTTCTTTTATCAAATTAACTCACTTAGAGATAAAATAATGATGAATTTTAAAGATAAAACTTAAACATAGATGCAGTATGTTATTTTGATTGTTTTATTCTTGTACAGACATAATTATAATCATCATGAATTTTGCTTACTACAAGCTTGTCGAATCTATTTACCAGCTCTTCATAAGTAATAAATACTTTGTGGTCATTTTAAGCTTGCTACAAGGCGTATTCTTAAAAATCTGGAGGCATTATATCCCAATTATCTTTAATGTAAGTACAGTATTTTAAGTATCCATTATCATCTCTTGATTTAAGTTCTACAACTAGGAGTTTAACTCTCTTTTTTGTTTGAACGTAATGTATAGTGTAAAGTCTATAAATAGGAATTAGCTATTAAATATTTTTATCATCTGAGATTGCTTTGACCATTGTAATCCAATTCATTTAATTGGCTTTTTCTACAGCTGCTATCATAAGCTGCTCTTCTTTCAGGTTTAATTCTTCATAAGGAGCACCTATTTGTTTTGAAATAAAAATTTTTCAAACTCCCAATAAAATATAATTTAAAAGTAATTTATAAATTTTATTTTTGCTAAAATTAAATTAAAATTTTTATGAACTTTTATAAAATATGTACCACTTAAATCAAATAGCGTTTGACCTATATCAGCGTGTTCTAATTTTTCATAACAATAATAATATGATGCTAGAGCTTTTTCTATCATAAAAGGCCAGATATCAATATTCCTTAAAGCTTTGAATTTGTTTTAGCAAAAAACGGGTTCTTTGCTTAATCTAAAAATAGGAACCATATCATCCAACAGAATATATCTCCATACTCCCTTGCAATTAATTCTGACAACAAAACAACCTTTCTCATTATTTTCATAAAAATTTTGGTCAAGTAATTTCTTAACTCTTTATTTATCTTCAGCTAGTGCGCTTAATATGTCTGCCATGTTATTGTGATGCCAGTTATTTGTCATAATATCTCTGCTATTAATATACTATCCTAAAGTAATATTTTTTTTTTCATCTATATCTATGATCATATGCAAAGGTTTCCATGATATATTGCAGATTTTATTGATATTATATGATGTTTCTTTGTTTGCTAGAGAATAGGCACATGGAGGAAACAATTTGTCTTAAAAGTTTTTTGTCTATTTAACTTTTTAATATTTGAGAAGCGAATCTATATTTAAAATAATATAATTTAAACTAAAAATATCAAAATAATTTATTTGAATTTAGATAAATTTAAAATGATTAATAAATTTTAAATATAAAATATTTTCTTACCTATATTGCATTAGTATTTATTTAATACATCCTATATTAGTATTTAATTATGAGTATTTTCCCATCTTTCTGTAATTTATTTTTGTTTACAATAGACTGGATCATCGAACTCATGTACATCATATTCCTACTCACAGAGAGACGAACGTTGAGACATTGCTCTCCTCTTAAGAGAATATTTTTAAGAGCTAGGGCTTTTACAGTTCATCGAATAATAGCTTGATGCTTCAAAAGAACTGTTTAAAGATGAGACTGATTTATCAGAAGTTTATTAATTTATATTAAATTCTTAAGGCTATTAACAATTTTAAAAATCTTTAGATATTGAAGAATAAGCTGATTGACTCCTCGTGCTTAATGGACCTTATGAAGAAAGCAGAGAGTCTCTTTAAGTGACTAGTAGCTTTTTCTACTTTCTATTTTAGCTTTACTAAGATGGAAAATATTTGGAATCATTAAATTATGAGACTGATTCATCAGGATTTGTTGATAAGTTTTGTGGTAAAGTTACTTCTGAAACATATAAACTATCTCCTTCTTTTTCTATCTTGACTTCATTAAATTTAACAGACTTTTATGAGCTATTTTTACCAGTATGCAAAATGGATTTAGATTCCCTTCTTGTGGGGGTATTAAATGCGCTTTTAATAAGTTTTTTCGCTTTGACTTTAAAATCTTCTAACGACTCTTCATCTGAAAAAATAGTGTCCTACTGAAAATCGATCTAATTTAAATCTAATTGCCTTAAATTATTTGGATTAAATCTACTCATATCGATTGATCAAATTAAATTCAATATTCCTTTTTAGTTTAGCAATTTCAATCAGTTTGATTATTAAATATTAATATAGGTTTTTAATAATGCTAAGCCACTCAAAAGTTAGCTTTCTTTTTAAATGAATCTATTAATTATTTAATTAACTACATAAGATCTTTTTTATTAATAAAGATATGGAATTTTTTTTTTTGCAAATCAATAAAATTTGATTAATTCAAGAATGATATTTTTTATTAATCAATCATCTTGCACCAATAAATTAGCCAGTGATTTTTTATTTCAAATAATATATCTGCCAAAATATTTATGAATTAAACTAAAAATAAGCTTATTTAATATAAGAGGCACAATAATTTTTATTTCAAATATAAAATCATTCAAAAATAAATTATAATTAATTTATTTCGTTATTTTTGAACATGATAGATTTTAATAAAATGTAAAAATAAAATAATACTAAATCTTCTTTAAAACTTGTATTATTCTTTGATTAAGTGTATGATAAAGAAAATTAAAATCCATTAAATTAATATGATTCGAATGATGCTTGTTCTTATTAAACAAAAAGATAAAGAAATTTAGATTAGCAAGAAATAAAACATACTTAATATATAAATTTACCAAATAAAATTGATTTTTTATAAGCCAACTGTAATTTAGAAACAGCCAAGGAAAATTAAAAACTATAAAATGATCATGATTAAGAAATAAAGTCTTTTGAATTAATTTAGTGCTAAGAAAAAGAAGAATTATTTTTCGAAGTAATTTAAAACGAATTAAAATTCATAAATTAATTTTAAAAATAAATTAGGAATTAAATAAAATTAAAGATGATAAAAAGTTAATCCTAACAACTAAGAGGTCTATTAAATAATTAAAAGACTATGCAATAGAATAAGCTACTCAAGATTAAATTAGAAAAATAATCAAGACAGGTGATCAATAATTAGAATAAATGAATGAAAAATTTCTATACGATTTAGAAAATTAAATATAAAATAATTTAGAATATTTGAATGAAAAATGCATGAAAATTAATGAAGCAATAATATAAAAAAAGAATGGCATAAATACTCTAAGAAAAAGGAAAATATTATTTTAAAATAAATAAGAAACCGAAGATTCTTAAAAATTTAAAATTCTAAATATAGTTAAGATTTAAAAATTCTGAACTTCAATTTAACTAAAATTATGTTTATTTTTAATTGATTGATAATCAATTAATTTACTATGTTTTAATAACTTTCTGTGTTGCTTATTTTACTTTATTTATCAGATTATTAGGATTTATGTTTGTTTTGTTATTTTGTAAAACATGGTATTTAATCAATAAAATTACTATGAGATACTTTAGATTTCTCAAAAATCTTTTAGGATTAATAAATAAATAGAAAGGACTTCTAACTAAAGTGCAACTTTAAACTATAAGAGACACATATATATTAAAAAATAAAAGAAAATGTTTAAGAATTTCTTCATTTAAATTATATTTTCAGAAAAGCAAATTATTTTTTTTTAAGTTTAATGAAAATACCACTTATAAATCTTTTTTTAGATATTAATGCTTTTTCTCTAATCTTCTACTTTTCCCTCCCTTCGAATAACTTTTGATTTGTAAAATTTGATATTTGATATATAGAAATTTTAAAAGACCAAAAAGAAATGTTAAAATCATTCAAAAGATTAATATCTCTTCGCAAAATACACAAAATATGAATATGCTTTAAACATTATTAGAATGGAAAATAATAGATTAACATATTTATATATTATTCAAGGAGATATTAAATCACTTGAATGGAACACCCTTATAAAAACACCTTCGTAGTAGATTATATCACAATTAATTTGATTAATTAATTAATTAGTAAAGCAATGAATGAATCAGTACCAAACTTATTCATTCAACTCACTCTTTTTTAGCAGAAGCCTTACCAGTAGATTTCTTAGCAGAAGCCTTAGAAGTAGACTTAGTAGCAGAAGCCTTAGTAGGAGTCTTGGAGGCAGACTTGGTGGTAGACTTCTTAGTAGATTCAGCCTTGGTTGAGGTCTTACCAGTACTCTTCTTGGTAGGAGTAACAGATCTCTTTTAAGCAACAGGGCTCTTAGAAGTAGATCTGTTAGCAGCAGACTTCTTGGCGGAGGTCTTAGTTAAAGGAGATCTAGATCTTTCACGAGAGGCAGACTTGGTAGCAGACTTTTTGGTGGATCCCATTTTTTTTTGTTTCTTTTTTGTTTCTAGTTTTTTAATTTTTTTAATATATTTCTTTTATTTTTTAGAAATTAAACAGAGGATTTTTTGACGAATATATAGATTCTTATTTCGCTATTTGCTTTAAATTCATTCACAGCAAATGAATCAAAAAGGTTTTCCCTTTGTTTAATGAATGCATTTATTAGAAATATCATACACACATAATAATTTGGTGCTATCAAATTTTATCAAAGACTTTAGAAAAAAACATTCCATTTAGAGCTATTGATTAGCATACATATTAAAAAATTGGTTTCATTGCAAATAGACTTCTTTCGTAAATCTACCTTTAAATCTGCAATTTGATTGGATGATCTACTCCAAAAAGGATTTTTAAGTTTTTTTCTTATATTGATAACATCATTCCTCATTCCTCTACTAAATTTGAATTTTCTGAAATATTTTAGTAATACTAATTTCAAAAATTTTACTGAAAAAATATTTTATTAATTTAATATTATTTTGATTAATTTTATTTAATTCCTAATAACAATTTTTAAAATATTCATAATAAATAAATAATTTACATTTTGTTTATCTAGTATAATTTTAAGTTAATTTTTCCTTCCTTAGTTAAAATTTATATGGTACAAATTATAAATTATTATTCTATTTAAATAAAACGAAACAAAATTTTTTATTTAACAAGACAATTTAAAATTAATATACAATTTTTAACAATATTTCTCTACTAAAAGCTAACATAATTAATAAAAACCAATTTAAGATAAAACTTTAATTAAATATATTGCTTTAATAACCTATAAATTGATTAGGAAAATCAAAACTGAAAAAGAATTAATTATTTTAATTTTAAACGAATATAAATTATATTATTAAATGATCCTTAATATTTTAAAATTTAGACAAATATTTTTATCAATTTAAAAAATTTTAATATTATTAGATTTTAAAAATAAATAAGAATATTCTTTATATAAAAATAAGAGAAAATTCTTTATAAATAAATAAGAATATTTATGTATAAATAAATGTATTAATATAAATGATGTAAATCAAGTAATTAAAAATATTTTTATTTTAAATAATTATAATTTTATTTGAAGATTTAAAAATTTAGAAAATTATATTTGATTGTTTTATTTATTCTTACAAGAAATTAAAATTTGTTTTAATATTGCTCACTCTCACATTAATTTATTTATGATTCATTAATAATTTGTTTATTTACTTAGTTATTTATTAGTTTGTTTGCTTGTTTGTTTGTATTTAGATTTCTAAAAAATTTTGGTTAATTAAATTTAAATTAATTATTTCATTACAACAATTATTAAATTTTGGATAATAGAGACAAGTAGAATAAATAAATAGTTCAATAGAAGTAAATATAAAATAATGCTAAAGAAATTTTATTTAGTGTTTAGTATCTATTTAAGCTGCAATCTGTTAGTTAATTCTTTCTTTTGCTAAAAATTTTTAAGGCTACACAATAAAGAAAAAATTACTGAATTTTAAGAGATGTAATCTTAATTTCCTAGCTACTATAGCAATCTTGTAATATTAGCACTGATAGGATACATAATTTTTATTTTTTAGAGATTAACTGACTACTTTAATGTGTGCTAAGTATATTTATGCATAGCAAGAATTTTTCAATTTTTTCAGGCTTTATTTTACTCCTCCTCAATTTATTTAAGCTATCAAACTCTGTTTGGAAATGAAATATTAAATTAATTCTATGAAGATTACTAATCAATAGATAGCTTTAAAGATTCGTAAGAGACTTTAGCTTATTTAAAATCATATTCAACAATGATTTAAGTTTTATAAATAACTTTCTATACTCAGTTAGTGTTGGTACCTCTAATATTTATCATTCTAATTATCTACCATAAACTTCATTTCAAACTAGGAACATTTTACAAGCAAGGTAACTAAGTAAGTGAGCATTCATTTGTACAATAAATTGACGAAAATGTAGAAACAGCCGAGAGATAATGAATATATTAAACAATTTGATAAAATAAAGAAAATAATAAAATTCTAAAAATCTTAAAAGTTTATACAGATTCTATAATAATCAAAATTAAAAATTTTTTTGATTTCAAAATAAATAAATAAAATAATTTGATGTAGTTGTTAAAAAATTTATTTGATTTTTTAATAGATAAGCGTATATTAATTTTAAGTTATAAATAAAGTAATATTTTTTTGATAAATATTTTTAATTTGTAATGCTTTGAGTATTTTAATCTTAAAAACAATAATTTCCAAAATTAAAAGTAAAGTATTACACTTAGGATATTTTTGTTGGATTTGTTAAAAAATATAAAATGTATTTAAATTACTTTTTTTGACCAATATATTGGACAGTGAAATCTCAATTTTCTTTCAAGAAATTTTGTTTTAACATTCATAATATTTTTAAATAAAATAAAAACTTTGAAAATTTTAGATATATAAAAAGAATGAAATTTCTCTAAAAATATATATATTTATGTATGCATGAATTAATTAATAAATTATTGATTAATTGTTAACCTACCATGAATGAAATATAATATATAGTCTTTGCTTATTTTTGGAAAAATAAAATCAGTTCGTCAAAGTAAGTATTAGTGAAAATCAATAGATATATAATAGTACAAGAAAAAAAATAATATATTCACTAAAAAATAAAAATACAGAGTAAAATTAGTTAAAAAAGTAAGTAAGTAAGTTTGGAGTATAAAGAAAAGTACTATAATATAGCAAGATTAAAGACTGCAAATGAGTGATTATAATGAATAGGAGAAGACTATGCTTATTGAGTCAATGGCTAAACTCATTGAGTAACATTTTGATTGACTAAAAATAAATTTTGGATTGAGTAAGCGTGGTTTTATTAATATTAGGCATATTCATGACAGTAAAGTTCATCAGACAGAAATTTTTAATTCTCTTACAACAAATGACTTATTAAAGATCCTTTCAAATATTGAAGATAAAAATTTAAGTAATTAGCTTTGCGTTATAGTGAAAATCAATTTATAGTTTAGCATCACCTGTTTTAAAAATTACATTTAGATAATTATAATATCTAACAGCAATATATAATTAACAAATTATCATTATAAAATAGAATTACGAAAAACGTCTTGTAGATTTTTGTGCGAGCTTCTTTACGATAATAATTAGGTGCAAGATTTATTCTGTGAATTAACAGGAGTATTACCAATAGATGGAAAAGTAATAAACAAAAATAAATATTGATAAAATAGCTTACAAATTATAGTTTTTGATGCATTAATTATAATGTGATAGAAAGTAGCAAAAGTTGATATATGCTACTTAAATAAACATTTAAGCACTTCACTGATTATTTTCAATTAAATTAAATAGGTTTGTATAAACAAAATTCCTGAATCATTTAATTAGCATATGAGATTTATTCCTGAGATTCTCGAAATCGTAAAAAGTAGTCCTATTCCTGTGAATGATAATGGTTAGTTTTTTGATTTTCTTGAAAATAAAAGATTTCATATTAATTTTTGGATAGTTTAAGTAGTATTTTATGAAATGCATAAATAAAAACAATCAATCATAAATTTAAAAAAGTAAATTTGATAAAATACTTTCGTAAACAGAAAAAAATAAGAAAAAGAATGATAGAAATTATTTCAAATATAGATATAGATAGTTGTTTTTGATTATACCTAATTTCTATTGCATTATAAAATTAGGAAAAGCTCCTCTTTGCTGGTATTTTTCCAGTAAAATAGATTACAATCAACCCTTCAGAGTCTAGTTCTTTTATCCTTAAGATTAAAATAATTTTGATTCTTCTGAGTTCATAGATCCATAGGAGTCCATTTTTGGGTTTGTAATCAATAGCCCTTTTAAGCAGAAAAGGCCTGAAAAGGACTCAAAAGGATCTTCAATTATATAAGATATATCAAAATAGTAAGAATATAATTATCTAGTTTAAATAATAATATAAAATAATATTTATAAAATAGTTCTATAGAAAAGGATTCATATAAAAGCTAGCATAACAATCAAACTTCATTGAATTCTTCAAGTATAAAGAATTATGATAAATTGATTATATAGTATTTTTTGTAATTATATAGGAGTTTCTCCAATTAAAAAGAGAGAAGCCTAAATATCTAGCAATAATTCTAGCAGTTTTATTAAAAAAATATAATTTAATAGCAGCAGTTCAAGATAAGATAGGTCTTTTTCAGGTAAATCTAATTAAATTTTATTGAAGTTTTTAATCTTAATTTTAGATAAAAAGGATGTCATTAAGATGGTTTAATCTTAATTAGGAAATAATAATTTATAGGATAGTTTAGATCAGTCCTACTAGCAAAATTATCAGAATTAATTAAATAAAAATGCAACTAATAGCCAAGATTAAAGTATATCTAAGGTTACTTAACCGAATAGTGCTTCAAGAAAGGATAATATTTCATCGTTTTAAAATAATACACTTCCAGGAGAAATATCATTGAATGATTCAATAGAATTCGTTAATATGGCAAAAGCATTCAGGTAAAATATTTAATCCATAATTCAAAATTAACTGCAATTATAAAAAAACAATCAGCCCTTATAGTCCAAGATACGAATTAGCAATTAGATAAAAGCACAATTAAAACTAAAATAAATATCAACTGTTAGAGAGAAGAAAAACTGCAGAAGGAATAAATGAAAAATCACTAAAATTTAAGAATAACATTAATACAAGCATAGTAAAATAATTTAATCAAAAACATTAAAATGCTAAATTTAATTTAAAAAGTCTTAAACTAAATAAAAGTAAATTTCTATATCAATGGCAGGTAGCAACTCTTTTAGGTAGACATATACTTAGTAGAAAAAAAGAGAATCCTCAAATTCTACAAGTAAAAACCCTTAAATATCCTAATCAACAGTGCATGGAGTTCAAATAAAAAAGTTTTAGCTCTAACCTGACAACCAAAACCAATCTAACTAAAATTCTAGCTTTGAGAATCTGTAAATTAATTTTTAAAAAGTATAGTAAACTTATTATGAACTCATAAAAATTTATAAAAAAAATAGCAAATTAGAGCAAAAGTATGACAGTTAAAAGACAGGATATTCTTTAAAAGATAAAAGATACTCACAGCAAGATTAATTTTCAAAATAGGTTATTAATGAAAAAAGAAATGCTGTTAATGCTTCATCATAGGCAATACCTTCTAAAAATAATCCATATAATTTATTAAGCAAAAGTACTTACGAGCATCCTCTAAACGAAAATAACTCTAGCTTATTCCCTAATTAAACTCCAAAATTTACAAATTTAGAACATAAAAATTATATATCATCTAAAAATAGTAATAATAATAATAATAACGGGTTCAGTTAAATTTAAAGTAATACATATTCAAATAATATAACGTCAATATCTCCTAATATAGCCAATCATTCAAATACTCCTTAATAATTAAACAGCTAATTTTCAAATACACCTACAAGCAGCAATTAAAATGGAACATAAAAAAAAATAGTTTCTCTGCATAATAAATCTTTAGTTTCTAAAAGCTTAAGTATTAATAATAATAAATGAATGAAATTATTAAAAATAATTAATAATAATCAAAGTTAAGTAACAAAAAACTAAAAAAAACTAGTTTGTTTAAAATATTTTTTCTTATATAAATTTATTAACAAAAACGCAAACCAAGTTAGTTAATCAACCAGTAAGTTTGTTAAACAATCTTATACTGGAATATCTGTCACCACTCCCTAATATTATTTATATTAAGATATAGTTCAATACTATATTTTTCTATCTTTCTATGTTTAAAAAGCTTATTTTGTAATTATTATTACTTCTTCCAAATTACTTTTGTTACGAATTAATATAAATAAAGGATAACAGCATTTTAAACAAAATAAAAATCTTCTATTGAAGAAGCTATATGATTTATTCAAATAAATATAATTTATTGATTTAAACTGAAGATCGAAAATTATACATTATAAATTTTTTAAAGTAAATATAATTAAGTTTTTCCTTATTTTGTCAATGATTATATCTGTTTGGTGTATTAAGTATTTTTGGATGTTAAAATTTTTAACTCTATAAATTACAAAAAAATAACAGTTAATTCAATACAAATGACTAAGCTCTAATATCAATTTAAATAAAAAAATATATTGGCCTTAATATGCTTAGTATATTAATACTTAATTTAAAATTTTTGTATTACTAGTGATAATTATTTTTTAAAACTGTTCTAAATTATATGTTTGAGGAATTTAGCGAATTTATTTATCAATATTATTTACAAATATAAAAATAAATTTTATGTTGTTTGGCAATAATTTTTTAGATAAAGATTTCTTAACAATTTCATTGTTATTCAAATGATTTAGTCATATTTCTTAAGAAACAAGTGTATTTTACAAAAATTCAAATTTATTATTATAGATCTGATATAAATTTCATAGGAAAATTTGCTTAAAAATTATCAAAATCTTTGATTTTTTGTTTATCAATCTGCTCACTAATTTCTGTACCTTCGTTAGAAATAGTCTTTAAACTTTTAAAATCTTAGTTAAAAACTTGTTATTATTCTTAATTCAGCTGAAGGGTTTTTTTGTTACTTTTTTACTAATTACCTGATGGCTCTGATTTTTGATTATTGTCATTAGAACTGTTTTTTGAATCTTTAATGATATTTGATGTTATATTAATCTGACCTTTGTCTAGATGAGTAGGAGGACTTTCATCAATTTTATTTTCTTCTCTTTAAGTTAATTCCTTTTTGTCTTCCTCATTTTAATCGTCTATATCTATATCTAAATGTGATAAACTATTAATGTATTATTACTATTGTGTATTTGATTAGTTTTTGTTTTCGTTGCTCATTGTATTATTCGATTTTCCTTGTTGAGGGTTTGTACTTAAAGAAGGTTTAATTAGATTTATTTACGAAATATCTTAACTAGCATGAGTGAATAAGTAAATAAAAAACTTAAATTTAACATATTCTTATTTATTACTAATAATTTCAAGCTTATGAATTTAATTGGATACTTATTTTGCCAATAAGTTACTAATAAAAAAATGATATCCAAGAGAATTAAGACGACTTTGATAAGATTTTAAAATTAGCTCCTTTTATGACTTTTTTAATTCTCTGTTTTAAATTATAATTTTAACTTGGCTTTAATCCTTGCATAGCTTAGCTTTCAAAAAGATTTTATTATTTTTTATTAATTTGCAACAATTTACTAATAAATTCATTAAAATCTGAGAAATTCTCTCTTTGTCATTTAATATCTAAATGGGGATCATTTTATCATAATAAAAATTAAATACAATATCATTTCTTAACTTTTCTGTCATTTTTTTAGCATTAATGAGTTCTTGTTATAAATCAAAATAGTCCTTATTAAGAACAAATGATCTATGTTATAGAGATCGTATGTCAAAAATATCACTCATTAAGTATTTATATAATTTTAAATTAAGCTTTAAAGGTGAAATAAATTGCTTATAGTCATTTATTTGAATTTGGTATTTTAAGCTTTTAATTTATTTTAAAGATTTTCCAAGAATTTGAGAAATCTCAGTGAAATTCAAATATCTGTACAGTTCATCTATTAAAACTGAACTTTGCCTATCGAGAATTTACTCAAAAATTTCATTTGATAAGTCTCTAATTGTAATGATGTGTAAAACTTTACCTGCATGCTCCACTATTGAATATTTCATCACATAAATTTTCTATGTGTTTTCCTTACACAAAACCATATTATTTATAACTGTTTCTGGCTATTAGGAATAGTTTAGCTACTTCTTATTATTAAGAGTTTTTTTCCTTTGCTAGGTCATAGTGCTTTTTCTTTATTAAGCCAAAAAGGTTCCACTCTTAGATCTTACATCATCCATAATATCTTTCAGTGTGTTAGTTCTCTCCCTTTCAAAAGTTGTGTAGCTTCCTTAGTTTGTATTTTTACGAGGTCTTTTGCAATAAAATTTTCATTTTTATTTATTTATTATTCTTATTTTAGAAATGTAAGAAAGAATTGAATTTACATGTGTGAAATTGAAGAAATAAAGGAAGGGATTTGAAAATCTTGAGATTCTCTTAACTATCTATTTTGTAGGAACGATTATCCATCATAATTATTTTGTACATAAGAGGGTAAATCAAAGTTTGATATAGGATTCTAATGTGTATTATCGCAGGATAATTTTTTAAAGGTGGATTCATTTTTATGTGTTTTTGTTCCTGAAACTCCTTCGTCTTCATCAGGCTATAATTCTTAATTTGGAGATAAATAGAACGGATTTGCTTTGTAATTTTAAGAGCGAGACTTAGTGTAAACATGAGATTTAGATTTAGGGTATTTTTGCTTATTTTATTGATGATTTTTAACTTAGTTGCTTTATGTTCCCGAAGCCAACATAGATAAAGATTTCTTATCTGTTCCTTGTTTGCTTAACTCTTCTACCATATTTTCAGAAAAATTAAACAAATTAACTTACTCTACTTTACCACCCTCTTGTTTAACAACCTCTCCTTTGACTATTAATTAAGGACTAAAGTCTTATTCATTTTCTTCTTCGATAACTCTATTTAGTTATGGATTACTTCCTATTTTATTAGACATTTTTGTTGAATTATTTTAAGGGCCAATTGCTGGAGATGCATTTAAAAGATTTATAGAGTTATCTTGTTAAAAATAAAAAATCATTTAAAAAAAAATAAAAATAATAAAATTTCTTTAAAATGTTTTATTTATTTATTAAATTAGTAACTTTAAAATGCATTTATTACCTTTGAGTAAGTTTTTTAGCAAGAAAGTATTTGAATATTCAAGATTTTCTTTATTAGATTTGTCATCAACTGATACGTGTAACTACTTTAGGGACATAACCTCTTAAAGTACTCTATTCACATCTGTTTCTAATAACACCAATATATTCTAGTTAGCGAAAATGACATTTTGTGTTTCTTGATCAAAAACGACAATACCATCTACTTCAATAACTTATTCAATCAACGATTTTTGCTCCACCATACTCTATCCATTTTGAGTAAAATTTTACATTTGATTTGAGGTATTATAATGATTTTTGGAGAAATCATTCTCAAAATCTTACTCAGAAATTTTACTCATTTAATGCATTTTTTCAGATTTTATAATGTTTTATATTCCTTAGTTAATTATTTAATTTTAAATAGGAGTGACATTACTAATAAAATTATTATTTAAATCAAAACCGCTCTGTATATGTTAAGAGCTTTGTGTTTATCCAAACTAACTTCTCTTATTATTGAATATTATTTATGAGCTGTGGTTATTTTATTCAAGCAAGGTAGCAGGTTTCTCTAAGTTTATTAAAGAACCATTGAGAGAATTATATGAAACCAACTAATTATTATTAGTGTTGTTTATATTTTATACCTCAATTTTATTTTAACTGTAATAAGTATTCATATTTTACCCTAAGGATTATTACTTTTGTAACTGACTTCCTTACTGAGACTAATGATAAGATATGAAAGGATATGATACTTAAAAGCCTTAAATGCTTTAATTGTTATTGAAATTATTAAAACTTTACTTATTTAAAAGATCTTAGATTTCATCTTTTTCAGGAGGCGATCCTTTGTTACTTTATTACAAATAACTACCAGCATTTTAGTTTTTATTATTACTCGAATTATTATTTTAAGAGTTTGCATTATTATTCATATTATTAATGACGTTATTGTTATTAGCTGTAATATTTTTGTTGTTTAATGTAAAATTTGTTCCGCTAATTAGCTTCTGATATTTTGTTGATATTAAAATTTACTTTTTAATGCTGATATGTTCATTTAATAACTTTGATTAAAAATATAATCCTACAAATGCAGTCAGTACAACTAAAAATTATATGTAATTACCCTTTAAACTGATCATGAAAAAACGGAGAGGAAAGTAAATCAATTAAGAAGCATAAATAAATAACTTAAATCTATGAGTTCTTATAAGAAATGAGTAAGATGCATTTAAAATTAAAATATTAAAAAAGCGAAAAAGAACTATCTTTAAGTTGATTTCCTATTCATCAGTGATTTAATTTTATACAACATCTACGACTCCAAGTGCTATAGACACACTTTCATAATAAGCAATTATTAATACGATTTATGATATTCCAAAATAGCTCTATTTCTACTTTAAAATTATTTAACAATAGTCTTATTTTTTACATCCTAAAAGAATGAACAAAATAGCAATAGTAGTTTATAATATAATCAATATGTAAAGAAATATTTTAGAAGCTAGGCTAATCTCTATGTTCTTAATTGTTTAGGTATGTATATAAATTGTATCTGCTTAATAAACAAAAATTATTATTGCTAAAAATAATATGTTTCTACTTCTTAAAACTTCTTTAAATCTACTCTTTTCTTATTTTTTTTTCAATAAAAACTACTCAACCTTTTGGTTTGCTGCATTATTAACACCAGCAAATTAACTAATGTTTGATTTCTCCATACTTTCTTCATTCAATCCTTAGCACATACTTTAGTTGTTAATTATCATATGGTTTATGCTAGCTGTCATCATAGGTTCAATTTTCTCTCTATTACCTATTGAATTTTTTTTTGAAGCAACTGATTTTTTATTTTAATTTGAAGAAGATTGCTAACTATTTGCTAAAAATGTATTAGCTCCATTTAAGTTACCATTGATATTATTGTTGCTGTTAGTTATTAAAGTGTTTATATTATTATTATTCTATATATGTGTATGGGTTTTAATAAACTAAGCTGTTTAATAGTCATAATATTCTGTGCTAGGATGCATTTAAGATTGTTAACTTGAAAAGGGATTTTAGTTTTATGCGTTTACATTATTTTTAGATGATATATAATTCTAAGATGACATCAAAAAAATCTATCAGAATAAAAAATATTTATAAGTAAAATTGTAAAGTATTTGTAAGGTATCTTATCAAGACAACTTATTTATCTTATAGTTAACTGCTAAATTCTTTACTTAATATATTTTTATATAGTAGGTATAATTAATTCGCTTTTTCAGCTTTTTTAATTAATTAATTAAATAACAAGAAATTATATTAATTTTTTTAAGAGAGTCTCATTAATTTACAAAAATATATCAAAACTAATGGTTTTAAATTTATTTCAATTATTCCACAAACATTTTTCAAAGCTATTTTTTACAATTTAATTCTATACATTTGGAAATATTATATTCCAAAAAAATTAAGGTTACTTAAATTAAAAAGGGATCCAAAAGAAAATACTTTGAGCTCAAATATATATAAAAAATACTCCAAATTTTATATATATAAAAAACATAAATCAATCTTCCCTTATTTTAATTTATTACTCGTTTTATAAATATTAATCACATATCTTTAGTTAGTATACCCAAATCTTATACAAATGAAAGCATAAAATTCAAGCATATATATTTAGATTATGAGCTTGAATCTTAGAAAATCAAAAAGTAAATCATAAATGGGACTAGCAAATCCTATTTTTTTAATAAATAAAATGAAATAATTATCTTTAAAATAAATCATTAATTACTCTAATTCTTTTCGTTATATTATTTATAAGAGAATTGGATACTAAAAACCCTATTGCAGAAAGGAAAGAAACAGATACAATAAATATCTCCCAGTTACTAGTATAGTCATTGCTCTTAGCATTAACTATTTGAAACCTGCTGTTCTCTTATGACATAATTTGTGTGTAATTCTCAAATATTACAGGAATTAGATTTGCCAGTAAACTTTTTTTCCATGAGAAAATCACCAAAGTACAGTTAATCAAGTATTTCAATATAAAATGAAATCCTTTATTTAACATATACTTGCTAACATAGCTAAATGTAACAATTATAAAAGTAAAGTATCTCTTATTCTGAAAGCTACTTATCCAAAAATATGGATTCATTATAACTTAGAAAGCTATGAATGAAAACCTGATATTTTAGTAATAGAAAATAATGGATTAATTTTATTAAATACACTATATATAGATCTTAATTTGAAAAAATTTAAAGATAGTTGAAAGAATACATATTTGAAGAACCAAAGAATAAGTGCATGAACGCAAAGCAAACATAGAATTATAAGGTATTCATTTTTTTTAGAGACATTTTCATTAGAGGATCTTGGTACCAAATGATTTAGAAGACATTGTCATTCTGTTTTGATAAATTTAATTTTAACTAAAAAAACAATTTAAAAATTAAATAATATACTAAAATTTCAAAGATTATATTCTGCTAATATTGATGTTACATAGTATTTTAGATCTAATATAGGTAATTACTTATTTTATTGCTAATCTTATTTAAAATTGCAATCTCAAAATTTAGCAGCACTATTAAGCCAGCTTACTCTTTTATCAAATCAGTCAAATAGCTTTAAGTTGAGTAAACTTGCTTTTCAATATGAAAAACAAACACAAAGAACCATATCATAAATAAAATAAACTAAATAGCAGGTAAAAATGAAGCATATATCAAACCTTCGTGTGATACTCTATAAAAGAAGCATAGCATAGAGAGTCCAATAATATTAAAAATTATTTTAATCGAAAAGTGCATTCTTGTTTAATGAATGATAAACTGCAATATGAAATCATTTAAATAAACCAATACTAATATACTTATCACTAAATTCAGAATGCTTTTACCATATTTTTTGACGATAAAAACTAATGCAATATAAGTTATTAAGATATGAACCTCCTAGATATTTACAAGAAAACATTAAGATAAGATGTTTAATATTAAAACCCCTTATAGTTATATACTCTGTATTTTATGGCTTCCAGATAGTATTGGATATAAAAAAAAGAAATCAACAAGCATAAATTTAAATTTTTAAAAATCGCTTGTTGAAGAATCAATATACTTTTTAAGCATCCATTTTATAAAGATTAAATAAATTATATTTAAAACCCAATATAAATGAGTTATTTAGACAGTTTAGTTGCTGTAAATTTATTTATCTGCTGTCTTTTGATTTGCTTTTTTATCTTTTTAAGTTTGTATCCTATTTGAAATAGATTTTTCTTCTTCAAAAGAAATAACAACAAAAGAATCTTAATTATTTTAACCATAGGAATCTTCTATTTTCTACTTTTTACTAATTATAGCTTTCTTTTCATCATACGAAACAAATCTATAAATGAAATTATATTATTCAAGTATAAATATTATAACCCCAAACAATACTGCTAGAGAAATTAAAAATGAATCAAAAAAACCGTATCCTGAATATATTAAGGCCTATATTATTTTTAAATTTACATTAAAATCATCCATTATAATATAAGAAATTAATTTTCTACTTTGTTAATAACTGAATGTACAGTAATTAAAAGGGTAATAAAGCTTTAAATATCTAGATGAGAAGAAAGAGGAGTTTGATTCCTGTAAAATTTAAAGCAAGCCTTAATTACATCTTCCAATATATTCTCTAAAACTGAGAAAACAATTATAAATTCTATCAGAGCGAAAATACAAAATAGACTTAACTTAGGTATAATTGATGATGTCTATTAATTATAAAAAATGTTAAATTTGAAGCAAAAAATGCTACTTATAATTAGAGTGAATTACAGCCATATTATAAACAACATATTTATCAAGTATTTTAAATATAAGTGAAACGATTCCTGTAACTATGCTCTCCATATCTCTTAATTTGAAACAAATTTCCAATTAAATTTATTTGATTTTATTAAATTTTGAAATTATTTATTTATTTAAATATTAATCAGTATTTTTATTTTTAAACGATAAAATTGATAATCTATTAATTAAATTTAATGATACCATTTGTAAACACATCATAATACTATTAAATCCTATTTTACAAATGAGATAAATAAATTAGTTAAAAGTTAACTCAATAGAATGCATGTTTTAATTTTCACATGATAGTTTGAATCAAAAAATTATTTGGATAGAATTAAAAGTACCAAGGTTATTGTTACAAAGAGATTTTGTTATTTAAATACTTTAATTATTATTTTAAAGTTAAATTTTAATTCCAAAGAAAAATAATCTAAAATTTATAAGTCTGATTTTATAAAAGTTAACATTTTATTTAATTTATATTTTATGGATATAATAAAATAACTTTTTTTTGAGTGTTTAAAAGAATTATATTTATTATTTATCTAAAATAATAATAACAGTAAATAATTTAAAATATATAAATACTCTTATTTTTTAAAATTAGTTGAGAAATAATTGATTAATAATTTTTCCTATTTTTCAATTAACTTCCAAAACCATTAAAAATCATCAATTGCTATTTTTACTTATTTATTAAGTTTGTTAATTTCAAATAATTTTATAGTTAACACAACCAAAGTAAAAATGAGAACAGATATTACCATTTATAATAAATACATAATTTATAAATTGAAATAAAAAAGCAATAAATATAACTTCTTTTATTTATATATTTGTAGTTTCAGTGATTGTTAAATAATAAACTAAAATCTATGCAAAAACAGGAATAAAAATAAAATTAATATTATTTATTTTTATAAAAATAGCTATTCATATAAATAGTATTTATTCTAACAATTGAAGTAAATTAATTATAAAAGGAGTAAAAGTTTAGATATTTAAGTTATTGAAGGAGCATAGTAAATATATAATTTTATGGCTAGCTTAAGAAAGAATAAATTTGTTTAAATATTTAATAATTAAAATAATACATAATATAAAGCATTAGCATAAAAACTAGATAAATACATAAATAATATTTTGAACTTATTGCCATTTATGTTCTTCTGAAGTTTTAAATTAGTGTTGAAAGTATATAATTTAATTTAATCTATAATTTTACTTTGTGTAAATTTGGTTTAAAAGTATAGATTTTATAAATGTTGGTTATTATTTTTATCTTTCGTTGAAATTTTCATTCTAATTCAAAAGTAAAAAATAAAATGGTTTTTTAAGCAAAATTATTTTAAATAGTTAAAACTGCTTTTTTGAAATTTGAAGATAAATAAATAAATAATGCATAATTTTTAACTACATTGTAAACTATCTTAATATTACTATATATACATAACAAAAAAAATAAATATTAATTCAATCGTACATATGTCTAAAGCCTACATCTTTTTCAGTTTCATTTACTCTATTTTCTAACACTAAAGTGTTCTATTGAAGGCGGATTCTATCCTAAGTAAGCTAATTTACTTATTACTTTAAATAGGTGCACTCATCTTGTTCGATATTTGTTAATTTTCTAAAATCTTTAGCTAATCTAAGAGTTTCATCCATAACAAATCTACTTAATTCAGAGCATTAATCATTATTTAAATGTCCTAAACTTACTACATCATTTCTTAACGACTAGAGGTCTTTTTTACTATCTTCTAAATCTTTAAGCAGATTTTCTAAAGTCATCTAAAACAAATAATAAATTACAATTAATTATGTTCAACTTTAAAATGTAAAATTTTTATCTCTCAATCATTATGAAATTATTTCTTAAAATTTATTGAATTTCAACAACTTTACAATTTAAATGAAACAAATTATAACTTAACTCAACTTTTTTCTTTTTCTATTGGGAAAGTTGACTTTGCTTTTATGGAGAATGTTAAATATATGTGAAATAATGAATGATTAATTTAGTTACATCAAGTCTCTCTAGATGATTTTTAATAGGTAATTTTGCTGAAAGCTCTAACTCAGCTTAATTTTACTGCCTCATTACTTCAGTCATATCATAATGATCATATTAATTATCGTAATCAGCCATTTACTTTACTAAGTCAATTTTATATCTTTTGTTAACGAAAAAAATAGTATCTACTTTTTATAATAAATTTGTAATGCTAATTAATCACTAATGATTTAAATGAATATAAGATAACAATTATATTTTATTAATTATTATTATTATCAATTTCTGTTGTTTTTTTTATGTGTATATTCACTAAAATTAAAATATTAAAATTTATAATTCAATTAACTATTGTAAAACTTTAAATATTTTCAAAAGTAATTAAAATAACTATTTATTTTTTAATCACTGAATATATTAATATTCAACTAATAGAAATTCATTTATTTAACAAATATTTAATTAATTTTAATGTTTTTAATAATAAATCCTTTTAAAAATTAATTTTATTAACTAACTAATTAATTAACACTTTTTTTTCCAAAAAAATTAGCAATAAAAAATTATGTTAATTTTAGTCAATTAACTTTTTGTTTTATTGATATATTTATTTTATGAAATTAAATAGTAGTAAGCTTTCTTTAATAACTATAATAGTTATTAAATATTAAAAACCTTAACCAAAATACTAAAAAATTTCATTATTTCTAAAAAATAAAATTGATTCAAAATATTTAATTTTTTACTTCAATTAACTATTTTTTACATTTAGATTAATTTTATTTGAGCTAAATAGTTTATTTATTTATTTATTTATTATTAATAATATTTATTTTATTTTTTATTTTTTTACAAATTGAACTTTTGCAAACTCAATTTTTTAAATTTGGTATTTCATACAACTATTGATTATTTAATATGCTAAATACTAGCTTACTTAATTATCAAGAAGTTTGATAAAAAAAATAGAATTCGTATAAAAGCTATTTAATTAATAATATAAATTATTAAGCTTATTATCATTTATTTTTGTTAAAAAAATAAAATGAAAATTAATGTTTGTATAAAAATTTATTATATTTATATTAATAAATTAAAAAACTTAAAAAATGATAGACTATAAAATATATGAATTAATGTTAAGATATTAGCCTGAATCTCAAAGATTTTACTTAGATGATTTATACTAAATAAAGTAATAAATTTAATATTTGATGAAAAATTTATTATAAATTAACTTACTAATTAGTTTCTAAAGAAATTTAATAAAATAATTATACGGAGAGGCTTATTAATAAAAAGGAATTATAAAAATGTAATATATTTATAGGAAATATTTTTCCAATTTTTATCTGAGCTAGTATTAGTAAATATTTATTATTATTCTAAAGTTTGTGGTTTATTTGGAAATTGGTATACAATCCACTTACAAGTTATTCTTAATATTATGGAATTAAAAGTAATCACTCGAACAAGCAGATTTGTTAATAAATAGGATGTAAGGTGCATAGAAATAGTAATTAAATATCCCCTATTTTTAATAAATTAAAGTTATAAGAGTGAACTGAATTAATAAAAGCTTGTTGTTAATTAAAAAAAGTAAAATTTATTCCATAAAAAAATAATTCAAATTAAAAATATAGAATTGATAGAATCAAAATAAAATAAAAAAATCAAATAAATGGGCATATATAACTAAAATTTGAAGAGTGTTATTTCTCAATTAAAAATTATCTGCTTTTAGATCAAAGAAGATTTAAATAAATAAAAGATAGATATTTAAAAATATCGTGAATAAATATATAATCACTTTAACATTTCATGTAAAGATCTCGAATTTAGTAATATGAAAGAAGATGCTGATTTCTTATTACACTAAAGACGCAAGTTAAGTGGCAAATAAAACTTGAATCCTCAAGATAATCATTTTTTTGAAATATCAATTTAAAAGCTTCTAAAATTTAAGTTATAGTTCTCTGATAAAAACTAAATAATAAATATGTTTATCTAGCAATCTAAATAATAGGTTAATAATAATTATTCTCTAAATAAAAAGTTAATCGATAACATGGACTCTGTTCGTAAGGAACTTTATTAATATTTTAATTCAGTCATTGAAGAATGAGATATATCTAAATAAATAAATAAATAAAAAAATGTTAATTTCAAAAACTATATGAACAATCTTTCAATTAAATAATGTAATTAGATAATAATTCAATCAAAAAAAAATAATTGATTTTAAAATCAAATTATGTTTTAATTATAATTGATTTTTATTTTTGTAATCAGGTGTTATGTATGTATTAACCATTAATTTCTTAATTAACTTAACAATTTTAAAAAATTAATGCAGTAAGCGGAATTGGAAATTCAGTTATGTTTAAATTACATATATTATGTATACATACTTCATCTCAAAAAGCTAATACCAATTTATTTGTAAATACTTTAAAATAATTATATTATTTTTATTAACTCTAAATAAAAAAGATATAATTTTATATAACTTTTGTATAATTTACTAATAAATTAAATATTTATTATTAATTTCATGAAGAATATACAACTTCTTCAAAAATATAGCTAGATAGACTCATGCACTTTTTAAACATTTATTAATGAAAGGCTTTTCCAGGGCAAGAACCAGAAGCCCCTATTGCAACTAAAACAGGCATAAAGTGTTCTTAAGTAGGGTGGACTTTGTTGAAATGTGGATGTTTAAAGTATTCCATAATTTTAGCTTATCGATCTTTTCCTTTCATAGTTTCTATTACTTTTTTACACCAACCGTCAAACTAATTGTAAGCTAATGGTTCTTTAACTTTTTTTTCATCCACTAAGGCTTCATAAAATTAGTGAATATTCTGTGTAATTCCTCCAAAACAAATTATTAAAGATCCCTTAGATTTATATTCTTCCAATAATTTCCCAATATTCAAGTGAGTTTCTGGATCATAATTTTTATTAACTGAAATAGAAACTACTGGGTAATCAAGATCAGGGAACATAATTTAAAGAGGCCCCCATATGCTGCTATCTATTGTTCCACTTTAATCTGGTTATGCATCTATTTAATAAGCTCTTAACAAGTTAATAACTAGAGATGATATTTACGAACTACTCTTTATAATCTTTTCAATATCATAATAAAATTCAAATGGATGGTCATGCGATATCTTCAGCTAATCCGATTAGCTAACTAGGAAGGTTCCCTTAAGACATTTATGAGCAGATATAGCTATAATATTGTTGATTTTATAGTAATTTCTCAAATAGCTACCTATCATTTGCAAATTTTAAATAAATTCTGGAGCTAGTTTATGATTTTAATATAAAGGAACATAGCCATAACTTATAAATAATACTGGGATGGATCTATCATTTTGTTTATTTTTGTTGTACATTTAAAATTGAATTTAAATATTAGTTACCTATAAAAAATCAATTTGTTTAAATATGGTTTAATAGTAGAAGTTAGTTAGTATTAACACTTTGTTACTGTGATTATTATTTATCAAATAAATTTGTTTTAAAATCTCACATTAAATAAAGATTAAGTTTTTTATGGTAAAAATTTTATTAATTTACAATTATTATTTAAATTAAAAAATTTTAATAAAGCTTTTTTTAAATTGATACAGTAAAGAATTTTTTCTAAAAATAAAAAATAATTTATAAATAATGAGTGCTCAATTATAGAAATCAATTAAAATAAATATGCACAAATACTTAAATAAATAATAGTGTTTTTTTTTGTTATTATTTGAGTAATTTATTTATTTTTTTCATAAAATATTGTGTTTGCATTCTATAATTTAAGTAGATGATTATATTATTGATCTAATTTTATTTGGTATCTATCTTTGAATTATCATGCTTTAGTAAAATTAAAGCTTCTATTTATCAAGACTGTATTCCCCCCAATTTTTAGCAGAAGAATAATCCATAATATCGATCTTCATAGGCTATTTAATTAAATCGAAATATAGGTGATCGTATTCTATAGTCATAGGACTATCAATTAAAATCAAAGTATTTTCAAGAATATTAAAAAATATTGTTTTTCCTTCATGACAATCTAATGCATGAGTATTTAAGTTTCCAACATGTGTCCTCATTAATGTCTCATTATCTTTTGAAAAAATATTTTTTTTTTCACATGTTATACTGCATATTTAAATTCCACAAATTAAACAAACACATAAATCAGACTTAGCTGCATGAGGGTATGAGTTGCAACGGCTGCATCTTTTATTAAAAAACTTTGAGTGATTTTCTTTAAAATCTATTCCTAACTCTGTTAAATTATATTTTATTGATTCATAGTATTATATATTCTGTAGTAGCCTGCTTGGTGAATTTTCTATTTCAATTTGATAGTTTTTGTTTGATTATTTTATAAATAAGTCAAATGCGTAAATTCCTGATACTAACATTTCACTTTTTATCTTTAAAAATTTAAACATAACGCATTGCTTTTAATAAATTTGTGCATCAACATCAACTTAGCGGCTATCAGAGAGTATTAAATCTTCAAGATCATCGTCACCTTTCACATAATAAAGTGTCAGTAAAGTGCTTGTTATTAAATTACTCCAAGGTTAAATATACCCCATTAAAGAACTCATATATTCTTCATTCTTTAAATACTGATCTACTAATTAGAGAGAATGAAGTTATTTTCCTTAAGTATCGTTATTATGATATTAAGTACTCATATTATTTTATTAGATATGAAGAGATTTATTGTTGTCAGCTAGTTTAGTTTGCAACTAGTCTTAAACATTTTGATTTTCGTGTATTTCTAGCATCTCATTGTGGGAGATTTCATTTTCAGTAAATGACTTTAGAGTTAGAATGCGTGAATTAATAGAAACAATATTGAAGAATACAATTTCACTTAATAAGCAAATTTTAACCGCTGCTTCATAATCATTTTTTTCAGAGATAGCTATACAGAAACAAGTTTATAGATAGATATCAGATAAATCAGAGAAGCAATTAGTTTTTTGATTTTATTGATTGGTAATGAATCTATCTATAAATGTTAGCTAGCAGGTTAAAATTGACCAGTTTTAATCAATTATCTATTTTAAACTTTACTAACAAGCTTCAAAAAAGTCTTTTCCGAGAGTATTTTAAATAAAATACTTTGCGCATAAGTATATGTTTGAGCTAATAAGTTTTTTCTTTTTAAAGAAGATATCCATACCTTGCTCAAATACTTATTAGAGATTAAAAATTAAACTTTCCATCAAAATCTTAATTTTGCTGAAATCATCCTATTCATCGAAATTAATGAACAAATTATTTAAAAAAAGTAATATACTATTCTATACATTATCGGAAGTTAATTCTTTTTAAGAATCTCCCAAATTAATTTACTTTTAAAACTTGCTTTTAAGTTGTTCTATATCGCAGAAATGACTTTTTGATTCGAAAGCGATAGGATATTATTCACTTTCATTAGTAAGAGTCTTTTTCAGGTATTGCTCGATAAATGGTATACCAATATTAAATAAAAATCTGCATTGCAAGCAGAATCCCTCTACCTTTCTACGTGTCCCATTTGGCACTAATGCGCCTAATTTATACTAAAATTTAATTTAAAATTAAGAAATATTGACTTAAATAAATTTATTTGCGTTTTAAAGAATTAAGAAATAAATGGAAGTAATTAATTAATTGGGAAAAAAATTCTTTATTTCATATATTTGATAGTTATTAAAATATATTGAATATATGTTTAAAGCTTACCCTTTGTGTTAGTTTTGCTTTGTCTCTGCAATCATAATGTGAAGTATGCTAGCAACTTTGTATTATGTAGCGAGATTTGTTGTCATATGGAATTTTAAATTATTTATTAGTAAATTGATCAAGATTGTCTTTTTCTATGTATGCCTAAATGACTTGTAATTCATTGCTGTGAGGATCTTAACAGTACATGCAAACATGCTTAGCCTTTTCATATTCGATACTTATGCTATTCTCTACTTCATTTAAATTATTTTCCTTAAATCTCTCTGTTTTTTACTTCATAATTAAAAGTTATCTTTATTGAGCTTCTTTAGCTCTTTTTTTAAATATCGTTCTGTCATCTTCTTCTTTAGTGCTATTCGAATTATTAAATTCAAGATCTTTACTAGTAATCTATCCAATCTGCTCTATCTGAATTAATTACCTTAATTCTTTAATCAAAAACTCTATTTTATCAATAGTTTTAAAAAGCTCTTTCTCTTCTTTTAAAATCTATAGGTTTTTTATTAAATTTTAGTCTTGAGCTAAATAAATGATTCTCTAACTTCTAATTGCGCTACTATGATTAATTTTATTTATGTACAAATAACAGTAGATATACTTTAATGAGTACTAAATTAATTCCTAGAACATCCTTTCATAAGTAATAGTTTCGATTGAGGTTAAAATTTTGTATACTATACAAAGTATCTCATCACTTTAACAAATATTATCGAATATTTCTTTGACAAACTAACTTTCAACTACTAATGTTTCGAATTAATTTCCTAGAATATAATCGATTTCTTAATTGTTTGTGTACTATTCCTTTAAGAGCTGATAATACTCATTATGAAGTTTCTTATCTCTCAAAAAATCAAAAGGCTCAAATACGAACTTTAAATTTGGAAGTCTCTCGAAATAGTCTCCTCTTTAAATTAAAATTATAGAAAATGAAACTAATATAAAATTAAATAAAATTAAAATTTACTGTAACTTAACGATGCTTAGAATGCTATACTTAACAGGGACTTATTTGTTAATCTTTAAATTTGTTAATTGCTCTTTTAAAGTTTGAAATGTTTACTTTTTATTGAAATTGAAGCAGATATTTAAAGCATTCTTCAAATAAGGCTTCATCCATTTCACAAAAATATCTTTGTAAATATGAAGGCAATTCAGTTAACTATTTGTATCTATACCTACCATCAAGATAACTTTCAAGAAATTTTTTATTTATTTGATGATTAAAGGCTATTTTCCGTCTAATGACTGCTCTTTTAAACTCTTAAAATATATTAAAAGTTAATCCAAATCTTAATCAAATGGTCCTCTATGCTCATCAAACCTTATAATTTGATCTTCTGGTGAAATTTTCATTCCTTCAAGCATACTTTAAGCGTATAATTTAGGATCGACTAATATTAAAATAGTCTACATTGTCATTATGTCATTATCATATAAGTTATAATCTGGATTCATGTAATATTTTTCTATAGGCACCTTATCTGCGTTATTTCCTGGTAATTCTATTTCATTAGAGTATTATAAATTAGTGTTACTTTTATAGTTGTAATCAGTTAAAAATTTTTAATACTTAATTTGAAATTATTATTTTTAAATTCAAGTTTCTTAGGAATTAGGAAATTAACTTGTAATTTAAATAAAGTAAAAATTAATTTTTTTTAATGCTTAGATTCAAAAAATAAATAAAAAAAAAAACCAATTAGATTATACTCAATTCTTGATATTTTATTTATTTATGTTTATTAAAAATATAAATAATTTTATTTCAATTTTATGTTTTATAAATAATGTTTATTCTATTGAAGTTAGGTTTTTTTTATTCATTAAATTATGAATTATTAAAAAACAATCATATTTATAAAATACGAAGATAAAAAATCTTCAAAAAACTATTTTCTTCTTATTTTTTCACTTTTGAAGAAAGTCTAATATCAATTATAATATTTCTATTAGCTCACTATTTATAAATCTTTTTGTGAATAAATTCAATTTGAATTTGGAAGGTTTTAACTAAACTCAAATTTAAATTAAAAATGAATATTGTAATTTAGTTATTAATAAATATAAAATAAAATATTTTTAAATAGTAAAATATTACCATTATATAATGCCTGATAATCATTATAGCCCATTATTTTTTCATCATGATGCCTTACATATTCAAAACACTCTGAAAGTTGCTTTAAAATAAATAAAAGACTGTTCTAAAAACTAGCTATTTGATTCTAGCTGCCATATGTTTATACTAAATTGAGTATTTTTTATTTTGCTTATTCAATAGATTCACTTTGTATGCAGATTTAAGCAAATATCAACCCTATAACTCTATATTTATTATTAAAAAGTGGACACTACTCTTTTTCATAAAATTCAATTTTTGAAGTAAATTTATTGAATGATGCACTTTATTTTTGATTAACCGTGTAGAATGTAGAGAATAATAATTGGTTTTATGAATTTTAATTTTTGTCACTATTTCTTTGAAAGAATAAATTATGCACTCTTATTAATTCTACATTAATCTCATCTATTGACTCAGAATCACTATCTTCTTCGATTTTATCGCTTTAATCACTTTGTTACATATCTGCTTCCTACTCTTAATCGTTTGTTTAATCTTTTATTTAATTTTATATTTAATTTAATGCAAAAAACTAAAAATATGTGTCTACCTTAGCTTTCCTGCACAGCTTCTAAATATATTTTTAATTCTTATAAACAAGAATAATAAATATTTATTTATTGTAACCTCATATTCTCTAAGCCTTTAAAAATTTTTAGCTAATACTATTCAAAATCTTCTTTTTTTATTATCTATAACTTTTGCTCTACTAAATCTATTATTTCGTCTTCTAAAACTATGCATTTTTTGTAACATTCTATTCTTTCCTAATGTTGTTAATCCTATTTTTAAAACTCTTCAATAAGTTCAAGCATGGCAATAAGAACTTAACCTTAGAATTACATCTTTGATTCTTCTGGCATATCATGTAAAGACTTGAAGGCCTCTTATACTACTTGTAAGAACAAGTAGTCTTAAATTAAACGAGTCATTATGAAATGAGCGCCTAATACAAATATTTAAAAAATAAAATTAACACAAATTCTTTTCAGACAAATGATTTACCAAAATTTTAGCATTTTCCATTTTAGCAAATTGATTTAATAATTTAAACTGCACATTGGATATTATTCTACCAAGTTATTGGATTTTAATCATTAGATGTAAAAAAGTATAGAAGAAAATAGAAAAAGAAGTATTTTTATCTAGCATCTTTATAATCCTATGGCAATGTATAAACTTAAAGCTTTTTTAGTGAATTGAATAAATACCCTCTCTTATAAGTGTTTTGTAAGAACGTTTCATAACAAGTTGTGCTATTGAACTGATAAAAAAGACGATATAACTTTGATTCTTCAGAGTAGTTTAAAAGCATAAAGTTAAACATCTCACAAAATACTTATATTAAATATAATTTAAAATCTTAGTTAATAAAGAAATGATTTAAAGTAAGTTCTATTTCATATTCTAATTTCGTTCCATAAAACTTAATATATCTAAAAATATTTTTTAAAATAGAACATTTGCACTGATGATCTTCTATTTTAGCTTTACTGATAATTTAAAAATGCTCTTAGCTTTCATCTATTGAGTCACATGCATGATTGCAAATAAAAGAAGGTATTGGTTCCATTAATACTTTAGATAAAATGAGAGTTCCACTTGCATTTTCAGAAATAAATACTTTTATTTCATCAATCAAATTTTAAAATTCATTTATTTCGCTTTCACTTGATATTTATGACATATCTTTTTCACAGCAACGCTATTCAATTTTCTTAAAAATAGATACAAATTATAATTAGAAATATTCCTTTATCATGTTCTTGTACTCTTGTTTAACTACGTGTTCATATTTTATTTTATCTTCTAAGCTAGTTTTCTAGTGCTTTTTGCACAAAAGGAGCTATGAAAGATTAGGATCACCGCAATCACATGTTCCACCCTAAATAAAAAATAATTTAAACAATCATTTTGTTTGTTCAGAAAATCTTTTTTAAATATTTATTTATTTAAATAATGAATGAATGATATCTATCTCTACAAGGATCAAAATTTTTAATATTTATTTTGCAAATTAAAATAAAAAATTCTACAGTTAGCTTGTTAAAGTATAAAAAGCTATGATTTTCATGATCTCCAGCAAAAAAACAACTTTCGCAAATGCAATGAGTAGGCTATGTAGAGCAATCTAAGCATTTAAAGTAAACTTCTTCTTTTTTAATAGGAGCTGCGCACTAAAATGATGCCATCTACTTGTATATTTGTATTTATTTCTCTATTTCATCTTACTCCACTCCTATATATATCTTTTTATAAACCTCAAGCTGTTTTGAGAGAAAACTTTTCTCATTGACATCACTATTGTTTAAATCTTAGTTTTTTTCTAACTCCATTAATAAAATAAGTATTCGATTCTATAAATTACTTTTTCTGATAACAAATTTAAAGATATTACTTATTTTTTTCTATGTTTTTTTAAATAAAAAAGTTGGTTCTGATAAATAAAATAATCAAATATAAGATAAGTAAGTATCATAATCGAAAATCTAATTTAAAAATCAACCAAAATCCATAATTTAATAAAATGTTATTACTTTTAAATTAAAATAATATAAAATATTTATATTTTTTATTTTTCTATATTTTAAAATGTCTGTATTATAATATTTCATATAAAATTCATATCTAAAAATTAAGCTTTTATAGATGTTAATTATTTTGTTATCCAAAAATATTAAATTAAAGCAAATTTATTTCAAATATATTATTTTGTGTGTAAAATATTTTCACAAAACATTTAGCGATTGAAGAATTCAACTTTTAAAAATATGAATAACATCAATAAAAAATAAAGAAGAATTTTGTAAATATTTTCAAAAAAAGTTTAGTATTGAAAATATATATAAATTTTATTTACATCCATCAATTAACAAAATAGAAGTGTAAAATAAAAAAATATAATATTTAAGTAGCTGAAAATATAGAAGGATTTATAGGAATATATTAATTAATAAATAAATAAATTTAGGTGTGTACTAAAATATCATGAAAAAGTTTTATTTTTAAAAAAACCTTTATTTTTCAAAGTAAAACTGCTCAAAATGCTAAACAATTTTTTAAATTTAAGTAATTGATTATTATTTAACATTTAAGCAATAAAAATAGAATTGTTATTTAAAAACAATTTGTATTTAGGTTTGATTATATTATTACAAACATTATGTATATCAGCAAAGTATATTAAGTTCTCTAAGATAAAATAAATATAAATGAAAATAATATAGAAAAATTTTTCAATCACAAAGTACAGATTTAATATCAACTAATCTTTATTATTCATCCAAAAACCTTTATTTTAATTTGTATATACAGCTCACATTTTTAACAATTTTGAGAATCATAATCTATTTTCTGAATTCTTAAAAATAAATATCAAATTTTTTAACTTAATAGATTACTTTCATAAAAACTCATATTTTTTTTAATGCTTATTTATTTAATATCAAAAAATATATTTTTTTAATAAATATTTCTTTAACTTCTTTTATTAAGATAAATACTCCAAAAATAAGGGAAGCTATTTTTTATCAGTATATAATTTTATTAAGTTTACTTTTCAATCAGAAAAATCAGCAAAATGGTAATTAAAATAAAGTTTATAATAATTTTTAGAAGAGTTCTGCTAAAAAGGCTATTTTATAAGATAAGTAAATCTTTATTTTTTTAATTTTTTCTTATAATCTTTTTAAACATCAAAAAAATATCAAATTATGGTATAAATTTAAATAATAAAAAAATAAATTTGTAAATTTAATTGAATTTTGATTATCTTATCTATCTTATCTAAAAGAGAAATTCAGCTTTTTTAAAGCGATATAATTTAATACATTAAGAAAAGTATAAGTTACTTTATTTGATAAAAATTAAAAAAACTGTACTCAGCTTTGGATAAAATCTGTTTAAAATTCAAATTTATAATTTAAAAATTTAATCAATATCTATTTTAATAATTTTTATTTACTTATAAATTTTTGTAAAGGAATATTCTTTAGTAAATTATTAGTTCTAACATTTCTTATATTTTTATAAAGCGTCAGCAAAATTAATTTAAATTTTGTGGCATTTAACTTAATTTCAAAAAATATAATTAGACATTAGCGAGTTGCTGATGATTGCCTAAGCTAAAGATTAGAGTTATCTAATATCTCCCTAATTAAGATAATCTAAAAGAAATATCAAATGAATCAAATATTAATTTATAAAAAATGAATATTTTACGCTCATAATGTATTATTAAGTTGTAAGAAGACAAAAAATATTTTATTGAAATAAGTTAGATGGATAATATATTATTACAAAAATTTAATTTAATTTCTGATAAAATATGTTTTAAATTTAATTGCTTTCAAAGAAAAATTACTCAAATCTACAAATAAATTTTTCTATTTTGTCGAATCTACTTTTTGATTTTTCAAAAATTTTACAATTTAAAAAAATTAATTTTAATAATTTGTTCTTTAAATTTTGTTTATATTTTTAATGACATTTAAAAAAATTATAATTGATTTAATTTCATAAAAATACAAAAAACTAACTAAAATGATAACAGAGCAGATCATAATTGTTCTCCTTAAAAATTTTAAAATCTATTTTAGGTCTAAAGAAATTTTTATAGACCCTCTACCTGCACTAGTATGTGGATTGGTAACAGCGTACACTACTATGGTGTTGAATCCTATCTTGGTGAGTTTTCCATTCATCAGTTTGACAAGAAATTTGGTTTATACTCTTGTTAGTGAGAAGGCAGAAAGACAAAAAGAAATTTAAAAAGTAAAAAATTTAATGAAATTTTAGTAATTTTACTTATTCATCTTAAATTTTATTAATAGATTATGGGCTTAGAGACTTCTTCATATAATATGGGCTGGATGATTTTCTACTACTTAAGAGGCTTTTATGTAAACAATTTTTAAGCTTTTTTTTAAAGTTAATTTTTTATTAATATAAAAGAGCACAATATTTTACTTAATTCCTACTGCTGCTACTGGAGCTCTTACTGTGGACTCTTTCGATTGGATTTAAGCTTCTATTATGTACTTTTTCAATATAGCAATACATATAAATTTCGCATTTTTCTTCTCTACTTTCTTCTCAAGACCAAGAATAGCTTCTGAAATTTATCTTCTTGTATCATTAGCTTTTTCTTTAATGTTCTTTGTAGGTGAAGGATCTAGTACTAGCACCAACAGTTCTTCATTATACGCATTAACTTTCTTCTTCCCTTAAAGCGCCTTAGTACTTTCATGGCTCGCTGCTGGATGGTAAGGATACAGCAATTTACTTTACTTCACTTTAGGTGATGCATTAGTTGTTATCACAATAATGAGTGTATTCTACTTTGTTGCTTACCTTTACTGCGATCAGGTTATCAAAACCGAGTATGGAACCCACAAGCATCCACTTTTCTTCTTGGACTTTTTTAAGAAAACTAACAGAAATTTATCAAAAGTAGATAGTCATGAATAATCTGAATTCATAGATTATGAGGATAATAGCTCTGCTTAATATCATGAAAAGATGAATACAAGAAACGCAAAAATAAGTGTTTAAATTAAAAATCTTACCAAGTCATTTGGTAAATTCATAGCTGTAGATGATATCTCATTTACTCTGTTTGAAAAATAGATATTTTGGTAATTAAAATTCTTATTTTAGAATTTATAAAAAATTAAAAATATTTAAATAGTTTATTGGGACATAATGGAGCAGGTAAGACAACTACTATATCTATGTTGACTGGCTTACTTGAAAAAACATCTGGAAAAATTAGCTATTATGGAAAGGATTTAAATAAAAATTTCTCAGATATAAGATAATATATCGGACTTTGCACATAAAAAGATTCTGTATACGATTAACTTACTATTGAAGAGCACTTGCGCTATATGGGATAATTGAAAGGAAAATTCTTTGATGAGTTAGAAGAAGATATTAAGCACACAATTGATAAATGCGCACTTATAAATTAAGTAGGCAAAAAAGCTGGCATTTTGAGTGGTGGTAATAAAAGAAAGCTTAGTATGGCTATGTCAATCGTAATTTTAAAAACTTTATTTTACAAAAAAAAATGTTTTATTTTTCTTAATTTTTTAATAAAAATTATAATTTAAAAATAGATTGGAGGAAGTAAAGTCATATTCTTAGATGAACCTTCAAGTGGACTTGACAGTCTAAGTAGAATTTAGATCAGAGAAATTATTAATGAGATAAGAGACTCTGAAAAAACTATTATTCTTACAACACATCACCTTGAAGAAGTTGAAGAATTGGCTGATAGAACTGCAATTATGTCAAAGGGAAAACTTTTAATTTTAGGTACTAATTAATACATCAAAAAAAATTTCTGTGAAGGCTACCATCTCACTTTGAGTAAAAAGACAAAACCTGATGAAGTTTAAGCAGTATTTTTAAATGAAGAGGAATAACAATAAATTAAATAACTCGTTATTGATACTATTCCTGAATCAAAATATAATCCTCAAAGCGCTAAAGGTACTGTTCTAATGAATTTGAATTTTGAAGCTAAAAATGAATTGTTGAATTTATTCTAAATTTTAGAAGAAAAGTTTCCTGAAGTTTAAGTAAACAATTTAAACAATTAATTTAATTTTAATATATTAATTACTAAATTAATAGATTACTCTTGAAGTTAATACTCTAGAAGATGCCTTCGTCAACATAGGTATGGATAAGGAAATCAATGAAAAAAATGGAGAAAACAAAGTAACTTTACTAATATGGAAATAATTTTTATTAATTTTAAATATTTATTTTTAAAGATTAATTAGGAAAAGTATACTGATTTTGAATCAATAAAAGTTCCTGAAAGTGTAAAGAAACATCCTGTCTTTATCTTCTCCAATCAATTATTAGCTTTGTTCTTGAGGAGAGTTATAGTATCTATGAAATCTGCTTCTATGATTTTTACTTTTATTTTCCCTCTCCTTATTCAAATTGGAGGAGTAGTTCTAAGTAAATAACTATATAAGCCTAATCTTACTTTGCCAAAAGAGATTAATGATAATAAATTTTTGATGTTAAACACTGATGCTGCTTTCTAAATTCTGTCATATACTCTAACTATTACTGGTATAGCTGCTTCTCCAGTTATGGATAAAGAATATCGCCTTAGATACGCCCTTACTGTTATGGGATGTAGAAACACACCTTATTGGTTAGGATCTTTTATTTTTGACGTTTTAATTATGTTTTCTATGTTTGGAATTTTCCTACTATGCGTACCGATTATTGGATTGAGTGTGTTAACAGACAATTTAGGGGAAATATCTTTAATTCTGATTATTTCTATCTTCAACTACATTGGATTCTCTTATTTGTTCTCTTTCATTTATTCTAAGTCAAAATGGGTTTATATAGTAAATTTTTAATTTTATTTTAATAGTTTTTTAAATAAATTTTATTTCAATAAAATTAGACTTATCCATTTATCAACTTCTTTATTTTCTTTGCCGCCTTCTTAGCTGGTTTCTTATTGATACCATAAGATTATGTAGCTGTTAAATATTTACTTAACATATTATCACCTTTCCTATCAACTTCTAATGCTATCGGAATACTTGCATATAGTAAATATCAAAATAAATTACCTAACTGTGGACCTTAATTGCCAAATGAGACCTATAAATAATGGAAAGAGAGAGTTTAACCAGGATAATTATGCTTTTAACCCAGTTATGATGGAGAAGTTTAAGAAGATCCTTCATGGATGAAAATATATCCTGGCAGTTTGGGAAATTACTAAACTTATGTTTACATTCTCTTAGTATAAGGAATAATCTTTATTTGCCTATCTATTTTGATTGACTTTTTAATTTAGTAACTACCTAATAAATCTATGAAAGGTGAAGATTATTCAGAAATCGAAAAAGATTAGCATGTGGCAGAAGAAGTTCATCAAGAAGATTAAAGAGTAGCTGATCCAAGCTGCAAAGATAAAATAAAAGTTTCTAAACTTTACAAGGTATTTATTTTAAAGCATTTAATTTAAAAAATATTTAATTATATTTATTAATTATTAGACCTATTACCCAGATGGAAAGCCTTTTACTGCTATCTCCAATAACTCTTTTGGTGTTGATTCTGGTGAAGTTATGGGTTTACTTGGACCTAACGGAGCGGGTAAATCTACTACATTTAATATTATTACTTCTCTCATTACTAAAAGCTCTGGATCTGTTTAACTCAAAGGAGTTGAAGTAAAAAGTGGCTAGCTTGACGTGTATTAAGATGTAGGTATATGTCCTTAGTTTGACAGTTTATATGAAAATTTGACAGTAGAAGATCATCTAAAACTGTTTGGTAGAATGAAAGGATTAAAAGGACAAGATCTTAAAGAGTGCGTAGACTATTTTATTTAAGTTATGTAGCTTAGTGATTATAGAACTAGAAAAGCAGGTAACTTAAGTGGTGGTAACAAAAGAAAGCTTTGTGTTACCATAGCTCTTATCGGAGGTCCAGATCTTTAATTCTTTGATGAGCCATCATCTGGAGTTGATCCTATTGCAAGGCGCTTTTTATGGAATACACTTAAATAGAGTTTGAAGGTAAGAGACAGCTCTATAGTTTTGACTACTCATTCTATGCAAGAGGCTGAATCACTTTGCTCTAAAATAGGTATCTTGGTCAATGGTAAATTCTAATGCTTAGGAAGTCCAAATTTCCTCAAAAAGAAGTATGGTGATGGTTATAGACTTACAATCAAATGTAAGAATGAAGATTGTGCTTCTTATATTGAATCTTAGTTGTTAAGTAAAATTAGTAACTGTAAAGTATCTTAAAAGTTTGATGGAAGGTAAATAGGATTTTCGATTTAATACTAAAACTTCTCATTCTATAAGACTTACATGATACTAAATGAGCTTTAGTAAGTAAAGATTTCAGACATACCAGTGTAACAAAATCATTAAGTTGTAATTGAAATACCATCTTCTTCTAAAGTTAACAAGAAAAATACTACCTAAAATTCTATGGTAATAGATTCATATTAACTAACTGAAATGACATTGGAGTAAATTTTCATTCATTTCTCTCAACAACAAAAGAAAAATGATGAAGAAAATGAAAAGAAAGTGAAAAGAAAAAGATTTTTATGCTTCTGATCTTGAATTTAATTATATAATTCATGAATAAAAGCTAAAAATAAATCTTATAGAATAAATAATTATAAAATATATTTTTTTTTGTTTATATATCAATTAAAGTTATATTCAAGAAATTTTATAAATAAAATCTTTAATTTTTTTATTCTTTGTTTTAACAAGCTCTGTGCTTTTTATTTGTTAATTTATGAGTTTCAACAAAGTTTTCAAATTACTAAACTTTTTCTAAAAATATATGAATTAAATAAAAGGAATTTTATTAAAAATTTTACTATATTTAAAGATTATTCTATATCACATCACCTCAATCTAATAACCTAACTAATCTTCATCAAATAAAGTTAAATAGGTATATTCAAAGTATGTTGCTTCATTTTAAAATTTGATTTTTAATTATTATTTTTTATTTGATAAAAAAATATATTAATAATTCATTTTTAAAACATTTGCTTAATTATATTTCGAAGAAAGTTTAATAAATATTTTTACAATTTAAATCAATTTTTCTAAAATCATTGAAATATTTTACTTACCTATCTCAGTTTTTAATTCAAAAATATTTGATTAATAAATCTTAATATGGTTAAAAATTGGGGTTGGGGTTGGGGTTGGGGTTGGGGTTGGGGGGTTGGGGTTGGGGTTGGGGTTGGGGTTGGGG